ACTTCCTTTCGGTGTGTGCCATTACAGTTATTGATTAATTGATACTTGTATTCACTACAGGTATTTTTTTTTCATCTCCCGTATGACCATATTGGCTGGCCATATGGTTGTACAGTGACCCATACCATACCATTGAGGGTATCAAGGACACCATATGACATACGGTACAATACGGGTGGTAACTGTATGGCTACTGTACATTGTACATCTGTAACTGTATATGGTTACAGTGACCAGCCCTAACAGGAGTGTCCTTTCTGATGTTCCCACCCCTCATGTACCTAACCTGCTCATGAGATTTTATTGTCTTTCACATTGGAGGATTTCATCCTCATATTCCATCAAAAAGTGTTCAGACGAGCTGGAACAATCTCACCAAACCACAACACTGTCAGTGATCAGGGGGAATGTTATATCTCTGTCTAGAAGTCAACTGACCACCCAATGCTGTCCTTATTACTGTAAACAGGACACAAATCCATTGTGAATTCAACTATGTCTGTACATCTAGTATATTCGCAATCAGGAAACATATACACACACACTAGTGCATTGATTGCGTGAATTTTCACATACTGTCCCTGGCCTGGTGTTGCAAATTGTGATGTAGCATACTCATACTTCACTCATTTCCTTTGCACAATGATTCTAGGGGATGATTGATTCATAGCTTACTGTCTATATTTTTTATTCCATGAAAAATGGATGAGAAGTGCTTGTGGCAGTGAAACACTACTCAGAATGTGTATTTTCCACACCAATCCATCAGAGGGAAGCCAGCACATGCGTTAAAAAAATCAGGAATTTTACTAGTGATTTTCCATCACCTTCTAATACCACTCTAATTTTTTCTGACATGATAAGTGAGTGGTGTTGAGAGATACAAATGTTGTACTACTGAGATACAGGATGTGACAGGAGGAGTGAGATTATGTTCAGAGTCACAAATTTGAATAATGCTCATCAATTGCCCTAGGTTCATTCAACACTTGACAGCATTGGAGAGTAAAAATGGCAGTGTGACATACTCTGGCAATGTAGCCTCAACATATTTTTGCATAGCCTTACAGTATGTACAGAATCCTACCTGCTCATGTTGTTGCCTTATTTTAATGTTATGTAGTTGTTGTGTTATAAAAAACTGGTCAAAAAGTTTTGCAACACCGGGCCAGATATAGTAGGTAAATTCCATAGCATGCAAGATTCAAACCTCCAGTCTTTCTGTGTGCCATAGGATGACTTCAGTCTCTTTATGGACCCTTTGTCCTAGCCATGGTATAAGTCAGACATGCCTCATCTTCAGATTCCCTATCATCATCTTCGTAATCAGTGTATCCATTCGTGATACTAGTAAGTGACACACAGTGATGCCCTTCTGTGTAAATTGCTTAGGACGAGCCATTGCCAATACTCACGATGAAAGACTCACTATTCTGAGGTATCAGTAGCCTAACCTTTTCCTCCGCTAATTCCCAAACTAACATGTTGCCATGCCCCAACTCATCCCACATTACCATCAGGCTTGGCAGTGGCACGATTCATTGATCGAGTATTTTATGCTTTTGCAGGAACTGCTCTATCACGTGGTGTGAATGTTCCACGTGAAACACCAGCACTCGAAGGCATGCATTGCCAATAAGACACATGACCATCACTGGATTACAACTGGTGGGTGTGAGCACCAGACAGAGGTGCATTAATGCGTCAAGAGCCTCTAAGCCTGCATGTGGCTTCTTGAGCACCACTCGATCAACGATTTTGAGATGGGTAATGCTTTTGAAAACATAGAACATGTTAATTGAGTTTGTGAAGTCGATGGCCATGGCAAGAGTCAATGATTTGAGTTGGAGAGCATCCAGTGCATGCCACAGCGATTATGCATTGTTTATGAATGCATCTGTATGAACAAGTAGGACCAGGCATGTGAGACCATTGCAGAGCAAGAGAATTTCAATCAAAGTTGATTCATTTAGTGCACCACAGAGATACAGGGATGTGATGGATTTTTGGGCAAAGTCAATGTGCATGGGACACAGGTGAAGACATTCCAGAAATTCCTTAGTTTCATCTTCACCATTGAGAACAATCTTTTTATACAGCAATTTTTCCATCCTTCCACAGTACTACATCAGTACAATGCAATTTTTAACATACCAAATCCCATGTTTACCATGTATGCATCCCGTGGGACACCCTCAAGGTGGTTGCAGCAGTGTCTTAATAACTGAGGGTCTTATATAAATGCATGTAAAATGTAATGACACCACAATTACACTAGGATAAGACTTCTTGCCAGTCCTTGATTAACACAGTCTATGACTTTTCTTCTTTTGTGGTAGATAACATGTGAGTTCTTGGGAGGCTCGCTAAACCAATCTATGTGATTAACTTAGCTGGAGCTTTTGTGTTATATCCCAACTTATAAACTTGTCTAGGATAAACCATCTAGACACTGGAATGTGGTTCCTTGTTAAGAAAATTCTCTGTAGAGACTACAGTCTCAAATACGAATATGTTGACCAAAGACTGGTTGGTCAAATAGGCACAGAGTGGTGAGAAACTGGTCTCACAAATGATCAGATTGACCAAAGCTTGTGTTGGTCAATATCAGAAAACTAGGTGAGAAGTGGGTCTCACAAATGAACAGATTGACCAAAGCTCATGTTGGTCAATATCAGAAACTAGGTGAGAAGCTGGTCTCAAATAAACTAAGTTTATATCATAAGAAACTTATGTAATCTCAAGGGAATGTCTTTTCCCTGCACTTGGTACTTCAAAGGGGCTTTCTTTGTAAGCAACAATCTTCACAGTGAGTAGCTCAAACTGAGATTCAAATGATTGCAAGTGGGAGATCCTATTTTTTGGGGGGGGAGAATGGGCCCTCCTTATATACATTTTGTGTGGGAATATTATGTAAGTAAAAAAGCGGAGCAATGACATCAGAAGTGGAGCAGAACATTCTAGCAAGTGGAGCAGAACATTCCAGAACAAATGACATCATCATGACATCATAACTTTCAACAGAATACTTGCAGGAGTATCTGTGGAGCCATATGACATCATACCCTGTAGGTACAATTTTGTGAAGTATCTGATGGGTCAGAGCATCCCAATAGAAAAATAAATCAAGGAAATACTAGAGAAAACAACTCAGAAATAATAATACAATAACAAGACACAAAACACAGGCTTTTTAGATAGGTTTTTGTTAGGCTTTGAACTTTTCTCTATGGTTTTCTCTAGCCACATTGAATAAGCCAAAGGCAAGGTAATACCTTAACCTTCTTGCTTCACAATATCAACTAGGTCATTATGTGATTCCAATCTCACAAATGACTTTTCTTCAAGATATAATAAATTCATGAATCACAGAGGGGAAACTGAACTATTTGACCAAGGTTTGAAACCAAGGTATGGGTTGACTAGCTTGATGCCTAAGCTAACAGACTTTGTCTTTTAGGGGGCTACCTAGTAGTCATGTCCATGCATGATTCCCAAATCATGCAGGACAGCAGCACATCTGGAGTGAGTAGCTAGAGACAATATCTTCTGCTGAATTTCAAGTGGAAGGGGAGGGATCATGACTGGTGATGGATCTGGATGAACTGTGCCACTCTCTGATCGGTAATCAAACGAACATAAAGGTTCAGCATTGCCCAAGCATTGCTGACCTTCACCTTGCTTGCATATAATCTTCCTAAGCAGATTTGTAAGAAAAAATGACCACGTGACAAAATCAATCTTGCCCTTATAGCTATCTTCATGTCAATAGGCCAGAATCTAGAAAATTCACTTAGCTGCTTTTGTTTATTATTGGAGCGACACTGAACAAAGGCAGTAATTTCATGCTAGCTACTTTTGTAAGTTGGGTAAGTCATCATCATTACTTAAGGAGTACTACTACAACAACTGCCGGCTGTCATCATCATGCACGGAAACTGTCAACATATACATTTTCAACAGAGATGAAGAGATGATCTCGCTAAAGTGCCAGAGAAAATAAGTGGAGCCTCATCTGATGACAAGAATGACTTACCTTTGACAACATTGTAGTGTCTTTCAGGGCGAGGGCTTTGTTACTTGACCATGAAGGTCAGCTATGTGCTAGTAGCATAGTACCACCATCACATTGTGCAGCTGGTTGCAGATCAGTGCATGCGCACCGTGATTCCAAGGTCTTGTCATAGCATTTGTACTGCCCCACAAAAGCCCCACAAGGTTAATAACTTGCCATAGAAAATAACTAGCACGAGCACCTCTGTTTGGTGTCATTCCAATAATAAACAAAAGCAGCTGAGTGGAATAAAGAACAGATGCAAGAACTGCCTCACCTATGATGAAATCAAGAAGAAATAATGGATAAAGAGTGGAGTAACAGTCATGAATGGGTTACCAGAGTGCCTCCATATGAGGCCAGTGCCCTGTGTCCACAGAGCCTGCACTCAGCCAGAGTGGTAGAAGTTCAACAGTAATATTATTTGCACAATTGATAATGCAAATGATGTACGACTGATCCCAAGTAGTAGAGTAGCTCATAACTAAATTATCCCATCACTCCTTGCGACTGTGCTGTACAGAGGGTGTTGATGTGATGCAGTACTTCTCTACTTAATGCTGGACAAGATCAAGTAAAAAATTACTTAGTAGATGAAAAAAACACAGCAAGATAAGCATACTGGATAACTATCATTTGCATAGATGAAGGAAGGGCAGGGCCAGTAGGTGAAAGTGAGGGCTGGAGTCAAATTCTATCTCCAACAGGCCACAAAGTGAGAACATTGGAAAGTCCCATGGAAGGTCGAAATCATCATTCCTAACCAAAGTGCATTTCCACTTGGATGGAAGGGAAGGAGGGGATGAAGCATTGGTTGGAGGTTTCTTACATGAGCGCTGGGGAGCACCTGGCCTTTTATCAGGTCCTTGCTGTTTGGGTGCTGCATCATATTGGCATTCATTCGAGCGGCTCCAATCAGTTTCTACCTGTAAACCATTGACCAGCCATGCACGCAGTCCTTTTGCCTATGCTCAAATCAGTACTGTACAGCGCAAATATCAGTGACATCCTCATGCGCTTCACACACCCTGTTCTTGACATCATCACATGGCTTCCCTACCAAGTCATCCATTATACCTTCCTCCTTGTTCTAACCAGATTCCTTTAGCTTTTCCGCCCACCAGCTCTACATATAAACAGTACATTAATCAATGCTTATCACACCGCCTAAGTAGAAACTCACCCTTTGTTCAATGTCCCCATCATTGTCATTCTCACGAAATATGATATACTTATTGAGTGCATGGATTGTACCCTGGATGAATCCTCTATCAAAGGATTGAGTAATGATGCCATCAAGGAGCTCATTGAGGGCAAAGCAGAAGCTGAGCTGCAGGAGGTCCACATTGGACCCCCAGACATTCCCTTTCGGTTTTTTATTCTAGTACTCAACATTTTCCTCTCTGTAGACTCTGACTAACCCATGAGTCATACTTTGGTAAAGTATCTGAAACGCCTAATTGATGGTTGTTTAAGAAATCACTGGACACTGATTTAAATACCTCCCATATATTGCTCAGCATTAACTCACACTGCCTGTAGGACTGGTCTCTATGCTGAATTGCACAGTATCATTGCAAATGTTCATCCTTCACCACTCTCATAGACTGTCTGATGTTCTCATATCAGCCACATAGAACTTCTGGGACCCTGTCTTCCAAGACACATTCCATTACTCTTGTGTTGAATCTACACAAACCCCGAGCTGGTGGCTCAGTGAACCTGTTAGTACCCACCAAATTTTATTTTTATATACCCACTTAATGTCTTATCTTTCATTGTCTTGTAACTTTACATGTCCATCTCATTCTTTGACTGTCACATGAATTGTCCTTCCTGTCCTCTTGCTTTCCTACCCTTTATTCTACCCTTTGCACATCTTAGATATGGGAAACCGCCGAGTGTGCAGGCATCATCACTGCAAACCTCATGTGGTTGGTTGTTCCCTCTGCCTCATATTTAGATGTGTGTTCACCTGATTACCAGCATGGTTATTGTGATCAATGTATGCAGCATGCCCCCCCTTATGGCTCTCAGTCCCCTCTGCCCTCTCATGGTTCTCAGCCTCAGTATCACAATGGCGGGTATCATGATGCTCCATACTGTGACTCTCACAATGGATTTGAGGGATACATTGAGAGCTATTGGCACCCTCTAAGTGGTCTATATTGTGGTTCAGGAGGGAGATATGAGCATGGGTATGGGCATAAGTATCCCAATGAGTATCCTGAGGACCAGGAGGATGGAGGATGAGCTCCTTAGACTCATTTGTGATCATCCATTCAGCCACATTCCTGCTAAGGATGTAGTTTTAAGTGCAGGCAAACTAGGAAGAAGAAGAGATATTACTTCAAGACATTCGGAGGAGCATACTCAGCTGATGTCACAACAGATATGCTTGTACTCATCCCGATGTACCCAATGGCACTGCTTCTAATAGTAGTTAATTTCATTGGAGTGCTGATTCAGTGCTAGTTTCCAACTAATTGAGCTTACTTTGCCTCACAGAAGCACAGGCTGCAGACCAAGACTGCATGTAGAAGCTGAGATGGGACAGAGATACACTAGTGTGATGGCGGACAGGCATTCACATTAGAGCTGTTCACTGTAGGCTGTATGATGGGACTTTACGGGGCCATAATGAGGTCACCATACCCACACCATTCACTGTTTAGACCTTGAGCTGATGGTTACAGGGTGTGGGTGTCAAGGTATCATATGCTGCCATATCTGTATGGCCATATATGGCCATAATATGGTGTAAGTACATGTTTGTTTATCATGTATAAACAATGAGACTCAGCTTGATTCATGCAGTATCCATATGTCTTATTTTGCAACAACTCATTCTGGACCTGATCCAACAAACACTTGTGATAAATCCAGTGATTATTACTTCAAGATTGACAAGTCACCTTTCTATGTCTGGGCTTTGAGTATGTTGCCTGTTACTGCCTGTCAGTTTTGCTAGTTAATCATCTATTCTATTCTAAAGTTATTGACCCCCGCATCTCATACTATGGGCTATACAGTGACTGCAGTGATGATGTCACTGCAACTGCATATCAAGATGCAGAAGAGCAATCTGCATGCTCTTTTTAAAAAGCAGTATGTTACTATGGCAGTGGTGCAATCAGTCCCTTTGTCATCTCCCACTGAGGCAGACCAATCAGTGAATGGGTGCCAGTATCCAATGAAGGTCAACTTCACAGCAAGGTATGAGAAGTGGTCAAATATTTCAATAAATGAATTTGAGGAGTACTCAAACTGGCACTTCCTTCTGCCTCCATTTTCACCTCACCACATTTGCCTTTCTCACATCTCACCATTTGTTAGTGGGAACAGTGATGAACAAGACAAGTGGATTCTGGTTCTGAGATCACCTTTCTTACATCTCACCTTCTGTTAGTGGGCACAGTGATGACATGTCTGTGACCTGGAGTGACCTCCTCTTCTCACCTTTTATTTCTCACTCTATTTCTTGGAAAGCTGTCAACAAGCCTGGTGAATGTGTGCAGAGAATTGCAGTTTTCCCATTGGCTGATCTGAGAGTTCCTAAAATATTTTTAGAGTAAGTTATCAACTACCTTATCGATACCAGTTTATATACTGTAGGATATGGGACTAATAAGAATGAATATACAAAGAATCAGCCTGAGAAAGAAGTAGAATCAGCAAGCAAAAATGTTCTGCCCAGTGCAAAAAAGCCCCTGGAAGTGAACATTGGCCACTGTTAACAACAGTGTGATCCCCATGAAGGGGTTGAACCAACAACCAAAGCCCTCAGAACCACAAAGTCAAAAAGCATGGGATGCTCATAAAAGGGTGACAAGGCCCATAAATCTGGCAGCAGCAACAATTTGATCTGTCAAAGTCATGTTCAAGTTGACCGCTTTTGCTTATGTAAGCAGTGCCACTGAATTGATTTTTTCAGCCTTCATATGACTTGCCTGACTTCAAATAAAACTTGTTTCTGGGGTTATTGAGTCATATGATTATGATGGCAACACTAGTTTGGTATGAAAAAAATCATATCCCAGAGTCATGCATCATGCCACCCCCTCCCCCTACCTACTGTGCCCAGAGGCATGATTTCATGTCAATACTATGCTGTTGAATCTGCACAAATATTATTTGTGTCCCCCCAAAACAAAAATGTGTGACCCCTGGGAAAAATGTGTGCCCCCTGAAAAAATTTGTGTCACCCCAAGAAAAATGTGTCGCCCCAAAATTATATTATGTCTCCCCCCAAAACAAAGTATGATTCTGACAATTTTTGTATGTTTTTTTTATCATGGTAAGGCTCATTTCCACTTGGACTTACAAGAAATAAATCAATTAAAAAGATTGTAGTAAGAGACAGTTACTATGTACAATTAACAGAATATAAACCACAATAGAAAAGTGCATTTAAAAGGAGGGATAAATCTGTAGTGTCAGTTTGTGATAGGAAGTTGGGTATGACTTGGATGATATAGGTGCAAAATAATTACAAATTAAATGATAGGACCTAGAAATCAAAGAGATGATTTCCTTCCCATAGGTTATCAAGACTGGGATCAATAAAAAAAGACCCAGAGGCCTGTAAGGTTGGTGTTGTAAAAATTTCACCAGTCTGTGATGAGGGTGTCGAGACAGGCCCAGGTGACTCAAAAGGCTCGAAAGGGGCAAGGTCAGCCTCCACTGCTACCTCTGGCTCAGCTACAACCTCATTATTGTCTAGCCTGAAGGAACTGAAGAAGTTATCAGGGTATTCATTGTCACTTGCAGTTAAGTCAACTATAGTGGCTGATTTGGATAAGTTTTCGGAGTCTGATGCTGGCAGGATCTCATCATCAGTTCCTGTCAATACTGATGTTTGTCATGAGTCTATTGACAATCAACAAACAAAACCAATGGACTGTACCTCAACAATATTTGCTTTTTTTTGGGGGCTCAGATAAGCTTGACTCAGATGAGGAGTCATCATCTGAGTCATCAGATATGCTCTTAGACTTGGTGAGATCATGAGATGCTGATCTAGATGGGAGAGAGGGCATCTTATCCTTCCCTTTTGATTTCACCCATCCTTGTAACACTGATGTTGGGATGCTCTGGCAAGTGGCTAAGAAATAAGCTATCAGTAGTCTGTGTGAAGTGAATGAACTAAGGACTGACCTAGAATGACCACATTTTCTCAAAATCCACCTCTCTTATTTGTCCTTGCATTTCATGCCACCAATGATCCATCAGGGAATTGGATACCAGAAGGGATTACAATTCTTTGCTTCTCCTTGACACAAAGATAGTATTGGGGCAGATATTGAAAGATCTCATCTTGGTGCTCCTCATAATCTGGATTAGGCAACTTTGGCAAGGCATCGAGATAAAGGAAGAGTCATGGGAAAAATTTGCGAAGCTTGAGGTCAAAGAGCATGAAAGACCAGTTCTTGCTGATGACAATACCATCAACATGATCTGTGATCACTAGTCTCATGACTTCAAGAGTCTAGACTTCCACCAGAGTTGGCATTTGAGGATTGTGAAGAACAGGTGTCAGAAGGGGGATGTATGAATGTGAGGTCTTCTTAGGCTAACAAGGTTAGAATCAGTAATCTCAGCCAATAGTAGTCACAATATCAACTACTTACCTGTGTTGTCCCACAAGGAATGAAAACAATTTCACCAGCTATAAACTGGAAGTCAAGAGGACGAGCTGACTTTGACTAGTAAACAAGTATTCCAAGTCCATGGCATAAGCAACAACTCCTTTTTAAACATGCTGGCACTTACTTTGCAGACCATCTGGGCCTTAGACCTGCTGTGCGATTGAGAAGCAGACTTTAAACCTTGGTTGGCCTCGCTATTGGCCTTTCTGTAGGCAGCTGAAGATCCAGCTGAACCTCTGAGCAATTCCTGCAGAATTGAGTTAACTGCTAGTGTTGAGCTTGATTTTCCAGAGGTTTCCATCTGCTTAGACTCCAAGGTAGAAAAATGCGAATTGGAACCATTGTCATCCTGATCAAATTATTTCATGTGAAGGATACTCGTCATCATCCCATTCATGTGGAAGAATACCAAATCCATCTGGGATATGCTCTGCCTCTCATACTTGATCAAGGGCTTGATGAAAGGTGTTGTAAAGAGTAGCAGAGCAAAAAGGACTGTCATGTTTTGGGACATGGACAGGCTTATGGTGAAAATGGGCATCATGATCTGCAGCGATAAGCTGGGGAAGCTCTTGTAGATCTTCTGTACCAATGTCCTCTGCATCATTAATATCTTCCCATTCCTCTTCTGATTCTTCATCATCCAATTCTCCATCAGTAGATCCAGAAGCTGAGTATACCTCATCTGAGGGATGACCTGCTCCAGTTTGATGGGGTGCATGATGAATAGGCCTTCCTGCAGTTCCATAGTATTGTCTGATGATATCAGGATGGACTCCTTCACAATCATCAGCATATAGTCCATGCTTGAGCTGGCCCATAAGCCTCATATCCTGATAGATACAAAATCAAAATCAATTTATTTAGCTGGCTGTGTCTGAGCTCTTAGATGACATACATTTGGGCTCTGATCATGTCCTTCTCCAGAGATAGGGTGTACATTCCATTCAGCTTGAAATGTGTTGCAGTCAGACTCGATCTGTCTGAGGAACAGCTCATGTAATAGCCAAAGATGCTGGGCATTAGATACATCGAGTCCATGAAGCCTCTCAAGCCAGTAGAAAAATGCATGCCACATGTGAGCAAATTGAGTGCTGACCTCAACCCAGGATCATTCAATCCTGCTGTTGTGAGTTGATCTAGCAAGCAGCAGATTTTAGAACAACTAATGTAAGCAATTAAAGTGTGGTTACTTATGATCCCCACATAAAGCTTGCACAGTTAGGCCCTCTAGTCATGATCATATAAACTGATACCTTCTTGTTTTCTCCACTTCTATCACCTCATACTCTTGAAGGTGTACCACAGAGAGTGACTGCATTCAAAAACACCTCAAGCACTGTGGATGCACTATTGCTTGTGCAGGATGAATGGCAACCATCTAAAAGTCAATATCTATCAGGTATGGGTGGCTAGTCAAGAATAATAGCCTACTGTGCGACAATACCCATCAATGATACCATGGATTACAACACCCCAATGAATCAGCTTATGGTGACCATCCATGTGCCACAGAGCATTTGGCTGTGAAACCTTGTACTATTGCCCTTGAATCATAGTGCGTTGTCGGAGGACAGTTCCTAAGGGATCAACATGGTGGATAGAGGCAGTAATATGCTGCTGCTGTATCCACAAGCCCAGCTGTCATAGATGGCCAGTAAGATAGCAAACTCCAGAATTTGGTTTCATCTGATGAAACTCCCAAACAGCATGATCCAGGTCAGCATCTGAGATTAAGCTATACTTGTAACTAACATTGTTCTGCTTCAAGTAGGAGCACAAAGTATTATGGTGAATACCCATGACTCATGCAAGTTTGGTTTGTTGTAGATGGTGACCAGGAGAGGCAAATTCATGCAACAACTGAACATTTGGCACCTTACATGGTCTCCCTGGTTTTCTGGTGTGTTCAGTAGTGATTGGCTGTGGAACTGAAATATTCGATGTTTCACTGGCAAAGGACTAGATATTAGAACTACTGCAGTAAATATGGTAGGCTTACCCTCCTTGTGCTGTTGTTTCAGCCTGCTGCAGCTGCTTCAGTAGCATTCCAAGTCTTGCTGTGACTTGAAGAACCCAGGACATAGAAATGCCCTCTACTGAAGAAGAATTCTCCAGTGCACATAGTAGTGGTATGGCATTATTGGCAATGGCCTCAGCATGAAAATGTATGTGGTGCAGTTCGCTGCAAGTCTGGAGTGCTTGTAATGCATGATGATAGATATAGAACAGAGTGTCATGGGCTTGATGCAGATGATCAGGCCAGACACCTGAGCCATCAATAGGTTGTGGTAATGGAGGTAGATCCATTGTAGCTTGAGTCAGGTTAACACAGCACTTTGACCAATATTTGTTATGTAATCATCCAAGTGTTTACTGTTGTTGATTTGGTCAATCCATGGTGGGTGAGACAGTATGAAGTTCATCTGGCCATTATACAAGCCCACCTAGTACTATCTGAAGCTCTTATCCACCATAGATGTTGATCAGAGATTAGTTCCTCACAGGCATGGTGAGTTTTGGTTCAGAGATGGAAACATTGTCTTTCAAGTAAGTTCTAAAGTGAATGTCTCTCAAGTTTTGCTCAATTTCTGGCTGGTTCTGGATTACTTCTACCACAGGCTAGCAATACCTTATTTTGTGTACATCGAGGTGTACTTGTTCAGCATTCTCCTGCTTTGGAAGCAATTTTGGCTATGCCATCAGGTTATGATACTGATGGTACAGAGCAGCTTCCCATTGTCCTACATCAGATCTCAGAGGAGGACTTTACATATTTTCTCAACTGGGTTTACCACATGTATGTGTAGCCATGATATAGATTGTATATTATAGAGTGGCTTAATTGGTGTGTTCTAGCAGCTCGATTCCTCCACCACTTGAGGAACAATTGCTTGTTGCTATCCTTAAGGTTTCGCACCTGTGAATGATGAGCAATAGCATCAAGTTCGCTATTGATGGGCTGGAAAACCTCGCCCTGCAGCCTACTCGCAGACTGGAACTTGCTCAGTTATATTCCATACCCCAGTGGATCACTCCAGCAATCTGTGAGATCATATCGCTGTCACTTGTGAACACTACCAATACTGAGGCTGCTCAGATGGGATTCAAAGTATATACAATTATTGCTCAGGCAACAGAGGTGATAGAGCAAAAATGACGAGCATTGGCAGCTTACCCACCCTCACTCCTTGTTTCACTATCTTTCAGCTGCTTGACTCACTTACATAGCCGGTGCAAGGAGGCATGGTTGGGATTCTGGTGGAAGAAAGTAGCTCATGTGATCCTCCACCCAACAAACCCACTCCCACTGGCACAGACCCTCCAACTCATCATCGAGGCCTCATTACCTGATGGTATGAATATTGCATGCAGACAAGCTATGGTTGATGCAATGATAGAATTAGATGGGCTTGAGGTTGAGGAGAGGATTATCAAGGGGGTCATAAGAGCAGTCACTTCATATTTCAGCTCAAAACTGTGGGTGTGACAGTAGGTTGTTGCATAGAAGCCAGGATTTCATGTCAAAAAATCAAAAAAGCATAAATGTAAAATTGCGAAAATGGTCAGCCATTCTGCTGCTGACCACTACACTTTCAACCACCACCATGGCCTCACAATCAAGAAATCCTACCCATCTGAGACAATGTATGTGATCTTTTACCATCATTATCTAGGCTAATATACTGGTGGTGCATAGACTTTGAGCATCTAGCTGGAAGTACATGCTTTATGTATGCACTTAAGATTAGATCAGATCTTGATAAGGATCTTCTTGCTTTTGGGGATGATCCAGGCCTTGCAAAATCTGTAAGTATGTTTCTATTACAATATCTATGCTAAGATCTGAGTGTTTGTATATCCAGGCTAGTCATCTGCAGCTCCTGGCTACCAAGAATGCTGCATTGGTGCCAGAATCTCTCAAGGAGGCTCTCAGTGAGTATTCCCTCCATCACCACAGAAAGGGGAATGTGGCTCGCTCTAAGAAACAAACCATTGTGAGTGTTCTCTCTGCTGTTGCTGAATTATTTTACACTGTACTTGATAGGCAAAGGCTCTTGGCCTACATGCTACCCCACTGACAGCCCAGTCTCTTGCAGCCACTGGTATGGTCAAAGTGGACATTTGTGATCACTTTGATGACACCAGCTTTAAGCAGGGCACTCTTTTAGTGGACCGTGGCAATGAGGATCTGGTTGACAGTGGGAGTTCCACCCTTTCTGTTCCTGTTGATGGTTCTTGGTATGTGATCGAACCAGATGAAAGCATTATTTTCTTTGATTCCAATGGTATGAATGGTCTTTTTGTCTTTCATGTCTGACTTGTTTAGTATATAGGTTTGGTCTCGCTTGCTGTACTCCATGGGAGGTGTAGCCAGCATCCTGACCTGTTGACTTATGTCAACAATATCATCAATGAGGCTGTCAATGACTGCAAGGGAGTCAGGGTGAGTTTTTTCTCATCTCAATTCAGTATATGTTTCTGACAGGTTGGATAGCCTACTCATGGGGGGGAGCTGATTCAGTTTGGCTGGAATGCAGGTCCCTGCCATGCATGTGTCTTTGGTCTAGTGAATAACCTTACCAATAAGAGGCTTTTGATGACTGCAAGGCAGGAGAAGGACTCTCATGCTTTAGGAATTTTTGCTTTGAGCTGGAATTTGCTGGTAGCTAGTCTCCCTGCTGAGGTCAGTGCATCCTGTATTGAGGCAATTGATGGGGCAGGCCTGCCTTCCATGACCATCAAAGGTGATGGCTCAGGTGAGTGTCTTACATGTAATCTCCATGCTATGATAGGGACTCATATATGATACCTAGACTCTGGGTATACCCTGGACTTACCTAATGGTCCTCTCTGCTTTTCAACAGCTAAGCGGGCTCCCTCTGAGGGATACATCTCTCAAAACTACAAATTGTAAGTGTGTTGCATCTCATTAGAGTTGCTCTTGATGTCACCTCTAGCCCCATTCACACTGACCAACTCTATGCCCCATATGCAATGAACTGGGTTACTCTTCATAGTATCATGGATCCAGATCAATGCCAGCTTCACAGTGATTGTAGTTCTGGTGGGAATTATGTTGATGTCTCACTCAGGGTGGTGGTGAAATGTGCCACTGACACAGTCATGGTAAGTTTGTCTCTCTTTGTGATTCAATATTTTTATTGATAACATGTGTGACAGAGCATGCAACCCAAGTTCAAGCATGGTACAACCCTCACTTGAGAGGGTGTCTGCAGGCAAGGAACTGCAATCAATTTCTCAAGGCAATTGCAATTGAAGGTGATGTTAAAGCAATGGTGACTCAACTTGTAGAGGAGAAAAAGTGAAATTATGGATTGTATCAAGTAGTCTTCTAGTTGCATACAAACCATTTGGAATCGCACTTTTTTTTTCGGGGGTGACATAATATTTTTCTTGGGGCAACACTATTTTTTTTTTGGGGGGGCACACATTTTTTTGGGGGGACACACATTTTCTCAGTGGTCACACATTTTTGTTTCGGGGCGACACAAATAATATTTGTGCAGATTTAACAGCATACAATACAATGTATAAAAGGGTGTTCCCAATGTTTTATGATCATATTAATTGATTAGAGATGGTTTCAAAGTCATTTTGGCCTATGTGAATTGTGATGTGTCAACTTGCCTGATACCCCCACACAAAGATCGATTTTTCTAGACCTCCCATGACTTGCCAGCCCTCCAGGAGTATTCTCCCTGGGGGTTTTTGATCCCTCTGAACATGATGGTCAAGCCAGATTTGCCAGAAAAAATCATGTTCTTGAGATATGCAAGGTCTCCCTCCCCCTCCTATAGCATATATCTTGATATTATGTAAATACTGATATATCAAAGGGAGTTCCTAGTGTTTTATGATCACATAAATTGATTGGAGATGGTCCCAGAGTATTTCCAGCATGTCTCAATAGAGATTATGTCAGTTTTCCTGGTACTCCCCACAAAGATCAATTTTTACAGACTTCCCATGACTTGCCAGTCATATAGGAATATGTTTTATGGGGGCTCCTGACCTGTCTGATCACGATGGTGTAGTCTGTTTTCCCTGGAAAAATCATGTTCTTGAGATATGCAAGGTCCTCCTCCCCCCTCCTGCCTCATATATCTTGCTGTGCTTTGTTTTAACTTGAGGCTGATACTAAAAATGGCTGTCCTGGGGTTTATGAAGTGTAGGAATCGATTGGTAATGGTCCTGGACCATATGGAAGACATCCATACTGAATTAATATTACAATACAGCAGATAGGTCAAAAAGTCAGTATTTTGACCATATCTCCACAACCCAACCACTGATTTCTTTAATTCTTGGCTCATATAAATCCTGGAAGTACCCTCCACGATATGTACCAGCCCAGAAAAAGAAGTTTTTCAAAAGTTTGAAACCTATTTCTGTTATGACCATATAAATTTTTTGAATCACACAATTGCACATATACTACAGTACACTACTAATCTCACACTGACAAAAAGAAAACAACAGAGGCATAGGAATGGGACAATGGAAAAAGATGGTGAATGCCCATACAGGTGAGAAACCACCCAACATAGTCCAATGGTTGCTCCAGAATGTGATAATGATGCTAGCCAACAGACAATCAGATGGCACCATCATTGATGGCAAATGCCCATAGAGATGAGGGGCTGCCCAACACAGTCCAAGGTTTGCATATGGATGACAAGAGTTGAATAAAGAAGGGGGAGGTGGCCACCATCATCGACAGCAAACACCCATAGAGGTGCAAAACCACCCATGAAGGTAATGGTAAGGAAGCAAGAATGAAATTTGCCAAAGAGCAGTATATAAACTTCATGTCATGTGACATTCTCATGCCACAGCAATAACAATTGGAGTTTGATTAGTAGAGGGCTGTTTGACATTGGCAAAAGTTCTGTGACCACACCAGCATGTGTGTTGATGGCCTCAACCAACTTTCCAATGACGATGGTGTTAACGTTTATGATCTTCATCCAAATTATTATACATTTCTCATCCTGAAGCGCATATTCAAAAAAATGAGAATCTGCCAGAGGTGTCAGTTCAGGGATGAGGAGTGAGTAGCAGAACTAACAGAATCCTTTATGTCGCAGGACAAGGGTAAAGTGAATGAACAGGGGTAAAAAAACAGGACCCTTCACATGGCATGCTGGAAAATATCAATGTAATGTTGTGAGTATCACAACAACTGCCAAAGCCTGACACTTACGCTAATAAAAATTGTAGATATTAAGGTTCCTGGCTGCCATCAATGAAGTCGTGGATGCCCAACCACCTCCTCGCTTCACCATTCAGGTGAAAGATGATCCAAAACAGCTGCCTGAAAAGCAAATCGAAAATCGAGTACATCGATTGGTGGAATTAGCAACATGGCTCGCAAAGGAAGAAAACAAGAAACACGACTCACCCAGTACAGTTGCTGTGCATGAGGAGATCCAAAGGATCCTGAGGAAATGGAGGCAGGCTAGAAGTGGGTCAAAAAACAGAAGAGGCTGATTGCCTCAATGAAGCGTGTGAATGTTGAGGAGATGGAGGTGAAGACAAGGGAAAGTGAAATGAAGAAGGGTAAATGCAAATCAAAGATCATGAGCAACAAAGTGAAAGGACAAGAGAGTTAGGGTTATTATCTAAATATCCTTATGGTTTGTTCCCTGCCTGCAATTGGTTTGAGACTGTCGCACAAGAGTTATGACAATTTGTAAACTTACACAGTCAAATAAGTTGGTAATCCATAGATCTTTTTGGTGGATGTTTGAGTGCACTGGAAACCATGTCAATGGGCACCCAATCCGCAAGACTGTTAAGAACCATGTTGCTCAAGGGGGAGAGAGACTGACTCAGAGGGGCTTGGCCTCAGCTCGTACGCTGTGCCCCTTACCCAAGTATGTGCCCTTCATTTCATATGAGGTCCGATGATGGTCCAATGAAGTCCAGAGGACTTCCGGAGGCTGGCTACTCTGCTGGAGAGCACTAGAGAACTTCCGGAGGAGCGTGGGAAATGTCCAGAGGAACACAGGAAGTGCTCAGGAGAGTTCCCACTGCAAGGTAATACTTCTACAGGAAACAGGATGGAAGGATAGGAGGTCCAAAGGTCCAGAGGACAGGAGGACAGGAGGATAGGATGTCTGAGGGTTAGGAGGATGGAACATCCAAAGGACAGGATGCCCAGAGGTACGAGGGACAGGAGGGCCAGAGGTCTGGAAGGAATAGGGGCTACATCGGACGAAGTCCAATGTAGAAGCAAACAGAGGTAGACTACCCTAAGGTAGAGTTGGAGAGACAGGGATTGGACCTAAGTCCAGAAAGAGGGAAAGTGCTGGAAAGGTGGAGCTCCGGCCTAGGGAATCAATCCCTAGGCCTGATGGGTAGGAGAGACTTAGGTGGACCAAAGTCCGAGAGAGGATTGGGCAAGTCTAAGTTGATATTCAGACTAAGGAACTACAGGAGTATCTACAGGGGTTATATACTGAACAGTATCTGAGGGGATCAGTAAGCAAAGGAGCAAGGCTATGTATGAGCATGTGGAAACACATTAGTAAGTAAGTTGGAACATAAGTAAATGAACTCGGAGATAAGGACTTGTACAAGGATCAATAAGCAAGATGGAACAAGAGGTAACTGAAAGCCGGAAGGCAGAGAATGCCTAAATGGGGATAGGCGCAGGATATTGGACAGAGGGTGGGAATAGGTCCGGAGTTAATATCTGGAGGTCCGGAGATCTGGGGATCCGGAAGACAAGGTGGATACAGGACCAGGATATGAGAAGGTGGATAGAGTCTGGAATCTGAGACGAGGTGAAGTCCAAATGTCTTGCTGGATGGAGTGTACATAGGGTGGATGGGACAGGGGGTTATGGTTCAGGCTAGCAGTGGAGATCCGATGGTCTGGAGCTCAGGGGTAAATCTGGAGTGTAGTTGATCCTGCTGAGGTGTGGAGCACACAGCAGAAGGGGATCTGGGAATGAGTTGGATATGAAGTGTGGTCCAGACGTAGGCTCGGAAGGCATGGGAATATGATGGAATGTGGGTCTGGATTGTGGGATATGACAAAGACCAAAATCACTTCCCAAGGGCCCCCTGCAGTGTAGGAGAAGTGGATATTGAATGTCAATGTGCTGGAAATGCATGGGCATTTGTCTCTGGTAATATGACGACTTACTAGAGATCCCGTTGCATTGCAGGAATTCCATCATCGGAGCCCAATTTTCTGCACCATTGCAAACTCATGAGGAATGACATCAAGAACGCCGACTATAAATGAAGCTGTGATTTGAACAGTGACATGATCCCTACATATGAATGAGTACCAGCAGGAAGAGCAAGAGGGTACTATGAACATGTTCCAGAATGCCATTTCACCAGTCGAATGCAAAAGCCACCTGGGATACGGAGGACCAAACATCTTGTTCATATTGGCTGTACCCATCGAGGCTTGATGGTTGATGGTGAGTTGGATGTGAAGCTGCAGACATTGCAAGTGGTCATGGGCAAGAGAGCTTTGACCATTGTGAGCCAGAGTGACAGATATTGTGTGAGATGCGCACATTCAGACATCAGTTCACAGGAATGGCTGGATGCAGTGAGTGGGGAGTTATGCGAGCAATCTGGGACAACAGTGTGGTGTTGGAGGCTCTGTGTCTGGTATTCTATCATGAGAATACCACTCAGATCACCGGAAAACAACTGGAGTGATTGTCAGAAGACAGCGCCACTCTTCAGCCTTCTTGAGTGATTGGTATTCCCCCAGCTGATTTTGGACAATGATAATCACTAAGTCAGCATCAAGGTGTACTGTTACATACTGAAATGATTCTAGCACCGTATTTTTTGCATTTGTACTGTGATACAGACACATACATGGGGTAAAAGCACATACATCTGAGCGCAGAGGCATGTGGACAGGTTTGTGTGACAGGTGAGTTAATGGGAGCTAGCCCAAGTGCATGAGGGCCAGGAATTGTTCGAACAAGTCCATGCAAGTGCGAGTAAGTGCAGGCGAATCACATGTGTTGTTAATGCAGGCGTGACAAAATGAAAACACATAATACAATCATGGAAATCAAAACATACCTGTATGACAGTATCACCCATCATTGCATCAGCTATGTATAAGCGATGTGAGTTAGTATGTAGAGATAGTGTTTGTGCTTACCTAAGATGTGTTTGATACAACATTCAAATGTTACATTCCTGCACCCCTCTGCTTTCAAATCCAACTGCTATCTGTAGTCAGTAACGTGCTGACTTTGACCTCATACCACTATCTATCATGTGCTTCTCTGGATCTAAACATGGCGCTGATGTTGATCTTACACCTACAAAAGCAAGCAAATGAATGCGCCTTCATTTAGAGTCGGTTGAAGGGACAACAATGGTATGTTCAGATTATTGTTAAATATATATCACTAACTACACTGCAGGTACAAAGGACAACTGATGCAACTGCCGTCCATCATCAGCACAAGACTGCACCATGAGGGAGCACACCTACACGCTGCTCGAGACGTTGGAGCGAGTTGAATATCAGGTCGAAGATTTAGAGGTCGATTGGTTCCATGAAAGAGGGGAGCTTGAGGAGGTGCGCATGAGACATCTTGAAGAGGTTGATGAGTTGCAAAGAAAGCATGATGAGGAGCTTGAGAGGCAGCAGGAGTGCATTGATGCATTGGAAGAAGAAGTCCAATTTCAGCAGGCAATGCTGGATGTCCTCAATGACAATGTCAAATGGCTAGAGGTGGACAATGATCGCTACAAGAATGGCATCAAAGGGTTTATTAGCAGAGGCGTTCAAGATGGTATGAACCACAGGGAGACACTTGCATCAATGAGAGACACCATTGTTCAGCTCTTTGACAGCACTAACTTGTAATCTTTGCTGTACACATCACCCTTTCTCCTACAAATGACTGATTGTTTGACATATGTCTTTATCTCATAGTGAAAATGTCATTTGCTACCTGTTGCACCCATTCACCTATGAATGACTTGCATAGAACTTCTTTTACATATTACTGTGACCCTTCCTCTATGAACGACTGATCTCACAAATCATTAATGCTCTGATTGACAAATTCATATAAACACTTTCGTTTCTTTTCTAACATTAATGTTTCATAAATAGAGTACCTATGGCATCAAGTATCTAGTATCTAGTAGTATGGGACTTGTTAAAAGTGAGAAGATTGCCTGGGTGTTTAATCCCAGTGAGAAACGGTCCTAGTCATATCAACAACAAACAATGGAAATATTGTGGCAATATGTGCATAGATTTTGGGAGACAGATGAGACTTGTAGTTGATTTTTAGTGACCCACATAGAGTGAGATATTGCAAGATTGAGCGAGTTCATGTAGCATAGATTCCAGTACATTGTCGTAGCTCTCAATTGACTTTTTGCATATCTGCACATCAATGCAAATCGAGTGAAGTTAATTGTATTGTGAAAATATTACAAATGTGATAAAAAGTGTACTCTATATGATTATACACCTGGACCCCACCTGTGCATCTGGATGGTGTAGTCCAGCTTCTGGGACTTCCTAATACACAGTTCTACAGACCAGCTTGCTGATAATACTTGCAGTGTTGTCTGCATTCTGGGAGTCCTCGACCGAAATATATCATTGTTACATGTGCTCGCCAGACAACTAAACAGTACTTACAATGACGGCTGACTTGTGTCTGTGTTTCAACAGGAATAAAGATCAGTTAAAGTATGTTGTAGGAGGATGGACAGCGACGGTATTGATGGATCATTTCAGGACATGTGTCCGGATGGGAGAGTGGTCAATTCATGGCCCACTAAATGTGTGCAGGTGCTGGGGCAACGTTAGAAATGTTTGGGCAACATAGGACACTGAGCATATGTGCACATACCTTGTTCCATGTGCATCCCTGGATTAGTGTTGTGAAGTGAGTAGTAAGCATTGCTTACATAATGGACATTCATGGATTGAGCACACCAGGCTAGTCGTCTATGTACTGAGTAGACAGTCAGCAACTATCAGTATTTCATATTCATTGGATCACATGTATTGCTCTACCTCAAAGCACAGCCCATCAGATGACCATATGCCTGAGAGGGTGAGTAAATGGATGTGATCTAGTTCCGAATCAGTCAAAGTGCTATCACCAGTAAGTACCAACTAATATGTGTTGTTGACTGCTCTTGTTAATGGATGTATTCATTGGCAGGAGACTGAATCAACCTTGGGAGCGCACTCCCCACAGCCAGAGTCTACTTGGAAGGAACACGCTGTCCAGTTGCAAGAGACACTTCAACAAGTGGAATCCCACGTCGCATATCTCGAGAGCGATCAGGTCCATAGTCATGTGGAGCTTGAAGCAACTATAACAATGCATAAGGCAGAGGTAGAGGAGATAAAAAAGAGATATGAGGAGGACCTTGAGAGATATTGCGACTGTATTGACAATTTGGAAGAGGAAGTACAATATACCACTGCAATACTCGACATCCAGATGGACGACATGGAGCAGCTTGATGGGCTGACAAATACTCAAAGGAAGGAGATAGAGGACCTCATTAGCCTCCACATTCAAGATGAGATGGAGAGGTTCCAGGCTAATGCTATCATCAGAGACAAAATTGTGGACTTAATGGATCACACACTCTTGTAATGTGTCAGTTGGACACATGTGTTTGATATTAAATGTTTCCTGCACCACTAACTGTTACTGTACAATACTCCTCATAACTGAGTTCAAACACATGTAATCCATATCTAGCCATCCCAATATCATTTTTCGAGTTCATACAGTGCTTTTATTGAAGCATGAACATTAGTCATCAGCTCACCAGATCTTGCTCGTTGACTGTCACTCATGGGCGCTTATTACAATTAACAGATACAATGAAACTTCCAATAAACATAAAACTAACCAAGTGTCTCTGTTGTTGCTGAGACCCTGCTGAGTACCAGTGATCAGATCCATGTCACGCACATCAACATTAACATCAATATCCCTGAGTGTATGTCCATTGCATAACTACCACTATAACCCAGCTTGAGTCTGACAATGGCGATGATGCCCACAACTGTATTAGAGTCCACAATGATGATGTGGACACAGAGAATGGTATGTCCCACCTCAGGCCATAGTAAAGATTTCTGACCTTATTTATCAACAATCTAACATCAAAAATGTATGTCACACGCTTGAATACTCACCATCGCATCAACCATCACCATTCGATATCAGTGTATTTCATGGCTATAAGCAACAACACAAGTATGTATGATCATTCAGGATGTTCCTGAATGAATGCTCACTCATTCCTTTGACATGCCGCAATTGTGGTTCTTTTCCATGACTAGTCAGAATCAACTGCAACTGCAACATCAATATATTCTCAATTTGGTGCCTTACATTTGTTTTGACACCATGCCATGCACAGGTGGAAAGCCTCCAGGGCCTATGACACCAACATCTGGTCACTGTATGTCCTGCGATACATTCAGTCCATCTCCACACACTGATTGACTGCTGATGGATCTATAAAGTAGGATGTGATGGGTGGGAATTGTCTCGCTAGCTCACGTGGCTTTCACTAAGGAGTGCTTAGCTCAGTTATTTCAGTTAGTTCACTTAATTTCTTTTTGGAAATCTCATGTGGTTTTGTCACATGTTTTTGAGCGCCGACTTAATACTGTTGCCCATTTGAGTGTGGCACATGTCAATAAATAATTGATGAGAAATTGAATGAGAGAACAGGGGAATGGGGGAATGGGCCAAAGGTGTGAGCGCAGTGAGCACTTTTGGTCCATTCCCCCATTCCCCTGTTCTCTCATTCAATTTCTCATCAATTATTTATTGCACATGCTAGGATGTAGCCAAGGCCAGGAAGCCAAAAAGGAGCGCGAAGTGCTCCATTTGCTTCCTGTGCCGAAGGCACAATGGGTGTGAAGCTAGTAATAGATGTAGCAGATGATACTGCAATGCCGTTTTCCTCCATCCTTGAGGATCTTATCATTGCAGAATATGGGTCATTGATGGATGGAATGGATCCCGACAATGCAGGCAATCCACATGCCTTGGCAGCCCATATGCGCATGTGCCAGCGCATGGACATCTGCGCTAAGGGCCTCCACAACATTCTTGCAGAGTCATTCAGCTTGCTTGCCACACCAACGATGCCAATGGATGGGCTACCCCTGCATGAAGACACCAGGAGCAAGCTACATGAGGATGCTATATTAAGCCAGGAGAGGCAGAGATGCACTGCATTAGCACAAGCAATCTACAGTGCAAAGTCAGACTTGCAGATGGTCTGGAGGATTGTGGAGCTGGCATGAGCACTCAGACTTGAAGTGCAGCATGTGAAGAATGATTGTGACACTTGGGACGATGACAATTCGGATGGACCAAGGAAGGCATATGTCAGCCATCAAATGGACATGATTTTGGATCTCACAAGTCAACTGATCGTTAAGAGTGGGGCAATTCTGAGGCACTGTCATATGGAGTTCTACACCAAGGAGCAGGTACAATTGTGGAAGGGGAGAGCAGACAACATGGAATCATGTGTGTGGGCAGTTGTCAATTTATGTTGTTGGTCATTGGAAGAGTTCAATGAGGTCCTAATAGATTCATTGTCCTGGTAGTTAGCAATGTGAGATGTGATTTCACCATCTGTGTTTGATACACCTGGCATTTGGAATACTTTACGGTTGAATATCTGAGCATGCCATCATGGTTGGCGAATGTTTGCTACATGGATGGTCCATCTCCTGATGGATGCAAGATGTTCTGGCTCACTGGTCAGCAACTCTATATTACCACAGGGGGGGATATGTTCACTGTTCATCCAATTGATTCAAGTTGAGTGAAAATAATTAAACTTGGAAAAACACTGGGGCTTCCAAGATGACACACATCCCAGGACTCAGGAAATGATGGACAAATGTGGACTAGTGAAATATATTGACAATGACTACACAGAAACCAGATGCAAAGATTCAAGTATCTACACATACTACAGTGTTAGTGCCCATCCATGTATGGGCACTGCAGAAAAAGGCAGATTATGTATGGGATGCAAACATTGTTGTATTGATCACTGCATGGACTAGACTATCAAATACATTGATCGCAGTGGAAGAAGTGTGAAAATAAGAAGCAGAGTGCGTGCAAGAAGACAGATCAATACGGTCACTGTCATCAACAGTACATGCCCATAGAGGCAAGAAAACCACCAGAAATAGTCCAAGATATGAAGTAGAGTACACAAAAAAGGACAGAGTCAGATGGTCACCATCATTGACAGTACACGCCCATAGAGATGAGAAAACCAATTGACATAGCCCAAGGAGAAGGAAGATGTAAAGTAGAGTACGTGAAAGAGGACAGAGTCAGATGGTCACTGTCATCGACAGTACATGCCCATAGAGACAAGAAAACCAATTGACATAGCCCAAGGAGAAGGAAGATGTGAAGTAGAGCACGCAAAAGAGGACAGAGCCAGATGGTCACTGTCATCAACAGTACACACCCATAGAGGCGAGAAAACCACCAATGGAAGGTAATGGTACAAAAGGAAGAAAGAAATTTGCAAAAGGCAAATATATCAACTTGACATCACATGACGCTCCCATGCCACACCGACAGGAATTACAAACTCATTTCTCAGGCATGAGTTAACAGGTCATGTGATGCCAAACGTCAATGTAACTCAAGCTCCCACTGCCAGTAGTGTTGCTAGTGAACTGAATGGATAGCAGTGTATGCGTCAATCCTCACAGTCTATCAATAATCTTGAATGCCGCAAATTTTCGGAGTAATGACTCTACCTTGGTCATGATAGCATCAGTGACAAAGATATACCTCATCACACAAAAATGACACTGATGATCCTTGAAGATTATCAATGAAAACATTTCAAAATTATTGATGACATGAAGGTTAGCTCCCTGGCAATTCAATTCTTGAAAGCTTGGTTAAAACTCACTGATCTTCGATATATTTGAAATGATGTACAATGCTAGAGTCGACATAACAGGAATGAAAGACTGCACGCCCTATAGGTGCATCATCTGTTGAAACCATAGAAGTAGCTCAACATGATCGATCTCAGAACCTGGGTCAAACTGGTCGCCAGTGTATAGGATATTGCCGGTGTGCACCTGCTTTGTGATGCCAAAATGCTGATAGATGATGTCAGCAATATCTCTGGTCGGTGGTGCAGTCTTGGTATCCTCTGCGCACTGTGCACTACTGCCCTTCGCACAGTATTGTTGTCCCTTTGTTGCCATCATGCACAGACTAAGAAGTGGTCTCTTGTAAAGGACTGATGGCTAGTGAAGCTCAATTGCAACACATGGAACAGATTCACTGACCTATCCTGGGTGAAAGATAGGGAATAATGCATGTTCCATGTCTTGGTTGGTGGTTGTGGTCGCAGATTCAGTGTCGATGAACCATGACAGTTCAGTGAGATGCATGCACGAATAATGGTAGAAGTGAGCTCTGGTGCTAAATGATGGCACTGGCATATAGACCACATGCACAATGCCAGGAGGAAGTATCCTGATATGTTAAAATGTCAATGCAACATGGGATAGATGACCCAAGACTTACAACATGTCTCCTGGCATAAGCATGATGACCTCCACATCACAGTTCTTCTGAATCCATGTGATATTCCTGGTATAATCTGCAAGTTTGACAGAGAGGTTCCACAGTTGAATATGATCGCTCCTTCCACTTCTCAACCAGAAAATGACCCAGAACTTGATACCAACCTCCATCCTAAGCCACATCAGTGTCCACTCTGCGTCATGATGCGGATATGTTAAGAAGCCTGCATGATGAAGCAGTCCCCATCCTTTGGTGGTAAAATTCTCCAGATGGACCTTGGATATTATTGGCACACAGGTGCACGTTTGGTTCCACCCATGAATGATGCCATGATCAAGATTTCTAAGGCAAAGCATTAGCACTGAGATCATCATTGCACGAGATTGTTAAAGATACTTTAATTGGTCTGGCATCGAAATCTGTGCAAGAGGTATGTTGATGATGCATTGGATCTTCATTAGATCATTCAGTGAGTCAAAAAAGGATTTGATGGTGCTAAATATCTGAGGCTTAGCATGATTGTGGCATTGCACCTTAACATCTATAATACATCTGAATAATGTCTGTGATTGAAATGCATGTGGACGGTATACCATGGACTTGCATGGGCCTAAGTGGTGAAATCCCAAACTCCACATCGAGGTAGTGCAAGTCAAATTGATTGCACGATGATGTGAATGGTACTCTGGTGATTTTCATGCATTTATTGATTGACAGAGATTTAGAAATGATGTTCATGACGTCTGAGGTTGATAATGAATGACTGGCGAGGTGATGGACATGTTGAGAATGGACATCGGATGTTGGCAATTGTGCCATGTACTTGATCAGCAGGATATTGACTTCATCACATAAGTTCACATCATCACCATCGAAAATCGTGGGAAGGACAGTCTTATACCCATTTCTCCATGTGATGGATGGGCTTGTTTGTGGTACCTGTGCTCCAATGACACCGATGGTTAAATCAAGATAGTTTTTGGATGACATTATGGTCATTGAACAATGACAGCAATATGATGGAACTGGAAAGGCTTGCAACACTGGGTTTAAGGCAGGCTTTTCAGATCACATGGTGAACAACTCGCACACTACAACGGACAATCTTGGAGCATGCTATCAGGCATGAGCACATTGCTCAAATTAGCTTATCATGTATGTCAAGTCAGTATTTCTGCCCTTAGATCACAGTCGTGATCCCTGGTAGTCTCACACATGCTTAGAATGTTCAAGACTGTATGACCTTGTGCATCAATTTATTTTGTACAACTAACAGTGATATTCAGGTGTGTGTCGTCCCAACAGTGATTGCCCTTTTGTAATACACAGAATGCATCATGTCATGGAGACACGGGAGTCATCATGCAGAACCATTTCTATCTGAATAATTACATCATGTCCACAGACATGTCCATTCACTCACTTCACAAGTATCTTGAGGGGTGGCATGAGTGACAGTCTGTGTAACATCTTTCTCGCCATCTGTGACAGGTCCGACAACCAAATCAGTGTCACATTGCATGCTTTCTTCATGCAAGAAGTCCCCAGTCAGCGGCAGAAGTGCAATTGGTGACAGTTTTGGTGGACTATGTCTGAAATGCGGATGCTTAGGTGATTCACTGTCAGGGATGAGGATTACTGGGCTTGATGGGTGGGTGCCAATGTGACATGTCAATGGAGAGGTTGGTCACTCAATCTCTTCACAATTGCCATCCTGTGGAATTGGTCTCACATGATGCACATCTGACAATATTGACATCTGTTGTTTGCCATCAGGATTATGATGATCATCTGCTGTGTTGGCATTCCATGCCTCCAGGAGCACGGATTCGTCATCCCACGGACTACTGGCATTGGAAATCAATGACAAGTGAGGGACCACTGGAGACATGATGAAACCAGATTCATCAATATCAGTTGATGACAGGACAGGTGACAGAGATTGGGCCAAGATTTCTTGACAGTTCTTGCAACGCTTTGCAGGACCTCTACCACCATCCTTCTAATATAAATCAATTTCAATGCCAGCAATTGTGCAAGAATGACTGACCTTCAGTGGGGACACTTGAGAAGATGTTCTCTTCTGCTTTGGATATTTTGAATTGCCCACATGAGTTCCAGGTTTGTCTGAAGTGGAACCTTCTCCAATGATCATGCAATCCAATGCATCTATGACTTCAACCTCATTGCCATCAAGTGATCCATCTGCATCATCGTCGGTAATGTCTGTGAATCCTGACCATGGAGCCATTATTTCATCGGGTTTTAGTGCTAGCCATGGAATGTCCATGTCCGATAACATCCTGTTACATTATCAGCTTCAGATCCTCAAACATATCAATGCTTACTGTGCTTCAACTGCTGGTGGGGAGTTACATGGCAAAATTTGTGGGTTACTGCAGCTCACTTCCAAGCAACTCATGGCTTTGCCAAGTGCATGGAATAGATGACACAGGTACCGAGGACTCATTTCCATGTGTGCAATTGCAGTGTACAATCGCTCCATCCCCATGGCCTCAAAGAAATGATCATTGCTGATCTCATCCATCAGCCATGGATTTTGCAGAATGATAAGTCCATCAACCAAAGCATGCATGTTTAGGTTCATCATCTGACGAAACCAAATGAGCATCCAGGTTCCGAGATTCAAGAACACATGCAAGTTTCCTTTCTCAAATACAATCCTTGTCCAATATTCCCAGTCATCGTGAAGGCTTGGCAGCAGGACGTTTTCTAACCCTTCCTCATCTTGACCATGTGAAGACCAATTGTTCACATCTGGCAGCTGGACAGATCACTGGATCAGTATGTCAAAGTGCGACCAAGTCAGTAGATGACTCACTTCAACTGTCGGAGGATCAGAATGATATCCTGTGGATGATCCTGCCTCATCATCCTCCAACTCGATTACAATGGGTGGTGAAGGCGCCTTCTGCTTTCCATATACCTTGCACACCCTCAGTTTGTGCAATCGTCGTCCTCCCTTGGAATTCTTCTTCAAATGTACATTGCTTTCAAAGCAAGATGCAACTTCATCAGTGTGGCTCTAACATGATGAATCAGTCACCAAGCCACACTGTAAGTTGTATTCAAACCTTGACATCAACATCAATGACATCTTTCCTTGGCTTACTGCTCCCTTGGGCGATCACTGATATCCATCTTTGTTCAACCTGCCAGGCCTGGAGCCCAGCTCAGTCTTCTGCAATACAGTGCTGTCACCAGAGCCTAGATCAATGTCTATCACCTGCGATAATGACTGTGACATCACAGAATGTTGTTTGGTGGTATTTGCAGTCTCTTCTGAGTGCATCAACTCTATGTCAACATCACCTTCACTGTTCACCACCTGCACTGATTCGTCAGTGGTTGTGTTCTTAATGATGGTAGATATGGTGTCATCTTCTGAATGCTCATGTTCAAATGACCCCCTGCACATGTTGTTGCTGTCAGAACAGAATGCATCATGCATTTGTTTCCCTACGACTGCGACATATACATGGTTTGTGTAAAGATAGATTTAACTTGTACAACTATGCAAGACTTACATTGCTGAACCGCTTTCAATCCCTTCTTCTCCCTGAAATGAGTCCAGGTGCGCTTAATGTCCTTGAGGGCTGTGATCTGCATCTCCTCAGTGAATGAGCTATCATGCAATGCAAGAGCAATGTGATAGTTGAGATACACTGAACACCACTTCAAGGTAGAGCTTGATGCATCAGCCTTCGCCTTGCCATGGAATGCTGAGATAACATCTTTGAAATATTTGACTAACAACATGTAGAATGTGACAGTCGCATTAACGCCATCAGACTTTGGAAGTTTTCTTAGCACTGTAATGATTTGTTGATACATGCAAAATTGATGGATTATGAGCCAAATTTGATCAAGGCATTTTGGGGATACTTTGACCTGAAATGTGTCTTCTGTGATGTGCATTAATCCCATGAATCAGTGTGGGACACTTACCTTTTCAGTCACACTGCCTATTTTCAACATATGGATGTTATCCTCCACATCCAAAGACACAGTGTGAGACAAAAGGACCTTGATTCTCTTCGAATCATGAGATTTTATTTCCAAGACAATTGGTGGTGGTGTTACAGATGACATCTTGAAGTAATTCTTTACTGACAATGTCTTAAAGTTGTTGATCTTAGTGTTGTGTTCATGCATTCAGAGTTTATTCCTCAGTGATCTGGATATGGTGTTATATTCCCACAGTTCAATAATCAACAACACCTGTGTTAGGTGTGTGAAATCAGCAAATTACCCTTCACCAAAACAACCAATATTGAGCTTTATTCATGGCAGTTCTGAAACCCACACATTTTCCTCAAGCAAAACCAAAGGGCCATCCAGCCACATCTGCATCCACATCAGTGTCCATGTCTGCATCTGTGTCAGCATCTGCACAGCATCTGTGGCGTGTCCTCACCAGCCATCAGTGCAGAATCGTGCTCACAGGACAGATGTGCTGCCTGTGCCTGTAGCAAACACGTGTCTGAAGTGCAAGAGACAAAGACCTGCCAGATACGATTCCCATTCACTAAATGCACCCTATGTCAAACTCACTCTGATTCTGGAAGATGATTTAAACGCCATGGATATCAATGAAGTCAATGAGACCAAGTCACAAAAGTCTCAGGCTGCTGACATGATTAAAGATCCAATCATTGTATGTTCCTACTTTCATTGAATTGATTAAAAAATCATTGACATATCTTAAGTGCTGTATTTATTGCCATGACATCAGATCTTATATCTGGAGATGTCAGGCTGAAGGGTGTGGAAACCCAGTGTGTAGTCAGCTTGGGTGAATGTGATCACAGGTACCTGGATATATGGCCTGATCCAGAGACTGGTAACACAAGTGTGACTCAGAAGATGTTCCTATGCCCTCAGTGCCATTGCGATAAAGGATTGGCAATGACTGTGAGTCGATCAACCTCATACAGCATGAAGCAGTCTTGAATGCCAGATTCAAATAGTATAGGATTCAAGGATACTCCATGCAACAAGATTTTCTTTATTGCAACTATTTCCCACTGCTCACAATCTTCTTGTTACCAACCACCCCACATAATTTTCCTCGTCAAATTGGCAAGGTCAACAGCGACAGAAACTCCAGGTCAAAGTTAATATCACAATACAGGGATGGTAGGCCTGCCTTCACATTTTTATGCAGCTGACGCCCAAGAGTCGCAATGCATTCCTCATTAAACCACTGGTGGCATGTCCTGCAGTATCGCTGGAGGGTCATTGGCAAGTGAAATGCAGGATCACATTGAGTGCATGCACACTTGGTGGCTATCTGGGAGTTCTACATATGTTTATCAGCTGTCAGCACAGATACAAGCAGAGAGATATTTGCATACATGGATGTTAACTGCTTTCGTGTACACCATTTTATAATCCCTTGAGAATTTGATATCAATGGTCCATCTATTGTACAGTGTCCCTATTGGTATTTGAGGCTGCACTAAATCACCTTCATTGTATGGCAGGATGGTTGCGTGATCTACAAAGCATGGACAGATGTCAATCAACTGACTTAAATATGAAACCATCTCTAGGTACCTACCCTCGACACAGCACATGTCCACTACAGTTATAAGATCACTGAGGATGAGCTCATATTCACCAACACACGCTGTGAGACTAAGTATACAAGAAGGCATCAGAATGATGTCAGTGGTAAATTAAAATCAACAACGTACTCAACATCCTCGTCTTCCAAGTCAACCTTGCAATAGTACCACTGTATTTTAAGCCATACATCCTACAATAGAATATTTAGGTGAGTCACAACTGGCGAGACATTTAAAATGTACTGCACTTGCCTGGACCCACCTGCCAGCCTTGAGATAGATATCAACCACCTTACCATACCAATAGGACATCGATAGCAGACTCCCATCTTGCAGCTGAACTGCTCATTTATCTAGTGGATAGATTGAGACACTGACATAACCATGTGAGGATCACAGTGAAAATGCACAGGAACATTCATACTCCTCTCCTACTTGAATCACCATACTACAATTCGCATCATTATGATTTGAAGTGTCATCAGCTTTATATATCCCTGGACATCAAGATTAATATAAACATAAATATGAATCTACAACATCCGAAGGACCACAAGAGGGAGCCTATGTCAACTTACATTCCAACAATGTGCATTGCCTCAATCTATGGAGATGAGGATGATCATGGTGCATCAGTGTCAACTTTCTTCTTCCATTTGTGTGGGATGCATAACTTGTGATCAATGGTCTGCGGGGCATGAAAGGTTAAGTGGGAGCAAAAATTCCACAAAGAACATCAAGGGTCAAATGAAATAAGTACCATCAAGCAGAGCCTTTTGAATATCCTCCAAAAACGTGTCAATCTGACAAACAGATCAAGAAAAAACATTATGCTTAGACTTATGGGGTAGAGGGCTGTTCTTATGGCATCGCAGGAAGTGTTACCTAAATGAATGAGATCCGCCCACAACTCGTAAAATGCTACAAGTTCCATGCCATTGAACCGAAACCTTAAGATGCCTGAAAAGTCCAGAGGCTATGCCAGGACAGCCTGTTGACCTGAGACAATCAGCAGGGTTTTTTTTCATCAGTAATCAGTTAGGCAGTCCATCATGGATGTAGTTCAATTGATTGTATCACATGGATATTTCTATGGGCCTTTGGACCAAATATAATTACAATTTTACTAGTGTGCATTCCCTCACTCACATGACAGCATACTTCATACGATGGATGATGAGGATTCACTTGACATTCTGCAGCAGATCATTAAATTGAACATCCTGGATCCAGAACCACACTGATCAAAAATACCAGGAGCTACTGGTCATTTACATGAGAGTGTGTCTATGGTTGGACAAAATGATAATGTGATTGTCAATGTTAGAGCACTATCGACAGACACTCAGTCATGGAAGACTGTGCATGAGGGGAACGATGAGTTCAAAAAGCCAAAACAAAAGTGAGGAAGGCCATGAAAGCGGGTTGGACAGCACCATGAGTACATGCACTGAACCCCTATGTAAATGCAAAGGCAACATTCAAACTCTTCCTCAGGGAGCAAGGTGGCAACAATGCTACCAACTGATGCACCAGCTCAGAGGATCCAGCATTTAAATCCACGGGTCATCCATGCCACAATCAGCCCAGTGCCCAAGCATGTCCCACCCAGAGTTGATGTGATGCATCATCATTCAATACATACACTACTAGAGAAGGACACACACGACCAGATACACAGCGAGAATCAGCAGTGCACCACGGCTGAGGATAATGAATTGAATGTGGATGACATACTTCAGTGGATAATGATGTCTGGAATCCTGGATTGGAACCCCAATGGGTCATGGTCTGCAAAGAATACGGCAGACAATAGCTTGAACAGCAGTCAGGACATCAGGGAAAAGTTGATGGAAATCAACAACCGAGGCAATGGTAAATATATTGATGGTTCAATGCAACAGAAGCCACAATGTCCATGCAGACGACCTGCTAGGAAAGTGATCACTCAGTGTAAGTCTCTATACAAGACCTTTACTACATTCATCAGACTGTTGGCACAGGTAAAAAATTCAAGACGGCAGTGTCTGTGTCCATGAAGAAGATATCATCACCGCAAGTGCGAAGGAATCATGGTTCCATGTCGATGATTCATGCTACCAGCAACCTAGTGCAGGAGGATCAGCAGAAAGATGCAGAAGTGACAAAACGTGGTAAAAATGAGAATTTGATCCTGGTTGACATGTCAATCATTGACAAAGGTCTCACAGGAGAAGCAGCTGTCCATCAGAATGACAATGACGATATCTCATGCACACAGGAGGGAAGTATTGTAGAACATCAAGCTACAAAACAGCAACAGAGGGGCCATCCCAGAAAATGCACTTTTCATCTGACAGTAATTGGTCAGTCATGTTACAATTTCTCATACCGGACAGATGTCCTCAATTTTGGATTTTGATCCACAGCATCACAATGTTGGGTCATTTAGCAATCACCTTCAGGTAGTGTTGAGTTGAACTACATGGGTGATGAATATTTGCAGGACACAGAATTATGTAGGAGTCTCACATGTTCTTACAGCTGTTATATACATCAATTAAATGTTAATAATTAGGGGGTATGGCACCACCTGGACAGAGACCACAAGACGATGAGTACAGGCCATCTCCACCACCACAAGCAACTGGCTGGTCACCTTCGCTTGAAGTGCCAACACCCGTTACAGCTGAACTGATGGTTGAGGAAATTGCTTGTGAGTGCTTAGTTCGCAATGAATCCTGCATAGCATTAAAATGCCTATTTATTCTTCATAACCAAAGCTCGTGCAATGGCCCAGCCAGTTGCATGGATGGCTGTTTTGGATGCCTGGGCAACCCTTGGGTTGAATGAGTGGCTTGAGGTGATAGTGGCTGACTTTTACTTATCCCACATGTGGTATGGGCTACTTGGCAAATCACACATGAGATATATTGGTCTGCATGTAGCAAGAGTATCTGCAAATGACATAGAGGATGAAGAAGTAGAGAATTTCTGGAGGAACAATCTTTTGCCTCACAAGGGCATATGTCCTGTTCTCCCCGTCAGATTCGTAGTCCATCATTCCCAACATTTCTTCACAGTCATCTTTGACTACCAGCAACACAAAGTGCATGTCCTTGGTTGCTATATTACTGCCGATGACAATGCAATGGATATCAATGGCATGGATCCAGACAACTGGAATGAGTGGAATGGACTGGAATATTGGAGGAGAATTGGAGTGCTTCATGGCTGGAAGACAGGGGATGTCACCGATGTATCTGTGATATTTGTGGATTGGGAGCAGAATGGAGTGGACTGTGGTCCAATCGCTTGCTCTGTGCTCAAGCAATGTCTCAACTCTGGATTAGATGAGCATGGTGACTTGCCAGTGTTTCAAATTCAGTGTGGCCACAGACTGAGGATTCACATGCTGTGTGTAATCACTGGGCGTATCAAGATTTGCTGTAGTGACTACCTGATGCTTCTAGACAGCTCACTGGATGATTGGCAACAGGATGATATACCAGATGAAGATATCATCAATGCAATTCAAAATGGGTGTCATCAATCTAAATGCCTAAAACTCCTGCAGAAATTGACTGTAGTGAGTGCAACCTGCTCCAAATGTCAACGTCCAATGGTTCATCAGGATAGTGATAACCCCCCGCATGATCCATGGAATGAAGATCAATCCCCAGGTGATCAAGACAGTTGTGAAGCTGAAAGGAGTGATGATGAGGAGTCCCTGGGCATGGCTCTGCCTGCAGACAGAAAGGTGAAGCTTGCAAAGATTTTTAAAGCGAGCAGGCTACTGACCGGATCTCGAAATTGCAATGCCATAGTCCCCTGTGCCATCGGAACACACCTTCAACTGGAGCTGGATGCACTGCCTGATATTGAGGCTACCAATGACTCACAATGCTCTGTATCTGCTTTAGCATCTCACAGGAAGGTAAAAGACTGGCATCTCAGGAGCAACAAACAATTTCCACGTCCCATTGCACCACCTGCCCTTGCTGCATATGCAGGTAGGAGGTGGCTCCAGGACAGTCACACATTTGATGATTATGATGGTGGACCAACAATCAAAATGTTAATTGCTCCAAGAGATATAATCCAGCAATGATGTTCCAAGCTGGTGGAATTCAGATATCTACTGCCTGGGTGGACTGGGTTGACCATGGGTACCACATTACCCCTGGTTCATTTCACATATTCTATCAATGCAACCCCATAGCCACCATGGATCATATCATGCCAATTGGCACAACTGACTCCTATGATCCTTCAAATCAGGTTCCAGATTGAGTGACAGGTGCATACAGCCTGAACTGGCTAGGGTCAGAGGAGGGAGGACACCGCACACAGGTCACAGATGTAGAAATACTGTCTGCTTCTGAACTCATCAATTCTGCTCAACATGATCCCCCGCTGCATGATGAATGCAGGTTTGGACATAATGCATTTGTGTGTGGCTGCATCAGTCATCGTTATGGTGATGGCCCTTCATTGTATATCAACCTGGAATGAGATGCTGTCAGATTCTCAGAAGATGAGATAGAGACTTCTGTTGACATAGACAGCATCATTTGGACCACAAAGGTCTTTTGATGCAAGGGGTCTGTGGGGATTTATCTTACTCCACCATTTCAAATGAAACCTGGTATATTCAAGCACAATCACACATATGTCGACATCACGATTCCACAATCAGAAGCCGATGCCAGTGTGCCTGGTGGTAGGACTGAATGGCTGTCCAAAAGATTTCCAATGTCTGCCATCCCTCACACCTGTATCGGGCGCATATCCTCAGCTTCATCGACCCTCAATCTGTACATCGCATTCCCAAGGATGATACATCAACACCCAATGAATGGGCAAAGAATCACACTGATGCCAAAGGACGTTCTCAACATCTTCTGGGATAGAGTGCTACTTCCATCAATAGGAGACTGCACCGATGTGAGTTGGGCGCCTTACCTTAAACAGACATTGGAGGAGGCACGATATAAAGCCAGAGGTGGAGATGGATGCAAAGGCGGATGGGGACCCCCTAAGACAATACCCCTGTCCAACAATGACTTCAAGGATGTCCAGAAATGCATGGAAGCTCACATATGCAATGGGGAGGGCAAGCTGAGCATGTTTGGGTCACTGTTCTTTATTTTAGACAGAAAGGGCATCAAGCTGCTCATGAAGGATGGTCAGAGAGGGCACTTCTCAGGACCAGAAGAGGCACTGCGTCGAAACCTGTCTGACCTTGACTGGCTATATATGAGGAACTGGACACATGGTGAACTGCTGGTGGATGTTGGGATCTCATTCACACCTCACTCTCCAGATGTTCCTGTCATTGGAGTTTGGAGATTGGACGCATTGGAAGCCTCATTTGGAGCGGGAGGCTACAAGAGAGGGGATATGCATCATCACAACACACTCTCTTGATATGGGGCAATGCAGGCTGAGATGCAGCAGGAGAGATTGCAGCAGATGCACATTGCATTCAGGAGCATGTACAACCTATACTATGAGGCAATCTGATCAAACACCAACCAAGCACATTTTGCATCTGACAGTGATGCATATAAGCTGTCCCCCCTTTACATGGCTGAATGTTTTGAAATCACCAAGGTGGTCAATGGATGCAAGGAGAAAACATATGGTGTCAGGGACAAGTATAGGGTCAGTGGACATGCGGCTAGAATAATGCTGGATAATATTGATATGAAGGTTGGTGATCCACATAATATGCATTATTGACATGTGAGCTAAACTTTCCTGGCGATAATTGCCATGCAGGCTAGAGAATATCTGCAGTCGGATCCAATCCTGTGGATCCCATCTAAGATCTGATTCAAGCTAATCAGGCGACAGGTGAGGGAGATTCAGAGGACACAGATATCCATCATCAAGAAAAATCCTCCAAATCTTGGCATACTGACTGGCTTGCTGAATCACATGCTTCACTCTACTACATCAACCCCTATCATTTATGACTTTCACATCTGTGAATCCCTTGCCCTCCTTGAATATAGAAATGTCCTTGAGACAGCAGGAATGTTTTTCTTACCAGACTTCAACCTTGACAGTGACTACCTGCCTGGATAAGGTGCAGCAAATCAATGATGTGAATGTACTGGCCCTCATGGGCATCAATGCGAAGGCTCAATGGGATAGAGCAGGTAGGAAAGATGGATGCATGGCAAGGCCATGAGTCAGAACTGGAGGACTATCCCCTTGGTTAGACGCCTACATGGACATGACTCAGGGCAGCCATTGCACACTCACCTGCAATGATCATGAGACCATGGACATGGTTGCCCAAATTATCCAATGGTCCACTTTCTGTTAGGCATTTGATTGTGATATTCACAAGGCACATGTGGCTGATACTCACACCCAAAGTATTCAAAGGTATTAGACCCCACCCTAAATTCACTTCAGGAGGCCATGAAGTGCTGGACGATTACTAGCATCAATGACACCCTCACTGCAGTGGCATTTGAAGCATGCAATGCTGGGCTGCATAACAGTATGGGTGTAACTCCAGGTCGCATGGGTCCTAGGTTGAGAACATTTGTGGACAGATGCTTGTTATTCTTTCCTGACCCCAATGCATTACATAAAAATAACACTCAGTGGTCTGCACTGTGGGAGGGAGATGGGTATATCGCAGAGTTTCACAGGATGATGAAGTTGATGGAAGTGGATCAGCAGGCAGCACTGAAGCAAGGGTTGTGCAAGGTGTTTTCTGACCTGCACTGTCTCCCTGCAAGCAGTGCATAAGAGTGTGAATGCAGAAGCATGATGCCATAGTATTCACAATGAATCCTGCATTTTACAGGATTGACTGTGTTGAACAGGGGGCAGAGAGTCAAAGAAAGGCTCCAAAAGTGCAGTTGCATGATGAAGCTGATCAAGGGAAAGTGTATCTTTGCAGCTGACCTGATGGACTCACAACCATTTAACACTGATGGGAATTTGAGAAGGAAAACAGAGAGGCAAAGGTGTCGGGAGCTTCAAAAGAAAATGACCATGGTGATGAGAAACAAGTGAGTTCCCCCTCTCCCATGTCATCGGAAATCCAGGCCATTTCCAATGGACACAACAGCATCTGTGGAGCAAGATGAGGAAATGAATGTTGATTAGCTTACAGATGTCCCATACATAGTGAGCACCCGATGAGGCATATTGGAATCAGCATTAATGGTAAATGGTCAATCTATTGTATAAGAATGGTTGTTCCCAACAGTGTTGGGCCAACTGGGCGGAAAGCTCCTTTCTTGACATTGGTTTCCCAGATCACTGGTACATGCTCTTGCAGCAATATTATGCAAGATCTTCAGTCATTGGAAATCAGCATGGGGTCAGCTGCACAGAATCCCCTACCTGACTGATGGAATAATTTGATATTCAATGCAAAATCAGATCACTCTATCACCGTCATCCAAGGGTGTCAGTGCAGTTGACACCTTTCTTGATAATGAAAGGATTGTCCAACAAAGTTAATCACGATGTAAGACACCATCCTTTCTTATGAGTGGGGCAATCTGGGTGAAAGAATCTTACCTGATTTGATTCATCTCAAGTGCAGTTCCATGCTCAGGATTGAGCAAGTCAATTTGTTGTCATTGAGATAGTTGATACTTATAGAGTTAGCTATACATAGCTAATGTGCAAGACACTGGACTTCTCATGGATTCAACCTAATGCAATGTGACCACTAACTGACATCTTGTTATACTACACTTACCAAGTGATTGGTGAGCTCGTTGAGGTTATCAATATGGTCAGTGGCTGCATGGTATGCTTTATGCAGGGTCACGGACCTTTTGCCAATGTCAAACAGCCCTTTACTAATCAAACTCCGATTGTTATTGCTGTGGCATGAGAATGTCACATGACATGAAGTTCATATACCACCCTTTGGCAAATTTCATTCTTGCTTCCTTACCATTACCTTCACAGTGTCCTGCATGATTTGGGAATCATGCATGGACATGACTACTAGGTAGCCCCCCTAAAAAAGACAAAGTCTGTTAGCTTAGGCATCAGGCTAGTCAACCCATACCTTGGTTTCAAACCTTGGTCATATAGTTCAATTTCCCCTCTGTGATTCATGAATTTATTATATCTTGAAGAAAAGTCATTTGTGAGATTGGAATCACATAATGACCTAGTTGATATTGTGAAGCAAGAAGGTTAAGGTATTGCCTTGCCTTTGGCTTATTCAATTTGGCTAGAGAAAACCATAGAGAAAAGTTCAAAGCCTAACAAAAACCTATCTAAAAAGCCTGTGTTTTGTGTCTTGTTATTGTATTATTATTTCTGAGTTGTTTTCTCTAGTATTTCCTTGATTTATTTTTCTATTGGGATGCTCTGACCTATCAGATACTTCACAAAATTGTACCTACAGGGTATGATGTCATATGGCTCCAGATACTCTGCAAGTATTGAAGTATGATGTCATGATGATGTCATTTGTTCTGGAATGTTCTGCTCCACTTGCTAGAATGTTCTGCTCCACTTCTGATGTCATTGCTCCGCTTTTTTACTTACATAATATTCCCACACAAAATGTATATAAGGAGGGCCCATTCTCCCCCCCAAAAAAATAGGATCTCCCACTTGCAATCATTTGAATCTCAGTTTGAGCTACTCACTGTGAAGATTGTTGCTTACAAAGAAAGCCCCTTTGAAGTACCAAGTGCAGGGAAAAGACATTCCCTTGAGATTACATAAGTTTCTTATGATAGAAACTTAGTTTATTTGAGACCAGCTTCTCACCTAGTTTCTGATATTGACCAACATGAGCTTTGGTCAATCTGTTCATTTGTGAGACCTGCTTCTCACCTAGTTTACTGAAATTGACCAACACAAGCTTTGGTCAATCTGATCATTTGTGAGACCAGTTTCTCACCACTTTGTGCCTATTTGACCAACCAGTCTTTGGTCAATGTATTCATATTTGAGACCATAGTCTCTACAGAGGAATATCTTAACAAGGAACCACGTTCCAGTGTCTAGATGGTTTATCCTAGACAAGTTTATAAGTTTGGATATAACACAAAAGCTCTGGCTAAGTTAATCCATAGATTGGTTTAGCAAGCCTCCCAAGAACTCACACATTATCTACCACAAAAGAAGAAAAGTTGTAGACTGTGTTAATCGAGGACTGGCAAGAAGTCTTATCCTAGTGTAATTGTGGTGTCATTACATTTTACATGCATTTATATAAGACCCTTGGTTATTAAGACAATGGGTGGTTTCGCACCTCTATGGGCGTTCGCTGTTGATGATGGTGGCCACCTCCCCCTTCTTTATTCAACTCTTGCCATCCATATGCAAACCTTGGACTGTGTTGGGTGGTTCCTTGTCTCTATGGGCGTTCACCATCAATGATGGTGGCCATCTTGCTTCATTGTCACATTCCCACATCTCTCACTAAGTGCTTTTTCTTTGTCTTTCTTTGTCAGTGAGATTATTAGTGTACTGTAGTATATGTGTGATTGTGTGATTGACAGCTCTTTGCATGAAGGATGGTGCTGGCGTGAATTTCTCATTCAATTAGCAAAAATGTTAGACTTAGTCAAATTTGCTCATTATGCACTCATCCCCTGTAATTTAATATCATTATCCCATCCATACCTATGAGAAGCCACCTCATCATAAGCTCTTTCATGTTTGAAAGATTAGTCCTGTTCTTGAGCAATGGCTGGACTCTCACAACACCTTGTACACCAGTCTTCAACTTCACCATCTGAACTGAGGTTCTTCATATTTTTTGCCCACAGCGACTGCCTGTGCCTACTGCTGCACCAGAAGTATCCTGTGTCAGACTCATCTGAATCTGCTTGTACTACACTCTTGCACCCATCTCATGCTCAAGGGATGGATGTACCATTTGACAAATTCTACACAGAATATGAGCTCAGCAACAACATCTGTGTGAATGTCACTGAGAATGCATATAAGGAAGCTGAGTCCTTATGCATTGTTACAATTGCCTGGTTGAAGGGGATGGGCTTCCAATTTGGCTAGATTGCTGCGCTATGTGATGCCATTGAAGGTTTGTCTGTCCCATGCGTTTGATACTGTATGAAAATGTAATGTTACAGGACTTTGCCTCAGATTGGCCTTCTATGCAAATGGACTTCTTTGCAAATAATGGTGCTAATAGCCTGCATATATACTGTATGCTAGATAGTAGTCTTGATGGCAAAGGAGCCAGTGTTCTATTTAATTGAATACTCACCTACAAACACAAATTATAGTGAACAACATGGAGGATTAGTGAAAGCACACACTGAAACGATCAACGACCTTGTGAACTTCAGAACCATAATATATTTTTGCATTGGCCATTACACGGACACTAAGGGTACCAGGATGGGCTGAATGCTTTGGGAGCTGGAAAAGTCTTTTTTTGCCACATCGACAGCACATATTTATGTTGAGACTTACAACAGTGTTTTTAAGCCACTCTAGGGGCAGCTCCTGGGTCATAGAGCCTTTAACAATGGTTGCAGCAACATGAAGGAACCATTCATTGAATGTCTGAACACATGTACATGAATTACATATTATTTTGTGTACATAAGGTCTATCAGACTACTGGAACTCTGAATGCGCAAGGGCATCATCCACCTCCTTCTGCAACTCAGTACACAATGTGACAATGAACAAACCATCCAACACTATCTTCTTGGCTCTCCTCTCTGTGCATGGCACTGTGTGCTTGCGACAGAGTACTGCTGGATTGATGGTCTTGAGGATTACTGCACTTGTTGCAATGATTTCATCAAGAATCTCCAGCACCTTCTCCATCAGCATGTTGATATACACCCCATCAGCATCAGTCTCCTCCCAGGCTGCACACTCCTCCATCACCTTGTTCACCTCAAGCTTCTGCACCTCAGCCAGATCAATTATTTTGTGCACAGCAATACTGGTATGCTGCATTATGGCCTCATGCTCCATGTTGCGGTTGCCAATGTTGTTGTTGCCAATGTTGTTGTTGAAGATGATTGTTTTGTCGAGATCGATAGTGACCCGAAAGATGTCATGCATGCCGAGTGTCACATCATGCAAGTGCATTCTGACATGCATAAAGACATGCACCTGGTGCTCACACACATCCACACAATCTGCTATGGGTTGTTCTGCCATAACTGATGTAGTTGGTTGAAGTCAGTACAATATGCGAACTGAATGCAAGACAGTGCATACCTTCATTAGTTGGCAGTCTCAATGGTCCTGCAGGTCGTCTGCCAGTAGAAGGCATAATGAAGGATCAAATAAAGTGATGGTTGATGGTTGGCATGTGTGGTTAAGATGTAGGCTGTAGAAAGTGTGAAGTGATGACCAACTTCACCTTATTGATCAGTGACTAAAACAGACTGGTGTCAACAACTGGACCACTCACATGTAATGTCCACAATTGTTAAATGTGGTGAATGGTAAGGGTTTTGTTGTTGACACTGTATTGGATGCATGATGCACTTCATGGAATTACCAGCAGGATATTGATTCTACTGAGTGTTGTATAACAATTGCGGACAATCATCAAATGCACAAATATCATCCGCAGTAGGGCGGCACACCAAGTGGGACTCCATGACATGGACATGCTAAATGCTGGGATGCATTTGTGAGACAAAATATTGTACTCCTTGTTGCAGCTGGTGCCATGGTGTGGAGATGTGGTGGGGCTTCTGTAGTAGTCTCACAGACAATGGATTGTTCTCTTCAGACACTATTTATCTACATTCTGTCTCCTTGACATATCACCCCATCCACATCATATTTTGTATATATATAATAGTCATTGCTCATCAGTGTCATGCCACATAACTTCCAATGGAGTATCCTGCGTCATGTGTGCAATTTGGTACTATGTGATACCATCTCGAAGGCTACATAGTTGTCCATGTCAATGAATGTCCAAATGTTTTCTAACCTCCCCTCCTCAACTCCAAGTGTTGGGCCACCTCTCATGCTCTTTAGAACCTGTCATGCCACTGATCAGTATGAGCTCTAGGTTTTTTCTTGCTCCTGATTGAGGTCCCCTGCTTCTCAGATGCACTTGGGTGACAGAAGGGAAATGAGAAAGTGAGTGACAAGACAGTCGTGCAGATGAATGGGCACAATCGATATACTTTGCTTGAGCTTGTTGGCACATTGAAAATACTGCTTGGAGTCATACACAACATCAAGTGCACAATACACAATCATGTATTGCACAATGCAGTCGCCTACAAGATCTAATCACACTCATCTTGACTTGAATACTTAGCCACATGACACAAGAATCATGCAGCATAATCATGAGTTCTGATACAATTGACATTGAACACATTGCATTTGAACATGAATTAATTTACTTAAATCCCACATACACTACAGTACACTTACAATCTCACAGCAACAAAGGAAAACGCTGATACAAAGATATAGAAATGCGATGCCAGCAAAATGTGGGCATTAGCAGCGATACCAGAATGACCAATGGACAGCAAGATGGCCACCATCATCAACAGTGAATGCCCATAGAGGCAAGAAACTACCAACATAGTCCAAGGGTTGCCTGCATGCTAGGAGTGGGAGGAGGAAGAGAAGAGGTGGCCACCATCATTGACCATGAACACCCATAGAGGTGAGAAACCACACAGGATTGCTTGGAGGGATGCAGGATGCTAACAGCATGGCCAATGGACAGGAAGATGACCACCATCATCAACAGTGAACGCCCATAGAGGCGAGAAACCACCTGTGAAGGTAATGGTAAGAAAGAAAGAGCGAAATTTGCCAAAGCATGATATATCAACTTCACATCACATGACGTTCTCATGCCATTCACAGACATGACATGGTCACATGATATACTGGGGTTCAGCATTGCCACCCAGTGATAATTGATGATTCAGAGGTTCATCTGCATAAATAGAAGTCGATAAACATTGAAGTGATGATTCTGATTGAACTGGTTCGTGGTCTCTCAATACAATGTGACTTGTCAAGACAAAAAATACAGAGTGAGATGAATTTCTACTTCTACAGTGTAGATATGATTCTTGATGGCATTAGGAGCGTGGATAGGCATTTGCATGTGTCAACAGGGTGTAATGTAATAGTGAGGTCACTTTTCCTACCATACTGCCCACCATTAAAATGCAAATGCTATTGAGCATTGCAGAGGTGACATGTAGTAGAAAAACCCAGTCAGTACAATAGTCTATCAAACCAGCAGGCATGATGACGCTCACGTGTGCCATGACCCATCATTTGTATCCATGGTGTAGTGTCCTGAGTCAACTTGGGATGCTCTCCATGATGTAGCACATACCTCCTTGGAACTGGTGGATAGATCATTCCAGCAGAGTGGGAATGCACTAGCCAGGACAAGGCACACACATATTTCTATATTTCTATAAAGCAGATTACAGAATACCATAAAGTTATATCAAATGAGAAAATGTACTGGACTCACATCTATGTTGGCTGTTTCCTGGGCCTTTCCTTTGTTGGTAGGCAGCGCTTGTTGGTTCACATTCGGACAATAGGTGAGGCTGGTCACTTTGTCACCTGCAAGTGACTCATTATAAATGATGTAGTGTAAAACATGCATGGTACTAACATCATTCTCTTGATCACAAGAGCTTATACAGGGATATCAATGTAACGTGTATGTGCATGCAAGGCCTGGATGCTGCATTGAGACAAATGATCCATCATAGCAAATCATTGTATGATACATATACATTCACATAATAGGATTGACTGAGACATTACTCACACTGTGCTAGTACAGTTCCACATGATGGCAGCAACCTAGAAATAATTTACCACTTTGCCAAGTCAGCTGCACAAGCAAAATGTATTGACCATTAGGGTGATACCAGCAAAAGAACCCCCAAGAGGGAAAATTAAAATAGTTGCAGAACTACCTGTTGTGCCCTATAGCCAAATACAACCATAGCATACATCAGATGTTTGTGCAGGCTCATATCATTGATGTAGTCAAAGCCATTGATGAGAATCACTGGTGATCGCTGCATGATCGATGCTCTTATCTACCTTGTTACTAGTGTTTTCTGTTGCAGCTGTTGTCTTAGAGGGTCCATAGGCTGATTTCAAGCTGTAGATGTGTAACTCCCTGCATCACATCTCTTCTTCTTGACTTGGCATTGGTCTACAGTGCCTCCACTGATGGTCACTCTAGTTTCAACTGGTCTATTAAAAATTGATTCAAGTGACATATCTGGCAGCTTATCTGCATATATAGAGTGGAAGATAGAATTTTCAGCCAGTTCCACAGACATGTCTCAAAGTTCAAAAGAGTCTACTGACAAATGTATAAGTATGACAAATCATAATCATAATCATCATTCTATCTGAAACACATTTAGAAGCAACACACATTGTTTACATTCAGAATGAATCAGACCCTCAAGCAGAGTGGTGTCAACAGAAACTGCAACCCAAAGGGAAACCTTCAGTATCATCAACAATTGTCTGACCATCTTAGCGAGGGACACTGATATTAATATTCACCCTAGCATTCAGAAGTGAAATTTCATACATCAGTCACATTAGATACTACAATCCACCAAGGTGCAAACAAGAAGGCCTTCAGAATCACAATGTCAAAGAAGCCCTGAGAACCAACATTTGGTGGCACCATCATCAATTGTGGGACCCTCATGGAAGAGTGAGACAAACATGATCAGCCCCCAGACTAGAACTCCCATGGGGGGTGATACCAACAATATAACATTCCCCACATCCACAAGTCAAGTCAAAAAGCAAAGTGTGTTGGCACCATTATCAATGGTAGTACCCTCATAGAAGGGTGACACCAACACGAGCCCCCAGGTCCACAAGTAAGTAAGTAAAGTGAGCAAGTAAAAAGCAAAGAAAAGAAAGAAAAAAACCCCAGAAACAATATGTGTCAGGACCATTATCAATGGTAGTACCCTCATAGGAGGGTGAGACCAGCATAAGCCCCCAGGCCAACAAGCACAGTAAGGTAAAGTAAAAGTAAAGTAAAAGTAAAAAAAAAACAGCCCTCAGAAGCAAAATGTGCTGGCACCATTATCAATGGCAGTACCCTCATAGAAGGGGTGAGACCAGCACATGCCCACAGGCCAACAAGTCAAGTAAGGGAAAGTAAAAAGTAAAGTAAAAATAGGTCTTGGAAGCGAAATATTCTGGCACCATTATCAATGGTAGTACCTTCATAGAATGGTGAGGCCAGCATAAGCCCCAGGCCCAAAAGTAAGTAAGCAAAAAGCAAAAAAAAGACCCCAGAAGCGAAATGTGTTGGCACCATCATCAATGGTAGTACCCTCATAGAAGGGTGATACCAACACAAGCTCCCAGGGCCGTGAAGTAAAGTGAAAGTGAAAGTGAAAGTGAAAGTGAAAGGACTCCAGAAGTGAAACATGTTGACACCATTGTCCATGGTAAGACCCTTGTAGAAGGGTGACACCAACATAGGCTCCTAGGCTCACAAGTAAGTAGGTAAGTAGGTAAGTAAAAAACAAGAAAAAGAAAAACACCCTAGAAGCTAAATGTATTGGCACCATGATCAATGGTAGTACCCTCATAGAAGGGCGATGCCAACATAAGCTCCCAGGGCCATAAGTAAAGTAAAGTAAAGTAAAGTAAAAAGTGAGAAGAAAGAAAGAGACATTTTGGGTTCAAACTGACCGCATTTTTGCTTATATATGAGGCCCTTGCTCAATGATCAATTTTCCCAGTCTCCATGGGACTTTCCTGGCTTCAAATAGAACTCAACACAAAGGCTATTGAACCATCTGAATGCGATGGCAATGCTCATTTTCTCCAAAGAAATCATGTTTCAGAGTTGTGGCGTGCCCTGCCCCTACCCACTCCACCAAGAGGCATGATTTTATGTCAATACTTATGTTCAAAACAGTGTTCCTAGTATTTAGTGATCATACAAATAGATTGTACATGAGTTCTGAGTGTTCTGAACTAATATGAATCGTGATGCATGAGTTTGCCTGATACCCCCCTTAAAGATCGAATTTTCTAGGCTTCCCATGACTTGCAAGGACTCCAAGAGTGGTTGTCCCTGGGGCCATTGATGCATCTGAACATGATGGTCAAGCCAGATTTCCCAGAAAAAATCATGTTCTTGAGATATGCAAGGTCCCCCTTTCCCTCCTACCTTGTGGTGGTATTGTCACAGTTCTTTGATAGTCTAGCTTTGTTTGTCTTCCTCAGCATAGCAGTTCATACACAACACTGATTGATTCTACCTCAAACACGTTCATGTCCAAAATTCATAATTCACATCAACAATACATAGAGTGACATGAATGGCAAATGCTCTCAGAAGCGAAAATTTATACTATTGATGATAGGTTGATTCTCATAGGAGGTGACATGCACAACAAGAGCTCTCCAAAGCGAAATATTCATGAGTTACATTGCATCAGTTACATTAGACACAATCAACAAAACTCTAATAGAAGGGCAAAAGCTATCTAAACAGCCATCAAAAGCAAAAATAGTTGTTCTCAAAAAGTCCCATGGAGCGAAAATAGCTGGCACCATTATCAACAGTAGACTCCCATTGAGGAGTGACAACCAGCAAGAAAAGGCCCCAGACCCACAAAGTGAAAAAAGCGAAAGAAGCTGGCACCATCATTGATGGTAGACTCCCATGGAGGAGTGAGGACCAGCAAAAGCAAAGTAAAAAAAAGCGAAAAAAGGCTGGCACCATTATCAATGGTAGACCCCCATGGAGGAGTGAGGACCAGCAAAAGCAAAGTAAAAAAAGCGAAAAAAAGGCTGGCACCATTATCAATGGTAGACTCCCATAGAGGAGTGAGGACCAGCAAGAAAAGCCCCCAGACCCACAAAGTGAAAAAAAAGCGAAAAAAAGCTGGCACCATTATCAACAGTAGACCCCCATAGAGGAGTGACAACCAGCAAAAGGCCCCCAGACCCACAAAGTGAAAAAAAGCGAAAAAAAACAGCTGGCACCATTATCAACAGTAGACTCCCATAGAGGAGTGACAACCAGCAAAGAAAGAAAGAGAAATTTTTTGGTTCAAGTTGACCGCATTTTTGCTTATATAAGCATTTCTAAATGCGGCCTATCACTTTGAAATATTCACATATTCCAGAGTGATGCTGCTCTCCCCCTACCTACTGGGCCCAGAGGCATGATTCCATGTTAATACTGATGTTCCTAGTGCTTTGTGATCACATTGATCAATTGGAGATGGTCTCAGGATCATTTGGGCCCATGTAAATTGTGATGTGTCAGTTTGCCTGATACCCCCCAAAGCTTAAAGATAGATTTGTCTAGGCTTCTCATGACTTGTCAGAGCTCCAAGAGTATCTGTCCAGGGGTGATCAATCCCTCTGAACACAACAGTCCAGCCAGATTTTCCAGGAAAAATCAGGTTGTTGAGATATGCAAGGTCCCCCCCCCCATCTCATACATCTTGATATTATATAAATACTGACATGTAAAATGATGTTCCCAGTGTTTTATGACAATAGAAATCAATTGGAGATGGTCCTGGAGCATTCCTGGCCTGTATGAATTGAAACATGTCGGTTTACCTCATGCCCCCCCACAAAGATTGATTTTTACAGACTTCCCATGACCTGCCAGTGCTCTGACAGCATTTTTCCCATGGGATCCTGATTCCTCTAAACACGATGGTCAAGCTGGATTCACCAGTAAAAATCAGGTTCTGGAGATATGCAAGGTCCCCCTCCCCCCTACCATCTCATATATCTTGATATTATGTAAATACCGGCATGTAAAAGGGTGCTCCTATGGTTATTATATCACAGGAATTGATTGGTAATGGTTCTGGAATATTTTGAGGCTGTCTGGATTGAAATATGTCAGTTTGCCTCATACCCCCCACAAAGATCGATTTTTACAGACTTCCCATGACTTGCCAGTGCTCCAACAGCATTTTTCCTGAGGGCTCTTGATCGCTCTGAACACAATGGTCAAGCCAGAATTCCCAGAAAAAATCACATTCTTGAGATATGCAAGGTCCTCCTCCCCCCTCCTACCTCCTATATTGTGCTGTACATGATTTTAACTTGATACCGATAATGTAAAGGACTGTCCTGGGGGTTTTCAAGCATAGAAATCAATTGGTGATGGTCCCAGACCATCTGGAGGTCAATAATGGTGACATATGTTGGTGGGGCCGAAAGTTCAGTATTTCAACCATATTTCCACAACCCAACCACCGATTTCTTTGATTCTTGGCTCATATCATTCCTGGATGCGCCCACCATGATATGTACTGGCCCACAAAAAGAGGTTTTTGCACAAGTTTGAAACCTATTTCTGAAATGACCATATAAATTTCCCGCACCCTGCCAACAAGGACATCCTATCAGAGTCAGAAACTCAACTCCTGCGTGACGAGACCAGTCATGTGCTTACATCTTGTTTCAAAACCTCTAGTTCACTCTTTATAAAGTCCAAGGCCATTAAGGCAGATGGACGAGTAGATGGATCAACCAACCAACACTGCTCAATCTGATCCCAGCAGGTGTCTGTAATATTGGATGTCGCATCAGATGTTTCAGGATGCAAGATATCCTCTCCACAAAGGATTTTTTGAAAGATTGTGTAGTCATCAATATCATGCCAAGGAATGACCAGGGATAACACCTGCAAATATATGTATTAAATAGAATTTTGTGGGCCTACAGTATTTACACTCACATGGAACATGACACAACCAAAGGAATATATGTTGTGCTTTGTGGTCAGTTTGAGATCAGTGGGGTAATTGTGGGTAGTCAGCAACTCAGGCGCAGTCCACCTGATTGCACCATGCTGAATCTTTGAATCTTCATTTACGGAGTCATCTAGAAGCCTGCCTAGGACAGTTGACAACCCGAAATCCATAAGGCATGCCTTGTATTCTCTGTCCTTCACATCTACCAGAACATTGGACTGGAGTCTTGTGAGTACAACTTTACAGGAAGAATAAACTCACACACACTTGTGATGTCTCCATGAACCATAGGAACCTGGTGAACTAACAGCAAATTGATCAGTTGAAACTAGACATCAATGAAAAGAACAGACGATAGTCAAGCCCAGATGCTATACCATGAAGCTAGCGATGTCAATGGGTATTTCATTATAGCTAAACTGTGGCTTACCAGTTGCAATTTGGACCTGATGCTCAATCCAGCACCCTGTGCCACAATCATATCAAGTAGGTTACCATCTGGAAACCACAGGGAGACAAGTGCTGTAGTTGGTCCAAACCCCTCTGTCATTCCAACAAGTGTGATGATATTGTTGTGGACGAGGCATGCCCATATTGTGGATTCTCATTGAAATCTCTAGCAAACTAATATGCAACTGCACTCAAAGTAGAGGAAAAATACACCTACTCTCAAGTCCTGCTCTGAGGTATGAAATCTCAAGGCTTTTACTGCAATCTGGGGTGCAAGAATCAACAGGCTGATCAGCAACTTATGCAACTGAACAGACCTCGACTGTAGGGCCATACAGTTGTCTCCATTCACATCTATAAACATTTCCAAATGTCCCTCCAGTGACATAATTGCCTATTGTACTGAAGATCTGACCTGTAAGATCTATTTGACTTGCCAGTGATCTTGGAATGGAACTGAAGAATATGTAGAAACTGAATCAATCAATTCTTGTTTCAGTGTGAAGATCCCTACAGAGTTGTTAGTTCTGAAATGGATGGCTAGGGGCAATGTATCAGAATTAGCCATTGATGAAATACTCAGGTTGCCAGACCTGTGAGTCATCAATCCTGCACTGATCAAGGATGTGTGCAGTCTCCAGATGATTTGTGGGGTCCAGAGACCAGCAGTGTTTGATCAAGCTCCAGGAACCATTAGGCATGTTCTCGGGATGCAAAGGAGTAGCTCCTCTTGATAGCTCAATGGCAATGTGATTCGAGTTTTTCTCTTTCCATGGAATATTCCCTGAGATGATCTGAGTGGAAAAAGTCAAGGGTAGCATCACAGTGACATGAAATAGATCGCACAAAGAGCATAACGCTACCAAAAAAAATAGATATCACTGGCAAAAGTTGGTCGTGCAGGTTCATCAGACTCTACTCCAATGACTTCAGGTGCACACCATCGAGAATTGAAATCACATGCTGCAGTGGTTGAGTTCCATTGCAGCTCTGGGTCTCCCATGACTGTTGCGAGACCGAAACCTGTGAGACATGGATTGCCTGAATTGTCTATCAACACATTGGCCTGACTTACAAATAAGTGCAATATCCACAAAGAGACAGCCATACATACAGGTTGAAGGTCTCCATGAATGACTTTATTTGAGTGAACTGCATAGGCATCAATAACAAAAACGACAACTTGTTATAAATGGACAAACAATAGTAGAGACCATCAGCAACACCCTCGACCTAGTAACACAAGAATTGATGAACACTGCGTAGATATGATTGGTATGGATTAAGGACATACCAATCTGAATTTTGTGGAAACAGAAAGGGTTGTTGTTTGCTTCTCCAGATAAACATATAACATCCCAGATGGCATGCATGGATAAACAAGAGCTGGCCATGGTGATTCAATGTGTGCGATACCAAGTAGCAGCACAATATTCAAGTGTCTCAACTTAAGTCATGTCATCAATGAAATGGTGTTTGCCAAAGCATCACACCCACCAGCGGATGGTGTTGTTTTCGAGAGAAGGAGCCTGTAGCACAGCATGATAACTCCTGCAACAGTGTTGACCACAGACACATCATCTGATTCAGATCCCCCTGTGACCCACCATCAGGACAGCACTGATATTATTCCTGCTTCTTCTTCCAGTCTGAATCCCTCTGTGAAATCCACATGAACAGCAATGTTCTATGATCTAATATCCTCTGCAGGAAGTGTCACTCAGCTCCTGAAGACCCTGGAAGAAATTAAAAATACAATCTGAAGTAAGTTGCTCTATCATCAACCAAACCCTCAAGGATAATAATGTACTCAGGCTGTGCTACTTCCTTTCATATCACTGGCAATCAGATCTTTCACCCCTCAGCGCTCACCTGCTAATACAATCACCTACAATACACTCACAGCAAACAGTTCCTCCAGAATACTGATATTCATGATCCCATGGATGTATGTTGTTCCTTTGTTTCCTTTGTACTTGACTTGACGGTCTCCTTGCAGTTCCCTGCTACATTGCCTCTAACTCCCAACTGCTCTCCCTCACAACAGTCCACCATGGACATTCACACATAGATCCATGAGAGAATGCAAGCGTCAATTGCCGCCATCACATTTCCAATGTACATTTTTCAGTCTTGACTATCCACTGACCAATCATCTACTATTTTCAATTCTGAAACACACAGCCTAGCAGTCAAAGAGTGTATAGTTGTCAATTCACCCGAAGTCATCCCAGCATGCTTACCACCCAAATTCAATGCACCTATGTCATTCCCCATCACAGATGACCACCCAATCATTTCCCAACAACAGCGTCCATGTCCAACTTGCCTTTCATCCACAGCCATCCTGATTGTGCAGCCATATCTGCACACATGCAAGGGGCAAGTGCAACGTTCAATGCAACAGTGACTATGCCTTCATGTGCAGGTTCACCTGAGCCAAGGGAAACTCTTGCAACACATAGCATCCAGAGACTGGTGAGGAAGATCAGTCTCCTCAATAAAGGTCAGAAATAGCCTGGTGTGTTGGGGTGGGAGATGAGTGTGCAAGACATGAGCATGGCAAGTAGTGTTGCAGGTGGGAGTGTGTCTACGCCTCCTGCTAGTGGAAGCACCAGGGAGAGCATCAATGAGTTGCAGATCAAGATTATTTCAAAGAAGAAGCAGAAGAAGAGTTTTACCTGGAAGTTTCTCCTTTCTGTCCAATTTCTGTCTTTTTTCCAGTGTTTGTTTTTCCTTCCTTTTTCCTTTCCTTTCCCCATCATGTATTTTACCAACTTACTTCTGACGACCTTTGACGATCAAGACATCTCTAAAATGGGACTTTCAGACCTTTGCAGCAAGCTCACCATCATTCCTCATGCATGTCCTGCCAAGTGATGATTATGATACTTAAACTGAACTGAGGACCCTACCATCCTTAGTGGCACTTTGCAATCCATGCTGGACATATTCAACAAGTACAAACCCACAGAAATTGTCAGTTTACATTTATATTACTCAAACACATACTGACTGCTCTTTAGTTCGAGGCTCTTTGACACATGCATCTGATTCCATCTGATACTGCCAATGGTGTCATCGAAATTGAAGGTGTGGAGATCAATGTTGACGTTTTCTGAAGCTTGGAGTCACCAGTATTGGAATGAGGGGATAACTTTTCTATGGGGTTAGCACTTTGTCGATGCCACCGAACAACCTAACTCAGTATAGAATTTACATCATAGGGGTATACTGGGTTCCTGCTGTCTTATAGATAGATAGTTATTCAGTCAGCAGTAGGCTGTATGTTAAATTTTCCAAGATTCTCGATCATCAAGTACCCTGAACAACCACGAGTAAAGTCAGCCTCAAAACCTTGCTCCTGATGCCCATTATCTCAACATGATTCTTGACAGAGCCCAGTGAAATAATGGATACACTGCTCCACTGGAAGACTAAAGGTGCGGCAATTTTGGTAAATTGCATAGACATGATGCCAAGTTAGCAGAGCTGAAGACCACATGAATCAGAGCACATGGAGAACACAAGAGTATAATCTGTCATGGCATTAAAGATCTCTGGGATAATCTGACTGTGAAATCATGCTCACCTTCAAGATACACAGGTTCTTGCAAGTGATCTTTCCAAGCAGACATTGAAATTTTCACTAGACACACACACCTCACCCTTTCAAGCAGTTTCTCACTTTCGCGAGCCCTTCAACCCCCAACAACAATGGCTCAGAGCAAAAAAAGTATCTTGATGAGCAAGATATCGGCATGCTTTCCATGACCTATTGACTTGTTCGTCATTATTGAGTAAGAGAATATACATGTAGTATTCCACACATTAGAAAGCACCAGCTGAACCTTTGCTTCGAGGTTCTCTGTCCATGGTAAACCTGGGTTCCACTGACATCCATCTGCCATCTGTCAGAAGACAACATAGACAATTACAAAGTGGAACTCACCTCCACTCTGCAAACCTGATTCAAGCTGAGGCTTGCTGACACGAGCTAGTTCATCAGCACTTGAGGTTAAAATGATGAACAGGTCACATGATTTTTCAGTCAAATAGAGATTCAGCTAGAGCACGCAGAGAAGAGATTTGCTTAGAAGAGCAAAAAGTTAGGCTTGAGCCTGTACCTCTCATTCACTCTCTGTCCCTATCTCAGATCCGTCTGTCTTCCTTGTCTCAGGTCTCTTGGACTCCAACAGCCCTGTTGTGTAGTTAGTATCATGAGCATAGTGAAACTATTTGCAGAAGGAATAGACATGCAATTCAACACCATCAGATGTGATGATTTGCAGAAGGGCAGTTAGCATGCTGATCTGCAGGGGCAATCGGCGCCATGATCGCAGGTCTAATGGAACAAGATATTACCTTGCGTATTTGAAGCTTCCCAGTCTTCTGTACACTATGATTATGATTGTAAGTTGTCGCGAACGAGTTTGCAAATGATTGAAGATCCATCATCCATGATGATAATCAGTGCAGCAAGGATGGTGTTGAAAGATACAAACGCACTAATGACCACACACGTGACCGCATAGTGGCAGCTCTTCATTGGAAAATTGATCAAGGCAAGGGGATCATCTTGCCCCTTGCCATGACGAAGCTGCCCTGATAATGACATGAAGACATGTGACTTCAAAGATAAGTTAAGTCTCAGAAAGGATTATCCATCATGTTACCTGTGTACACCATATATTTTCAAATAATACTTAGGTTATATTCGAATGCACCCATTTCTCTTAGGATATCTGGAATGTTTTGTTGGTGGGACAAATACCAGCAAACCACACACCACTACATGTTTTGCCAGTCAGCTGGGTGTGTAGAGTCTGATCCAGCCTCGTCTATTGCAATGTACTGAGGTCAGACAAACAGTGGTTGGGCTGGGGCCAAGTGTTAGCTCAGCTCGGATGCTGGTGAGATTGCCACTGGGTGGGTGGGAAACTCAACATGTGGGCTGAATGACCGACTGGTATATAGACTACAAGACATGTAGTAGTGACTAGCTGGTACTAAGGACTCTGTATGGGTATCCAAATATGAACTACGAAGATAAAAGATTAGGCAATTAATATGATTCAATTGTATTATTTTATGGGAGAGGCAGGTGGGCAAAAATGAGATAGCAAGTGAAATTACTGTGAAAGCAAGCGAGCGGGTTGTATGGAGTAGTGAAGAAAAAAGGTCAAAAAGGAAGTACTAGGCATGCTTGCTGCTCTGCTGGACATATGTGTGGTGCTGGTTCCTTCCGAGCACTCAGGAACCAGCACCTTACACATAGTTGTGCTGTTTGAAATAATGTTGTACATATTTGGTTTGTGGCACTTATGAAGACTCTTACATGTACACCTGCTGATGGTTTGGAGTCTGGGGTATGACATCAAGGACTCTTCAATTCACTGATGATGAGGCTTGAGGATACTTCATTTATATTCAAGTTTCCTCAGCAGATCACAAGGATCATGCCCATGATCTGCTTTGTGTCCACCAGCATGTACTAGTAGTATGTGATACCTTTTATTATCATTGTCTTTAACTTGAAGCTTCTGGAATCTCCCTGACTGTCATAATGTCAATCTGGTTTTGCCTGATCATTTAGACATGTCACATCAGGAGCGTCATGTAGTGCCAGTGCCATATGATGATGCTTGTTCTAAAACCATTGAGTCAAAATGTATGACTGCGAGAACTTCAACATTGGCAGCGTGAATCCGCCCAAGAACATCCCCACAACCCCGGGCCATGGTGACCTTGTGACATCAGTGAATTCGTCAATACTGTGAAAACCAATCCATACAAACATGCACCAAATCAATCAAGAATCAAGTGGGGATCACTGAGTGGCAAGTATATCACAAAGTGTCATGAGGGGTTATTCAGAGCATTCAGCATCCATGTAACTGAAATTGCTGTATGATTACTTTAGATTGATCATGCAATAAAAGATATGAAGGCCATTGCAAATTTGCACTCTTTGAAGCTTGAAGGAACCAAGACTCGGAAATTCAGGTCCGAATATCATAACAGGGCACCATGAAATCAGATAGTACTAAGCTTTGGGGAGCTCGGAATGGTAACAGCCTGAGGGCACCACGATTCTGATTCACTGAACGATTTTCACTGGGTCTGCAAGACTACCTGCGAAGCTGTTAGGGCATTTGCAATGTGCAGAAGCAACAGCAATACCATGCTTGGTGTGGTTGATAGCAGCCAGGAGATCCTAAAAAGCCCAGATTACAAATTAGCATATAAGTACAAAGTAGCTGCAGCAATACACAAACCTTATCTTCAAAAGACATTAGACCCTTCACACATTGAACCAAGCAAGTACAGCCTCTGTCTGCAGTGACACAATCTCAGTTTCTGTTGTGCAAATGATGAAGACAAATGTACATACTTTTCAGGATTGCTTTGCTTGCAGAATCGCTTTTGTGCATGTGAGATTGAAGGAACTCATGGAGGGCCCAGTGAAGACCTGGGATGTCATTGAGGGCATTGGTAGGGTCATAGAGATTGTTTACAGTGGGAGTGAGTTGGACATGGTGATAAGGTTGAAGAAGGCTTGCTGTGTATGGGCATCTATTAGGGTATTCCAGGGACACTGGGTTTTCGGGTATGAACACATGAGCAACTCCAATAGTGACAATGACAAGCATGACGACAATGAGCTTCAGTAGAAGAGCAGATATGGATCCTTCATGTGTTGATCAGAAGCTTGGTGACTCTAACATCAAGGTAACTGCTACATAGCATAGCCTTGGGGTTCAGTACTAGTCCTTGTGAAGCACAAGTACAAATCGGGTATTCCAAGTCTGAACAACATGAGGTGCCTGAGACTATATTCATTGTTGGCTAACACATCAGGGTTATCTTATCAACATTTAGGAGAGGTTTATATGTTGTACAAAATGTGAAGAAAATATATGGAGTTTGGACTGACATAAAGAGGGCCCGGGCCTGGCATATAACTTCAAGTCATTGCATTGTTATGCATAATATGAAATATCTGCCACCATTTTTTCACTAATGCCGTATAGAATTTACATTGTGGGGGTATGCTTGGTTTTATATTCATGTAGAGCCTTATCATGTATGCACAAATTCTTATTGACCCATGTCCCTGATTATGACTCATGGTGAAGTACTTATGGCTAGTAGATATGGAACTATGGGTCATATCCCACATGCACATGTTTTTGTACCTTCTTTGTCTGCAGGTGGTGAACGATCAATGCCATATATAAGTAACACCTTTTGAATGAAAGATCACATACATGTCAGGGGTCATTATCTTTGACAGATTTACTACTGATGGATCTTTTATCATGATACTCATCTGACACCCAGGTCCAGATCATAACAGAAGCATGCAGGCGTACATATTACATTTAACAGCTGGTGTTTATGCACACCTATTTACAACTGCTAGGTCTCCAGCTTTAATTCCTGGTTCTTGCTATTACATGCTATACAGATGAGGCCATAGCTTCAAAGCCTCTTTCCATTAACTCCCTCTTTCCTCTGCGTGATCTTGCTTCTCCTCCTGGGATACTGTAGGGTCATATTGATATTGGCATCAGAATAAAAGCCATTGTATACCCAGGAGAACAGCCCAGCAGCTGCATAGGAGGTGAATGAATATCTGACCTCCCCCTCCTGGATACTTGCATTAGAGTGAGTGATAGCTGCAGAGGGCATGAGAATCGTGGATCCAGCAGGAAATTCAATCACTAGGCCAAGTTCCCAAAAAACAATGTGTGCCCCCTTTACATGATTGAAGTGACCTAGGGCTGTGACAAAGCACCAGCCCAGCAGTGCAGCATCTGTGGTAGGTAGCAGTGCCTGGACCCAGGTTAAAGGTACAGGCAGGCATTTTACTACTTTGCCATGGCCTCTTTTGATCTGGGCATTCTGTGTAGAGCCTGTCTAAATAGTTCTTGTAGATTCTGTGAATCTCAGGAAAAAACAATTTGAAAGAGGCTGGGAGGCTGTTAGCATCTATCAGGTGGTAGAGCCAGCCAGCCTACCCCACTGAAAGCCTACTATTCTGTTCATTCCCTCACTTTCCAGAATCGATTTCATAGCTAATTTATAGATTAGGGGTACAGCAAGGTTTTTGGGATGCTGATGTGTTGTGGGGTTCAATAAAATCCAAAGCTGAGCATCGGACTCACCTGCTGCCCTCTGCCATACAAGATCCCTGTTGTCACAGCATGGTAGAGGCCCCTTCGAGGTAGCTTCCCTTTCAGCAGGCCTTGAAGGTGGTCAAATAGGGAGGTTACCTCCTCTATGATTTCACTGTAGACCTTTTTCCCCTTAGCAGATGAGTCAGGGGCAGACTTTGGCTGCCCAGCAAGCATTGCTATGATATAGCCTTCATTGTCAATTACTGGCATGGGGGTCCTGTTAGAAATGTAATCACATCTGCATACAGATTACTGCACCAATGAACCTACTGGCCATCCCATTGAACAAGTTTAAAGCCCATTCTAAGGAGCTCATCCAGCTCATACTGCCTCCGCTCTTCCAACTCTGCCCTTGAACCCTTCCAGCCCCCCTCTGTGCCTTTGAAATCCTTTTGATTGAAAGATCCATACACATAATTGCCATCAGCCACAACCTGCTTTCTAAGGGTAAGGACATTCAATTTGTATGGTAGGTGCCCACGCCCCTCCCTCTCCTTATATCTCTGCTTTGCATGGGCAGCACGGTGGCAGTCAGCCTTCCTGTTTAGCTGGACAGCATGGGCCCTCTCTCTCTCCAATGCCCACTCTGCAGCAGGGCTAGATGGCAAGCAGGGGGATGTAGCTTTCACCTCACTTCCTTGATTGGTTGGTATGCAGAGGCTGCCAGCAGGTGCCAGATCATTGATGCTGCAGTTGGGAGAACTGATGTCCTCCTGTAGAACGGTGCCATCATTGCTTTCAAGAGTCAGTTGCTCACCCTGTAGGGAGTCTGCGAGCAGAAAGCTGTGGCTGGCTGCTGGCCTAATGGGGAGTCCAATAGGCAGCAGCCCATAGGGCAAAAACTCATGCCCCAAGCATGTTTGATGGACTAGAATTAAGGTAGTGCATGAGCCTGAGTACATGGGATCAGGGGTGGCAGGTGAGTATGCAGTAGCTGCTGCTAAAGCTGCAGAGGACTTGGGCTGCCCATGCATCTGCGCCCTTTGGCCAGGCCAGGGTCAGCCCATGCTACTCAGAGCTTCAACAGGTAGCTGCAAGTCCCAGTAGAGATCGCATGGGTGCAGTAATGAAAGGCATGGATTGCTCACCTACTATTGCCACAGCTTGCCACTCGTAACATGTGAGGTGCAGAGGTGGTTGAAGTTTTAGGCTGAAGCATTTGGGACTTCAGAAGGAAATGCATTTTGCTGATAGGTGGGGCGGCCATCAATTCACTTAGCCTGATATGGCTAGAGTTATATTACCTTTTCACTGTGACTTGAACTGCATTGTGACAAGTCATATTTAGATGCTGCATCACCTACCACTGGTCTTGATGGAGTAGGCATGTATGAATGAAAATAGTCATTAGATCTTAGTACTTGGCATCATGTCAAACCCAGAATCTTAGAGTGTGAGCATTGCTGATCAATGACATCATTGATACATTGACTGTGACAGTACTGTGAGCCTCTTCACCCCCAATCGAGCTTCAGCACTGCAGCCTTGCTCACTGCTGACATTACTCATGCACTGACAGAAGGTCAGTGTGCTGATCTTCTGTCAAGTTTGCGCTTTGCTTATGACTGAAATCGCCCATCCCTTACATAACAGACTGTGAGTGTTTTAATCTTCCAGTGTTGTTCACTGATGCCATTGCTCATCCATTAATAGGAAGTCAATTTCTTCGTCCTTCCTTGATTTCAAGCCATGCTGAGCAAAGATTTTATGCATTGGCAGAGTGTGAGTGTATTGATCTTCAACAGAGGTGGATAATATTCAACTTTCTATCATGATTTGACTAGCTTGATTGGAGTCATCATGAAGGGATGCGGTCTAGGTTACTCTTTGTCGCATGTCCAATTGGTCACAGATTGTACACATTTTCTGATGTTGTGAATGTGCCAGGCCTCTGGATCATGATTCTTGAAGAACAATGTTCAGCTCATTTCTGATGAGCTTTGAGGCCATTGTACAACGAACCTGCTTATCATTGAGTGTTTAGCTGTTGTCATTATCTTTGAACATTCTTTCTATGTTTTCAACAAGTGGCGCCAGGGTGAGTGGGAATCTGTTCCCTCTTTTCATGTTGTTCTCAAGCAATATATTGCATCTCCACATGCAGTTGCTGTCAAGAAAGCTGTGAGGGTTGCTATCTGCACATATCAAGGAAACTCATCTACTTCATCACATTCATTCTTGGTCTTGGCAGCCGCTTCAAGCTCAGCAAACATCCCTACTCTTGAGGCACATCATCCTGAAAATGCCATCCTCCTTCTGGATTAGATTCAAAGGTGCATCAAACTCCACAGCCTGGAGTCATACATGAGTTGAGTGAGGAGGGAGCTGGAAGGAATATTTGATGACCAGGTCCTTGATAGTTAACAGCCCTTCCTTTGTTGAGCTAGAAGGCCAATAGGCAGGAGGATGGCTAGACTCGATGATAGCAGGAGGCTCTTGTGGCAAATCAAGGTATTCAACAACATGCTCGACAGAGCTGAAAGGGCAAGACGGATGAGCATAAGAATGTCATAAATGATCCCCACATACTTTAAATCAAGCTCAAGTGTGGTCCAAAACCAACAGGCCCAATAAGCACTAGTGGTAAAGGTCATAGCACTTGTGATACACAAACCCGCGGTACCAACTGAGATGTAGCCTGATAGTGCAAGGAGGGTGGTGGTCAACACAGCCAACCCACCAAGCCCATCAAAGTTCAACAAGAGCCATTCATCTGCCATCCAGAGATTGTATCACATCTGTCACAGAAACCATCAGTGTTATCACACAGTAAGACTGAATTTTAGTCTACCTTGGTAGTAATGTCAATCTTATCATGTAGGTTGTCCAAAAAGTGCTGTTCGGCAGAGAAAGCCCGAACTGTGACAATACCTTCGAGCAACTCACTAGGGCCAGAGAAAATAGGTGATCATGAGTTAAGACTCCATATGAAAAAGATCTCTGTCAGCCTTCAGATACCTGCGAGCTAGGAGGCAGTAGAAGAAACCTATGGCCACAACAGGGATAAGAAAAATCGGGAAAAAAAAATAGGAAGTCAATGTATGAGCATACGATTTATCGAGATGTGAGCAGTGACCTACACGATAGTAAGAATTGCAGCCACAAACATCGCCAATGAAGAGTTAACAGCTGATAAGGAGCTCACAAGATTAGTGTCAATGGTTTCAATATCCTAGAGGCTACCATGCGTGAGTTGATGATCCAAAATTACAGTGCTTTCAGACTCACTTTTCCAAACCTATTGAGCATGCAGGCCAGCCATAGTGATATCATGCCAGCACATCATGGCGCACATGACACCCATCAAGAGCTTGTAGAATGTAGACCTTGATGCCTTCAATGCTCTGTTGTAATGAATAGCAGTTGACAATGCAGTGACTGCTGCAGTGGCGAACCCAATCATCGCATAAACACCAGTGTAGAATAGTGGGTGTTTGTGAACATCAGGCAGCGTGATGGGGTTGAAGCCAGAGGTATTAGCATGGAAGTAGTTGTTTGAGTAGTGTCGATGGTTATGGTAGGGCACATAGCTGTTCATAAGTGCCTCATTCTCGGTCAACACCGAGGGCACCATCGCCATATGCTTGACCTCATTGCTATAACAAACATAAGATGCTGATATTGAAAAAGAGGGTATTGACTAACCCAAACCCAGAGCTTCTCAGTAACGCCTAAGCCCTGTGAACAAGCAATGAGAATCCCAAGCATAAACCACATCCAGTACGACCTGTCCGTAGTCAGTCATGCAACACTAGAAATGTAACAAAACCCTCATGATGCCTTCAAGTATGCATTATAAATTGACCACTTGACGCCCCTAGCCTCCCAGTGCTCATCCTTGATAAGCTTTCAAGGTTTTTTCTTTGATTCTGCAGACATCTCTGCCTCAGTGTCATCTTCCTGTGCTTTGACAGGGATTTCGGTGGCTGCTACAGGCTCCTCTTCTTTGACTTTCGCAGTGGAATCCTGCACAATGTGGTCCAGAATGCCCTGCACACAGAGATTTTTGACAGTACCCTTGGCATCAATGCAACCATCCAGCATGCAGACAATGTAATAAGTGCCAGGGAACACAAGTTCTACATGGTGAGTGACTAAGATCTACAAATAGATTTAATGCTGTGTTGTACCATCATGATTGACAAACATACCACCATACAGTTTGCCATCAATGGTCTGTGGAAGAGTCCCTCATACAAGAACCGGGCAGTATGACTATCCAATTCGCAATATAAGCACAAGGGTGAAATATGAACAGACAGATAGTAGCATTCACCACAGCACTCAATGTATCATCCAATAGGACATACTTCACGTGAGCATACACAGCATGAGCAAGGGCAACACTGAAGACCATGAGCATCCCGAACAAAGATCTAAAACACATTCCTCACTGATGTCATATCCCACAATCCGGACCCATGTTCCATCATATTCCCACGCCTTCCAAGCCTACATCCAGACCCCACTTCATATCCAGCTCATTCCCAGATCCCCTTCCACTGTGCTCCACACCTCAGCAGGATTGACTATGCTCTGGATTTACCCCTGAGTTCCAGACCATCGGATCTCCACTGCTAGCCTGATCCATACCCCCCTGTCCCATCCACCCTATGCATACTCCATCCAGCAAGACATCTGGACTTCACCTTGTCTTGGATTCCAGACTCTATCCACCTTCTCATACCCTGGTCCTGTATCCACCTCATCTTCTGGATCCCCAGATCTCCGGACCTATTCCCACCCTCTGTCCGAGGTCCTGCACCTATCCCCATTTAGGCATCTCTACCTTTCTGGCTTTCAGTTACCTCTTCTTCCATCTTGCTTATTGATCCTTGTATGAGTCTTCATCTCCGAGTTCATTTACTTATGTTCCATCTTGCTTACTAATGTGTTTCCACATGCTCATACATAGCCTTGCTCCTTTGCTTACTGATCCCCTCAGATATTGTTCAGTATATAACCCCTGTAGATACTCCTGTAGTTCCTTAGTTTGAATATCAACTTAGACTTGCCCAATCCTCTCTTGGACTTTGGTCCACCTAAGTCTGTCCTACTCATCAGGCCTATGGATTGATTCCCTAGGCCAGAGCTCCGCCTTCCAGCACTTACCCTCTTTCCAGACTTAGGTCCAATCCCTATCCCTTTGACTCTACCTTAGGGTAGTCTACCCCTGCTTGTTTCTACATTGGACTTTGTCCAATGTAGCCCCTATTCCTTCCGGACCTCCGGATGTTCCATCCTCCTAACCCTTGGACATCCTGTCCTCCAGACCTTTGGACCTTTGGACCTCCCATCCTTCCATCCTGTTTCCTATAGAAGTATTACCTTGTAGTGGGAACTCTCCTGTGCTCCTCCGGGCATTTCCCACACTCCTCCAGAAGTCCTCTAGCACTCCACCAGAGTAGCCAGCCTCTGGAAGTCCTCCAGACTTTGTTGGACCATCATCAGACCTCATCTAAAATGAAGGGCCCATACTCAGGTAAGGGGCACAGTGTATGAGCTGAGGCCAAGCCCCTCTGAGTCAATCTCTCTCCCCCTTGAGCAATATGGTTCTTAACAACCGAGCTTTTTGGCCACCCAACAAGCTGACCTCCCTAGAGCCAATCTCAGTATCATCTCCATCCTCCAAGATATACAAATCTGGCTGCAGTGCACAGCACTTGATGACATTGTTGTACCTCTCCTCATCAAAAGGATGCCAGAATAGAACATTGCCTAGTACTATGGCAGTCCTGCAGATGCACCATGCCTACAAAAGTCTGGTAAATAGGGGTGATAGGGTAACGCTTGCAGGGGTGGGCCTGAAGCACCAAATATGTAGGTGTGATGCAGAATGGTCTTGGGGCTTTGCTGCACGTTGCAGTTGGGTGCCATGTGTGCAGCATTTGTGCACAACAGGTTGATGTACCAGAAGGTGTTAGTTGGAATGGATGCATTGCTTTGGCCAGGCATTCATGATGTCCTTGCAGCATTGAATCCCTCATGCTGGGGCATGCTTAGCATTTGGGAGTGTTTATGGAACAATAGTGCCAGACAGTCCAATCATGTCTTTGACCTAGCTTTGCACTCTAGTGGGTGTCCAATTGGATGTTCACATGTGAACCAAAGGTATGAGCTAGCAGAGGGTGTTCTCAAGGATATCCATCCAAACGTGTCTCCACATCCTTGGGTGGCAAAGGACTAGGTGGATGTGCAAGCACATCCAACAGATTGGGACTATCATGGCACATTAGTTTTCCAATGAAGCACTCTTAGACAGGGTGGCATGCTCTTGGCAGTGCTGGGGTGCAAGGATGTAAGGTACAAAGGTGGATGGTGAGTGAGGTGCCCAGCCAGGGCAGCTTGTCAATGGCAGTGCATTTGAAGGATGGTGGGTATCAAGAGCAAGAGAGTGATATTACATAAGCTGGGACACATTGGTTGTTTGTAGGGATGGACTTTGTGTGTTACATAAGCTCAAAGGGTCTGTACATAGCCTAGTACCATAGGGGTCATTGTGATGAAATGAGCCACTTATTGTATTACTCATTAGTGTGTAACTATCTGTCAGAGTCAAACATCTATGGGGGCATAGATGTTTGACTCCAATAGAGAGTGGTGCATTCAATATGATATAGAGCCGTGCTGAACACATGAGCATCAAAATAGGTTTGAGCAGGCAGTAGAGTTAATAAAGAATGTTCCTCTCCTGGTAACAGCCTGTTCTCCTGATAAAAATCTACATCTGGCCTAAGATGCCGCGCAGTCTAAGCAGAGACACATAACAGCACTGAATGAAACACTGCATGCATCCCATCACCTCTTTGCAACTGCATCGCCCAGCATCTCCATTTTCAAGGCTGGATCTTAAGTGCCTTGATCAAATACTGGACAGATCTCAGGACCTCTCTGCCATTCCATCGCCCAGCCTCTCTATCTTCGAGTGACCAACTGTTATATCACCCCAGATTCCTCAGCTGTTAAGCGCCTTGTGGGGCAGAGGAATAATTGTTGTAGTCATTCTTTGTCTCAGCCAAAGCTGCCAAGGATCAACTGTATTGCTCTTCGAAGGCAATTCTAGAACCATGTGACTCAACCTTCATTGCTGCTGACCTTGCTGGAAGAAGATTTGTTTTGACACCTTGTGAATGCAGCAATAAACTAGCATCCAAGGGCTTTGAGCTCATGTTTGCTATGTGTCTCACCTCTGTCATATGCTTGGCTGCCCATCAGACAGCATGGTTTAACCTCTCTTCACTATTCCAACCCACCACAAGCTCCTGAGCTCTTGACACATCCTGGGTCGTGTAATATGCTGCCTATAATGCTGCTGCATTTTTCATTGGACACAGTCAATGAAACACAGTCTTATCCATGTCTTCATTGACGAAGCCCATCACATGTTAACCTCCGATGAATACAGGAACTTCTTCAAGCTGTTTCACCTCATAACCACCCTTGGTAAACCCATCACATTCCTCACAGCCGAATGCTGTGTTTTCTGTGGCAAGCAGTCCAGTGAAATGCACAGACACCACTCCATACACAATGAGGACTCTTCTTTGAAGATCAATCTTATAGGTGACTAACCTCTGCCTCAGTCCTCAACCCTTCACCAAACCACCTTACAGGATCCCTACTGCCTGCCAAATCTGTGCCCAAGAAAGGGTACTCCTGCCCCTCTGTGGCCAGCACATTTGTCGGCCTACCCTGCTGATCTCTACACACATATATTCACCCATGTTCAAGTAAGTTGACCCCTCCTGCCTCCATACCACACTGACAAGTCCAAAGACCACAGCCCTTCATGATGATGCACCTGGCCGTAGCATCACACCACAAAAAAGGGTATCAGAAGACACCAATTCTCCATATGCAGACACTCTAGTTGGCTAAACGCCCTCCCCTGGAACTGTTATCCATGACAAACCTACAATTCAAGGCCCCTCCCCTACTCCAAACCACCCCTACACAGACAGAGAATCACCACTGAAGAAGAAGCGCCTGCTACTGCAAAGCCCTGACACACCCCTTCACACTACTTTTTGATACCCCATGATCTCAAAACCAAGGTCATACTCCTTCAAAATTACATGAATGACCAAGCTGGAGTCTGCACTTTCCATGCACTGTCTTCTTCACTCCAAATCCTTGAACCCCACATAGATTTATGCACCTGCTGACCTCATCAATGCCTCCCTCTATCTCAGACACTACCATAAGACGATACCACTTACATCAACAAGCCTACCTTGTGCTCATCATGCAGAGGGTGCAAGAGGTTTGAGCACCCCAAAAAGGTTGTGATAATGATTCACTCCAAGATTTTTGGATTGGTATACCATATCTCATATTTACCATACTTGCAATCAGCCAGATTATGTTCGACATTCTTCGAAGTGCAAAGCATGCATGACATAACAGAATCCATCGAATCTTTCACTACCTGGCTGTATTCCCCATCTGCTTACAGTGACATCATCAGCATGGGAAATCCCAAACTATATGACCTCATCTGTGCATTTTTCCAATCAGTGCCACATCTTTTGACATTAGATTGGGCAGTGGCAACATGCGAAGCAACCACCTGTGTGGAGTCCTTGCAACGGGATTCACACATGTTTGCCACCCATTGTCAATGGATATTGAGACTTGGCCAATATATAACAACCTTGTCCAAAGATACCAAGGTTGTAACTGAAGGGCAGGCAGACTTGTTGTGCTACGACATCAATCAGTTCGATCCAAGATCTTTTGCGGCTTTGGATTAGTCTAGGGTCATCATCATTTTGTTTGGTTTACATATTTCGCTCATTATACCCATGCAACACATCTAGCAACAGAATGTATTTTTACTTGTATACACTTCTTGTACACTTAGTTGAGGAATTCAAGCTTTGAGAAAGGTATTCTCATAGGGGATGCTGGATTATCATTCCATGGTGTTCAATTTTGTTTGGAGACTTGTTCCAAATCCATGTCTTATAAGTTGCTGAAGTAGTTCACAACTTCTAAATCTACTTGATTATGATAACCAGTGATACTAGTCATTAACGAATGCCATGAGGCCCGTGAACCAAGTGGAGTTTGTTTCAGCAGATGTGACATTGTGTGACTACCCAAACCAATGGTTCTCAACTACTTTGACAATGCTTTAACATATCAAACATTGAAGTTTGACCAGATCACTAGTCTGTAATTCAGACTAATCATCTGCCTATGTTCATCAGTTTAAACTTCCACCCTGGCTAATATATGATGCCTCAGTGTACAAAGAATCTATTTGACCAACATATAAAAGTTTGTTAGCCAGTATCATCTTAGCACAAGTCTTATATGTCGCAGAAGTCGCAGAAGACTTCTGGACCTGGAAGTAGTTGTAGAAGTTCGAATGATGTGATATTAGTCATACACAATGATTTTGTCCTACCACCAGCACCATCGAGTGTTGAAACATTGACGTTTAACTCTACTGTGATCTCTAGTGTGAAAATTACAATAGACATCATATTGACCATTCAATCATTTGATAACTGGTGCATGCCTACAACTCTCGGCCAACTTACATGATGACCTTGGATAGTTTGATGGATGATGCAGATATGCAAGTCATTCCAGGAACCATCATTCTTCTCCTCAGACTACAGTAGAAGTACATACTAGAAAAAGACATCGATTTCATCAAGCAGCAACCCATCTCAGTGCTATGAATCCCAATAATACTCCAGAAAGTACACTACACATTCACATTCATTTCATGTCATTGTGCAACCACCAACTGGTGGTGAATTATCTTTCATACTTACTGATTGCAGTCCGATTAACACATGGTTCGCTAGCTGACTATCTGCCTATCAATCTCAACTGCTTAGTCTTAGACAACCCTGCCTATATGTTCTCAGTCAAGATTATACTGATGGACACTGTCAGTGACTTGAGAAGGGCTATCAAAGAACAGAATAAGGAGGAGTTCGATGTTGTTGCTGTTAGTCATCTCAAGATGTGGAAGGTTAGTATTCTGCTGCCATGATCTGGCAAGCTAGTCCTAATTGTATAATGCTTCAAGGTTGATACAGTGGCTCAAAAAACTGTCCGCATGTTTTGACATTTTTCACTATCTATGATATTGTGTGAGAATGAACAAATGGCTCAAGGACATGGTTATACCACATTGTAGTATGGCTTGAGGGCTTTCATTTGAGCCCTACACCGTGGGAATCGGTGGAGATATGGTGGAGATATAAGGCTCACAAAATGGTGACTCATGCAGACAGTTTTTTGACTCAAGTATTTTACAATAATAACCAGGTATTCTAGTATTTTGTATGACCTCCCTTGGCTTTAATTACTGCCTCTATCCTCCTAGGCATACTCTCAATTAATTTCTGGCAATCCTCAGCTGTGATCTTCCCCCATTCCACTGCTACTCTCTCCCAAAGCTCCCATACTCCTTTAGGGGGGTTTTCATAGGCTTGAAGCTTTTTCTTGAGTGTTCCCCAGAGATGTTCAATGACATTGACATCAGGAGACTGTGCTGGCCAGTCAAGAACATTGATGTTATGTTCTTCAAACCATTCCTTAGCTCTTCTGGATGTGTGCTTGGGATCATTATCCTGTTGGAAAATGATATCTTCTTCATTAATCCCTGATTCTGCCAAGCTAGGCAGCAAGTGGTCATTTAAAATGTCCACATACTGCTCAGCATTCATCTTCCCCTCAACCTCAGCAAGCATTCCCACACCATTCCATCCCATACAGCCCCATACCATTAAAGAACCTCCTCCAAACTTGACAGTCCCATTAACCTCTCTGTCTGTTAGGCCATCTCCCTTCTTTTTCCATACATATACCTTCCCATCTGACCCAATCCTATTGATTTTGGTCTCATCTGACCATATAACATGCTTCCAGTCCTCTACAGTCCAGTGTTGATGAGCTAAGGCAAAGGCTAGTCTTCTCTGCCTATGTTTGATGGAGAGAAGAGGCTTTTTCTTCTTTGTTACTGCCTTGAGAACATTTCTCACAGTTTGTGAAGAGACAGGGGTAGTGATGGTGGAATTGATATAATGGGTGGCTTGGATAGCATTATCAGCCTTTCCTGTAGTGATATGTTGGATAATAGCCCTTTTGTCAGTAAAGGTAAGCTTGGATGGACGTCCTCCACAAGAGTTTTCCTTGTCTGGGTGGCTTTCTTTAATAAACTTGGCCACAGTGGACTTGCATACTCCAGTTCTAGAGGAAATTTGGCAAGCAGAGAGGCCAGCATAAGACAGAGAGAGGATATTATCTCTTTGAGCAGAGGAGATGGCTTTCATGGTGATTATGACTATGATACATGAGATATTCTGGTTTATATAGTTAGATATAGTCATAAAATAACATAATGACACCACTTCATAATTTATATAATAGTGGCATGATTTTTGTGGTGTCATAAATAATGATTTATATAGTTTTAATATACACTCAAAAAACTGTCCACATGAGTCATCATTTTATAAGCCTATCCATATCTCCACCGATTCCCACGGTGTAGGGCTCAAATGAAAGCCCTCAAGCCATACTACAATGTGGTATAAGCATGTACTTGAGGCATTTGTTCATTCTCACACAATATCATAGATAGTGAAAAATATCAAAAAATGCGGACAGTTTTTTGAGCCACTGTATCTGCTAGGAAAAGGAGAGGGAGGTTCTCCAGGATGATGTCAAAGAGCTTGACCCACTTATCCGACTCTCCCAAGTGCCCATTGTCGGACCGGAGGACAGGCACATTCATATATTCATGCAACGCCCCCATAGTAAGTGGTGCTGATTTAATATGGCAGCTGAGCTGACAGCTGCCTCACAGTGGAATCCATCGACTGCTTTGAAATTGCACATTGGTACAAAGGGAAGGTCATAACCAGTAGTACAAGGGGAATTCCATAGCTAGCACAGTGATGTTCCTTACAAACTTCACTTAGGTTTCAATGGAGCAGGGGCCACCAGTGCAGCCCTGCTCCACCCTGGAACAAAAGAAGACAGGGCTGGGGCTGGATTCTGGGAGGGTGGATCTGTCATAGGATCAGCAAAGGTAAGTGTAAAGTAAAGGAGAGGCACTTACTAGATTGAGCTGCCAGGAGGCTGATAACATCACCAAAGCCCACTCCCCAGTCTCTTATCCTTGCCAGAAATGCAGCAACATCATCCTCCTGTTGCAACTTGGGTACTTTTGGCACCCTGACATCTGGGCTAGAATCTGCTGCTTGTTTGAGAGGTGAAGTGTGCAAATGTGGAAGTGGCCCCTCACCTACTAAGTCAGACTCTTCTCTCATCTCTTCTGTCACCCTGCAAGAGGGGAGTGCAGAAGTTGAGGAGGTGGCAGGCCCCTAGCATTTCTGAGTTTTATGAAAGACAGAACAGAAGAATGAGCCCTCACTTGAGCTCCTGCCTCTAATCCCATGCCTATGCTATCCTCCCCAGCATCAGAGGCAGCCCCTGGGCCTAGGGAAGTAGAACTGGAAGGGACAGCAAACTTCTCTACTAATGACCCCTCAACTGCCGAGGCAGGGGCCAACTTCCCAACAACAGTCTCATTCCGGCCTTTATCTACTCTCTTGCTAGAGGCCATCTTCTTGGTCTTACCCTTAGGCTTGGCTTTGGTCTTGGCTACGGCCTTGGGCTCCTTAGGAGGAAGTTCCTCCATCTCAGAGGCCTTGTCATCTAGTCCCTCATCCTGTTGGAAAATAGCCCCTATGCAGTGTTTCTTGTCAATTTTTTATACCAGCCAAAGTGGAAAACTCACTTAAGCTAGGCATTGCACCTATAAAGGCATTCAACACAGCAGCCTTGTCAAAGAAGAGGTTATTTAGAAAGACATCTTGGGTGTTTGCAGCAACAAGTCGGTAAACATGGACGGTCTTCTGCTGGGAGGGGCAATAGATCTGCCCAATCAGCTGGCTTTCTTCTGTGGCTGACCAGAGGCAGTCCTATCTGAAATAAAAATGAGAAACTGAAGGCAGGGGAGATCAAGAAGACTCACAATGATTATTAATATACTGGCACAAGGTAAATTTAGGCCAGTTAGCCTTACATTGGAGACAATCAATACCCTAGGCCCATCCCTTGCACTATTTTTGAATTTAGTGATGATTTTCATCCTAGTGGGGATGGTCATTTTGCCGTGGATCTGCAATGCCTGGATCTCATGAAGTTGGAGAACCTGAGTTTAAATAAATTAGCATTGAATGAAGCATAAGGGGAAAATGATAGCAGAAGTACCTTCATGATTTGGGGGTAGCTAGATGGAAAGGTGCAGTACACCAGAACTTTGTCACAGGGGGCACCGCCTGCTAGGCTGGTCTCATTCACTGAATTGACCAAAGGTATGAGATTGTCTTCCACAACTCTTAGTGGAGCTTGGGCATCCAGCTTGAGGTGCCATCAGATAACTTCTACCAGAGTATCTAATTTTCAAGAAGGGTCCCTCCTCCACTCCTCCAAAGTAGAGGGGTCTGCCCACAGGCGTCCTGGGTTGCAGCTAGGGTGTAATAAAGCTTTATGCACTCAGATGTAAAAATCCTTGAGACATTATATCAGCAGAGGCCACTATAAGAAAGGTAGACAAAGGTACTGAGCCACCAGCAAACTTTGCTGCTGTAGAAGCACCTCCCTTCTCTACTAGTTCTTGGGTGATTAGGTCAAGATTCTGTACCTCCTGGTCATATAGCTGTACCAAGAGAGAATGGTCCTCAAATGCAGCTAAGCTGGAGATTTGGAGGCTAACGTTGTCAACTGACCAGACAGAGCAATAAATCACAAAGCCTGCAAATTGCTGATGAATGATGTGGATCCACTTCAGCATCTGGTTTTAGTAAAGACTAGGAATTTGAACTTGGGTATCACCCTTAAGGTTTGCCATGATAATGGTCTTGTCCCTGTCCCCTCATTTGAAACACTGCCTGATCTTTGGCCGCAGACTTGCGGAGTTCACACTCCATTTTTTCTGCCTCACCATCATATGGGCTGCCAAAGGCTTCCATACCAAGGCATCTTCCCAGATTCCAGATGTCCTACAGAATGAAGGGGCAGGAGTTGAGATTAAAATTAGAGCAGGACGTTGAGAATAAGGTGCTTCACTTACCATCAGTCGATTGGTGATCGGGGTAGCCATCATGGTAACAATAGATTCGGATCTCTTGCGAAGGGCAAATAAGGCCCAATAACTTTTTTTGATGTTTCTGAGGTTTTGGGCCTTGTCCACCCCCACCAGCAAGAAATGCCAACCATACACCATAGTAGAGACTTCAGCAGGGTAGCTAGCCCTCTGTCAAGGGCTCTGAGTGGGGGTGAGGTGGTTTCCCTCCAAAACATGTTCAAAGTCAGACTCTAATGCCTAGGGTACAAAGAAAAGCTCTATCAGAGGCCAGCTAACTAGAAATGAAAATTGACATTTACTTTGGGAGGGATAATAAGGATCCATCACCCTTCAGGCAGCTTGGGCATAGTCCAAATATTCTTCCACCACAAGGCTCAACTGTTACTCCAAATGCCATTGTAAGGCAGGATATCAAAGCTTCCTTGCCGAAGGTATTGATGCAATTCTGAAGTGAACTGATGGATTAAGGCTGCCAGTATGACCAAAATGATGGAAAGATCTGGAATATTGAGGGTGTCGCCCCTCCATTGCTTTCCAGCTATTCTGAAGTAGGTTAGCTTTGAGTCTCAAAGGGTAAGGGGAGGGACTTGCCTATTTTTCCTGGAAAGCATCCATTAGTTGTATAATACTCACGATAAAATGCCAGTATGGCAATTAAAGCCATGACTTGGATGGTTTTTCCTAATCCCACTTTGTCCATAAGTAAAATAGGCTTTCCAGAAAAAGCATTCTGGACCATTTTGACCACCCCAACCAGCTGATGCCAGCAGAGAGCTAGGTGCTCTCCCCTTCCAGAATATTTGAACCAGTCCTCTCCCTCCTTGGTCCATGGATCATGATTTCCATAGGGATCTTGAAGGGTGTTGAAAAACAGCAAATGCTGGTCTGGAATCCCCAGGAGAGCCCAAAGGTGATCCTTTGACATATGATTGAATGCCTCCACCCCTTTGGACCATTCAAAATTATAAACATCCTCGCCATCAAGGTTGAGTTTGGGTACAGAATCAGAGGTCTCAGCATCAGGGTCGCAGAGCTTAAGCTGTTCCTGGATCAAGGCTGCCAGCAGAGTAATATCCTTCTCTGATGCTAGGAAACAAAGGGCATCCCTTAGCGGCTTGGGTAAACCTATAAGAATACATTAGAAAGTGGATGGGAGTGTGGTGCTGGGTTGACCTATGCAACTGGTTCTGGCCCTTGTGATCTATACCTAAGGCTTTAAGTATATCGCTAAGGGTTTCCCACTGCTCTGCTAGGTTCTTAAGGGATTCCTTGTCCCCATAATGAATGAGGATCTTAGTGAGTCCCTCTATGTCCTTCAGCCAGGTTCTAATGAGCTCTGTATCAGGACGCTCTCCCCCCTCCACAAGGTCCATGAGCACTAGGCCAACTGTGGTAGGTGTTAGAAAGTATAAGAGAAAAGAGGATGGAGAAAGGGCACCTTTCCAGGCCTGTTGAACTCGGACACAGCATGGTTCAAGTCTCCCCCTTTCTCATTGAATAGACTTCCTGTGCCTGGACCAATGGTGTACCATAAGGTTGTTGAGGAAGTGCTGAACCAGTTCCTTAAGAGCAATGCAATCCTCCATGAAGGCGTCCATGCCAAAAAGTGCTTCTCCAATGCTAGGATAGGCCAAGGTTATTTGAGAAGTAGCCAGTTCTGGCAGCTGATGGAAGAGTGTGAGGTGGGGCAGAGGCATAGGCTGGAGTAAATGAAATCTCACATTCGAGATCCTCATACGTCTCATGATTGAATACAGGTCCAGGGCATGCTCTGCCAAAATGGTGTCCACAGTGCTAGTGACCTTCCAGTGGCCCCACTGCACATTGAAGAAGGTCAATCACAAGCCACGCCCCTTGGCGTCATTGTCCCGAGGTAGGCATCTGATATAATTGACTTGCTCTGCCTCTGAGAGAGCCCAGAAGTTAGAAATAAAAGTTGAGACTGCCTTAGCTGCCTCAGAAGTCTTCCAGGGGCTCGAGGTCTCCACCGTTGCTGCTACTGCTGGGAATGGAACTGAAGCAAGACCAGTGCATTCTTGCCACTTAGGCCAACACCAAGGGGGGTGGAGGGTCTTGATCTCCCTGTGCTCCCCAGAAGTAGGCACCAAGTCATCATCCTCAGAGTCTCCTTCATTCAGAGAAGGTGCCCCAAGAGCTAGAAGGGCCCCAGCTGTCACTATGGTGGGCATCTTTCAAGAGGTAAAATAGAGTGAAGGGGCAATTTTGGTTGGTGTGAAAGGAGTGCAGGAATGCCAGTAAATACCATTCTAGAAACAAAGCCTAGAGTAATGTAGAGCATGGAATTCCATCAGTAGTAGCTGAAAATATCACTTAGGAATAGAACTGCCTCCAAGATTTTTGAGCATGCAGTCATGGTAATGTGACGGTGGTAATCTTCCATGAAGTACTAGCGGTAGTCACTGGCAAACTGCAATAGCCACATCAGCTGAAAGCATCGCTTAGGAATAGAACTTCCATATCACCTTGGCTGTGGGACTTTCAAATATCATCAGATGTCGTCATCAGTAGTATTTAGTGACTGCTCACTGCATACTATCACATCATTCAACAACTTGCTTGTGCCAATGTATTGAGCTGATGGAGAAGCAGTTTTTAAATTTGCAGGTGTCTCTGCTGCTCCTGCTTGAGCTATCATCACTAGGCATTGGCCGGGGGAACATCATGCCCAAGTTCATGTCAGATCATGCTGTAACCTTTTACTAACAGCGGGGAAATTAACATTTTACCATTTGCTACTAGTGGAATTACATTTGAAAGGCAATCCAGAGTGCTCTGGAACACTCTAGGCTAGGTCTGGGATGCTCTAGCCAGGTCTAGATGGCTGAGGAATAAGAGGTGTGTTCATTTGTCAATATTTGATTCCGAGCATTGGTGTGCTGCTGACCTTTTTACTATTTGGGCATGCGGAGGGTTACCTACATCTCCTCACCAGTGACCCATGCTAGAATCTGTCAGCAATGCAGCAGCTCACCATAACATATGACATCCCTCATTTGTGAACACAGGGTCCTATCACATACACACGAATTCTTGTTTGCTCATGCCCCCAATTACAGACTCGTGAAGTACTTACAACCAATAGATGTGCCTGTATATGGAGCTTCAAGTCATGTGAATGATCACTGTGCCTGCTTTTGTACTTTCTTCATCTGCAGGTGGTGAACAATCAACCATATGGAAGCAGCACATTATGAATGGAGGGATCACATGCATGTCAAGGGCTGTTGTCCTCAACAGATTTACTACTGATGGGCCTTTTCATTATGATACTCATCTGACACTCAAGCCATAGTGGATGTATGCAGGCATGCCAATTGCATTTAACAGCTGGCATTTATGCACACCTGCTTACGACCACGATGCCTTCAACTTTAGTTCCTAGTTCCTCTGGTGAGAACAAGTACCATTCACAAAGCACCACCCTTCAGGTGATTTTTGCGGTGCATGCAGAGCCCTTGACTGACTGACTTCCTAAGCATTGATTCACATGTGCTGAATGGCACTCTGAGGGTATGGAGGTGAAGTCCTAGGCATTGAGCCATGCACCAGTGATTCTTCAAGCCATAGGGGCTCAGCTGGAGTAAAGCCCTTGGGCCCACATCTGAGGCTGTGAAGCAGGTAAGCACCGCCACTGGTGAGTGGCATTTATAGTGAGCAATGCAGATGGTTTACCTCAGACAGCTTTTGGTGGGGCATACATTAGCCCAGCATATGCATTCTTTATCTGCATCTGCAAGTGCAGTGCCAGGTCACTAATGCACCCGAGGGAGCTCATGCCCTCCTGTAGAGCAGTGCCATAGTCATTTTCGAAAATCAGCTGCTCATCCTGCAGGGCATCCGCAAGCAGAAAGCTGTGGCTGGTTGCCAGCTTAATGGGGAGGCCAATGGGCAGCAGCCCATAGAGCAAAAATTCACACTCCAAGCATGTTTGACGCACTAGAAAGAATTAAGGCAGTATGTGAGCCTGAGTACATGGGATCAGGGATAGCAGGTGGGAATGCAGTAGTTGCTACTAAACCTAAAGAGGGCTCAAGCTGCCCATGCATCTGCACCCTTTGGCCAGGCCAGGGTCAGTCCATGCTACTTGGAGCTTCAGCAGGTAGCTGCGAATCCTGGTAGAGATCACATGGATGCAGGAATGAAAGGCATAGTTGCTCACCATCATTGCTGCAGCCTGCCACTCATAACGTGTGGGGTGCAGAGGTAGTTGAGGTTTTAGGCTAAAGCACTTGAGGGTTTGTAAGGTGTGTGCAGTTTGAAATCCCATCATGGCACAAATCGGCAGGTGGCATTTCTGCATGACTTCAGCACTTTTGACTATCTCACTCAATTCTGCTTCAATCATGGTTGTTCAACCTCATAATGAGTTTTATTAGAGATATCTATGCTAAGAGTTTTGTGTTGAAGTAACTAGAAATACAAGTTTCATGAAAGTGCAGACTTCTGTGGGGTGCTGATTGTAGTTGAAGGGATAGCATGCCGAAGGACTGATCACCTGCAAATTGACCAGCAGAGGGTGGTTTGAACCTAGTGTGAACCTGCAAGCAAATGGATCAAACTAGTGCTTACTAAGCGAGCAAACGTGTATGTACACCACAGCATCATTGATGTGCATCCTTCCTGTCGTCTTTCCTTTCACGTCAGTTCCATTATCGGGGCTGGTGTGATACTGGTTGAAGTGTATTTTGCAGGCTGAGTAGTGAAATGAATGGAGCCGAGCACATGACGCCAACGAATGAGAGAAAATGAGCTCTCAGATGGAGCATAATGAGGCACATGGTTTGCATCATTGCCAAAGAAATTGTTGCCCTGTATCAAAATCAAGTTAGTAAGACCCAAGGATCGAAAAAACTACACTAACATATCTCGCTAAACCTCTAGTATTGGTTTGTTTTGGTTGAGCTGAATGTCCCTAGTAAAAAGGTGAGAATGAGTGGGAAAGAGACGCAGGACCAACTTACCTTGAGCCCCAGGTCAGGCTTTGCATTAGCATCATTCGTGCCCTAAACAACAACCAAAATATAAAAGATGTCAAGGCACAATGCAGATGTGCACACCCTGCTGTTTGAGCACTGCTTCCACACTCCATACATAGACCTTTGCATCTAATCCAGCACTGGCAGTATTTTTTCTATCAGGGGACATGACCACAGCAATGAGTTCATTGTCATGCAGGAGTAGATCCCCAACTTGCTGATTTGTCTTGGGGTCCCAGATGGGAATGGAGTAGTCAGCTGATGCACTCACGAGATAGCTTTCGTTAGGTGATGGGCAAATGGATCTGACAGCGTTGGTATGACCCCAAAGGACGACAAGTTCCTCTCCATTAGTTGATCGTCATTTTTGGATAGTTTTATCAGTTGATGTGGAAAAGATGTAGGTGTTGATTTCTTCCATGATGTGGACTGAGTGTTGCAGTTGATGAAGTAGGACTGACCAAGTGGTGAGATGTGTCACTTGCACCTGGCAACAGCAGGTTGTCCAGGATAACCTATGCTTCGTCATGAGTCCCTCGCTCCTCTGTAGTGGTGCTTTCCCTGCTCACCTAGTCGAACTCCTAGTAAAGGTCGATTCAAAGTGATGGAGAGTACATCATCTTGATATCATGTTCCACCAGCCAGCATCTTATACCATTGCCATTGAGGAGGGAGCACATCATTCCCACCTGCTTCTTGTTGAGTAAGTCAGTGGGTATCCCAACATGATTTGCTCACCTTCCCAAAGAGCATCCTGGTAGTGTTGTGCACCATATGGCGGTCTCATACATGCTGATGAGTCAAACAGTGCTACTCCCCCTCTAACAGATGTGCTTGGCTCAGCCTCATCACAGAGCATGAATCTGATTGAGAAAGGACAACGTGCTTTACAGACAGGTAGACAATGAGCTTTGAGATAATGCGCAAAATAAGAGTTGAGGAGAATAGATGGTGGAGAGGTGATGAGTGGACCTGCTAGGCGCTTAGATTTGGTTGATCCTGCAGTTACACCTTGTGGAGAACATACGTTAGTGGCAGTGAGGCGACTTCGGTTCAAATTTCAATGCACCTTGGTTTGTTCCATATCACTAACTACTTGCACTAAATCCATCAGCAGCGAGCACTAAGATATGGAGTTTGCATGAGCCCAGACCCTGACATATATCCAGACACCTGGACCAACAGTGAGAGTCAATTTTGATTGTAAGAAGTGAACATGTAATTGTGCATTATGGATCGGATGATAGTATGTACGGAATAATTGTGGGAACCTGTAAGGTTTTGCACCTGTTCATCACATGAGTCTACCAGGTTAGACTTGCAGCCCAAGTTCAGAATATCGGCTTAGGCTAGCATACATCACTACTCCAACATGCAACCCCCTGATGAGGATTTATGTGGCATTCAGGTCTCCCTGAGTGAATTTGTCTCCATTGCTCAACATTTGTCCACACTAGAAGACACGGAGGATTTTCTTCATTTTGTACTTGCTGGATGCCTCTGATGGGATGATATGACAGCTCACATATTCCTAAATGCCAGACAAGGAGTGCTTGCCCCTCCTATGTCTCAATACCAACTGCACAGAGACATTGACTCTGTTATAGGCGTTACATGCAATCTCCCATTCAGATTGCCCATGTCCATTTTCCCCTTGGTATCATTTCGCAATAGCCTCACAGAAGATAACCATTTAAAATGCACCCTATCTTACCCCAAGGTGGGAAGACTTCTATCGAACATCCAGTATTCTGACAGATTCACCTTCACCAGAACATTGCAGGGGTTCCACTTTACAAAATTCCCAACATGCCTTTGGGAAAAGTTGGCTGACACAACATCACCTGCATCTTCTTCCCCAAACTGTACGACCCAAGTAAAAGTTCTGCCATTCCCCCAGAGACCATAGCTCTCATCTACAATAAATGTCTTTGGCCTGTGGTGTTACAGATGCGGTTACCCCCCTATTCATTCTCTTAAACTGTGTATTATGTCATGACCGCACCCGGCTGTGCCATCATTAGACTAACCGATTGCCATACTTGTATTACATCGCGACCGCCATGTGCCATCGCTAGATGACTCATTTCCTCTTATCTCTGACTCGTCTATGACGTATGCGTCCACGACCCCTTATCTCTGACTCGTCTTGATGACATATACGTACCTGCCCTAAAGTAGGCTACACCTATATAAACCAGGTCCTGTACTTAGATAGACTTCACTTTAATCTACTAGGTCTTACCTGAACTATCCTTCGCTTAGGACCTCCAATCCTAAGTCGTCTGATAACCAATATTCAAGCCAGAGACACTCTCTCTGACTTGTCTTAAGAACCTTACATTTGTAAGGACACGATCCGGCTTCAGGCGTGCTCTTATCGAGTACCTGTCGTCGCGCCCATCCTAGTCTGTTGTAACATGTGGTCATTAGTCTCAACCCAATTGATCAGAGTCAATGGTTGATTACTCATTCTGCCGCCATGACTTTATATTGGGATCAGAAAGGACAGTTCCACTTTGGTACACTGGATTTTCTGACACATCTCCTCCAACAGCTGGGACTTAAAGTTCTAGAGTTGCTTCAGACCCAAGATGGGTTACAGGATGCATTTTTTGTTCATGAGCTAAGGATAGAGCAGAGAGCATATTGCTGGAAGCTTCTTGCCAGCACATGCTAGCTGATGCAAAGGGGCCAGGCACTCATCCTATCATGTATGGTAGAGGAACGTACTTCCTGTCAGACCTAGTGAAGGACACTGGAGCTTATCACCTGCCCAACACCAGACCGATTAACGCTGAAACCTTGCTGACCCTGTATCAAAGAGATTTTGTGGAAGACATTGAGGTGGAATTCTCGGAATCCCACTCATCAAGTCGGTCAAAAAACCCACACCTCAGCCACCATCCAAGGAAGTGCAAGACAACTCACGCACTCCATGACTCAAGCAGCAGCGAGGAAGGTTCTCAGGTTGAGGGAAATGTGGCAGAACTGGATATAGGAAGCCACCGCCCTGCATTCAACATCCATTCAGGGAAGATTGTAGATTCAACATCTAGCAATCTATCTGCCATTCAGCATCAGTTTGCATCTGATGTCTTTCAGCTGGTACCATCTCCAAAGTTAGCCTCTGAGCCTCCTTGGATACTGCTCAATGCAGTGGAGAGGCAGGGAGCTAGGGTGGACATATTTGATTCACTGGACCTTGGTGGAGTTTCTAGTCAGATTCAGTATCAAATCACTAGCAACAGCGACTGGAATGACTTGGTATTTGGGCACTACTTTCTAGCCAAAGGAGCCTTGACAGTTAAGGCTCTTCAGCAATTTCCATCTGCATCCTACTATCAATGATGGCTGTCCCTCATGGAGGGGCTAGATGAAGAAAAAGCTGATAATATTCGAAACCTTCACCAGACATGATTCAATGGATTCTGCTGGGTGCCCCACCCCTCCAGTGACCATATGTGGTTCATCAAAAGAGGTGGCTGGGAATGGACCTTCTTGCCATCTGGAGAACCCAGGAATTGCCCCTGCCTGGCACTCAACCCCAGATTCAATGGCAAAAATGTAGCTGTGGTGCTGGGTGAGCAGCAGGCTGATATGTAGGACCAGGTTTTACAACAGTCTCATAAAGAGTCAAGCAGTAACGGGCATCAGATATAACACTGTAACCTACTGGAAACATATGACTGTTTTGGACTACTGTGCAAGTGAGTTCTCTGCTGCATGTAAGCATCGCAAAATGCCCGCTCCACCGTCCCTGTATCTGAGCGGATCATAATGACAGCAATCAACATCTGCCGAATGCGGGTGTTTATACGTGCACTCCATGGTGGTGACAGCACTGAGTTCCACAACACTGGGACAGAAGAGCTCCACTTCGATGAAGTAGCTATGTTGCTGGAAATGCACCTCGCTAGGCTTTTGAATGATGAAAAAGGCCCTCAATTCATGGTATCTTGACTGGAATTGCATGAGCCATTAGACAAGTTATTCAAAGAGCTAGGTGATAGATTGGTACTACCAAAACATATCAGAATGTTGAGCGGGGGGAGTGAGTGGCAGGAGTGAGTGGCAGGTGGTCGACAATCAGCTTCAAATGCACATCCTGAGGAGGGAAGGGGTCAATAACCAGGTTGTCTTTCCAGAGAGATGACTAGTCTGAGTCACAGACTAATGATCTAGTCAAATGTCAATGTTGACATGTTATTACATAAAAGGGTTGTCAGAAGTAGTTGAAAGAATCATGTAATTTTCCATAATGACAATTCAGTTATCACTTGTTGCTTGTTTGCATAAGGAACTAAGTTTTAAAAGTTCTGCAACCACTTTGACAATTTCAAGGACATATAAGACTATGAGGACTATGACAACTTCAGCGACTTCTGAGACATAGACCCATGTGACTACTTCGAGGACCTCAAGGACATATAAGACATAAATTCAGGAGCAGCTAGAAACAAAAAATTTGATACCATGAAATGATAGTCCAACATTCTTTCATCCAAATTCACCCTAGGACTATGTATCGTACAAGTACAGATCTTGAAGTCCTCAACCCAATAAGTATATGAGAAGTGCGTGTAACTAAAAGTACATTCCATTGCTAGATATATGCTATGTGTGATTTTCTGCTGCCCCTTTCAAGCAAGAGATATTTTTGGTCCAGATAGATGGGATGTGGAGCCGAGAGGGTGTTCAGTGGGCCAATGAGGTGCTGGGGGTTGGAAAAGACCCGCCAATCAAGTCAGTGAGAGAGACAACAAATTGCAAAAAACCATAGCGGGACATCCGGATATTGCATTCTCCATAGACACAGCCTGATTTCAGTCCTCACAGATATAACCAATAGCTTTCAAGGTGGCAATCTTCATAAGTGAGGTCGTCCCTGCATGAGTGTGAGGCACCCACGCCATGGTGGAGGGGAGGACAAAGGAGGTATTGGGATATCTCAGACTATTGCTGCATGCCAGATGCAATATGCAGCTGGAAGTTCAGAGCGCTTGTGCAAATGATTGGTCCTGATCTCCTCAGCACTACAAATGTTTCGGATAACTTCTGCAACTAGTGAAAACATGTAGAGCCATGCAGTACTGGAAAAGTACAGCGAGGTCCAAATGAATGTAAGCGAGCCCAAATTACAAAAACAATGTGTGACATTGACAAGTAAACCAAGAGGGTTCAGAAATGGTGACCCAACACTGTGCCTGCAGCAAGTGTGAGCATGCAGTTGAGAAGAAAAGGAACATTCATATGATGAAGGGATCCAGTTGAGCCCCACTATGGGGGCATTGCAGAGGAGATGATGGGGGTCTGATGAATGACAAATCAAAGCCTTGAAGGATCTTGGACAATAGATCTTCTGAATGTCTGAATAGCTGTTAAGAACCATGTTGCTCAAGGGGGAGAGAGACTGACTCAGAGGGGCTTGGCCTCAGCTCATACACTGTGCCCCTTACCCAAGTATGTGCCCTTCATTTCATATGAAGTCTGATGATGGTCCGATGAAGTCCAGAGGACTTCTGGAGGCTGGCTACTCTGCTGGAGAGCACTAGAGGACTTCCAGAGGAGCATGGGAGAGTTCTGGAGGAACACAGGAAGTGCTCAGGAGAGTTCCCACTGCAAGGTAATACTTCTACAGGAAACAGGATGGAAGGATAGGAGGTATGAAGGTCTGGAGGACAGGAGGACAGGGGGACAGGAGGACAGGAGGGCAGGATGATGGAGGACAGAAGGACAGGATGTCTGAAGGTACAGAGGGCAGGATGTCTGAAGGACAGGAGGATAGGATGTCTGAGGGTTAGGAGGATGGAACATCCAAAGGACAGGATGCCTGGAGGTATGAGGGACAGGAGGTCTGGAGGTCTGGAAGGAATAGGGGCTACATCGGACAAAGTCCAATGTAGAAACAAACAGAGGTAGACTACCCTAAGGTAGAGTTGGAGAGATGAGGGTTGGACCTAAGTCTGGAAAGAGGGTAAGTGCCAGAAGGTGGAGCTCCGGCCTAGGGAATCAATCCCTAGGCCTGATGGGTAGGACAGACTTAGGTGGACCAAAGTCCGAGAGAGGATTGGGCAAGTCTAAGTTAATATTCAAACTAAGGAACTACAGGAGTATCTACAGGGGTTATATACTCTCCATGCCCTCAGTCAGATAATGAAACAACGTCTCATTGTATGCCCTGAAATGCATCACTGTCAGTTACTGTCAGTTGGCATTGGATAAATGCACTGACTTACTCGACCAAGTTTTCAAAGTGGTGGAAATGCATCAAATACTGTGCTCATTCAAAAATGGTTGCAAGGCTGTCTAGGCACCAGGGTTGTTCCAGTTTCATTCCGTATTGATGCGTTTGCTGCTGTAATTGACCCCATATGAGAATTTCATTAGCCCTGTTCATGACTTGGGATAGGGTTAACCAGATAAAATCTACGTCTGCTTCGATGTTGTGCAGTGGACATACTTCCCCATTGACATTCATGAATTTACGGTATTCAGATGAATCACCTCTGAGATGTAACTCTTGCAAGCGTCATTATATTGATGTTCGACAGGCATATGATATGGATGTGAAGTTAGATAAAAGGCTGGAGCTTAAGCACGAAAATCAAAATGACGGATTAGATGTCAGGCTAAATGATCATATTCAAGTTAGGACAAAAGGAGTATTAAGAGTCAGGACAAGAGTATTAAGAGTTAGGAATCTGTGATTGGCATGCATATGGATCTGATACATCATCAGGGTGTTTGATCCATGCATTCTATATCCACTGAGGGCAAGTAGCCAAATGTGAATGTTTGATGTGAGCATGAGTCAGAATATGAAACAACAGTGTTTGACGATACACCCTAGTGTGGCGAGGTCACTCTACAGGCAGTATGTTAAGATGTACAATAACATCTGCTTTGAATTATGGAGCAAAGGTTTGTACTTGAGGAACATCGAAGTGTTTTTGGATAGAAGAGCACTGGCATGGGAGGTTGAAGCAAAATGTGGCAACTTGAGAGACTTCCAAGACTTTGGCAACATCTGCTTTGAATTACGAAGCAAAGGTTTGTATGAACGTCAAGGTGAAGAGCACTGGCATGGGAGGTTCAAGTAAAAAGTCAAACTTGGGAGACTTCCAAGACTTTGGTGACATCTGCTTCAAATTACAAAGCAAAGGTTTGTGCAAAGATCCAGGTGTTTTGTTGCCTCATGGTGGGAGGTGCAAGTCAAAAGTGAGAACTTCGAGACTTCCAAGCCCTTGGTGACATCTGCTTCGAATTACAGAGCAAAGATGTGTAGTTGTAAATATTAGGATTAGAGACTACAGAAACTTTGACCACAACATCTGCTGTGAATTATGAAGCAAAGGTTTGTACTTGAGGAAAGGTTGGAGCATTTTGGATTGGAAGGCACCAGTGTGAGTTCAAATCAAATGTGGCACCTTGGGAGACCAGACTGGTGACTTTAACAGCCTTAGTGGCCCCTGAGACTTTAGACATCAGGCTTAGAGGCTATAGAGACATCAGCCACAAGCATCTGCTTCGAATTACAGAGCAAAGGGTTGTGCTTGACAAACGTCAGAGTGTTTTGAATACTAAGGTAGATGACATGCAAATCCAATGAATGTCATGTGATGTGACTGTGCTGTGACACTGTGCAGATAACCTCTTGCCAAATGTGCCAAATGTGCCAAACATTAGTTGAGGTTCGGATTGATGATGAGCAACATTGACAGGTAGTAGATATGTAAGTACATTATGTGCAAGTACTAATTGAGTGGGGAGTATATAGTAAATAATACAGTTAGTGTATGCAAGGCCTGTCAGGCAGATGTCACAGACTCAGAGGGGTGAAAATCATCAAACTCCTTCATGATGCTTCTTCATCAGCATCATGACACATTTCATCAGCCCGTTCCAAGATTTCTTTGAGAACAAAAGAAGTATCTGGCTGCTTCTGTTTGCGCCAGCGCACTCCTCGAATAGTGATGATGTCTTCTTCATCCTCAATCTCCTTGCATGTCACAGAGTATTTATTGGAGTGTTGAGAGGCTCCCAATATTGACATTACAGGTGTCTTGCTACTACTATTGACAGCCACCGGCTTGAAAAATGCAGCTGCTTCACATCAGAGATGAGTTTTGGTCTGTGGTGTGTATGGAGAGCCTCGCATGAGTGGTTCTCTGAACCAGGTTGCAATTGTGGATTTGGTGGATGCATCTATATGCTATGCAAGACCATGAGACTCTAATCTTAGGACACAAAAGTACCACTTGTCACAAGAAGCAGGTTTGCCCTGTGAAATTTTGATTACTATGCTAGCAGTGGCTTGAGCTCACAGAGTGGAAGAGCTTACTACGGAGGTAGTGATGGTTGTAAGTAGAAGTGATAGGGAAGAAATAATAGCTGGTCTGACACAGTAGGATCCTAGGCATAATCAGCTCCAAAGACTTCAAGTTGGTTTTGCGGGTGCCAAATAAAACTTATCCAGCAGCCATGAGGATGAAGGGGACCTCACGAGAGCATTTTTGTACCACCGCATTGAGCTGGTAGTTGGTGAAGACAGTGACTCACTGTGCTCTGGTGTGCATCATGATAGATAAGCAGGCAATCGATAACAAGCTTGGCACTAATGAAAACCTGCACTGGCACAGATACCTCTCGCAAAGCCAACTGTTAGTGTCATTCGAAAGGTGATTCAGCATGATTGAATGAATAATGACATGGACACCAGTACCAGTGTCCGCAATGGAGCTTGTGACCATATCCACATTTCAAATTGGAGTATTAAATTGACTTATTAGTAGTACACTACATATGGAAATTGCAGGCAAAAACAATTCATATTAATATAATAGAAGGGGTAATGAATGTACACGTACTCATAAGCAACCTGGAATTTTCCCTCCCTGAGTCAAAGAACCAAGCATGCCTCTTCATCCTCCTCCAAGCCCTGTCAGAAACTCTAGTGTCGACTATGAGGACAAAGGTGGAGCCAGTCCCCATATCACTGCCCCTGCTGTGAAAAACTACAGCCAACCCCAACTCCTGCCAAAACGACCCGGGGTCATCTTGTCTCACCAAACAAACACACCAAATGTGCAAGGTCACTATCGCTTCCTGACACCGTTACGGTGTTTGATTCATCTGATGATGGTATAAATGAACCCATATCACCCCCTCCCATAATCAATCATCTATCTCATTACATGAAGAGGGCAAAAACAAAACCCAAACCATATCATCGGAGGGGTCCTAGCACATTCGATTGCTGTTTCTTTGACAATCAACTATGCCACAATGACACTATGAATCTGGAAGATATTCAAATGGTATGATATTCAAAGAAAATCCAAACCTTGATTATTGATATATATTATATCAGAGCAATGATGTACTGGAGCGTCACTTGCAACACCTGTCTTCTGAGGCGGCAGCTCAGGCTGTTGTTACAATGCATGCTGATGTTGAGTGGAGGCACATGTGTGCTTTGACAACAGCTTGGGAAATTCATGCATGTGAACAGCACTTGAAATTTCTTCACATGGTTCTCGAGGATGAGGGTGAAACATATGCCAATGCTAGTTTAGAGTCGCTATGCACCTCGATGAAAGAGCTTGTAAGATCCCCCAAGAAGGGGATAGAAGATAGCATTAGCTTGGGTGTTACTGCATACAGCCATGATGTGACATCATTTGCTGTTGGAGACGCGCAACTAGATTTCCTTAAGAGCGCCGCTCATATGTGTTTCCCTACTCTTGAACGATGTCACTACTGACATGATCACTTACAAGTCGCATACTCAGATTCCTTGGACAGTGTGAGCTCAGGGGACTCCTCAGAAGATAGCAATGGTGGTCAAGATCCAAAATCTCACAGTGGGTGTAAACATGTCAGGCTGTCGCATTGATGCATGTTTTATTTATAGAATTGGACAAAACTTTTCTCCTGTAGTGTGTAGCACTTTGCAATTCATGCCACAGGCATGTGTCCCATTACTTAATTGGTACCACGCTCAAAATGGTATCAGAATGTTGCGTCATCATGTAGCAGTATGTAAGTTGACAGTAGTAATGCGGATTTCTTGTTGAGATCGTGGCAAGTTCAGCTGACACAATGCCATAGCAGTAGATTCATACCCTGATTTCCAGAGGGTTGAGTAAGGAGGCCTGACTCAGGTTCAATGCAGCCGCACTCAGTCCTGAGAATTCAGGTCCAATTGACTCAAGGAAGACTACTACTAAGTATACTGTACACCGCAAACAGCACCCCAAACCCTGACTGATGGTAATAATCTAGAGTGCCTTTTGGGACACTCATCAAAATGGTAAGTTACTCACTCCGTCCCAAATTAGAACTGACTTCGCTTCTCCGAGATTTATGAGAGGACATCCTGACTACAGGGGTCAGAATAAAGCAGATTACAAGAGTAAGTCGGGAGTAAGTCTGTATCTAATACAGCAGGACGTATCTAATTCAATTCAATAGAGTCCTGGTCATTATCGGCCAGCGCCTGCCAGTGGGGACTCATGGTCCACAATGTTACAGTGATTCTAAACCTCATGGCAAGAACACAAACAAACACTGACAACTTGAACTTGGACTTGGCCCATGCTATGTAGTGTCTATAGTACATACCAGTCACCTATTTGAGCCTGATCATCCTTCAAGTGCCATTATTACTAGTACTGCTCATCCGATCATAGCTTACTATGATGTCAAATTTGCCATTGCCAGCTGACTCGGACTGGTCGTGGCAGAATCAGTATCATGGCAGCAGCAGTGGCTACAATGATCAGATTGGTGAGTTTTCGAGTCCATCTGAAGGGTATTTCTTGTGCTCCAATTATCTCCACATCTCAAGTGCATGTCAATCTCCCCCAGCCTGAGATTGAGCCGATTAACCCTGACTTGGACGTTCATGACAATCATGTTGCTGGCCACTATGACTGTGGGCCAGGGTATGGCAATACCAAGACCGTAGTGTCAGATCCTCAAGTCGATTACTATGGTTATGGTTCAGACTACTTGACTTGGAATGACCATGATGGCGGCAGGCTGGACCCGTTCTCAGGCTATCATCCCATTCAAACTGACCAGCAATTGTCTATGGGCCAGCCCAACTTGGGGTCATTCACATCACACAACCTGGGGTGTCACGGTTGTTTTCAAGATTCCGCTGTAGATCATGGTTAGCAATTGGCTGGCAATAGTAGTAGTCATGGTAAATTTTGGAGTCTCATTCATTTTCATTGTCTTAAGTTCACAAATGTCTTTACTCAGGGTATACTTTTGATTGTCACCTTGAACAAGCCCATAGCTCAAGCTGCTCAATTGGCACACAAGACTGGGACAGGCAATTCCTGGGGCAACTCAATCCTTCCAGTCAACATGGTGGCCACACTGATGGTAGTAAGTTTTTGAAGTCTTGCTCGTTTTAGCTGGCTCAATTTGAAAATCAAAAATTTCTTCATGCAGGATATATTAACCCCAGTAATTTGAATGTTCAACTTGAACCTGGGCGATATGTCTCTCAGCCTGAACAGCAGCTACCTACTGCAGCTTGGGTTCAGTCTGACAGTCTGGAGAATCATAATTGATATACAATTGCAGGTGACCAGCACATTGCTACCAGTAGTCATAGCAGTAGGCTCAACCTCCTCCTTTTTCATCATCCTAAGTTCACAGTTTCACAATGTTCACAGAGTATAATCACCATCTTCCCCAAACCGACAACTTCGACTATTCAAATCTCCAACATGCACACTCAGCATATGCAGCAATCGATGCTTCAACATCAGTCATTGCCACAGGGTGGCCTGGGGTATTATGGCCATCCTCCATATCATCACAATGTTACAGAAGTCCAGCAGGTTCCTGCCAGCTGCAGTCATACCGGTAAGTTTTGGAATCTTCCTCCTTCTCCATCATCTTAAGTCCATGATGTTCACAGGGTACAGCCTTCTTCAAGTCAACAATGTGAACTGTTCAAATCCCCAACCCAAGCATGGGCACTATGACCCCCAGCCCAAGCAGCAACATGTAGTTCAGTCTTTGCCATCAGACGACCTGGAGCATCATGATTGTTCTCAATTTCCTGTCGCAGATGGTGACCAACAATCGATTGGCAGCAGTCACACTGGTGAGCTTTCATTTTTATTTTGTTATCACATCAATCAATTCACAGTTATAAAGTTCAGTCTAGATTTGGTCCCTACACAGAGACGCAATGGCAGGCAACTGCTGCCACAGCCAGCTACCATTTGGATTTCAACTTAGAGTCAATGCGACCACCATCATCCAAAGAGTGTCCCACATTTAACAAACTTGACAAGAAGTTACATAAGGGTATTAAAGCTATTGATCCTAAACTCAAACATCAGCACCTCAAAACGGTCCATTTTTCTTAGTGCCATACATATGCCCAAAAAATCATCACTGTCTGTGGGATGGGTACCATCCCCTATAACAACACCAATATACTTAGCGCCAGAAACACTTGAGAATGCAAAGGCAGCTGCTTCAACAGCTATGGTTACGGCCATATTCCAGAAGACCCTGTTCCCTGATGCGAATGTGCTCACGCAATGTGCCTCGGACACAGTGGACAAGGTCATTGCTGAATACTTGGGCGAAACTCATGCTGGACTCACCCAGTGGAAGTTAAGGTCAGAGGGCAGTCAGCACATGTCAAGGATGAAAGGCAAGCTGAAGCAAGTATACATCAACTTTCAAAATGTCACTAAGATGTCGATGTTATCAGCTTATGGATTGGCTTTTGAGATATCAAAGAGCAAGCAGGAGATGATGAATTTGTGCATTGCTAATATCCAATATCTGCTGTTAAACCACAATTTCGAGGACGTGTTTGAGGTTGGTTACTTGAAATGATCCTCCCCTTACACCAACTAACATATTATTACAAAATACCAGCCTACCTCTGTGGATGACCTAGAGCTTCTCCTGGTCCCATTTGGCCATGCGGGTCTCTGCAACTTGCTAGAGTACCTCACATCAGTGAAGCAGTACTCCAGATATCTACTCCTCAATCAAGACAGCTGGAAATCCCTGCCTTAAGCACACTATCACCCTTGCCGCCACAGCAGGGTATTGGTCATTGGAGAAAAGTTTGGCTGGTTGGTCTGCAGCCTTAGAATTTTTGACAGTGGACGGCAAAATCTGGTATGAAGGATTTGTGTCTCGGATGGATGAGCTGCCTGAAGTCCTTGGAAATAGGTTTGATCAATTGTTAAATGACATGTGTTGTGCACTAATGTAAATAGTGTACTTGGTACTAGTACTTGCTGTGAAATGATGCCATGATTACTAGTACATTTGGAAATGCTCTGACTTGCAAGATCAGGGATTTTTTGCTAGTAGTACCAAGCAATTTATCAAGAAGTAGTTTATGTTACATATGTGCCATTAATTTGTGCTTAACTAAAACTGTTGGAGTCCGGTTTAGAACTTACTGAATTCTTCAAGTAAACAAACTTGGACTAGCCTGTGAGCTCTATCCCAACTTGCCCCTGGCAGCCCTCACTAGTGCATACAATGATGATCAGACATCACTTTCAAATATACTTACCCTGCCAGTGCACCAACCCAGAGTCTACTTAAGAGCTCACACCTAGCACAGCATGAGTTACTGGCACCTCAAGTCATTCTTTGAACACGAACCTTCAAGTCTGAGTACTACTACTAGTAGTAACTGCTACTATGTCTTACACAAACAATCCTCATGAAACAACCACTCAGCCACCCCCTTCAAGTTGGGTTGAGAATGTAATGGCTCATGTCCAACCCCATAAACACATATCTGAGTTTTCTGTATCTGGGAACAGTGCCAGTGAGGTAGGTGCCCACTTAACTCAGTTTTTGCTAACAAGCCTACTCACATCACAGGTTGATTGGAAGGACCCCCAGGCCGATTCAGTTCCCAGTATTGATAGTACTACCTGTGCAGTCACAGAAGACCAACATTCAAGTTACTGCTCTTCTTGATAAGGTATCAGAAAATCAGGGACCTGCTGTCACAATGAATGATGAACAAGTACCTCTGACTCATCCTACTCCCTGGGCCTGAGCCAGCAGTGAAGCGCATCTGCAGGGAGAAGACTGGTACTAAGTGAGAGACAGTCTTTGATGTAGTCAAGTTTGGTGAGTGTCATATCCCACAATCCGGACCCATGTTCCATCATATTCCCACGCCTTCCAAGCCTACATCCAGACCCCACTTCATATCCAGCTCATTCCCAGATCCCCTTCCACTGTGCTCCACACCTCAGCAGGATTGACTACACTCCGGATTTACCCCTGAGCTCCAGACCATCGGATCTCCACTGCTAGCCTGATCCATACCCCCCTGTCCCATCCACCCTATGCACACTCCATCCAGCAAGACATCCAGACTTCACCTTATCTTGGATTCCGGACTATATCCACCTTCTCGTATTCCAGTCCTGTATCCACCTTGTCTTCTGGATCCCCAGATCTCCAGACCTCCGGATATTAACACTGGACCTATTCCCACCCCCTGTCCAATATCCTGCGCCTATCCCCATTTAGGCATTCTCTGCCTTCCGGCTTTTGGTTACCTCTTGTTCCGTCTTGCTTATTGATCCTTGTATGAGTCTTCATCTCTGAGTTCATTTACTTATGTTCCGACTTACTTACTAATGTGTTTCCACATGCTCGTACATAGCCTTGCTGCTTTGCTTACTGATCCCCTCAGATATTGTTCAGTATATAACCCCTGTAGATGTCATATCCACATATCTGGATCTCAGATCCAACCCTTATCTCTTCTCAGATCCACATCTTATCTCCGATCCTATCCGCATCTTATCTCCCTCCAACATCTCATCATTCAACCTGTCCACTCATCTGGTCCGGTCCACAACTCATCCGAATCCAACCAGCACTCGTCCCCTTTTGGTAACCCCCTAACTCTGGTATTTTGGTTATCTGTATATCTGTCCTGCTCCCTTATCCACTACCTATGTTTCATTTCTGTTTCATGATTTGTGATCCATTTCTACTTACCAATAGACTATCCACATGCTTTGTACATAGCCTTAGACTCTGCTGATTGATCATTCTGTTAGATACCTATAGTATATAACCTCCTGTAACTTTCTGTAGTACCTCAGTTTAAATATCATCTTAGTTCTGCTCATTCCTGTCCTCTGGACTTGAGTACCTCTACTCTCGTCACCCTCTGAGACTTAGGATTGATTCCTATAGTCTATCCGTATCCGCCTCTGTCCCCGACAGTCCATTACCATTAGTTTCTAGTCTGGACTCATCCGGATTAGCCCTATAATACTTATTCCTCATCCGGAAGTCATCCAGATCCATTACACTACTCATCCGACCTTGCGGACACACTAGTCTTGCCTTCCTGAAATAAGGGGCAATACTCGGGTAAGGGGCACAGTGCACGAGCTAAGGCCAAAGCCCTTCAGATCTAATTACCCTTTGAGTACGACCTTAACAGTAGATACTCCTGTAGTTCCTCAGTTTGAATATCAACTTAGACTTGCCCAATCCTCTCTTGGACTTTGGTCCACCTAAGTCTGTCCTACCCATCAGGCCTAGGGATTGATTCCCTAGGCTGGAGCTCCACCTTTCCAGCACTTACCCTCTTTCTGGACTTAGGTCCAATCCCTGTCTCTCCAACTCTACCTTAGGGTAGTCTACCTCTGTTTGTTTCTACATCAGACTTCATCCGATGTAGCCCCTATTCCTTCTGGACCTCCGGACCTCCTGTCCCTCGTACCTCCAGGCATCCTGTCCTTCGGATGTTCCGCCCTCCATACCTTCAGATGTTCCACCCTCCATACCTTCAGACATTCTGTCCTCCTAACCCTCAGACATCCTATCCTCCTGTCCTTCAGACATCCTGCCCTCTGTACCTTCGGACATCCTGTCCTTCGTACCTCTGGACATCCTGTCCTCCTGTCCTCCTGTCCTTCTGTCCTCCAGTCCTCCGGACCTTCGGACCTCCTATCCTTCCATCCTGTTTCCTGTAGAAGTATTACCTTGCAGTGGGAACTCTACTCCTGTGCTCCTCCGGAAGTCCTCTAGTGCTCTCCAGCAGAGTAGCCAGCCTCTGGAAGTCCTCTGGACTTCGTCAGACCATTATCGGACCTCATATGAAATGAAGGGCACATACTTGGGTAAGGGGCACAGCGTATGAGCTGAGGCCAAGCCCCTCTGAGTCAGTCTCTCTCCCCCTTGAGCAACATGGTTCTTAACAGTGAGGAGCAACAAAGTAGAATGAAGCAGTCATTAAGTAAGTGAAGGCCTGTACAGCTGTTCTTATAACTCACACATCAAGACAGCAGAGACCTCATTGTACTAGTACGTGCATCATGATCATGATGTAGTAATAAATTAAAAAATTGATCAGCTTCACTTGGGTAGGACACTCCAACTGAAGCAGCTCATCAAGACACAATCCCTCTCATCTGAAGGCACTCACCATCTGAGTTACATATTTAAAATGAAGATACTCATTCCAAAGTTATTTGATGTCTGAGTCTTAGCTTCTTGAACAATAATGCTTTCAGTGCGGATCCCATAGCGTCCAGGGATCCATCAGCATACCCTATAGTACTGCTGTGAGTGTTGGTTTGTTCTTTAACATCACTTAGTCTACTCACTATTTGAAACAGTCATGCCTGCTTTCAAAGAGGTGCTGGTGTACACTGGAGGTGTCACCAAGAAGACTAAGAAGTGCAGGCCTTTGCAGCATCATGATGTCAACATCCTATGCTATGATCTAAAAGAAGCCTGGCTTACATTCAGGAAGTGACTAACCGGCCATGGCTATTCCCATCAGACTTGGAAGTTCGAGTGTCATGAAAGTGTAATGACTTCAGGTTTGAGTGATAGGGACTTGGAACTACCAGTAACCTCAGGTAAATTTGATTAGGATATTGTTAAAACATTAATAGCTTACCCCATCCCCTCTTGCCATAGAACTCATCTTGTACTCAGGCTAGTAAGTGAAATCAACCAACTTGATGACAAGTTGGTCTATGGTAAATCATCATGTCACGGTGACGTAACCTAAGTGTGACTGGCAAGCTGACTCGAGCATTCAAGTTAGGTTGAGCCCACCATAGTCTAGTAGCAAAGCGCACAGTACTTACTCTGTGACAGCCTGAGAGGTAAAGTGTTCGACATGCATCCAGCTCAGATGGTGAATGATATACCTTATGCACCCCACAGCTTGCTCTTCATGACTCGGATAACTTGTCAGATATTGTAAACTCTCCTGGCTCATGCCCCCTGTGGACCTTTCTCATATTGCTGTCCTGCCAAAGTCAAAGGATTCCTACCCCCAATGATGATCTCAATGTCGTCATGATTCAGGTCTAGCCAAGCACATAGTACTTACTATCGGCCAGCCGCTATCACTTCTCCTAAAGGCCAGCCCTGCTGTGACAGAGGTAAAGTGTTCCACATGCAACCAGCTTAGATAGTGGTCATATATCTTATGTGGCCGCAGCTTGCTCTTTATGATATCATAAACTCTCCTGGCCTGAGTGGCTGCAGACCTTTCTCATATTGCTATCCCTGCCAAAGTTGAAGGATTCCTACCCCTGATGATGATCTCAAGAAAGCAGTTAGCACTGACTGGTGCTAATTGACATGATGTCATTGTGATTCCTGTTGGTATTTTTAGAAAGCCTGGCATGGGTTCTCATTCACAATGCACAAATCAAACGATGGCTCATGCGATTTCTTAGATGACTCGGCCAGTGTTGCTATTTGGGCCATTATATATTATTACTGATATTTATGGCGCCATGTAGGGATGATTTGTTCAAGGTTAACTTACTCAGCTATATTCGGTTGTCTATCCACTTACACATTCACAGATCAATGCTGATATCATCCACGATCTCACTACTGGCATCATTGCCACCATGGCCCTGAAGGCTTTCATCCTTGTTATTTCCAACCAGATTAACTCCACATTCAGAAGGGACCAACATAACATCAGATTGATTCCCTGCTCTCTCAATCTCCCTTGATGCCACCGCCCTTGATGGCCTCATCAACCTCATCCAATTTGGTGGAAACAAGGTTGTCAAGGCAAAAGATGGTGCTGGCTCAGCAGATCTTTCCATTTTTTACATAGGTGCTAAGTTCACCAGGAAAGTGATTTGTGTCGTAAACAGCGAAAAGGGAATTGTCACCCTGACATTTATCAACCTTGCTGCAGGTGGTGATGCCCTCAAGAAGGAAATTAGCAAGGATCTAGATTAGTTCTCTGCTCCAGTTGAATTCAGTGTGGGTCAACAGTGGCACTGAATGTCTTTGGTGCTGATGACATCCCAGGTTAACAGTGTCACCAAGATCCATTGTCTTTGTAAGATCACCCCTGCTGATAAAGCGCTTGTCAATGTTGCTCTTCCCGACATCTCTGCTAACATCAAGAACATCTGTATTTTTCTTATCCAATTCAACCTCACCTAAAGGTATTGATATTCCAGGGTGTTGCTTTCATCAGGCTTCCAAACTCTAATCTATACTGCAGTCATCTCAGCCTGTATAAAATTCATTGAAAGTGTATATTATTTACTGCATGGCTTGCAGCCACTTCCACTGCAAGACCATTGGCGTGATGTCGATAGACCCTGGGTTCAATACACAGCTTCTTGACCCTTATCACTCCATCTGTGATGCAGGCTTTCTCATATGTGTCATTTGTCTTTCAAATAGTTGGCTCTCTACCATATCGTGACAGTCTTGACCATTTTGGCAGATAATGCCCATTTTAGACAATAAGCTTATGGCGTCTAACTGCAGCGACAACCCATCACACTCAATGTCAGTTACGGGATGTGGCCCATTGCAGTTCTTGGCACATTCTTCCTGTGGGCACCTCTTCATGCTTTCTATTTGACAACAGCTGTTGCTGTTGCACTAGAATTCCTCTTCACTACCAGGGGATTCACCATTGGCTGGCATATGAGCCTGCTTCCTGGTATCCTCTGTTCCTTTGTTGTCTTTTCATGGTTACTTCCTAGCATGGAGGCGCTGACTCAGACACTAATATTTGGTATGTTTTTGCGCTTTTCATTTGTCAGTTCTGCATTCACATGTATTTCCTACAGGCCTTATTGCAATGAAGATGGAGGTTTCATTCATCCCTGCCAAGGTGATCATCTTTGGTACTGTGATTGGTGATTGGGCTGTTGCTCATCATCGGGGCATCATTTGGATCGCACTTTGGCATGTTGAACTGTCTTGTTACCAATTCTGGCTTGTGTGTCACAGCTTGAGCGAACAGGTGTGTGATCAAAGAAATATTGGAAGGAACAAGTGTCTTGTCGTTTCTGCTTTACACTTTGGTATAATTTCCCTTGCTGACTGCATATATGTTTCTCACCCACATTACACAAGTTTTTTTTGTTATTGAAGCCCATGATATTCATGTGACACTTCTGCCTTCAATCATACCAGCATTCAGTTTGCGAGAGGTTACAACTATACCCCTTTACATAAAAGCAAGTCAATGAAACAAATAGAATGCATTGATATGAAAAGCAGGTTTCTCTTCAAGTTAGCTGTTTTTAAAGGGTGCATTGCAATCCAGCAGTCCCTGTGGTACCCAGTCTATGAACATCTGACCCTTGGAGATTCTTGCATGTCTCATGTCATGACCAAGGGCAAGTGCACCATGAAGTCCTTTACTTACTGTGATGCAAAACCTGCAATTGGAGCCAACTCAAAGTCATGGCAGCTTTGTCATGGCAAGGGGTAAAACAGTCCCTTGCCATGACCAATTTTTCCAGCCGACGTTGCATTACACATGACTGACACATGACTGTGCGTAACTAATGCACCAAACTTAAGCTTCAAAGCTCTCCTTCATGGCCACCACCCAGGATGATGACACCTGGTGTTTACAGGCAATATGGCCAGCAGCATCCAGTGCATCAGACCAAATGTTACAGATGACTATGAAGGTGTGTGCCTGTTTGCATGTAAATTTTACTGATTGATGACTTCAGGGTGGTATACTGAGGTGACACCCAGCAATTGTATGGTCTTATCAATATGCTCCAGCATAAACTCTGAGATTGCATGGGCACTGGATAGGCTGCATCAATCATGTGCAAATGATCAATTCATCTTGAAAGCTATTCCTGGTCTAACAGATGCACTGTTTGAATGGCTGGAATGGTATGTGGTAGAAGGATATCTGGTGGCAGAGCAGTATTGACTTTTTGCTATGCCTGATGCTGAACACAAAAAGTGACGGCATGCCCTAGAATCCATATTCATTCTCTGAAATTCAGCCACAAATGAACCCAATGCATATGAGCTAGCTAATCATTCCTGAACACTTCCACTACTATTCAATGCCCTCACAAACTTCACTCCAGACACAGATATGAATGCTGAATTTATTCTCAATGCCATAGAACTTCTGCAGGCCATATCCTTGGGTGCTATCTTGCCAGATCCTGCTTCGAACAAGAGAGACCCCCTCCCCACTCTGCTGCAAATTGCAGGTTACTCATCGAATCACTCCCTTATTGTCTCAGCTTTGACCCTTGAAATGGAACCCAATAGTTGCAATCACCAAGTCTGCTGCCTTGAACGTGGATACAAGCAGCAGAGGTCAAGACGTCCCTCCTCAGATACCCTTGGTTCCTTGGTCAAATCTCATTTTGCCATGAACTATGATCATTTGTTATGGGATTGGGTGCCGCTCTCAAGTGAGAGCAGGGGGTTCAAGGCAGTGTGGCATATTTTCATTATTTGATTTTTGATTTTTGAGCTTGATTCACGTAAGGGCTTGGGCCACAGCTGGATCACAACGTTCCAACTCAAAGTAAACTTTGTTTTGTATTTTGCTGGATTGAACAATGGTTCTGACTTCAACTTCTAGCTATCATTTTGACTATCATCAACATTGGGATTCAACTGCTGATAGGCCAAGTAACCGAGGACATCTCTTGTGACCTAATATTACCATTGTGATGTAGGTATCAAGTCGCTGCCTTCGATGTCATTGTGACGAAAAAGGAAGTCAAAGAACTACAGTTCGCAAATACTAAATATTTGGTTCACACCTTGTGGGGGGCAGGAGTTATTGAAACATGAATACACTTGAAAGATATATCGAGGATAACATTCACAAGAGAAAACAAGTTGAGGGGGCTAAGGATGAAAGGAAAGACCAACAGAACAAACCTCTGACTTCATGTTCTGAGCTTGAGCTCTCAGCTTCTCTCAACTCTTAATTCCTTGCTCATGCAACTCAAAAAAGAAAGGCGTGTTTAGATATGACATCATTAACCTAGGAGAGTACATACTTTGCACAACAGCTCGTGCCACAACTTGAATTTGGGTGATAAGGCTTAATCTTCTAAAATGGAGAGCTGGAAGCTGCACATGGGGGTGCCTAGGATTGATCTGTCTTCTATACTCAAATCTCAGATTTGGTGTAAGGTCCATATAATAGTCTCTTCTCCAAGGAAAAACAATTGTGTAGAATGGATCAACTGGATGATGGATCCAAGGACATAAGATAGGGGGGCCCAAGTGATATGTATCTCCTTTATCCAGGACACGGAATGGTGGAGGATGAATGAAGGGTCCTCTTGCTGCATCCTCACAGAACACTGAGCCAACTTGGTGTCCTGTGCAAACAATAACCAGTCTCACTACCACCTGGTTGCCAGGGTAGTTGACTATATCTATAGATCTAGCATGTCCTACAGTCTTCACAGAGAATGATCCAATAAGCATGATGAGGGTAGTATGGGCTCAATTAAATTAACACTTTACTTTGTATATTTACAGTGAGTCACAACTACTAGCTAAGAATAGTACTGATGTCATGATATAAATTTGATATACAGTCGCACTGTATTGCCATCAGTTCCATATCAATGGTGTCCACTGCATCATGCTGTGCAGCACTGATGCATGCCCTGATTGATGATTGATTGATCCTCTTGCCACTGATCTATTCTGCAAGCCACCCAGTTGTTCAATGAGATCAAGCATTACACTACACTTCTGTTGTTGATGCTCAAATTCCTTCACCTGCAGTTCAGCTCGTACTTCTGTGGCTTTGTATGCAAGAATAATTTCATGGATCTGCGACATCAAGCCTTCAATTGTGGAACCCAGATATCGCAATGTTTCAGGGGCAAGCACAAATTCTGTTTTGGTGTTTGGAGTTGTAATACGAGGATTACTAGGCAGGCCAGAGGGACATGAAAGTGCTGGAGGTGGCACAAAAGGCTCCGTGCCTAGAAGTGAGATGTATGCCAATGGTCCTTCAATGGGTGCAAGAAAATCCACCATTCCAGAAGTTTTATTTTTGTCAGGAAGATGAGGGGTTGTTCAAGAGAGAGAAAGATTGGTGCGAAGGTTGAGGGGAAAGGATATGAAATGGAAGACAAAGGTAAGAATTAGGATACTGTGCGAGAGATAGACGTCGTTTGGTACAGATATAGCAATAATCGGATTTGAGCATCTATTGACTGGTGAATTATTAAGATCGTAGAAGCTTATTCATCCACATGCCTTCAGTCCACTGAATAGGTATTCAGCAAGGGCACAACATGCATGCCTGCCCACTTTTGCAATGCTTGGTTCAATGCAACACCATCATTGTCATCTGCATGGAGTCTGCCAGTGAAGCATTGCAGCAGGTCTCCAAAATTAAGGACATGGACGCCAAAAGCATGGTAGACATAGACAGTATCGTCATGTATTGGATCCATCAATAAGACAGGGTGGTTTGCTTGAAGGAGGTCGAAAATGGGTGTGCCCAATGACAAAGGAGCTGTCTATTTCAGCATGGAAATCAAGTCCAAGTCTATGCACTTGTAGACTGCTAGCATAGGCAAGTCCTGAGATTTGTCCTGGAGTCGCATGCATAAGCAGCAATGATACAAAAAATTTGACAACAAACCTGTTTACTCTCCCACCATGCTTCAACTTTACCATCTTGATCACAGACAATGACAATTCAAGACATTCAGTCTCACTGTCTCTGGCTCAATCTTCCTCATCATAGGGTGGCAGCAGGTCAGATGGTGATATTGCCACTTCACCCTGTTGTACATAATGAGTGGACAGAATGAAGGAAGGCAAAGAACCAACGTACTGTAGAAGAAGAGGGCCTCAATACCATCATCCATTTATACTTCGCCACTGCTTTTCTGAATTGGTGGTGCTAGTGTGCAATACACTTGCTGAGGCTGATTTTCATATATAACTCAATCCAAGTATTAATTTGTGGAATGGTAGGAGTGTTGACATTGCAATAGGATTGAATTCGAACTATTTGCATATGGTAAGCTAGACATGATCTGGAGCAGCTGAAGCTCTTGGACTTACATAAGTATTATCAGCTGTCCTTGATCTTAGTATGATGAGTTGGAGAGGGTGGCCCACCCTAGGGCAGCACACTATCAGGTGCGCACCTAGTACTATGGCAGTCCTGTGAATGCACCATGCCTACAAAAGTCCAGTAAATAGGGGTGATAGGGTAACGCTTGCAGGGGTGGGCCCAATGCACCAAATATGTAGGTATGATGCAGAATGGTCTTGGGGCTTTGCTGCATGTTGCAGTCAGGTACCATGTGTGCAGCATTTGTGCACAACAGGTTGATGTACCAGGAGGTGTTAGTTGGACTGGACACATTGCTTTGGCTGGGCATTCACGATGTCCTTGCACATTGAATCCCTTGTGCTGGGGCATGCTTATCATTTGGGAGTGTTTATGGAACAATAGCACCAGACAGTCCAATCATGTCTTTGACCTAGCTTTGCACTCTAGTGGGTGTCCAATTGGACATTCACATGAACCAAAGGTATAAGTTAGTGGAGGGTGTTCTCAAGGATATCCATCTGAACATGTCTTCACATCCTCAGGTGGCAAAGGACTAGGTGGACGTGCAAGCACATCCAACAAATTGGGACTATCATGGCACATTGTTTTCCAATGAAGCGCTCTTAAGATGGGCAGCATGCTCTTGGCAGTGCTGGGGTGCAAGGATGTAGGGTACGAAGGTGGACAGTGAGTGAGGTGCCCAGCCAGGGTGGCTTGTTGATGGCAGTGCATTCGAAGGATGGTGGGTGTTGAGAGCAAGAGAGTGATATTACGTAAGCTGGGACACGTCTTTTTATGCCATGCACCTCAAGAACATCAACCAGCCACTTCATCTTTTGATAGAGAATGAGATATTCAGACTTATAGTCTGGGCTAATCCTAGCAATGAAGCAAAATGAGGCAGTGACATTCATGGCTTGCTCGAGCGCAATATGCTTGAGGTAAGCATCTTGATGGTTTTGTGAATGGAGATTTATGTATTTCAATAGTCAACTTGGCCTGGCATAGTCCAAACAGTGCAGGAGGTAGACCCAGCCATAGTAGTCTATCTGACCAAACATTTCAAAAGCCCAGCAGCTTACGCTGAGGTGCGGAATCTGGTTCAGTCTAATGCTAGCCAGGTAGTTAATACTCTAGAGGCTCTATGATTTTTGATTGGGGATTCCTTCTGAGGTGGACAGAGACAAGAGCTGAAGGTGATTTCTTTTCCGCAGTATTGTTGTTCAAGAGTTTATGTCTTTGTCAGTACATCATTGTGTGGGCGCCTGTCACTCCTGTGATCGCTGTTACTTTCTTTGAACGATGACATGGAAACGATCCACTCTTGCTACAATACACCCATTGAGTCCTGAAGCAGCATCCTGTTGACTTGACATTCTTTTTCGTTCCTCAAGTTGTCCAGGCCCTTCGGTTTGATGACCTTGGTGTGTATTTGCAGCCTCTTGCTGCTGTAGTTTCTGAATGTATCTTTAGGATATATCGCACAGTTCATCTTCGAAACCACAAAGGTGTTGCAGCTCTTTTGCCACCAGATTATATGGAACATGAAAGCCAATTGCTACAAGGATGATGCTGCCGAGATCATGAGTTTGATGCATATTTTCATCTGTGCTCCACTGACATGAGAGTAGGAAGATCCTTTGAAACCCACACTAGATTGGATGGCTGATATGGTGGTAGATTCACTGTCTGGTGATGCCCGTGCCTTTTACAATCGGAAATTCGGATTCTTCAACAAGGTAACCTCGATCCCTGGGAAACTGAAGCCCTTCATCAAAAAGTCGAAACCTGAGAAAAAGGCGAGACCCTCGAAGATCATCCTAGGATTTGATTTGACGTGTCTTTACAAGCAAAGATTGACAAAGAGATGGCCAAGATAGTTGTTGATATTGGTGTCTACCTTCCCAGTAACTCGGAGGGTAGTGCTATTAACATTGATAAGAAATCTGGTCAACCTCTCCAAAGTCACCCTAAGGTGTGTAGATCTTTCTTTTGCCTAAGTTTGTCTCAATACAATTTCACCTAAGGCACCGTTCATGGCCACTTTTAAAGTGAGGAAGGAGCGCATCATTATTGATTCTGATCCAAAGTCTCTTTTGAATGGTGCACTCAAGAAACATGAGGAGTATGACATTTGGCAACAGGCCATCTTCAAAGTTGGCGATGACTGCCAACAAGATGTGTTGGCCTTACAGATCATTGCGATGTTCAAAAATATCTTCACCAGCATCAGGTTGACTCTCTATCTTCTCCCTTACAGGGTTACTGCAACTGCCATTGGAGTGAGTACTTTTTCTTTTTCATTCACACTAACCATGCTTATGCATATCACAGTGTGGTGTCATTGACGTGGTGCCAAATGCAATATCTCGAGATAAGATGGGAAGAGCCACAGTAAACGACCTGCTCAACTTCTTTATTTCGAAATATAGAGGAGAAGAGACTGTTGCATCCCAGTGTGCTCACCTCAATTTCATCCAGTCTATGGCTGCATGTTTTGTTGCTTGCTATATCTTGCAAATCAAGGACCGTCACAATGGGAATATCATGATTGATGGTGAAGGGCACATCATACATATCGGTAAGTTTTACCCGTCTAAGAGTACACCAGACTTTGTATTCCTATTCAATATAGATGAGTCTTTCATTTCATGACTGCTGATATGCTTACTGACTTCGTTCTTGTTGTCTATCTATGTCCTGGAGTAAGTCCCCATCATGATACCTTGAACAGTTTTATAACTATACTTCACAGGGAGTCAAGTTTGAACCTAGCTCCTTCAAGTTAACCCATGAGATGGTAGTTCTAATTGGCGGCAGATACTCTCAAGGCTACGAACTGTTTCAACATCCAATGGTGAAGGCTTTTCTCACCATTTGACCTCATGTGGATCAGCTCATCAGCACAGCCCAACTCATGCTGGGAACTGGTTTCCCGTCTTTCAAAGGCAAACTGACTATCAAGCACCTCAAAGATCAGTTTGCACTTGGGTTGAATGAACGTCAAGCTGCTGAATGGATGATGGGAATCGTCCACAATGCTCATGAAAATGTGAGGAGCACAGCCTATGACGAGTTCTAATGGGTGCATGATTCTTGCTTGTGATCATTATGCATCCTCATATGATTTGCTCAGATACAAAATGGTAAGTTGGATGTGTACTCAATGCAATCCCTTTGGGGCCTGAGGTGTTTGCAGGCATACCATACAAGTAGTAAATGCTGCTCAAGAATCGATGGATAGTATCAAATTTAGGTATACAAATGTATTAAGGCTGAACTGCATTTCAAGGCCTGGGCATGCTTGTTGCATATTTCCTAAGCACCAACAAGCATGCATTGTACCCACCAGCCTTGCTCTCAGAAGGAGGAGTGAACTGCCTGTGTGTGTGTGTGTGTGTGTGTGTGTGTGTACTACAACTGTGTGCATCCATGCATCTACTCTCTGGACCCCGGACACCCCAGACCTCTGACTCCACCTAGCCTATCTCCCGTGCTGACCTCACTCTGGCCTAACCCTGAATGGCCCTTGCCTGAAGCTCCCACTACAGCATCATGATGGAGTGCAGCTGAACTGGGGTTAAACGGTGTTACCAAGGCAGAAGTGTTCCACAATGAGGTCTATATTTAGCAGCCAAACTTATATAGTGCTTTGCTTATTGGTTGACCATCTATTCTTCCATCTTGGTATGCCCTCATCATTTTCATGGAGTTCATTATTCAAAACGTAGATTTTGGAGTGACTGAATATGAGGTCACAAACAAGATTGCAGAGGTTCTGCATGCGTGCCCTGGCCCATTTGTGTCAGATGCTGATGCACAGCAGTGTCTCATCAATTTTAGAGTCACGCTTGAAAAGAATGAGTGTGGAGGCATTCATAACAAAGGTGTCAGGTCACTTCAACTGCTGTCTAAGGACATACATCCAGGTACATCCTGAGCAATATGCTAGTCACCCTTGCAAAGGCCCCCTATGTGGATCCCGATATTGCTCAGAAATGGCAGGAAACGATCGATGCATTAAGTTCTGATTTCCAAATCACTTTACTACAAATCGGTATGCTATAATATACCTTTTTTCTGTCGCCTTTGGATCATATGAAATTATTCATAGGTACATTCTATCACCCTCAAGGTGCTAGCCTGTTAGATCCATGTGCCTTCAGTGTGGAATGGCAATCCAATCTTCTCAATGGGCTTGCCAGATGGTTGAATTTTGAATATGAACACAAACTAATTCGTGTGAAGGTTTGGCATATAAACCAAAAAAATTATATCCTGTATTGATCCTATACTTGGCTAGGTCAGTGATCCGGCATGGGGACAACTGTTATACAGCCTGATCGTTACCTTCACTAATATCAACAAAATGGCTGTGGGCTATGATTTTGGTAATCAATGTAAGTATGGTGCTCATAGCTTGAAGATCTGAATGTAAAATCTGTTTAGACATATGCTTTGATCTGTTCACACCACCGATCATCAAACAAGAAGACTTCAACAGAACCCTTACTGGAACATACTCCAATAAGAAGAATTATCGCGAATGTGTTGGTGCTATACATCCAGGCCATGCGCAAATTGCTCCATCACGGTCACTCACCACATATGCATCATCCTCTCTGAACAAGGAGGTCTGGATAAGTTCCAGCAGTTCTGTAAAATCACAGAGCTTCATCCTCCGGTCTCTGAATTCCACATCAAAGCCATCTGCCAGGGATTTTTCATGAGAAAAAAACTGGCTTTGGTGCAAAGATGGCTGAGATCATTGAGCTCAGACTGGCCTGTAGCATTTCAGATCAAGGCCCTTCTCTGAAATGGTGTTGTAAATACAAAGGAACTTGAGGATTTGTGCCCAAGGATTGATGAACTGATTCGCCGCCACCATCATGTGATACTTTGTGATAAAAGCTGCAGCTCATCCTCAACAATCCACAAGTGCTTCAAGTTAGTAGTACAAAAGAAGCTTGGGAATGTCCATCCTGGGGCGCCTGCTGGCTGCTTTTATTGTCATTGTGTTACAGTCACTCCAACTTGGCTTATCCTCAAAGGGCCCAACATACTGCAATTGAATTGCATTATTTGCGAGTATGAAGGCTATGAAGGCAACTTCATTCAAGTTGACTTTCATGACGAGGATCATCTCCAGTATTGCTGGGATAGGGAAGTAGATGGGGGGAGCTTCATCAGGTGCAGTGTTGGGGGCTTGCTGAAGGATGGTTTTGAGCTTGCTGGCAAACAATTCAATTTCTTAGCATACTCTTCCTCTGCACTGAGGGAGCATGCTGTTTGGTTCATTAGCTCCTTCCAGCATGACACCAAAGGACTGGTCACCATGCACACAATAAGAAGTAGTTTAGGAGACTTCAGCGGATGCATTTATTCCCCCTCAAAGTATGCTGCCTGGATGGCTGTGAGTCAGCTATTTCCATCAATATATCCTCTAAATAGCCTTTCAGCGAGCCTTTATGGCGACAGATCCATCGGTCAAGATCCACCGGTCACAGTGGTCAGAAATGCCTGATATTGTCGAAAACGGCATTATGTTTTCTGACAGCATCGGTACCGTCAGTGATGAGCTTGGTGATTTAATCTGGCAAACTCTCTGCATTGCTTGGTGAGATGGTGGTGTGCATGCAGTGAAACCTTTGGCTGTAAGTGGTTTCACGTTCAAAAGTACTGTACTAAGCAAAGCTACAGTACCAAATCAGATTCCTTGGCTTTAAAGGTGTTGTGGCTGTTGACAAGCAACTCAAGGGAGTCCAACTTTGCCCATGAGAAAGTATGAACAAGTTTAAGGATCACGGGGAAGAATACGCTATGATAGAGATTACTCATCCCATTGTGAAACCTAACACTCCTCATCTTAATGGGTATCTACAAGTTCCTTATTGTTTCAGTTTTACAGTGTGGATGCTCAGGTGACTTGCACAGACCTTTAATCACAGTTCCAGAAGACCAGGGTGCCTCACAAGATACTTTCATGGAGCTGCAGCAGAAGGTTGTTGCGGAGTCATGCACTGCTCACAACTCAGTTGATCTTTTTGCGGTGCTCTTGGAATATCATGGATTGTCTCAATCTTTCCAATTCCAGGTGAGTGTAAGTTGTTTGATAGCTCAAGTGGACTGCAGGGCCTGGTGTCTGACAGGCACATCACTATTGCAGGCAAGTTTTTATTCTACAAGATCAAACACCCTTACTTATTATGTTCACCACAGATCAAGCTAGCATACATAGTGTCACCAAAGGTGTGCAGAGCTCAAACTCAGATTATGTATATCACAGGACGGAACATTCAATGAGGCATGCCTGAAGCTTGCAGCCCTTCATAGCCAAGCCATCAACTACCCAAAGAATGGATGGAAGGTCAACATTGAAGATATTCCACGCAGCCTGATCCCCTATAAACCTGATTGGCATGCAGCAGAAGTAGAATCTCCCCGACCAACAGATTATTATGAGTCCAATTGAGCCTTGGGCCACTTGTATCACAACATCCAGCTTGATGACATACCAACTTATGTTCCTCAGCAGCTAGAAAAACTACTGAGTGATGTTATCTCCATTACACTTTGTCCTTTGGTCAAATGACAGCTAGAGCGTCATGAGAGACTTTCAAAACTTGAGGTCTCAATGAACAGTATATACTTGGCATACATGGATGAACTCATCTATGTTGCAACCTGTCACACACTCTCATGAGTACCCGTTGCACACCTGTAGGAGGAGGAGATCGTCATCGGAACTATCCTTGCCAAGTGCTCACAAAAGGGGTTTAAGAATGATTGGACATATGCAATGAGAGAATGCATGTCAGTCCTGATTCACGATATTCAAAGCAGAATGCTACTGGAGAGTATGAAGAACACGTCGCTCAATGAAGTGCAGGATGGCCTAGAGAATGGGTGGTCTGCTTGGGCGTTGAGATACAAAGAGAGTCATGAGGAGGGAAAAGAGGGTTATGGCATGCAAAGTTTTGGTTTGGTTGCGTTGGGAATCATGCTGGACTGTCTTGAGCAGTCACAGGAGCTGCCCTCGACACCAGCTTAGGATATCATTGTACAATGTATAGGCTCAGACTTGGAGGAGTACAAGAAAATTGGAAAAATTGGTCATGGCAAGGGACTGTTTTACCCCTTGCCATGATGAAGCTGCTGAATAAAGCGGGAAGGTCAGGTGATCTGATGAGTGTGTCACACTCATTCTTGGAGGTTCGCTGGTTTGGGAATATCTAGTGTGCTTCCTCCTCGAAATCCATATAATTCATTCTTCTTGTGCAAGCTCAGGGGATACACACCATCCTCAGCTTGTTGGATCAATCAGAGCAACTAGCTCATGAGACACCCCCAATTAAAAACAAGGCATTGAGATTTGGCAACCCTGCTTTCAGGCCGTTCTAGAACAAAGTTCAAACTGTTAGTCTTGCAATTCTTTTCCCTTAGCATCTCATACTCACTTATGCTATATTCAAGCTGGGACCGTCATTGCATGCTGACCTTCCCAGCCTAGATCAAAATGCTATGCCCGGATTGGCTACCTATTTCATGCAGGGAATCAAGAGCACATTGGCTATGGGAGTGGTATGGAACTGAACTTCCTCTGCTGGCTGTAAGTCTTTCTATATTTCAATTCGCTTGGTCCTCATGTCACATTGAAGGATATGCCTAGATCACCTGCAGGTTGTTACAACAATTGATCATACCACATTTGTTACTCATGTATTTTGGAGGTGCATTCTCAAGCCAATTATTTTGTTCATTGCTCATCCCTTCCAGATATATTCAAATCATGTGTGTACTTCAGTTGATGTGTTGGCTAGGACCCGCTGAATCTCATGGCATCTGGGGTCTTGACGATTATCATTTTCTACCTTTCCTACAGGTACTGTTTTGGCCTGTATCATCAGGCTTATCAGCGACTGATCTAGATGGTCTTCCTCAACAAAAATTGTGCCTTCACATGTTATTTTCTGTCAAGTCCACCTTGAGAGTCCTCAATCATGAAAAGTGGCTGCAATATGTGATCAGTTTGATACCATCCTTATTCTTTACTTCAGTTCACAGCTTTAAGATTTATGTTCTCACTCAAATTGTATTGTTTATTGGCTATCTGTGTCAGTTTAGTACAGTCACCTCACAACAAGGAGATGTCACGAATTGGATGTATATGCAGAGCTTATGCCTTGTACATCAAAGCTAGCTGACCTCAAACTCAAGCCCAGAGGTTTACTTGTGTGATGCAGCAGGAGACATGTTTCTGACGCAAAATTTCAGGTATCATTCTCTCTGAATCTCTGTACTCTATGTACAACAATGATGCACCTCAGGCAGCCAGTATCTACACTCTGGGTATCCCTATCCTTGGTATCTGCTATGGCCTCCAGGTCTAGTTTTCTTGAGCATCTCGGTAGATGCTAACTCATGCAAGATCCAGGAGATTTGCTGTAATCACAAGGGAGAGGTAGCAAAATGTGATCATTGCGAATACAGGCTTGTGGAATTTAAAATCAGCAGGTCCAGTGAATCAGGAAACTCAGTTGATGCCTTGTTTGAAAGACTTGGTGATCAGATGCAGGTGCGTGTTTTTGTTTCATCCTTTGAAAGCCAAGTTGATGTTGACTTTTGATAAGGTCTGGATGTCAAACTGTCTGTTATGCCTCCTGACTACCATGTCATTGGACAGATGAGCACCGCTGCCTATGCCACCATCACACATAACTCCAAGTCGGTTTATGACATTCAGATCCATCCAGAGGTAACAGATTCCCCACACAGGAAGGCAGCTCATTGGTTGATTTGTGCTGAATACATGCCAATGCCGACCAAACTGGACAATCATGAAGTAATTACTGTGTTGTGTGTATTGTCATGCTCATTGTGATTGCAGGAGAAATTTATTGGCAAGGAAATTGTCCACATCCGCAGGATGTGTGGTCTGAAAGGCTGTATGATCGGCACAGTCAGCAGAGGTGTTGATAGCACTGTTGCAACCAAGTTAATGCACGAGGCAATCAGTGACGGGTTTGCCCCATGTTCTTTTCATAACCTATGACTTATACTCATATATCAGATTCCATGCCATCATGGTAGACAGTGCGACCATAAACACACATCACAATGTTGGTGGGCTTCTCAAGGACATGAAATTGAACCCCTGTGCAAGCTCTTCAAAGGTCTGGTTAATGGAATGCTATATAGCCTATTGCACTGACTGTTCTATGTAGATGAAGTCCATGTGCTTGGAAGACTCCTGTCTATATCAGCACCCTTGGTTCAACATCATCCTTTCCCAGGTCCTGGTCTGGCTATTCAGATTTTGGGTCCTGTCACATGCGAACAAGTAAACATCCTGCAACAAATATCACCTAGAAACTTGCTGTATCAATAATGACCTTATATATAAATGATGTCGGACCCTTCTTTACCTTTACCTCACTTTGTGGTCGACAAACGTGAATGCGAACGCAAATGCAAGTCATTGAGAAATTCAACTCCAGACACCGAAGCAACAGCTTGCTTGGTATGTGGCTTTTCAGGATCACTTAGTTCACTGGCAAATATTGATGCATCCTTTGTCTAGCACCCATGGGAATAGGTGTATCATGATGAATCCAGCTTTGCTTTGGTTAAGGGCGGTGTTAAGAGGTTAAGGATCCTGGTAAGTCCATGAGCATGCATAATGAGTATCTTAGAATACAACTAAGATTAGCATCAGCACTCGAAGGATTCTGCCAACCATCACCTAATGTCTATCATGAACATACTTCATCAACCTTGGTAGGTTCTCACACTTGCCCTCCAGGCACTTCAGGATATACTCAAGAGGCTCCAAAGCACATGCATTCATGTTTGGAGCCTGCAGCAGCCATAGTTTCTCTTGCTCAAGATGTACAAGAGGATCTTGATGCTGTTGACATTTTCCAGGATGCATCTTGAACCACTCAGGATGTTTGACGCTGTTATCAGAGAGCTCATGGAGGTATGGGCTCTCTTCTTGATTAACACTGAACTAATCTAGTTCCACAGGCACATCCCTATGCCAAGATGGCAGTGGGTGTGTTGGCTCATGCAGCCAAAGTATGTTTTCATTTTCTCTCTCCCTATCTCTTACTATTACTCAACAATCATTTATGCAGAGTATCCTAGCTCAAGTTGATTGTGACACAGTGGTGCTCAAAATCCTTGATAAATTTTCTGAAGTGTATAGCTTCATAGCACGACATGAGATGTGTGGAACAATCTCATTGATTCACACTATCCTTTGAGAGATTTCTCAGCAGACCCATGAATGTGCCCGATTATTTGGAGATCAAGAAAATTTGTGAGTCTTGACACACTACTGCACCCTGTACTGTCTCAAGCTTCTACCATTATCACAGGGAGTAGACATGGAAAGAATGTTACCTGGGAAATGGAGGATACAATCCAGATGTACAATGGCGTGTTTGATATGCTCATGCAAACCTCCTGGGGCCAGATCGCTCAGGACGTAGTCATACATGTCCACTGCATGGGTAAGGGTTTGGACATTCTTGTGACCTGACACATATTCATACTTTTTCAGAAGAAATATTGGACTTTAGCAGCATGACTTATGTAGACAGCATGGGACTAGATACCAGAAAACAGTGTCTTCATGGGACACGCACAGAAATCCTTTCTGAGATCACTGAATGGGTCAACAGCTTGGGACAACATTCCATGCGTGCTGTGGCTATCTGGCCTTGCAGGCAAGGGAAAATCAGCCATCACCCACACCATTCCTAAGTGGTTCAAAGATGTGGGAGGACTTGGTTTGTGTTACACTTTTGACTGCCAGTGAGAAGCAGATCATCGCCATGAAAAGATCTTTTCCATGATTGGGTGCGACCTGGCTGACCATGATCTGGAGATGAGGCAGGCATTAGTTCAGGCCACAAGTTTGCTCAAGATATCATCCAGCAGTAACAGAAGCTTATTCAACCACTGAGGAAGTCATCTGGGTTAACTGAGAAACCCATCATGATTGTTATCAATGCACTGGATGAGAGCAGTGGAGTAGAGACATGAAGTGACCTCCTCTGTATTCTAGCTGGCAAACATCAGGACCCCTACCATTCCCAAAATCACAGATCTCCCAATCAACTTTCACTTCATTGTCACCTCTTGCCCGCTTGATGACATCAATGATGAGTTTCATGGTGTTCAGCATATTCAACAGATGTCCATGGATGTTCCACTAGCTTTCACAGAGCGCAACATCCATGCTTAAGTATCTGAGAAGCTGGAAGGGTTGGGTTTTGATGACAGAGAGTTTGCAGTCCTCACTGAGAAAGCTGATGGACTTTTCAAGTAGGGATGTCTTGCTTGTGTATACATCAAAGGGTCCCATGCTGGGCTATCTCGAATAGATTGCTACAATGCCATGGTGTCACATGCTCCTGCTGAGAGAAAGTGTGGTTGGCATTATGGCATTCATGGCAATCAGAGTGCTTCGAGATGGATGACATGGCTAGTAAAGTTGTTTCAGCTGTTGTAGGTGCCACGCTGAATAAAGAAAAGTGAGTTTTCAATTCTTGTTCTACCATGCTGATGGCTGCAGATGTATAGGTCAGTTCATGATCAGGCATTGAAAGCCATCAAGCTTTTTCATCAAGTATTTACAAGCTCACGCTTCGACTATGGTAGGTCCATAGTGCATATGCCAGTCTGCATTACTTGTGAACCCTTTTTCACAGCTGGAAACAGCATCCACAGAAGATGGCAGAAGTTGATGCACACACCAATGCTGGCCTTGTAAACTCAGCAACAGGCATAGCAGCTGCTCTCACAGGGTGGGTTGCATCGTCCCTTGGCAGAATGCATGTTTGATTTGGTTTTCTTGAAATTGATAGCTTACAAAGATCTAACACTCAGATTGCCCCTGCTCACATGCAAACAATGATCTCAAGTACCATCAAAGGATTAATACTGGCACAAAACATCAATGGGCGCACCAGTCCTCTGTCTGTGTCAGCTGCTTCTCTCTCCAAGAATCTACCAAGAAGAAAAGACCTGCAACTGGACTGGAATAAAGTTCCAACTTCTATGCTCACTGTGCACCTCACTGAAAAGGTCGCTAATGAGGCAGGGCAGTAGTCATTTGTGGAATGGCAATTTGATCGATATTAATGTTGACAAAGGAGATTGGAGTACATTCTTTGACCTTTAGAGATATCACTGGATCTAAACTGACCTGTTGTTGTTTATAGGCGCATTTGAGAGTGCTCTACCCAGTGTGGAATCAAAGCTTGAAAGTACAACCGATGATCTAAGATTCAGCACATTGCTGCAGGTCAGTTCTCCAAGTACATGTATCATGTCCTCATCCATAATTTCCCTACCAATTATCTGGTACAGCTCCTAACGAATGGGGCACAACATCATTGTCGAGACCTGCAAGTCACTTGGCTCATCATTGGGGACATTACATCCCTCCCAGATCTAGCTGGATTTGAACTGCACTGCACATGGGACACTGCTGGCAGCACTGCTATGAGAAGTGACTAGTGAGTCTCCAAAGTCTTCTGTCCCTTACATTTAATCAACCCAATACCCCCAGCTGTTGATTATGATGGCCATATTCCAACAATTGAGATATGGAGATGTCAGAGTACTGTAATAGCAAGTTAATTCAATGTAAATTGTATACCAGCATTGGTTTGAATTTGGGGTAAAATCACCTCAACTGCATGACGTAAGCTTTCCTGACAATGAACTTGTCAGTTCTCACACACCAAATATTCGGTTCGCTCCACCAGATGACATGTCCAAGCTTAAGGTCACTGATTTCATTCCTTTCTCAAACAAAATCTATCAACCACCACTTTACCTCCAAATTCAAGAATTTTTCAGTACATGCCTCACATTCGTAGGTCTCCTCAGAGAGCTAGGGAATATTATGACTAGTATTAGTCAGTCAAACATTTAGCACTTATCCTGAGCATTGGGGTGTAGACGACGGTTGGGCCTCCCAATCATATACAGACTTGTCAGTAAATATTTTTGAATTCTACATATTACTAATGCTAAAGATTCACAGTATCCATTACCAGACAATGATGCCACCAAAAAGTTTAGTGTTTCCTCCCATATCACTGGAAGAATAATGGAGTTGAGAGACCACCATGTGCATCTGCTAGAGTTCCTCCTTCCAAATGGAACTTGTATTGGCAATATAAAGGACCTAGAAGTACTTGAGCAGATCAGTGGGGACAGGCTGGTCCCTCTGAAACATGAATCACAGCTGTTTCCCTCAGCTAATCACCTATATTTTATTTTCCCTGATGACAGGGTTTATGAGGTGCACTTTTGTGGTCACATTACCATCATTAGCTTCCCTCAGCATCTCAAGCTTGATACAAAGGGTGTTGCTATAGAATGAAGTAATTTTTGTTGTACTGATATCTTCCTTGCTTGATGCCTTCGAAAACCAAGTAGATTATTTTATTGAACACAAGAAAAGCTCTATAACAGCAATTTAAACTGCTAGCTTATGGTGCTATACCTACAAATTTGCAAGTTTTATTTGAGAGTCCCCACATATGCGCACTGCTGCAAGATTTCAATCAAAAGCAGATCTGGACCGCAGAGCCTTGAATGGACTTGACGCACCAATTGTGGCAGAGTCTTCAGCTTCCCTACAACTCCCAGACCCTGCAGTCAAAGTTTGTCAATGGTGAAATCATAATGCTTGCTTATAAGTTCACATGCATCATCAAGCACAACTTGACAATGTAGAGAATGCAGCATGGTGGAATGCTGGAATAAAAATCAGTAGGAAATACAGAGCATTCATGATATTGAATTGAGCACTTACACATTGTTGTGTGGTGAACATTTCTGCATTCGAAGCCTCGAGGCTATGTTTCTGGCCTATAAATTCTTGATGTATAGTGTCTATCAGCTCCTGCTGGATATCTTCTATTGTCTCCTGATGCTCATCCATCATTCCCTGGCACATATCAATCGTCATATCCTGCAGCGGAGTACTGTAGTCAACTGCTGAGCTGCATACAACTGCTGAATAATGCTCAGTACAGAGATGATGATGTTGCAAAGGTGTTGAGAACAGTGCCTACCTTTCTTTTTACCACAAAGATAACTTGGACAACGCTTGCTTTTGTTCCATGGCTACTTCTTGTGTCAGGTGTTGGGCATTCACCTCAGCCTGGTGTATCATCATCTGCATCTGGCCTTCCTCCAGCTGGGCCTGATCTTCTCAGTACTTGTTGAGAGCAGGGGCACCTAGTGGTGCAGGGGTGGTATTAGCAGCAACATTGAGTGAAGGGGGTGGTGTAGTAATCTGGGCAATTAATGTTAGGTGTGCATTATATACGGTGGCTGGTGGATCGGAGGGTACAAATGATGCAATGAGGCATCTTAGGATAGCACATGCAAATTTTGGGGATGTGGAAGAGGAAGGGAAGGTAAATGCAAAATGAGCGTGGAGGAGTGTGAGGTGGTGGTGAAGCGGCCGAAGTGAAGGGTGCTGAATTGCAATGATATGGTCAATTGTGTATGTCAAAAATAAGAAGAGACCAACTTTTTGTCTGATGAGAAGGCCTTTGCTAAGTGCTTTCTTGACCTTGTATATAGCAGTACTTGTCAGGATGCACAAGTAGCAAAAAGAACTTGATGCACCTAGGCATGAATACCTACAGCCCAGTCACATCCTCCCTCCTGCAAGCAAAAGCCACTCTCCATGACTCTCATGCCAACTTTGGCCAAACTTGTCCAAGCACAAGATTCTACATCAGAGGCGAGAGCAGGCACTGTCTTAATGAGTGGAGGGAGAGAAATAGTGAAAAGCCAAAGTCTGGATGAGTCGGAGGAAGCACCAGAAACCCTGGAAGTGCAAGGAGTAGGATTGCTGGAGGGAGCTGATGGAGTGCTGGTGTCGGAGAGTCTGGGGGTGGTGGGGTGAGTGACGAAGATTTTGGCATCAACAAGGCTGAGATGGAGAGTGTGTGCTGACGTTGTAACAGACGTGTATTCATCGTAGGAGGAGGAGTGTGACACATCAATCACGCATTTTAATAAAATGTGACATATTGCGCATGTAGATGAATTGTTTGTGGCATAGTAGTTTGGGTCTGGCATTTACTCCACAATGTCTGGGAATACACATGGGTTTTATCAGACAGTTGCTCAAGAAAACTGCTGATTAGATATATCCAAGAAAAATGTGCTAGGGACTAGCTAGGTTATACGTAGGTAATGTTTATGCCATTCTACTCCTGGAAACAGTAATTGAGGTACTAGACTGCAGATGGACCATCCAAGTTTTAGCGGGTAAGTTGTGCTTTTAATCTTCACTCCTCTTTATAATTAAAAACTTTCATCGAAACATCTTGTCCTTTCATATATACCATCCTAATTTGTCCTTACCAAGCATACTAATCGCTTCCCTAGCCACAACCATTGACCCTCCTCTCTCGCCTCTCACACCCACTCAGCCTATTCACTTGCCCCTTCTACCAGGCCAATCCTTACAGACATGCAGCTTTCCCTTGACCCTCCCACTCCTCTCTTCACTGTTGACAATTCTTCTTCCGCTCCCCCATCTCTCCATGCAGAGAGCACAAAGGACCTCTCCCTTTCTGTCAACTATCTACCCAACAAATTCTCTTCTGGCTTGCTCACCCCCACTCCACGCAGATGCAAACTAGGCAAGGAAAATGCTGACCATCCCATCATACACAAGAGAGGTGGAGGTAGAGAGGCCTTCAAGAGCAGTGAGGCCCATATGCCTGCAGAAGGCGATGAAGACTATGACAGCATCACTGGTCGTTGGTTCAGTGGCAAAGAAGGTGGTCACACCCACCCCCACATGCACTGGAACAGGTTCAAATGAGCACTCTTCATTGCCAATCTTGTGGTCAGTACCTTTTTCCCTTTTTCATACTTTCTATTTCCTCATCCATCTCATGCAGTTATCCACTTATGCCCTCATGGGCCTCATCTTCTGTCTTTGAACATGGTCTGATGCCTTCAAACATGCAGACATTGTTCATGTAGGCAACCAAGAAGAGCTCATTCTCTCCACAGCTGCTGTCGCCCTCACCTCAGTTACTTTTGTAATCAGCTGGGCTGGCATCCTCCTCAACAACTGCTCTTCCCTAGCAGTCTACACTTTTGCTCTCTGGCTCTGCTTTGCCCTCCTCATTACTCCCAGCTACACAACCTATAAACAACATACATTCAACCTCGAAGGCAAATTAAATGCCCAGTGGTCTCATGACCTTAGTGCAGAGGGCCATTTCAGGATCCAAAACAGGCTCCATTGCTGTGGATATTACTCCCCCTTCATTGAAGCTACTGTCTCCTACAGCTGTTACACCTGCTCCATCCTCCCAGGGTGCAAAGAGGCATACATCAACTTTGAGAAATGCGTCTTGGACATCTGGTACACCATTGCTTTCTCCCTTGTACTGCTCCCACTTGCTTGAATGGCACAAAGTAAAGGACCCAGAAAGTCAGGTTCTTGACGATCTTGGTTGTTGGAGTATCTAGGAAACTGTCCAACAGCACATCCCAATTCCTGCACCACGGGAAGTCCCTCCCTGAACCTGCTCAAGCTTAGTGAGACAACCTCAAACATCCCTCTTCGGTGATTAAATACATGGCCATCACAGATATCTCATGGACACAAACTCCACCTTGGGTCGAGCTCACATCTCCTAGCAAACATGACAATCATGCATCCTTTTGGCCACTTGCATCACTTGGATTTCCAGAGACTCGCTTGAACAGCCTGGCATTATCATTAACAAATCACTCTTCTCCTCAACATCAGGTTTCCCTGCCCCCAGATGAGCATGTATTATGCTTCGACTTCCTTTACTATGTAAGTGCCCATCATACATGGGAATGGGAATTAGACTATTCTCCCATGTGGAGATTTGTAGGCCAACACATGTGATGGACTGCAAGCATGGAAAGGCTTGCTAATATGCATGCTCTGGTGCACCATGAACATGCCAAATGAACCAACACCTCCTGTGAGTGGACTTTTCCAGGCACAGGCTGCTCTACAGATCTAACTGTGGATAGTGTGTATCCGTCCACATATGACATGGTGACTTTAGAAGAGATCTATGGAAAATGGTGAGCCAATTAGATGTTATATTCATTCTGATGCTAGAAATTGTGGCTGTTACCAGGCACCTGGTGTTCATCAATGCTATCATTCAGTCAAATGGAGCTGGATTTGTTGGCACTCTTCATTCTACAATGTCCACTCTGGCTAGCCATAGAGTACAGTCATGGCATGACAGAGCAACTTGGACCATTGCATGGGGGTGGCCAGGGCGCTGATGACCACTGACAGATGATTGGAATGATGGAATCAAGACTACTTTGGGCCTCAAAAGTCATTGGCTACAGTGATATCATATTCTTATTTATGATGCGCATAATTGTCTCTCCCAGGTTCAAATTCATAGGCGAAGGCAATGAAAGCTTGATGTTCTTCATGCATCATACTGGGAGTGTCATGAATATTCCCCTGCTGATGGTGACTTACTTACCCAAACACAGCAATATCCTCATCTGATTTCTAGATCTTAGTAGGTCAAGCTGGGCTGACATCATCTCCCAATAGTAGTCCCATTCATTATCAAAGCCTGGAGGCACCAAGGCAGATACTTTGTACAGACCACATTGCCCTATCAAGGTCAGAAGGGCCGCTCTATGTACGAGAACTTACTGATTGAGTAGATAAGTTCGATGCACAGCATTTCAATCTTGATCAATATATACCTGTGAGCAGCTGTGTATTGAGGTCATATCTGATAAGTGATTTGATGAGTCTGGACATTGCATTCTCACTCCATCTTGCTCCAACATACTGCTGAGTTCTCCATCTCTACAATAATAACTTTCCTGGTATCGTACTGCATCATTGTGCATCATGAAGTGCAGATATTTGCCACAAGATTAATGTCACTTGTACACCCACAAAATATAAATTCCAGTCTGTCCTGAAAATCATTTAGTGCCTTCCAGAATGCACTATTTCTCTTTCGTGGGCTTTTCCTGCTGGTTGATAGTGATACTTCTACTTTCTCTTCAGGTCCTTTCCTGCCCAACACCTTCCAGTTGACTTCTTCATATATGTTGTTAGGTCCAGTGTGATCCACACGAATTCCTGGTATGTCCCAAATCAATTATGTATAGTGCCAAGTGCTTACTACTTCATGGATGTCACAACTCACAAGTTATGAGACTTGCAAACATTGCAGGTTGCAACCCACCGGCATTCCCAATGTCGGGTACCTCTCCCAGCACACTGCTAGTGACAAGTGATTTCAAACTTGATGTATCGCTAGCCAAGACCACATGCAGTCATAGGTGCAGTGGTATCACTAACTTCCATGTTGGAGTCCCCTGCCGAAAGACAATGAACACAAGCTGATGTCATGGATTTCAACTTGGATGTTTGGGATAAAACTAACAACGACTCAGAGATTATATATATCCCCCTCTTCATTCAGTTATATTTGCAAATCAACTGGCCTTTTAGCTGCATCCAAAGCTCAGCATATGATCACTTCATAATATCCTTAGAACATTGCTTGAAAGCTGACGACAGCCACAACTATCTCGAGTTTGAATTCAAATTCATGTGCCACACAAACCCTGTCAACCATAAGTGACATTGCTGAAATTGCACAGATGCAAAACCTCAGCCAGGGCATCAAAGAATGTGTTTAGCAGCGCTCTTCCAGTAACACTCTGCAACCTATATGAATGAGTGGTGGTAGAAGTGCTGGGACCAGCAGCTCATCATTCCCAGGTGGAGGAAACACACTGGGTTCAGCGCCTATGCCATGTCCATTGATGCATCCCGCTACTGCCCAATCACAACACCCAGATTCTGCTATCAAGTCAATCATGGGACTTGGCATATCGCGGGAAGTGGCGATCAGTATGTTGGGTGTGGCGGGTGGGAATGTGGATGTTGCTGCAAGTTTGTTGTTCTAAACCTACTAGGGTGGGTAGGGATTCTTCCAATGATGAGGAGACATTAATATTCTTGAATATTGGATCTTTGGGATTGGAGAATGTATGATGTGATGGATTATATCTACCTGGTTCGTTTCGGTGACAAGGATCAAAGAGAACTTTGTGGGCCTGCAGGACTTCCAATACCCTTCGAACTTAATTTGTATTGGAATAACAACACTAGGAATCAATGTTGTATCCATCAAAGCATCATGTTAACTTGTTGCTCATGTTCCAATTTGATAAGAAATGTCATGGGACAAATTTTAGAGCATTTTGAAGAAGGAAGACTTGAAGGTCACCTTAGTGATGATGGTTGTCCAGGCTTTGAAGGGGTTTTGATCATTGACTGCATGACAGGTTTTCAAGGATGCAACATCTCAGATGATGGAATCACTTGGTTCATAGTCCTTGGTGCGTGCTCAGATGAACTAGTGGTGGCATTTGGACTTGTACCTTCTATCATTAGGTTAGGTGTGTGGAAGTCACTTCTGCATGAAGGTCTGATTGATAGGTGTGCACCTGATGGCATGCCGCCCTAGGGAGACCCAGCCTCCCTGACTCAGAACATTAGCTATGTTGGAGTGGTTCCTTCCACCCTTGGCACCACTTTGACAATGTTCCCATGGTACATCAGACCCCATTCTTATGTAGGGGATATATAGTCTGAGAGACCCCCTCCTCCCAGAGGTCTCCCCCTACTTTCGCAGGGCTGGGAGGATCTCTTGCGAGAGGATACAGGTATGCCGTTGTAGCAGAGGTAATGTCTCCAGGATGTTCTCTTGAGCCTCACCACAGCACCCTCTCCAGATGTTGTTGCTGTCTGATGAGGATCATGATGCCACCATCTCTGTATGTTGCCCACAATGCTGGTGAGTGTGACGAGGGCCACAATGTCACCATCTCCATATGTTGCCTGTGACGTGGCAACTGATGGTGGATATCTTTGTAAGCTCTGGGGTTATGTTTTTTCTCTCTCAATACGTCCATAGCACAATTTGAATATATTTTGTTCCTCACTCATGAAACAAGGCCTGATTCAGACACAACAAGATGTATTGACTATGGTAGAACATGATGAATACATCAATGGCAAGAACAGCAAGAAATGTTAGATGTGCAAACTCAATATGTAGTTACATGACAATGCAGGACTCAATATGTGCATGGCCAAGGGCAAACGAGGACTGCGAGTGCGAGTCTAAGGAGCCTGTCCTCCATCCTCCTGGTCCTTGGGATACTCATTAGGATACTCCCACCCATAGCCATGCTCATATCTCCCTCCTGAACCAAAATAAGCATGGCTGGGAGAGTGCCAGTAGCTCTCAATGTATCCCTTGTATCCATCTTGATTGTCATGGTAGGGAGCATTGTGGTACCCACCACTGCGATACTGATGCTGAGGACCATGAGGGGCCTGGGGGGCATGAAGGGCCTGGGGGGCATGAGGCATGTGAGGATCATGGTAATATTCCAACAGCGGGTAGCAGGCAAAGCCTGGTGCAAACCACATGCACCATTGGACCTCTTGGGTGGCCATACATACCTGGTCTTGCATCTGTATCATATGGCCGCATCATGGAATGACCCTCAGCATTGATGTCTCTGTCAGTAGGCATGGCTGATGCCTCAGGCTCCACATGCCGCTCATAGTGGGATCATGGTATTTCCATGGCATGTTCACTGTGCCCATGATGTGTTGCTATGGTTGGGGGGAGTTCCATGTCAGGATCCTGGTGTTCTTGATGGACTGCCAGAGCGGGCTGGCCTGGAATCGCTACAGGCTGCAGGGATGAAGGTTGCATGATAGGTGACTTAGCTGCTGGCGCAAGAGGTTCTCCATGCTGATGGGATGGAGGTTGCATGCTAGGTACCTTTGCAACTGGCATGAGAGATTCCCCGCACTGCATAGATGGCAGTTGTATGATAGGTAGCTTAGTGACTGGCACAAGAGATTCCCCACACACAATGTTGTCCAGGACCAAGTCTGCTGAACCATGATGAGTTGGTGAGGGTGAGGAGGGTGACAAGGGGCATGTGGTGAGGATGTTAGTGGCATCAGCATTATTTGAGTGAGTCTCTGCTGCAGCTTTGTTGGCGCCACTGTCATTGGAAGAGTCAACAGGACCATCCCACAAGCAGTTTTGTGAGTTGTACTGCAGAGTATGTCAGTCACTTGGTGGGAGAAAAGAACAACAACCATACCTTGTCCTGCCACGTCTGGAACCTGTTCATCTCTAGAGGACTCTGCAGCCTCTGGCAGGGCTCTCTTCTCAGCTGGCCCCTTGGCCTTGGGCCAAATAGGTGCCTTACCTTTCGTCTTCTTTGCTTGGACAGTCTTTTCTACAGGTGCAACAGTTGGTGAGACCCTCTTCTTGGATGCTCGAGAGGGGCCTTCTGATTTCACCTTCTGTTTCTTGGAGGAATCATTGTCTTCATAATTCGAGTCGTCATTGGGTGCATCACCAAGATTTTCATCCAGGTCTTCGTCTAGGTCCTCTGAGCCAGGCTGAGCATCACTAGACATCAAGGAAATGACCTCCTTGCCAACCTTCTTCTCCACCTTCTTCTCGGCCTTTTTCTCCACCTTCTTCTCAACCTTCTTGTTAGCCTTCTTCTCCATCTTCTCCACCTTCTTCTGGCCTGTTGGGTGCTGGACTACTATGAACTTACAGGAGGGGGTGGTTTGACAGTAGGGTGGATGGGAGAGGCATCCATATCTGAATCATCAGCTGCCTGAGGCTCGTCCTCTGAAAGAGATATTGTGGAAGCAGGGAGTGTTGATGCCTTCTTCATAGATTTACCTTTGATCCTTGTAGTAGCCATGCTTGGCTTCTGGCAGGGAAGCCCCCAGCAATCAGATTGGCCATTCACAAAGAGGCAATGTCCCGCTGCGTGCTCAGAATCTCCTGCAGGGGGTGTGCCCACCAGTATTGGGACTTCAGAAGTCACAAGTTTAGCTGTGTAAAATGATCAGTGGTGAGACTGGAGGCTGGGATGATCATAATAGACATACATTGCTTAGCTTTGGAAACCTTTGCAACATACATAGTCCCAGCCTGCAATACCACGATGATGGTGCTGATCTCCTTGAGAGTCAAGTTTGCAATTCCTTTATTGGCATTGGAATGAACCCCGCTGGGGAGGAGCACATTGTCTGGATAACCCTTGATGACCAATGAATTGCGTGTGAGCTCTGATGGCAGTGTCTTCCATGGAAAAATCTTGATAGATGATAGTTTGCCACCATGGATGTCTGTTCCTCACCGTCAGCATACCAATAAACCCAATACATTAAACATACCAATTTGATGAGATATCTCGTCTTTAATCCACTTGAGTCCATTCTTTGTGATGTCGACACATTCTGCAGGGGGTTTTGAAGCCACACAGGCATTGCCCTGGACCTCCACAACCTCATCCTCAAAGGCCTCTTTGACCACAGCCAGAGATGCAAGGTTACTGGGGTTTGAATGAGAACTCAATCCACAAAAGATCCACAAGAGCACTCACTATACTTGCACTTTCAAATGGCCAATGATGGTATCTTTGTCAGCCTTGCACTGTGACAACCAAAACTGGAGGAGATATCAGATAATGTGCAAGTGAATTTAAAATATACTTACGTCAGCAGCTCCAGATGTTGTATGGGCCATGCCCAAAGAACTGTCTTGATTGATGACTTTGCCACAGGCTACAAGTGCAGCCTTGAAGCCAAAATGGGCCACTCCGGTGTCCATCTGTATGCCTTCAGAAACATGGCAGTAAGAGAACATCATTGTACATACTAATCCAGAGAGCTTCTTCATAAATTGTTGGAACTCCTGTCCCTGTGCAGAAACTGTCTGAGGTCCACTGAGGAATAATGCAGTCTCACCATAAATCTTGAGAATATCCTGCCAGTCATTTGGGAATGATTTTTTGAAAGCATTGTAGCACTTGCAGTGCACACTGGCACCTTGATGTCACAATGTTAGCATAACAACATTTGTGGAAGAGATAGATACTCACTCGGTGTGCTGGGAGCCTCTGGGGCCTCATCTCCGAGCCTGCTAAGCTCCTGCTTGAGGTTATTTTTGAAGTAATTGGCATATGCGTTCCAGTGGTTCACATTGTTGACAGTGTGTGCATGACTCTTGTTCCATAATGAAATAATTTGGGAGGAGGGGATTGACATGTTGTGGGTGAGGTCATTGATGACATGTTCCAGTTCTATGAAGCCTTCTTGCAGGGTGGCATTCATCTCATCGTTTCTTTGGCCTCTCACAAAGGAAGGGCCATTATCACCCTCAGTTCATGACATCACCTCATCATGACAGCGTCCTCAGAAAAAGGAGCAAAAGGAGCAAAAACAGGGACCATATCCCAGTCCTCCCCAAGGCCTGTGGGCATATCCCAGTTCCCCAGGCCTGCAGGGGTCAGAGGTATGATGCATGTCGCAGGGATGGTGAGTTGCATGGTAGATGGTCTGGGGATGGTGTCATCATGGTGATCAAAACTCCTGTTAATCATACTGTTGAAGTCAAAAGACTCCTGCTCAAAAACAGCAGGTTTTGTTGACATGTTGAGCTGCAGAGGCTGTGGGAGTTGCAGGAGTTTCTGACGATGGTCAGCCATGGAGAGAGGAGGCTCAGGAGGCTCATAAAAAACATCTGCTGATGTTGGCAATGTTGGCTGAAGCTGCACACCCAGGCTGCGTGCTTGGTTAACAGGAGGAATGAAAGTGGGAGAGGGACAGATTGTTGGCAAGGCTGGACGGATTGTTGGCAAGGCTGGATGGAGTGTTGGTGAGGCTGGATGGATTGTTGGTGAGGCTGGATGGAGTGTTGGCAAGGCTGTGCCTGTGGCTAGTTGTGGGCCTTGGTGAGTAATGGGTCATGTCCCATGTCAGCTGGTGGCTCTTGAAAAACCAGCCTTGCCCAACACGCAGATGCCTCCTTAACTAGACCCACATCACAGTCCATAGCTTTGATGGTACCACAGAGTTGAGTTGGGGTCTGTACTGGTGGCAGAGTCAGTAGGCGCCTGCCTCCACCAACTTGTTCCCTAAGGAATTCTCCTTCAATTCCACCATGGTCTGGGAACAGTGAGGAGGCTGCATAGCCAGGAGGCAGGGAGTCCTGCATTTTAGGCAATACATGTTGAGTCATGACTAGAAGGATGAATTAGCATGAGGCTGGAGCACACAAGAAAATAAAATAAAACCTCTTGGAGCATACAGCAATATGTGGGTGTTTGTCAGTTCAACAAGGCAGGAGAGGGAAGTTGTTCAAGCTTGCGTATTAAACATTTACCAGATCCTAGAATATTTGGTCTGATGAAGGGATCCAGAGGGATTTGCAGTATCAAAACCAAAGTTAGAAGGTGATTGGCAGATTTGGAATCAATTTACTTACATTTGGTTCATCAAAAGAGGGTCATCGACAGCTTCTGCGATGGTAGTCAAAGCCATTGGCAGAGGAGTGTGGTGAGGTTCAGCCTGCAGGCTACCAAGCAGCTCAGTCCAGGATATCGGATTTCTACATCACCAGATACTTATTAGTGGGCAATGGTTCAAATGCTCTACATGAAAACAAACCATCACTCAGAGCTTGGCATTCTTGAGCTCAAAGATCCTCCTGCTCAGCATATGTGGTCACCAGGGTAAACTGACCTGAACCGTGTGAATTTGGGATATGTTACATGTTACACCCTGTGGTCACTTTCACAGTTTCACTATGCACCTACCAGATGCTGACTTCTTCTCTTTTCATTGATGCTGAGGGCTACCTTTCCAACACTCCTTCCTTCAACACAATCTTCCTGGCACCTAATTTCCACCTTATCCCTATTGACAACCACCATGGATTTCGTCAAGCTGGATCACCTTATCAATCAGATCAGATCACAGGCAGGTGGACGAATGAGAAGGTGTTGGAAGAATGGTTGGAGAGGCAAAGAGAGATAGTGGATGATCCTGAACATTGGAGGGAGGGTGAAGGCATCCCTTGCATCATTGGAGGCTTGACCACCCTATGTGGTAAGTCTCATAGTCTGTCTAAGTGTGGAATGACTGACGGTTCTACAGGCCCACTAAACAGGCAAGGGGGGAATTTCTCCTGGAAGACACTACCCACCCTCCTTGCCCGCTGTGGTTGCGTCATACACAATTACCCTGAGAATGTCCTCATGCCTGGTGAAAGATGCACCATGCTCCTCAAGAGCAAGGGGATCCACGATCTCACCCTTTCCAGCTGGGCTATACTTATGGACGCCCTCAAAAACAACTCACTCACCATGCAACACATCACCACTGGGAATGCCTGCCAAAGACTTCTGGCTTCCTGTGAGCCCATCATCTTGGGTGAAGCGCCTGCACCTGAATCACCCCATACTCGTGGTTGGTGCATGTTCATTGACGGTAGGATTGACCGTAAGGGTCTTCCTCGTCAACTACCATCTCCAGAACCTTCACCTACACCATCAGCACCTTCTTGTCGCTCTTGTCAGCAGGTATTTCATTCACCCAAGCCTTCACCTGACCTGGAACCTTCACCTAGACCAGAGCCTTCACCTGGACCAGAGCCTTCACCTGAACCATCTGCACCCTGTCGCCTCCATTGGTGAAGATTTCAAGTCAATTCTCCTGAGGCATCCCCAGAGCCTTGTCACCAGAAAGTCCAGATGTTTGTCGAAGTACCACTTGCGCCTCCCTCCTGGAAGCTGAGGGCAGTACACTGGCATTCTTCATCCACTCCAGCAACACCACCACTGGCACCAACCATACCTTTGGCTGAGGGATCATCCACACCAGTTGATACCCCACCTTTGGCACAGAGTGCTGATGCCGGTGAACTGATCCCATCGATAGCTTTCCTTAGCCAGCCTCTTAGCAGCCAGCACTTGTGTTAAGAACCATGCTCAAAGGAGAGAGAGACTGACTCAGAGGGGCTTGGCCTCAGCTCATACGCTGTGCCCCTTACCCAAGTATGTGCCCTTCATTTCAGAGGAAGTCTGATGATGGTCTGACGAAGTCTGGAGGACTTCTGGAGGCTGGCTACTCTGGTGGAGAGTGCAGGGGGACTTCCGGAGGAGCACAGGAAGCATCTGGAGGAGCGTGGGAGAGTTCCGGAGGAATGCAGGAAATGCTCAGGAGAGTTCCCGCTGCAAGGTAATACTTCTACAGGAAAACAGGATGGAAGGATAGGAGGTCTGGAGGACAGGAGGACAAGATGTCCGGAGGTCTGGAGTATGGAGGACAGGAGGTCCGGAGGTATGGAGGATGGAATGTCCAAAGGTATGGAGGGCGGAATGTCTGAAGGACAGGATGCCCGGAGGTATGAGGGACAGGACGTCCGGAGGTACAGAAGACAGGAGGTCCGAGGTCTAGAAGAATAGGGGCTACATTGGACAAAGTCCAATGCAGAAGCAAACAGAGGTAGACTACCCTAAGGTAGAGTTGGAGGGACAGGAAGTGGACCTAAGTCTGGAAAGAGGGTAAGTGCCTGGAAAGGCAAGACTCTAGCCTAGGGAAGCAATCCCTAGACTTGGGATAGAGACATAGGGGACAAATCCAAAGGTCCAGAATTCCAGCCTAGGGAGTCCATCCCTAGGCCTTATGGAAAAGGACAAACTCAGATGGACTGAAGTCCAGAAGAAGATTGGGCAAGTCTAAGGTGATACAGACTAAGATGATATTCAGACTGAGGACTCTACTGTAGTTATACAGGGGTTATATACTAGAGGCTCTCTGAGAGGATCAGTAAGCAAAGGAGTAAGGCTATGTACTAAGCATGCGGAAACACATTGGTAAGTAAGATAGAACATAAGTAAATGAACTCGGAGATGAAACTAGTACAAGGATCAATCAGCAAGACAGAAACAGAGATAACCGAGAACCAGAAAGGTGGAGATGCCTAAATGGGGATAGGCACAGGATCTCGGATGGAGGGTGGGAATGGTCTGGAGATAGTATAGTTAATATCCGGAGGTCCAGAGATCTGGGGATCTGGAAGGCAGGGCAGAAACAGGACTGAGATATGTGAGGTGGTGGATGTAGTCTGGAATCCGAGAGGAGGTAAAGTCCAGATGTCTTGCTGGACAGAATGTGTGTAGGGTGGACAGGATAGGGGATCCAGGAATGAGTCAGATATGGGGTCCGGAAATAGGTCCGGAAAGCGCGGGAATATGATGGGATCTATGTCTGGCATATGGGATATGACAGCTCGGCAATTACAGAAGTCACTATCAAAGATGAACTTCAAGGAAGCAGTTGATGGGGTCCCAGTGAAGAAATCACACTGGCATTTGTGTACTTAGTATCTCCCATTTCTGTCACTGTACAATTCTATAGAGTCATGAAGCAGCAATGATAGTGTGGGTAGTGTCATTAAAAAAGATTCGCAGTCGCTTGTTATGATTGCCTTGTCATGATCTTGAGATTCATTGATGCTGATTGAGCAGAAGGATGTTGGGTGCAACATCTCAAGAGCCTCCTCAACCAATCACATTGCAAATAAAACTCATATTAAAGTCCTATCATACAGAAAACATGTCTCTGCAGCTTCGTAAAGCTATATGTATGGCTACAAAGAGGTGAGTACTGAAGGTCTTATGACCCTGCTTCAGATGAGATAGAAAAATGCTGCATTTTAGCATGCACAGTCGCTTCACTGTGTGTAAGACTGGTATACCTCTAACTGCTTCATCGAGTTGTAAGTGTTTCAATGGTTCCAAGTTGCTGGATTGCAATGTTTCAGCAAACCTTCCACAATTATAAGCCTGGGTTGCCCTCAACTACATGAGGATCAGTTCATAGGTGATCAATTGGTTGTTCAGCTTGCTCTTTGAGAGGTTTGGAATGCTAAACAAGTGTGAGCAGGAACAGGATTGATGATTGACTCGGATTGTGTTGTTCCTTGTTTCAAGTTCCCAACTGCGCTGGATGGTGTTCATGCAGTGGTGTATCATACTCAACACCATCTTCACACATTGTTGGGAGGGTTGTAAACAAAGTACAAATATATTCATGGAGCAGGTATCCTTACTACAAGTGTATGTACATAGTGTCTAAATGCTATCATATCCTTCTTGTATATACCTGGTGTGTGAGCTCCCCACAGGATGGCTGCAAGTGCCACTAGGACCCAGAGCCCACAGTCATAGCTGTTGGTTTGTAGAGGTTGAATTGTTAGTGGGCAGGCTACCCAGCCTTGAAGATTGACATGGTGTGAGCCACAGCGTTGGTGGGCGATCAATGACAGACACACAATAAGATTCATGATGTCCTGTATCGAATCATTGTTAGTTCAACAGTGGATAACTGGAGTATCATCTAGTACTGATCTTCACATCATCTTTCCATGGCTGTTGTTCAGCCAGGCTGTCAAAGAGGTGCAGCTCTTTAGTTGGGATGTATATTGCACAGAGTGCCCAGTGTCCAACTGGTGAGGGATGGTGAATAGATAGAATCCAAACTTCTTTGTCCCAAAAGGATGTCCATGCAGTATTCCACCATAGTATGTATCTCATCTGATGCATTGTATCAAATACATGGGAGGTTGTGTGTGGAAAAAATGGCACAAGGCCATATGTGTGAACTCATCAGTATTTCAGAGTATAACAGTGCTGCACAACCATTGATACAGGTATCGTTGAGGCAGGCAGTGGGCTGTGCCAGGAAGGACTGATCCCTTGCATCGAACACTTGACAGGGAAAACCATCCTGCACTGGTCACACCCAAGTTGGGGGGGGGGGGGGGGCGCCTGAGGATGGTACTATGACATGATCCTCTGTGTGAGGAACTTTGAAAGTGTCTTTCCGAAGATTCTATGATATTTGATCAGTCCAAGTAACATATGTAGAGATGAAAACATACCTCTGGCAGTTCCCAGGTTATTGTGAATTCAGGTTCTGCTATGACTTCATCATCCTTGTCATCACTAATGGTACCATGAGGTAAAATGTCCATGAGCACCACTTCTTCAATGGCTTCTTCGAATGCAGGCACAATATATTCATCTGCGTCTGCATCATCCTTGGGGGAGGGTTCATTGAGCACCAATGAGGTTGGTATGAGCCTGTAGACACCATCTTCTGATAGTCCCTCACAAAGAGTGATCGCAAGATTGGTTGCCACTGTGACATTGCTGACAAAGCAGATAGAAGACACTAGTGGGGTGACCCATTTAGTTTGAAGTTGGAGGACATGATCCCGCCATTGCTGCAGTGGAAATAAAAATGTGTGATCTGATAAAATCAGTACCAATCATTGAAACACTAAAATGACTTACTTGCGGGAGAACATAGGGCAACCTCTAGCACAGCCAACTCGTCTCGAAACCATCGACAGAGATTGTCAGCTTCGAACCCAAGACGGCACTGTTCCTCTTGACATCATTGTCATTTCAGCAAAGCTCATATTCCATCGTGTACATTGGCATCTTCCATCCAACAGGGGACATCTCCTATGGATGGGGTGATCCAAACGTCCTCCATGAACATCAGATCATTTTGAAGGTCAGCGAGTTTGGTAGGAAGAGGAGCAGGGAGCAGGACACCCCAAGATGGGTCATAGAGGCCCTCAAGACACTTGCAGTAGCCATTATACTTGCAGATCGCAGTCATCAAAGCTGGTTGGTGCTTTGCGAGTCTGCTGATGGAGCTTCATGCCTGTCAGAATGTGTCAAAATTCAGATATAGTAAGACAGAAGCATGGAATATTACCAAGGGCCTGATTTGCACTGCCAACCACGCAGTCGAGTTTATCCCACTCAAAAAAGCTGCCTATGGCTTGCTTATGGATATTTATTTTGAGGTCACAAGCCATGAGAAGAATTCGAATGAAGTCTAAGTTGACACCTTGGAGTTCAGGAAATCTGTCATGGACGTTAAGTGAGGCATACAATAATTCAACCTTGTTCATCAAATTGTTGTGGCTGTGCTCAAGGTTCTCTAGTGCATCTAGTGTCTCCTTGGTAACTGAGCCCTTATCTACCACAGTGTGCGTGGCTTGCAAAGCCCTATCAGAAGCATCGAGGTCAGCTTGGAGAGTAAGCACAATGTCAAGCTCTTTCTTCAGGTGTGCTGGAGCATCTGTTGATTGCAATATAAAATGTCAGTTGGACCTTTGAGCAACTTTGACAGATGTATGGGTGTGAATGGAGAGTTGTGACTTTTTTTGATCAGCCCATTGATCTGCAAGATCTTCAATTTTGACACTGCACTTATTCAGGACATCTTTGGCCGCTGCACCCTGGGCATTGACACCACATTTGAGCCATCGCTTGATCCATTCACCCAGATCTGTTTGCATCTCCAGTCCAATGGCAGCGGCCTGGCAGTCTATCAACCAAAGACACCTCTGTCACTATGCGCTATTATTAACAAAGGAACATAATGAGAATCCTGCAACTTACAGACAATAACCGTTGAATTCCGATCAGCTTGACAAACCTCGACCAGAGCCTCTCAGTACCCTTGCCATCAGACAGACTGAGGCCACTGCACATTTGAGGGTTATACTCCAGTTGACAGGCCCACTTGTGGCCATATGCGTGCATGACTGTCATTGTGAATTGAAGCTGCAAGGTCACAGGCTTGGGAAGAATATCATACTGTGTAACACATCAGGTTGAGATCTTGTCTGTCAGAGAGTTACTTACCTGAGATAATGAGCGTGATAGGATGCAGCCAACATCGTAAAGCATGACAATGGTAGCTTCCTGTGGGTAAGAGGGAAAATAGGTGCTTGATGAGGGATACTGTGTACTTCTGCTGCTCACCTGGTGAATTGATATTGGCAAAGAAGAGTGGGATGTCATGACGACAAATAATGGCCATGATGCCCGCATCATCAAACGATTCCATGGCGGCCTTCTGCTTCTTACCATCTGCAGCTTCATATGAATGCTCGCACTGATCAATGGCTTCATCCGGGACTACAGAAGTGCAAATCTTGGGTGCTTGCTTATGCTTTGAGATGATCCACCGCCCAACATCATCAACCTGGGTCTTCAGGAGGAAATACAAGGGTTCGTAGAAGTGTGGGCAGTCACCTGCAGATCATCGATGACGATGATGGAAGTTACCATCAGTTGCAATGTGTATATCTCTGCCTTCACTAAGTGGCCTGCCGAATAGCACACCTCCAAAGCATGCTGGACAGCACTGCATTAGGATGGTGGCACATTGGCCTTGATGCAGGGAGGTACTGGAAGGCTTGGGGGTAGATGGGTTAGCCTCCTCATTACATTGAGGGCTACGAGCCTCATAGACATGCTCTCGACATATTTGTACCACAGCTTCAGTCTGCCACTTGACTTCAGTCTGTAAAATATCATACCATTGAACTGCTTGGCCAAGTCCATGCTGAAATGGCTCTTGAACGAATTGGCCCTGGGTGAAGTGAGGAAGAGTCTATAAAGCTGATTAGTCGAGACTCACGGAGGTATTGGTCATCTGGAAGCCTCAGCGGGCATAATGGGTCTTCAGGGCAGCAGTGAGCATGTAGATAGCATCACACAAACACTTGAATAATGCCTGGTAGAACACAAGGAGGTCTGTGGAGACTGCCATGTGTAGTTGAGATGGTGCAGTTGGAAAAAGGCTGTGGTGTACAAGGACTTGCAAGAGTATTGAACATTTGCATGTCATTACATTGACATAAAGGAAACATGGACTTATCAGCTGGAGCCACACATCAGAAACAAACTGCTTATGGTCGAAAAAGAGACAGACTATAGAGAATTTTCACTGTATGCAACTGGAGCTTGCACAGGCAGATATGACTGGACATATTTCTGCAAGAGGGTGCCCATGGGTTCTTGCTGAGTACTTGAGATGGGGATCTACCAATGTGGGTATAAGGGCCTTCCAGGATGTATAAAGATTGTTTGCCATTTTGTCTGGCAGGATATGGCACCCCAGGTCATTGGGTGCCAGGTCTGTAGGGCAAGGTCCTTTGTCAGGCTGGTAGTCATTGACCATAGTAAAGTCGTCCTCATCATAAGGATAGCTTGTAGTGTCGTCAAAGTTTGCCAGTGCTTCAGGTTGAGCTGGCGCAGAACTAGAACTCGGTGTTTGAGTACTTAGCATTTCGGGATTTGTCAGAGCAGCCATTTGAGTGAGGAGGTGCTTATGTTTTGAGTTAGCACCTGGAATGTGAACCAGCATCTGTGATTTTTTGGGATCTTGAGCCTTCTTGGGGCTCACAAAGTGTACTCCAAGTCCTGTAGATATTGGCTGAGCGCCATGTGTGGGGTGGATGGCCAGTATGATGGTCGTCATTGTAAGGTAGAACAGAAAGACAATGAAAAATGGACTTGGAAACTGACAGCAGTGTCCAAGATGCCAGGAAGAGTGCAGAGGCTCTATATCTGGTGGGCTTGCCATAGAGCTATCCAGAGGCTGAATGGAGTGGGATGGGAATGTTGACAACAATCCTGCAAGGTCATAGTGGAGGGTATGGAGTATTCAGTGAGGGCCATGAGGATCCAGGGAGGTGCTGCAGAGGAAGCAAGGCCTATTTTGGCTGTGCTATAATTAGACCATCTGTGAGCCTGGGTCTCTTAGACCCATATAACCCTAACATATTAATGGGGTCTCACAGACCTTTAATAGTACCAAGAAGTACTGCCTGAGGTGGTTCCTTCCATAGTGTAAGCTGTCACTATGACATAATACAATTGAATTTGCATCGATGTTAATGATAAAATCTTTTCAGCTCTGTGCTCTTCTATGCTGTACCAAATGGTGGGCCTTTCGCTGCAACATCAATGCTCACTGCAAACCCCTCAACACCTAAGACTTCTGTTGCCATCTATCCCTATTCAGCCACCTTATTGTATCTACTATACAGTTCCTTGCATGCACCATCACAAGCCACTGATCATTATGCAACTACAATACTCTTTGCACCCATCTTGTTCCACCTTTACCTCTTGAGAGCGTTGTTCAATCACCTGATATTTTTCAGTTTTATTAGTCACAAGTACTGACTCATACCTAGACTCTATTTCAGCTTTGTACAACTTCCAATGCCCTACTCAGCCCTCACCAGGGCAACTGAGAGGTCCTCTAGGAAACACACTCATGTCTAAATTAGGGAAATAGCATTTACAGCTGATTTTCATCACACCTCGCATTCAGAACATTCAAGTTCGGGGCCCTATTACACCTTCCTTATTAATGTTCCCTTGGGATTTTGCTGGCAATCATTTACTCCACATATATGTTAAATCATTCATACAACAAACTCTACTTTTATGTAGTTGTCTAACTCTCAATACATATTACAACCATTGCTCCAATGTGCACTTTTTTTATATGACATAGTTGGACATGTGACTTGGAACTTTGGAAGCCTTTGAGCATCAATTGTTGGACATGTGACTTCGCAGACTTTCAGGACATTAGTGTTTAACATTTAACTTTGATGATGTAGTCAGACATGTCACTTCGATGACTTAATATTAATTGGACATGTAACTTTGATCCCTTAACAGCACAACTTCCCAACCATTCATGTGACTTCCAAGACTTCAAGGACAACATGTCAATGATGTCATTAGTTGTACTAAATACATCCACGACTTCTACCAACGCTTGACATATCCCAGTTCAGTCAGACTTCCAATAATGATGCCTACTGTACTTGGCACTGGATCACCTGTCGCCCACCTACCTTCCTTGAATTTGCGAGGGACATACCATCAACCACACTGTCAACTTTGGCAAGCTTAGCTAGGGTACTGCCTTAACTCATAAGTTCAAAGAGGATTACCAGCTCTTGCCCTACACTCGTTGCGAAATTCGCAAGCATCATATCACCAACAATTCTGCCCACCACACGCCTCTGTCGCATCTGTCGGCAATATTGCTGTACTCATCTCCTCACCCATGCCTGACATGGGCGAAGATCCTTTAGTTCAATGCCCCCCTATACGCCTGCACCATTTGCTTATTTGCCTCAATTGATGGTTATGCAGTCCATGCAAGGCATCCAACTGTCCAGTACCCCACTCCTGGCCGAAAACCAAAACCAATCAGAAGATTCATCAAACTAAGTACCATGGCAATGTCACTGTTATGTGGAAAGGCCAGAAACATACATAATACTATAATGATTGGATAGCATATACTCACTGTTTTCCAGGGGTTGTATCCAGAACTTCTCAAGGGCAACTCCATTGCCCATGCGGGTTGCCATCACATACTCATGTTGACTCGCACCTCTTCAAAAGCCTCATGAAACAAATCATGCACCCTGGCCCCACAGACAAAGTTGCATTACCTGATCACAAATCCCCCCTAGCTAATGATGTTGCAATGGATTCGGCTGATGAGGGTTACTGTAAGTCAGCTGTCACAACACACTTAACACAACTCATGCATGCCTCTCCACATTAGATGCACTCGGCGAGCTCAAGTCCGATAAGGGCACTGATGGCAGTGCAACAGAACATGAGGACAATGACAATGAACTATCCTGTGGTCTGTGCTCATCTGACAAGACACTACCTAACGCCCAGCATTTGTTGTCCAACAACACCTCTCCAGCCACCAATCTCCCAACCACTTCCATATGTGGAACTGTTTATGCTTGTGCACATGTACTGCTTGAAGTAACTTCCATACATGGCAACACATTTTCTCTCACATGTTCATTCAAAGGCAACACGCTCCTCAACATCAACCACTCTACCCCTGAGTCCAAAGCAAAGATCGATCAAACAGACGACAAGTGCTTTGAAGCCAACAGTGACCTGAATGCCAATCAATCAGACAAAGATCAATCAGACGCAGATGATGATGGCAAGCTGATGACATCCATGGACCTCAATTCACCACCTGATCTCACTGACCTGCTTGCCCACATTGTTCAATGCAGTGTTCATGTCAATCCCGTTTTCCATCTGACTATTTGCCTGGACTGTGCCATTGCTATCCCATGGCACAAAATGTGGGGCCATTGTCACAGGCATCATAAACAGGCATATATTCTGCCCAAAAATCATTTTAACACCATCCTTCAACGATTAGAAGGTCATACACCAAATCATATCCAAAATGCCCCAGTATTCACCATTGACAGCATGAAAATCATCCCAGGTCTTTTCAAATGCATTGTGTCAGGCTGCACAAGCCACACTCTATTTAAAACCAAAAAACACCTTCACAGTCATTGTGTGCAGGAACACAACAGTATTCTGTTGTCACATTGCCCGCACTGTTGAACCATCAGTCACCAGATTGGGACGTTTAGAGGAGATTTGCAAGATTTTGAGGTCAACCCGCTTCCCCTCGGATCCAAAACAGATGCCCTAAGAGAAGTTCAGGCTTTTGTCACTGAATGCAGTCTCCATGCAAAAGAAACTACTTACCACTGCCTGTTGAATCAGAGACCCAGGGGTCCCCTTCTTGCTCAAACTAACTGGGAACACTGTATCGAGAACATAGACCTCAAGAGCCTCAGGCAAACTGTGTCTAACCCTGATGGCAAGCCAGACTTTCTGTACCTCATCAAGGTCATGTGACAATATTACCAGAACATCGCAGCCAACCTCAGTCATCTGTTGACCCTTACTCTTCGCACACTGTTGTTCACCAGTCCATCAGGTGAATTGGAGAAAGTGCCATTTTGATGCCCCCAGGAAGATCCAACTCTTGAAAAATATAACACCTTCCTCACCAAATTCATCATCTTCCTCATTTGTCATCTCTACCACCCTGTTGAAAACTTCAATGTTCCTTTACATCTGCAATATAGTGCCAACCTCACCACACTTCATGCCCATTTGCAAACTGTGATCTCCAAATGCTCCCCAGCCATTGACTTACTTTCTATCAACTTAGTATATGAAGTTATATTTTCCCTCCTCACTCATGTCAGTCCAGAGTTCTTGAAAAATGAGATGAAGGACCTATTCACTCGAATCCTCATCACATATCACCTCTCTGACAATTTCAGCAATACCAATTGTGTATGCCAAGTACCCCCCACAATCAGCGAGGCCCAGTGGTGCTTCAGGGCAATGGCTGGTGCGGAGATTTATATGAAAATGGGGCAATTCAATGACAACTCATTCAAGTATGTATTCACTGTCTCTGTTACAAACTTGGATAGACTGTCATTCCAATAAAGGAATCAAGGATCAAGGTTGATCAAGGACTAAGCCTTATCAAGTCAATGCCTCCCTCAGGAGCGATTGTCTAGACTCCTGCAGGATCTAGAGTTCAAGTATCAGAGAGAACCAAGTAGATTCAAGTTAGAGAAAATACAAGTGGTAACTAGAGTTTATATACATAAAGGAATCATGCACACACCAAGCTGGGCAAAGGGTAACTAGTACTAAGAATGGAAGGTTCATGGGAAACAAGGTATGAGTCAGAGATAAGAGAAGTCATGAGGAAACAGCACAGTGAAAAGGAAGCATTTAATAGTACAGCCATTAGGTGTCTGCAGTGATGGTGAGAAAAAGAATAGGGGTACTGTAACAATTGTATTGTCTTGTGTTGTTTTTGTATGCTGGTCTATCATGTTTGTTATCCTTGACTTGACTTGGCAGTCATAGTGTGTGGTGTGGTGTTTCTTATCCTTGTCCTTGTCTTTTGCTGTTGTAGTCTTGACTATCATATTGCTCATCCTCATCCTTGTCTGGGTCATGTCATTTTTGTGCTATTGTGTTGCTTGATCTGATGCATAGGCTGAGGCAAAAACCTCATTCAGACTTTGCTTGACTTTGCTTGATTTTGCTTGATCTGAAGTGTAAGGGAAGGTGAAAACATCATCAGGACTGGGCTTGACTTTGCTTGATTTTTGCTTGATCTGAGGCGTAGGTTTAGGTGAAAACCTCATCAGGACTGGGCTTGACTTTACTTGATTTTTGGTATTTTTTGTGTATTGTGTTGCTTGATTTTGGTTGATTTTGGTTGATGTGAGGCATAGGTATAGGCAAAAACCTTGTCAGGACTGGGCTTGGTTTTGCATGATTTTTGCTATTTTTTTGCTATTGCATGGCTTGATTTTGCTTGATGTGAGGCGCAGGGTTAGGCGAAAATGTTGTTCAGACTTGGGTTCATTTTGCATGATTTCTGCTATTTTTTTGGTATTGTGTCGCTTGATTTTGCCTGACTTATTGCTGTTGTATTGCTTGTCTTGCTGGGGTATTGTATTGTGGTGTATTGTAGTGTCTTGCTAAGCTATCTAACGGAGAGGTGAGACACCGAGAGATTATGCTTTTATATAAGACAATGAGAGAGCTAATGGGTGGGTGGGTAGGGGCAGTCTAACATATGATTGCCCTGCTTATCCTTATCCTTATTCTTGACTATTGTATTGTTATTGTAAGTTATTGTATCATAGTCTGTCATATTGTAGTCTATTGCATTTCTTATCCTTGACTTGCTTGTTGTGTCGTAGTCTTGACCATCGTGATCCTTATCCTTGTCTTTTGCTTGTTTTCTTGATTTTTTGCTATTGTAGTCTTGACTATCATATTCCTTATCCTTTTCCTTATGGCCCGGGTTGAATCCTCATTCAGACTTTGCTTGACTTTGCTTGATTTTGCTTGATTTTTGCATTTTTATCGGAGTAGTTCCCACAGTCGAGTTGCTTTCTTGAACCCTTTGATTTCGAGTATTTTGCTTATAATTCATTAGGATCTTATCCTATTGATGTCATTAGACTATGGATAGACTCCCCTTGATGAGGGCTACAACATTGGTTTTCATCAATTAGTTGATCAGGTATTAGCTTACATAATGTCTTTGTCTTGTCATGGAGTCAAGCCTCCAATGGAACCATTCCAGTGGAGGATCATTGTTGTCGACACCCTGGTACTCTGTGACCCTCCAATGGAATGGTTCCAGTGGAGGATTATATTTGTGAAATGTCTTGAAATGACCCCTTCTTAACCACAACCCATATAGAAAAGTGCTATATAATAATCTCACACTATTGAGACAGAAAGAGGGAAAACTCCTGTGCTTCAAATCTCATGAATCTCATGGTTTGAGACAAGAAAGAAGAGGGAAAAACTTGTTGATTATGTAAGAATTGTTACAACCATGTATGCCCCTATTCATTTTCCCTTTCTTACTGTGTATTACATCATGAGCCGCATGATGCTGCCACTAGACTTATCTCTGACTCATGCCTTGTATTACATCACAACCACCATTGCCATTGCTAGATGACCTATTCTTACTATCACTTACGCGTCTCTTATCTCTGACTCATTCTGCTCTCACGCCTGCCCTAAAGTACAGTAGTTCACTATAAATAGTTCTCCTGTATGCTTTAGTTCTTTACTTTAATCTTACTAGGTTTTACCTGGAATATCCCTCACTTGAGACCTCCAATCTCTTGCTGTCTGAATCGTACTTTAAGTTAGAAGCACTCCTTCTGACTTAGCTTACATCAAATGCTTAACTTATTGTCTTGTGTAGAATCTCAGCAGAGATCCTGACTCTTATTGAGTTGTCTGTCGTTAGAACTATCCTAGTTCATAACAAGAATGGAGTCCTTATACACATTTTAGAAACCATCCTTACTAAGCAATGACTCATCACTGGATTGGTAAGAATATGCTTACAAACCAAGCCTTTTGGTGTGCTGAATCAGCTGCTTACTAAAGTACATGAGTAAAATATTACAAAGCACTGGGATTGGTGAGTTTAACTACCAAAATCACCATCTCATCAGATCCTACCTCATGCCCCTGTTGAAACAGAGGTGTGTCAGGGATTGATTGAAAGCATGCCTAGGAGGATTCAAGCAGTGATTAGAGCAAAAGGAGGTTAGACCAAGTACTAATATTTCTCAAATACCTTAATCATTACAATAGTTGCCAAACTGTTACAATGGTATCTCCACCTTAAAATGGTCATATCTTCAGGCCTTGTGATCCAAATCACGTAATCCAAGTGCCAGTATGTAGCCAGGAAGCAGTACTATATTTCTTCTCACTGCCACAAAGCATGGTTACCATGCCTGAGATTTGTGAGCCAATGTCCTGGTAGACTTTGCTTCACATTTTTAGTGGATTATGTAGGATTTTATATATCACATGACATGGCCAAATTCAGGATGTCAAATTTATGTTCCCTCATCAGTCTGTGTCTGAAGACTATTTGAGGTGTTTCTAAAAGTTGAAATAACATGACAGGAAATAAACATTATTTGATTTTTTTCACAACACATTGTAGTCAAAGGTATCTGGAATGCATTCTTGCATGCTAATAGGCTCTAATGTGCAGCATGTTTGTGAAATAACCTGTATCTGGAGGTGATACAAAATGTGGCTGGATCTGGATGTCATCTGCCACTATCAGCAGTCCCAGAGCACCACCATGGGGCAGGGTCATTGTTACTCTGCACTATCTTGGGTAGCCAATGGTCACCCCCAACAGCCACCAGCAACTCCCAATTGTTTTTCTTGGTGGCTTCATCGTGCATGGTATGGAGTTCATACCGTGCCCTTCATTTCAGAGGAAGTCTGATGATGGTCTGACAAAGTCCGGAGGACTTCCAGAGGCTGGCTACTCTGGTGGAGAGTGCAGGAGGACTTCCGGAGGAGCGTGGGAAATGTCCGGAGGAGCGTGGGAGAGTTCCGGAGGAATGCAGGAAATGCTCAGGAGAGTTCCCGCTGCAAGGTAATACTTCTACAGGAAAACAGGATGGAAGGATAGGAGGTCTGGAGGACAGGAGGTCTGGAGGTATGGAGGACGGAATGTCCGAAGGTACGGAGGGTGGAATGTCCAAAGGTACGGAGGGTGGAATGTCCAAAGGACAGGATGCCCGGAGGTATGAGGGACAGGACGTCCAGAGGTACAGAAGACAGGAGGTCCGGAGGTCCGGAAGGAATAGGGGCTACATTGGATGAAGTCCAATGCAGAAGCAAACAGAGGTAGACTACTCTAAGGTAGAGTTGGAGGGACAGGAAGTGGACCTAAGTCCGGAAAGAGGGTAAGTGCCGGAAAGGCAAGACTCTAGCCTAGGGAAGCAATCCCTAGACTTGGGATAGAGACATAGGGAACAAATCTGAAGGTCTGGAATTCCGGCCTAGGGAATCCATCCCTAGGCCTTATGGAAAAGGACAAACTCAGATGGACTGAAGTCCGGAAGAAGATTGGGCAAGTCTAAGGTGATGAACAGGAACTAAGATGATATTCAGACTGAGGACTCTACTGTAGTTATACAGGGGTTATATACTAGAGGCTCTCTGAGAGGATCAGTAAGCAAAGGAGTAAGGCTATGTACGAGCATGTGGAAACACATTGGTAAGTAAGACAGAACATAAGTAAATGAACTCGGAGATGAAACTAGTACAAGGATCAATCAGCAAGATGGAAACAGAGATAACCGAGAACTAGAAAGGTGGAGATGCCTAAATGGGGATAGGCACAGGATCTCAGATGGAGGGTGGGAATGGTCCGGAGATCTGGAAGGCAGGGCGGAAATAGGACTGAGATATGTGAGGTGGTGGATGTAGTCTGGAATCTGAGAGGAGGTAAAGTCCAGATGTCTTGCTGGACAGAATGTGCATAGGGTGGACAGGATAGGGGACCCAGGAATGAGTCGGATATGGGGTCCGGAAATAGGTCCAGAAAGCGCAGGAATATGATGGGATCTATGTCTGGCATATGGGATATGACAAGATCCATGTGTTGTTTGTGGTCAAAGCCAGGTCATTGAAACTGGAGGTAGGTCTTGATGTCGGTCATATTCTGGTTGTTCCCTGATATGCTAACTCAACTATGGACAGAAGGATTACCTGGTGGGTGTTCAGTTTACCTGACATGATCTGGCCAGCCACACTCTGACCCCTGGCACATGGTCAGCTGATCCCAGATCTGAGGCATTGGCCCTGGAGGCATTTTCACTGGTGCAAGGTGATGGCACCATGACTAAATGCAGCAGTTGCTCCGATGTTGGCCAGTTGAAGAAATGTGCTCAACCAGGTTGTCCTTTTGCGCTGTGCTTCCAGAAGTCAAATATGCATCCCTGTATCAGCGATGTAGGCCTGGGTGAATTTTGGTGTCTTCCATGTTGGGGACGCAGGCAATCCACTCAGTTACCTGTAAGCCAGTCATAACTGAATCCTGGACTTGTCTGCAACTCTGATATGTTGATAGTACTCGGTGGTTGCAGAAGGCACCTACCTTACTGGCTGAAATTTCACCTGCCACCCGCTGGCATTTCACACCATTGCCTTAAAACGTGACACATATGCTGAACACTTGTTTCGAACTCAGTTGGAGGAAGAATTTGTGCCTTGGAAAAACATGGTGTGTACTGCTTCAATTGAACCTGAAATGGTGTGGGGTTAATGTCAAGTATGTGGCAGTTGTGTCACACCAGCATTAAACTGCTCACTGGAGCTGCTTGGCTGCCCAATGTCTGCACATGTGTCCTGTAATGCACTGGCCTTTGTGAAGGCCAAACCAGAAGCTGATTTTCTGGTCCTGATAGGACACACACAGTGATTATGATAATGGCAAGCTGGTTCACAGTGTTGACAAACATGGAAATGCCTGGACTCAGGATGCCTCAGAGGTGAGCTGCGGCTGACTCTTCTTGATTTCTTTCCTTGACCTGAATCTCAGGTGTTATGTCATCACTTGGGCCCGGAATTGTGGAAGCAGTCCCTGGACATGGCAGGCACCAAAGGGATGATTCTGCTGGCTTGTGGTTCAATGTTCATGAAGCCTTTGCATTTTGAAAAAATCAAGTCACTGGTCTCCAGGTATGATACCCCCCATCCCTGGAGTCTTTTTTAATGACATTTGTGGATCCAGCAAGCGCCTGCAGTTCATCATTGGATTCACTGCTCATTCGGTTCAACCTTCCATGGTCATGCCCTTCATGCTATGGGTGATCATACAGGTCTACATTCACCATTTGCCTGTTGAGCAGGCCCTTGAGCAGGAGATCGCTCACTGGAGTCTGCTGTCCCATATCCCCATGGTGTTGATTTGTTGGAATCAAGACAAGCATCTGATTAGCCAGAAATATATAACTTCCACTCTCTCTGGCAAATGTGGGGCCTTCCCCCCCAATGTGGCAATCCCTATGCAACCCTCAGCCTGGGGACATCCTAGCCAAACACTCCAATCACCAAGGCCCCAACTTCTTGAAGCTCTGGTGCAACCACTGTGACTGGAGTTCTGATGGTTACAAACCCAAACCCAGCTGGCTTTTCAGTTCTCACCCCTGGATTGTTTCTCTGTTCACCACTTTCCACTTACTGCAGAGGAGGAGGATTATGTCCATCTGTGCCCCAGCAACCCACACAGTCAACTTTCATGTAGAGTGCCATTATGACATATTTTCAAGCTTTAGATAATCTGCACACACATCATGTCACCCTCATTATACATTTGACTAGACAGTTTTTACTTTCAAATAAAGCAAATATATGTGGGATCTCCAGAGAACTTCTCTATTGTTATCCCCCAAGAACAAGGCCTAGGCCTGATCGTTAGTCACCTTTTCTGAACTGCATTCTCCAGGAAGTGATGCAAGTAAGGAACACAAATCACCAGGTGAAGACAGCCTCGATATAATGAGTTGTCAGGTAATCATGTAGACAGGAGTAAGGTATCTGGTGATTCTGCCTTGACTAAAACCACAATACATGGTGCAAAATTCTGTGCAAGCCACTGCCTGAGGAGTCAAACTGCCAGAGTTGTCAGAAGGATTATGCAGAACAGTCAACCATAGGTGGGTCCACAGTAGTAGGATAAATATGGTACTTGAAAGGGTTGGCAGGGGGTGAGTGTCAGGGATATTGTTGTGGCAGGGCATTTGATACTTTCAACAGCCTTGCCTGCAAATAAAATAAAATATCAAGGCCAACAGTCATTAAATACACATGCCTGGAAGTCAGGACATTGTGATGTGCTCCAGAGAGGTGCAGACAAGTAAAATAGAAATAAACTAGACAATGCACACTATCTGCAATCATATTGATGACGTGATCTGGAGACAGTGGATCACATGGACCAATCCAGCATTCAAAAGGGCATGCACAACTCTAGGGCATATCTTCAGATGGTGTTGGCATCAACTGAGCCATACAACACCATACCTGGGCCTCATGAGATGCCAGTTATGAAGTAATGGAGCTTCTGGCTTTCAGGATCAGTGATGATGGAGAGATCTACCTGTGCCGAAACCCTCAAGGATGATGGCCGCAACCTGTTCTCAAGGCCTTGATGGCCCAACATCTTTTCTTCTCCTTGGATGAAGACTGCAAGCATGATCAGCAAGAACTCCCAGATTTCTGCCTAAGCCTTGGAAATTTCTGCCCATGTTCTGCCTTCACAAATCATGAAATTGCATTGATCCAGATTGGATTTGCTGGGCCTGAACAATGGAGTCAATGTGATAGACAAAGATGGGGGCACAAACTCCCTACAGGCCAAGTTCCTCCAAACTCCATCCATCCTCCTGCAGGCTGTGGTCCAAGACACAGGAATTGCAGTTGGCCAGCATGGAAGATCCAGGGTGAATGAAGATACAGAAAAGGGCCTGGTTAACCATGAGACAATGCCACTGGCCTACCTTGTCCCACTCTGGGACATATGATTGCTTGAACAATTGAAACTCCCCATGCTTCTCTGCTTCATCGAGCATCTTTTGCTTCCCAGGATATTTGATGAACAGTCTTGAGGCGCTGGATTCATGCTTCACAACCACAGGTTCAGTAATGTGTGGATCAAACTTTGTCCCTGGAATGATTAGCTGTGTTGTGGGGCGATGAGTTTGGGTGCCATCCCGGGCAATGGAATCCAACAAGCTAATGGCATTGTGATCATGGGATGCAGCCCAGCACTCCAATATGCCTGGCCACAATGGAAGCATGCCTTCCAACCTGTGCAATGCCCATATGTATTTCTCAAATGTGCAGCATAAAGTTGAATCCCCCCGATCCCTTAAGGAACTGGAAAGGTGAAACAAAACTGGAGCCTCTCTGTCTTACACCAAGGTCCAGGATCAGTCTGTCCAACTCCATTTTAAGTGATGGATTTACCTGTAATTTTTGGTCAAATCCAAACCTCCCCATACAGCAGCAAATTTTTTCATGGCCAGCTCAAGCTTGTCCAGATGCATGTGAATGACTTCAGTGAATGTTTTGAAATTCATGTAGCACACCTGCAGGCAGTTCTTAGGCGACATATCAATTGTGTGCCACATCAATAACTACGCATCATAATTGGAGTGAGGGTCATGATGCCTGTCATAGATACCATTGCCACTGACTTACCACTTCATTGATATACACCATCTTGTGTCCTTTAGGAACCTCTTTGCCACACAACTGCTTGGATGTAGCTGTGAAAATCAGGCCATCAAGGTCCCCATTACCCAATAGGTAGTCAGCCTCCTGGTGAGGTAGAGAGGTCAACACCCAATCGATATAGGTCTGTTGTTGCAGTTGCAACTGGGTCTTCTTCCACCCTGGATCTGGCACTACCAGAATCACTTTGCTCATTATGTAAGATCTTGTGTCATGCCAATCTGCATTTCAGCCTGGCACTCAACAAGAGACCAAAACCTTAAGTACTTACAATCTGCCGATGTGTGAGTCAACTGGTATTGGTATGGGGGAGGATATGAGAATCTGTGGCCTGCCCAAAGATGCCTGTCACAGGATGACAGTCACAACGACATCACTGGCATGTGGACTCCAGGAGCTTGTAGGTACCAAGGAGGAGAGTCTCATCAGTAGGCAACTTGTGATGCCCTATCTAGAAGCACCAACCGTTGGAGCTCTCCATATGCTAAGGCTGGCTAAACAAAATGTCTCACCTTGCTTCACCAAAGCGCAGATTGCAAGGATTAGTCATCAAAGAGATACTCCCGGAGGTGGGCACCGGTAGGCTCCAAGCATTCAAGATCAGCTAAGGACAAAAACACAGACCACTCAGCACTGTAGGTGGACTTTGAATAGACACAGGATGCACCTGACAAAAATAATGCTGTTACCAGGATGGACAAGGAAATTGCTTCCTACATGCCTGCCTGCACTACACTAAAAGCTCTGTGAGGCAAAGACAAGTTGCTCAGCCAGTGGCAATGAGCATTGAGCATGTATGTCATGCCAAGAGCATCCAGAGCATGTGCCTGCAAAGGAAGACTGAAATTGAATGTAGTACATAACATAAGAAAAAAAAATTAAACTTAATTAATGTTCTTAATTGGGAGAAGCCTGTGTTTCTCACTGCTGGGTTTTTTGGTAGGTAATAATATCTATGTCCAAACAGGCCCAGATCTTATCTTGACCTCACTGCCATGTCTTCTACAGCACCCTGGACGAACCATTTGGTATCAAGAGCTGTACTACAACCACATTTCACTGAACTGGAAGCCTCTAGGTGGGAGGATGAAACCATGTCTGTACTTCTGTGCAAGGATCCAGGGGTGAGCACCTGTCATGTCTTAGTCTAACCATGATATATACTAATGCACTCTTCTCCTGTTATAGATGCTTGGACCAAAGACCTGGTATCAAGACCATCATGAATTACATTGGGCTAAGCTGCCAGATGAATCCTTATGCAGAGCTTATATTCAGTTCAGTTTAATGAAAATGTGTCATCAACAGGAGGCCATGAAAGTTTTGCTGCAAGGAGTGGCTGAGGGCTTGATCTTACAAGGCTTGTTGGTGAGTGGCCTCAGAAAGCTTGCCCCCCTGTCTAATGTGTTGAACACTCATCAGCTGACCATGTGTGACCAATTATTTGAAGATGACACTCCATTGGAAACTATTGATGCTGAAGAATTAATGTCTGATTGGTCCCATGGGGCTGAAGAGTGCTGTATTAGATGGAAATCCACTTCTTGGCCAAGGAACATGGGTAAGCAGGCCTCGGACAATCCCTTAGGAAAACTAATCATCTAAAAGTGTGTCAGAAGCTGGAGGCTCCAGCCATAACCACACTGCAGGAGATGAGGAAATGGACCCACAACCTGTGTGCTGACCGCAAATCTGCGATGGAATTGGTTATATTGGTAAACACCACATCTTTCATGTCCATTGGTGTGTTTTGGTCTTTGACACTCATCTCAGCATTCTGGCCTGGGTCTTGAAATCCTCCAGATCGCCAACCCACAAGTGGGTTTGGAGAACAAGACCCCTTATCTGTCCCTGAGCTTCCAGCAATATCATTGGAAAGAGAGTCTGCTTAGTTGTTTGCTCAAATGGGTCAATTGAGTCTTACCTCCCAGGATTGAGACTGGATGGTCTACAAGTGCAAATGCCCAGGAATTTCTGCAACTCCTGTCCCAGCATTGCATGTGTCCATTTCGGTCCAATTACTCCTCAGTATTTGCATTTTCATCTGAGAGATGCTTCCTGGCTGAAGCTGTTAGATGGATGTTACTGACCCTGGCTGCCAAGGTGCCATCTGTGACATGGGTGGGTGCACTCTTTGATTTATACTGGCAATTACATCGATATGATATATTTAACAGATATACAAGGCCTCATTGAACCAGCTATTCTGCTTGATCTGTGGTTTCTCCAATGCCAATCTGGATGCCCTTCATCTGGATGAAGAACTGCTTTTAGTTCTGAAGTCATCTGCCAAGCTAAGGGGCCTACACAAAGAATTGGCCAAAGGTTTTCATAAGAAGTTCCACAAAAATGTGGATCCAAGTACCCAGGGTTGTCACACATGCTATCATCAGGCCAAAGATTCCAAGTGTGTCAGGTATTGGACTATTGAGCCCAGTTATTGCATGGAAGTCCATGGGAAGGTTGTCATGCCTTATCCTGCCAATGATCCTGATCAACTTCTGCCCACGGGAAGGTAAGGATTTTGACATCAATATTCCTGCTTGTCCTGAAATCATTTTATCTTAGGGTGTGGCTGTCCATACTGACTATATTCCTCTAATGGACTTAGGGTTGAGAAAGATTTCTCGCCATGCGGATGTTCTAGCATGCTGTGGTCAGGACATCACCCTGTTGGTTGATGCCAGCTCACCCAATACCATGTTGGCAGGAGTTTCCTTTGACACATTGTCTTATGAGGACCTTCAGAAGATCCGTTATGAATCCTCTGCTGGAAAGGAAACCAAAGCCATCAAACAGGGCAGCCAGTTCTGCCGATTTGAATGGGGTAAGATGCATCCAGTAGGCTCCAGGAAACCTACTGGGGGCAAGCCTGGAGACACCTATATGGGCTATGCTGGTATGGAAGTGATGGATACATCCCACATCAGATTGCTCTTTACTCATACTGCTGTGTGTTTATGATGTCTTTTCATCATTATCTCCAGCTGACACCTGAAATCCCAGGATGTAGAAAGGATGGTGGCTGTGATTACACCAATTCATCCTCATGCAGCCAGTGATCTTCAACGGATGTCTTCTGAAGTGAATTCTTTAGGGGGCATAGGTGCGATGCATATTATTGTTGGAACTTTGTGGCACCTCAGCATGTTGACCATGATGCCACTTGGACCATAGCCCTGCAGACCTACAAAGAGGCCATGGCTGATGAGTTCAATTTCGTCATGATGGACCTTGGCTGCTATGTAGAAACTGCTGAAAATGCCTTGTGGTAAGTCCTGACAGTTGTTGGAGTTGGATCACTACTTAGGAACTTCAGGTGGTTTCAGGGTGGCCACACACATGGCACCGTGGTTCCTCAGTTGTCATCCATGTTATCTAACAGAAATTTATCGCAAGGCATAGGGGTTACTTTACCCAAAACTTCATTCCAGGCTGCCCAAACCCAAAGTTCAGCACATGATGCATTTGAAGCCCTGGCTCAAAAATGGCAGGTGGATATCAAGTGACATTCATTCATGCGATTAGTACCAAGCTGCATTCCTCATAACAAGTATATGGATGTATTCACCAGATATTCCACGTTAATCCTGACATATTAGTGACCTTCTGGAGTGAAAAGCAAGGCATCTGTTCTGTTTAGAGTGCCGCATGTCATGCAACTGTCAAGCCAATAATAATGGCGGCCATAAAAGGGGTACAACTGATTGATTAAGAAGGACAGACTTACTTCAAAGTCTACATGAGAAGTGAACCCTAACCTAGCAGATTTTTGGCTCTACTTTATCCCCTCCCACCAAACTACTCAAACCCATCAAAACTGGCACATCAAGCTCAAAAGAAACATTGATATGGCATGTGCTGTATCCCCGGAGCACAAGAAAGAGTATAACCGTAGATACAAGAGCAAACTGCCACCCAATGTCAAGCAGAAACGTCGAGATGCCCAAGCCACTTGCAAACGAAAATTGCGTCAGCACAGGAGCACTGCCCGGTCACTGGCAGAACCAAACACTTCAGCCACAGCCAGAGTACTCTTACCTGCATTTTCCTGGACCCCTTCTTCAGCCCAGCACTTAAAAACAAACGATAGCCATTCATGTACCAACAATTTCTCCCAGCATTGTGTGGCATCATCAAACAATCCAGGACTAAGAGGACTAAATCTGGCCTCAGGTATGCTGGGCACACAGGTTCCCCTGGAGACAAAGGTTGTGACATAGGATGATGGCCATATCACCATACTGCCCACTGTGATATGTGATGGACAAAATGTATTGATTGAGGATCTGCACCTCACAAAAAAATTCGCAGCAGTTCCTGCCACCAAACCAGGGTCCAGATTTGTGACCCATCTCAATGGGGCCCTTATTGAAAATGAATTATTATTAACAGAAATCCGGTCTAGTCTTGCAGCAGGAAAGTGTGTCATTGTGCATGAGGCAGTGAAGCCTGGGCCCCTAGACCTAACCATGGAGTACCTGGAAAAGCGGTATGGCATTCATGGCACCATGCCTGTGGATATGCACAGTAATGTTCTGGACCTTCAATTGATATGTGATCACAGCTCATCCCGGTTGCTCAGATATGGCACTGTGGGCAAAAAATCCAGCTCACCCTCATGTTCCTGGCATGATGAGTGATTTGATTTTGGGTATAAACAATCTGAACAAGCAAAGATGTGTTCTGGATTGTCCCATAGCAGTAGGTTTACCCCTTGAACTGGCGTAAGTGTCATCTAGTCACCTCTGCATTTGCTGTTTATCCACACCCAGTCCCCTAGACAAGGGCCAGATGGCCTGGCACTGGACCACCAGGGATTGTCCATCGGCAGGACCAGGTATACATCTTGGCAGCCCATGGACCTCGGTGTCCCAGGGCGGGGTACTGATTCCTCCACACCATGACTCTGAAGGCAGGAATACCTATTTCTTTCCAGTCACTGGCATCCAACTCTGGACACTTCTTTTCCGTAAGATTACCTGTGATGGAAAGGTGCCCCTTCAAGCCACAAAATACCTCTGCAGTCCTCATGACCTGGATGATTATGATGCCGAGACCATGACTGTATACCCCGGAGGTTTGCTGTAAGCCTATGGATGAACAGTGTCTAGGACGGTTGCATCATGACTATCTTCTTTGTAGAATTCAGCCACCAGGCCAATTACATGCAGAATACAATCCCAATCCTGCTTTTGCACATGGGGGTCATTTTTTCACATATGGAATGCTTCATCACACACTTAGTTCAAGATCCCTAGAAGTCACCACTCAAACTCGTGAATACATGGATGAGACCCTCTGGTGGATGGCTGCTCTCATTCCCCAGCTACCACCAGATCAACTGTCAGGTAAGCGTGTTTACAACGTCACCTGCTCAGCATCCTTGACTTGAATGTCTGAGAAGGCTTGCATTACTGGCCACTTTTGGCACTTTGTTTCATGGTTCTTAAGCCCAGAATGTATCTGGCACAGCGCCTGTGTCATATCCCATATGCCAGACATAGATCCCATCATATTCCCACGCTTTCCAGACCTATTTCCGGACCCCATATCCGACTCATTCCTGGATCCCCTATCCTGTCCACCCTACACACATTCTGTCCAGCAAGACATCTGGACTTTACCTCCTCTCGGATTCCAGACTACATCCACCACCTCACATATCTCAGTCCTGTTTCTGCCCTGCCTTCCAGATCCCCAGATCTCTGGACCTCCGGATATTAACTGTACTATCTCCAGACCATTCCCACCCTCCATCCGAGATCCTGTGCCTATCCCCATTTAGGCATCTCCACCTTTCTGGTTCTCGGTTATCTCTGTTTCTGTCTTGCTGATTGATCCTTGTACTAGTTTCATCTCCGAGTTCATTTACTTATGTTCCGTCTTACTTACCAATGTGTTTCTGCATGCTCATACATAGCCTTACTCCTTTGCTTACTGATCCTCTCAGATAGCCTCTAGTATATAACCCCTGTATAACTACAGTAGAGTCCTCAGTCTGAATATCACCTTAGACTTGCCCAACCTTCTTCTGGACTTCAGTCCATCTGAGTTTGTCCTTTTCCATAAGGCCTAGGGATGGACTCCCTAGGCTGGAATTCCGGACCTTCGGATTTGTCCCCTATGTCTCTGTCCCAAGTCTAGGGATTGCTTCCCTAGGCTGGAGTCTTGCCTTTCCGGCACTTACCCTCTTTCCAGACTTACAGTGGCTCAAAAAACTGTCCACATGTTTTTGCATTTTTTACTATTTACAATATTGTGTGAGAATACATAAAGACCTCAGTGACATGCTGATACCATATTGTAGTGCTGCTTCAGGGCTTTGGATTGAGCACCACATCATGAGAATCAGAGAAGATATGGTGGAGATACAAGGCTTACAAAATCATGACTCATGCGGACAGTTTTTTGAGCACATATTAAAACTATATAAATCATCATTTATGACACCATAACAATCATGCCACCATTAAATAAATTATAAAGTGGTGTCATTATGTCATTTTAAAACCACATCTAACTATACAAACCAAAAATTTCCATATGTCATGGTTATATTCACCATGAAAGCCACCCCCCCTGCTCAAAGGGATAATATCCTCTCTCTTTCCTATTCTGGCCTCTCTGCTTGTCAAATTTCCTCTAGAACTGGAGTATCCAAGTCCACTGTGGCCAAGTTCATCAAAGAAAGTCACACAGACAAGGAAAACTTCTGTGAAGGGCATCCATCCAAGCTCACCTCTACTGATAGGAGGGCTATTATTCAACATATCACTACAGGAAAGGCTGATAATGCTGTCCAGGTCACCTATTACATCAATTCCACCATCACATTCCCTGTCTCTTCACACACTGTGAGAAACATTCTCAAGACAGCTCATCTCAGGTCAGTAACAAGGAAGAAAAGGCTCTCCTCTTTATCACACATATGCAGAGAGGACTAGCACCCTTCTTGTTTCACATATATACCTTGCCATCTGACCCAATCCTATTTATTGTGGTCTTATATGATCATATAACATGCTTCCAGTCCATGTAATCCAATTCTGATGGGCTAAGGCAAAGGTTAGTCATCTCTGCATATGTGTGATAAAGAGGAGAGCCTTTTCTTCCTTGTTACTGACCTGAGATGAGCTGTCTTGAGAATGTTTCTCACAGTGTGTGAAGAGACAGGGAATGTGATGGTGGAATTGATGTAATAGGTGACCTGGACAGCATTATCAGCCTTTCCTGTAGTGATATGTTGAATAATAGCCCTCCTATCAGTAGAGGTGAGCTTGGATGGATGCCCTTCACAGAAGTTTTCCTTGTCTGTGTGACTTTCTTTGATGAACTTGGCCACAGTGGACTTGGATACTCCAGTTCTAGAGGAAATTTGACAAGCAGAGAGGCCAGAATAGGAAAGAGAGAGGATATTATCCCTTTGAGCAGGGGGGGTGGCTTTCATGGTGAATATAACCATGACATACAGAAATTTTTGGTTTGTATAGTTAGATATGGTTTTAAAATGACATAATGACACCACTTTATAATTTATTTAATGGTGGCATGATTGTTATGGTGTCATAAATGATGATTTATATAGTTTTAATATGTGCTCAAAAAAATGTCCGCATGAGTCATGATTTTGTAAGCCTTGTATCTCCACCATATCTCCTCTGATTCTCACGATGTGGTGCTCAATCCAAAGCCCTGAAGCAGCACTACAATATGGTATCAGCATGTCACTGAGGTCTTTATGTATTCTCACACAATATTGTAAATAGTAAAAAATGCAAAAACATGTGGACAGTTTTTTGAGCCACTGTATATATCAGTATATACTATATTTGCAATATAATTCATATAATGTCCGCCCTCGCTACACAGTCTATCCGCGGACCTGCATACAAATCAATGTAGATATCAATCTTAGGTGTAGAAATCACTCTTTTATAGGGTTGTTTTACCATTTATGTAGGTAAATTTCAATAGAACACCTGACCATTTTGTGTTTGGGGACCTTGGGGGCTAACATAACCATAGATATAACTGAACCCCTGTACAGTTTCTATATATAATTACAGAAATTATATATAATCTGCAATGCATGGCCTGGTAGTGAGCTGCTTTGAGTGCAGATATACTGAGGGGGTGCTGAATTGTTAATAGATTTAAAGCTCGATGTCACTCATTCATCACGATTATCACGTGATGTTTGTCGAAATTTCCCGTCTTCTACCTTAGATACGGCGGAAGCCGAACATCACATGACCGTAAAGCGCGCTGGACAACGCACAATTTATTATACAACACAATATTTTAGGGGTATTGTTCCATGTAAGTGCTCTACAATATCTCTAGTGTTCTGATGTCCATCAGGTCATCAATGGAACTCGCGTCTCTAACTTGCGCAATGATACTAATATCCGAGGCAATTCTCCTATACTCCCCACCAGGCTGCTGCACTAGTAAGAACGCACTAAAGGGCTTTCCAAGGTGAGCAACCAATCGAAACGCACGCTCGCACTCCGGCTGTTCTCCTGGAGACTCAAGCGCAGACCAATAATCTTGCACGCTACATTCATCGTTAATGTCGGGCGGTTCTGCAAAATCCAGGAGTTCTGCAAAGTCAGATAGCCCGAGGAGATAACGAGTCCATGGACGAATGAGCAAGACTGTCCGCCGAACACGTCTTCCAAGCCAGAATTGAGCTAGCTGGTCTTCTGTAGTGATTGGCAGGTCGCGAAGCCCATCTGCTTTGACATCATAAGTGAAACGTTGGTCCCCATATTGACCAGACCTCCGCCTGACTTCCGTGAGAGGAAATGCGATGCAAGGTAACTGCAACCTGGCATTGGCAAAACGAGGAAAGCTGAGCTTCTCAAGGAGGGTATACAGATTCAAAGCCGACTCTACGGCCACAGTATTTCGCAGCGTGGAGACCGAATTCTGCATCTCGTCTTCGGATAGGGATGGCAATAGTGACGGAGCCTTGTATGAGGAGATGTCGGCTGGCAGACAGCTGTTGAAGCCGGATGATTGTCCCACCCAATCAAGGGCAGTGATGTCGCCCGAATGAGCTATGATCTCCTGCAAGAGACGTCCGAGCGCGTTCTGTCTTTTTTCTCCGTAGATTACAGGAAGGTGGACGCCGAATATCCCAAACAGCGAATACGCGATGTCCTCCTCCCTCGTGGTCTCGCGTTTCGACACCCATTGGAGTTTCTCGCGGGGATTCCTCATCCCTGGATGGAAGTTGACGAGCGCCCGCGCATTTATGCCAGTTGAGTCCTCCAACTCCTTCATGATACTGACAGACTGCTTGTGGTTGTGTGAGTGGTCATCGAGATATAGGGTCCAATCTGCCTGGTAGAAGAGAACCATTTTAGGAGCGAGAAACTCCTGAACGGTCCATCCTCGCGTGTTCCAAATGCTATTTGCGAGCGACGAAGGAGGAACATCCGATAGGTAGACAATGGCAAGCGCTGAGTGGCGATACCAGATGAACATGGAATTGACCGATTGTTGGAGCTCGATGTTGTTGTTCTGGTCGATGCAGCACGTGTCGCTCCACGCCCAGCAATGCCCCGCATTGCGAACGACCTCGCAGAACTTCTGCAACTTCACAATGGTTCCGACCGGATCCAAGTCGTATATGCTGCCCTGAATCTCGTGCAGTAGCGGCTCCTTAATTTCCCATCTATGGGACAACATGACCCAACTGAAGTACGTCACGACGGCTTCTTCGATGAGCTCTGTTTGAAGGGGTGCATGCATCACCAATGAATGCAAAAGCATTTTGTACTTCGTACTCTTCACGAATGTCTTGATCTGTGCACTTCGATCACATATATCCCCAGTGATAGTATTGATTAGACGAAGTGGAGCGTTTTCCAGTTTGGCGTCGATGGCTCGTCGAATAGCTACTTCAGATGGACTGACGTATTGCTGGCGTAGCTCTGCAAAAATTGTAAGTGATCTTCAAGTCGGCGCTTAAGTTGTTTGGGACTTACGTCGTATCTGTGGGTCGGGCACATCATCCAACTCGGAGGGCATGATTGTGAGGCCCTCGAGTGCATCATCATAGCACAGCGCTCCACAAAGCGCTGCACGCCTCAGTTCGTATCCGAGATGAGACGTAGGGTTGAGCTCGATGACCTACAAATATCATCACAAATGTTAAAACAACGACAAATATCGTCCGTACCTTTTCCGCGTCCAAAAGGGCCTCCGCATAGAGGTTTTGGCCCAACTTCACCTTGCTGCGATGCGCAAGATATAAATAGTATGAGGAATCCGTCTCGAGTGTTGCGGAAAGTATGTTCTCGATGGACCAGAGCTGAACATTCCCATCGTAATCTCCAATCACGAGCAGTTCTCCATTGGGAGAGATTGCGACAGAGGAAACACGTGTGGTGTGTTTGAGTCGCTGTCCTATCTGCTCGTGTGACTCAGTGCTCCACATGCGCATAGTCTTATCGAATGAGACGGTTGCAATGAAGGAGGCATCAGAAGAAATGGCAAGCGAGTTGATGTCGTGAGTGTGACCGGTGCAAGGTTGACCGATCTTGGTCCCATTTGACGAGTCCCAAAACTTGATTGTTTGGTCGTGTGATGCAGAGATGAGTTGCTGGCCGTCGGGCGTCCACGCAACACTTTTAACCCAACCTTGGTGAGCGAAGTTGATATCGAACAGAAGCTCGGCGACGTTCTCGGTGTTCCAGACCCGAACAGTACCCTGTTCGCCGGACGCTAATTGTAGCCCATTCGGGCTGAAGACGACACAAAACACCGAACCCCGAGCACTCTGGAGGGTTGAGAGGACAGCACCAGTCTTCGCATCCCATATAATAACTGTTTTATCCAGTGACCCGCTTGCAAGTCTCTTTCCGTCGGGGGAGAAACACAGCGACGGAACCAGTTTTACATGCTTCTTCAGTTCGAATAGCATCTGCTTCTTACCGACATCCCAGATGATGATGGCTCCAGTTTCTCCACCACTCGCAAATCGCCTATCATTTGGTGATACGGCGACTGAATAAACACGGTCGCTGTGTCCCTTGAACAGACCCCCCACCAATGTTCTTGTCTCCACGTCCCAGATTTGCAGGGTTTTATCCTTTGAAGGAGTGACGATCCGTCGACCGTCTTTGAAGAACGCGACTGCCCACACTTTCTCCGTGTGCACTCGCATGGTTTGTATTGGCGCCAGCTGGGTTGTCTGCGTCGGCGTTGCGTGCCTTTTGACAATAAGATATGCTTTCTTTGCTCCATCAAGCAATCCTGACATATTCCTAAACAGGGAGATAGACTGTCAGTAGCATTCGAAGTTGGCAAGGAATATACTCTGGACCTCACCGGCGTAGTCGTCGATCCTATTTTTCATGAGTAGAGTTGAATTTCTGCGCCTTTATAACCCAATGCATATAGGCGCTTGTCCGCTCTGCCTCCATGCTTACCACGCTGCCACCGTGACTGTGCATCACACCATCACATCCTGTCCCTCTTCAACTGCCGATCATATTAATTCCTTCATTCTGTTCACAGCAAATCCCTGATTATATCCCTGTACCCTCCCCGACGGATTATAATAGAAACACGCTTGCCGTATACCTCGAAATCTCAATTCCCATCGAGTTGTACCACCTCTCCCTCAGGTAGACTGCTCGAAGGGCTCTGCCAGACGCAATCAATATCACGAGCTCATCCCAGGCACATCTCACGATGGACATCCGCAATTGCACAGGCAGTCGAAAATGCTATGCACGATAACGATATGTCAGGCTATCATTGTTCGAGCATCGCAACCTCTCAAAAGTTGCCTTCATAAACACAATCGCATACCTTTCCAGCACCGGTGCGAAGAACTCGCTTCAATGATCTTTCTTTTACTGGTTCCGGCGCTGCAGTGCTGACAGTTCGGTATGAGCTGTTGTTACAGTCGCGACCTGAATGCTAAAACTGTCCGTAGGTATCCATCTGATACTACCTATCTGACCTGGAGGTCAGGGCTGCTAATTGTCGACGTCTTATCAGCTCTGGAGTATATTTGCAAGAGACAAATAAGGCAACACAATACCATTGTCAATCTAGATTCTCATTCGCTGAAGTACCGTCACTTATACAATCGACGAGGTCTACGAGCCCGATATCTGGGACATCTCTTTAACATTCCCATGTTGTGTAAAAAAGAAAAACAAGGTCACTAACGAGAACATAAAACTGAAACTGAAAATTACGACATGCCCCATCTTTGCGATCTCATCACTAATCTTAACACACTACTTCCCATCAATCGACACCACTATATCCAGCGCCTTACTCTGTGGCTTTGTTCCTCACACCCACTGCTCTTCTTAAAAGCTGTGAGTCAACCAAATCCCAACACCAAACGAACCTGCACGTACGATTAGACCACCGTGACGAGGAACCAAGCAACCAAAAATAATGCGATGACGTAGGGCTTCCCATCGGTTGGCGCGTCTATTGTCGAATTCCTATAAACATAAGAAATGAAGATGGGGATAAAAGACGCTTAGAGTCGACGTACGCACCCGACAAAACACTTCAGTGGGGAAAGTATCCGTAAGCATGACCGAAAGACTGTCTCCTTAGAAGTTTGACCAGAGATCTAGAGCTGTCCCAGCAGCGTCTTCATAATCGTCCAGCGCCGCGATCAAAGTATTTCTTTCAGGTGGAGATCTATCATGAAGGGCTTACTCGAAGCTTGAGCGATCGTGCCTATCACGGTGATACTGTATTGCATAGCAAGGTAAACCTGCACATCCGCGTCAACAAACCAAAAAGGAGGTCATTGATATGAAGACCTGCATACATTACTAGTTTCAAATCCCCTCCTTCCACTCATGCGCATCCCTCGCCTTGACGATCCTTCTCACCACAGAATCCTGCATGACGAGCGACCGCCTGCCGAGTCTCTTACACTCCTGAGTCCTGAGTGACATTTTGGGAATCTCCACTGGCAAGTCATTGATTTGAGTCGTTGGACTCACCTTGGTAGCCAACTCGTATGTATCCTTTTATGGGCTTAGTGCTTACCAACTTGCAAGATATCTGGTTTTGAAGGAGTTCCTGCAAAAGGATGGACCGCTTCGTTGGTACCGAGGTTCTTGATCCATCCCGTTACTGTCCTATCCATCATGATATCGCAGTTGAGGTAACTGAGGTACTCTTCACCCACAGAAACCAAGCAGCACAAACTGTTTACAATTGAATCGTACGCTCCTAGGACCTACGTACGCGCGCGTTGACGCATATATTAGTTTATTTGTCTACCAAATTCCGATGTGCTATTACTCCAGATGTATTTGTGCATTAGACCAAGGAATTGAACATTGACTTGGAACTTCGGAAGCTTGAAGCGTTGTTCTGTCAGCGAAGATATGCTATGGAGTATGAAAATGTAGCGTTCCTAAAAACGATACTGCTATCTCAACATTAAGACATCCTTTCTGCATGGTAGTTTATTTGTCTGTAAATTCTTACGGGAAGTCACCCATTGTTCCTTACTCTACAGAATTTACATAAACCGTCCTTTAACTACCGGCAGAGCAGTCGATCCTTCCCCCCCACCGAATACATTTAGCTCGGACAGTTCTCCTCGTTCGAAATCTAAGCTTATTCTCTTGAAGCCAACTCTTACCGCGTGAACACTTTCTCATAGCCACAGAAAACCCATTGTTTCCGCCTCTGGTCAAACTACCATAATTTTTAAACCGTACGAAGTCACCCACTGTCGAACAAGTCTGCAGCGTACAACTTCTTAAAATGACCCAACAGTGAATTTTCCAGATCAGCCTGCAGATTCCAGAAAGTCCAATATCGACAAGTTGTCATCCCCAGCGCTCTCAGCTCTCGCTCAGCGTCCAATTGTCCCCCGGCACAAGGCAGCGACGTGCTATCTGTTCATTGAAAATTTTGCGCACAATGGTTGATATTCCATTCACATTCGTTATCCAAGCTGCGTTCGCGATTATTCTATACCTCCTGGTCGACCTTCAGAGAACGACATCTCAGTACCCGCGAGTCCTACCTTTGATGCAGCCCTCGTGTCTCGTCGAGTGCAGATACAGGATCTTCTTCCATTCATATTCGTATGACTACCACTATGAAGATATCTTTAGAATGGTCGCCGCGTACTTGAAGACCGAATCCGCACATCCCTCAGAGCTTGGCTACTTGTGACGGACGAAGTTATCTGTCTGGTCGGTTCGGAGGGGTTTCCAGGATCAGGTTGGATTTTTCCTGAGCTCGTTTCACTTCCTTTCTAACTTTCGACGCCTAGTTTTCACACCAAGAGATTTCCGTCAGAAACCTCCATCTACTGACCTCCGCAAGCGATCAAAGGTCAGATCATCAAAATTCACACACTGCATCACTGATACCATCGCCGCCTTATCGTCGAATGGGGAAGTATTATCGTTTACTTCTATAGGAGAAGACGTTCTCCTGCTGGAGAGCGAAGCCACGATGGCATCCCCTGTAAGATTCAATGACAAGTCAAAGAAGATGACTGATCTGCACCAGACATAATCTGCAGATCCTATAGCATGCAAAGCACGACATGTCGTGGTGCGTGGCGGCCTGTTCAACGTGGAATCACAGATTATGACTCACTTGCCTGTGTCAGAAAGAGAATGTTCTCGACAGGCAGACATAAGAAAATCACAATCAGTACGTCCTGAAGTAGATCAGTCAATAGGAGCCCATGATAAGGTGCTCGAAGGTTCTGCCTTTCAGCCGTACTGTGATCTTACAGGCGATGAGAACGCTAACATGAAAGTTCGCATACAAGTGCAAATACAATTCGTGACCAGTTGCCCTACACCACGATGGCATGAGGTTCGAACGTTCAACGCGGCTGCCAACTCATTCAGCCAAAGATCGCTTGTTTGGTGAGAACGGCGTGAGTTTCTGCAGCTTTCATTACATATCTCACGCGAGTCAGTTTAAAGACCGGTGGCTTCCTGTCCGCCTGCAGATGCTGCGCCATCAATTGATGCAATCCACAAGCCCATCGCAGCAGTTCCTGAACCTATTCATGGTCGCTAGCATCCGCGAATTCAAATCAGCGAAACACTTTAACGAGTGATCTTGACACAACAGTCCATGGACCTTTATCATAGTCAGATTCAAGTAAAATCGTACTGCACTACCAATATACACACTAGTTCAACAGAGGATGACACATGAGGCTTTCAAACACGCACCTTGCAGTCGCTAGGCTAAAGGCTCAGCGCTAAACCTCTAGACTCTTCATCATACAAACGCATGCATTAAATTCAGGCAAGCATCGCGTAAAAAAATTATATCCTGACTGCCACAATGGTTGTGGGCCGCAAGTGCGGATCGGCTCATAAAGTTTGAGATACAGTGAGTAACTGGGAGTTCAAGGTATGCGTGATGCGCAGCGTCGACAAAGCACAGACCTGTTGACTTGACGCGGACTGATCGACTCGATACAGACTAGTTGAATTGATACAGATAGCATGAAACGATGGAGGATGAGCCGCATGAAGCAGAAGGAGAAAAAAACACAAAAATGAAACAAAAAAGAGTATGAGAACAACAGTTGCAGACAGCGAGACGAGCATGGGACAAAAAAATGACTGGGGTGTGGGGTAATTCGATTGGATGGTTTGCATTAGGTGATAGAAAGAGATTCGACTGGACGATGATCAATAGCGAAAGTCACCGGAGATCTAAGACGAGAAACAGCAAGACAGCAGAGTCCAGGGAGCGAGGACGGCGATCAAGGAAGCGCAAGACATATGAATGCGCAGAAATATTAGCATTTATCTTCTCGCCGTGTGGAGCCTTCACGAAATTTTTCGAGTTCTTTTGGCCTCCGCTGTAATGGACATGTGCTTACTCCCCAACTTCCATGTCTTCTTCCTTCATGCCAGTGGAAGACGCACTGCGATGGTCAACAGCAGCATCGGCTGCTTCTCTCAACTCCGCATCTACATCTGCATCACCTTCACCGTCTGCATCTGGATCTGTGTTGGGGTCGGAGTGCGGAGAAGGAAGATGTTGCGCTGAGAGGTGTGTGTCAACTAGGGGGTGATAGAATGGAGGACGTTTCACCCACCAGAGGACACCGCACCTCGTCGTCTTCGTCCAGGGTCTTCGTCATCTGTGGTCTGTAGAGTAGCAATCGCGGGCGGGGAGGGAGGAGGGTCACGGTTCCGATCTCTCTCACGGTCCTTTGCAGACCCACTAGCGCGTTTCTTGTCCTGTAAAAGCACAGGCGCCACGAAAGACGCTGAACTTGGAAAGACTTGCGGCTGCGACTGTGTCTGCCTCTGCGTTCCAGTAATTGCACCGACAGGAATGGTATCCGTACGGTGCAATCGAGCTGCACTGGCATTATTACTGCCACCCACATTTGCGTCGGTCGTTCCCCGCCGTTCTACACGCTTCATTTTTTTTCTGCAGCGATCGCACACGGTACCAGGCCCTTCTGGCCCTGGGCCCCATTTTTCGACGCACTTGTTGTCTTTGTAGCGCCCTGGTAAGCCACATTGGCGGCAGATGCGCTGGCCGATAGCGTTAGTGGGGGGGAACGAGGTGGTGGGGGGAATGGCAGGTGGAGGAACTGGTACGATGGGAGTGACGAGGGCGTTAGGAGGTGTTAGTGGGGAGCCATTATGAGCTGGCGCTACGTCATCAACTCGAGATCCGTTTATTAAAAAGGGACGCACTGATATTTGCGTTTGACCCTGGCTTGCCCTTCTTTTGGGGGGCGCCGGTAACGGGAGGGGCAAAAATGTGGGTTTGATAGGTCCTGAGCTCGACCGGGCTGATCTAATGGACCTACGGGGATACCCCTTGACTGGTGGGCAGCCAAGACGGCACGGGGAGATTGTGGCTGTTGTTCACGAGCATTCAGAACGCTCCTTTCATCAGTGGCAGCGTCAAGAAGGAGATCCTCGATGTCCTGCGAAGTAGCACGGACACTAGAGTGGCTGCTAGAGCGGGAGTGAGATTTATGAGTAGGCTGAATGGTAAGGTGATGGTTGAGGTGTTGAATCTGGGGAAGCTGTTGGGTGTGGAGATCGATGTCAGGGATGCGTCCGCGTGACATGGAGGTAGCCTGGGGAATGTGAGGAGATAGAAAGGTGATATAAGAAGAAACTTACGGAGAGGGGGGGCCTGTGGTCATATTCACCACGTTCGTTGCGTGGACGTTTGGAAGGAGGCTGGGGTGGTGCGATGAGATAGGAAGGGTCATCGAAGCTGCCTGAGCGAGGACGGACACTACGGGTGGAAGGTGGAGGAGGGAGTGGTCCTGGAGGGAGTGCAGAAGAACTAAGTGACGAGGAGGTGTAGCGATGATGAGATCGAGGGTATGACCGGGGTGGGGGTTCTACAGTGATGCTAGGATTCGCAGAGTAAGGGCTGTGGTCGTGCTGAATTTGATTTGGGATTGGGGTCAAGACAAGATGACCGCCTGCATCTCTAAGGATGCGCTGGAAACCAGCACGTGCATCTGCAGCACGGGATTCGATGGCGGCAAGGTATTTATTGAGTTCTTCGTAAGATTCGAGAACAACTCGTCTGCGTGCTTCTGCCTCGTCTCTCTGTCTATCGGCATGGGCAACACGTGCCTCAGCTTCTTCGATGACACGACGGGCCTCGCCTGAGAGGGGAGCACCATTGACGGTTGCAGCTTGAAATTCTGCTAGTAGACGCTCTGCTTTTTCTAGCCGTTTCTTTGTGTTGCCAAGTTCTTTTGTGAGTCTGTCATTGTCGCAATAACTGTTATGAAGTAGATGTGCGAGCTGAGCATTGGAATGATTGTTTATTATTCCATTTGGTGAAGGTAGAGGAGGAGAAGTCATGGGAGGTTCTGCAGACATGGTATCGCGTTAGTGGGGGAAGAGGAGGTCCATGATGGGTTTCATTATTATTGGAATGTGGGTTGATAAGAGTTGTTTCCCTGTCGGTGAACACGCCTTCCCTGTCACACTTTTCGTTAGTCACTTGTCACCCTTTCCCCGGTGGCAGTCTCGGCCGGGTTAATCTTGCGTATAGCATCATGCCCCGCTCAACTCCCAGAACAAACGTTGCCGACGCACATCATTTCTTAATTAAGTAAAACCCATTTCCCTAATTCGGTTTTAACGCCATGGACCCCAGTCACTCATTTCATCCCGCCCGCCTCCTTGAGGTTCGGGGTCTTGCCTCGTGTCGGCGCTCATGAAACCTCCTTCCACCACCGCGGCCCCCATAACCTATTATCTGTCAATATAATATAATATAATATTTCCCTCCCGCGCTCCTCGGTATGATATCCCGCCTCGTGTAGCGGATACTCCCGATTATTCCCGCCCTAACCCGTCGGTCTCTCATTCCCTTCGGCCAAGCTAACTCCTCTCCTCGGCAGTAACACACGAGGCAAACACGAGGCCCCGCACCGCCCATCCCGCTTCCACGTCTGTTCTATGTTTACACCCGCCCCGGTCCGTATCTTCCAATTTTTATTCTGCTCACCAAGAAGAGAACCACACCGCACCCCTACAGCATGCCCGACGAATTCGAGAACTCCTTCCACTTCATCAACTTAAACTTTGTTTTTCCACCTCTCTTTTCGCTTTCTGCCTCGTTTTTCTTTTCATCTTTCTTCCCAATTCGTCTAATCGTGCCTGACAATATCCTTTTCAAATATCCATTCGTCCTCTCGTCTCCAGCGTTACCTCCGTCACTACCCTCAGCGGTCCGTTCATGTCCATACCAGTGTATTCACCACATGCTCATCCTCATTTGACTTCATCAGGCCTCGATTTCCAGTGTTCATGACATATCCTGACATCATTCATATCCAGACTTGTATCCGGCATCTTCTAACCGGCATTGACCGGCACAGCATATTGCTTCCCTAATTGCCAGACGCCAGGAACTACAATGTCCAATCTCGTAGCTCGTGGCCTCCTCGAGGTTCCATGAACTACCTACGTTCTCCACCAAATTCCCGACATCCTTTAACCAGAATGCCGTTCTTGATTTATCGGCGGCTGTGCAATTATACTGTCACAGCTGATCCTGCGTAACGCAAGTAATTTTTGAAAATCCGTAATACACTGGCTTCGATTCTCACTAACCTGCGCTCGTCGGCGATAATATCTGCATCTTGTGTTTTTACTCGAGGTACTCTATGGGGAACGCTATCCTCAAACCTCGGGTGTTCATCCCCGACATGTTTAGTCAGTTACGCTGCCATCGAGAATGGTTAGCTTCAGATGAATACCACAGCTCTGGCAGCTTGTACGGTTCCGGAAAGTTACCTTGCACTGAAACATGCCGGCGACGTTGCGTTCTTGAAGCTCTCCGTGGCCCACGCCGTTCACAATAAGCAATAGAATCACGATAGCTTGCCCTTCGATGCGGGTCCCGTTCAAAATATGAAATGCCGTACGTGCCATGTATTCACGGCTACCCCAATGTGTAGAAGTCTAGCGGCGGCCGTACACAGCGGACAAAACTCAGCGAGTTCCATCGTTTCCTGCGATGCACGGGCTTTTGGACCAATTCGTCTCGATATTCTGCTTCTAATTGTTTGCCACCACTGCACTTGCAGCTTCTACGCATATTCTAGTAAACCTTCAAGCACAAGTCTAGTGTCTAGTGAGCTAAGTAGCGGCGTCCGCAAGCAGCAGACGGATCTAGAGTCGTGATGTTTATGGCTGATTATGCACAGGGATCTGGCTCACCAATTCATCCCGGTTCTATGCTTTCCCACTGCACTCGCAGTTTCTACCGTAGTGGTAGGGCATACTGAGAGCTAGCGGCTTGAAATGGCTGCATCTTCAGGCCACCAGCTATAGGCCAAATGGCTGACAAATTCTACGCCACTCAAAAATTCGACGATCCTCAAGTTTTTAGACACCAATCTTTTTATGCGCGTGCTGCATGCGAACGGCAGAATTTTGCTGACAGCTAGATTTACTTGATGAGACAATTGTCCCATCTTTCATGCCCCGGATACTCCTGATAAACTCAAAACACAACCTCATCGGGACCGCGGTTATGAACCACCACCTGATGAATACCAACACGCACAATTCCGACCGGTATCCAATCTCTTGCCTATGATTTTCCCAATTCTGATGACATCGATGTCCTTGCCGATCTTGACGCCTCACCTCCCATGAAGATGCTCCATATTGATCACGACGTGGGCACATGTCAATCTAACTTAAACAGGCCCACTCAGCTGACTTGGATTATTCTGGATTCAGCGGGATCTAGTGCACCCCGAATGAAAAGCCATTCTAATGCACGCACCGCATGCTCTACCAAGCCTCCGATATGGTCGCTACTTTTCTGATTTTTGCTACCAAGTGCCTCGCAAAATCCTAATGTTTATTCAAGCCGGGGAATTACGAGATTTTTTAGAGTTTCATGTCCCTGGTTTGGGACCTGCGTAGTTGCCTTGGGGTCACGCGCGAGCAGCAGTCAAGATCGTCTCGATGTATTACCCCACGTCAATTCTTCTTCGTGCGGGCTTCTCTTGATAGACCTCGATGTGCCGCGCGCCCCGCTCCAACGAATTTCGAAGGGGCGTAGGGTTTTAGATGCGCTCTTTATTGGCTCAATGTTTTTGATCTCGTTTAGGCTTTTTGTGAGGAATAATCGATTCAGATGACGTTGGAATGGCGTTGAATACATTCCTCTATGTGTACGTACATTACACCCACCCTTAGCTTCACCCCCAAATACACCACGTCTAAAAAAACGACAATCTTTGCCGCGAATATCTTCGCCCAGTATGGCACGGCACATGACCCCTGAGCTCAATCGAGGATTACAGAGCTCTACTAAATCCATCTACTTGCCCCCACCCGCATTTGCTGTGCCTTCTATCTATATACAGCATCCACTTATCCAAGCTATGCGACAACACCGCAGGCTCGCCTTCTTCGTTCCTGTAGCAAACCCATTTCCCCTCATCTTGGCAAACCCTACGCAGTCATGCACATCAATATGAACGCTGCATCGCCGCATGCGCATTGCACGAAAGTAATATAACACAACGACAAGACTTTCCCGCTTTTGGTGCGCCGTGGAGCCCAATCCATATGCAATCACTCAAAGCTTTCATCTAAACTCACGCTCCCATCACTGCTAATGACATAAATGAGTTCATATTTCAGATGCCGCATGGCATCACGTTTCATCCCGCGACTTCTCATAACTCAACGCTCAGAATGGTTCATGACTTGTTCGGGAAGGCTTCGTTATCAGCCCGTGCCATCGCGCGTTTTGTTCTGGCTTTAGATTTTTCGAATTCCATCAGTATTCCGACGTGCCAACGTGCACGCGAGTTTTGTTTCTGGGCTGGGGGCCCCGAACGTGATGTCGTTTGCCTCGTGTTCGGCGCATGTACGCGAACTGGGCCGTGGCCCGTGGTTATGGGCGCTCGTACGTTCGATGGCGGTGTTACTTCCCACCGCTCATTTGCTTCTGTGTTATCTGATCGGCTGTTGCTGCGTGCGTTGTGCGTTTGTGGTGGGCGATTCGCGGTCGGATCCTGGAAGTAGCTCTGGCGCTGATTGCATAGCCTAGACGATTCTATCACGCTGGCGGTAAGGAAGTGCGTTTGAATAAATGGTGTTCAAAGTTTTATCAAGTGTCGTACGGACTTGTCTCTATGGATTTATTCGAAGTTCACGATGTTCACTTGTCTCACTTCAGATCCAAATAAGCTTCCGAAGGAATCGAATCTGCGAGTAATACAGCTCTCATCAAGTGACCTTCGGATGTCCAAGAACCCGTCTCCCGATGGTTTTTCTAACACGGTATGACCGAATGAAGAAGCTCGGCTGAAGACTAGTTCTGCCCGATCAAGATGCATACGCCCACTTCCTAACTTTATCGCGTCAAGGTCTCGAGGCTGACGGGACGCCATCCGTTAGTTTTTGTGACAAACTATGGTGGAATGGGAAAGGGGCCGGCTGGATGGTAGTCCTCGGCGGGGATGCGTGCGGCGTGCCGTGTCCCGCCCTAACATCATCGTATTCGCTGGCATCTTGTCACTCGCTTTCCCAGAGATCATTTCTGGACATCTCAGCTGCCATGCATGCGACGTAAAGAGATACATCCCCCTGTCAAAACAAAATGGGCTTCAGTAGCCCCCGTGCCAAGTGACAGAGATTCGTGATGACAGCACTAGCGATGAGCCATCTTGAGCCATCGACCCCGCCTTTGCCTTCCTTACCAGGGAAACCCTGATAGGTCGATTCATTTATTATAATTTCCTTTTGCTTCTTTGGTTCTTGCTAACTTGACTAATTGTTGTCCTCGATGGGGCGTTTTTGCGCCTTTGTTCTTGTTCTCGTGATTCACAGTTCGGCCGCTGAATATCCGCCGATTGGATGTACGACCATTTTGGGCCGACGCAGTACGTCCATGGGCGGTCAAGTACGGGAGGGCGTAATTACAAGGCGGGTATTTCTTGTTTTGTTGTGTTCGGTTCGGCTGCTTGATTACTCTGCGGTCGTTGAATTTTCTTAATCCCAGGTCAAGGGCGCGGTGACTGATTTTCGTGTCAGACCATTTTTCGGTCACAGTTACGATAGTTGATGATCAGAAGATCTGCAGATATCAATTTCTGTTCTTTGTTCATCCGACCCTTTGATGAAATCATGATTTGGCAAGTCACGCATTTCTGAACACAGTAATGAGACAGCTAAAAAGATTATCGAATGCAGATTGATTCCAAAGCAAAGTATCAAGCTCCAACACACCAATGATTATCAAAAGATCTACGGTTAGATACCCGTCCGCTCTTTGTCATCCCTCGATTATCATGATTCACACAGCGAGCCACGCACCGCTGAACAAAGTAAACAGCGAGAAATCGTTTCTATGCAGTCCTATGCCAATATATATGGTGCAGCTAAACCCGCCCAAGAATAAAGCTCCCGGCCTCCCGCGATAGGCTTGTGTGATGACTGCGGTCCTGAGCGCTCCACTCCACCCGTCTCGCATGTCGTGCATGTTATGGATCTTACACGCACTCTGAGATAAATCTGCGTCAACGAGCCTCGTGTTTTGCGCGTGTTTTGCAAGATCGCACGCCACGTCCCAGGACTACCTCGTGCCTTCCACCACCCAGGCCCTGAACAACCCAGGCAGCGTCGTTTACCCCTTTCTTTGCCAAGGACTCCTAATACAGAGCTCGCGGGAAACCTGGGTCCTAAATTGAGATGACCAATGAGATAGCGCTGACGAAACGCTAACAAGCAGGCGATCTTCCAGCGAACAGCGCAGTACTGCCAGTGTACATCGTCTTCCGAGTCGCAGGTTCGACTCACGGTTGGAATAGGGGGGAGCTGGAGATCAGTTGACCAATTACTCGTTCATTCAGAAATTAATGACAGTTTCTTGATTAATTGGGACGTCATAGATTTTCATTTATTTCTTATCTCCTGGCTTTGTAATTGAAAATCGTTCTCGCTTGTCTATGTCCTCGGCGTAGCAGTCCCGTTGACAAGTCAATGTGACAAGTCCCTGAATAACCCTGAGCTCGTCGGACAAAGCGGCTCGTCACAGAAGGCTTTGGCAACAACGTAGAATCTGTTAGTAACAGCCTGACAGTGTCGGCCTTGCCAGCGCGACGTGTCAATGTCAGCATTCAGTCAGGTACGACATTGCTGCCATAGCGGTTACGTCTGTATTGGGTTCTACTTTCGCTTGTTATCATCTCTTATCAACCCTGTTCGCGTTCGGGAGACTACGCGAATGTACAATAAGTACCTGTGCCCTGTACACTAGATTAAGCAAATTATACAGCAATAAATCGACTCATCTCTATCACGCCATCGCTCACTCAATCGCTAATAAAATCGGTCGGACCCCAAAATTCATTAGGCTCAAGTTGCTCCATCAACTCGTCCACCAGGATGAGCAGATAAGGAATGTCGACGTCTTTAACGACGCCGACGCCATCAGGATACCAAATCTTCCTCTCCTCATAGGCCCACTTCCATCGCTGCAGATAAACTCTGATCAGAGCTGAAGTCGACCACGTGGTGATAGCAAGGACCCACCAGGTATCGGATCAGTTCCTTGTCCTCAGGCATGACTTGTTTCCACTCCTCGCTCATGCAAAATATTCGGTACGAATCTAGGGCGTACCGGCCCACGCCTGGATAATGTGAGACGGGTGTTGGCGGATACGGTATAGTCGTTTTACGGGCCCTTTTAGGGGATCCATGATTTTTGCGTTTCCTTGGATTTACATAAGTTGGTACGGTGATTTTTAATCTCGCATGGATTTCTAAGCGGCAGTTAGATGGACGAAGCACGTCAGTAGGGGGGTCATCTATATATCGTTGAGACATCTCCTTCAGCCAGGCTGCTCGTTTGTTGTAGAGGCCGAGCGGTCGCAGAATATTCACGAGCTCATCATTATCTGCTGGTTACGAGATGATCATTAGCGTTCGTAGTAGGGTCGAGAAGTTGGAGCCCACCCTTGATCATATCCCGAGGGATTGGCCAGCGGTCCATGAGCTTCCAAAAGACTGGGATAGCATATCGACCAGTAGTCACATTCAGTAGTTTGACGGCGATCAAGAGCTGCCAGGGATTATCAGAAACAGCAGCTGAAACGACAAGTTGGAACAGATTAGAAATGCTGTTAAGATACGTAGGAGAAGAAGTACCCTGTATCAAGATTGGCTTCGCGTTCGCGATGTACCCGATAAGATCGTTGAACAAGTCTTGACGGTATGTCGGAAACGCGGACATATTCTTGTGTGTGAAGAGGTCCTCCGACGGAAAAAAAGAAGGCACCCATGACTCGTCAGATTGTGAGACACTGGAAAGATATTTCGAGGTTATCAGTGTGGTAGGATCTGGGCTAATTCTATGGATGACATCCGTTTTTTGCGTTGCTACCTCAGATGTAGCCTTTGATTTACTAGATAAAGCGGTAGACTGGTGGAGTGATGCGGTAGAAGGCACAACCTTGCGGCGTTTTCGAGGTCTGGAAGATGGGGTGGGGAGCGTCAGGGTTTGGAGTGTGGACCGAACTTCATCGGGCATAGGCGTCAAGTAACACTTAGTGACTGGAATATTCATCTCCACTTCTGATGGTCCGTCGTCCTTCGCAGATAGCTCGCGTTGGGGAGTATTAACAGGTTCGAGCTTGCGTTTATTTTTTGTCTTCTTTGGTGCCTCTAGGGATTCATCGTGCGTTGATAGCGGTGGGACTGTAGGTGCAGACTTGACAACAATTTCTACCGCATCAAGTAGTTTGCGAGGACCTTTGCGCCTACATCCATCGGTGGGAACACCCTTGCCTGAGGGCGTGAAGTAGATAGAAATCTCTCCTGTGGGTACCTGCTGCTGATTTGTAGTTACGGATTCACTCCTGGGGCATTTTGATTTGGAATGAGAGACATGCTGCTCTGATTTCTGTGAGGTATTCTTCGAAGCTCGAGGCTTTCTAGCCGTCACTGGAAGACAATCACTATTTTCAGGCAAGCGCTTCCTCTTCAGCGAAATAGAGGTCTGGGGGGTGTAAGCATATGAGCGCAGAAGCTGAGAAAAGGTGGAAGGGGTGCTCATCGACTGAGTAAGAGATAGTGGTGGACCATAATGGACCAGACCGGGTGGACCTCGGGACCTTTGGTGGCGTCACAACCGGAAAAGGTCAAGTCAGGTTTGGTGACTCGGCTTGGGGAAGAAGGGGGATCAAGCGCTCCTGTTCGTCAGAAGCCACCACCAGCATAACACAAGCAGTCTCTCGAACAATAATCACATCTTATATTCTTTCCTATCTCTTTCTGATATATATCTCTTTTAGTTCTTGCATTCATTTACAAGAACATACAAACCCCCTCCCGTCTACCAATTCATTTCTTATCTATCGAAACAGTCGGGACTATTTCTTTCATTCATATCTCTTAATGCCATCAAAGAAGAATCGAAATGCAACTCGTCAATCACCTCGTACTCCTGCTAATAATTACTCTCCTGCTATCCTTCCGGTCGACTCAAATTCTCCACCTTGGTCTACGGAACAGTCCCCCCTTCTCGAGCCAGACAGACCTCCAGATTCTCCTATCATTCAAATCAATCTCGAACTTCCTCCAGTCGTAGCAATGGAAGACGAAAGTTCACCCATCAAACATGAGGGTGGTCTTCTTCTGGCAACCCCCGAGTCTCGTCCCTCGCCTGTGCGCTCGGAGGTTAAGCTTCCTCCAACAGAAGATGAATTTACGTACATACCAGGAGCGCTGGGCCACACGCGATCTCCTGTGCTTGCCCGGTGAGCATTCTCTCTTTGTTTGTCTCTACCGGTCCATTTTTGGGGTGCCGCAATTCTTTCATACTTCAGGGAAACGCAAGGGGCATTTACACGGCATTGTGTTGTCTTCACTGGATATTGTATCCTCGCCTTGATGCGCCCCATCAGCTTTCCTGTGTCGTGACATATTCAATCGACAAGTATAGTAGATTAACACGTGCACCTGCATTCTGTGCATTGTCTTCTCATTCGTTTCCCCCACTGCTTTCCTTCATTAGTCACAAAAGGCAAGATAGCTGAGATTGTACTCCTCTAGCGAGCCAACCATGCTTGAGAACTTCTCTCGCACTGTGCGCAACTATGTGCCGACTTCCATTCCTGTTCCTGCCTCTGCACCCTCTCCGCCGCGGGTATCGAAACCCGTTTCTTTTGGTAGCTTCATGGCCCCTCCTGGCGCTTCAAGTCTGTCTCCACCGGGCCCAAAGATACCCATTGTTTCTCAAACCACCAGGAAGCCTCTTGGCGCTGGTCTAATTGGAAATCAGCAGACTTGGAGAATGAGATCAGGCGCCCAACTTGACTCAGCAGACGTCGACGAACCTGCTATCTTCGGCTCTGAGGATGAGGACTGTGAAAGCTCGTTTTCAGGAGATCAACCCCTGGCAACTTACCCTACGGCTGCAGAAGGCGACTCTATTATGTGGTCCCGCTGGGACACTCTCATTGAGAACGGTTCAATACCTCGGTAAGCTAAATAATCTCTCACGAAAAGACAGGTTTGTAACTGACGTTACATCATTCAGACGTATACTGTTACTTGGCTACACCACTGGCCTTCAGATTTGGGACTGCACAATCCTGGGATCAGTGTCCGAGATTCTGAATCTTACCGATTATCCCTTTGGGTCCGTTACCTTTGCTGGTGTGCTTACAACCCCGCACTCCTGTAGAGAGCGTGATTATGACAGTTCCAGGCCTCTGATTGGTATAGTGTGCGTTAAACTCCATGCTGGATACATGCCATCCACCTCTGATAAACGGAACGTGCAGCTCTAGGTCGAAAGACAAGTCAACGATGTCTATTTATTCATTGCGGGCTCACAAGGTTGTCAAGCATCTTCCATTTGTTAATGTAACAACCTTTACTTCAAGCGCATACTTCATTGTTATTGTAAGTGTCTGGCTTATCCTTGGTAAGTCATTGCTGACTAGTGAACGACAGAGTACTACAAATCCACCAACTTTGCACATTCTTTCTTCAGCATCCTTTACAGAGCTACATACTATTTCTTCGCTTGCCATTCTTCCTTCGTACACAACAATTCCATATAAAACCAATACCAACAACATTGTATCATTAACAACGATAGACTCCATCAACACCAATCATGCTTCCCATGACTACCCCGCCCCCATATTTGCTCTTTCTCATCGCATCTTGGCATATGCTTCCCCGCCTCCTAGAGCAGACTCTCATGTTGGAGCCGTTTCTAAACCCCGCACGCGCCTACACTCCCCGTCAAGCACCCTCGGAATATCTCATGCTGCTGCACTCAAGGTTGGGGGGACCGTCCTCAGCGGGGTAAAGTCCCTTGGTGGAATGGCATATTCTGCTGCTGCGGAGTATGCGAAATCTCGCGCGGGCGCGGGAGATCAATCACGCATAGCTCAAGGGCAGTCATCAGTGATGAGTGGCGTCAGTAACCTCTTCTTTTCACGGAGCGCCCCTGCTGCGAGTAGCGGCCATTCGGACCCAACCGAAGTTACGTCTCCGTCGTCGGCGCTATTTCCGAATACCCAAGACCGACAAGAGGAGGCGGATTCTTCGACGCTATCGTCGGGTTATCATATTACAGTACTGGATCTAGCTTCCCTTTTGGCCAGAGACAATCCGTCCGTACGCATCATTTCCGAATTCATCGCATTTAAGCACCAGCCCGTGTCCTCTCTCAAATTCACTCTCGATGGGACCTCATTGCTAGTATCTCCTAGGGATGGGCAAGCTGTTCGCACATTTCAGATTCGACCTACGCCGAGTGTTTTACTTCCCGTCGACTCCAAGAAGTATGCTGGAGAGCATCAAACCGCGCTCATCGGCCAACAATTCAATACTGAATCAAGTTCACCGTGGCACATGTACAATCTACGTAGAGGTCGGACAACTGCCGTCATTGATGGGATCGAAGTTTCATCGGATGGGAGGTGGGTCGCTTTCGGCACTAAGAAAGCGACCATACACGTCTTTGCTATCAATCCATATGGCGGAAAGCCAGACTTGCGAAGCCATATGGAGAACAGGGTTCGGAATACAAACGAAGCCGTAAGCAGACGTTCCTTTCCTGACCCGTTTAGTATTGCTCAGATTGTATCAGCATGTCCCTTTGTCCGTTGAATTGTCGTCGCTTGTGCGTCTCAGATCTGTCAAGGCGTCCGCTCATAGCGGCGTCAGGCCGGGAATCACCTTTACGTTCCTTCCTAGCGACACACCGTTGCCTGCCAGCCTCCAGCCTCCCCCTTCTGCTATCACATCATCTCCTAGCACGTCCTCGAGTCGTTCTGACCTACCTTCTCCGCTTCGGGCGAGGAAGACTGCCAACTTCCAGGATCTTCTTCTCTTTGATCCCTCTGATGGCGTGTTATCTTTACGACGTGTCATGCTTGAACAGCGTCCTCGGGATACTAGCGCATTTTCATATACATTAGCTAACTTGCCAACGAGCATGTCGCTTCCCGGTACTAGCGCCGCTGGTCGTCTCAGCATATCGCCACATAATCGCGCCGGCGTCGCATCGACCAAGACTTCTGGCCTAACTCAGAAGATGTTGGAAAGTGCCAGCGAATTGCATGGACGAGATGCCATGATTGCTACTTGGCAACTTAGACGACACCGAGATTGGGGCGAAGTCAAACACGTGCAGCGTTTGAGTGCAAGGTCTCCAGGACGAACGCCTATTGCAAAGTATGCGCTTCTGTCAACAAACTCGCTTTGATCCTGACCCAGATTGCATTGCTTTTAGCTCCCTTGCTCACGCGGAACTATCTACATGTTCCAGGTCACCGAATGTGGTTCCTCGTCTCATCTATCTCGCCCACCAATTCAACTTTTACACTCTGGGCGAAGATTACCACGCTCTCATTCGCCGTAACAAACTAGACGTGACAGGGAACAAGATGGACGTGCGCAAGGAAGTAGAAGTTAGTGCATATTCTACAGGCACTGGAGAGTCCTTTGTCGCGGGAACTTCGCCTCGTGATATGGGACGAGTCGCATCTTCCTTCGACGAACCGATAGCGTCTGCCATATCTGCCGATATGGAGTACCCGCGTTCATCTCGGTCTCTCATCCCCATGCTCCCGAACGGGGCAGGTTTGAAGCCACGGTCCTTCAAGAACCCCATCCCCATCCGCGCGATGACGTCGAATATCGCCGAAGGCGTCGGAGAAGGCTTTGGTCGCATCCGAAGAGAAATCAGTCGTGTTCGTTCTCCACAGCTTGTGCCTCGACCAGAAGGTCTATCGGCGTCTGTTCCTCTTGAGTTTGACGAGCATGACGAGGATCTAGCTTTCCCGGGAATGGAACGAGATGATGACGCTGTGGATGACAATACGTCCAGGGGTGGAGACGCCACGGACCCTTCGATTGATACACCTCCTACTGATACTGAGCTGTGCGATGAAGGCACAGAATTATGGCATGGGTGGACGGAAGAGGATAAACTCGCGGTGGATGAAGCAGAACAGTTTGATGATGTTGTCGGGTTTTTAGACGAGGAGCAGACGCCGGCAATTCAAGCGGAGCAAAGGAGGGCGAACAGGAAACAGCTTTGGTAGGTATCACGCGTTTGCGGTGCTGCGCTTCCTGTTGCTACGTTTGTAATGTGTACTATCTGACATGTAACACGCGGTTCAATGATATTAGTAAACTTTGTTTGCAGTTCAAGATAAATGCTACATGTAAACATGAGATGCTCTGAGTGATATCAAGATACACGTGTTGGTATGTAGTAGTGACCATAAGCAGCGACCAACGGAGGATTGACAAGAAATGAAATTAAGATGTATGTGCATTATGAACGACTTGAGACTGGTCCGTTCTGCCTTGCGACTGCGCGACCCGAGGTGTCACAGGGAAATGCAGGTCGTAGGGCTGTGGAAACCCGGGAGTCTGTGCAAGACCGAACGTAAGCTGGGTTCGATGGTCTATAAAGGTACTCCGTGGGGTGCGATGGCGACGGGCCGAGATGAGAAGGCGGACGAGGTCGGGGATAACTATAAGAAGCAGTTTTCCGGGTTGGGGAAGGCGATCGCGACCAAAACGAGTTGTTCTGCGACCCTGATCCACTGGGATGATTAACCTCCTTATGTTCTTTACTGCAGCCCTCATATACATCCATTGCGTAGTGGGAATCATCGTCAGAAAGATCGTCTTCTGATTCTTCCGAGTCTGTGGCAGGTGGCGAGACCAGTGACTGGCCGTGCCCTAGCATATCCGAAGGAAACGGGGATTGGTCACATGTACCACGCCCATCCATGTCAGACAAGTGGCCCGCAGACAGTCTCGTGTGATTCCGCCAGTGGCGACGCATGTTTGAATTGACATTGAATTCACGACCACATCCTGGATATGGGCACTGATATGCTAAAAGAGGATAAGTCAGCTAGTGTCTTCGTGGGCTGTTGCATACGAATTGAGAAGAAGTGATGCAACGAGGCAAACACGATTTGTCTTGAAGACGGACGAGTCCGAGATAATCAGATATAAACGTACGTTTTGCTCCCGTGTGCGTGTTTACGTGGATCTTCATGCTGCTGGGGCGATTGAATCGCTTACCGCAATGAGGGCACTGGTGCTTCTTACCGCGCCCTTCTCCATGCAGCATTGTGGTTAAATGGTCCGATGACTTTAGGTAAGGTCTCCTGCCATCATTTGTCATGACGGTGGAAGCAGAATTTGGAGGGTCTGATACAGAAAAGGATAATACGGAAGACGAAGGCAGAGGTCTGGATTCTTGTACGTGTTGGGTTGGACTAGTTGGAGTGAAGGCACCGTCCCGTGGAATTTGGGAACTATAAAGAGGGCCAGGGGACCTATGCTTGTGCCGCTGTTGTGACTGCCGAGGAGGTACGAAGGCAGCCATAGAAACGCGGAAAACCGGTGTTGATCCATTGGCGATTCCCGCGCCCGATTTTCCCTGAGAGGATGCTGTTGCACGAGTACGCAGCTTAGTGCTAGAAGCGATATGCTCGAGTGAAGATGTGAGAGGGTCAGCTCGGAGGACATTGAACGAATAAGTTGCGGGAGGTTGGAGAGTGTCTGAAACCTGTGGGGTGCGATAGGATAATTGACGATTTGGGGCCGAGTCTGAACTTGTGCTGGATGGGGGTGGGGATGGGAGACTGCGAATTGCGGAATCATGCTCTAGTGCGGAATCACCCGTGCGATAGGGTTTTGGTCCGCGGTGACGAGATGAGCTGCTCGCGTCGCGAATATGATCCTGGTAGATGAGTGTGAACGCGTGTAAACAAGCTGGATCGATAGACTCACAGAATTTAGTGACAAATCAGTGTCCTGAGAGGAGGGTTGAGTACGAATTGAAATTTCTATAGGTCGAACAAGAGTGAGTGAGTAGTCAAAGTGAATTTAGAGAGAGAGTTATACCGGGAAAGATGTCGCGTATGCTAGGGAGTGGTACACTCTGATGAGACATAACTTAAGTAGCGCAGTCAAGGGTAGTAACACCTGTTGTGGGCTTTGGGGGCTAAAAGGAATTGAGGCGGTATTTATATATAAAACGGAAGAACCTGAAATGGTGATGAAATGCGGTGTTCTAAAGAAGGACCGAGCGCGCTTTGATGCGAGCACCGAGGATTGGCTCAATAACTGGCATCACCGTGGACTATGCGACCGCAGCAGGAAACCCTGGTAATCCTAGAAAAGTGGATCAAATAACGGGATTCAGAGAGAAACCCGTAAAGCTAGAAATGATATTCGGTTGTGTATTGATAAGAGAGTATTGGCGGTGATGAAGTGCCATATTAGCCTTGCCATGGAGTTTATTACCTATTCCAAGTTTTATTCACTCAACAGCCACCAGTCAAAATCTGAATCATGTCTCCAGCTGATATCCTACTCTCCTGAAAATCTCTCTTTTCAGTCTTCTTTCATTCTATATTAAATCGGCCGCCGGTCACCCTTTTCGTAAGTAAATCCGCCTTACCGCACTTCACTTACCGCATTATTATCTACGATGATCTTTTCCCCTTTTTGACCAGTGATCTCCGCCCCATCCTGACTTATCCGCCGATCTTATCGTCAGCTGAGAATGTATTAGACCTAGCCTCAATTGGTCCACCAATACACTCACAGGCCACCTAACGCGATTTTCTGCCGTACCTCTCTTCATTTCTGTTAGAGCACCATGATACCGGCATTATTACCCTCCTCAGCCGCCCGTCTTCACTTGTCTACTAACTTGCCTCTCAATACATTTCCTTGACAGTGGGCCATAGATCGTGGTCACCTTTGATCCTTCCTTACGTCCACATGACTTGACACCAGCTCTCCGAGGTGATACGGTGCTTCTCATCCGTGGACATAGCTCCTTCGGCACTCCCCACTCGGAAGACAATCCCATCCGTCAATGTCCTCCATACCACTTTTCAAGCCCAAAACGATTGTCGCGTACTGGTGTTCTTTATATTCCCCAGAGGATCCCTTGACTCATCCGCGGTGCTACGTATACATCGGACGCAACATGGCACCTTCCGATCTAGTTGCGCTCCAAGCGGACTCTTGGTCATGCCCTTTGCACGCTGGATTGGTTGCTGGATTAATAGCATCATAGCCTCCGTGAACTCGTCCAAAATAAATCGATCCGTTTGTCTATAAATTGACTGTCCCCCCCAACTGCGACACTGATTTTCGGATTGGCGCGGTGGCTTTCCCTCTTCGTCCTGCTATGTTTAATATTCTCTTGCCATTGTGGGAAATCGCCGTTAAGATCGACAGGGCACATGCTTGCCGCCGGTTGGATGGCCGGATTTTCACTGCGGTTAATTGCGTTATCGATCACCCAGTTGCCCAGACTGATCACAGTCAGCGATGATTCTGAAAGAACTTGCCCCGATATGCAGAAACACATCCCAGATCAGTGAGAAAAGGATCATTCAAGTATCCGACACCATGTGCTCGAACTGACAAATATTATGAAAAAAGGGAGACTAGAAACACATTTAGCACTTCTGATCTGTGCTCCAAATCGGTACCGTGTTAGTAAACCACGAGCGTTGGAGTTCCTATTTAAACTGAAAGGGAACTAGAATTACTCTTTCGAAGACCGTTCAACATGTGCAGACAATAAGCTATCCACAAAGTCTGCGAACGAATCACAGACTTCATCGGGAGGATGGACACCAACCTTGGATTCATCCCCTGATCGGTACTTTCCCGTCTTCACTAAAAATCCACATTAATCATCGCTTGGCACGGCAAATTGTAACAAATAGTGTCAATACCTAAGATCCTCCATAGACACAGGTCTATGGCGCCGCCACCAAGGTCTGCTTGGATATCATCGCCAATCACGGCGATGCATCCTTCAGAACCGTGACTCTCGCAATCGAAGCTCTCAATCACCGTCTGGAAGAAAGCTTTACTCGGCTTTCCAAGCACCTCTGCTTCCCTTTCGGTAGCATTTTCAAGAGCGGCGACAAATGGTCCTGGACCAAGCGCAAGCCCATGGCCCGAGGATTCTATGTATCTAGCTTTGTGTAAAGCAATGAGGGGGATCGATGCTTTCAGATCCTCATTGCACCACTTCTGCGAATCATCTTCCCCAACAAGTATCCGAAATGCAGAGTTGAGATGATCATAGTCGAACAGCGTAGGCGCCAAGCCAACAATTACCGCGTCATAGGGGACGTTAGGATCGTACATTCCTGCGGAAATGCATTCATCTTTAGCGGACTCTGACAAGAGGAAATACGGCCTTGAAACGGCTTCAGTTTTGATGCTGTCACATACCAGGTTTGAAATTTGATCGCTACCTTTTGAGATTCCTGGACCGGATAAGATCCTGTACCGCCTTAAGGCTGGTCCATAGTTCTTGCGACTCTCCTGTTTGCACGTCAAAACCAGCATCTATCATTCTCTTCTGAAGGGCTGAGGTGGATTCTTTGCTGGTGTTGCTGCAGAACCTGAACGGGAATCTACAGCGCCGCAGCTCGGCAAGTGCTTCAACTGCTCGTTGTGTGGGCGTTGAGCCGATCATCAGAGTGCCAGAAATGTCTATAAGCAAAGCACGAATTTTTGGTCTAGATCTTACAGCCATGGTGAAAGTGGGACGTTGCTTTAGTTATCGTTATCTGGTGGCTAGCATCATCTCAATCACGTGCAGCTACTTATCTCGTACTGCCTCGTTCAAACCTCGAGTCTTTGGCGATATTATTTTTTGTCCTTTGCATGCAGTATGTAACCGATGGGAAGCCAAATACAAATTCACGTAGCCTCCTGACAAAGAGGAAAGGATCTATACAGTATGTAATCAACGGGAATCAGGCCATAAAAATGTTCACGTAACTACTAACGGAGAGGAAAGGATCAAGGGAACTAGAATCTCGGCGTTGTTCACTACTCAGGCAGGACCCCACAAAGCTTCGGCATCCACCTCTCGCGGTCCGCGTGGTCCTGTCACATCATGTTCTTCATCAGGGGGTAGAGCAATTCTCCCTTCTCGCTTGGTAAGTCGACGGTAGAGGAGCGTTCCAAAGAGAGCCAGAGGGTGAAGTACGGTGAACAAAATAACAGTGACCTAGATAAGTGTCAGCAAGCAGGTAGAAATATCACACAATTTAACTCACATAAACAGGAGCAGGTTTTGGGCTCGCGCTCCATGTACTCGCACAAATCCAAGTAGCTGCGACAGCCCACACGATATCACAGCGCATCAGTACCACTACCAGGCCAATGAGATTTGCACCAAATGTGACCCCAAAGCCAGGCCAGGCAAAGCGGCCGTAATGTTCGGGGTGACGAGGTGAGTAATATAACCCCAGAGTGATGCTGAAAGGCAAATACAATCAGTTATGCAATTTCTCTCGAAGACGAAACTCCTACAAGAGCGAATATGAAAACAGCAAGGATAAGGGAAGAACGAGGAAGAAACGCAAAGGAGCGTGAATAAGTGCCATGTCGAGAGGGCGGGAGGATGTGGGAGGATGATATGTGAGAAGCGCGATATTCGAATACAACAAACATAGAACCAGAAGTCCAAGAAGTATCGTCGAGAGTAAGAAAAACTCAAGGACCTAGTCACGCATGGCAGTAATGTTCAACAGGTTTAGGATATGTGACGTACCCAACTCACGGCCCAAAGAGCCATCAACCAGTTTGCAAAAACGAGGGAAAGACCAACTCCTTTCACTAGCGTTGTCTATGGTGTGCTAAGGACGCTTCAAGTGTTCACTAGAAATGTGCTGCTTACCTTCGTCTCCGGCTTCCTGGCAACAACCAGCAATATGCAGTAGCCTATCTGCCCAAGAAATATAGCGACAATATAGGCGGCGATGAGGCTCGGCGAAGGAGATATAGATGTGGGGTGTGACTTGATGATGGACCCTAGTAAACACCAACAGAATAAGAGACGAAATGAAGCACAAGCATAATGCTCACCGGCTGAGGGCTTGACAATAACTGAGCACACAAGTAGTGTCGCGATGTTGATCAAAAGTGACAAAGGGGTGAGGACTTGCAGCCTGTGCAACTAATTAGTACTAGATACCGATGATGGTGATTGAGAGGGGCTATACGCACCGTACAAGGGAAAGGTAATCCCGCACTGCAGGATGAGAAACATCGAGTGGTAATGAGTCCATAGCCCGGGATAATGTCACAAAATTTTGTGTTGGTGGATACAGTTACTAGATGATTGCAAGAGGCAGGTTATGCTACATCGACGTTCAACTTGATGATGTCATAGATCCTGAGGTAAACAAAGGAAAACAACTTTAATTTTTGTGGCGGAGAAAAAACCAAGAGACTCAACATGTAGTTGACATGCAGAACAGATCACAGCGTTCGCGGAAGAGGGTGCGCGTACCTGCTGCACTCCATACAGAACTCACAGAACATGCCATGTTGATCAAGACAATCCGGACAAATCATTTGCTTAATCTCACTCACCAACTATACAGCCATGCTAGTGCCCAGCGCGCTGTCGATCTTGAAAATATCCGTCAAGGCAAGGGAAAGTTGAAATCAAGAGATACGTGGACTACTTGGCCTTTGATAGATTGCTTTATTCCGGAATGGCTGGTTGAAGACGAAGTTAAATCTCTGGCCGAAGCGGTGGCTCATCAGCTCAAAACTAAATGTCTATCGGGAGGGCATCGCCACCAATCAGAATCTCAGGATGATGTGGAGGAAAAGGACGACGACGAGTTGGAACCCTTGTCACCAAGTTTTTTCCAAGCTCTAGTCTGGCAAGCTACTAAGGTCCTGGTCTGCATTTTGGATTCCATTCTCGAACAGCGACCGGCGGTAGCAGATAGTATGCAGAACAGGATGTGGGCATTTAATTGGGAGGGTGTTCTGAGAGTCTTAATCTCAGGCATGACTCTAGACAGAACGTAAGCTACTGTCTTTTATGAGGCCCATTTATACTGACGATCATTCGCAAGCGTGGTATCTGCTGCAAGCAAGCGCCTGTCTTCAATATATGGCTCATCTAAGGGTCTTGACATCGGTATTTGTTTTTTTTTCTTCGCAAGTTTCTGGTTTCATATCGACCACCGCACCTCAGCTTTGTCGAGAATTGGGCGCATTGAATCTCGTACATCCGTGTTGGCTGAACTCTCAGAAAGGCACGAGGATGCATTTCTTCAGCAACCCACCGTGCGTAACTGGAGGCCACCAAGTGAGAACACCTCATCCTTATATCGCAGCTTGTTTGATATATCCATCCCCAGAGAAAAGACGACGGGTAATGTCCAGAGTGATTGTTGAGACTGATACAGAGTAGTCATGTTTTCTCCTGGATGCCGCTGTGTCTGGTGTTTCTCCGATTGACAAATCATTCTGTTCGGGTCATCATCTACGCTCACTATGTGAGTGTTTCAACTAACATGCATCATACTTTCTAACGTGTTTCATAACTCAATCGTTTCAACGAACATCAAGATCGGTTCAACATACCTGTCACACGCTTTTACAATTACACCGCTTTTGGCATACCCCGACTATGTGCCGTTCAATTGCGCATGATTGGACAGGACCAACGGTTTCAACCGAAGTTCATATGACGGGGATCAGATCACACCGGCAAGAACCGACTTGACCGAATTCATATATCTGTCATGCGAGATCCGGGGCACCTCGCCCTCGTCGTTCCTCGCGCTAGCAGTCCTTTATGGGAACATGACAAATACATGGGCCCCAAGCAATGCTGAGGAATATTTCGATGTGATAGGTGGCGAGCTGTTGCAAGATTTTGATGACCCAGCGCTGAATATCGACTGCGCCTGCATTCCTATCACACAGGTTATACTAAGTGAGCACAACATCTGCGCCCGTTATCAATGATGGCACTCGCCCATTCATTTCACGTGATGTTTGTTGGATGGCAGCATGCAGTCACTTGAAATTTGAGCACTCGTGTTCTATTTCACGTTCAAGTACAATTGTGGTGGTTCTGAGACATGCTACCGGTATTGCGGTTGACTATCTCGTGCCAGGCTACAGCAATACTCAACTTTGCCGATGATACTGGTACTTGAACCAGCTGTAGACTGACTCGCACGCTAAAGATGTTTTGGAGCCGAAGGGCATCGCATGACGCCAACTGATACAGATTGAGTACTGAATTTCAATGCTATCCCATTCCATATCTATGTTTTGAGTTCAGGGAATGTGTTGCGCACAGAACTCCTTCCTTTTCTGATGACGGCCTGATCCTGGTAGGGGAGGTCATACGCCAATCCAATGGAAACAGAGCGTTCCAACTCGCCATGAAGGGTCCGATAAAGCTAAAAATATTGACAAGTGAACTGGCAGCGCGCAAAAGAAAGCAACAATAGGTACTTTTGCGTGAAGAGGTGCCGGTCTGCTGGAGTATAACTTCGACGTGGAAGTAAACCCCACAGGATTTTTGTATCTCAAGCAAGATGATTGGATTCAAATGTTACAGCACTGCCTCCAGAACGCATGCTCTACCATGGTCAGTATTCCGAGCTCGATGAGCCGAATTAAAATATTGATAGCGTGAGATAGGATGTCAGAGGGTGCCATTTCTGGGCGGGTAAGTTTGATATGTTATGAGCGCAAATCAACAGTATTCAGGTCATGGGAATGATGCGGGAGACTGCAGGGCAGCGTGGACATGTCTGGGACAATCAAGGGCGTCCAATTAAGCAACTTACATTGAAATGCCCGGCCCCCAGATATCAGCCTCTATCATAATTTTGACGGGTCTTTGATAATGATGCCTGAGTAAGGGATGGGATCTACAAAAGCGGTACCTTGCAGTTGGGCGCATCATTTGAACAGTTGCGACATTTCATTCCACGGCTACCGCTCATAAAGCGATGCCCACGACAGGGCCGAATGCAATCCGTAGCTGTGCACTACGGAGAGTACTAGTAGAATGATGATTATGCATCCTCCTCAAAGATATCGCCGTAAGTCGAGGAGTTCGCACAATAAGACCACAATAGTAAATACCTTTGCGCAATACTTCGTCTACTGCAGAAGCCCGAGCACGTCGCACCGTCCGACCGTTGGTTTGGGTAAACTGATATCGGTCATGAACGGAGTTGAGTCATAGCCGCTGAAGGGTTTGAACGGCTGAGGGCTGGAAGCGAGACTCTGCCGACTATAGCCGGCCGTATGATCACTAAAATTAGAGAAGGCTGTGCCATTTTAAAGTAGTGCTTGGCTCGCACATGCCTTGGACTGGGCGCCTTGGACTTGTTCGCAGCGAAGCGTCGATTCAATCTCATCAAGCGCCCGAGTTCCATGCCCATCGCAACAGTGGCAGTGGTTGCCAAATCATTGAGTCGATACGGCGGTGCTGCCTAAAGAATGTGAGTCAATAAGTTTTGATGCCGCTGATCTTAGAGTTTGGCTTGCTTCCGAGTTATACCTTGAACAAAACCACAGCCAGCATGTGATCGTCATATCAACCGAGGATTCATCGTCTTATCTGTGCTTGTACGTTAGAGTCACAACGTCACACAGGAACTACAGGAACCCCTGCCCTTCAAACACATATAAGCGTCCCATGGACGTCGCTATTTCCTTGTCCCCGCTGAAACTAGGAACTTGGATAGTTTCGTTTATCATTTCCCCCTTGCCCTTGCCCTTGCTCTTACGATACCACTGTTCCAGACAGTTCCCCTTATTTCATTTGACGCCTATAAAGTCAAGCAGACCACAGATTAACCATTAACCAGATCATCCACAACCCTCACAAAACATACCACGATCAGATCACCCGCAGATCCTCACCCCTCACTAGATATACATACCATGTCTTCATCCGGCGACTCTTCCACAAAATCACATGAACACCCAAAGGGCTCCTGTCCAATGACGGGCAAGACATACGACTTCTGCCCGAGGCAAGCTGGGGACGTAAGATCACCATGCCCGGCGCTGAATGCCCTCGCGAACCATGGTTACCTGTGAGTATCAAATCTCGAGAGTTGTGATACATAAGAACTGACGATAACTTGTCTAGTCCACGAGATGGAAAGAACATTGGCGTATGGGGCCTCGTCCGCGCACTCAAAAACGGCTACCACCTATCAACAATGCTTTCCTGCATCTTGTCGTTCAGCGCCATGCTCCTACTTGGACAATACAGATCCTTGTCGCTTTCAGATCTCGCTCGTCATAACATGATCGAGCATAACGCATCACTTGTGCACAGAGACGACAACAATGGCGCAGAATATGCCCCAACCAGGGTGGACAAGAAGCTATTAGCAGCCCTTTGTGCGGAGGGAGGGAAGACACTCCCAAACAAAATAACTCTCGAGGATGCCGCGCGCATTCGTGTCAAGAGAGAGGCGCAGTGCGGGAAGTTGGACGGTTTACATGCCGAGATAGCTCGAGGGGAGATAGTAATTGCTATCGGGGTCCTAGGTGGCAAGGACGCGGCGAAGAACGGTGTCAATATTAGCGCCTTGCACGAATGGATGCAGCATGAGCGTCTGCCTGTTGGCTGGAAGCCGGACCACACCCAGGGCTTGTACCAGACATACAAAATGGCGAAGTATGTCAGGGAGCGCATGAGGGAGCTTGGAACGCAGCAACCGTCTAACGAGCCGGTGGAGTCGCATTAGAGTTGGTGTTCTGTCTCTGTCTTCGTTGTCTTCTAGCGTGTTTGAATCTTATTCGTGTATATTTTATACCCATTGATATCTGTTCGTACAACAAATTTACTTCTACCAGTAGTACTGTTAATTATTCTGTATTTCATTCATGTAATCCCTTCACAAGCTAGTAGGACACTTGTCAATTATCTCTATAATTTATTGCTTGGTATTCACATGGGATCGAGTGTCAGTATGACTCTACTGGTGATCTCTGCGCCCCGAATCACGAACAGCAAGTACCAAAGGGCTTATAAAGACCGACAAGTTGTCGGTCCATTTCCATCGCAAATATAAAGACGTTCCAGACATCCGAGTCGTCATTGACATGATATTTTAAATGACCACTGATCAGACCAGCCACACCAGTATATCCACCCCTCGCACCCGCAGGTGCCCACTATGATGAAGGATAGCAACGCAGATACCCGAGCCACAGAGACAACGGCAGGACATTCAGACTTATCAAGGACCGACTTAGCTTCTGGTCCTCTATGAAATTGATTGTCGCTGACGTGGTAGGAAAGAATTCGAAATTCGGTAAAGCCTCGTTTGGAGAGGTACATCCAGGGAGGTAATATGTATACATTCTAGAATACGTAGTCTCAGAGTTCGAAGGCCATCGGTGATCAGTATTAAGGTGACACCTTGTCACGTCAAGAAACTCCGTCGAAGTGAGGATTGACCAGCGGAATGAACCATGGCTTGCTCATCTGTCGGCTCCTTGCAGCCTTCATCTATAAGATAGAAGCGTATCTGGACAAGGGCCTACAGGATGTAAAGACCGATGTTAGTGTAAGTGCGCAACACACATTTCGTATTGGATTGGCTACGCACTCGCGCGAGGGACAGACATTGTCAAGTGCAATCGATAGACCGACAGAACTGTTATGCATCGGGAGTTATGACATATCGGGAACTCCACCCGCCATGGAGCTGTCGGACGCATGATGATACAGCAGGAATACCTAGAGTCGTGCTTCCCATAAGACGATATTTCGGGATTGCTATTGTACCCTGCGGTGCGAGATATCTGCCCGGATGGTTTCAGTTGGGTTTCAGGTACGTGAGGGCAGTACACATCGTGGGAGATCGCACAGTTTAGACATCGTCGATGGCGTCCGATAATTTATAAATTAAGAAACAAATCACTCTGGATTCCAAGTGGTGGCAACAAACGCAGCTGCATGTTGGAATTTGCGAGCAAGCATGATGCGGCCAAACAGGGACTACTCAAATTCCAGCCACACCCCCTTGCGGATCCCACGCACGGCCATTCTTGGTTCACTTGGAGCGTCAGGCCTGTTGTAGAGGGGGAAGACCGAAACCAGTTTTTGTTGGTTCCTCTCAGAAGGCACGGTGGGCCGCTCGGGTCCGCTGGGTTTAGGTTGTTTTGCCAAGAATGGCTGCGCAAAGATGTCGGTTGCTCTCTGGCAAAATTATCCACGTCCGACGTGATATCATAAGTTTAGAACTGGCCATCTGCTGTGGGGGAGGTGACCTGTTAAGATACCAACGACTCAAAACAGTTCATCTCCTTCTCGTGTTAGTCCCCCTAGCCCCGATGGGAAAGCGAGCTATGTGGCGCAAGATTAGACTGCTGGTCGGCCGGAGTCAGTGTTACTCGCGAGCCACCATCGGCAATTGTAATCATGCGGCTGTCGCCGAGCTGAGAGTATGTACTGAGTACAGACTTAGTTCATGTACAGGCTGTTCACATTCTCGAATAATGAGATGACAAGTAGCTACAGCATTCGATCACTTCTTCTTCTGCTCTGTGGCCTAATTTCACTTACAACTCAAAAAGATGTTCCAGACGCCTTCAGACTTCCGCCCAGTGAAGCAGTGGACAATGTTAATCCGTCAGCATTGCCACTCGCACAATTGTTATCCATCTGCCTAACTCATGCTGTTTCAATAGGCTCATTGGCAATGGCGGGGACTCTCCAAATGGGTCTGGAGGTATGATTCCGTCAGCTTCGCCCCCGTTTGCCATGACACGATGGGTTGCCCAAACATCCGAGAACTACGTATCTGTCACTCCATATAATTACACTGTGACATCAATCCATGGCTTTCAGGCAACCCACCAGCCAGCCATCTGGATGGGTGAGAGTGGTCAAGTGGTAATATCTCCAGGCGCTGGCCAGGTGCAACCTAAATTCGATGATCGAGGCATGAGTTTCACTCACGAGAACGAAGTCATCACTGCTAGTTACTACAGTGTGAACTTGAACGCTATTGAAGGGGGTCAAATTCTAGCTGAACAAAGTTCTAGTACGTCATCTATTCTATATCGACAAATCTCCCAATTTGCTGAGTTCTATTGAGCTTCTCGTGTCGGACACCTCCGTTTCACATTCACTGATACCCGTCAACCTTACGTCCTTGTCGAGGCTACTCGGGCTAGCGTTCTGGGGTCTTCAGACCCTCAAAATTTGACTTATCCTCACGGCTCCGTATTCATTAATCCTGACGCTCGCGAAATTTCTGGCAGCAATCCTGAACGCCAGGACTTCATTATTGCGCCTGTTTCAACACCTGCAAAACACTGGAGTGGATATTTCTGCGCGCGCTTCGACCAGCCTTTCGCGTCGTGGGGCGTTTCCAAAAACAACACTCTTTTTGATGGTCAGACAAGCGGGAATGGCACACTGCTATCAGGATATGCGACATTCTCACCTGAAGTGGTGGAAGTCAGTGTCAGGATCGGCGTTTCATTCATTTCTGTTGAGCAAGCTAGAAAGAACTTGGACATAGAGATACCTGATGGGAATCTGCTAGAGGACACAGCGACATCTACTCGATCAGCTTGGGCTGAGAAATTGGAGCTAATCAAGATCAAAGGCGCTTCCAAGGATCAACTGCAAACTTTTTACACCGCGTTTTTTCACACATTGCAGGCAGAGTTTTTCTTTGTTTGCCGCGGAAGTAAGATGCTCACATTTCCTTCTAGTATCCTTACGAGCAGAGCGAATATGGCCAGTACTACTCAGGATACGATGATGATGTGCACCAGGGAGTGTCATATACTGGATACTCGAACTGGGTAAGCACCAAGCTCTAGGAATGGTAGAGGTCTAATGTATTGCATAAGGACACATATCGCGCCGAATGGGCATGGCTTATTTTGTTTGCGCCTGAAAGGATACCAGGTATGGTACAGAGTATGTTGCAGGACTACAAAGAGGTGGGTTATATTGCAACTTGTTCGATGAAAGACGGTTTCATCCACAGCACGCAGGGTGGTCGACTCCCAATGTGGAAGAACATCATTGGTAGGTTTTAGTGCTTATCTTATTCCTGAATCTCATCAAATTTTTGTCGTCAGAGACGAACATTATGGTATCTCTTTTTCTGTTCTATGTCGTTCTGCGTGATTAGTGGACATGCCTCCACAGGTCGCAACTCATGCGGATTCCCTCATTGCAGAGGCTGTCTTGAAAGGCATGTCCGGGTTCGATTTAGAGACCGCATGGGAGGCTGTGTATAGCGATGCAACAGTGCCTCCGGTCAATGATACAACTACCGTGTGAGTTTAAAAGTTCTCCTGTTGTATGGATAACTAAGCTGAATGTTTATAGATACTTCGATCGTCAGGAAGTAAGAATTTAATTTTTCAATCCCTGCAGCATCAGATCTTATTTTATTGTCACAGAATGTCGATTATGAAGTTCGTGCCGGCTTAACTTCGGTCTATGAAGAGAAGGGCTGGGTTGCAGACGACATCCATTCTGAATCAGCGTCTCGAACCTTAGATTATTCTTGTGACGTTCTTGTTCTCTCTTTATATGGTTAATACTTACCACCTCGCTTTGTTTGATTTCATCCATTCAGATGACGATTTTGCCGTATCTGTGCTCGCAGGTCTCCTCAATAAAAGTGAAGAGGAACTGTTTTTCCAACAGCGCTCGCTGCAAAATCCGTTTACTATCTTCAACTCACTCACTGGTTTTATGGAAGCGCGTAACGCAAGTGGTGCATGGGCAGGTCCCGATAATGGGTGGACAGAAGGCGATAAATGGGCTTATACGTTTGACGTGGTACACGATACACCGGGACTGATTGCTCACAAAGGCGGGAACGCGACGTTTGTGAAATTCTTGGACGAACATTTTGACGGTGGTCAATTCTAGCTATGATTCGAACTGGTATTTCTTACTGATTTCTTCTGTCTGCTTCAGGTCACAATGATCATACCAATGAGGTCCGTCCCTGGTACGTGGTATTGAAGCTACTGACACATTCTTACAGCCATCCCATCATATTCCCTACCTGTATTCCCTCGCTGGAGCTGCGTCAAAATCTCAATCACGTATTCGTTACATTGCAGAGTCAAACTACAACGCTTCTGTCAATGGCCTCTCTGGGGTATGTCAAGCTGTAGAACGTTCGGCCAGTCCATTTGACCGATATAGTGCAGAATGAGGATTGCGGCCAGATGAGCGCGTGGTACTTATTTAGTGCATTGGGATTTTACCCTGTAAACCCTGTGTCAGGATCGTACGTGGTCGGGTCGTAAGTACTCATAGTGTCGTTCAGACTCCACTCCTAACTTTTGGACCTTCAGTCCATTTTTTGATGAAGTAGAGATCCAATTCCCATCATCCAACGCCACCAGCCTGAAAATCATTTCAGAGGGCGCACCGTCGAAGCCATTCGTAAATTCGCTCACCATCAATGGTGCGGATATACCCAGCCCCATTATCTCGCACGACCAATTACTCGACGGGGGCAGATTTGAGTTCATAATGTCCAGCCGACCACAGGCCTGGGGGAGTAGTACTTTGTGGTCGAAGGACAATACGGTGGGTGAGAAAAGTCTGTGCGCCATCTTGTTTATTGACGCATTAACAATAGGATTTAACCAACGAGCAGGACAAATCGGTGCAATACTACATGGCATACCGTGAGCTGCGTTGAGGGATACCATATGGCTTGATTGCGCTTGGACGAGTTGAGCTGTCTGACAGCCACCAACGACAAAGGGGAAATCATCTCGCTCGTGAGTCACCCCACAGATCCCAGTGCGTGAGACTGTCACAATAAAGTAGATAATTTCTTGAGTAATCAACGTAATCGATCCTGTGTTCACTCATGGCTCCGAAATGTCGCAGCATACTCATGAAATTAATCGTAGGAATGGCGTATGCAACTCAAGAAAGCACACTGCCCACATCCTAAGCACGCATCAACAAATGGACGATCAAGATTAAGTGTTTCAAATCTCAAGGAGACGGAATTCAGTGATGGATATAATACTGCTACAATCCTAAGAGGAACTACATTACTCTGTGATAGTAGAGTTATCAAGTCAGAGTCAATGTCAATGGCCTCTCCCAAATGAGAAACCGCGCTGCCCAGCTTGCTGGAAAAAGTGTGCAAATGGATGCTCTCCGCCCCCACCGCCACCGAACGGACTCGCGAATCCGGTGAATGGAGCGCCTCCTTGAGAGTTAGGATCATTCGGGTCATCCCCGTTATCGAAGCGTTGACGTAGTTCTACACGATGAGATGAGCAAGATGCGCAAATATGTTAGTTATATATGTTCTTGCCTGGATTAGTCAGGACCTCGTATGCCTCATTCACTTCTGCCATTTTCGCCTCTGAGCCTCCCTTGTCAGGATGTGCTGTCATAGCTGCTTTGCGGCTGGAAAAGTCATTGACAAGAAACCCGAAGAGAACGCAAGTCTTACAAGGCTTTCTTGATAGTTTTAGAATCTGCGTCCCTAGAGACGCCGAGAACCTTGTAGTAATCTTTCTGCTTGGATTGCTTTAGTAATCGTTGGGCTTTCTGTAGCCGCCCTAGCACCTGTTGAACAGCGATTCAGAGTTTTGAACATAATATTTAGAAGCAGAGGTGCAACTTACGTCTCTGTCGCTGCGACCACTGCTCTCAAACGCCCGTTCAAAAGAGCGTACTGCGTCTTCCCATTCTTCACGAATCAGCATTGCCTCGCCCTTCACCACCCATGCGTCAACTTCCACATTGGTGTCGCCGCCCATATCATTCAGGGCTCGGAAGGTATCTTCAGACATCGCAAGCAGAGCATCACACCAAGGTTCACCCTTCCTTGCGTTGTTGAGCCTCAAATAACCACGGCATGCTCCACGAAGGATAAGAGCGCGACGCGGGCTTGAAGAGAGAACAGTAGGTAGTGGGAGCTTGGATGAAGGTGGTGACAGCATCTCTGGATCCCCATTCGCAAGCAGCGCGTCTTCGAAAGTAAGGGCAAAGCCATTGCCAGGAAAGTCTTTCGCAGTGCCAACGACATGCTTTAAAACGCCTTTCCAATCACTGGCCTCCAAAAGCTTCTCCAATTTCGCAAAACCCTTGTCGAGAGATTTCGCGAGTCTATGAGCTGGTAAACACGAAGATGAGTCGGGGTCCAGGTGAAGACATTGTTTGAGAGGCGAAAGATGCGAGGACGACTGTGAAGGTGGAAGCAGGAAGTAAGAGAGGCGGAAAATGCGGATAAGAGAGAGAGTGGTAGGGTGGGATAAATACGACAATCGACTGAGTTCTTGTAAGTATGTGTGTACATATGAACAACAAGAACTCACGTCAGGTCGAGCACGGCTCCTTGCACGTCGCCACTGGCTAAATTACAATCTGCTCTTGTCTGTCTGAGCTCAGAATTATGACTGGCCACCCGTAGGGCCTGCGTTGCAGCTTCTGAGCAAACAGTCCATAACTGGGCGCGTCTTGCTTTAACAGCCTTGGAGGCTGCTGCCTCGGCCTCCTTGATGTCACTTAGCATGTCGTTCGCAGCTTGATCACCAGCAACCTTCATGTTATACGTTGCAAGTAACTCCTTGGCATGAGCCCAGTCTCCTTCCTTGGTATGGATCTTTGCCATCATCATAATGGCACGGTCGAATTCTCCGCCAGTCAATTCCAGAACCTTGGTGAAGTCATCGAGCGCGCTCGCGTGACGGCTTAACGAGAAGTAAGCTGTAGCTCGCTTATAGAACAGTAAGTAATCTGCAGGGGAGAGTGAGATGGCGTCTGTGTATGTTTTCGCTGCATCGTTAAATTGTCCAGCGGAAAGTAGGGCGTCACCGCGGACTATGAGAGGATGGAGCCCTGGAGGAGTAAGCCCAGACGACGAAGGGTCTGATAAAACGGGTTTAGCGAGCAATAATAGTAGCCCCGCAAAACAGTGCAGTCGCATAACGGGACGATGAAGACTTAGTCGAGTCAGCGAGGTCTTGATTGAATATTATAACTTCAACTTTCCACGTCCACGTCCACTATCCCACGTACAGCTATCATGTGAACGTCACGTGCTGAGCACGTCTGAGTGGGCGATCGAGCCTGAGGTTCTTTCGACTTGAAAAATCATTACTAGTGCTACATAGCAATATTACTTAGTAAGAAAGAACTTCGAAGTCAGTCATGCTACGAATAAGATGAGTTCTGTTATCATGTAGATTGGACACAGACATCTAGGAATTTTGCTGACAGCTGGGAGCGTATCTCCTTCTGAAGCCATGTCTCAAACATGGTGGCATCTGTCAGGGAATCAGATACCCAGTCGTGAGCTTCAGAGTTGTCAGAATCCTCTGCTTCAGGGTTGTATGCTTTAGGTTTGACCACATAAAACAAGCCGACAAGATCAAGAGAAGATTGCATAACTTTCCAGCTACATTTGTGTGATCGTGAGGGTTTAATGCCACAGTGACCCACATCAGGCAATTGACCTGAAAATGACATAGCTTTGTAAAGCTCTGTCTATCATAAAATTCATATAATACCTATCATAATTGCACTCAGCCTGACTGTCATATCCTGTATGCCAGACATAGATCCCATCATATTCCCATGCTTTCCAGACCTATTTCCAGACCCCATATCCGACTCATTCCTGGATCCCCTATCCTGTCCACCCTATGCACATTCCATCCAGCAAGACATCCAGACTTTACCTCCTCTCAGATTCCGGACTACATCCACCACCTCACATATCTCAGTCCTGTTTCTGCCCTGCCTTCTGGATCCCCAGATCTCTGGATATTAACTGTTACTATCTCTGGACCTATTCCCACCCTCTATCCAAGATCCTGCGCCTATCCCCATTTAGGCATCTCTGCCTTTCCAGTTCTCAGTTATCTCTGTTTCCGTCTTGCTGATTGATCCTAGTACAAGTCTTCATCTCCGAGTTCATTTAGCTATGTTCTGTCTTACTTACCAATGTGTTTCCACATGCTCATACATAGCCTTACTCTGTTGCTTATTGATCCTCTCAGATATCCTCTAGTATATAACCCCTGTACAATTCTTGTAGAGTCCTCAGTCTGAATATCATCTTAGATCCTGTTCATCACCTTAGATCTGCCCAATCTTCTTCTGGACTTCAGTCCATCTAAGTTTGTCCTTTTCCATAAGGCCTAGGGATGGATTCCCTAGGCCAGAATTCTGGACCTTCGGATTTGTCCCCTATGTCTCTGTCCCAAGTCTAGGGATTACTTCCCTAGGCTAGAGTCTTGCCTTTCCAGCACTTACCCTCTTTCTGGACTTAGGTCCACTTCCTGTCCCTCCGACTCTACCTTAGGGTAGTCTACCTCTGTTTGCTTCTACATCAGACTTTGTCCAATGTAGCCCCTATTCCTTCTGGACCTCTGGACCTCCTGTCCCTCATACCTCTGGGCATCCTGTCCTTCAGACATTCCGCCCTCCGTACCTTCCGCCCTCCATACCTTCTGCCCTCCATACCTTCCACCCTCCATACCTTTGGATGCTCTGTCCTCCATACCTCCATGTCCTGTCCTCTGTACCTCTGGACCTCCTGCCCTCCATACTCCAGACCTCTGGACATCCTGTCCTCCTGTCTTCTGGACCTCCTATCCTTCCATCCTGTTTTCCTGTAGAAGTATTACCTTGTAGTGGGAACTCTCCTGAGCACTTCCTGCATTCCTCTGGAACTCTCCTGCACTCCTCTGGACATTTCCTGTGCTCCTCCAGAAGTCCTCCTGCACTCTCCACCAGAGTAGCCAGCCTCTGGAAGTCCTCTGGACTTCATTGGACCATCATTGGACTTCCTCTGAAATGAAGGGCACATACTCGGGTAAGGGGCACAGTGTACAAGCTGAGGCCAAGCCCCTCTGAGTCAGTCTCTCTCTCCTTTGAGCATGGTTCTTAACACTGACAAAGCTTTAGATAGGCAGGTTCCACTGGGAAAAACTGCCAAAAACACAATCATGACACTTGTTGTAAACACCTGCCATCTTCAACAAAGTCTTATAATACCACTCAGCCTTGACAAAGCTTTAGATAGGCAGGTTACAGTGGGAAAAATTGCGAAGGACACAATTATGATGTATATTGCAAACATCTGCCATCTTCAATAAAGTTTTATAATGCCAGACTACTTCAAATAAAATTGCCAAGAAATTACTGAAAAGTCTCAACCTTGACACTCATTTTATCATTTTATAATTCAAATCAAATTTTAATTGGGTTTAGGGTATACACATGTAGTAATAATACAGGAGAGCGGAGGGACATGATAGGACAGAAGCTAGAGAGGGACATGATAGTTACCTGTCTCAGGGGAGAAGGAAGAGACCATAAGGGCCAGGGAGGAGGACCAGGGAGGGCCATGAAGGAGAACCAGGGAAGGTCAAGGAGGAGGGCCAGGGAGGGCCAGGGAGGAGGGCCAGGGAGGACCAGGGAGGAGGACCAGGGAGGACCAGGGAGGAGGGCCAGGGATGAGGGCCAGGAAGGAAGACCAGGGAGGGGGGCCAGGGAGGAGGGCTAGGAAAAGCCAGGAAGGAAGACCAGGGAAGACCAGGGAGGGGGACCAGGGAGGAGCCAGGGACCATAAAGGAGGAAAAACCACCATATAGGGCCAAAGATATCACCATGAAGAGACAGGGAGGGAGAGAAGAGGATGTTGGCTTGAGGGGCCAGAAGGGTGTACTTAGAGTGTAGATGAGATGACAGAGGACAAGTTTCGAAGTTGGTTGAAAAAATTGAAACTCCGACTTACATAAGCATCTGTCATGTGACATGGTTAGTGCAATGTCATGCATGTGATGGTAGTGAAGATCAATTGGTAGAGAATTGTTAATACAATTGTAAGACATGACATATCTACATCAGAATGTTGGCTTTCTTACAATCCTTGTTCATTTAATATCAATTTGTCATGCTTATATCAAACTTTATCTTTGTATATAATCTTCTATAATTCAGTAGATTCTTGATATGATTTTACCAATTAAATCTGGGAAAAACAAGTTTGTGCTGATTTCCTAATACAAAATACACATCAAGGTGATATTTCTAGCATAGTCATATCTTCATTCATATATGTGTGACACCATGATAATGATATCTAATGCTAGGATGTGGCATGTAATAATGTTTTGCAATTACAAATTATATCTGGTCATATCAACTTCAGGTTGATTTCCTGATGCGTGTATAAGAAGTCAGTCTTTTCCTTCCTGCACTGGATAGTGTCCACTTTCAACCATTCATCGAGCGGGTGGTCCTTGTGCAGCAGTTAGCCTTTCTGATAATGAAGAGAGACCCAGGTTAGGACCCATAAGAATGACTCTGCATCATGCCAGTACAGGTGCTTGACCTTGCCTTCAATGGCTTCCTTTGTGAGAAGTTCGATGGCCATGAAAGGTACTGTGCCTGTATGCTCTTGGCCTGAGGGACTATCTCCAGTGGATGATAAGTTGAAGTCATTGAGGACCCCAATATATTGACCATCTGTGGTCATGTAGACCATGAGATTACTAGGGCTGATGTTGTGGTGATGAACATTGTTCCCCCAGAGGGCATAGTGACCTGGCATTGCAGGTGTCAGGGACCAATATGGAGTGCAAGAAGGAAGAACACATACAGACAATGATGTGCCACCATGCGGCAAGGAACTCCTTGTCACTCAGGTCCATGATAGGGTCGAGCTTTCTGAATATGATAATGTATAGGATGTGCCTGCCTCATTCAGCATCCTTAAGTCCCAACACCCTCCTGATGGTTGCCATGGATGTATTCTCAAACTTGTGAGACCAGACCATCTCTGGGATGTGGTGCTTCACCTTGCCCTCCTCATCTTTCTTCACAATCTCATACACCTTCCAGAGTATTTCAGCCTTGCTCTTGTGCTCCTCTTCTGGCCAATAGAGCTTTGCAACCAGCTCATTGGTAGGGTTATGAGGGTTATGATGAGGGAGATTCAGTACCAGAGCCGACAGCATCTTGCTTTTAACTGGAAAGACAGTAGTTGCATGTCTGCGCAGACCAAAGTGAGTGGTACACTTGTCAGACTTCAAATCAAATTTGAGGTTGACCTCTCCAATGTCCTCATCCAGGATCCAAATCTCACCCGAAGATCCATCCTCAGGCTCAAATACCCAATTGTAGCCCCATTCTGTGAATAGCATCTGCTGGATAGCAAGTAGCAAAACCATGAACTGAGGAAGGTCTTGCATGAAGTTGATACTGGAGCATTGAATCGTGTCCTGCTGATCAAAATACCACAAGTAAATCATGTCATCTGGTGTTACGAACTCAGATAGAGCATCGTTCCAATAAAGGAATCAAGATCAAGGTCAATCAAGGACTAAGCCTTATTGAGTCAATGCCTCCCTCAGGAGCAATCATCTAGACTCCCACAGGATCTAGAGTTCAAATGGGACAGATGGCTAGCCTCCTCCCCAAGGAGCTAGAGTTCAAGTATCAGAGAGAACTGAGTAGATTCAAGTTAGAGAAGAATACAAGTGGTAACTAGGGTTTATATATGTAAAGGAATCGTGCACAGACCAGGCTGGGCAGAGGGTATCAACTACTAAGAAAGGAAGGTTCATGGGAAAACAAAGTATGAGTCAGAGATAAGGAAGACCATGAGGAAACAGCACAGTGAAAAGGAAGCATTAGAAGTACAGCCATATAGGAGTCCGCAGTGATGATGAGAAAAAGAGTGGGGCACTGTAACATTACCCCCCTGTCAACGTCTAAAGTCACCGACTTTAGTCACTAAGATTCTGATAGTCATTGGGATTGAAGTCAGCATCCTTTGCAAACTGCTTCTCATGCTCCTCTTGCTCAAGATCTTTTCTATCTTCGTAGATCTTAAGCTGATGATGGAAGGCCCATGAGCCAGGTTTGGCATTAATGATACATCATCCTTGAAGAGTAGGACAGTAGGCGGTAAGGTGCTTGGGAGCATGGTGGTGGCATTCTCAGCAGAAGTAGTGAGGGCAATGGGTTTGATGGTGTCCTTCCTGCTGGCAGTATCAGCAGATGATGTCATAATAGTCTATGCCATTCCTATCACATCGAAAAGTTTCTTCAGATGGGGCACAAGAGTCGGAGGAGGAGGCAGGTTTGTCTTCATCGACAATGATGGGTGGAGCAGGGGACAGTGTCATGGGATGAGAGAGGCCTATTCCAAAGGCAACAGTGTTTCTTTTCTTACCATGAGCATGGTGTGGGTTTCCTGCAGAGCGAACTGCGAGCTGAGAGGGAGCGGGGACAGGGGTGTCATCATCAGAAGATTCTGACAGGGATCTAGGGACTTCTTGGGTAGTGAAATGAGGGGGTTCAATGGAGATGGAGCATTCTAGTTTGACCATATCTGGGGTGAGAGCTTGCTCGAACCCTTTTTCTATAAGTCTGTCTGTGGCAAGTGCTTTGATCTTGGTCATACATATGATAAATGATGGAACATTTGGTGGTTTCTTCAGTAGGGGCTGCAATGGTATGGGCATAGCTAGATGCCAGGTCTGCACTGTGATGGATGGTCATCAAAGAAAGGGAATCAATATCTTCAGAAAAGAAATGATCTAAAGGTAAAACACAGGGAAGAGAGGAAAGGGTTGATTCAACAAGAGCTCGCTTGTGATGAAGTTCGAGCTGAGAGCGATGGAGTTCAAAAGAGGAGTTCAAAGATCGTGAAGAAGGCATATTCTGGGGTCAAGTTTCTAGGTAAAGAGTTGAGAGAGTCGAAGGTGGTCTTTATAGGTTCTGAGGATTTCCTGGGCATTGTCTAGTTCCTTTTCAGGGAGCCAGGAGTTATCCGAAGAAGGGTAACCCTTCCATGATACAAGGAAGCATCATTTTCCTTTTACATTTCCCTTATGGGCAAGAATGGCTTCTATTTCGTATTCTTCTTGTCCATTAATGATGTCAGGAGGAGGTTCAGTGTGGTTCGGGCCATGGACTTCTGTTTCCCAATAGGAGGATAACTCAGAAGCATGAAAGATGGGGTGTGATTTCCAGGAGGTAGGGAGTCAGATCTTGAATGTGATAGGGGAGAGAATGGCTTCTACTGTGAAAGGGCCATAGTGTTTAGGGGCAAGCTTCTTTGAGGGTAGTCCAGTGATAAGGTTCTTTGCTGATAACCAAACTTTCTCACCAATCTTCCAGGGTTCAAACTTCTTTCCAAAGGTCTGATCAGACATGCGTTGCATGGCGAGATTGTGACAAGAGATGGCTTCTTCTCGGATCTTCTGAAGATATTTGACTTGATCTTCTGCTGCAGGGATGGTGGAGTTTGGGAGGATATAGGGAATTCCTCGGGGTTCATAACCCATCATGAGGTGGAAAGGGGAGACATTGTGGGCATCATGCTTTCGGTGGTTGTGGACGAACTCAGCCTTGGGTAGATGTTTTACCCAATCAAGAGGAGTGGAGTGGCAATAAATGTGGAGGTAGGTTTCGAGTTCTTGATTTAGACATTCAGTCTGTCCATCAGTTTGTGGGTGGTAGGTGGTGGAAAGTGCAACTTCATAGTCAAGGAGTCTTCCGAGTTCTTTGGCAAATTTAGAGGCGAACTGAGGTCCTCTGTCAGAAATGATCTTGTCATAAAGTCCGAATCTGAGAAAGACTTTCTTGAAAAAGAGTTGGGCGACTCCTTCTGATGTAATGGTTTTCTTGCATGGTGAGAGAATTACCCCCTTCATAAGGCCATGGTCTACCATGACCATAACCAAATCAAAACCGCCTGATTCAGGCAAGTCAGTGATTAGATCTATGGAGATCTGCAAGAAGGGGCGAAGCACAGAGGAAGGGATAGGGTTCAAGGGTGGGGTGGAAGGATGAGTGTCAGATTTCATTTGCTGACATAGGGTGCAACCTTCGACATATTTGTGGATAAATGTGCCCATTCTGGGCCACCAGTAGTCACGTTTTACTAATTCTTTGGTTTTAAAACGTCCTGGGTGTCTGGCGGTAGGGTGATCATGGTGAAGATGTAGAATGCAGTGTCGGAGATGAATGGGGGCATAAGCACAGTTTTTATAAAACAAAGTGCCATCATCAATCTTCCAATGAGAGGGCGGATTTCATAGGGGGTGCATTTAACCCATCAAGGGCTTGTTGCGCAGCAAGAATGACAGGATCAGAGAGGGGATCAGTGGTCTTCAGGGCATTGGCGAGGTCATTGTCAATAAGACAAGAGAACAAGGTATCAGGGAGGAGTGTGACATTGGAATTATCCAAGGGGTCAGAAGAGTGATCAGGGCAACATGAGAGAGCATCAGGAGCAGCAAGTTTGCTTCCTGGGACATGGTGGAGTTCAAGATCAAATTCATTCAGGGTTAACTGCCAATGTGCTCATTGGCAAGTGAGGTTCTGTGCAGAGTGGAAATAGAGGAGATTCTTGTGATCGGTGAATACAATGACAGGGTGGGGATTCCCTTCAAGGTAATGACGCCATGCTTTTAAAGCATGGATGATAGCAAGTAGTTCATGATCATAGATCTGGTAGTTTTGTTCAGCGGGGTTAAAGGATTGAGAGAGGTAGCCGCATGGGTGATATGCGCCATTCTCATCAGTCTGAAGGAGGACTGCTCCAGTGGCAACAAGTGAAGTGTCAGTCATGAGGGTGAATTACTGAGAGGGGTCAGGGTTACAGAGGACAGGTTCTGATAAGAAACACTGCTTCAGTTTCTCAAAGGAGTCAGTGCAAGATTGTGACCAAGTGAAGACAGCATCTTTCTTTGTTAAATCTATCAGGGGTCATGCAAGGTCAGAGTAGTGGGAAATGAAGTGGCGGTAGAAGTTACAAAACCCAAGGAATGAATGGACTTCTTTTACTGAAGTTGGAGTCATCCATTGGCTGATACCAGATAATTTGGCTGGATCCATTGCAACTTGTCCAGGGCGAATTATCATGCCAAGGTAGTCAACTTCTTGAGTGTCAAAGGTGCATTTTTCGGGTTTCAGAAAAAGGGTTTCTTTTCAGATGATGTCAAGGATGCAACATGTTCATTTCTGGTGCTCTTCTAGGGTTTTTGAGAAGATAAGGATGTCGTCCATGTAAACAATCATCCATCCTTCAGCAATTTCTTTCTGGAAGGTCTGGTTCATATAGGCTTGGAACATTGCTGGGGAGTTGCATAAGCCGAAGAACATGACTTTCGGTTTGAAGAGTCTGAAAGAGGTAGTGAATGCTGCTTTCCAGTGATCGTCAGGATGGATCAGGATATTATTGTATCTGGATCAGACGTCCATCTTGGTAAAATACTTGGCATCTCTTAGCTTGGCGATAAGAGGGGGAATCAGAGGAAGGGGATAGGCATTCTTTATCATCCACTCATTGATGTAACAATAGTCTTGGCAAGGTCATAGAGATCCATCTTTCTTTCCTATGAAGGAGAATCTGCTGGCTTGCAGAGATTTCAAAGGTTGGATAAAATCTTTAGCGATGTGTTCATCAAGAAAAGCTTTCACAGCATCAGTTTCTTTTGGAGATAGAGGGTAAGTTTTCGCAGATTTTGGAATATATCCAGGTTTGGTTTCAATTCTATGATCAACACCTGGTTGGGATGGGGGAAGTTTGTTTAAGCCGTCTTTGGCGAAAACATCAGCAAAGTCGTGGAGGTAGTCAGGGACAAGTTCTTTGAAAGTTTTCTTCTTCTTTTCTTGAGCATCCTTCAGAGCAAATTCTTGAGCTTTATTGCTAGTTTTCAAGTATTCCTTGTCTTCTTCTGTCTTTCATGCATAGATCCAAGAGTTTCTTAAAGGGGATAGAGCTGCAGCTTGTCAGATCTCAGAGGCAGAAGTGCCATCACAAGTGAGAGGTGTGTTGAAGGAGAGGTTTTCAAAAAGGGTAATAGAAGAGCCATCTTTGGCATATTTGATTAATACTTCATCGTCATTGATGGGATAAGTGACAGGGTCGTCAACCTTTCGAAGGAAAGTTGGTTTGGTGGGAATGTCATCCCAGACATTGTCCTTGGTGTCATATTGGGGTAATGGATCTTCATCAGGATCTGGCCAAAGAGGTGGAAGTGGTTCTTCTTCTTTCTTCTTTTCTTTTTGGCATTCAAGAGTTCTTTTCCCATTTACAGGAAGTGGAGCATAGGCAGGTTTAAATTGTTCTGGGTCTTCTTCTTCTTCGATTGTGACTTTCTGTGGGGTGCAGGAGTGAAACCCCATTTCTTCTTGAATACCTCTTCTAGTCGAAGTGATCTAGGGGTAGAAGGAAGTCGAAGGGTATCTTTAGCCCAGTCGATATCAGGGTTCATGGCAGAAAGCCAAGGCTTCCCAAGGAGGATCATATTGTTGTCGCTCATGTTCATGACATTGAATTTTCCAATCATGAGTCAATCATCAATTTTGATTGTGAGGTGACAATAATGAGTGATGGGGTCCTTGGAAATCTTTCCATCAGCAGTTCAGATAGGAAAAGGAGTTTCAAAGTGATGTGTCTTGATTCTATGTTTCTTACAAACATCCAGTGGATGAATGTGGCAGCTGCACCACAATCGACAACAGCGGTGGTTTGCAATGATTTATCAGGGTGTACAGAGGAAAAGATGGTCACCAGGACCCTTAATTCTTTAGTTTTTCCTACATTGTGTGCGATATGTACATCAATATAAGGAGTGGCTAACATTGTGGTAGGCTCCTGGTTCAAAAATCCATTCTTCAGGCATTGAGATCTTCATCGTCATCGAGATCTTCAATCTTGCTGGTGTCTTCTTCTTTAGGTGCTGTACACCTTACCATTTGCTTCCCTTTATAGTTATTCTTCTTGGCATCTCCGTTCCGAGGGTGGAATTCTTGATTGTTAGATCTGTGACCAACCTTTCCACAGGAGAAGCATTTTCCTTGCTTCATATACTCTCTTTTATCATTCTCAGAGAGGCAATCAACGTCCATGGCATTAGGATTGTTGTTTCTGGGGGTGAAGCATGGGGTGGATCAGCAATTGTTGAATCAGGTGTTTCTATTGTTGTTCTGGGGTCTGTGGGCAAGGAGAAGCTGATAGGAGTTCTCAATGGATATCCCTTTCTTGACTATTCCGTCAAGGGTGTCAGGGATCTCTCCGGAATTGCAGAGTTTTGTGATGAGTGGCTGTTTAAGGCCTCAGAGAAAGTAATCTTTCTGAGCATTGAAGCTGTAGATCTCAGCTCGGTTACAGAGCTGTCGGAATGTGGCTATGTACTCGCTTAAGTCATTGCCTTGTTTAAGGGCATGGAGCTTATGAAGCACAGTACCAGCTGAGTTGATCGGGTTAAAGGTTTCTTCAAACTGAGAGACAAATTCATCCCAAGTTCCATATCTGTTCTTTTCTCCATGGGTGGATGTGGGGTCAAGTTGCTGGGCATGTTCGATGAAATCTTCCATCCATGCTGCAGCTGTGCCTTCCTTCATGAATGAAAGGGCAAAGGCGATCTTTCTAGTGTCAGTATCATAGATTTCATCATTTGTGTCTAAATAGAGTGTGACAAGGTGAAGGAACCTTGAGGTTCCATCTCGGTTTCCATCAAAGTCAGGTGGGGTGCAGATCTTTCTTTCAATTGGTTTAGGCATGTCATCATCAGTGTCAGAGTCTGTGTCTGTGTCTGTGTTTGGTTCAGGGGTAGGGAATCTTGGTGGTGCTACTGGTTCAACAGGCAGAGCATCAGGGATTTCTTCGTCTCTGTCTTCTACAGGTGCTGGTGCACTTGTTTCAAAATGAGAAACAATAGTGTGATGTGTAATGGATGAAGGGCCTGGGACAGCAAGAGTAGGGAGAACAGGAGTGTGGGGAGTGTCAAAGGATCCTCACGACAAAGAGGTTCATCTAGGAGAGTTAGGTGGGTAGGGACTGTATGGGATCCCGGATCATTCAGAGAAAGCCTTCTTGCTTTTCTTGGAAGGTGCCACTTTGGCAATCAATCAGTTTTGTGGGTTCAAAAGGTAAAGCCCTACAGATGGAGGGGTTCAAAGGTAACTTGAATCTTTTGTTATGAACTTGGATAGAGTGTCATTCCAATAAAGGAATCAAGATCAAGGTCAATCAAGGACTAAGCCTTATCGAGCCAATGCCTCCCTCAGGAGCAATCATCTAGACTCCCACAGGATCTAGAGTTCAAATGGGACAGATGGCTAGCCTCCTCCCAAGGAGCTAGAGCTCAAGTATCAGAGAGAACCGAGTAGATTCAAGTTAGAGAAGAATACAAGTGGTAACTAGGGTTTATATATGTAAAGGAATCGTGCACAGACCAGGCTGGGCAGAGGGTATCAACTACTAAGAAAGGAAGGTTCATGGGAAAACAAAGTATGAGTCAGAGATAAGGAAGACCATGAGGAAACAGCACAGTGAAAAGGAAGTGTTAGAAGTACAGCCATATAGGAGTCCGCAGTGATGATGAGAAAAAGAGTGGGGCACTGTAACATCTGGTACAAGCAATCAATTTCATGATACATTTGCAGCATTTCATCGACTTACCATCCACCACATAAGTAATGACGCTCTCCCACACCACATGGGCTGCAAACAATTCCACAGCATATAAACCATTCTGGAGAACGGGATGAATTCTTTGTGACTCCTCATTATCACCAACTTTGAGTTTCTTGCTGCTGTGACCATCAGGTGCTTGACTAGAGCCATGTTTCTTGTTGTTCAGTGACCCAGACTGTTTTGAACGTCCTTCTGCATCCCATATGTCAGCAAGAACCATCAGTTGTGCATGCTGTCAGGATAGCTTACATGCATCTGATGTCTGGCACAAACTCATAGCAGCACTGCTGCCAGGCAAAGGCATCAAACCCATTGGCTCAGCAGTGTTGTTCATTTCCCTATGATACTTCATATACTTCTTTGCTTCAGGGACATTGTAAGCCTTTGCTGCATAAGTTGCAGGTGGCTTTGAAAGACCAGCCCAAATCTTCTTGTGTTTGAACTCTACCATTGATCGAATGTCTGTCCATTGGAACTGTTTGGTGGGCTTCTCCAATGCCTCCTTGTACTTGTAGGCTTGACCTGGTTGCTTCTGCACCTTCTTAGTGCCTGTGTGGGAGATGATGATGATGTCAGGCTTGCACATAGACTTCTTGCCTTGGTGCTTTTGGGTTATGTTCTTTGGATCGTTTTGATGAAATAGGATCTTGTGATTGTCATGCCCCTTTGAACAAACCAGTCCAGGTGCATTCAGTTTGCTCAATCGGTCAAGTGCAAGGTTTGAAGCCTGGATAAAAGGCTTGTACATCTGATCTTCTACTCTGCTTTTCACACTTGACAGTGGCATCAATCTATCAATCTCCTTCCACAATATTTGAAGTTCTGACTTACAGATCACCCAGATTCTTCTTGATGGCCTGAGCATCTTTGCCCTTGTTGCAGATCAGCAGGACGGCTTTGAGGCAATCAGCAAATAGTGTCAGCTTGTCAGGCACCGGTTTTTAGCAATCTATGCAGCAGTAAAGTAGCTCCTGCAGCATTTCATCGATGGGGCATTCCCTGTAGTTCTCAATGTCACACCCAATCCATGGACAAATGTCACTGATGCTGCATGAATGAAGTTCAATATGAATGTATAATAGTGGCCACAGGCCAGGCAAAAAGAAAATTGGACACACTTGACACCTACAGTACTGATATGTTCGCTGACAGCAGCAGAGCCAACTGCAAGCAGGGTGGATTTGAGCTCAGACCCAGAATCAATGCCATGGGGAGGTGTCTTTGGCACAGTGGCGCCAGCAGTACTAGTGCCATTGGCCATGCTCGACTACTAGCAAAGAAAAGTGAACTAAAATGACAAGAAACTGCAGACTCGGAAGTTCGCTTTTAAGCTAAAACAATATACTATTAAGTTTATGCATTTCAAGACCACAAATGATGTTTGGAATATTGTCGATAGAGATAGTAGGTAGTATGAGCTACAAATAGTCGAGCGCCGAACGCCGAACCACAGTCGCGGTTTGAAAGTCAACGTTTCAAGTTTCAACCTTTATCAACTAACAACCATCAAATTTTTTCGATGTTGCCCACAAGCGCCCACCTTCGTTCACCCTGATTCTTACTCCATCGAGCATAATCGAGGCGTAGTTCTGTTGTTCGACCCGCAATACCAGTTGTGACATGGTCCAGACCTCTCCAGATTCCATCAGGTTATCACGCATCTGACAGACGTCGGCGTCGCTCACCATCGCCCGCCGTGATTCTTTTCTTCATCGAGCATAATCGCGATCTTGTTTTCCCCTTCAGTGCATGGAACCAACTGTGAATTGGGACACCAGAGTCAGATCTGAAGATCTTCAGTTTCACTACCATCATCAAGCTTCAAGTCACCTACCTTCGCCCGTCACGATCCCTCCAGCGAGCGTGAGTCAATATGATCCATATGACTCTTCTTACTATATTGGTCTGCCCAAGACTCCGATTATCGCTGTTGAAGTTCGTTTTCGACATGTACTATCGCCCAATCAGCACCCGCAATCAGCAAGAACAATAGCTAATTTATTTTTTCCACTCCGCATTCCACAAACGAACGGAAGAATTACGCACAAGAATTCTGTTGTGTTGCCCTTCAGTATCCCCCACGGAAACTGACACAGCCTGTTCGCATTGGTGACCACCCCAGTCAATGTTGATCAAGACTAGGTATCTGACGTGGTCGCACCGCGCAATATAACAGTATGTACGTCCTCAACTTAGATGTGCTGCGTTGGCTCAGACAGGTTATGACACATGACGAACAATATGGATGGATGTAACATAGCCATGGCTGGCAGATCAATGGGTTACCGAGTCTCGCCTGTATTGACTCGTTCATGCCAGTCACACGTCGACGAGGTAGCCCTAAGTAGACCAACCAAACTGATCCAGCTCAGCCATGCCTCAAGGATGAGATTGCAACGACTTCGTCGTTTGGTCATGCCCCTTCAGTTCGTGCAACACAGCACTATTTTGACGCGGACGTGGGTCTTCAAGTTACTCTTACTTGCGCGTTGTTTAAATCGCTATAGGCCGTGAATTATCTTGTCTTTGGTGCACCAGGGTGATTAGGACATATCCTTGTGAGTAGTACTACATTGCCCGCTCTAATGAACGACTATTCTGCAGATGCTCGTGACCGGTGACGACTGCATCGGCCTTGTATAAACAATATCGGAAACGTTGAAATCCGATATTGTCCATGCGGGGTTCAGAGCGCAGACCAAACAGAGAAAAGACATCCCATCTTTGCCACGGATGCAGTAACACCCAGAACCTGATGGCGACTGAGGCTTATTATGTAGGGGCCAAGAGACTGCTGAGCAATTTTCTTCAATTTGATATGCTTACACGCTCGAGGTTCGGAATCAGACTCGGGAAACCTCGAAGATTACACTGTACCTGATAACGTCTTCTTCGTTCCAAGAACTTATGTGTGAACAATTAGGCAGTGGCGATGACGGCGAGTCACTAAGTGCCTCGCACAAACAAACATACACAACCCCCTTTGACTAACTCGCTTGAGCGTCTGATAAGATATCCAAGTGCAACCTTCCCCTCATGGAGATCAGCAATGTCAGAAACTACCGTCATCTACACACACGGACACCATGAATCCGTCCTACGCTCCCACAGCTGGCGCACCGCCCAAAACTCCGCATCCTACCTCCTCCCATACATCAAACCAAACATGCACATCCTCGACATAGGCTGCGGGCCAGGCACCATCACCCTCGATTTCGCTACCCTCATCGGACCCACAGGACACATAACAGGCTTAGAACCTTCCCCCGGAGATGTCCTCGTCCAAGCCCGCGAAACAGCCGCATCGCGAGGGATCACGAACGTAGATTTCAAAATCGGAGATATCTTTGGACTGGAAGAGATATTTGAAAGTCGTAAATTTGATATCGTGCACGTCCATCAGGTGTTGCAACATATCGATCGGAAGAGGGTATCGGAGGCTTTGATGCAGATGAAGGCTGTTACGAAACCTGGGGGGATCGTTGCTGTTAGAGAGACGGATTTTGCTGCGATGACTTGGTTCCCTGCTTCTAATGGGATGACGGAGTGGGTGGATACGTATCAGCTTGTGGCGCGTGCGAATGGTGGAGAACCTGATGCGGGGAGGAGGTTGGTGAGTTGGGCGCTGGGGGCAGGGTTCGCGAGAGATAAGATCACAACTTCGGCGGCGGCGTGGTGTTTTAGCACCCCTGAAGAGCGGGAGTGGTGGAGTAGGATGTGGGCTGATCGAACCCTTTCGTCGAATTTCAAGACGACGGCGCTCAAGAGTGGGCTCGTGGATGAGGAGAGGCTGAATAGAATTGCAGATACATGGACGGAATGGGGTAAATCAGAGGATGGCTGGTTCGCTATCCTAAACGGCGAAATGATCTGTCGCGTCGACTGATGGCAGGCAGGATATACATGGATTTGATTATTATTATCAGAAGTATCGGGAAATGTGATGCAAAAAAGATGCAGCAGATAAATGACAAGGGTCCACAGACAAGAGAAATAGTAAGCGTAACAAAGTGACCGCAAGAACTAGGATGGATAAAAGATACAAACCACGTGGCTCGCGCCTGCACGAACTCTCAGTCTTGGTCGTCCCCATCGAGTTTGACGACCTCTAGATAACTTTCCGGTACGAGTGCATGCGAACCAGTGTCCTCTCTCACAACTACGGCCCATCCAACTCCACCACCCCGTCCGACGACACGGACGATTTGGTCTTCATCAAGCTTCATCTCCGCAGTTCCTTCTGGCTCGAAGGAATACAGTGCACGGTAAAGGCCAGGGTGTAACATGGGCTCTCCCTCCATCTCCTCATCATCGTCTTGGTTCTCAGGGAATTCATCTGGCTCTTCATACACCTCACTCTCATCATCATCCCCACTGCCATCGCCAAAGTTACGGGCAAAGTCCGTTCTCGAAGGAAAGTCCTCTGAAGAGGAGGAACCCGAGCCAAGGCCCCAACCAGACTGCAATTTCTGAAACCCCCACTTGAAGCCTCCCCAACCATTGTTGTCATTCTCATCCTCCCACTGCTCGTCTTCCTCTTCCGTCGACGACGTGGAAGTCAAAGAGGACGTCGACGAGGACGACCCGCGTAAACGGCGGGCAAGGACCTTGGGACGATTTGAACGGGGTACATTCGGTCCTCCACCTGAGAACCGCAGATCTGAAGGCGCAAACGCATAGTCGCGGATTTTAATAGGGACTTTAGTCTCGATGGGTGCTGACTCTGGTTCTTTGCCTTTATTCTCTGTTACTGCTGACATACCGAGGACATCTTTGGTACGACATCCACTGGGTGTGCGAGAGAGAACTGCGCTGGGTGAGAGTGCGCCAGATACGGGGCGTTGTGAGCGAGAATTGGCGTCTGAGACTGGGCGAGAGCGGGATTTTGAGGAAGTACGGGATAGACCTGATGCACGACGGGATATTGCTGGTGAGGGTGGTGCGGGACGGGAAGATGTAAGAGAAGTGACGGATTGGGTGCTGAGGCGGTGGCTGTGGTCTTCTGCATCGTGGGAGTCGAGTAGTCGATGAGGAGAAGGATCTAGAAAAGATGTATTCGGAGATTCTTTTGTTGGAGTTGATTCCTGAAAGGATAGTAGGTGGAAGAGAGAGCGAGGAACGTTCAGCATGGAAATGATAAAGCGTGGAAGGAAGGAGCGGAAGAAAGCCAGAGACGCTCGTTGGGGACTTACCGCGCCGTTTGGTGTGGCCTGACCGCTGTTGAGGCCATTGGCAGCGGTAGTAATGTCTTCAAAATCTTTCTTTGATTGTTTCCTATTACCTGGACGAGCGAATTCATGTGGTCCAGGTGTTGGAGGTGGTATAAACGAAGAACCTGGTGATGGAAATGGCGGTGAAGAACGTAGAGCAGGTTGATCTAAATTAATTATTTAGTGTTGTCGTCGTCGTTGTCTCTGTCTTCAATAACGACCTTGAAACACACCTTTTTGCATACTAGTCATCTGGACGGTCGTGGTTTAGTCGTGGCAGTATATAAGTACTCGTCAAACTTCGTTGGTCCTTTCCTTTCAGACAAAAGACCGGCTTTGTCTGAATGACTATATGCCTACTCGAAAGAAAGGCAAAAATACAAAAAGAAAGAAAGAAAGTCAAAATGACTTTTCGAAAGAGAACTCTCCAGGTCAGATGGATCACCGTTGCACCCATTCATTCGTTTCCTTGACAACCAGAAGTATCTTATTTGTCCATATTTACTATTACCGCCATCTACCACCACACCGACTCAAAGATGCCCGACGCTCAATTCCAGCAGCTCGCTTCAACTCGGTCGATACAGTGCCCCTACTAGGATCATTCTTCATATGAGGCGTAGGTGATCCGCTATCATTCCGACGATGAATCCGGAACTGCATCATCGCAGTGTTGGGAAGCGCCTGTGCTAAGAATGACACAGGCGAGAGCGACCTAGAGTGGTGCGGACACGGGAAAAACACGTCATGTTTCTTCTTAGGCCGTACAACCGCTTTCGACAGAACTTTGCTGGATTTCTCTTCGCCAGATAAGGATTCGGATAACCTAAACCCATCGCTGAGTCTTCCGAGCCCGTCGAATACCCCGCCTCCCCCTTTCTCTAGGCCTTCGAAACCGAGACCCACTAGTCCTGATCGACCACCAGAAAAGATGTTGGGAGTTCTGAGCGTAACGGAATCATCTGAGCTGCTACTGCTACTGAGTGGAGGGAGGGGTGGGGTAGTCGCAGGTGTGTTGTTCGGAACGGCGAGGAATGATGTAGACTCGCTATATGGAGGAGGAGGGAGGAAAACGTGGACGTCGGGTCTGGGCGCTTTTGGAATGCGTCTGTAGTGAGGTTTAGGAAGCAAAGGTATATGTGTCTTGGATGTGCGCAGGCGAGGTGTGGCTTTCGATCCTGGCATACGCGCTTTTCCAGCTGATAGGATGTCTTCTTCGATAAGAGGGGCGTTTGGTGGGGCCAAGAGGGTGCTCGAGGTAGAGCCAGAGCGGTTGTAGGCGTGCATGGTCGATGGGTAGTGAAACTGGGGTAAAAGGAGAATAGTGACGAAGGCTTTAAGTGCGGCGATAGAAGGTCGAGGGGAGAACATATGATACAGAATCCAGAAGATGTCGGGTTAATGACAGATGCCTAGGTCTTTTGTACTGCCGCAAATGCATGGCTGACGGGGTGGGCTGACCAGCCAAAAACGATGCAAGGCTGACGTAGTCGGACTTCAGACTCTAGGGGGCTGACCAGGAAGCGTGTTTAGATCACGTGAGCAAAATCAATCTCCAAAGTAAAACTGTTTCGATCGATTCAGAGAATTTCTGGCGCATTGTGTGCCCGTCATACACACTGACAGCGAATAAAACTCTGCAACTGGGTTATTATGCAGAACAAGCAGCTTGGTTTGAAACTCAAGACAGTTAGGTTACTTGTGCTCGTTACGAAATTCGACTCGAGGGGAATCCCGTCAAGCAGATATGCGAACTTATCGATCGCAAGCCGCTAGATATTGTGCGTTTTCTGTGTATCATATACATATTAGCCAGATGAGTAGCTTAGCTGTCTTCATGAAGTTTCAGTTGAAGCAAAAGGCAGTTGAGCTGACAAGCAGCCTCGCTCGTTGTATAACTCGCCCAACTGGTGATAGTAGAATCATACAATGAACGTGACAGTGCAAGCCCAAGAGCATTTCAACCTCCGGTTGAAACAACACTTGGAATGATCACTATCGCAGCAGTGCACAAGAGCCCCGCGATGCGACCTTATCATGATAAAAAATCAGGAGCCAGAAGTCCTCGACGAAAACCTTCGAGGCTAGCGTGTGCTGAGACAAAGAATAGACGGTCTGTACATGGTCGTGAAACCTGATTTTTTAGATATGAAAGAATCAGGGGACACAACGATACAGACACATAAAACACGCAAAAATCCAGGACAGTCAAGAGCAGCTTAGCTGTCCTTCACAGGTTTTCGAGTCCTAGCTCGGAGACACTGGGGAAGGACAGTTAAGCTGAGAAAAATGTACTGGGCAGCCAATGCTCATTATAGGACTCACCCGCGATCGGAACATAACATGACAGTGCGGGTGCAAGAGCATTTTCAGGCTCCGATCGAAATACTCGTTGATAATGAACCGTAAAATTTTCTAGTCGATTTGGCTAAAATGCCCGCCCCATCGAAAGCAACTGTCCTCTCTTCCTCAGACGCTGTCGCCCATCTAGCATCTTACCAATGCTTAGATGGCCTCTCCGTTAAGGATCTCATGGACTCCCGCATCCATGGCGGTCTCACTTATAACGACTTCCTCATGCTTCCCGGAAAGATCGACTTCCCTGCTTCTGATGTGATCACCGATATCAGAATCACCCGTAATGTCGTTCTCAAAACCCCATTCATGAGTAGTCCTATGGATACTGTCACCGAGACCGATATGGCCATCAGTCTTGCACTGCTGGGTGGTATTGGTGTTATTCATCATAACCAATCCCCTGAATCTCAAGCGGCTATGGTCCGAGCCGTGAAAAGGCATGAGAATGGTTTCATCGCGGATCCTGTCGTCTTCTCTCCAAATCACACGGTTGCAGATGTCCTTGACATTAAGGCACGTCTTGGGTTCTGTGGTATTCCTATCACAGGTGCGCTATGCGTTTCACCCGCGTCTCCTTGATGAACACCTTTACCAATAACCTTCGTTCTTCCGAGTAACGGGTGTCACCTGTGATCTGCGGATATCAATTCTATTTTGGCTATCTGATCTTTTATTTCACCTATTGTGCTCGTGTGACCAAAAAGCTCATCCCTATTCTTTAGAAACCGGACACTTGGGAGCTAAGCTTGTTGGTATCGTCACCTCACGTGACGTGCAATTTGAGTCGCCCGAGACACTCCTCGATGAGGTCATGACTACGTCTCTTGTCACCGCTCCCCAGGGTGTCACGCTTGCAGAGGCCAACCAGATCCTCCGATCCTCCAAGAAGGGTAAACTCCCAATCGTCGATGACCAAGGTCGTCTCACTTCTCTCCTCGCCCGTTCTGACCTCCTCAAAAACCAAAACTACCCACTTGCTAGCAAGAATCCCAACAGCAAGCAGTTATATGCTGCAGCTGCAGTCGGCACGCGACCTAGCGACAGAGAGCGCCTCAAGCTTCTCGTAGAAGCTGGTCTCGATATCGTCGTACTTGACTCATCACAGGGCAACTCCGTCTTCCAGATCGACATGATTCAGTGGATCAAGCAGACGTTCCCCAAGCTCGAGGTCATCGCAGGCAACGTCGTCACGCGTGAGCAAGCTGCCAACCTCATCGCCGCTGGGGCAGATGCTCTCCGTGTCGGCATGGGTAGCGGCTCCATTTGTATCACACAGGAGGTCATGGCTGTCGGTCGTCCACAGGCCACAGCTGTATTTGCTGTTGCCGAGTTTGCATCCAAGTTCGGTATCCCGGTGATAGCTGATGGTGGTATCAGCAATGTTGGGCACATTGTCAAGGCTCTTTCCCTTGGTGCGAGTGCTGTGATGATGGGAGGGCTTCTTGCAGGTACCACAGAAGCTCCGGGAGAGTACTTCTACCACGATGGGAAGCGTGTGAAGTCATACCGAGGCATGGGTAGTCTTGAGGCTATGGAGCAGGGTAGACCTGGCGCGTCTGATCAGGCCAATGGCAAGCCCGGTTCCACGAAGCACGTCCCACGCCTTCCGAGTAAGTCGCACGAGAACGCCGCCACGACGCGCTATTTCTCCGAGTCCTCCGCTGTTAAAGTCGCTCAAGGCGTGTCGGGTGACGTCCAGGACAAGGGCAGCGTCAAGGCGTTCGTTCCATATCTACACGTCGGTGTCCAGCACAGTCTTCAGGATATTGGCGTGCGCAGCGTTTCGGAGTTGCAGGAAGGCGTGAAGGAGGGTCGCGTGAGATTCGAGATAAGGACACCGAGTGCTCAGGTGGAGGGGGGTGTTCATGGGTTGCATTCGTGAGTGATGATGATGACGTTCCATTGCAATATGTCGCTGATTGTTTTTTTGCAGGTACACGAAGAGATTGTATGCATGATACGACGGTTTACGCTATTACCCCATATGACCTGTATTATACATGTAGGTCCCTGCATCGTGTGCATAAAACAAGGGAAAATTGTATGTACATCATTATTGATCAGAGGAAGCTCTGGTATGTTTTAGCGAATGGTTTTTCATGACTAATTGCAGTGCCTGCAAGATTAATGAATCTTCCCTGACGCTGGATCGCTTCGCGGTTCAACGACTACAGACTACATTCAGACCTTCAGTAATAAAGGAACGGACACATAGCTTGTCACTTAACCGGTATATATCCCGACAGCGATGACCATCGGTCCACCGATCAATCAATCTCCAATGACCACTATTGATGGCTGGCGAATGCAGGATCGAAATTTTTGATAACCCGCTCAGCATTGAAATTCACTGGCAAGTCTAGTCTTACTTGTCCGTCTACTATCGATGGCTTGCCACCCAAGTGGGGGCAGGGTGTTGGAGCCTAGTATCGTACTGTGTACAGTGGTTCGATTACCCGTGTCACACGTAGACGCTCTGATTGTGGACCATCGTGTGAACCAGGATCATTATAATTTGACAATCCATTCCTGGCACTGGCTTTGACAGGCGCAACTGTGACTTGGCCTCGGAGCATAAACCTGCCCATTTGGAACAGCCGCAGTAATCGAGGACCTTGAGACTCTCTTCCGATGGGCATTCGGCTAACCAAAACTTGCGCCCGCCACATGTTGTAGGCCAGACCCTAATAACTGGTGTCTTCTGACGGTTCGATCAAGCTGTGTATCCAATGCGCCACCCTTTCAGAACAAAGGCGTCGTCATCTCTATATAGTAAGCAAGGCGTCTACAAGTACAGCATGAGAAATTGAATATTTAGCAGGCCTCTCTACCGCCATCATCAAAGCATCTCCCCATCGACTCTCCCATCGTCTAGCGATCCTTTGCACTGACTCAGTCGTGAATCACAGTCCACCTGTACGGCAAAGCACGGCCGTTCTTAGTTGACGTCATGCTGCACGAGGATGTCGCATCAGGAAACCGAAGAGAGGTGGAACTAGCAGCGCTATTAGACTCGCCAGCAACTGTCACTCCTCGTAAGAATACAAAGGATCTTCCGCCTTATAGTGCGCAGCACCGCCAGGATGCACTTTGGAAAGGCGAGCAGTAGTCGTATTCTAATACCCACTGACCAACTCAATGAGAATCAGGCGGGACGAAGCGCTCCCCCCTATGTGGCAACAATTTCAGGTGCTAGACCATAAAACACTATATCAAGACAACAACCTGATCATGGGTTCATGGAACCGACCTTTACCAGGAGTACGATTAGGTAAGCGAAGAAAGTGCGATTAAAAGCGAGAAACTCATCGTCGAGCACAGATCATCCTGGAGATCTTGTCCCCGGATGTGAATGGCACATCTCACCATCCGGCCGGTCCTACTTCGTCAACCACAATACTCGGACTACGTCGTGGAGGAAACCCGTGCCAGATCGCCAAGCAGGGAGCTTGACGCCGGAGCACGTCATCGAGGGGCATTCTAAGTGTATATGGGACATTGCCTGCTTGGGCAGTAGCTGCGACATAATGAGCTCTTCGTCCGACGGTTCGATTCAACGATGGAGAAGAAACGGAGAGCCGATAGGAAAGCCTTGGGTCAGCGACGGAGGAGTGGTAGGCTCCATAGGAGTATCTCCAGATGAAACCATGGTCGTCAGTGGAAGTGCAGACGGCAGAGTACGGTTGTGGAACATGAGGGAGGGGAAAATGGTAGGAAACCCGTGGAAGGGGCATAATGATGCAGTAATATGTCTTAATTGGTCTCCCGACGCCTTGGAGATAGTAACTGGATCGTACGATGGTACCATACGACGATGGAACCCAGATACCGGACGACAAATCGCACCACTGATAGAGACAAGTCATGGTTGGGTATGTGCTGTCAAATATTCTCCACAGGGCGACAAATTTGCCAGTGGTGGGGCAGACAAGATAATCCGCTTGTGGTCAAAGAAAGGCGAGCTACTTGTCGAGATCAAGGGACATGGGAATACAGTGTCGTCGTTGTGTTGGTCCAAGGACGGCACGCGCATCTTTTCCGCGTCATCAGATTGCACCGTCCGAACGTGGCAGTCATCTGATGGGAAGGAGCTTATTGTCCTTCAAGGTCATACGAAGGCCGTCACATCTCTCTGTCTTTCCCCTGATGAATCTCATCTTCTCAGTGCTTCAAGGGACTGCTCAGTTCGCATCTGGGACCTCAAAACCAATCAGCTAGTTGGAGACCCACTTTTGCATGACGGCGAACTCTTGGCTCTTGCCATGTCCACTGATGGAAATTATGTTGTTGGCGCTCAATTGTATGCAAAGGTCTGTGTATGGAACCTAGAGGCAGCACTCAAGCAGCAGGGCGATGATCAAATTGGTGTGCGTATGTATGGTCCTGTTATTGGCGTCTTCATTGACCAGGCTTTGGATTTCATTCAGAGTCCACAGGATGGCAATGCAGACGCGAAGCCCAAGGCGAGTCACATCTGCATCTCTCTTGCATTGCATCTCACTTCGTTACTAGAGGCGTGCAGCTCCAATTAGAGATGTGCGCTAATCCGTTGCGAACACGACCCTTTTCTTATCTATCATCTTGTCAGCCTAACTTTGATGTCGTACCTAAGCGGCAGGCCAACAACAGAGGCATGGCAAGATATGTCAGCATAATTACATCTCTCCTGAGCATCTACTAGGCTGACACCAATCCAGGGCAATGACTTCTTTGACAACGTCACAGACCACACGCCTCGTCGCCCAGCTCCGCCCACAGGCCCGTCGTCTTCCCTTTCGAGTCGGTGGCGCAACTTGTTCGGGTTCTTGCGCTTCAATACTCAACCTGCAGATCTGGTTTCCCAACCAATACCACTTCAGCCCCGGCGTTGGTATCTGGCCCGTGATGACGTGAGTCGCTCATCGTTGCCGATGTTTATCCTGATATCATGTGCAGAAACCAACACAAACTACTCGGGGGAAAATTCTGCTGCCAGCACGGAAGAGGCATCATGTATGATAGGATGCTGCGGATTTTATCTTGTTCGTCGTCGGTCCACATCGCACTAGTCATTAGGCGCCCCGTGAAGCCGCCTCCAGTCCATCTCCCTTTCACTTCTATACGTGCTCAAACAATGACGGATACGTATGTAGCTTGCCTTGACATTCACAACGTCCTTGCAGTAACATTTCTATCTTTACCACATCAGTTGTTACAATCGTCTGTAGATTGTAAATGTGTACGACTTATGATTGCAGGTTATGGATGCAGAATTATGGCAGAGCAAGTGACGGAACACGAGGGTATGTCCCAATCACACTGGTGCACCAAAGACAAGATAATTCGTAGTCTACAATGATCCAAATAACGTTGTAAGTAAGAGTGATTTCAAAATCCATGTCAAAAAAGTGCATGAACCGGTGACAATGCATGACCACATAAGGAAGTCGCCGTAGTCTCCTCCCTTGATGCGTAACTGAGCAGAATTAGTTTGGTCGGTCCACTTAGTGCTACTTCGTCGACGTTTGACTGGCATGAATTAGTCAACACAAGCGAACGCGGTAACTCATCGATCTGCGAGCTATGGCTATGTTACATCTATCTGTATCGTCCGTCATGTGTCATGACCCCGCGCAGCGCATCTGAGTAGAGGACATACACACTATTATATCGGTGTGGTGCTACGTAGTCTTGATCAACATTGACTGGAGGTAGTCACCAATGCGAACAGGCTATGGCATTATTCTTCAAACTAGTCGTTTGCGGGGGATATTGACTGGCAGTGCTTGTGTGTAATTCTTCCGTTCGTTCGTAGAGTGGGCAGCGGCTAAAAAAAATAGTCATGATTCTCGTTGATTGTGGTTTTTAATTGGACGATAGTGCATATCAAAAACGAACAACAGCGATAATCGGAGTCTCGGGCAGACGAATCATAGTGAGAGTCAATCTGCATCAGATTAATCGATGGTCCACCAAACCTGCGCTATATTGGTCGACAAGATATAAGGGAAGTGCTCACTCGCTGGATAAGAAGTCACGACGGGCGAGGGCCCGTAGTGATGCTGAAGATCTGCAGATCTGACTCTGCTGTCCCAATTCACAGTTGGTTCCATGCACTGAAGGGTAAAACAAGATCGCGATTATGCTCGATGGAGAAGAGAATCACGGCGGACGATGGTGAACGACGCCGACGCCTGTCAGATGCGTGATGGCCTAATGCAGTCTGATGGAATCTGGAGAGGTCTAGACCATGTCACAGCTGGTATTGGGTGTCGAACAACAGAACTACATCTTGATTGTGCTCGATGGAGTAAGAATCAAGGTGAACGAAGGTGGGCGACGTCGAAAAAAGTCGATGATCAATAGTTGACCATGATGATGGTTGACTTTCAAACCGTGACTGGCTCGGCGGAGTCGGCGCTCGACCATTTGTGGCTCACTTTTTCCATCGACATTCTAAGCATTGACTGTGGTGTTGAAATGCATGAACAATAGTATTATTCTAGCTTAAAAGCGAGCTTCCGAGTCTGCAGTTTCTTATCATTTCAGTTCACTTTTCTTTCCTACTAGTAGCCGGGGCTCCCTATCATGGCCAATGCTAGTACTGCTGATGCCACTGCACTAAAGACGCCTCCCCATGGCGTGAATTCTGGGTCTGAGCTCAAATTTACCCCGCTTGCAGTTGGCTCTGCCTCCGTCAGTGAACATATCAGTACTGTAGGCGTCAAGTACGTCTAAATTTCTTTTTGCTGCGGCTACTACCATGGATTCATATTGAACTCCGTCGCCCACGCAGCGTCAATGTACCTTCGTCCATGGATTGGGCGCGACGTCGAGAACTATAGGGAATGCCCCGTCGACGAAATGTTGCAGGAGCTGCTTTACCACTAGGGTACGGACGACACTGTGGATAGTAGTTCCAGTGAAATTCAGTGGATGAAATCATATGATAATGGTCTGAAACTCAGAGCATTAGGTGCTGAAATCAGGGTGCTGAAATTGCTGTTTTTTACTCTGAAATTTACTCTGAATGATGCACTGAATTCATGCTAGAATGACAATGGGGCAAAACTATTGAACCAGACTACATAGACACCTTAGGACAACCCACCTGTGACATAGGATAATTTGCAGTTGTCAGGGATTGAACAAAAGACCTCATGCAATTGTACCCAGTGTTCTTACCACTAAGCCACAAGCCCTTTGGTATGTGCAGACAATTACACCAATATATACAAGAGGCTTGCAGCTGGGTGGCTGAGGCATTGATGTCTGATAACAGCCACACAGTAGATCAATCTCCTGAACTACATGCTAGTAGAATTGGAGTGTACTTATTTAAATACATACTCATTGGTGCTGAATTCTGATTCAGTAGATTTTTCCACTGAAATTCAGAATCAGCGCTCCAATGAAATTAACTGCATGCAATTTCAGTGGATGTTACTCTGAAATATTCAGCATCAGAGCATTTTCCAGTGATTTTCATTAGAACCACTATCCACAGTGATGATAAGTCAACCCACTGTTATTAACCTGTGTTAAAAAGCAAGCGGTTGCATAGGGTTATTTACTGGAGGTTTAATTTTATTTACACAAGGCTAATGGGTCGTGTGACAAACTAGCATCATTGCAGGTGACATGGACTGTTTGAGCCCTGCTCAAATGTTTTTCCACTCTTAGTGGGCATGTTTGGCATCTGGCCTTTTTTGCCATGGTCAGTGCACCTTTCATGTAGTCCTTGAGGCCTCTGAGGATTAGACTGATCCTTATTTTCAGTCTCTGGCCTCCTAAGGTGGAGCTGTGCTCACTTAGTGGGCGATGCTGCGTTGGATTAGAGTTTGCCCTCTTTCTAACTTTCCTGTTGCCTCAATAGCTAGTTTTTGAGCAATTATATAACTTCATTATCATCAGAATACTCTTCATGTCTGATAATGGAGAAACCACATCAGCAAACTAGGGGGCACCTGTACAATAGTGTACAAGATTGTACAGTATTGTACAAGCATTACAATTACACAAGGAAGTCCCCCCTTTACAATACTGTCACATACCCCTACAATCTGTACATCTTGCTACAATGCAGACAAACTGCACACATGATACAGACCATACAAAGGATACATTTAATTCCAGTTTCACACAGTAAACATGATCCAAACTGTGGTAATGATTGTCTAATGAAAAAAAACATGGCATATTGATCAGAGCACTACTAAAGTATGATATTAATGTCCTCCGCATTGCTCACACTCCCATCTGCATACTCATTGAAATCCCCCATGCCAATCCTAGCCCATTGCTCCAACATGTCTTCAAGCTCTTCATGATGCTCTGGAACATCAAGTAGGGTGTCAATCGATTTCCATAAGTTGACGAAGTGGGCCCTACATTGCTCAGCAGTTAATTCAGGAACCTTGTTGGTGCCAGTCTCATGAAAGCCAGAGATAATGCCCTTCAACTGTCAAACTATCAGTGATGAAAAAATAAAGAATTATAAGCATACCACCACTGCTACAAGAAGCATTGCATTAATGGGGATTGTTTGGTGGAATTCATCCATGTTCTTTAATGCTTTCTTACTGTTGCTGTAGTAGAATTCGAGACAAGCATCCTTGAGAGCCTGCACCATGAAGTTCTTGAAATTTCCCTGCAAAAATTAATTTTAAATGATGCTATGACTAGGAATCACAACCTACACCAGATGAGTCAGGGAGCTGGAGGTAGTCACTACTCTTGAGGAGCCTAGTGGAGGCTGCAGTGACCTGCCTTTGACATTCCTCCTTTCACACTGTGGAGCCCTGCAGGAAGATATTGTATGCCCTTTTGGCAATAGAGACAACAATTTTCTTGAGTTCTGTGTGAAATGTAAAGAGATCATTGCAAAGCTCATGGACATGGTATCAGTGAGCACATGAGCCATCAATAAACAAAGAATGTACCAGCTGGCATATCTGTGTGCTGTACTCCGGAAAGTAGCCTTGCAAATGGTGAAAAGGGTAGATGGTGGAGTAGGGAGAACATACCTCTCTCGAGTTTAATCTTCTTCTCATGGTATGTCCATAGCACAGTGTCCAAGACTTCTCTTGCAAGGTTAAGGGCTTCCTGGGATTCTGGAACTGGAGTAGCTAGAACAGCCTGCAACTGCATCTCTAACTTGGCCATCTGCAGGAATGTTTGCCAAGTGGGCAGATAAAATCCTAGCTTTGAGGGATCCTCTTGGTTTGTCTTGACCTTTCATTTGCTGTTGCCAGATTGATGAGCATCTTCAGGTGTAGAGGTACAAGAACGTTCACGGCTTGAAGGTAGAATAGGGTCAGATGGAGAATGTGGTGGAGAGCTCCTATGAGATGTGGGCTGTATATGACTGCGACTTGAGGAAGTGATTGGTGGAGATGGGTGCTGAAGAGGAGACTGTGTACATGAGGATGAAGTGCATACATATCTGTCTTGCTGAGATGATTGTTGATGTGGAGACTTTGAATGAGAGGGACATGAGTGAAGTGTAGGTGAGCATCTATGAACCACTTGAACAGTAGAAGCTCCTCCAGGCAGCTTAAAAGTGTGTGCCTGTTCCTTTCCCTTCCCCTTCAACAGATAGGTTAGTGAAGGAGCTTTTTGCTGCCCGTTCTTTGCATGGTGGTGCTTGAGAACATCATAAGCCTTGAGTACAAATAATTAATGCAAGAATAGAGAAGAAAAAATGTAGATACTTCATCCTGCTCTGGGTCTGTGAGCTTGTCATTCGAGGCTACTGGTTCAACACCTCCTTGAGCTTCATTGTCAGGACAAGGTTGATCCATATTTTTGTCGAAATCCATTCCATTGTCTGCATCATCTGTTTGCTAGTGTGTGTGCTGACCAGCATATCTGTCCCTGCAATGAGAACATAATATCAGGAATAACACAATTGATAGACCAAAGAACACTTACATTGGCATGTTACTGTCAGGATCATCATCACAGTCAGCATTGTCATCAGAAGTATCACCTTCATGAGAGCTTGGCACAAACTCCCTGTAATCCTCTGTATTCTGCCTCTCCTTCTCGCAAACACTATCACGTTCTGTAGACTCCCTCTCATGACCTGCATCTCACTGACCCACATTCCTTCCAGCTGTTTTGTGACCATTAGACCGAGGTTCCTTGAATCCAAACCTTTCAGAAGAGTGAGCCACATATTGATTTGGATGGGAAGTGGGAGCCTGAGAATGCTAGCTATTTTCTGTCATTCTGTGTTCATTCAGGGTTTTCTTAGCAGTGCTGCAAGGTTTTGCAGGAGGCTGAAAAAATTAGCTTGAACATAATTTTAAAAGATTCACATTACATTTTTTTTCTTTCCTTTCTGAAGCTGTGAAGGAGCCATAGGATTCTCTTCTGAGCTGCTGATTTGAAGGTCATTGCCCTTCAGTCCCTTCCTTGTTGGGGCAGCAACTGTTTCTCCAACTCTTTGCAGCTGTGCTGCATGACCACCAACACCACAGTTAGGTCTTGAGCTTTGGTGAGCAGGTGCCTCTAGATCTGGAGAAGAACATCTGGGCTTCTTCCTTGGAGGCATGGTACCAGATGACCTGAATATGTATGAAGGTAGCTCTAAGTTATACCAATGAACATGACATAATCCATGTTACATAATCATAATTGCATCTGAGTACATACTAAAGGTAGCATGAAAGAAAGATAAACACATAGGAAGATGTAGAAGTGAGGTCAGATGAAGGATATTCTAAGAAGAGGCATCAGAATTGTGTGAGCTCATGCCAGTATCATTAGGTCCGGCATGTGCTGAGGCATAATGAACAATGTAGGGAAGGCCCTGCTGTGGGTTGAATGATGGGGGGAGCCCCAGTATGATGAGTACTTGGGGCACTTGGAGGAGCCACTGGAAGGGGTGGAGAGGGCAATGGGCTTGGTTCTTCATTGTTGAGTTTCGTAATGAATTTGGCGAGCATTTGAAAAATGTGCTCATGAATGATGGCCCCTTCGAGATTGGACTCCATGTGATGAATTTGAGTGCACCATTTGTTGATAATGGGCTTGAATTCTGTGAAGTACTCTGATACCCTGTCCATTAGAATATCATCTTCAGACATGGCTCCCTTCTTCACCAAAAAGGTGGCAAGCAAACCACTTGTAGTGCCCAAATTTTCATAGGCATCTGCCCATGGCATAGTTGTCTTATCCCAAGTTGGAGCAAGTGTACCATGTGCCCTGCTGTACTTGGAAATGAATTTGAAAAAAATGTAAAAAGGGACTTGAGGTTGTCACTGGAGTTGTGCTCAACCAGTTCCAGCTGAGTGATGCTGTTGGTGTTACTATTGCTCTTTTTTGTGTCGATGGTCGTCTTTGACTTCTTGATGATGTCAGCATTCTTGGACATTTTTTTCAAGATGTGCATAGAAATATATGGTACAGTTCCCTGAAATGTTGAGTTCAGCAATCAACAGCAAGAACAATGAACTTCATGTTCAAACTTACAGTACCAAATGAAACTGTGAATGTCTCGCCCTCCTTTATGATTGATGTGTGATCAAAATCAATGAAATAACTGATGCCTTCAGAAATTACAAAGTTGCTTGGGCTAAGGTCTCCATGTAGAATTCTTTGTTAGATCATTGCCTCATGAGCTATAGATAAAATGTGAGATGATACAACAAACCAAGCACATGAAACTGAACTCACCAACCATGAAGTCATGAAAGGTGCAAATCAGCTCCTTTCTGGAGCTGAAATCCCATAATGGATCTCTGCATGGGATCAAGAGAAGGTGCCAGTGATACCTGTTACAGAACCTCTTGTCCAGCCTGTCGCCAAGCAGGGCACCATATCCATCCCAAATGCAGGCCGTGCAGTCAGGCTCCCCATTGAATTGGACATCCCAATGGTCTATGAGTTGGACCACATTAGGGATGCCCTTGACCCTCTCAAGGACATCCACTTCATGGTATCTCTTCACCTCGGTGACCCAACAATCTTTCATCGCATACTCCTTCCCATCTACAGGATCCTGAACATGGTAGCAAGCCATTCCACAACAAAATAGACCCTGGCCCTTCAACAGAACAGCCATAATTGAGTACCTGTTATTAGAATTGTTAGTTACCCAACTGATCACCCCCACTGCTAGGTTGGTGTGAGTACCCTTGCAAGAAGGGATGCACATATGGATTGTGGGGTCGAGACCCAAGAGACTTAGATCTCCTAATGAGAGAGCAGCTATTGCATCAGCAACACAAGAGGGTGAGGATTGGATGGGAGTTGGAAGAGTTATGATGAGGCCTGAGTGGTCACAATAATGGGCACAAAGCTGTTCTGCACAGATAGAGAATGAGAGGACGAAGTGATGCCAGGGCTGTTCTTGCATGATGAGATATGATTTAGTGGCAGACCCCCAGTACACTCCTAAGTCACACCTCTTGCTGAAGTCAGAGGTTGTATGCTCAACAAAGCTCAGGACATCTATCCATGTTTTCTCATAAGCTTTACTCTTGTAATAGAATAAAGCAATGTCAGGCTTTTGTGCAATGTAAGGGTCTGGTATTGGTGAGTTAGCAAACTCTGCAGACCAGTATCATTCCATGTTTGATATTTGGAAGGGAAGTTTGACTTGAATTTTTGAATTATGGTGCAGGGCGTACTGAACAGCTTTGAAGAGGCACTGCAAGTCTTTCTTGGTTGATGAAGGCTTACGTCCCCTCTTTGATCCTGGTTCTGCAGTGCCATCATATTCATCACAACTCCAGGTGCCGTCCGTGTCCTGGGAGATTATCCCTGAACATTCAGAATCCAAGGCCTCAGCATCTGTGTCAACAATATCTGTGCTGGTACCAGATTCATCATCTGAGTCGCCTGACCCAGAGTCATTGTTCTGATTGGTGAGTTTAGGCCTTTTTTTGCAACTGAAGTTCCACACACCCTGAAGATATACTGGTGGTCCATTAGTTCAACCATAATATTTGATCTGTTCAATATGTCTGGTCTTCAATGAAGATTCAGGAACAAGTTGGTGGAAAAGGCTAGCATTGTCCTTGATGTTCAGGTCAGCCTCAAAGATGACATGGCCTTTGAGCTCTGATCTAAGTAAGTCTTTGATGAGATTGTAGGTGTGACCACCCTTGGGTGGGAAGCCTGTCGAGCTGAGTGAAGGGCCACAGAGATAAAGGTCAAATGATGTGGTGGGGTGTGACATTGGAGCAAGCAAGCGGGTTAAATGAGTGTCTTGCTTTGGATTTGTCCAAGTTAATGCTACTACTACTAGTATGGAGTGATGAATACTGCAGACCAGTGCATTCTACAATGACAACTCACCTGTCTGTCTGAATAGTTATTAAGCAAGCACTCCCTCTACTAGTGGACAAGGTGCAAGCAATGCTGGCAATGTGTGGGCATTGGTTCCTCACCAATCACACTTCGGGGTTTCTCAGCACTGGTACATGTCAACTATGATATCACTAAGAAACAAAATGAGCAAATAGTAACTATCCTTGTGATGCATAGTACAGGCTATCATAAATTTGCTTATCAAAGTACTTATTCAAATAGAATGAGGAATGATAATGTGCAGAAGTAGACTTAGTCAACCTAGGATCTGCTGCAGCACCCAGTTTCGGGATGATGCTGATGAATGCTTGAATTTATGTTAGAGGAACAATATCTCCCACCAGAGTACCATTGACATGTTTTGTGCGTGTCAATGTATGCATTTCAGTGACAGGATCAACCACACCAATCTTGAAGCTGTGCACATAACAAAGATATTGATCACACCATGTAATATATGAGCCTCATCAAGGTATTGGGTGCATGATAAGTTGCTATTCACAGACAGCATGACCTTCAAAAGAGGGGAAAGGTGTCAGTGGCAATCAAAACGTATACAATTACTAAAGAGCTCACCCATTAACCCTGACTCAGGCCAATCATGCATGCTATTGATGTTGAAAATGGCAACATCTTGTCAACCTTTTGGCCACCCAGGGCATGCAGGAGATGCATGCATGGTTTGTGCAGGTAAAACAATACTTGGATCGTGAAGACAAGCTTGCTGCAAGCAAACAGGATGCCATACTTGAATGCATTTGAAAGGAATATTCAAAGGGTGGTCGATCAGCAATCTTTTTGGAACCCCCACTCCAAAAACTCCATCTCCATTCCTTGCATCACATTGAAAGAAGTCTGAGAGAGTGTGCCACAGATCCAGGATGTTAAATTGATCAGCAACCTCATCAATTTTCAAGCCAGTGTAGGTGGGGTTACAATTAAGATGAACAGCAGTGCTGCCAGCAAGGAACATATGAGGAGGGTGAGCCTGAGGAATTCCATGCCTTATAGCAGCCAACATTCTTATTTTGCTGAAGTAGTTGGAAGTGGTATGCATGTGATTCAGTTCCTCTAAGAGTGCAGTTTGCAGATCCATCGGTTCATCATTCTTCCCATTTTCTTCCTCATCCTTGTCCTTGTCCTCATCTCCTTCATCCTCACAGAGTTCTTTGAGATTGGGATCTGTGGGAGAGCTCTTGAGAGATGTAGCAACTGCAAAATGATGCAGTTTCTCTTCTTGATCTAAGTGACAACAGATCTGGGGATTGTAATCGTTGTTGTTAGTACATCACGCTGGGTCCTTGATTTCAGAGACATGCACATGTTCAGTTGCATCTGCAGACCACTGGATGAGGGCACCAACTTGGCATGTGCTAGTGGTAATGCTCTGCATGAGCTCTAGCTTGGGTATGTGCCAATTGTCAATCACTCTCTTTGCACCCATCCAAGCACCTAGTGTCATGATAACTTCTTTATTATCATGAAATAGTGTGAGTGATCTGTCAATAGATGTGAGTAAGTTGTCATCAGGTTCGGGAGACTGTGCCAAATATCAGACATCCATTAAAGCATGAATTGTGATCATGAATCGACAGGGGGCTGCACCAGTGATCAGTCCAACAATGTAGTGCTGTATATCACAATGGACTCTGCCTGTGACCTGCTTCAGTTTGGATATTCTGTTGGGGAAGTGGTGATAACCTGTGATAGGTTGTAATATTGAGAATTGGAAATCAAATTCCGGCACTCCAAGAACTGCAAGACACCATTGCATGTCATGGTTGTAAAACTGTTTATGCCAGTGATGCAAAGCTTCTGGTGTAAGAAATATTGCAGGATCACTCAACAGCCAGCCCTTCCAGAAAGGTGCAAAGACACCATTTAGCTGAAATTCTGCACATGCAGCAAAAAAGCCTTCCAGGTTATTGGGATCAACATCAATGCTGGCAAGTTGCTCGAGAGTAATTTCATGTGTACGTGCAGGGTGATAAAAGTTGTCCCCAAACTACAGATATAATGCCAGTGTAAATGGAGAAGTTTTACCATGCACACATGTGAGCATACATGCCTCAGGGGTATCGACAATGTATGCTGCAAGGGGGGTAAAACAATGGTGGATGTTTCCTACTGGGTCAGACATCATGATTCCAAGTTCAGCAGCTTTCATCAGGGGTTGTAGAATGATTGAAAGACATTCATGGATGAGGTGATCTTTGAGCATACCCTGCATTCATTGATTGGGGTGTAAGTATTGTGGGATGGGAAGGAGAGCCATGAGCATAAACACCTTGGACAAGAGCTTTGTGCAAGTGCGCATATGAATATTAGCAAGGCCTAGCAAAAGTGGGTGTGCGACCCTAGCACCTGTCATCGTCATAATATTGGTTTTGTCAGATGAAAGCACAGTGCCAAGGACTGTTGCACCTTGGGGCAGTTGAACCTACAGTTTTGTGAGATAAGGCACATTGTGAGTTCATCGTAACATGTACCTGGATGCTCCAAACAGTGTCACCTGTCAACCATTCTGAATATACATGCAGGAGCTGTGCTGCAGTCTTGTAAACATGATGAGGGACAAAGTCAAGTTGGTCATGAAAGAGGGGGTTACTGAAGAGACTCTCCAAACACTCAACCAGATCCCTCCAGAATAGTCGAATTGGACTTTTTGTGCCATGAAGTGAGGGAATGACTTGGCATTTCCAGCTTGGTCCCTTTGGCAGCATTTCAGCCTGACCTTGCAAATCTTTAGCATTGTTAAAGGACAATTTCAATCATTTTATCTGCAAGGTAATGTCACAATCAAAATGTGAAAGGAAAAAAAAAAGGATATGTACCATGGAGAGCGGCAAAAATTTGTCAATTGCTGCCATGCTAAGGGCAGAACACAGGAGAAAGTCAGCGACCTCCCACTCTTCCCTCAATGCAAATGGGTAAAACAGGTTCTCCTTCCTGTATTCTGCATGCTCATTGGCATCAAAAAGATCCAGAAATGTGAGACCATCCTGAGAATAGCACTTAGCTGCACCCTCATACCATTCCTCATTACTTGGAGGTAGGTCTCCCACTGTATCAAGAAATTCTCCATCTAAGTTGGTATCCATGGCATCCAGAGTATTGAATTGCAAGTCATCACTGACATTAAGACTCTGACCCATACTAGTTTGAGGTGGATCAAGGGATTGTTGTGGTGGAGCTATGTCTGCAAACTCCAAGATGTCTGAGGCTGGCTTAGATGGCGAGTGATGCTGGAGTCCCTGGTGAATACTTTTCTGCACTTTTGGACATGTAGGTATTGACATATTGATTGATATGCACAAGTTCCCATGCTGCTTTTGCAAAATCTTCTACATAAGTCTAGCTGTATGATCATAATATTATATATTGCTACTACCTATGCATCCATATGTTCCCTGATACTAAAAATATTTCTTGCACCTCTCCCCAAAACACCTATTCTCCTTCCTCTCACCATTCCTGCTATTCTTCTTCTGACTCCCACGATTATGATGCCTCTTCAACTCAAGGCATGTCACCCTGGGGTGATTCCAGGTATCCACGCCTTTCACATTCTCCATCATGATTGTACCCTGTTAAGGAGGAGGCAGAAGAAGAAGAGAACTTACCTGTACTAGCAATGCATTTTGTGAGTTGCAATACTAATGTGTTGCTTTGTTACTCATATCTGCTATCTGCAGGAACGAGACTCAGCTGAGCCCTACTACTTGTTCAATCAACTGGAAGAAGATAACTCTGACCTTGCACTCAAGGCAGCCCAGGTCAAACACAAAGTGTGTCAATGTCATATGCCATTCTGGACCCTCAACTCTAAATCTGCTTCTCTGGACATCTGGATCTGAGATCTGGATCTCCAATGATCTGATCTATCTTTATCTTCCTTCTGGAATCCAAACTCTATATCAGCACCCAACCCCATTTAGACTTCCCCTGTCTCCAGACTCCAGTTAACTATGTTTCCCTTTTGATTATTGATTCATTACATACATTTCATTTCCAATATGCATTATTTGTGATCCATCCTACTTACTAATAGACTTTGCATATACTTCATACATAGCCTTTGTGTTTGCTGACTGATTCCTATATGATACCTACAGTATATAGACCTCCTGGAACTCTCGGAAATACTTCAGTTTGAATATCATCTTAGTTCCTGCTCATTCCTGTGTCCTCCAGACTTGAGCCAAGTCTCTTGTCATACTCCAAGTCTTAGGATTGCATCCTAGACTACATCTCTGACTCTACCTTAGGGTAGTCTATCTCCTGTTAATTTCTAGTCCAGACATCTGTTGGATTTATCTCACATTTCAGATCTGGACGTCCATTATCTGCCCTAGTCAAATCCCAGAAACTCTGGACAACTATTCTAGCCCCCAGAAATTAAGGGCACATACTTGAGAAAGGGGCACAGCATATGAGCTGAGGCCAAGCCCTTGTGATCCAACCCCCTTGAGCACGCAACCTTAACAGTCAAGCTCAAAAGCACCTGGCTGACTGCCTTTTGGAACAACACCAAGTACTCACCCATATCTGCCGCCACTGGGCAGAAGCTGTGAACATGCATCTATTATTGGCCGACCTCAATGTCAGACACATGCACTCAGAGCACCGGAGGAAAAATGGCATCACAATGTATGCTACTCTTCAAGTGTGACATGAGCAGTGAGTGCATTTTTCTTTCATAGTTACTACTACTGTTCTCAATTAATAATCTATTAGACCATGCAGTATACTAGTAAATAGTCAGTTCTCTCACTGCACATATATGTATATAAAATCACTGCTAGTAGTATATACTGGTATTATATCCTTTTTGCATGTTACAGTGTGTAACAGTTTGTGTCGTTTGTACACTTGTGTGCTATTTGTCTGCTTGTGCTACTGTGCACTTGTGGCAGACTTGTAGTCATTTGTTTGTGTTGTCTGTGAGACTTGTGAGGACATGTGATACCTTGTGTGAAGTTGTCGAAAGTGTGCGAATTGTCATGAAATCAATAGTTTGCTGATGCACCCAAACTGTTACTTTGGCTGAGCCTTCCTAACCAAGCACTGAATGAGCAACTGACCTCTCCTGCATCAAATGGTGCTCTGAACTCATTCACCAGTACTGTATTGGACAAAACAAGAAAGGAAGCACTGTCCTCAGCCTCTGTGAAGCCCTCATTGATTCACTCGCTATCAGGGGTGGAAGAAACCTTGACAATGCCCTTGAAGTCTTCATTGGCATGCTTGACAAAATCGACATGTCAAATTGAGTTGCCTCAGAATGTGGGCATGCTGCAGAGGGAAGGGTTCAAGAAGAGGAAGCTGAGCGAGAGAATAGGGGGCCAGCTGATGTTGAAGAAAGCAAGAGTGGAAGCAAGCGTTCAAGGGAAGGATCCTTGTCCAAAGATGATACACCTTCCACCAAACGTTCAAAAGTCATCAACACAACCAAGTTTCCCTGGTCACAAAGGCAATCAGCAGCACTTGCCTCTCTTCCTGCAGATATCTGAGAAACATACCATCAACTTGAAAACTTTGCTGCAGATCCCAAAGGCATTGTCACTGACATCCTGTCCACACCAGGGTGCCCCCCATTTCCACCCAGTGAATGGCTTAATATTGTGCAGTGGAAATATGTCAACCTCGGGAAAGTCCTTGACTCTGTGCACACCACTGAACTTGACCCTAAGAAGACACATGTCATTGATGATGAAATTGAACTTGCACTCTGGGTCTCCAAGTCCTCAGGAGGAATTAAGACCTCATCAGATCACAATATCGCGTTCTCCATGTATATTGAGGCCATTGCCTTTGTCTTCCCACAGTGGTGAGACGAATTTGTTCAATATCATACCTACCTCAGTCACCTCTTCCATGCCATGGAAATCTGACTTCATTCATGGGTCATCGAGTTCAATTGTTCAATCCAAAACCAAGTTGCCATGCAATGAAATCTTTGCCTCACTGATCATTCCCAGTTCAAACACCTTTGAACAACATTCCTCACCTCTTTTGGCATTGGTTCCAATTCTGCCTCATCCTCAGCTGGGTCAGAAGGTAGATCAAATAGGCAAGAGGGAAATAGAGGAAGGGATGATCCCTGTCACAAATGGAATAGAGGTACCTGCTCCAAACCAGATGGTGAGTGTCATTTCACTCACTGCTGCAACTAAAGGGGATGTCAGGGTGCTCACTGAAAATCTGAGTGCCCAAACAAAGGAGTTGCTAAATGAGGGTATCATGCATGGTCAAAGGTTTCGACATAAGGGAGTTTGGGGACTGGGAGTGTCCTTTTACAGCAGGACTGCCCTATGGACTGAAACTGTGGCACCCATGTCTCAACCACCTGTTTGCAAATTCTCAAACCTTGATGCCATGAATACTATTCAGACTCATCCCTCCTTATTCAAGGTTTCTACACCTATTAAAGTTGACATCTTTGAGGCATTATCAGCTGATCACCCCAATCCTTCCTTTGTTCACTCAGTCTGTGATGGACTGTGCGAGAGGTTTTGGCCCTTTGCAGATACCCATCCTAATGAGTGGCCTCTTGTCTTTGATAATTTGGATTGGCCTCCAAAGACTGATGCCAAAAAGGAGTTTCTATGCACTCAGATTGAGAAAGAAGTTGACATTGGGCATTATTCTCAAGCTTTCGGACCAGGTCTGCTACCTGGGATGTATAGTATGCCCATCCATGCTGTGCTGAAACCAGGAACCAACAAGCACCAGCTGGTTACTGATCACAGTGCAGGAATATACATGCTCAACTCAATGATATCTCACAACGACATTGCTGGTGTCACTCTTGATAATGTCCATGATTTAGTGAATGGACTTTGTGCCTTCAGACATACTTGACCTCATGCTAAGTTGAATCTTTGGAAGGCTGACATCTCAGAGGCCTATTATCATATGCCAATGCATCCTTTATGGCAAATAAAACAAATAGTTAGCTTTCAAGGTCATTGCTATGTGGACAGACATAGCATCTTTGGAGGGAGAGCATCTCAGAGAATTTATCACACCTTTATGTCTCTGGTTATCTGGATCGCAATCTTCAAGATTCTTATTCATTTCCTCTACATATATGTTGATGACTCTTTCTCATTTGAAGACAAATGCAGTCTCAAATTCTATGTGCCTTACAACAAACTTCTTCCCTGCAATATGGTGAAGTTACTTTGCTTATGGGACACCATTGGGTTGCTGCATGAAGAGAAGAAACAGGTCTTCAGGTTGGAGTTGCCAATTATTGGGTTTGATGTTGATTCTAATATCATGTGGGCTTGTACAGTGACTTGCAAAACTGTTACAATGTTTGGTACTTTTTCAGTGTACACAATATAGCACCTATGCATGTGGGAATCATGCTTAGTGTTGGTGGGGGCATGTGAACTATAAACTCTTGGCTACAGACTGACACTTGGATCACGTGATTTGGCCAAGGGGATGTGAGATATGCCTATTTCAAGACGGAGATACCATTGTAACAGTTTTGCAGCTGTTGATATAGATGGTGGGATCTCAGTCAAATCAGAGGATGGTTACTGTTATTTGCTTATACAAATAAAAATATACATAAAAATATTATGTCTGAGTTTGAAATTGCTCCCATGCTTCTTTATTTTTAATCATTACCACCATGGGATCTCTCTCTACTACTCAAAAGAATACCATTCTCTTTTAGCTTAATGCTAGTCATTCTATTCACTCTATTGCCTCCACAACTGGTGTCAGCACTACTACTATCTCCAAGCTTCATTAAAAAGAGTGTTCCTACTTGCAAAAGTTGACTGGTGATCATTCAACCAAGCTTTCCTCAGTCAATATTTGTCATCCTATTTGTTTCATCTTCACTCAGCAGGCAGAAACTGCTATCCAAGTGCTCAAATCTTTTTCAAATATTGTCAATTAGCCCCCCAACCCAAGTACCACTTGCTGCTACCTGAAAAAGCTGGGATGAGGGCTGTGGTCAAGTCCAAACACTCTCTACTGTCTGCCAAATATTGCAAAGCACACTTGGACTTTGCCTATACTCACAAAAATTGGACTTTGGAGGACTGGAAGTTGGTCATATGGTCTGATGAAACCAAAATTAATCACCTAGGGTCAGATGGTTGCAAATGGGCTTGGAAAAAGTCAGGAGAGAGACATAGTGACAGATTGGCATAAGGAACTATCAAGTTTGATGGAAGTTCTGTGATGATATGGGGCTGTATGACCTGTGAAGAAGTTGGCTATGCTGCTAAGATTGATGGTAGAATGGGTGGAGATCTTTACCTTCAAATTTTGAAGGATAAACTTCAGAATTTCCTGGAGTTTTATAATCTTTATGCTTCTGATATCATCTTTCAGCAAGACAATGACCCTAAGTATACCCGCAAAAAGGTCAAGAAGTGACTAGATGGGCAGGAATTTATGACTATGGTGTGGTCTGCACAATTTCCTGACCTTAACCTATTGGAATATCCCTGGGACCTTGTCAAAAGGAGACTTGCAGAGTATGAGCATTTCCCTAAGGAAATAGTAGCAATGGTTGGGAATAAAGAAGCATGGGAGCAATTTCAAACTCAGACATAATATTTTTATGTATATTTTTATTTGTATAAGCAAATAACAGTAACCATCCTCTGATTTGACTGAGATCCCACCATCTATATCAACAGCTGCAAAACTGTTACAATGGTATCTCCGTCTTGAAATAGGCATATCTCACATCCCCTTGGCCAAATCACGTGATCCAAGTGTCAGTCTGTAGCCAAGAGTTTATAGTTCACATGCCCCCACCAACACTAAGCATGATTCCCACATGCATAGGTGCTATATTGTGTACACTGAAAAAGTACCAAACATTGTAACAGTTTTGCAAGTTACTGTATGTCTGATGCTTCACGTTCTCAGCTTATTCAAGAGCTGGTCAATTTCGCACATAAGGGTTCTCACAGATCTTTGCAGGACTTTCAGTGCCTGGCAGGATGGCTCAATTTGGCCCTCAATGTCTATCCTCTTCTTTGGCCTAGTCTCTCTGTGTTATATGCGAAAACTGCAGGAAAGCTTGTGTCAAAGGCCCTCATCTGGGTTAACCAAGATGTAGTGCAAGAGCTTAGCTGGGTCATAGGTCATCTTCAGGCTGCAGAAGGAGTTTTCTTCCTCAAGTCTGTCTCCTGGAATCCCTCATGGCTTCAGGATGATGTGTTCAAGGTTTACACTGATGCGTTGGGTGATGGGCTCATGTATTGATTTCCTGAACTCAATATCGGCTTCCAGTGTCCTTTGCCTACTTCAGCGCCAACTGGAACAATATTCTACTTCAAAGCCTTGGCAGTGACTGCTTCTTTACTTCATACTATCAAATGCCAGCATCCACATCAGCGAGTTGCAATATTCTCAGACAACCTTAACATGGTTTTGATGTTCAACTCCCTCATGGCCCTTCCTCCTTATAACTGGCTTCTCATGACCTCAGTTGATGCTTTACTTGATGCTGGAGTTGATTTTAGGGTTTTCTTTGTATTAGGTGTTGATAATGTGGTTGCCGACCACTTATTGCATTGGAAGAATAGTAAAGCTGAGCTTGTCTCTCCAGGTCTTCACATTTGTCCCTTTACACCCCCTCAGAATGCACTGGGGGTAGCGAGAAAATGATCCCAGTCCCTGTCTGGGCCAGACAACCTCAGTGGATTGTTTGGTCACTTGAGTGTCTCATCCATGAACACTCAATTCTTCTCGGTTATGCTCTTAACAATTCTACTTCTCACATCTATTCTTCTCATCTGAACTTGTATCTCACTTTCTGTGAGAAACACCATCTACCTATTGACCCTACCCCCAATACACTCTCCTTCTATGTCACCTTTATGTTATATCATATTCAACCTTGTTCCATTGAGGCCTACCTATCTGGCATTGTCACCAACCTCAAACCTCATTTTCCTCATGTGCAGCAATCTCAGCAGTCATGTCTCATCAAGCACACACTCAGAGGTGCATTGCAGTCTCTTGGTCATCCTGCTTTACAGAAAGCACCAATGGTGTGGGATGATCTTGCACACATGTACTCTGAGTTGGCTCATCCTTTGACTCATGATGACTTACTGTGGGTAACTCAGCTGCATTGTGGATTCTACAGCCTACTTCGCCTTGGTGAATTGGTGGTGTCTGACAAAATATCAATGCATGATTGCGCAAAGAAATCTTTGTGCACATCGGTATGCTTATCAAGCGGGAACTTTTCATTCCTTCTTCAGCAGGACAAGACAGACTTACATTATGAAGGGAATCGTGTTGTTATTCAGCAGAATGCTGCTGGTTCAGACCCTTTACCTCTTTTTATGTGATATCTCAGCTCTCACAACACTCAATTTCCACTTCATCCTTACCTTTGGGTGAGATCTAATGGGCAGCCACCTTCTTGGTCATGGTTTGTCCACAAAATGTGAACATTCTTTCCAGCAGATGTCTCTGGACACTCCATGTGTGCAGGGGGTGCAATATCTCTAGCCACAGTGGGGGTGTCTCCTGATGGTATTTGCACCATTGGGAGATGGAAATCAGACACCTGGGAGCATTATGTGTGCAAAAATTGGATGCTGCTTCAAGTGTTATTGTTTAATGGTTGTGCCATTCATGACCTGCTGTTTGCTTCTGTGTAATGTGAGCGTGGCTTATGTATTATTATTTATCCTTATCCTTATCTTTTCTTCTTATCTTTTTCTTTTAATCTCTCCCTCCCTTCCCTCCATTTTATTAGTGAAATAGTGTTCATCACTTCAGTCTTTGTATTTGGGGGTTCACTTGCTATCTGTCACATCAGTTTTCTGCTAGTCCTTAATTGCAGCCAGTTCCCTTGGAGCATTGAGGGAACATTTTTTGACTATACCAGCATGCATGCACCTATATAAGTTGTTTAAGGCCTATTAGAAGCATGTTATTAACAGTCATGTGACCAAAAAATGATGATTTTTGCTGCAGCTACTACCAAAATTTTCCGCCCCACTCAGTGTCCTTGTCCTCTAGGTCAGCATCATCCTCAGTAGCATCACCACCCAGGCCATTGATAGGACTTTCCTTGCATTCATCAGACAATACTTTGGTGACAATTGGTGCATGAAGGTTTGCATCTACTTTGATGTCAAAGGCTAAATCCTGCACTGGTTTGGCTGCTAGCTTCTCATCAAGCCATGTGTCTTTTTCATCTTCAAGAGTTTCTTCCTGCTCATCTGTGCCCACAGATAGATAGCTGCCAGTGGGCTCATAACTTTGATGAGCAGCTGGTTCTTTGGGTGTTGAAATGATGGAGTTGAGATTGCCAAATGAAATGTCTGGGTGCTGTCTTTCAACCATTTTCTAAGAGATGTGAGTTGTCAATACAGGCCACTGAATGGGACACTGACCTTTGGATCATACATATGCCATTGTCAAATCTGAGTCATGTCCACCAGTGTCCAGACATGTTGACAGTTCCTGGCTGCTGTATTCATCCTCATGAATACTGACATTGTTCATTCCTCAGGTATAGATGAGGGCTTGATTGAATCAAGTTTTTCTGTGATACACTGGAGATAAAGCCTGAGTTACAAGTAGTCAGGATTGGCTGAAACTCACAGCTAGTATGCAACCTTCAGGTATCTTTGTTAAGTGAGTCCAGTATGAGAGGATGCCCTGACCAGCATCCATCATCACATCAAAAGGGTACTGTCCTTTTACATAGCACTCAAACTGGCACACAAAAGCTTCATGAACATCAGCAGCTGTTTTTCCTTTGAGAGTGGGGTTGTGCTGGGATTTGAACTCAGCTTCAATGTCAATTTTGAGGTACTTGAAAACTCAGATGTAAGTTGGTGATGTGAGGATATCTGGCACAACTGTTGAAGGAATGCAAGGGACCTTGATTTTGATAGAGAGTAGGTTATATAGGATTGCACTGTGAATGTAGCCTGTCTCACATGAGATAAGGATCAAAGGTGAAGAATGAGTGAAACATACGTGGATCTAAGCACAAAGCTGCAAGATAGCAGTCAGCTGGTCCATCTTTGAGCTGCTCATGAAAGCAGGAATTGACAATAGCATAAATTTGGCCCATCTCTTTGACATTAAAACCACTCAACAAATCCTCAAATATCTGTTTGATGCATCTGCAAATTGCCAACCAATATTTGTACACATCAGCCGGATTTGTCTGCATCAACTCAAGACACACAATAGCCTTTGCAATTGGGCCCTGAACATCAATGAAACAGGCAAGGCCTAGTTTGAAGTTCAATCCATGATGGCTTCCAGACTTGATTATGCTTGCTAAGTCTGCTTTCTGTAGTAATCAATGAGTTGATAATAGATGGGGTGTGAAAACTACATACCTTGCCTGGAAATTTGATTGATCCAGTGTCAACAAGTTCTCACAATGCTGGGAGGCAGCACTGAACAGAGATAGTGGCAGCGCAGATAGTGGCAAAGCATGTTTTGCCAATTCCTTTGATTCCTCAAGTTATCCCCTTTTGTAGCCTTACACATTCGAGTGCATCATATGCTTGGGTCGACTTGCGGAAGTATGTCACGAGGGAACGAAGTTGAGAGATCATCTAAAAAAACACAGTTAAAACAGTTATTGGACTGAATATGAAAGATTGCAAACATCTTTGAACATTGGAAGCTTCATGATGTCCTTGCAAACAAGGTTGAGGTGATGACATCTGTCCAACATAGGAATCAGTGTCTTGACAGCTTGACAAACAATTTGTCGAGCAACACAAGTATTACCAGAGGCTCTCCTCTCTATCACACATATGCAGAGATGACTAACCTTTGCCTTAGCCCATCAGAATTGGATTACATGGACTGGAAGCATGTTATATGATCATATAAGACCACAATAAATAGGATTGGGTCAGATGGCAAGGTATATATGTGAAACAAGAAGGGTGCTAGTCCTCTCTGCATATGTGTGATAGAGAGGAGAGCCTTTTCTTCCTTGTTACTGACCTGAGATGAGCTGTCTTGAGAATGTTTCTCACAGTGTGTGAAGAGACAGGGAATGTGATGGTGGAATTGATGTAATAGGTGACCTGGACAGCATTATCAGCCTTTCCTGTAGTGATATGTTGAATAATAGCCCTCCTATCAGTAGAGGTGAGCTTGGATGGACACCCTTCACAGAAGTTTTCCTTGTCTGTGTGACTTTCTTTGATGAACTTGGCCACAGTGGACTTGGATACTCCAGTTCTAGAGGAAATTTGACAAGCAGAGAGGCCAGAATAGGAAAGAGAGAGGATATTATCCCTTTGAGCAGGGGGGGTGGCTTTCATGGTGAATATAACCATGACATATGGAAATTTTTGGTTTGTATAGTTAGATATGGTTTTGGAATGACATAATGACACCACTTTATAATTTATTTAATGGTGGCATGATTGTTATGGTGTCATAAATGATGATTTATATAGTTTTAATATATGCTCAAAAAACTGTCTGCATGAGTCATGATTTTATAAGCCTTGTATCTCCACCATATCTCCTCTGATTCTCACGATGTGGTGCTCAATCCAAAGCCCTGAAGCAGCACTACAATATGGTATTAGCATGTCACTGAGGTCTTTATGTATTCTCACACAATATTGTAAATAGTAAAAAATGCAAAAACATGTGGACAGTTTTTTGAGCCACTGTGTGGGATGCAGGAGGATGTTCAAAACAGTCTGGGTCACTGAACAACAAGAAGTGTGGCTCTAGTCAAGCACCTGACAGTCACAGCAGCAAGAAACTCAAAGTTGGTGATAATGAGGAGGTGCAAAGAATTCATCCCATTCTCCAGAATGGTTTATATGCTGTGGAATTTTTTGTGGCCCATGTGGTGCGGGAGAGCATCATTACTTATGTGGTGGATGGTAAGTTGATGAAATGCTGCAGATGTATCATGAAATTGATCACTCATACCAGACGACATGATTTACCTGTGGTATTTTGATCAGCAAGACATGATTCAATGCTCCAGCATCAATTTCGTGCAAGACCTTCCCTGGTTTATGGTGTTGCTGCTTGCCATCCAGCGAATGCCATATGCTGGATGGGGTTACAACCAGGTAGTAGTGTTGTGGCTTGGCTATGGCTGGTCCGGGCTTGGCTCTTACCAATTTCACAGCAGTTCGGCGATTCCAATGAACCAAGTTACTCATGTACAACTTGGTCTGGTCTGCAAGGCACCTGAACCAGCACAAATTGCAACAAGCCAAGGATGTGGGAAGAATGGCTTGAGCTGGCCTCAAGCCAGCTGGAGGGGGTTGTGTACATTGCGTCACTTGCATCATGAACTCATTCTCCAACATATCCCCACTATTCAGTTGGATCCACTATAAGTTACCATGCATAAGGTCCCAGTTCAAGTGAATGGGAGATTTAGGCTGGGAGATGTCTTAGGATCTAGCTTGTATGGCATGTGGTCAAATTTATTGTTCTGGTTCAGATTCACTTATGTTGTACAACTTAGCTGTCGTATATTCTGTGTGGAATATCATCAATGATGATCACATTGCCCTCAAACTCAAAACCATTGTCAATCACTCATCTTCTGTCATTGTTAAGAACCATGTTGCTCAAGGGAGGGAGAGACTGACTCAGAGGGGCTTGGCCTCAGCTCATATGCTGTGTCCCTTACCCAAGTATGGGCCCTTCATTTCAGATGAGGTCTGATGATGGTCCAACAAAGTCCAGAGGACTTCTGGAGGCTGGCTATTCTGGTAGAGAGTGCTAGAGGACTTCCAGAGAAGCACAGGAGAGTTCTGGAGGAATGCAGGAAGTGCTTAGGAGAGTTCCCACTGCAAGGTAATACTTCTACAGGAAACAGGATGGAAGGATAGGAGGTCCGAAGGTCCAGAGGACAGGAGGACAGGAGGACAGGAGGACAGGAGGACAGGAGGACAGGAGGACAGGAGGACAGGAGGACAGGAGGACAGGAGGACAGGAGGACAGGAGGACAGGAGGACAGGAGGACAGGAGGACAGGAGGACAGGAGGACAGGAGGATGGAGGACAGAAGGACAGGATGTCCAGAGGTACAAAGGACAGGATGTCTGAAGGTATGGAAGGAATAGGGGCTATATTAGATGAGGTCCGATGTAGAAACAAACAGAGGTAGACTACCCTAAGGTAGAGTCAGAGGGACAGGGATTGGACCTAAGTCCAGAAAGAGGAGAAGTGCTGGAAAGGCAGAGCTCTGGCCTAGGGAATCAATCCCTAGGCCTGATGGATAGGACAGACTTAGGTGGACCAAAGTCCAAGAGAGGATTGGGCAAGTAGAGCAAAGTCTAAGATGATATTCAAACTGAGGAACTACAGGAGTATCTACAGGGGTTATATACTGGACAATGTCTGAGAGGATCAGTAAGCAAAGGAGCAGGGCTATGTATGAGCATGTGGAAACACATTAGTAAGTAAGATAGAACATAACTAAATGAACTTGGAGATGAAGACTCATACAAGGATCAATCAGCAAGATGGAATGAGAGGTAGCTGAAAGCCAGAAAGGTGGAGATGTCTAAATGGGGATAGGTGCAGGATATCAGACAGAGGGCAGTGAAGGTTCAACTACTCTGCTAGGCTGCAGAGCAAAAGAAAGAAAGTGGGCTCTACCTCTGGGGTGAGAGGAAGGCTACTGATTCTCTATATGTTGGTCGAAATGCACTAAGCAATATGTTTGACCCTTAGGGGAAGCAAAGAAAGCAAGATCCACAAAGTGACTCCAAGTCAACTCTGGTGAAGCATGCTGGGGGTGTGCCCATGGGAATATCAAGTGCATAAGAGTGCGAAGCATGGGAATAGGGTGCACACAGTGTGTGAACATGTGAGAACTGAAAGATGGTGTGAAGACATGAAGTGGGACTGCTGAATGGACACTGATGCTGATAGACTGATGCTAATGGCTAGGGCAATGACTCTGTGTTATGAACTTGGATAGAGTGTTGTTCCAATAAAGGAATCAAGGATCAAGGTCAATCAAGGACTAAGCCTTATCGAGTCAAGTGCCTCCCTCAGGAGCGATCGTCTAGACTCCCGCAGGATCTAGAGTTCAAGTATGAAAGAGAACCAAGTAGATTCAAGTTAGAGAAAATACAAGTGGTAACTAGGGTTTATATGTGTAAGGGAATCATGCACAGACCAGGCTGGGCAAAGGGTAACAACTACTGAGAAAGGAAGGTTCATGGGAGAACAAGGTATGAGTCAAAGATAAGGGAGACCATGAGGAAACAGCACAGTGAAAAGGAAGCATTAGAAGTACAGCCATATAGGAGTCCGCAGTGATGATGAGAAAAAAGAGTGGGGCACTGTAACACTCTGATGGATGCTAACTCATGATAATGATTCTCACTATGAGATACTAAGTGACATGATGATGGTTTCTGTATCATGGTGGTGGTTGATGTATGAAAACTTCCTAGGCAACAGGTAAGCTGTGCCTAGGCACACTCCCAGGGCTCAGAAGCAAACAGGGAGCGCTCTATGTATGTAAAATGATGTAAGTAAAGGGTCCATGATGAAATATAGTGTCATACAATGCTAAATATGGTCTGATAGTGAGAATAAATGAGGAAGGACTCACTAGGGAACTGGTTGGACAATGGATGGATGCTCTGGGATGCTGCACGACAATGTGTGACTGAGCGCAGGAAGAGTGCACTAAGCGCCTGTGCAGGAATGTGTCGCATAGTGCGGGAATGTGTCGCACCTCTGGCACATTTTGTGGGAAAGTCATGGATAGTGAGTTGTGCAATATACTGATCATTGTGAGTCATGATATGGGCGATCTAAGCCTGGAGGAATCTTATTCCCTACAGTGGGAATATATCTGGAGATACTTATGGCTGATATCTGGAGGTCCAGAGATCTGAGGATCTGGAAGGTGAGGTAGATACAGGACTGGGATATGATGAGGTGGATATAGTCCTGAATCCAAGATGAGGTGAAGTTCAGATGTCTTGCTGGATGGAGTGTGCATAGGGTGGACAGGATAGGGTGGTATGGATCAGGCTAGTAGTGAGGATCCAGAGGTCCAGAGCTCAGGGGTAAATCTGGAACAGAGTTGATCCTACTGAGGTGTGGAGCACACAGTGGAAGGGGATCTGGCAATGAGTCAGATATGGGGTCTAGATGTAGGCTCAGAAGGTGTGGGAATATTATGGAATGTGAGTCCGGATTGTGGGATATGACAGTTGAGCATGAATACTATATTTTGAAACAACTTGAAGGTGGAGTTGGCATCCCACACACCTTCTGGTTTGGTAGAGAGTCAGTGCATCATGTTCTGGTCCTTGAACTCCTTGGGCCATCACTCCACCAACTTTTCCTTGCGAACAATCGAAGATTCAGCCTTCTCAATGTTGTCAATCTTGGAGTCCAGTTGGTCAGTCATTTGGTTCAAGGTCTTTGCAGATAGATTGACTGACTTTCCTAGCTCTCATGTCTTGAGTATGTTCAGTCACACAATTATGTTCATGGTGACATTAAACTGCAGAACATCTTGGTGGGTCTTGGAAATTTGAGGCACACCACCTATATCATCAATTTTGGAATCACAAAGACATACTGGAACACTAAAACCAGTGACCATGTACCATTTCGCCATGGTCAAAGTCTCTCTGGTACTCCTGCACTTGCCTCAATCAACAATCACCTAGGAGTTGAGCCAGGTCACCATGACAATCTTGAGTCACTCACTTACATGCTAATCTATTTTTTGTGTGGCTCCCTTCTATGGTTAGCCAGTGATGACAAGAAATTATCCAGCTCTACCATACTTGAGCACAAAGCATGTGCTACCATTGCAGAAATATGCCATGACATCCCTGTTGAATTCGCAAACATTCTTATTTACACCCACTCTCTCACATTTGCTGAAGATCCTGATTACAATCATCGTCATTCACTACTACATGATCTTCGTGCCACATTGCCTACACCAGCTATGTGCTTGTTGGATTTTGGCCAACCCAATGGTCCTGGGACTCCTTGCTGTCCTGCCATACACCCCCTTCTATCTCCTGACCAGTGCTGTATGGCTGAAGCAATGTCAATATGCCTGCCAAAGGCAGTGCACCGATCAACACATGTGTGAGTAACATGTTTCTTTCATATCTTTGAACCGAAGTATAACTTATTTGCAGGTTACACCCACATACAAATGACTCTTCATGGTGTGCTATGTCAATTCTGTCAACTCCACAGTGGAAATTGTGACTGTTGTAGACTACAGTATATAATATATATTATAAGGGTCACATGAATTGGTTCTGTAGGATTGAACTCTTTGTCCTTACAGATGTTAGAAATAGTGTACTGCAATGGCAGCAATGCATCATGTGTAATTGTGCACTGCTTTCAGTGTGGGACTATTTTCCCTTCAACATGCTGCACAGACTCACACTAGTGCACAGCAGCTGCAGCTATTGATCTTTGCACCTGCCATCATCACTTAAAATCACCACTGATCTTGCCATTGTGTTTTCTCGTGCTGATCAGACAAGATTGCTCAGGTGAGGGTCTTGTTAGCACTTATGGTTATCCACCACTGAAGGTTTGAATTGCTTTTGAACAGGTTGCATCACCAAGTGGTAGTGTCCAGTGATTCAACTTCTGTGCAAGGTAAAATGGTTGATTCATCTAGCTAATTCTTATCATTAGACTGTATTGATCATATCATGCAGTGATTAAAATTGAGGAGTGGTAGTACATCCACACTTGCATGCAACACCTCATGGGGGACCTTTTCTAAATGTATCACTAACCTTGTGGTGGATGGCTTTACTGCCTTATGATCTGGGTTCTGAATTGAAACCCTGAGGATAAAGGTGAGCCGTTCATTTCTCAAGCTATTATCTATATGATGGTAATCTAGAAAGCTGCATGGATAAAATTCACTTTAGTCTCCAGGTATGTCCTTCATTGAGCGAGATTTCCCCCCCCCACCCTCACCCCCACCAAATTATAGTGCTTTGCAAGCTTTTATTGATAAAAAACAAGACAAAGAAGACCAATTTCACCCACACCCTGTCAATCATCTGACAGGTGCCAAACTTGTACATTGCAATTTTACTGTTCACTTCTCTCATATCATATAACTCATATCACCACCATACAGGCTATTATATGCTGCATGAATGACCTTTCATTGATGCCCTGCCCCACTCCACTACATTGTCACCTGTGATATATCGCCCTCAAGCTTCACATACATTGGCATTGTCTAGGGTTTCCCAGAAAGAACACTTATATAGACAGACAGTTCTGTTGTCAAATCATCAACACTACTACCACAAATGTGAGGTCATTGACACAGGCAGAACAAGACACGGGCAGCTGCCTTGCCTGCTGTTACTGCTATCCCCACTGCCTCTGCTGCTATTCCTGCTGCTGCTGATTTCTCCACTGCTGCTGCTATCCCTGCTGCAATCCCTACCACTATTCCCACCGTGATCCCTGCTGCAGCAGCAGCTAATTCCACTACCCTTCAAAACCCCCATTGGCAACAGCTTCCTGTTAGATACAGAACCAGTGATGCAGCTCATACTGGTCCAGATGAGGGTGAGGTCTTTGACCTCGACAATGTCTCAGGGGATGAAGAGGAACCAGGAAATCTTCCTGTGCCTGTCATCACTATGGCACCTGTGGGTTCTAATCTGAGCCCACTCCAGACCATTAATAGCACTGTTCGCACTGACTCTTTGGCCACTGGCAATCTAAAGCAGTCTAAAGGGCCAACTGATATAAATCACTTCTACCAGTGTAGAGAACAAGATTCCTCCAGGTGTATATCACACATATTACGACTCATGACAATTGGTATAGTGTGCAACTCACTATCTATGACTTTCCCATGAAACATGCCAGAGGCATGATGCTTTCCTGCACTACATGACACATTCCTGCACACATGCTTAGTGTGCTCTTTCCACACTTGGTCACCCTTTGTCATGCAGCATCCCAGCACATCCATCCATCATCCAACCAGTCCCCTAGTACATCGCTTTCCATTTATTTTCATTATCAGACCATTTCTAGCATTGTATGATACATTATTTCATCATGGACCCTTTCTTACCTCATTTACATACATAGAGCGCTCCCTATTCACTTCCAAGCCCTGGGAGCATGCCTAGGCACAGCTTACCTGTTGCCTAGGAGGAAGTTTTCATAGATCAACCACTATTGTGTCACTTAGCATCCAGTAGTCATCATCTAGAGTGAGAATCTATCATGAGTTAGCATCCATCAGAGTCATCACCCTAGTCATCAGCATCAGTCTACCATCATCAGTCTCCATTCAGCAGTCTTAGTTCACACCTTCACACCATTTACCAGTTTTATATACATCTGTGCACAGCATGTGCCTTATTCCCACACTTTGTGCTCCTATGCACTCCATATTCCCACACACGTGCTTTCAGCACACTTCACCAGAGTTGACCTGGTGTTACTTCATGGATCTTGCTTTCCTTGCTTCCCCTAAGGGTCGAACATATTGCCTAGTGCACTTCAACCAACATCTAGAGAGTCAGTGGCCTTCCTCTCACCCCAGAGGTAGAGGCTTTCTTTCTTTCTTTAGCTCTGCAGCCTAGCAGAGTTGTTGAACCTTCACTGGATTAACCCTGATACTAAGAGCAAAACTTGCATCCCTTGCAAGTGAGTACTGCATCTGCAATCTTTCATCATTTCTCACACCTATCACCAGAACACTGCATAATATCAACACAACACACAAGGTCATGGTATATGCAGGCTCCACATCCAGTTCAGCTCCCCACACACATGCTTTCACTCACCATACCGAACTTTATTTGGAAGCAGCAGACCATTTCAGCTGGTGCATACAGATAAAGGATCTAAATGAACAACTAGCTGAGGGCTGGTCACTGATGACAATTCACAAACAACTCAAAAAATCACCTTGCACAATGCAATCACTTGGTCCCCTCCCTAACCAGGGAACTGGCACATTGCTGGTAGGAACCAGCTCTCCACATGATGTTATTCCAGACTTCACGCTTAATGAAATGCATTGTCAAATTGTGAAGTTTATTGTTGCCAATGATCAAGTAAGTCACAGTTTATGCCTACAGCCACTATTAATAATTGCCCCCAGGCAATAAATGTGATCGAGTGCCCTGAATTTTGGCACCTCATATGTCTCCTGCACCTGGAGATTGGTGAGACTGGCCTATTTCATCACATGAAGACTTGTAAGATGGTCATTGAGCAATGGCAGGAATACTTCCTGGCATTGAAGAAAGATCTTGCTGTAAGTGTATAGTTGCCAAGTGTCCTACAAAGTATCTTATTCCTTTTAGAATGCACAGGAAAAAGTCTGCTTCACATCTGACCTGTGGTCAGATCAAAAGCTCCGGCCATTCATGGCCCTTACAGCTCATTAGATCACCAGGTCCAATCAAGGTTCAATGCTTGTGTTGAAGATGGCCCTCCTTGCTTTCCACCATATCCCAGGAAATCATGATGGTCAATCCCTTGGTTCCATGATATTATATCTCCTTGATCATGCAGAAACTACGGCTAAGGTTGGTACTCATTTGTATTATGTTGCATGCTCTCACATTGTTCAGACTGGCCATTTTAATCTTGACAATGCGGCCAACAATCATACCACAATGCAGAAGCTTTCTACACTACTAGGGCAATGCAGGATCAACTTTGATCCAGTTGAACATAGGATACCATGTTTCCTGCACATGATAAACATATGCATGAAGCATATCATTGACAAATACCCTACTACTGACTATTCTACTGTGTCAATACATGGACAATCGAAGATCAGGTTATCAAGAAAGTTGATTATGTCCAGGCTGTGCAAACCAAGCCTCTTGAGTGAGCCAGGACAATCATGTGATTGATCTATGCATCAAATCAGCGGTGCAACAGGTTTTGTGACTGCATCCTCAAGGGTAATGAGGACAGTCAGTTTTGAGATGACAAGGGTGACTCTATACAGCTCCCGGTTGTAGAACTCCTCCTTGATGAGCCCACTAGATGGGACTTGGTATATGTCATGATTAACCATTTGCAGACACTGCAGCAGGTAAGATTGCACATCATAAAACATATATCATAAACTAATACTGGCTCAGGTGGTAAATGCCTTTTTTGATACTTGGCCTCAATGCAGCATATCCAACAAAAGATTGAGTGATGTTGATTGGCAGTTCCTTCAGGACCTGGAAGTGATCTTGGAGGTAAGTACTGATGTGTTCAAAGCTCATGATCTAATTTAACATTTCATACCAGGCACCACATGCCACCCAGCAAAAACTCTCCAGTGAAAGCACTCCCTTACTGAGCTATGCCATTCCAACTTTTGAAGAGTTGATCAATAGCTGGGAGTCTCTTGGCCAGCACGTACCTCAATGTAAGCCTATTGTTGACATAGGCTTAACCTGGACAAGCAAATACACTGACCAGATGAGTGTGACACATGCTTATTCTGTCACTATGTGTCAGTCCCATGTTTTGTTTTAATAAATATTGATCTCATGATTACTTTCATAGTTATTTACCCTGCGATGTGGATGTCTTGGATGGACAGTCTATGGGAGAAGGATCATGTTACTGAAGCCAAGGAGTTTATCTTGAAGCTGGTATGTCTCTGTTGTAAATAAATGCACAACATTGGATTGATTTTTTCTGCAGATGCATAGCAAAAGAGCAGAAAACACTGATCCTGCACATTCTCAACCTGTAGTGGCCCCATGACTGCTGCCACACACACTAGGCTCACATCACTATGGACTTCCCATGGCACATGTACATGTGCCACATCACCACAGCAGTGGTCAAACAGTAGATCAGGAGTTCACTGCTTATGCCACAGCTACACTTAGTCCTCATGGAACAGACATACTTGTGTTCTGGAATGTGAGTCTGTTACCTCTTCAAGTCACACCCTTTTCATTAACCATGAGCTGTTGACTAGGCTTTGCAGTCCATATTCCTGACTATATTTTCAATTGCCATGGACTACGCTCCAGTACAAGCCTCTGCAGTGCCATGTGAGCGAGTATTTTCATCCAGCAGCAAAACCCATACAAAGAAAAGGAATCGCCTCAGTCCTGTTTTGATGGAAGCATTGCAGATGGTCAAGTTTTTCTTGAAGAAAGAATGGCTTAACTTTATGAAAGGTTGGGCAGCCTCTCAATGGGACATGGAACATGGGGTGGTATATGACATGGGCTCTAGCGAGCCTTTGACATCTACCCCCAGTGCAAATGATGCTCTTCTCAGAGCCATCACAGAGGAGGAGTGTGACAATATCAAGGACACTGCTATCATCTATGACAAGTGACCCTTACTTCTATGACTTTTTTTGTCTCGCATCTACTGTTTTGCCTCTCACCTTTTGTTTGCACTATCTTGCTCATTGTTGTGCTGATTTTGATTTCAATGCTTTATTTGTTTCTCACCAGCTGCACAGTGACCAGCTGACAGTGTGCGCTTCACCTGACCCAGTCCCAACCATCTCTGATATCAACACATTGTGATTGCCAGCAAGGAGTTTCAGGGCAGACTGTTGAGACTATGGGCGGTATTTTCACTTCCCCACAACACTTGCACATGCATTGAGTGGCATTACTTTTCTGACATTGTCCTGAGTCCTGACCTTTGCTCTCATTTATTTGATAGACAGATGAATCAATACCATGGGAGACAACTACTCCATGCTGTTCCATGCATGCGAGCCTGAACTGTGATGACTCTGTTTTACTTACTGACAATGTTCACAGGTTCAGGACAGATGAGCTTGAGGCAGTTCCTTATCCTGACTGAAGTTGCCCATGATGCAGTTGCAGAGCTCAGTGAACTGGAAAATGTTCAATTGAAGGATGTATGTGCGCTCCTTTCAACTGTTGTCATGCTGCTAAATAATACCACAGTTGAACCCTGCTGTCAATCCCTTTCAATGTTCCTATCTGTCCTCTATATGATTCATCCCCATTAGTCACAGCTGGACTGAGTGCTGCACATAATATTGATGAGCTTAATGTCACACTTGCTAAGCATGAGATGTGGCTCATGCAGATGAACAATAGCTACAAGACATTGAGTGAGTGCATGAGGGAGCTGGTGGAGGCCCAGCATGTTCTCCAAGAGACTGATGTGTTCTCTGAGAAGGTAAGTTTTTGATGGATCCGCATACATAGCGAACATTGTCAGTGCACAGGGTTCAGGTGTCAACAAACTTCATGATGCTCTCAGTGTCAAGGTTGACTTCTCAGACAAAGCTGATGAGAAGGAAAAGGAGGCAGGCAAGAAGAAGGTGGCTGTCCATCAGAAATCCAAGGTCAAGGTAGTTGCTCACCTTACTTGTCTTTCCTCTCCCTATTTCTCACTGTATCTGTAAACAGATTACAGGTCGCAAGGAGAATGTAGAGGAAGCCAAAAAACAAATTTTATTGCAAGTTGAGAAGATCATAAGTCATGGCATGATTCAACATGCCCATTACACTGACTCTCAAATGTCTGTCATCAGTAAACTTAAAATGTTGTGGAATAAGCTGCTTCATCATGGAGATGAACCATTTGGTTAGCGACTTGTTCCTCATTCATGCTCATATAATAACATTCATAGATCTATCCTTCCCACCCATGCATGGTGCCTGCCCTTCCCTCACACTGAAGGTTGCCATCATACATGCTTGTGACAATCAGGATGGTGCACTGTCTGGTGTGAGTGATGCTGGCCTATGCTGTTAGCTTTTGCTGACAGAACACCAACTATAGTCCCTCATAGATTGTGAGCTTGGTTGAGACACAGATGTGGGCCATGCAAGATTTGCCAAATACATGACACACTGCTGGAGGGTCTCTCACCTGAACACTGCTTTGCAGCATTTTCAGTTGGTTCTGGACCGGTGTCCAGTCATTCTTCAAGATATTGATACCACTACTTCCTTTTTTTATGAAGCCCTTGCATTGCATCCGCAGGGCCATCCTGATTCTTCTTCCATCTTTGAATGCTGAGTTCTCAGCTGTATTGCAAGGGTGCTATCAAACATATGTATAGGTCTGCTTTGACATCCCCTGTTTTGAATGTGGTTTTAGGTTGCATCCCATATGGGCTTGTATTCCCACAACATTCGAGCACAACTTGTGGCATGTCCTAAGGGGTAACCTGTACATGAATCACACAGATATCACAGAGCCCTTTGTTGATCCTGCTACTGGCACTGAGACATGCAAGAATGTGTTCATAATTTTCGCACATGGTGATGCCTTACTTGCAAAGATACAGAAAGTGGCAGAGTGCGTGCATCATTCACATTTCTGTTGTACAACTACCAACTAATCCTAGGGGTAGTGATCAGAACACACATCATTGCAAGTGCAAGAAGGGAGAGGACAAGGGGTTGTTGAAAGATGGGGGATTCAGTGTGAAAGGAGACAACCAACCTTATGTTCCTCATATCCCTCAATGGAGCAAGCATGGTGTTTGGTGCATTTGCATTTGCATGCACATTATTGTTGCTACTAACCGAAATAGTTCAATCATCTTTAGGATATGCTATAGAATGCACTCACTCATTCTCTCGGACCCTGAACCTGAGTACCTTTGCCAATGCAATCTGAAACCTCAATGGACACCCCAACACATGAACAAATGTCACTTCTCAATCCTGTGAACCTCTCATCTCCCTCAACATCTCTGCATTCCTCACTGTCACCTACTTGGCTTTGGTGATGGTGATACAGTCCTATTTTTGGACTTAACAAATGTCCAAATGTCACAAAGGTACAATGTACTGCAATTTGGGGTCCCATTCTTGTTGTATGTGAAGAATCTTGGGAACTAAGTCATTTACATGGATTGTTGATAATCGATCAATAGTAAGATGTAACGTTTCTAAATTTAAACTACACTAAAATTATCTACACAGGCTTGAGCCAGCTTGCAGCTACTTGCTGTGGCTGTATAAGCCAGACCAAGTTTTGATTACATAAGCAGCATGACTTGTGAGTTTTGGTCAAGCCCAAGAATCAGAGCCGGCTTTAGCTGGCGCTAGCCAAAACTGCAGCAACACTACAACCAGGTATTCGAGCCTAAGCCTGAATTTTTGGGTGAGGTTCGGGTCCCAGATGAGGACATTGGAGAGGTTGACCTCAAATTTGATTTGAAGTCTGACAAGCACACCACTCACTTTGGTCTTTGTGGACATGCAACCACTGTGTTTCCAGTGAAAAGCAAGACACTGTTGGCTCTGGTACCAAATCTCCCTCATCATAACCCTCATAACCCTACCAACGAGCTGGTTGTGAAGCTCTATTGGCCAGAAGAGGAGCACAAGAGTGAGGCTGAAATACTCCAGAAGGTGTATGAAATTGCAAAGAAAGATGAGGAGGGCAAGGTGAAGCACCATGTCCCAGAGATGGTCTGGTCCCACAAGTTTGAGGATACATCCACGGCAAACATCAGGAGGGCATTGGGACTTAAGGACGCTGAACATGGCAGGCATGTCCTATATATTATCATATTCAGAAAGCTCAACCAGATTATGGACCTGAGTGACAAGGAGTTCCTCACTGCATGGTGGCACATCATTGTCTGTACGTGTTCTTCCTTCTTGCACTCCATATTGGTCCCTGATACCTGCAACTCCAGATCACTATGCCCTCTGGGGGGAAAAGGTCCATCACCACAATGTCAACCCTAGCAACCTCATGGTCTACAAGATGTTAGATGGTTGATATATTGGGATCCTCAATGACTTCAACTTATCATCAACTCAAGATAGTCCCTCAGGCCAGGAGCATACAGGCACAGTACCTTTCATGGCCATCGAACTTCTCATGAAGGAAGCCATCGAAGGCCAGGTCAAACACCTGTACCAGCATGATGCAGAGTCATTCATATGGGTCCTCACTTGGGTCTGTCTGCATTATCAAGAGGGCCAGCTGCTGCACAATAGTAAGCCCCTTGATGAATGGCTGAAAGTGGCTGCTATTCAATGCAGGAAGGAAAAGACTGACTTTTTGTACTTGGGTCATGATGACATTGAACCCTCACCATCACACCTTAAAAACTGGGATTTTGTGCAATTTTGTCTTGATACTCTCAGCTCTCACTACACAGTGCATTCTAGTATATGACTTCCACTGGAGGATCATGTTGTGTTTAAGACGTGGCTTGGGAATCAGATACATGACTCAAAGATACTGTCACAGGAGCTTCTTGATGTCCGCATGTAATTTATATCATAATACAAGCCTATACTTAGCATTTACATAAATAATTCGATGATTTTGCGATTGCTAATTTAGTACTTGTCCTTATCTGATTCGAAGCTTATCTATCACTACGATTGATCAAACGTTTGTTTACAACTTGCAAAATAAAATGTCTCGAACACCGCAAATTGAACTCTCCGAGTGCTAATATCTCACTCTGATATCATGACCCCCAATGATGGTTGGTTCTGTCTTCCTTCAACCGCGTGTTCAGCTCCTTATGACAACTTCATAGTACTCGTCGGTGTCATCGGTGGTAGTGGGCTATATCATCTTGATAACCTGACTTTCGTGTGAGTTGTGACCTGAACGAGTTATGTTCTGTAACTCACGACAAACACCTCAGGGAGAAGGTCAACCCAGAGACTGTTCGTTTTCATCCTCTAAGAGTCTCTGCGATCTTGACCAATCTGCGTTGCTGTCTTCTTAGCCTTGGGGATACCCATCTTCGCCCATTACCATTTGCTCGCTACCTTCAGGATCAAAGATCGCCTTCCTGGCTCGTCACGGGCAGCACCATTCGATTGCACCGTCAGCAGTCCCTTCTCGCGCTAACATCGCAGCTTTGAAGTCATTGGGCGTCCGGGTTATTCTTGCATTCAGTGCGGTTGGCTCGCTCCGCGAAGAGATCACCCCGGGATCTTTTGTCATTCCTACTCAGATCATTGATCGCACGAAGGGCATACGCCCAGCCAGCTTCTTTGAGGGCACGAAGATAGTCGCTCATGCTGCATTTGGTGATCCATATAGCATGAAGTTGATCCGTTGGCTGGAGGTAAGAGTAGAGAAGGCTCTTGCAGACAAAGGCAGAGGAGTAGTTCTCCACAAGGACAAGTGCATCGTTTGTATGGAAGGTCCTCAGTTCTCCACCAGGGCGGAAAGCATCATGTATCGAGCGTGGGGTGGGGATCTCATTAACATGAGCGCTTTACCCGAGGCCAAGTTAGCTCGGGAGGCGGAACTAAGGTGACTTGACCATTCGCTTTACTTTAATTTGACTGAGAAACCCTTTAGCTACGCATTAATCGCAACTGCCACAGACTATGATTCATGGCGTCCTCATTCGGAGGCGGTCACTGCCGCGGAAGTGTTCAAAACCCTGCAGGACAATGCTAATACATCGAGACATGTTGCAGCCGCAGTTCTTGAAGACCTTCATGCTGCCGCGTTGGATGGGGACATTCTGAGTGAAGAAATGGGCGGCATGCGTTTCTCTATCATGCCGAGAAGTGGCGAGCAGGACCAGGAAGGTATCAAGAAGCTGGCCTTCATACTACCCGGCTACTTCACGCCAGGCGATGTTGCTAACTAGATGCTATCATCTTGGTGTTAATCTAGAATGGTGTGCAGATTCACCTACGATCTAGGTTTTCGTTAATAGTATATCTCTTTGAAACATCAATCATTTCACCGCCTGGCAATCCAGCTCGTGGGAAAAGCTCTTGTCCGGTGTTGACATAGCAAACTGGCTTATTTGTAGATGTGAAGTGGGGGAAACTAGTCTGTTCGACCGGGTTCACTTCCTTAGGTGTTAAATGCGGATAAGTAAATGAAAAGGAACAATTAGGCTCGAAGAGGACGAAAATCAGGGGATGGGGATCGTCAATTTCTGTTCATTGCAAGAAAGAAAAGGGAGCGATGAAGATTCTGCCTGATCACTAGGTAATCGTCCATGACAGTAAAATAGCTGGCTGCTCAGTAATCATCCCCATTTCGGATTTGTGTTACAGTATGTAGTTAGCACGAGTGCTAAGTTCGCCTCGGATGGTGGGCAATTTTGAGGTATGAGATGTGACATGTTTGTGGATTTACAGGTTATGCTCTGCAATGTAGCGCATGATGAGAAGTGAAGCCATGATGTCTAATGGTAGAGTCAGCTACTGTCCAAGGATAGATAACAGCAACCTGCCTATAGAAAGGTGACAAAATGATTCGTGAACGGTCAGAGTGTTTCCGGAGACGCCATAAGCTGGCATGTGTGGTTGGCGAAGATCGTAATGGGCGACAAGGTAATTTTCTTCTGAAATGCACTGTAGAAAAGACGGATCTAGGTATGTTGGTGGACAAAGCATATTTAACGTACCGACCACTCGTGACCGTCTGCGCTTTGGTGCTCCCATCTGTATTCTCGGCCATCACTCGCCCGGAATTTTCTGGAGAGAGATCTGTGGTATATCAGATTTGACCCCGGCAACACAGGAGAACAGCATACCCTCCGAAAAAGGCCGTCTTTCGTAGGTATCTGTTCATCGGCATTGTCATGCTGGGCGCAGGAGGGTAGAAAAAGTTGACATTTCCTAGTCCTCCTGCAGCACCTTCTGCAAACTCGAGTATCGCTGAAGGCTGCCTTTCTAGATGCCGTGTGTCTCCGTGTCGAGTTGAACGGCGTCCCATGTTGTAGATAGCCAAAACGTTGTTGTTTCTGGCAGGAGAACGTGGATGAGGCACTACTCGGAGGAACATGCGGTCGTAAATGTCATCATAGTCCGATCCGGCTACGTGGCCTGTTCGATCCTCGAACATGTATGGCATCTGAAGAGGTCTCATGATACTTGTCGAGGTGGCAAATGATACAGTAGTCGTGGCGCAAATGCGAGGCTGAAGTATTGACCTGACTGGTGCCTCTTATATACAGTCCCGCACGTTTCATGACCTGTGCGGTTGCTTCCTCGGGTCAGTAGGGTCCAAAAAGGGAGCCAACTTAGACTCCGGATAAGCTGCGTCGTTGGCGCGCATGGGGTATTCTAGTTCTCGCGGGGTTGCAATTTGCCCTGACAAACTTTAGCACTGGATCGTCTGGAGAGCGGAAAAGGACACCTGCCTTGGCGTGCCGGTCGCGTCATTATTGACTTGGAAATAAAATCCCCAGTTTGCGAGGCACGAGCCCCGTCCTCAGCGGACAATGCTATTGAATGCAACAACTTGAACATGGGGCTACCGAACCGAACAACGAACTATGGGATCTAAACCTGTATTGTGTACAAAGTTGAGCCTGATGCCAATCCTTACGTGATTGCCTTCGATGGTAACGCAAGAAATGGAAGCTCGCAAAGTCAAATGTCACATCCAACGAATGGCATGCATGAGATGTCCCACCTGTGTACTCTTGGCCAACTACCAACGTGCGAAAACTTTTCCACTCGCTCCCTTTTCCAATAACATGTGGTGATCAGACATGTCACGAGCTCATGCTGACACGACGTGTGCCTTGCAAAAAGCGCTGGAACTAGGACCGGGAAACCTGCGCAGTGGCACCTGTGGCTGCGTTCATGAGAATACCGGATCCAGGCGCCAGACTGTGCAAGCTCTTGCACTTACAGGAATGGTGATCGAAGATCATCGTAGGCTCTGCGTTCAAGGCCCGGACGCTGTTGCATGGGAAACATGCCAAAAAGTGATTGGTTTGAATGCATCATTTACTGGCAAGTCAAGCACGAGGGTAAGGAGTCAGTGAAGTCGTGAGAAGTACATCAGCACATACAAGGCTTGCTGTGATTTCCCTCTAAAAATATAATCGGAGGTTTCAGAGTCTAACGACCGTAAACATAGTTGAGTGAGTATTTTTTTTCTTCCAATGCAAAGAAGGGAAGTGCTTTGCGGAAGTACAGGTCATCAGAAATCAAAAACTTGGCGCATTATGGCATTGTGGGAAGTACGCCCTACGGTATGAGGCACAGAAGGGGCTAGAGTCACAAGCTCTTCAAGTAATTAGGTGATGCGCAAGTGTGGAAAATGAGTTTAGGGCATCAATGGGTTTCCCTTGGGGATCCCCACTGGTCTCCCCACCGAATGCTGCACAAAAGTGATGAAATAGAAGCACGTGATTAGGGCGGTGGTTGTTCGAGACTCACAAGACCGGATTACCGACCTCCTTAAGGTACACACTCTTCGCCACTTGAGACAGAATGATAGCATCCAGAGAAGGCATTCCACACGAGTAGCAATTTAGGCAATCTGAACACGAGAGACCATGAACAAGATGACCGAGATAATATAAAAGCGTACGGGAGAAGTCGTTGGCAGGGAACGACATTCACCACATCTTTCCTCCATCAAAGCCACCGTCCGCGCCAATATTAGTTGCAGAAGTCTTCGCATCTAAGAACAGTTCATTCATCTCTCCAATATCCTCTACTTCTATCTGGCTTCTTCCGGAAAGACTGGCGAGGATTGAAGCTGGCGTAAGAAGTTGGAGAGCATATCTGTTAAGGCAGTCATGAGAAGTTCACTGTTTAATAGTGATATTCATACCGCATCGATCCTCGTTCACCCTCCTCTGCTATTCGCTCCAAAACTCCAGGACCCAATTTAAGGCCTTCTACGTTCGCGCGTAATTGTACTACCTTGCCGATCTGCTCGCGATTGTATCCGTCAGTCTTAACAATAAGACACCTTGATAAGGCAAATCAGTCGAAGGTCTATCATGAGGTTTGCAGACTAACCGATCCAACAGATCTACAGGGACACCATGAGGTGAGACGACGTCGGTCGTCCCTCGTACTAGTGCATTTCCACGATTGGTAGCAAGTATTACAGTAGGTGCCATGGGTGATTCAAGGAGGGCATTGAGATAGGTGAAGCACTCGATATCCAACATATGGACCTAAGGAAAATGTTCAGCCCTCGCTCCTACAGAAACGTGAGAAGATAGATACCTCATCAATGAAAACCACGCCCTGGAACAACCTCCGCAACGCCCTGGTCTACGTAGCCTTTCACCACCTTGTTGACTTCTCTTCGAAGTTTATCTGTCACCTCCGTCCTTCCGCTCTTCACGAGGCTACCCATGACGCTCATGATGTCTTGACCGCCTTGCGGACGTGCATTGGCGGCATCGAGATCACCGAGAGTAACATCTTGAACAAGCTCTTTACGTTTATGAACGTCGCCTTTTGGTAATGGCACGTATGTCTCGGACTCGAGGTCGTAGGAGGAGGCATATGCATCAGATCGTCCAACTCTCTGCATAAAAAGAAATTGACCTGTGTATGTTTGATTAAGCAATATTGACACACCTTGACTGCACCAGTATTGGCTTCCACATAGATAACATCACCGACCACAATTTTTTCCTTGAGGATTGCTTCATAGATGGTGGGATCCAGTCGTAACTGCTTGGTACCTTTGACGGTTTTGAGACCAACGATAACATGCGAGACTGTCTTTCCGTATCCGCTCAATGGATTCTCAGATTCTGCGGGTGTAAGTTCGGTGACCTCTCCTTCGTAGACCTCCTTGGTTTCTTTTATCCGCAGACCTGTTGAAAAATAACGTGTTGAGTGTGAAGTTGTAGATCCGAGCCAAGACATAGGAGATGTGATACACAGCACAACATAGAATGCGTATTCACGAGAAACCTGACAAAGACTTTCAAACATCTAAGGTACTCACCGATTGCCCTCCTGAACGACTCTGCGAGTACCTCCGTCTTCTTCACCTCTGTGCTGTACACCTCAGAACCAACCATCGGGCAGAATGGTACCTTGTTGCCAAGTTCGTGCGATACTGCTAGAGCAAGGGCTGTCTTGCCTGTTCCCGGCGCACCTACGAGAAGTAGCGCACGTCCCGAAAATTTGCGGGATTTTACAAGATCCACCACCACACCACATGCCTACGAGCTTGGTGAATTTCAGGAGAAAGAGAGAACAACGTTATAATGACTTCTCGAGCATTAATCTGGCCTATGAATCCTGCTCCATCAGGTGCTGCAAGGCCATCTGATGTAAGCCCCAATCCTTTTATGTGCGAGTGAGGAGCGATTCTAGAAGAGCGAGCATTGGATGTTGCAGATGGTGGAGGTAGAGCGTTATGAGCGACAGGTGCTGACGTAGATGGTGTTGTGCTTGTTGCTTTCATGATGGCTTTTCCTTGGAACGCGTTGAAACGCGGCAATCGTGACTGTCACGATATTATGTCAGCAAAAGGTTGTTTATTTCTAAAGCTGTTGCCAAACAAACTCCGATTTCATACATACATCGATCATCCTTCGAGAAATTAGAATTGGTCCGATGATTGTAATCTCTGCATTGCTATCTTCATCATTTTTTTTCGAATGTTTTACATAGATGGTCGATCAGTCAAGGAGCAATTTCATAGCATAGGAGTACAATTTATTGGCAGATACTTATCCTGCAAGCCACGCACTCGACGTCGCAACTGCTCTGTTCAAGTAGTCTGAAAATTATTTTCGAATGTCACCAGTCCGCAAATCCAACGAGCTTCCCGTCCCATGTCCACCAAATCATCTCGTCCTCTTCTGGAATTTCATGGCTCGATATTGTTTCCGAATCTTCGGTTAGTCTCTGTCGGCTGCGAATCCATACACCTTCCACTTTTCCGCCTTTCTTCTTCTTAATACCATCTCTTGTTGGACGCTCCCCAGATTCCTCAAGAAACTGGTCTAGCAGCGCGTCAAAAGCACCGCTGAGTGCTTGCCTAGGTACCCACGCCGGGTGCATAAATTTTCGCGGAGCACGCAACACTATGTGCGTCTGAGTTGGAGCTATTCCCGAAACAGCGTTAAGGTGCAGATAAAGTGCTAAGACGGTGACTACTGACCCATTTCGCTGGCCATGCCCTGTCCATCATTTTCCCCGCACGCGCTTGCAAGTGTGCGAGAGAGCAGGCGTTCGGCGGTGCGGAGGGCTTCAAGTTCTTGGGCATAAGTTGGAGATAGTATGTGTGGTTGAGGAGGCGGAGAAGAGGAGGGAGAAGGCGTCCTAGACGGTGGTGGGGAGGCTGCTCGAGGAGATTCGTCGGACTCCGTTTCCGAAGCTGCTTCTTCATCGCCTGAACTATCACTGCTATCACTATTACCGCTTTCATCTGAGTCGGCCTCGCCATCACTGCCGTTGTCCGAGTCAGAGTCATCTTCACTATCACTTTTCTCGTCGTCATCCCCGCTCCCTCTTCCACACGTTCAGATGGAACACCCGAACAATCATCTCGTTCTCCCCAGACCTTTGCTTCTAAAGCATCCACACCCACCATTACCCTACATTTGGCGGATCCAGGCGTAGGACCAAGAACAACTGCAAGGTAGGCACAACCAGAACTTCGAGCACCTTTCGTCCCACAGTGGTGAGAAAACGCCGTGGAGAGTGCTGTAAATGTCGTATTGAGGTGTGATGCAAGGGTGTCAAATGAATTGAGGAGCTCATGGCGCTTCTTCGCAGCTCGAGATGTGGTCTTTGTGGCGTCAGTTCTAAGGTCAGATAAATTAGCAAGGCACTTACATCGCCACCGGGCATCCGTGCCATCTGTATGACAGGGCTATATAAATATCAGCAGGATATGTGATTGCTAGCGCTTGAACTTACAAAGGAACCTGACTCTTCAAAAACAAAACATGGCCGATCAAGCTAATGCACAATCTGGCGGCCATAGAGTCCGTCACAAGGTCGGCGTCGATTGTGATGGATGGAATCTTCGTAGGAGGAGGAGGCATTGGAGCAGCTTGTCTATTCGTATAGGTATCTTCTATTTCATTAGGGGGCGCATGCCTTTCTAGCTTGCAGTCAGAGAGTGTCAGGATACGCATGATTGCAATTTGGAGGACTGGTGGACGAGGTGACATAGTACATGTGACGTCACGCGTTCAACGCGTTTTTGTCACGTGTCAGAGAATATTTTCCTGAAAGCCCTCAGTTGTGTTATAACACCGATGATGAAGAAGCCCTGATGGCTCAGTTGGTTAGAGCGCAGGTCTCATACTACCTGTATGACCAGTATTGTTACTGGGCAATCCTGAGGTCGCAAGTTCGAACCTTGCTCAGGGCATCATGTTTTCTGTTGGTCCTCATTTGAATTTTTTTTAGTTCTTTTGTAATGATCACGAGATTCGGAGACACGGCAATCGGCAACGAAAGGGTGAGCACCTTTTTATGCTTTTCTTTGGCAACCTACTTCAAGGCCAAATGCCGAGTCGTGGTGAAATCGTCTGCTGAAGTAAGTAGGTTTTAGGTATGTGATCCGCCATGCAGCCTCGACTATTTTCTGCTAGACATCAGTAGTACTACTAGTATGGACGTACTAAACCGGTCATTTCCCGCCGAAACACGTACAACTACAACAACATCTCCGACAAGTGCTTCCCTCCCTCAGACACCACGAGAAACTCGACTTTGATGTCCTCGGCAGCTGCGAGCTGACTAATAATGAGAGCTCCAAGCTCAAAAGTCAATCGTATACGAAAGGAAGGACCTCGCTTGCAAATGCGACGGAGGCGGGCCGTACAAGCCTTGAGCGTGCGCCGCCATAAGGGCCAGCTTCAAAGACTGAGTGCGGTGGCACGGACTCGGCATGATTCATGTTTCACACTCCGGCGTAGTGTTGTTTCTGGGCGACGAATTCTGTTTGCTTCTCATTCGAGACGCTGTTCGTCTGACAGCTTCGTGGGAGGTCGTCCCCAACACCCACTTTAGTGGGATTCCCTCACTTCAAGGTACGAGCATTACTCCTTCAATCCCGTGCAAGACCCCGAGGAGCCCATTTTTCTTAGTTCCAACAGTTATTCTTTCGCTGACCCTGTCTGTCAATGTCTTGCGTCCCAACATTGCGCCTGCAGCTCACTCCTCCATGTCACAGTACGTTCCAATTCAGTTCAATGCCCTTGTTCGACAAACTCCCTTCGTATAGTCCAAATTCTAACTTATCCTAGCGCCCACTGTTCACACCACTCAAATCATAGACCTGCCGTCGCCATCGCGCTCTGGCTTCCGCTCATTCACCCCCTTTGACATTAACCACAAGCCTACACCTTTTTATCTTGTTCTCCTGCATGGCAAAAGTTGGGACCCGTCAATTTGGTAGCTGTACTCGGCTTTCATTCAAAGTCAATTGATACGGTCGTTATTTTAGACATTTGTCCTGAACTGACATTCCAAGTCAAACAACTAGATAATGATTTGGCAGGGTAACTGAGATGTTCAAGTATGTAAGAACACTGAGAACTGAATTCCCCTCCAAGCAAAGCTATTCTCCCTTGTCCGCAACTGACACCGAAGCTCACTTACCCGACAACCTTGCTCCATTCCCAACTTTAATGGTACAATTCTTCCTATTCCGAAACAGTCCAGCTCTCGGATCTCAAAACAAACGAGGTACGTGTCGGCAGAGTGAGTCAAGACCTCAATCACCACTCATCAAGTTAGCTTGTTATTCGTCATCTGACTTCTTTGCGCCCCGGTGGTGCCACCTGCACAATCGCCTGCACTGCCTCTACTCGCTCATTAACAACTGCCTTTCTTGACGAGCCTTGGTCCAGAAAATCCCACGTTTCCCTCGGATTTCTAAGTTCGTCTGTCTAGGCTTAGCTTCTGCAGTATGGCAGCTGGCTCGGAGTGATCCCACAGGAAATTCAACTTGTTGGTTGAAACTCGATTGGATGGCCAGCCCTTGATCCCATGACTGACTGTATCCCATGGCCGAACTGTATCATGCTACTGTCGAACTCGATCCTCTCGTCGGACTTCAGGATACTCGCAGCACTCGTCGTGACCCCACTGTTACCGTTCTTGTAGCTTGTGTTGCAAAAATGAACTACCGGGAGACTGGGCTATAGTGGAGTATCGAGCGTTTCTATGCATAACTGTCGTGTGTATTACCCGAGTGATCTTTTGCCAATCGAGCATCTAATCTATGTTCTATGTTACTAAGACACCGATGAAACAATCGACCACTCATGGTACGAATAGCAAGAAAATGTATTTCTTTTACTTCTCGTACAGGTGACTCCCCGCGCCAGAAATGCTCAATGAGAGACGCGTCGTCAGTTTCATTAGGACTCACAACATAATTCATGCGACTAACACCAAATACAGATCATCTTGATAATCATCGGTCAAAGAGGATAACGATGTATGTAGACTGCATATCTTGTGCTGTTACATTCTAGCTGATTATGCTTATTGTCTACGTTCAAATAAAGGTATATATCAAATGTTTAGTGGTGGCTTCGACGCCGCCGCCTATAAAGGATCATCGACCTTTATCGACATACTTATATTATCACATCATACATGTAATAATCTTAAAAAAATTGCTCCACCCGGCGTCGGGCATTCATGCTACACTACCCCACAGCTCCATGCAAGGTACTGAAAGTGCTCAGAGAAAGAAAATCTTGGTGCATGTTTCACGACAGCGGATCTCGCAGGCACCGCTACTACCCGAGGATCAGCAAATCATGGTAGATGCCGACGTGTCCACCCAACTTCCCCTCGGACAAGTACAGGATGGTGTAGTTGTGATGATTAATCTCGAAACAGGTCTCATGGCTGTGTGAATATCTAGGACTGGGAAGAGCTTTGTGACCGTTGTGGAAGGCATTTTGTGGCGAAGGTGCTTCGATTGCATATCCCGCACTCTACGGGCGTGAACGGTCCTATATTAATTAAGTTATATATCTTGTGCGTCAATAAAAAAATTGGATTATGCGTTGTTCGGCTGTCATAAAGTGGCGAGGGCCAGTGAATGGCTGTACACACGGTTTGAACGGGTTGCTCCTGGAACTTCGGAAGTAATGACATTCCAGGGAACCGAAAATCTTCGGACGAAGTGACAGGAAACAGCCGGCGGTAGACTCTAAACTCTGATCTAATACATAAATTGATCGTCGTAAGGATGTTCAATTCTACAATGTTGTTATTATTGCTCGGGTCCCAAACTGAGTTGTTTGGGGCCCGAGTAACGCAAAGGTCCCCCGCTAGGCGTTAGCTGGACTCATGCCTAAACCTTACGGCGCGGAACGCAAACATGACTAGCAGACACCACTTGCAGTCTTCACCACCACCGTCGTAGCGACCACCGACATTTTAGAATTGAGTATGTCTGTATGTAGGTGTCGGAACTGGCGTGGCCGAGCGTCGTTACGATACATTTGTGGGCTATTAAATTAATGGTATCGCTGAGTATCACTGACACTGGGTGCTTTTTTTAGAGTGCAGGGATCCACTGGCCGGTGAACTGATGAGTCATATCACACTGTCAATTTACGGGAAACGTTACTTTGTGTTTCATTTGTGTCATCGTCGCCGGTCGGGTTTTCTGCTACTTTTGAATCAAGCTCGTCTTGTGATAAGTACTAGTCAGTACTAGTCGATGAAATGTAACGAGAATTCACGTTCGCCTTTTTTTGCTTCAGCATATAGCCCTTCGGGGTCATTGCCCTATGGTGGACATTTATGTAACTCGTCATAAACTTTCTTTCGCTTGGTGAATTCTATCGGGAGGATGATGGATTCGTACTTCGTGTTTCTTTTTCGGGGGATATCCTACTAGTCCATGGGCCGCACAGGTAGTTCCCGTGACACATACTTCGAAGCTTCATGTGAGTTGTGCTTGATTCTGCTCAAGCGTTCTAATGTGCACTTCGCACTGCATGACAGTGAGAGTCTGAGACACATTCAAAACCAGTACATAATTAAACAATGACACGGCAAATTATGTTTAAAATTCGGGGGAACGAATGTCCTTCAACTTTAGAGGTAACTTGCTGTACAAGAACATAGCCACCCCACCGCCACCATCAACCAGTCTGGTTACAGTAGTAATAATCCTATTACTAGCTCAGATCGACTCGCTGCTGAATTAAATCATGTCACTTACCATTGTGGAGATGATATAGCAGCAAGCTGCTGTGTAGCCACTTTCACAAGGCTCTGAGTAGTCTTGGCATTCCTCGTCGTTAACACTACCCAGTTCAGATGTATCCTTTTCAACATATGTAAGCGCAAATGTATCTCGCCGTTTATTAATGCTAGAGTCTCACCTTCTCGCAACAGCGAGCTGTGCCATCACCACAGTTGGTCGAATTGGTCGAATTGGTCGAAGCCTTGACACTGGCTTGCGAAATGAGAAGAAAGATGGTGAAAAGTATGAAAGTGCGAACGAACATGTCGATTAGTCCACTGAAGCTTCAAATGAGTGCAGCACTATTTAAGCAAACGCGACCGGGGGTTTATCACCTGAATGTGTGCATTTTACTCTGGAACTGAAACTGGATTAGCCAGTCTCGTTGAAGTGTGAGTTTGAAGCAATCGTTCATACTTCATGTCACCATAGGTTTCCATTGGAAATGATCGCCACCGCAGCTCGACGACAAGGCTTTCCGATTGGTACTCAGATATAGCCTAGGCTAGAAGGCATCCTCCGATAATCAGGCAGCGGCCTGTTCCGTATAACCTTGGTATCCCTAAAATTACGAAAGGGACATCCCGATCTAGAACACTGGTAGCACGAGCCACGAAAACGTTTTATGGTCAGAGCGATATTGGAGTATGAAGCGATCGAGGAATATGAGTGTTTGGGGCTGTTGATAGATGCAGAACGATGAGAATGGTTAGAGTGCAAGTGCAACTTGATGGAGTTCGATGGACCCGTCCAGATCAGACGGGATACCACGTTGCCGCTCGAATCTAGGATGAAGAATGCTAGAACAGCTAGAGGGACAGAGCGCAAGAGCAGCTCGAGTAAGTTCAATTGCCTCCTCTACGTCAGACAAGAAGCCCCGCTACACATATATGACTCGAAGGCTGGTGGGTACTGAAAGAGCAGGGTCGGTAAGAATTGGTTGAGGGGACAAAGAAAGAGTGCAGCCCGACAGAGCTCGATGGTCTCATCCAGGTCAGGCAGGTTGCCCCGTTGCTCGAATCTGGTTTGCAGGCTCATAGCAAGGTTCAGGGACTCCGATTGAAAAGAATTGCCAGGTGAACAAAGGGCCAGTGCAACTCATTGGAGTTCAATAGCCTCATCCGTGTCAGACGGGATGCCCCGTTGGTGGGGTATTTCTTTAAGGCAGTCGGCAAGGTCGTTGAAAGACGTGGATATCGATATGGCCAGTAGGACGGAGCAACGGTGGAGCCCGATGGTGTTCAATGGCCTCAGACAGGTCAGACAGGTCACCCAGCTACTGAGATCTGTCCTGTAGGCTGATTGCAAGGTTGTTACACGATGTAACTCATCCAGATCAGATAGGAAGCCCTGCTGCTGAAATCTGTCTCGAAGGATGTTGGCAAGATAGCTGAGCAATGTAGATCTATCAGAATTCCGGGGGGACAAAGTTCCATGGCAGCTTGATAGTGCTCAACGGCCTAGTCCAGATCAGACAGGAAGCCCTGCCGCTGAAATCTGTCTCGAAGGCTGTTGGCAAGGATACCGAGAAATAAGAGTCTGCGAGGGTGGCCAGGGGGGAATTCGTGCAACGCTGCTCGACATTGTTTTGCAATGTGTTTATATATCTCGACGAGGAATATGAGGGATGCCTAGGGATGATCAAGGTGAGTCAGAGCGTGCTGAAACGAGAAGAATATAATTGTCCCAGCTCCGCAGTAAGCGTCTCGAAAATTGAGTGAGGTTATGATCACTTACATAGTATTGCACATAATCGTGTATAACTAACACGCAATGAGTGAGCAGAAACACTAATTAGTCTCATCTAGTACCGCCAGATATTGGAGGGAAATTATTTAACGAGTTGAGCTTGGAGAGGCCGGGAGCGTTTCGTTGGCACGCGAAAACACATTTCTGATCAAGATTCGTGTAGAAATTTGACGATTCTTTGGGTGAGGTTGACAGTCCAAAGAGATTGCGAAAAAAATGTATACGTTGAGTATCCACTAGACAGTCGAAGAAGTGAATGAGCAGAAGTGGCTACTACATTAGGCATGATGCGAAGCCATCTGCCCACACTAGACGGCCGCGGAGTCCATTCCCTTAGGCTTGGAGGCATCAAATCGCGGAGAACGAGTCTTTTTGAACTCCGCTCGGCAACACTCACCCTTCGTGGTTATCGTTGAATACATACCTCACTATTGCTTCTTGCTATTCTGAATACAACAACCTTTGAAAGTTTTGTGCTCATTTCAACTCACTCTAGTGTTAGTCATAATTTGGATGTCTGTCTGCACATTTTGTTAGCAGTTGATCGCTGGTATCGTTATCACAGCTGCGCAAACGCGATGGACAACCTCCAAGTCAGAAGAAGATATTTGAGGTTAGTCTCACACTGCGATTTGGTATTTTGACCTTGCAGGCCTTAATCTCAACCTAAAATTGGGCGATCCTTCTAGTGGATTTCCACTCCATTTTATTTGATACTGACATGTTTGACACTCGTGGAAAGTAGCCGATGGAATATAACAAGATTTCACGTATCCTACGTCATACAAGGCAAGATTTCATCCATATCGTGAGTCCATGTCCTACTACGTGTTGTGCTTACTGGTGGAGAGCGTTTCGAGACTTCAAACTAAGTATTGAATGATGATATAAAGGTTCGAGACATTTTCGCACCAGTGGTATATTATGGATTCAATATAAATGTGTGGTATAATCCGTTCAAAAGTCCAGGTTAACAAATGTCCTTCAGGTCCGTGCTTCAAAATATCTAACAACCCCACTGTTAACCTGACGTAGTTTGGTTGCAGTAATAATAGTCCTATTGCAAACTGAGATTGACCGAGCTGTTAGATCAAGTTGTAACGCTTACCGTGACGGTGTAGCAACAAGATGCTACATAGCCACTTGTGCAATTCTCTGAGTAGCTTTCACACTGCTCGTCATTAACATACCCCGGGTCGGACGAATCCTTTTGCAACACAGGTAAGTACAGATGCCTTTCTACGCTTATGAATAGTTCTCACCTCCTTGCAGCAACGAGCTTCACCGTCACCACAGCTAGTCGAATTGGACGAGCTCCTGATAACAGCAGCCATAACATAGGCTTGGGAAATGAGAAGGAAGATAACAGAAATCGTGAGGATTCGAGCGAACATGTCGATGTCTATCGAGGTCTGAGTGAGTGCTGTTTCATGGGCAGATGCCGCAGCATTTAAGCCCGTCGGCCAGCGGCGTCGGTAAGGTGAGTTGAAAGCCAAATTCGAATGACTTCATACCTGATGTCACTAAGCGCTCCCCGAGGGCTCCCCGAGGCCGCATAGCGGCGACTCCGTGTGGAAAATCATAAGTGCGGGCAGCATGTGTGGAGACCGGTTGCTGGTACCCTGCCATCATCACTCGGATCTTCCTCGGTTTCTGCAATCCCTGACCGAACTAACCAAACCCCACCTGGGTTCTTTGTTTGGACTGTGCCGGGTAATCGTCGGACCCATTTGCACCTACCACAGTGTTATACCGGAGTGTGGTGCCCTGTTACCACTCCGCCATCATTTGGCTCCCAAGCCGTGAGGTATGTACCAACAGTGTAACGTAATAACGTAATGAGAAGGCCTCAGACCTCGTAGGCTTATGACGTCATTTTGGACTTTGTGCTTTACTTGCGTGTTTTCACATTCTCTGATTCATTATCACTCCACCGACGTCACATCCTACCGTATTATTCTTCTTCCCTAACTTCGATATCGAATTACCGCACTCTCGAATTCTCACAATATAACGTCGTCCGGTCAATTCGTGTCCGACCCTTAAGTCACAAAGCACCTGTACCAGCACGATGCATCGGAGTCATTCACACAGGTCCTCACCTCAGTCTATTTTCGTTGTCAAAAGGACAGACTACTGAACAAAGGCAGGAAGCTTGATGAATGTCTACAAGTGGGTACTATTAAGTGCAGAGTGGACAAAATGGACATCATAATCTTGGGTTGTCATAGCATTGATATTGAACCCTCACCATCGCACGAACATAGCTGGATAGTTGCACGATCCTGCCTTCATCTTGTCGGGTTGTTCCATGTGGACAATGCTGAAACTTCCTGACAAACGCCATCGTATTTGAGATGTGGTCTGAGAAAATTATTCGCCGCCAATTGTCACTAGAGCCCCTAGATCTACATAGTCCATCTTGTTCATAGCATGAACTGACTTCCGGAATCTCAAGCTGATGTCCATTTCAAAGTTCTAGTACAAGGACTCCCCTTCGGTAGGCTCTTTGACGATATACTGTGCCCACAGTAGTAACTCGGGAGATATAATAATGGCATAATCTTGTCCTTTGACCGTCCAGTCTCTGCAAATAGACAATGTATTTGAGGCCCACTCTTTACACCCTGTTTACAATTGACCGTGAGCAAAGTGATCCGTCCGTAGGTCGAGCAGTGACCGACGACCACGAGCGCGGTTCGTGCTAGTGTCAAACCTTGACAACCATTAAATGTAGTTGTATACGCGGATCGCAGAGGAAACTGTCTTCGATTCAGTATCCACGACGAACGGTTTGGATGGAACGCAAAGTTGACAACGTTGAGGTGGGGGATGCGGTGGCTTTCGAATGTATTGAGTTGTACTTCGACGGACCGACGATGCAGCGCACACGCGCGTTTCTGACCAATGCCTTTTCTGCCAAGAGGTTTCGTTGAATAGCAAATGCAGTTCTGTTTGAGATCCAGGCGATGAGGGATACCCCAGGAGTGTTCTGGTACGTTCAATGGAATGTGCTCGGCTTCGGTCAGGTTGTCTGAACTAAAATAAGATTTTTATATTGTCTCCGTCGTATGGCCTTTTTTTTCAATCTTATATCTGCTTCTATTTTGAAGATCAATAACGCCGTGGAATGAAGCCATGGTACTCGTGAGGAAATAACCGCAAGTAGGATGTTAATGCAGAGCAACACAGCATGACGTAGTAGACGCAATAGCACCCGATGCCGGCGGTGATTCGTGCTGTAGTCTAAAGTCTGTTCAAGACTGGTTCTTGTTTTCATGGCGTCTCAAGTCATTACCAACACCGACCCGGAAACCTCTAGTCCTCCTCACAGCATGGAACAGGACAGACCGACCATCTTGAGAGCAAAAAACATATGACATTGTGGACGCGATCTATAGCCACCAAGCCGCCGGTTACTAGTATGGGTGCAAGTGCTTGCATTTTGTAGAACATATTAACACCTCATGGTGCATCATGACCGATACTCAGGTTGTCTCCGAGATGGCTTGGTGGACTCTGCAATATTCCAGCAACAATCATTCAATCCGAAAATGCATTCACTTACAAAATCGAGGGCGCTTGGCATTCAGGACGTTCAACGGTCTAATGCAGCAGCCACGTCTTATATGGCACGCCAATAGAACCATCCTCTGTAACACCGAAGTTCCAACAAGTCTTCTAATGTTTGAAAGCTGACCTCGGGGTTCCACAGAAAATCAACACAACTGCAACTTTGAGTGGTACCTTGAGGTCAGCTAGCACTTTGCCTCCAATTCAAACAAGGAGGGTGAAATTCAAGGTAACAGGGAGCAAAGAATGCCACCTGAACGTTGACCAGCTGCATGCAGGGTTTGATTCACTAAGTGGAGGATGGTGCGTTGTGGTAGTAAAGCGGAGTTCGAACATCTAACTTGGACGTACTGGCAGCAGGCCTGACGTTTCCAACTTGGGGTCCTTTGCACGAAATTCTGCTAGCGATAATCGAATTGATTATATTGCGGGCTCTATATGATTCACCCTACTTATCGATGGTTGGCCAACAGCCTCGGGCGTCAGCCAACCCCTTGGCGGCTGACTTGCTGGAACGACTAGGTGAGGCTGACTGCCCTATGCACATAAATACCCTAGCTCTCTCTTGTCCTGAACTTCTGGAACGACGAGACAAATGGCTGTCGCTGAAGACGCGTTCAAACTCCTTGGTAGAGTTGCTGATGCTTTCGACAATCCTTCCTCCCGCGAGTCACGCAAAGACTTCCGGGTAAACACCATCAAGATACACAGGCCCCAGACAGTATGTAATCTCACTATGCGTGCTAGGGGCCAACATTATACCTGTGCATCAGAGTCGCTCCAGTCAGGAAAGTCAGATTCAGCATGCTCGTTATCCCCGTCGCGAGCCCTCTCTCTTCGACGTCAGCTACATCTACGATGATGACGAACTTGCCGATGTATCGACGATTGGAAACCGTTCATGCGCGTCATCTGAAACAATCAAGAGCCTCACCAGAATTACCTCGTATGACAATGCGTTCTATACCTGTGATGATACGATCGCCTTGGTATTTCCATATCTATCTCAACATAGATCGCATTTGACAAATCCCAATAGGATGAATCATCATGCGACGAAATGACCAAGATGGTTTGTGAAACCTGTTCAGCGTCTCATTATTTAACCAACGTCTAGTAGCTTTTTTCCAGTGGCAGTCCACTTGACAGACTCAACAACATTGCTCGTGCCGAACTGAAGAAGACCGGCTGGTTCGAACGACCGTACGCACATAAAAAAAATTCCAGCCCTCACTCGTTCATCTTCCTCTAGCGATCAGTGGTCCATCGTCAACATGGGCCTTTCAAGTCCAATGACGCACACACGTGGACCCACGTCTCCCCCAAAAACCCCTCCATCCATCCTCTCCCCAATTCTCCCCTCCACACCCGCCATCACCGCCGCACCTCCATCCTTCACACCATCCCCACAATCACCCACGAAGACGCATTCCTCCTTCAAAGCCAGTACCCCAAACGGCAAATACAGCTCGAGCTCGCATGATAGTTTTCCAGACTTCAGCACGCTATCGTACGCTCCACGCGCCGAACCCGAGCCACCGAAACGTTTTGGAGTGAGTAGCCGTGTCAAGCAGCTCATGAAGCGCGTCTTGCACGTTAACGTCAGCGTGCATCCAAGCGGGAGATCAAGACAATCTTTGCTTGTGGGAGTGGGCTTGCGGCCTGCTTCCATGGCTGGAGGGTCTTCGGGTACGTGGGCGTTTGCTAGTTTTGGATCTGCGCATACTCAGGCGGGGAACCGATGGAGTGGGCTTTGGCATTGACAGATTCGTTCATGATTTATTTTTTGTATTCTTTCTCTCAGTTACTGTATCCAAATTCCTTCTCCAAGCGGTTCTATTTCAACTGGCCTCCATAAGGGTGGATGTGCTCCAATTATGTATACGACTCCTCCCTAACAATACCAATACAAATTACATCTCGAAACGATGACATGGTACATGTAAAATAGTCCTTTAAAAGTCTATGCATAAAGTCATACAAAAACCAAATGGTCATGACACCCACCCCATCCTATATCAAAGCCTGCTCGACATAGAATTCCCTCGCATCAGCCAACAGCTCCACCAACGTCCCCAACCAATCCTCCTCCACAATCGCCTTCTCCTTCGCCCACGCATCCAACCTCACGCTCTTAACAGTCATAGCAAACGCAGCGCTCACAGGTCGATGATCGCTCACATTCGCCTCGTATCGTTTATAATGCAGCTGCTTCACGCGCTCCGGGTCTCTCGAACGCCAAAGCACGCGATCGCACCAAGCCGGCACCCGTTTTTTCTCGCTCGTGTCGAATTCGTTGGAACGGCGGTCGTATTTGTAGGTGGGGGAGAAGGTGAGAGGTCCTTCGTGGAAGGAGCGGAGACGGAATCCGCGGTTGTGTTTCATTTCTTTTAGGAGTTGGTCATGGGTGTGCAGGGCTTCGAGGTCGCCGGATTGGATGGAGGAGATGACGGCGTCGCGGCGTTGGTCGATGCGATAGTTGAGGTCGCCATTGAGCTAAGAAACGATCAGGGACAAATTCAAGGAAAGGATGGGATAGAACGCACGAAGACAATCTCGTGATCTAGAACCATGGACCCATCTCCCCCACCGACGTACGCAAGAGACTCCTCAATAGCATCCGACGACGGAAACACAGATTTTTCCTCCAACATCGCAGTCACATCTGCATTGCGCTGTCTTACGTGATGCTGCCCGGCCGCAAGATGGCAATTGATGAAACAAATCGACGAATCACCAATTACAAACCGTGCGACGATGCCTCCCTGCATCAATATTATCGGCATGCCTTCAACAAGACTAAAAACACGATGCGTACCTTATTACCATATCTCCCACCCATCCCCCGCTTGATCGTCGTTATCGCTACATTCTTCAGCGCAGCCCTCTCCGAGTTCTTCACGAACATGCACGTGAAAAGCCCGACGAGACTTTCGGTATGTATCACCGTATACCCCTCCGCAAGCGCTCGAACCTCTTTTACAAGTCGATCATGCCACCGCTTATAACTGGAAGTCACTTTCTCTGATATTTTGCCCTCCTCGCCTTTTTTCTTTCCGCCCAGTAATACAGTCTTTGCAGCCATCTTGCGGCTTTCTAGGTCGATGAGCTCTTGGAATCCAAAAGAGATGATGTCAGGTGCTGGTGAGACAGACGTGAGAGCGTCGTTTAGGAAGGTGAGGTTTGCCGAGTCGTCGGTGAGTGCGTCAGGTTTGGCAGCGTCTACGTTCCAGGAAACGACGAGGACGTTGATAGTGCGGAAAGTGCTGAATTCACGCTCACGCTTCAAGAGTTCGTTGCCTGCCCCGACTCATCAGCCCAAATCTATAAAACAAAACGCAGCACACACCAATCCAATCAATCCCCAACAAGCCATCCCAAAACTTCATCTGCTCATCTCTACCAACACTCACCACACTCAACTTCTCCTCCTTCTCGATAGACCACGGATCCACGAATATACGCATGACCGGTAATCCAGAATGCGCGTTCCATGCGTTCGTCACGACCCAAGGGCGGAATGACACGTCATACGCGCATATAACGCCCGTGCGTCCACCAGCCCACAAACGCGTCCCGACGCCTTCGAGACTCAGCACGTCCGATGAACTCACTTTGACTACGTCTGCGCACTCGGGTCCTGCAGCTAGATTCCAGATGCTGATGAATCCACCCTCGTGCCCGAGATAGGCGAACCCCGCATGTGATTGGAGGAGCGTGCCGCTTGTGACTGCGCCAACGTGATGGGTGGCGTTCGGAAGGACACTCACGGTGCGTGAGATGCTGCCTGGGGCGAAGACGTCGTAGATCCTGACTATGGGTACTGTAGTAGGTCCAGAGCCGTTGGTGTCGCTGCGTAAGCTCGTCCAGAGAAGACCCCCAAGTAACTTTACGAATTCTTGTTTTTCTGCGATGCGGTACACGCGTGGGGCAGTAAATGTGAGACTTGGAACTTCGGAGCCAGATACAGCTGTCGGTTCGAATACGAGCACTTTCCCGCTTTCGTCTACGCTGACCATTGCGTTGCGGTGTCGGAATATATGCGTCACGACACCCGCATGGACACCGAACTTTGATCCGATGACCTCTCCTGAATCCATAGCGAGTTCGATCAAATGACCTTCCTTCGTCCCAGCCCATACCACACTACCCGCACTCCCAGCCCGGAACTCAAGCGCAGTCACTCTCGCATCGCGCACTCCCATTTCCTTGGTATCTCCCACCCATATCGGCACATCAACGTGCCGTGCAACATCGAAGCAGCGCAAGTGGTGGTGGCTAGCGACGAGCACGCGCGTACCAGCTACTAGGACTTGGGCCGCGTATGCAGGCACGTGCATTTTTGGAGTGCGTAGGGTGGGTGGACGACGGGAAGCACGACTCGCGTCCGGAAGGAGCATGCGTGGGTCATCGCCTCCCTCTTCTGCACCGGATTCTTCGTCTGATGAAGGGGTGTGTGCGCGTCGTGCCGGAGGGAGTTTGTCGCCTGGTGCGATGGTACGGGTTGGTGGTGGTGGGAGTTTACTGCTTCCGAGGGGTTTACGGTCGGAAATGAAGTCGTTGGGTATGGTTATGTTCATGCTGTGGCGTGCGGGGAGGGAAGGAGGGATATCTGGGATATCTTCTGGAGTCGGACGACGTGAGGGGAGGGGAGGGGGACTGCTGGGTGTAGGAGTTGAACTGGCTGACGAATTGCGGCTATTTTCGTTTCCAGCGCGTCGTGGAGGGGGAGGAGGGGGGACTGTAAGATTTGGGCGTGAAGGAGGTTTGTGTGGAGGGGAGATGCTTGCTACGCTGTCGCTTGAGCTGCCTGAGTACCCACGAAAATGAGTTCCACGAAAGGTGATTGCAGGTGGGAGTGAAGACTCGGATTCGTCATCAGAGAAGGGACTGTGTCTTGACGAAGAGTTTGAGCTGGGATGATCAAGGAAATCATCGCCACTGTCAAATAGAGCGGAACGATGGGGCGGGGGTGGTGGTGGTGGACGCCGGAGGGTTATTGGTGGACTGGGTGCAAGAATGTTAGGTTCTGAATGTGATGTGAGATTGTCATCGCGTGGAAGGTGTTTAGGTGTGGACTGTGGTGTAGGGAGAATTAATGTACTTGAATGATATCAGCACTTTTGTTTCGAATGTAGAGGCATAAGTACTCACGAGAAACGATTTCTAAGAGAGGCGACGCCGGTCATACGGGGCGATTCGGGTGCGTCAAGATATTCGTCAGAAGGAATATCTTCCGGACTTAATACTGGCTGAGAAGACAGGCGTAGAGGAGTGGAGTCTAGGACGTTGGAGTCGCTTTGAGTGAGTAAAAGGGAAGGTCGTTTTGCTGGTTTTGTTGGAGTTCGGTGAGGAGAAGTGGCTGCAGTTCTAACACAGGTAGCATTTTATGGAGCTAGCTGGCGGTGATATAGCACGGAACACTTACGCGAAACGTTCCCTCAATGATGCTACTCCACCCCCACGAGGAACATCGTCATCGTCCTGGCCAGACACTGACAAGTGTTCTAGACTCGCGCGTGGTGATCTGAGAGCTGCTGGCACTGGCACAGGTCTCAACAACGGCGAAACAGCAGGTGACATAATTGGTTTCTTGGCTGAGCGGGATGGTGGAGGCGGTGGTGGTGCACGCTTACTCGAATCAGAGTTGGGCAAAGCATTCCGCAGCTCACGATGTTGGACGTGAGAGCCATCCTTACGCTGTTGCTGCTGGCGAGGCGATGTAGTTGGGTTTGATTTGAGTGGCTTGCTTGTATTATCTTGAGCAAGCTGTTCGAATCTGCTCTTCAAGCTCTTGATAGAGGGAGTAGGTGCAGACTCGATTCCAAGCTGATCCTCGGCCATGAAATGAAACTTCTTGGCGTCCACACTCTTCGCAACCGAGGAACCTTGTTAAGCGTCGTCGTCGAACCAGCCTGAGACCCGCAGGAAATTGATAGAAACTGGTGAATTATTACGGTTCGTCGCTGTCGTCGGCGTCGTTGAACTCAGTTGTTCGAATTCGTGAGTGGGACCACCTTCATGGCGTAGCTGCCAAGAACTACTACCATATTAGCCGCTCATTATCTAAATTTGATTTGTCCGTTGGGAATGCCTCACACAACACGCTACGGTCACTCATCTTCATGCATCTAACTCGCCAAGTGCTCATCGCCATGCTTAATTTTGGGCACCTCGTTGGCTGCAGAATCAAAGTTGTACTAATATTACCTGCTAAACTCAGGACTTGTCTTGTCTATCTAGAGGTCTCTTCCCTCGTTTAATGGCCACGCCGCGGCCTGTCCGGGTCATTTTCAGTGCGTAATACTATGTCATCAACCTATTGGACAGCATTTCCCTCGCAGATAGGTGAGAGCTCAATCCTTCCCTTCTCCCAGCATATCGTGCTCTATGTCAGCATCTCCTCCAGTCCCCTAAATCATGATTCTAATGACCCTCATGTTCATGACCCCTCTGCCATCCCCAATACGACACGGAAAAGTGAAAACGGTGGTGTCAAATCCGTCGAAATCAGGTCGAAATCGAGGGATGTCAAAGTTGAAATCGGATTTCGACGTTTTTGAGCGTCCAAATCCAAGTCCAATTCGACGTCCAAATCATGTCCAAATCAGCCTCCAAAATCAACTTTGAACTCCCGTAATGATTAGCCGATCGTTATGTCAAACACAGACTTGCTGGTTACTCGTGTACATCATATAATTCGCCATGCCTTTCGGTCACCTCGTAGACCGCGGAATCAAACTGGAAGTCAAAGTTCCTAGGCAATGCGTAATCCTGTGCTATAAACCTATTTAACAGCATTTCCCTCGCAGATCAGTGAGAGTCTAATCCTCCCTTCCTCCATGTCAGCATCTCCTCCAGGAGCATATATATATTCCCCTATCAAATCAAAATCATGATTCTAATGACTCTCGTGTTCATGACCTCACTGCTATCCCAGACGACAACCTCGAACATATAATGCTGAAAAAACAGTCAGAGGATAAATGGCAGCGCGACCCAGTCAACCCCAGGAATTGGTCTCCCGCAAAAAAATGGACAACCACTGCAGCCGTCAGGTTCTTCCGTCAGACATGTTTGACCATGAGGCCTAACATTGTTTTCCTGTCAGGTTACGCTATACACTTTTGTTATGCTATTCGCAAGTTCTACTATGGCACATGGTCTGCCAGACTTGGCCACAAAATTCAATATAACCGATCCAACCGTCACACCGTTGACTCACAGCATCTTCCTTTTCTCATTCACCATCGGCCCTTTATTCGCCGCACCTTTGTCCGAAGTACATGGTCGTTTGCCGGTGCGTTGTCCTCTTTTTAGGGAATTGTCTGCTTGAATGAGCTCAAGGTACTCCACTTAACGAACATCTTATTCCTCCTATTTAATCTCGCCTGCGCTTTCTCATCGTTTGCTACTAGTACCACTTTCCTCGTCTTTTGGTCTCTGGGTACGTCATCGAACTTGCTGTCATACCTTCGCTTACCCTCCAAAGATGGTTTCGTAGGGAGTGTACTTGTAACATGCGGCGGAGTCATCGTTAGCGACCTCTTCTTCGAACGCGACCGTGCCTCTGCTATAGCACTGTACTGTAGGATACTTGATAGGCCCGTTTCACGGTCTGCCACCTTGACACAAGTTCACACTCATCTCGCAAGGTCCCGTGGTCGGCCACGTCATGGGATGATCAATGAGCCAGTTGTTTTCTATATCGTCGTCGGGATCTGCGCTGTTACCCAAATACTTGGCATCCCTCTCATGAGAGAATCTTATGCCCCAGTTATTCGGCTTCGCCGTGATAAAAATTCTCTGGATCCCGAAAGAGTGGCTATGGTACACCCCGCCTTCACCATAAACAAATGGGCTTACTTGTGGATCAACCTTAAACGACCCGTCATGATTATGACTCGGAGTTTTATATGTTTCATCCTCAGTTTACACGCTGGGAAAAATGGAGGAAAGGGTAAGCCAGAGATGCGCGTCCCCGTTGTGATACTCGGCTCGTTGATCGTCCCTGTGGGACTATGGTGAGATGGATGCTTCTATTTTTGTTGGTTCTAACCTGATCTATGTTAGTTGGTATGGATGGTCTGCCCAAACCCAGACCCATTTCATGATGTCCATCGGCGCCGCTATCTTTGGATTCGGTATAATGACAGCTTCGTGAGCGTGGCACCTTTTAAAATCACCGTTCATGGCTGTTAAACCTCTTTGAAGTCTCGCAATTCAACTATACCTTATAGATACATTCACATATCCTGCGAGCGCTATCGCAGCTACTTCTGTGAGTCTTCCTACTCTTACTCTTACTCTTACTCTTACTCTTACCTTCAATCTCGCCTGCGTTGTCATGCACTGAACATCTCACCATGTCAGATGCTCCGCGCACTCCTCGACTTCGCATTTCCTCTCTTTGGACAGTATGTGTTCGCTACGCTTGGTGGTGGATGGGATAGTTCACTTCTTGCAGGTCTTGCCATCGCTATCGGTACACCCTTCTTTGTTTGGATATATTATGCTGGTGAACGTATGCGTGCGAGGAGTTCTTTGACTCGTTGGTGTTGGTTGTTCAACTTCGTCATCATAGCTGGATTTTATTTTTCGTTCTCAGACTCTATCTATTCTCTCGGTTTGTTTGTACCTCAGCGCCAGCGGTTCTATCTACGACTTTGCTTTGTCTTTAGTTCCACTTCTATCAGTTGATTTTGATTTTATTCTGTACGACTCTCTTTTCGGCGTGATCATGGGTAATGATCATATGGGTGTGCAAGAATGATCTGCTGTAAGGAATGGACTGGTGGACACTTGGTTGTTGGATCATGACTGAGCTATACACAATTCCGTACGGCGATCAGTTGACAATGTCCTTGCAATATCACAGCAAAAGCCAGCAAGTACTGTTCTGATATAGCGTACGATCGCCACAGCTAGCGGAGATGTTAGACCGGGGCGGGGCGGATGGGCTGGGTATGCCAAGATTGAAACTTTCTGCCGGACATGTCTCGAAGCAAATCCAATTAGACGAAGACCGGCTGTGGGCAATATTCTCGAGTCCTGCGATATCTAACCCACAGTGTCTCTGTCGAAACTGGGAGTGTGAGCAATTTCCCACCCGTCGAGCCAAAGAAGTTGATTTTCTCTCTTCACGGATGTCGACGTAGTTGACATATAGTCCATCGCTAGGTAAATCCACGCCATGCATCCATATGCATGTCTGGACCAGATGTCGTGCCAAGGGTTGGTCGGATGTGGACGATATTATCCGAGCTTGGTTACGCACATTTCCTACATGGTCTTATCGCAATCATCAGAATGCATCGCGGTACCGAGCCATCTCAACACCAGAAGAGTGAGCGAAAGGCATGTACACTGGGCTTCTGTGATCGTGCTGTTACACCTTCGATGGCGTCAGACGCAAGACATGAGCTGTGGACGATGTGTAGAACGAATTTCTGGAGCGTGAGGTATGCAGTATTTTCGATTTCCTGTCATGGTATCGTCGCTGTTGAATAAGTGACTGGAGAAAGAGAGTACATGCCTTTGATATCTGTTTGATGATTGTCGAGTAGTCCACTTGGTACATACCAGATTTCTCGTAGAATGTGATGTTTGTGATTACCCTCTGCTTTGCAAGGCGTCCTGGCGGATTGACACTAATCAGCACGGGCATGACAAGGTCTTTGACAGATACCCTTGCAGCCTGCTGCAAACTATCTTTGCCCCTGGGTGTAATCACCTCAACTTCAAAGTCGTTCGCAAGTAAAATCTGCTTCGAAGGCCGATGACGACACGCGCGGCGTCCACAGTCTCTTCAGTCAGAGCGAATGCTTTCTGGGTGACCTCATGCACGAGTACACGAACATCCGCATAAGATGGCGAGGGCGATGAGATGGCTTTTGTGAGAGCCATAGTGGATGGAGTCTACGACGTCGTCGGATTCTCGAGAAAGGAGATGGGCTGTTCGTGCAAGCGTCCCTAGCAATCTGGGCCAATGTTTGCCTTAAGCTGGATGGTGTCGACTAGCACGACATCGGTAGTGGTGGGCAAAGACATCGAGATGGCTTTCGTGAAATGTCAAAAGTTGCAAAACTCCCTCAAATCCCAGTCCCAGCTCGAAACCCGCAGGAAATTATGGTTCGTCGAACTCGGTTGTTGAATGCACGGACCAGGCGTATCTGCCAAGAACTATTACCATATTAGCCGCTCATTATCCAGATTTGATTTGTCCGTTGGGAAACCCTCATGTGGATCATATAAACTCGCCATGCTTTTCGGGCACCTCGTTGGCTGTGGACCCCTCTGGAGTTGGACTAGTCTGAACTTGGTTTCAACCTGCTAAATGCAGGACTCGTCTTCTTTATATATAAGGAATGTGTGTCCCCCATGCCTGATCCTCCCCTCGTCCAACGGCCGCGCCTGTCATAGTCAATGCGTAATCATACTGTGCTATAATTAATTCATCATCTATTTAACAGCATTTTCCTCGGGCCCGCAGAAAAGTGAGAGTCCAATTCTCCCCTCCTCCCAGTATACCCTGCTCCATGTCGGCATCTCCTCCAGGAGTCCATATCCCCTTAAATCATGATTCTAACGACCCTCATGTTCATGTCCCTTCCACCATCCCAGACCACAACCTCGAACGTAAAATTCATGAAAAACAGTCAGAGGATGAATGGGAGCACGACCCACTCAACCCCAGGAATTGGCCTCCTGCAAAAAAATGGACAACCACTGCAATCGTCAGTTCTTCCATAAGAGATATGTACTAACCGTGTGGGCTAATTTTGTTATCATGTCAGGTTGCGCTATACACTTTTGTCACTCCGTTGGCAAGTTCTATCATGGCACCTGGTCTGCCAGACGTGGCCATCAAATTCAATATAACCAGTCCAACCGTCACAGCGTTGACTCTCAGCATCTTCCTTCTCTCATTCGCCATCGGTCCTTTGTTTGCCGCACCCTTGTCCGAAGTATATGGTCGTTTGTGGGTGCGTTGTCCTCTTTTCAAGGAACCATCTGCCTGATTCAGTTCAAGGTCCTTCACTTGGCGAACCTCCTTTTCCTCGTGCTTAATCTCGGTTGCGCTTTCTCACGTAATACCGCATCTTTCCTTGTCTTTCGGTTTCTAGGTGTGTCATCTAACCTGCTGTCACGCGTTTGCTCACTCTGTAAAGCTGGTTTTGTGGGGAGTACACCGGTAGCAATCGGCGGAGGCGTCGTTAGTGACCTTTTCTCTGAACGTGATCGTGCCTCCGCTATGGCATTGTACTTCATCGGACCCCTGATAGGTTCATTTCACAATCTACCACCCTGACGCAAGTTCACACTCATCTCGCAAGGTCCCGTGGTCGGCCCCGTCATGGGAGGTTTCATCGCAGAGTCAGTCGGTATACAGGATGTTTTCTTTGTCGTTGTTGCAATCTGTGGCATTGCTGCAGTACCTGGTATCCTTCTCATGAGAGAATCTTATGCCCCAGTGATTCGCCTTCGCCGTGACAAAAATTCTCTGGATCCCGAAAAGGCAGCTACGATACACCCCGCCTTCACTATGAACAAATGGGCTTACTTATGGATCAACCTCAAACGGCCCGTCATAATTATGACTCGCAGTTTCATATGTTTCATCCTCAGTTTATACATGGCTTTGTAAGTTGATTTTACTATCACACAGCTAACTGATATCATTTATTTAGGATATACGGTCAGTAGTAGCATACCACACAAGTCCTTGGACTTGCACTAAAACCGTGTCTCAGGTATCTACTACTTGATGTTTACTACTTTTCCCGGTAAGGTCACATATGCTCAGTTCCACAGGAACGGATATTAAACAATTACGCCCAGATCTCTTTTCGATCGTGTATCACTTCAGCATCGGAACAGGAGGTCTGCCGTATATCGGAATCGGCGTTGGGTTCCTATCTGCCACCATAATTGGCGCGAGGATTTGCAACAAGACATACTTATATGTATGTCAAGATGCGTTCTAACTCTACCGCGATTGCTCAACCACCTATACTATCTAGCTTGCTGAGAAAAATGGAGGAAAGGGTAAGCCAGAGATGCGCATCCCCGCTGTGATACTCGGCTCGTTGATCGTCCCTGTGGGATTATTGTGAGATGGACGTTTCTATTTCTGTCGGTTCTAACCTGATATACGTTAGTTGGTATGGTTGGTCTGCCCAAGCCAAAATTCATTTCATGATGCCCATCGTCGGCGCCGCTATCTTTGGATTTGGCATAATGATAGCTTCGTGAGCACGCTCCTTTAATGCCGTTCATACCTGTTAAACCTCTTTGAAGTCTTGCCATTCAACTATACCTCGTAGATGCATTCACATATGCTGCGAGCGCTATCGCGGCTGCTTCTGTGAGTCTTCCGCCCTTACCATCACCTACTTTTAATCTTTCATGGACTAAACACCTCACAATGTCAGACACTCCGCTCACTCCTCGGGTTCGCATTTCCTCTCTTTGGACAGCAAATGTTCGCTGCGCTTGGTTATGGAGGGGGTAATTCACTTCTTGCAGGTCTTGCCATCGTCATCGGTATACCCTTCCCTATCTGGATATATTATGCTGGTGAAAGTATACGTGCGAGGAGTTCTATGACTCGTTGATGTTGATTTTATTCAGTATGTCTTTTTGATGTGATCATGAGTAATCATCATTGGGTGTGCGAGGGTTATACGTGGACTGGGTGAACACTTGGTTTTTGGACCATGGCTGAATACAATTCCATACAGCGATCAGTTCAATATCGCGATCCTTTCTAACTCATCGGGGATTGCCGCATGACCCAAGAAGACATCTATAAATAAACTTACGCGCGTACGATTCACAACCTCATCCTCATCCCCAATTTCGATAGAAGGAACAAAATTGTTCCTTCTATTTGTCTGTCCATGGGAGACTTGAACCAAACTCTGGAGATGTTTACGAAAGAATATTGTTAGAGTTTGGTTCGAGACTGCCACAACTCATGCACGTCGCAAATGTTTTATGCCGAAGTCACTTATGATAGGGTGCTCGCTATGCCATGCGCGCAGTATATAAAATCATACTGGAGTTCAAAGAAAAGCTGGCTGTAGGATCTTGACGGGCCCACGTTTGGGAGTCAGAAGGACTTCGGGTGAGACTTGCTTGCACACCAGTCTATATGATGTCGGTGCTGATGATTGAATCTTGATTCCGATGCTGATCTTGCGTTCACCATCAATTATTGTTTCTTCGTATCGGCAGCACGTCTCTTGGAAATCGGGAGTTGATCAAACCGTCCTGGCCGCTCTGACTCCCAGTGAGCCGCTTTTATAACAAATGATTCAAAGCCTCTATGAAACTAGCGTGCTTTCCATGGTTCTCTTAGCGCGCCATTCTACATCAGGCGTAGGCAGTATGCGAATGACTCCTTGGGGTCGTGCACGATGACATTGATTGCGTCATTCTTGGGCAAGGCTCGGCGATCAGGCCTCAGGTGCGAGTATCGATATAGTCCCCTCGAAATTAATGTCTGACCTCACCACCTCACGTCCCAGTTCTTCGAAACATACCCTGGGCCCTTTGCCTCGTTTATACATCGCCACTCCATCATCGCATCAATTTCGGATATATGGGCGGATTCTTCGTTGAGTGGTGTACGGGCGCAACAGCAAGAGGCGGAGATGCATGCAAAGGGAGGGTGTTATGGATGGGTACTTGCCGACGACTTGATCGAGAGAGACTGATCCGACCTTCTTGGCTGTGCTACACCAGTTTACTGTTAGGAATTGCCGACTACGTCATGATTTTATGCCGTCGACGGCTGGTTAAACCTTCACTAAGACTATAAATTATGTGCTTCTACAAGCGTCTCTAGAGCTCGCGCACCCACAAGAAATTTCATTAGCATGGACCTCTGAGACAGGGTGGTACGCAACCACGAAGAGCATTTACGCACAAGAGCGAACCCCATCTCATGATACACGAATCCAAGAGTTCCTTCAACTCCGGATGCGCCTTGGACATACAAATCGCATCAAGGTGTTACAGATGATCTCTGGAATCTGGAATGTGACGTTTGAGCGCAAGACACTAAGAAAGAGAGCTGGACAAACAGATTTATTCTCTTGCTCTATATCGCCAGTTCCTTCGTCCACCGCAAGTGCCTTCCCTTTAGCGTCACTTACGGGTCTGAAAACGTCTGCGTCTGGTGCGTGGTTGGTTGTCTTTGCTGTAAGAGCGGGTACTTTGTACACAGTGCCGTCTCCTTCCTTCGTCCTCGTAGTTTCGAATTCGGTAAATGCAGCATCACCTCTGTTGTCCATCTTACCACCTCTCAATCACCTCCTTTGACTCTGATCCTTGTGTTTGTTGCAAGTTCTCCGATGGATTATATGCGTGTGAGAAGATGCTGGGGCAGGTTGTGGGATTGATACATGCTACGTAGATGGTTAGGGATACAGTGGTGGGCGACGAATGGGCGTTTCCGAATATCAGTATTTCCGTCATTTGACTTTGTGTGACCATCTACAAACAATAATCAGTCCAGTCGCCCATCAGGAGAGAGAAGCGATAGGCAGAGTATGTTTTCAAAGTAGACATGAGAGAATGTGACGGATGGATGAACGTACCTGTAGGATTTGAATAGAGTAACTGAAAACGCTGGGTATGGTAAACGACAAAGGCAGAAGATGGTATAACGAGGCGGAGAGTGTAGACTTGAATGCCTGAACCGGAGCAGCGTATGTAATGAGCATGTCGTATATTGCAAATGTCGACTGAGAGTCACGGAATGTGACCAGAGACAGATGATTCTTGGCGCTTCAGCTGCACAGCCCATGCTGTGAAGGGAACACGAGGATAAAGCATGTACAAAGTACCAAGAAGCAATTGGGGATTCAACTCTTCCTTGACCAAAACAGTCATTATTCCCTGCTGCCCGCCCATCGCTGCTGTCCTTGTAAGTGCTGATTTTCGAATGTGATCGATGAAAGCTGAAATGGTGCTGGACTTGGTAGAAGGCATGGCTGCATCTACCACTAAAACGAAAGAGGCGTTAGTAACTACACCTCAGCAGAAATTTGAAGGACACACTGATCATGTCTGGCGTGTCATACACCTGCCAGGTGGACAGCGGATCATCACTTGTTCATGGGATGGCTCGCTGCGAGTGTGGAACTTGAAGAGCGGGAAACAAATAGGAGAAGACTGGAGAGACGGAGAAAATGAAGTGGTGAGTATGGCGTTGTCTCCGGATGGGAAGAAAGTGGTTAGCGGGAGTGATAATGGAGTTGTGAGATTGTGGGACATGGACACGTGCAAAATCATTGCGAAATGGACGGGGCACACAGACAAAGTGTGGTCTGTTTGCTGGAGTCAAGATGGTCGGAGAGTGTTAAGCGGATCTGTTGACGGGACTGCAAGGCAATGAGACGTGGAAAGCGGAGAGATAATCCTCGCAATCGTGACGGGGCATGAAGAAGTGTGGGCCGTCATCTACTCACCAGACATGACTGGTGGCGGTAGCCAGCGATCGGAGAGGTCCTCAGGGACTGAAAAACGCGAGTGCTCGATTCAAATCTGGGACACAAAGACAGGCAAGCTTGTTGCTATTCTCAAAGGACACACACAGGAAGTTACTTGCCTGGCTTGGACCAAGGACAGAAAAACGCTTATCTCCGGATCATTCGATCACTCGATTAGGACGTGGAACACAACCAAGTGGGAACAAATCGCAGTGCTGGATGAGCACACTGATCCTGTCATTGCCATTGCAATATCACAGAATAATCGCATCCTCACAAGCGCATCGTCAGACAAAACAGCACGATTGTGGAACCTCGACAATGGACAACCCATTAATTGTTCATCCCTCCAGCACGCAGGGCCAGTGTACTGTGTGTCATTTTCTGCGGATGGAAAGCGATTAGCTACTGGCTGCTGCAACACAAAGGCGTACACATGGGATGTTGCTGCAATCCTTAGAGAGGCTGGCCTCGACGACCTTCATCAGTAAAACACTTTTTTTCCCACCACCAAAAAATGGCTGGCCACAGCTTGGTCCCTTCTGTACAGAGCTGTACAGAGCCCACAGAAGCAAAGTGATTTGCTGATGTTCTTTTGGACCCAAAGATGAGTTGACAGGCATGTCTCATTGTATTGCATTCTCACAACTAAACGTGCTCTACCAGGCCAACAAGTCGGCACTCCATGTATGTGACACCTTCATTAAAGATCTCCTCGTGCTCAACATATATATTCTAGTCTGATGCTACACGACGTCCAGTCCAGCGACGTCCGCCCGCTTATCGGACACCCCAAGGTTTTTTCGATGGAGTCCCACCGGATGGTTCTCGAGTATGTTCTTAATATTAGTGTCGTTTTTTTCTTTTTTTGCAACTTCGTTTTTCCAGTTCTCTGCACAAAGCCGCCCCCGCTCCTCCTCCGAACCGCAAGAAAGCACACTTCTTCGTCGCTTATTCCACCGCAGCTCCTCCAATCCTCATGATACGTCACTGTCCTCCCCTCTCGACTGGGCTCGAAACCTTTTGAATCGGCACGGACAATGTGGTGAAGGCACCGAGTTGCAAGGGCGCAGCCAAGTCGTCAAGGTTCCATATACAAAGGGTAAACGTGTATGTTCTTTCTTTCTCTCGGACGTTCAACTCTATCTAATATCACGTAGAGAAATGCTTGCGCGAGGGAGAAACGGAAAAGACCATTACCCTCGAAGAGCTCTACTGCGGGCAGCTCACGGCCTCAAAAGCCCGATGTCACCCAGGTATCTTCGCAACCACAGGCTGCAGTCAGCAGTTCATCCACCATACCTGATGTTGGCAATGCTACCGCAGCTACAACTTCAACGCCCTCCCACCCTCGTGCCATTATAAGACACCCTGGACTCTGGACTCGCTTCTGGCTCTTTATTGGTTGTATTTCTCTTGAATACACAGATGATCGCCATTAGCCCGTGATTTTCTCATTATTCACGAGCCGCATGCCTTTACATCCCTTGATGGACTCTCGTTGATGTGCTCTACCTACTCCCTCTGATGTATTTTGAACCGTCCTTTATGTATGATACGGATACCAGACTGCGCCAAATCTTCACCTGCGCCATGATCGCCTTTGCGGTGACCTCCAACCTCTCATATTTATCTTGTCACTGGTACACAATGTACGACAATGGTAACACGAAGTGAGCGTGGACGAGATAGACAACTTGCTGAATGGAGTCAGACACGATGTGCTCTCATATTCGGATTCAGAATCCAAATCCTCAATCTGTTGTCATCGTAGAACACCCCGCAATTCATGGTGGGAGGGCAAGTAAGCACAATGTTTCCATGAAAATTCTCCTTCAAGATCCTCTAGCCGGCTACTCAATGTCGAAAGGCCAGTCCCTCGCAGGGTGTGAAGCAGCGGGAACATGACATGTTCTCTAACCTCAAGTGCGATGAAGAGGTTGAAGACATGGATCTCGCGTTGCAGGAGTTCAATTCTTCCTTTGTCAACGCGAATTGCAGTCATGGAGGGAGAGGCCGGACATGCATCGGGGGGTGCATCATCAAGGTGTATTCTGGTAAGTATGCAGTATATTGTCGCATACTTGATATCATGGAGAATTCTGCACGTCAAGTGATTCATATCATGTTGGCACGCACCAACTTTGTAGAACGAGGTATTGACCAGCTGTGTGAAAAGCCAATGAAACATCTTGGTTTGACGTTTCATCTGGCCTTCCGATGAGCCATTGATTCTAGGTGTTTGCAGAAACGTCATGAAGTACTCATCTACATGATCTTTAACAGTAGTTTCGGATGCAGGTCAGAGGGTTTGGCTGCTTCATAAAAAAGGGGCCAAATACAGATTCAGTATCATTAGTGGTTCTGTGTTGCATGGATTAGCCCATATTGCATAAACCCTGCGATTGAATTTGTGATAGGATCCAGTTAGTTGAACATAAGGGTTTGGCGTCGTAGGAGAATGAAAGTAAGTGATTGAAATTCAAAGAAACTGAGAAGGGGTTACTACGGCCCGGCCCGGACAGGCATAAGCATTGGCTCCGAGTCAAGAACTCTGCATCGAACTTGCAGCAGAGCTTGCTGCAGTCTCATGTACTTTGGAAGATTCGGATTCACGTACCGTTTTATACCCTCCAACACACATCTTTGCATGATGCCACCAAACTACGAATCCTGGTCAAAAGAAGAACTGATCACGCGTCTCGGAGACCTGGAGGCGAAAAAGCACGCTCAGTCAACTCACTCACCAACATGAAAAAACCATTCCCACCCGAAGGGCAAGATCTCTATCAAGTTCTGTTACTTACTTGGGGTGGGAGTATAATGGGCTGGGGTATCAAAACAGTCCAACACTTCTTCCAACGGTTGAGGATGTCTTGTTTAAAGCCTTCGTTAAAACAAGGCTCGTCGATGAAACTGGCAGTTTGGAAGACTGTTGATGCGAGAGATGCAGGAGGACAGATCGATAAGTGAGTGCCGAGCAATTACAGGCGTGAATCTGATCACCCTATTACTCACGAGTAACCCAGGCGAGAGTATGAATTTTTCAGGTTCATTCCTGCAATATCTATAATGGAGAGGTAGGAGAAGTCACTGTATCAGATCTCATGCGGATATCCATCACAGACGTCCAATCCATGGTATCGATACAGTTCCTTCAATATCAATGTCTGACCTCACCACTTCATGTCCCAGCTCTTTGAAACAAACCCTCAGCCTCGTTTATGCATTGCTACTGCATCGTCGCATCAATTTCGGATATGTTGGTGGAGTCTTCCATGGGTGGTGCACGGGCGCAACGACAAGAGGCGGAGATGTATGTAAAAGGAGGATGTTATGGAAGGGTACCTTGCCGACGAATCGTACTCTCGATCGGGAGAGACTTGGCTGTGCCACGCCAGTCTACTGTTGGGAATCGCCGACTACATCATGATCATATGCCGTCGACGACTGGTTAAACGTTCACTAGAACAATATAAATGAACCAGCAGGTGTAGAGAAATCCTAGGGCGTCGCGGAACTGCCCCTTTGTGCAATGATGTCATGGCACATGTATTTCTGGACGTGCGTGTCTAGCGTTGATCAAATGGTTTTACATCATGTGACCGGCGCGTCTCGGACGCGTCGAATATCGACAACCAAATAATGTCAGCCGCCGTGCTATCTTATATAAACCTCCTCAGTCGTGTTTCACTCCCTCATCCGCTCTTTCTTTTTCTCTTTCATCTTCACAGCTTTTTTTTCACCTTCTTGCGTGATAATCTCATGCCGGATGTTGGAGCAAGGTATGTGGCGTGCGACTTGGGAGGTACATGGCATCCTAATGACATTCTTGTCTTTCCGCCACCAGCGCTACTTTGGTCCTGCCCGCCTGACGCCACATGGTATGTTTCTTGCTCATAGTGCTCCGTATATGGCTAACTTTCTCTTAATCGCGCACAGGTCTAGCGGCGAGCTTTCACAAGACGCAAAGTGTATGTTTTGTTCTCGCCACATTCTTACCTGCCTTACTAACCGATGTCGACCGCTCAGGTGTTAAAGCAAAACCTCCAAGATTCAAGAACGCAACAAGACAACATAATGGAACGATACAATATAACTGCTGCCCTTGATGGGCGTCGCTCGCGGCGTGGACGGCACAGTGGACAGGACCTGGGTCCGCCCGATCCTCTTCAAGTGCGTCTGCTGGCCACATTCGCCGGGGCTCTCGGGTGTTCGATACCTCTCCGCCCTGTTCACCTCCTCAGCACCTCCTCGGTCGGTTGCACTGGCCCGCACCATGGATCACGCACCCCAGCCCACGTCAACTCAACACTCTCGTTGTTCGTAGGTTCGGGCACGAGATGAGAGGGTACGTTCCACTTTAATCTTATAGCCCACTGCTGACATTACGCAATCTTCAGGGCATCGGTGGTCGCTGACATCCAGGTCGGGACCTAGTGGTGGCTCGGGATGTGGAACGTTGGCCCTGTTCTGCAGGCGTTGCTAGCGTTCCATCCCGTTTGCCCCTCAGTGCCCGCCGGGTCCGGGGTGGCATCGTCACAAATCAGTCTGCTTCCTCGGCGCCAAGAGCCGAGGTTGTCAGCGCGAGTGAGTCCACCCCGGTTTAACTAAACAAACCTGATACACCAGCGACAAAAAAACACATTCTGGACAAGAGGAGAAAGGACTATCGTCACCCAGGTAATGGGGAAAGTTGAGTAGTTCCATTTCCTCACATTATGGTTGGCCTCGAGACCGGAGCATCAGCTCGAGACGCCATGCTTTGACATTGAATGACCTCGTCATTCAATATCATCGCATGGAGTCTTGATGAGCTGATCTTACACTCGACGGTTTGTTCTTTTGAAATGTTCTAGGAATCGCAGCTACTGCAACTACAGACCACGTTGTGAGGAGAGGCGACTGCGGATCTGCATCCAGAACACGTACGGGTCTTAGTATTATTGATGGGAGCACTTACATGAAACATTCCTCAACGAAGTTACTCCGCCTCCACGATGTGTACCGTCCTCATTGCTTGGGACGCTGGGTGCAGCAGGATGACGGTGGCAGTGGAGGTACATACTTTTGGCCAGGACAAGTGTAATGAGGCGTTCCGCAGCTCACGTTGATGTACATGCGATGAGCTGTCACTGGTCTGGTCATCCATACGCTGGCGAGGCAAGCAATTCTTTGCTGTCAGAAGTAGCAAGCTGGTGTTTTCCTGGGCAAACAGCTCGAATAGGAGCATTAACAGACTCGATTACAGGTTGATACTCAGCCACAACAGTGAAATGACGTCCACTACTATACCAACCAATAAACTTGTTCGAATCCAGTATGCAAAACAAGTGTCGTCACAGTCACGAATGAGGACTGAACTGGTGTCCAATATCCTGAGGTGGGACCACCTCTTGGAACTGTGGCATCCAGGAGCTGACTGAGTGACAAGATAAAATCAATGGCTGGTAAAATTATACATACCACAAAGCAATGCGACATGAACTACACACCAATATGAATGAAACCAATCCGCTGCTCGAGTGGCACTTTCTTCTTCACAGCGTGCGTGGTATGGTTCAGTGCCCTTGCCGCCCTCGTACAGTCCATGACACTGTCCTCCAAATCTTCGAACATGTTCTCATAAAAAGCTTCAACAACGTGCTTTGCGACAGCGTCGTCGACCACCCACCGAATGCCGATGACACTCTTGAACCCCGAAAACTGTAGACCAGCCGCAAGGTGGATGACTTCGTCGGGTGTTTCTTCATCGCCAACGGCGGTATGACACGCCGACAAGAATGCAAATTCAGCTTGTGGAGCATGGTTCTCCGTGATATCAAGCAGCGTGAGAGGTTTATCCTTCATGGAAAAACGTGAATTGTAAGGCTGATCGTGGTCTTGACTCTTGCTTGCCATGGCACGCGAGGTGCACCCAAGTGTTGCGTCGTAAGGCATCGAGTGTGGTCTCGTCACCAGCAATACTAGTGAATTTGACATTGGGAGGAACGAGTGTACGGACAAGCTTGGGCTCACTGTTGACAGCGGCGAGCACCGTGCCTTGCCCTGAACCCGGTTGACTTTGTCCGATCGCTGCGAGTGACGGAATGTCAGACGTTTTCATCGCTTGTCGAGATCTCATCAAAGCCGAAAAAGTTGGTGTGTAAGAGCAGACGTAGATATCCTCCAGGCATAGTTCCCGCCCAGAGTGATCTGCCTTCATCCGAAAGGGGTGAGCTGCATGGAGAGAAATGAATGTGAAGGCTGCTGTCGGACACAGCCATATTCGAGACCGGCGCCGTAATTTTAGGTCATGCTGAAGAACATTGACGACGCGTAGCATGACCTCGTCCCATACCTTCTGTAAGAGTACTATTAAATTCGTCCTCGACTCATTTGGGCCCATACGATACATACTTAGTTACAGGAAATCATCGCTACAGAGAAAAGAAGTTCTGACAAAAAGGGTGTCCTAATGGAAATGCACACATCTGAATCACATGGATGTTCAGTGGGAAGCTTCATCATCGACCTCTTCAACAGGAATATCTGTCACCACTATTTCTTCAATCATATCCTCGGTCCCACCATCATCCAAAATCTGATTGCCTGCCAGTGAAAACCCTAGATGACGAGCAATGCGTGGGCGTATACGGGAACCAGGCAGTCCAACAGCAAATTGCACTAGTTACACAATCAACCAAGTCTATCAAATTATTATTATGACGGAGTTGCGTACCATCCAAAGGGCCACTCAGATTAAACTGGAGGGGGAAGAGTGTGGCGGAAGTGATTGTCTGGCTGTTCGAAGGTTGAAACCACCTTGCCCAATTATCCAACCACATGGGGCAGGCAAAATGCATCCCAATTATTTGGCCCGAATTCCCGATTCTATATGTAAACCATCCCTCGGAACCAGCAGGGCCTGCCAGCCATTAGCTCTTAGCTCATGATATGGAGGTAGGATGACATACCAAAACTATCTCGGAGTAAAATCTCGGAACTCAACCGACCTGCAGGCACAGATGGAGGGGGATTACGACCAGTTGAATAGTCCCATTCACCATCAACTGATCGCTTCGAGACAAGAGTCAGATTAACTGAAAGACCGTTCAGTATACGAACGGTAGAAGAGCGGTCAATTCGTGGCTGAGGTTGAGAGGACATCCAGGAAATAGACACCCTGCGGCAAAGTCTGGAACTTCTAGGTTTTTATTCAGTCGGAGTTTGGGCGATCAAAGGACGAGAGATGGTAGCTAGTTGAGTGCAAAAGGCCTGTGATGCGAGACCTGATTTCGATGGTACTTACCGTCTCATCGGGCTAGACTAGCAGTTTATATACCCTAGGACCTGTGTGCACTGCCGCACAAATAAGAATATCAGTACTATTTAACGCAGTAAAGATGACTGGGGGGATAGGGGTCTTATCAGCTATCGTGTAGTGGCAACACTTTCCCAGTCGAAACCGGGCGAGCGGCCAATCTGACACATGTAACCAAACATCCCCCATATAACTGTGATAACACACCTTCCAACAGTTTCCTATCTCGGGCCGTACCAACCGATCCACCTCGAAGATAATTGAAAATGAAAGATGCCATATCGGACAGTAATGCAGCCATCTGCGTCCAGACTCCAGTCGGTGCAATTGACTGATAGCCACATCTGCATCCATCGGTGCTAAATGACGTCCGTAACAGGCTCCAAGGTCATCGCGGTGCGCTCAACTCGAATGCTCTGGAGTTGGACATGGAGTGCTATTGGCTAATCCAAGTCAATAATACGCAGAGCGATGTTAAGCCGAGAATGCAGAGCCATACCAAGAGAGAAGATGGACAGTTGGACCCAGATGACCGCGATGGGCGATGTGCTTATCGATAGTGCAAATCGATATACTTCCGAAGTATGATGTAAGAGATGTGCTGTTGACTCTGAAGCATTCTTGCCATCTTGAGAGCGAAGCATTGACTCGGTAGTTGCAGACAGCCCGGGAGTTTGGCACGGATTTAGGGGAGGGAGTTGGTATAAACGTGGGGCCAAACGTGCAAATTGCTGTAGTTGAGAAAGAATTCGGTAAGATTATGACTGCCCAGGCAGAGCATCCCGCGCAGCACAAGGAGTCGCTACAGATAGATTAGGTGACCAAATGAAGGGCACACCGGAGAAAAAACATACTCAGAAGACAAATTGGGACCGATGGCATGGTCAAGATGGCGAAGGGTACGGTGCTTTCTGAGGTGACAACCTAAGGTAACGGTTCGTTTCAAAATCAAGGAGATCTCCAGAAAGTGACAGCTTGGGCAGGAAGCACTTCGTAAACTCTCTGATCATCACTGTCGAACGCCTTGCACAGACGACAGACATCTTCTCCTCAAACGTTAGCACAACTCTCGCATCTATTACGCTGCTTGTAGGAAACCTGATCACCGCCGTTGAGCGCCTCTCGCAGAAAACCGACACACTCCTCCGATATTGGCGCAACTATTGCGGCGGCGTGCGCTGCTCGTGGAAAACTTGATTGCGACGACGAATACGCTAGCATTGGACGTGCATTACCTACTGCAAGGTTGCATCGCTCTTGCTGTGTCGCTGTGCCTGTTGACAGTCCTCTGTATCGTACGCTGGTGCTACACATTTAGAGAGTTCTGGGGTGTGCAGCATCTCAAGACCACGTAGACTTACACATATCAACCAATTATCAGTTCCACCACTGACAGCACTGTTGCGTTCATCGATTCAAGCGGAAAATGTCATGAGAGGCCAGAATTTCAACGGGATTGGTGACTGGCCAATGCAGGTGTTATTGGCAAGAACTTCAGAAGAGTCACGATACCGGGCAGGACTCGGAACTGCCAGTGGCGGAGGAATTGTTCTGGTACTATACTTATGTACCGCATACATAAACTCTCATCAACTATACACACGAACATCACCACAACATCGCATTGAATTGATTCAAACATCAACTTATTAGCACTTCCAATCAAACCCCGAATCACTGCATCTTCTTATTCGAAAACTTGAAAATAAGATCCGTGAGCAAAACCAGGAGACACCGAAAACCAGTAAACACAGAGTAAAAACGCCAACACTCACTACAGTGACAACAGTCCCGTCGTCCAATCTCTCCTTCCTCGGTACAAGCTCATAGCCAAATACCTTGGGCAGTACGATTCGCCATGCAGCCCAGTACAGCACGCCTGCGAACATGACGGCGATTCCGACGAGGCAATACCTATAGAATGAGAATAAGGACGCGTGTATAAGTTCTGGTGAAAGAAACGTACAGGTAATATGGTAGTGGTGGGGTGTCGCCGACGCCATTGGCTGGTTTCAGGAAGGGAGCGATGAGGACTGTTTGGTCAGAGAAAGAAAGTGTTGAGATTGTAGATTGGTAACTCACGGAAGGCAGCAGCCGCCAGGAAGAATACAGCAAGAGGCCACCATACTACATCATACGCATTAACGTAGCACACATGAAGAACGTACAAATTTGCGCACCTTTGAATGGCCGAACAGCATCTGGCTTCTTCCATCTCAAATAGAACAGAGCCTGGCGGCATCAAGAGGTTAGAAACACTCGAGAGAGAGTTGAAAGACGTACGATGACAATAAAGAAATTTATGATTTGTTGTGGGTATCCTTCAACGTCCAAGATGAAGGGGTAAGCAATGTTTGGGGGAGGCGCGATGATGACAATAACCTAGAAAACCAATCTCAGATTGATATCATGCTTGAATCTAATGCAGCATTTACAGAGAGTATCAAGTGGATGATCAGTCCCGGAAGTGGGGACTTTCCAGTGGGCCAATTTGAAGCCCAGAATTTGTTTCCGAATGGTAAGGGTATCCCTTCCTTTGCGAGCTCTGTGATTGAGGCATGAATTGGGTGTAATTAAGATGCTTAGTATGACGAACCTTGGTTTACTCGTGACGCGGAAAAAGTCTAGGTGAAAAGTTCTTGAGCCACACATTTGCATAGCATCCCTCGACCTACCGCAGTGATAACATTCTATGGCCCATTATCAAATAGAGATCATGACACAAAATACGTAGGACTCACTCCAAGAGCACTATCATGATGACAATGAGTCAGGAAACCCTTAAACTCAGGACGTCGAGCTCACCTGAGAGCAATGAAAACCGATAGCGCACGCTCTGCAACAGAACCAAAGACATTTCCGAAAAACAAAGCAGCGACAGTAACGCCAGACTCATCAATCTCTGTCTATCGACGCTATTCGCATTTCGTTTGTGGTGCAGATAAAAAAGAAGTTCTCACCTTGGTTGCAGCCGAGAAATAAGCTACATTTGCAAGCAGGTACAAAACGGCGCATATACCAAGACCGAGCGGGGCTGCGATCTTGAGCGTCCTCACTGGATTATGGACGTTGTTCATCACGTAGTTCACATTGGACCATCCCCCATATGCGTACAGGACTTTGAAGGTAGCGGTAGCATACTGTCAAGACCATAATCAGCATATGGGCATCTAGGAATATCATTGAACGCACGTCGTTGCTACTCGTGGAGCTCCCCGCGAATGCATTTCTGAAATTAAAGTACGGATCCGTGACGCGGGTTTTGCCAGAGAGAACTACCCAGCCTGTGACCACCACGAATACAAGAATTACGATCTTGAATATCGAGAGTAACTGGAAGGAAGGTGTTGAATGTGATGATGGTGTAAAAATGAAAGCTTGCATACGTTCATGATCAGTACCCCAGTCTTGGGGGCCAATCCGTGTAGAAGGGTTACGAAAAACATGACTAGAGGCTGTGAAACGACCGTAGCATGCAAGTCAGGTAAGAAACATACCTCCAAGTGCAATTCCACGCTCATTCCAGCGACCCACTGGTTGATCAGCGGCAACCAAGATACTACATCATATCAGCCGAGTCGTTTCATCAAGATTCAAAATACGCAACTTGCTAGCAAAAACCTTGAAACAGTCAATTTTCAACATGGAATATCCACCCAAAAATAAGACATGACTCACAATACAACCGCTCGCAGTGAAGCCAAGTAATATAGCATTGGCAGCAAATACTATGGTGGCGAGGTACTTGGGCTTTCTGTAGACGGCCTCGAGGTATACCTTCTCTCCACCACTACGAGGGAACATGGTGCCGAACTCGAGCCATATGAAGAGTCCACAGAAGCTAAGCAAGAAACCGAGGACCCAGAGCATGAGGGAGGCGCCAACTGAGCCCACACCGGAGAGGATGGAGGACGGTGTTGAGAATATGCCGGTGCCGATAATCTTTCCAACGATAAGGAGAGTGCAAGATGTTACACCAAGGTGACGACCCATGCCTCCCGCAGTATCTGGATGATGTCAGGCAAGCCCTGAGTCGAAAGAGTAGCGAGCAATTGTACCTTCTTCAAAGGTCAGTTCTCCAGGACTAAAGTCAGAATCATCGTTGGGTTGCTTGTGAAGCTTCTGATCCTTTTCGCCGAGCTGTGACTCGACAGTACGGTCATCCTGGTCTTCCCCCTGCTGCTTGCTTAACTGCGACCACCAGGTATTGGACATTCCTGTAGATGGAGTAGGAGCTATGAACACATGATATCAGTGCCTTGAGGACAGATAAATGGGCGCTTGATGACTACGCAAGGTATCCACATATTGTTATCAACACTACGCAGTGAAAGCGGCTCACCGACTTGAAGTGGATTCCTAGACCCCTTAATGGCGCCTAAGTCACGTGCGGGTGGTTGAGGGTTCTCGCACCGACCCCAGGCAGATTTTAGCCACCAAGCAGTCCTTCCTATTTTTAATTATACTCTCAATTCCCATCTGAAGGGTGAAACACTGAGGAAGCTAGCAGTGGCAAGCGAGAAAGGTGGGGGTAGCAGGTGCGAGGCGCAATGGTCATATTGGTTAGATCATCGTTGGAATAGCATTGCGACTCGGAACAGCCTGAGGGAGCAACATCAGTGAACTGCCGGAGACCTGATAAGGGCATATATTGCATCATATAGTGGATAATTACCAGCATCTGTATAATTCTGCTATGGGTTATCACATTGTCATACTTAGCTTTATAGCGGAAAGATACATTTCTAATCAACGTGCACAGTTTTTCAAATTGCCAAACAGTTATAGACTAGTTTCAATCCAAATCATATCATACATGCAGCAAAATCTCATGGTCTGCCTCAACGATTCGCAGCCCCCACATCGGGACCAACGTCTATTATTTGTACAGTAGGACCAGAAGTCAGTATCTTGCGGTCACCGATACTCTGTGCGCCGATCACACAGGAGCTGGGTTATATGCTCCATCGGGTTTTTCGACTGTTTGTTTTGCATGGGTCTTGGTTGACCTTAGCACCTTGCTTGCTGTTTGATTCACGTCTTATTCACTGTGCAATCACCAGTGGAATCGTTGGTCTGTGCACCCTGCTTAAGTAATTGTTTATTTGGGCATTTGGCAGCCTCAGTTATTCTATTGGTCAATGGAACAAAGATTTCATTGCTGTGCAATCCTAGACATTCGTGCCAACCTCCCAATAAGTAAGGAATTGATTTGGAAGTCTGCAGATGAAAGATCATATCCCGACTATTCCATATGTCATGAACATGGCTGTGACTTTGGTATGTTAGATTCTTATCTGTGGATAGGAATGGTGTGTCGAGAATTTTGTCATTAGTGCTAATATACATTTCCTGCCTGCAAGCCAAATGAATGCTGGGGAGTACATGCATCCCATTATCGCACTGCTTTTTGCATCATCACACGTTGACAATTCTTGTCTATGGATAGGAATGGTGTGTCAAGAATTTCGTCATCGTGCTAGTATACATTTCCTGCCTGTGAGCTGAATAAACTGCTGGGGAGTACATGCATCCCGTTATCGCACTGCTTTTTGCATCATTGCATGTCGACAATTCTTGTCTATGGATAGGCATGATGTGTCAAGAATTTTGTCACCTTGTCAATATATATTTACTGTCTGTGAGCCAAATGAATGCTGGGGAGTATGTACATCCTGTGATCGTACTGCATTTTATATCATCATGCATCAACAATTTTTATTTGTAGATAGGAATAGTGGGTCGGAAATTTTGTCACTGCGTCAATATATATTTCCTGCCTGTGAGCTGAATGAATGCTGGGGAGTATGTGCATCCTGTGATTGTACTGCATTTTATATCATCACATATCAATAATTTTTGTTTGTAGATAGGAATAGTGGGTCGGAAATTTTGTCACTGCACCAACATACATTCCTTCCGTGTAAGTGGAATGAAGTTTGGAAATAACACATATAACCGTTCTCGTACTGCTTTCCCCACATCACATCTCTATACTTCCTGCCTGTAGATAGGAATGATGAGCAGGATGTTATCACCTCATATGTATACAGTATTTTCTCTTTGATAGGAATAAAGTTCATGACATACATGTATCACCACAGTCTCACTGCTTTTTGTGACTTCTTGAGTCTATACTTGCTGTCTGTGATGTGCATGGTGAATAGTGAATGCAGATATCACCACTTTCACGCTATATATCCATGGTTCAGATCTTCAAACCATATGCACAAAGGTCGGACATCTGTCGCCTCAGTTACACAATTCATAATATGTCCCTGAATTCATAAGGTTATAAGTATGGCTCTTGCCTATAGTGCGAGGGCAAACAGTATATCACTGAACTGGCAATCTGAGACCTGAGAACAGTATGTCGCATCTCAGACACATTATACAGCCTTGCTGCTGGAGCTTCACACTAAACAAGCATTTTGAAAACCACCACATTAAAACGGCAAGCTGCGGTACTACAGCAATTAAGTATTCTTAAATGTTTAGATATCTAAGTTGAAGTGGGATGTCAAAAATATCAGGGTAGTAGACACTGCAAAGTGACTGGCAAGAGAAAAGAATTAGTCTGAATTGAAGGTGGCATCATCTAGTTGCACTCTTTGCCTGGCTAGCGCATTTACTGACATCTGAGCCTTCACCCCAACACTGAGTTCTGCACGATGACTGATTCCGAAGACTTTCCTGAGAAATGGAAATCAGCTGAGGACTGTTGAGTATGTGAACAATGCACCTTGTCCACCATGCCAGGAGTTGCTCAACTTTTCGCTGTGCTGTGTGACCAGGGGGCCACTCAAAGAAATCTATGATGCTCTGCCAAAACAGGGTGTAGTCGAAGTCATTGTCGATAGAGCGCCATGAGGTCACAGAAGAAAGGGTGAATTGCAACTTGTTACCCACTATTAGTGCTTGGCAAGGAATTAGAAAAACTAGCACTTACTTGACATGATACATAGGCAATCGAACGGGGAGTGACTTTATGCATCTTGATTATTTGTGCTACGTGCGTCTTGACTTTCTTGCCAGAATACAAATCCTTCTTGGCGCATCGGTTGTTGGTGATAATATTGGCCCCATCACCTTCATTGGCAACCTCCTTGGCAGAGGAGGGAGATGTGAATATAGCTTTGAAGGCCTGCTAAATGTTAGATCTTTGATGAGCTCTAAGTCAGATATGACAAACCTGAACTAAGAGACTGCTCTTAAATAGGCCCTCCTCTAGATTGTCTGGATCAGCTGTGTACTTTTCATACAGGAATGCTGGCCAGGACATTTCCATCACGACATAGCTGTCTGCACGATCCCTGATCCCTGCTCTAATGCTGGCAGATGGTCAGTGATATGCAAAATGTTGAATAAGATAGTTACATTGGGTTGCTCCAGTTCAGTTGGGCAAAGTAGTCTACTGCACGCATCATTGATGAATCCGTGACAGTTTTTGTCATTGGGGTCAACATGGGGGATTAGGTTTCAATTCATGATTAACCCAGTCAGCGATGAGGCTCTTGAGCTTCAAGGTGTCATCTCCCTGAGCGCTATTGGCCCCCTGCCTAAGCTACATAATGACTTAGCAGATGGTAAATTATTTACATTGGAAAACCACACCTTTTTTAACATTTGCATGTATTCATTGTACTGCAGCTCTGAAGTCCTTTGGTGAAACCATGGGAGGGTGTTGTTAAGGGCGATGTATGCATATTGCAAATGCTCCTGACTGTGAAGATGGACTGGTGACTAGCAAACACAAGGCAGAGGTGAAAGACTTACTTGACAGTCACATTTTCGTCCGACTTGTGGTCATCGCATCTCCTATCATTCTTGGCTATGAGATCTTCCATGGCATCATATAATGTAATTATGTGTCTGATGGCCCTTCCCTTCGACACATAGTAGTTCGTCTCCCTGAGTCACAGCCATAGTGAGTGAACTGAGCTAGATATATTAGTGTGACACTCATACCTTCGCTTGGCTGCCTGCCCTGACTCCAGCACCTGTAGTTTTTCTTCTAACTCAGCAATTTTCTGCCTCTGATGACCACCCTCAGACGTCGCCACTGCTATTGACTGTGACAATCCTTGGGGCTGGGGGACAGTCATCCAACATGCCTGACTGGGACATGGACTTCCACAGTGATCGGAAGGGGACGAAAGATCAATTGAGCTTACTGGAGAGTGTATGAGACAAGAGGTGCAGACAGGCAAGTTGATCCAGCTCTCATCGCAACTTAATATGTAGCTGTCTGGTATTGACAAATAAACATATGCCTGAAAGAGAAGGTTAGATCATGGGACAAGCTGGTAACATTGGCGCCTAACTTAAGTCATTCTGGGGAGTGTAAGTGCCAAAAGTTGATGTCAACATGAAAATGGCAATTGCCTGTATATGGTACCACCGATTCCCCAAGCTTGATATGTTAAAATGAAAAATTCTTACTCTAAGTGTCTTGAGTTTGGTTTAGGTAAGGAACATGCGGTTTTGGTATTACCCAATCCTCACTTCTGAGTTCACAACTCCATGCATTCACAGCCTAACCTTCAAGTGGAAGTGGGAGTGACAACTCAAAGGACAGTTTTGGCAGGTGACTATATGGTTGGATGATACCACTGACTTAGATTCGGGTGAACAAACTTGAACTTGAAGGTCAGTGAACATGGCTGATGATCACAGTTGACAAGCTCCAAGTCAAGCTGGCCCACTGGCAGGAGAATAAATTGTTGGAGTCAACAAATGTTGGCCTATGATATATAGTTAGATTTGAGAACCTTTCCGATGGTACTAAGCTGTTTTAGACAGACAGACTAGGCTATGTTAGCTCACCAAGCAGCGTCCAACAATCACTATTCCCTGCACGATGGTGACGATACATACCAAATGCAGCGAACACATCAATTTAATAATTCTATTGAATGCGACGTGCACCAGTCTACTACGTCACTAGGCTCATGACAATAAGAGTGAGCAGGCTTACAATGTTCCACTCATACTATCACCTTGCTACTGACCATGTGTCACAACACACATTCTCCAAGTCGTGTGCCATCTTGGGTCAATGACATGATGACCCACATTGAACCCAGTCGAGTTTCAGAATTCTCTACATCTGGAACTGGGGATGATGTCTCTGTATTCTGGGAACCTGACCCAGACTCATACACAGACCTGTTTGTCCTCCCTGCACCGTCATTGCAGCCCCTGTCTGGACAGAACTTGAAGTTTCCAATATGTGCATCTGAATCACAACTTCTATCACATGAGTCTCGCACGAGATATGGAGGTGCCGCACTCAAACACCTTGTGAGAGTCATAACCGCTATGCAGAATGTTGAAAAGAAGGACAGTGAAAGGAAGGTGAGAGTTTTCAATCTCTGTATTACTTTGCAGCACTTACAAGATACTATTAGGGTGGTGAGGTTATATGAATACAAGTTACTTGCAACACTTGCAAGCGCAAGCTTGATGATGACAATATCAACTCCGACAACAGCTGTAACAAGGAGAATATCTCTCCATATCATGTGCCCGGGCTGTCTCCACCTGGTGTTCCCAGTACTAAGCATATCTGTCGCAAGAAAACAGGCACAGAATGGCAAACGGTTCTTGATGTTATCACATATGGCAAGGAGGTACTACGAAGCAAGCCATTATCATAACTTACATAGTATGTGCAATTGACTATTTCAAATACTTATGTTACATATGGTAATTACAACTGATCACATGACCAAACACAAACAACAAAGCTTTTCAATTGTGCTGCATCTCGCTCTTACAATCTTTGATGTCTCATGTCTGTGACCATTATTTTCTCCTCTGTGTCACTCAGGTGGGATTGAGGCCTGGTAACTCATTCTTTTGGAGCTTCTGCTCAAGCTGCTGCTCCTGCCACCCTGGCCTACCATGGCTGTGTGGACCTTCTGGCACTGAGGCAGACCTTCTGCTCCATCCATTTGGAGATTCCTACTGTAATGACCTTCTGGCCTGAGGTCACGACACTACATGCCCACTAGTACTTGTCATTTATTTATTACTCTGTGACCTGACAGCTCATTTTTTTGCTGCAGGTTTTCTATGTTTTCAACTTTGGGTCTAAAATGTGGCCTAACATATATAACTTCAACCATTCACCTTTTTCGGACAACTACTCAATATAAGTGTATCAGTGATATATATATATATATGCTTACTTCTTACTATATATGCAAGTTCTGGCACAACTGGATACTCATAAGCATCTCAACCCTTTCAAAACCAGCTGCCTGATTTTTGCTCAACCTACAAACTACCATGCACACCCATCCTACTTCTCCAATTTTTGTCAAAAGGACTAGTCCTGCTTGTGAGAGGGATGCCAGCGCTAGTCACAGTTGTATGGGCCTTGTTGCGAAGGGACTCCAGCAGGACTCGGATATAGATCCCTCAATTATCTGCAGTGCTCTGATTCTTGAGAAAGCCTCAAAAACCAAACATTGAAGGCCACCATCATCTGACACCACCCACAACATGTTAAATGAAGATTTCAATGCATCTCCATCCATTCCTCCCATAATTCACCATCTGTCTCTTTATGTGAACCGCTCAAAAGCAAGGTTCAAGCCCTATGAGAGGAATGGTCCATCTTTGTGGGTGCTCCACTTTGCAGAAAGCTCTCTTACCCCAACCAAATCTGATCTAAGCCTAGTGGATGTTCAGAATGTATGTTAATAAATAGTACATTTTCACACATCGCCTGTTGATGGGTATGATATTAGGGTGAACATCAACTGCAGTATGGCTTGAGCGACTTATCCAGTGAAGCTGTCCTCACAAAGGAGGCTGATGTCAAATCCAGGTGTCTAAGTGCCATGGCAATGGCTTGGCAAATTGAGGCAACTGAGCAACACACAAAGTTCCTCCATATGCTTCTTAAGCGGGCTGCTGACAAGTATGTCAGCACGTCTTCAGAAGATCTCAAGACCTTGGTTCCAGCACTTGCTTCCTCCAGGGAGGAGGAGCTTCAAGATCACACTGACTTCAGTGTCGCCGCATATAGCCATGATGCGATATCATTTGGTGCTGTGGATGAACAGCTCAATCACTTGGAGAGGCTTGCTCGTAATCACTATGGTTCTGGGAGCCATGTCGTTACTAAAGATTGCAAGCAAAAGTCTGAGCTTCCTGCAGAGTCAGATGCTAGTGCCACGAGTTCAGATTAGGGTTCATGCTGGCTTCACACATGAAACCTCACAATATTGCTTCACATCTTGTAGCTACGGTAATTATTATGTCAATCTTCTATCGAGCTCATACTGATCTTGCGTAACAGGTGGTATCTGGATGATTGACTCTAAGGGGGCTGTACTCTATGTTTGAGAAACTTGTTTGTTATGTGACGTTTTCCATGTAGAATGTAATCCCTGCCTGCTGCATTCCAAATTCTCCTTTTGTAAACCTGCCGCATTCCCGATTCTCCTATTGTAAACCTACCACAGTACTATCTTGGTAGTTATCTCCCTATGGAATGGGTTTTCTGAAGGCATTGCCCCAATTGAAATGGTTCTTAATGAGTCACTTATCCATTTGGATGGACACGGATTAAAAGGGGTTCAACTTTAGGAACTGATACTTGACAAATGGAGATATGTCCCATTTATGTGAATACTTGCCTATGAAAGACAGGATAAAGTCTTCAAGATCAGATCAGGACTTTCCACATTCAGTTGTTCATCTCAGTCGATCATCTACTCAGTATCGAAAGTCTTTAATTATGTGCTGTTCTTTGCGAGCATCAAACACTTGTCTAGAAGTCTAACATCCCTAACTTGTACAGATGGATAAGAGGTGCTGGTTTCCCCAGATCACTGACTTCTGAGACGTTCAGGAAGTTGAGGAGTTGGAGGGAGCATGGCTAGGTCATGCTCGATGAGACCATGGGATGATATGATATCATAATGGTCATTTGTCAAAATAATGAGGTGCACGGAGTTCTGCACCCAGTAACTGCCTGATATGGGTCATATCATGCTGGAGATGCAGCTGTCCTGTCTTCCATACTTGCCTTCAACCGCATCAAGATAAGTGATCCAATTTGTACTCAATAAGACGGAATAGCTCCTTTTGAATTCAATGGCTCTTGACTTGGAGGAAGGTAAACTCAAGTTACGACGTAAACCTTGAACTCATGCTAATTGCTCTGACTAAATGTTATAGTAAACCGTCCTGGATAGGATGTATTCATTTGGCGACTAATAATCATTAAGTGAGTCCCAAATGCCTTACAATTTTTCTCGCAATCCCCATTCAACGTTGAGTGCAAAAGAATGGCTTATGCGCAATACAACTGGTCTGCTCCTCCCCTTAATCAGTCCTCTGAGGGCCATGCTTACTCCAACAACTTCCATCAGAGCGTACCCGGGCCACTCACAGATTCTTCTGCTTCAACTACAGGGGCATCAAGCGCACACGCCATACAAGAGCAGCCACAATCCCACATGGCTTTATTGCTTTATCATCCTCAGTCTCTTGATCATGCACCTTTGAGCCAATCAAGCTTGTGAATGTTAGACTCAAATGCTCAAGCCTTTGATGGTGCACTTCAGCAGCAGGGCCTGGCGGTGGAGATGGATGGGGTTTCAGGAGTGCCAGCCCTATGTATACCCTGAATGCACTAGACCAGCAGTCTGACCAGACTGAGTTTCCTATCATGCCACCATTCAAACCAATCACCAAGATCTTTCCATCAGTGGATGTAATAGAGGAGGCGAAAGATGACGCATATGAGCGGATGGTTCAGTCAATCTTCAATACTTCCTTTTTCCCTGTCGAGGAAACAGCTGCAGTCATGGCAATGGCTGAGAGCGCCCTTAATGATGCGATTTCCCAATACTCCAATGGTATTTCCTTTGTATATCTTCATTCCTTAGTTGATGGATTTCAAAATAGCAGAGCTCTTTAAATGGAAGACCCTGACAGAGGGTCAAGAAGAAATCAAATGGCTGAGCTGGGTCTTGAATGACATCCAGGATGAATTCAAGGACCAATCTCTCAACTCCATCCTGTCAGCTTATTTCCTTGACCTTCCAATCCAATTCTGGGGTTGAGCACTCATAGAGCCCTGGATTGCAATGGTGAAAAACCTCCTCGATAGTGGTTTATTCCTACATGGAGAGATGGAAGTAAGTTTGCCAATTGCATTCAAGCTCTGACATTAAATGTTTTATTTCAGCTGGTAGGGCCGAATGGGCTCCATAGCAGTCACTATGTCCCATTTTCGCACAGAGCGATCAAGGAACTGCTTGAAATTATGCTCTCACAGAGAGGCTTCAAACATTTTATTTGTCACGATGGGACTGACAAGTGGAAGATTCACATGAAGAATGTCCTCTCCTTTCTCAGTACAACATGGATGTGGGCATTGTCCCAGTATTCAACTGGAAAATTGGTGCCTGCCGAGTTTGTGATGACGTCAAACGTTGACTTCTATAATAACACATTAATTTATATGTTGCAGATGGACAACACTGGACTGGCACATCTTGACACACTATTGACAGACCTGCAGGATGTCTACATACTTGCCAGTGACTTTGACTTGGACAATGCCTAGCTGAGCATTTCATTTCATACCGTAGATCATAGTGACTCATTCTACATAAAAAAAACACAACACTTAGTAACTCTTCGGAACCGTTTCCCCTAGTGTAATGCTGGAATTGCATGCAGCACAACCATTGGACTATGAGTCTGTCCCATTCAACCTAGACTCGTTACTTGGCTAAGCACTTGTTACTCCAAAGCTGGGTCAGTCATGCTTATCTAATCTTATCCATGATGCCTGTCATCACACCTAGTGAGTACTTGTGCCACTAGCTCCAGCCTTGACTTTACTAGTACATCCTCCATACTTGCGTTTTATCTAAGTGCAGGGATAACTTGCATTGGATGTCTGTACTATGAACCTGTCAATTGTGAGGATATGATACTGATGCCTGCGCCAGACCAAGTCACAGAGGACAAGCTTAGCCTTAACGCTGTCAATGGTTGGTTCAAGCACTTAGGGACAGTTATCAACATTGCAATTGATGTTCACAGCGCCAAGGCACTCGTGAGTTTACCTGAGCACACTGAGGCTCATGCTGCATGGAAGTTGGAGGATGCTGTATTTGGGAATTGGTTTGCGAAGGTCTTTTGGCATCGGCCCATGGGAGGACATGGGCAAACAGGGTCACAAATGCTAGTGGCCTCCGCACCACTATTGGCAAACCTGGCTGCGCAAGATACCCCCACACCTTCTGTACCATCCCAGCCTCCTGCAGCACCGCCCACAACTCCCTCCTGTAAGCAGCCCCTTCAGTCTACTGCATGTTAGAGCTTGCAGTGAGGCAGAAGTTGCTGGAGCAGCAGATATCAGAGAAGGAGGGGATCCTAGCAAGATTGCAGAAGTTGGGAGAAGAGATGACAATTTCATCAGTACCACCATTGGCTACCCCTGCCAAGCTCCATTCACCTGCACCTGTCTCAACTACTCAAAACGATCACGAGTGGAAGAGAGAGAGTGATTGGATAAGGAGCTTGAGTTGCAGAGTCTATGGAGGAACTTAAGGCTAAATGTACGTTGAGATTGTTCATTTCCAAATGTGTGGCACATTGACTCATCAACAATTACCAACCACTGGTCAACTTGAATCAACAAAGATCATAGGGGATGATGAAATTCTTGTCAATTTTAGGACGAGAGCAGCTGCTGAGCAGGTTGGTCAAGAAATGACCTATCGTATTTAACATGTGCTTACTCTATATTCAGGGTTTTGCCAAAGGATCAACCATTGTTGCAGTAGGGCCAGTGAAAATATCATGGCACACTGCCCAGCAATTGCAAGCAAGACCTCAAGGTGTCACTGTGCCCTCATTCTGAGGGAGCAGATGACCGCACTTTGGGAGGGCCAGATGTCAATGAACCATATGCTAGATGAGTTGCTATGCTGTAACTAACTCATTTTACTCCATTTCTAGGTATGGCTCCTGAAGTAGAGGAGATCTTTCCAATGCATCCCACTCCAGTTAAACAGGGTCAGTCAGAAGAGCTCCACCGGTCAAGACCCTCTCTGGCCTGACTGCTACTGGAGTTGGATTTTTTATGCCTGACATCACTGCAAACACCACTCTATTTCGTGGCCATAAGAATTTTCTTCAAGCTTTCCAAATGGATCCTCCACTAGATCCATGCAACTCTATGTAAAGCAGTTATGACCCTCTCATGATGCAACATATCTGACATAATCTTCTTTAGCGCTACTAGCGAGCCATCCTTTCTGACGGAGAACTCATTTCTTCAACCCCCACCCCGTAATTCTAAACTCAAGCCAGCAGGGCCTGGCCCATCTCAGCCTGCCACTCGGCCACTATCTTCAGCAAATGAGACTGGTCCCACGCAGAAAAGGGTTCTCTCAACAATCTGACAAAAGAGCACCGAGACTGTTGCATCCAAGCTGACTATGAGCGAAACAGGCTGCATCTTTTGAATGACATGATGCGCACATTCAAACGTGTGCATTGGAGATTAGAGACCAGACTTGGAATGTATGCTTCATGACCTATACTCTTAATATTGTTGACTGAGTTTGATGCTGCAGTTCGAAGAGCTAGTTGATCAGTTTATCCCATCGGATCTTACGTACAAAGGCTGGGTCAGATAGCTTTGCATCAACCATCAGTTCTGGTCTTCCCTATGGCCTGAGAGTTATTCTCAAAGGTGAAGCTAACAGCTTCCAAAAGTGTCTCACAGCTAGATCCTCAAGCCCCTCAGAAAATACTGAAACCAAGGCAGCAGATACCAATTCGACAGCTGCATTAGCGAGAGTGAGGACATCATCCTCATATGGTACCAACCCTAGATGTCCCTCACAGACGACCCTACTGATATGGATGAATCGTCTCCCACACCTACTGTGCCGAGATATTAATTGTCTGTCAAGCCACGCTAGACTGTTTAGTGTTTTCAGTCACAGCAGAAGGAGCCTAGATGATAACCCTGGTGCTCAATCTATTCTCCATCCAACGGATCAACAGTGGAGGTGAAGCTGTTATTTCCAAGACCACACATGATGAAAAAGTCTAGCACAAACTCCTTTGTGATCTCTGCTGGGCTTGGAATGATAGAAACTTGGTAAGGTCAATTAAGTTACACAGGTATGTAAACTGATGGGGTTTCTGCAGCGCTAGATGGATTTGCAACCCTATGGATGTCCCCACAACTGAGTCTGCTCACAAGCTCCTTAATCTCGGATGTCCTATCAATGGTTGTGAGATGCACATAGTGCCTCCAGCATTATTGTAGTTCTACTACCCCCGTGCATACATCCTTTGCCTTAGTATTTTTATGTACATATCACATTGATACTGCATTCTGCTTGGCTGCTCACAATGACATTTTTTTTCAACTACTATGTGATTTTTTATGTACATAGTCACAGGTCAAATGCTTGAGCATTTCTAAATATCATGTGACCATATTATATAGTGAGTTATTATTAGCGTCTCAAACTTGAATGAATTCATGTTGTTGACGAGCCTACTAGTATAGCAGACTGCAATCCATGCAGCTCAAATTTCTCTGGATCCTGCCCCTTATTCTTTCGAGCCCCTTCAGTGAATTTACCCGTATTAGACGGACAGCTAAGGGTGACAATGTACCAATAGAAGCGGGCCAGCCCATGTGGGCCCATGGCAATAAGTGTACCATGCTAGACAAGTGGGCCGGTGTGTGGTGTGTACCTGTTCCAAATGGATGGGCCAGTGGTATATAATGTAGATGGTGGTATAGGAATGTAGTGTATTGTCTATTATGAATAGCAGTGAATGCAGTGTCCGATGGAGATGAGTGGGCTGGCTGAATGGTGTGCAATGTAAATGAGTGGGCCAGGGAGATGGGTGTAATGGAGATGAGTGGGCTGAGGGTACAGGGTACAATGGAGACGGGTGGGCCGGGGGTATGGGGTGCAATAGAGACCAGTGGGCCAGGGAGATTAGTGCGATGGGGATGAGTGGGCTGGGGGGGTAAGCTCAATGGAAGATGGGTGGGCCGGGAGGGTAAGCTCAATGGAAGATGGGTGGGCCGGGGGGTAAAGCTTGATGATATCCCATCTGGTAGATGATAGAAATTTCTGCCGGTGTTGACAGTAAAGGAGAAATGGATGATACAGATGAGCCGGAAGTGTTAAATGGATTAGCTGGATGAACATGAAATGGATTATACAGATGAGCCGGTAGTACATGAAATAGAGCAACCAGTAGTGCGCAATGTGATGCATGTGAAGGTGAAATGGATGATACAGATGAGCGGGATGAGCATGAATATAATCCAGTAGTGCGCTGTGTGATAGAGGTGAAGGTGAAATGGATGATACAGATGAGCTGGCAGAGCACCATCTGGTACCGGAATATTCTCACTAAATGCAAGTTATGCAAGTCAAATTATATTCATTGAAAGCATGTAAGGTTGACAACACAATGTAGACAACTAGTACATACAAAAACATGAAAGATGTGCTAGTACTACTGTGTCCCATCACTGGAAGGCTTGCTTGGATATCTAGCACTCACTGACCGACGTTGCTGCGATAGAGGTCCATATCACAGGCGTGGCAAAGGAGCTGAGATGGACTGTGCATCAGCTGGCATACTTGATGGCCAGGCAGCTGGGAGATTTGGAGATTGCACAGGTGGAGAGCCAGCCGGAGGAACAGATGATCTGGATTCCCTCATGGTCAATGGAGGGATGTTGGTGGGAGTGGATGACACTCAGTTGAGCCTTGCAACTGGTGAGCCATCTGCAGTGTCACTAAATGCATCACCACTGGTCTGTGCACCCATCCAAGATACATCCGGGGTGAACACATTGTTGGTGACAGTGCAGGCAAATGCACTGATGGATGGGCCGGGAGCTGTGATGGGGGGTGGATTGAATGCTGGCAGGAGGAGTTGATGCTGATGTTTGACCAGATCTCTGCTCCCTCAGATACCTGACGATGCCTCTTACTTCAGCGGTGCACTCAGAGAGGAGTGCATGCTGCACATGCATATCCTGCTGGAGTTCATCAACCTGCATGGACATTGCACCATCAGATGCCTCTGTGAGGTCCATGCGACACTCCAGGCGATCATGCCGCAAGTCAATATCCAATTGATTGTGTGTATGAAGGTCTCCATCTCAACGCGAATTTGGGCCGACATGGCCTCCATCTGGTCATGAGAAAGGGGGTGCTGGGTGGGTGGGCTGTGAATGACAGGTAATGGTGAGAACTGGATGTTGTCCTCTGAGGCCATGGCCAGTGATGGAGCTGGAGGTGGCAACTTATCAGTACCAGGCTCGATCCAGTGATCCACAGGGAAATCATCTGCTGACACCAAAGGGGCCGATTGCTGGTGAGCACCCATCACACCCACAGTGCTATCGAACATCTCGATGTTGTTGTCTTTCTCTTCAATAGGACTAGGTTGCTGGATTTTCTTTTCTACAAGCATGGTGAGAAACAAAAAGCAACCAGAAGCAAAAGACTTACCTTTTGCATTAGATTTCCCCACCATTTTCTTGCTGGTTGCTTTGGACCAGGTCGTCTTAGAGCGTGTGGTGACTGCAGCCACAGGTGGTGCAGTGTCAGTGGTGGGGGTAATGGTGGCACTCTCTGTATCTGGCCAGATGCATGCCATCTTCCAGTCATGGCACAATGTGCATGTCGAGGCGACATTGCCTTTCTTTGTCAACTGGGGGCAACACTCTACCTTCTTCACCTGGCATCTCTCACAAGGTGGCAGAGGTCCATCAGTGCGGGGCTTTGATAAATCAGCATTGTAACAACTAGCAGTGACTGGAAGACTTACCAGTTCTTGGACCTTGGTCTTCCTGCTGGTGGCCTTGCCATTGGACTGGGTAGAACTTACCAGTTTTTGTTGCTTCCCTGGTCATAAAGTGGCCTGCACCATCATCAGCGATGGACCAGCAGATATAAAGAATGATGAAGAACTTACCTTTGATCTGCCTTGTGCCTCTTCATCCTCCTCCAATTCATCTTCTTCTTCATCATCATCATTCACAACCAACTGACTTGCCTTCAGTGTGCCCTGCTTGTTTGCAGGGATGACAGCCTTGCACATCGATTTCCGGGGCTGTGTTCAGTGTCAGTAATGTTGAATTTAGGAAGAGCAACACTTACCTGAACATCCAGAAGGTCATTGACATCGATCATGTCATTGTCCTCATCACCATCAACTTCCAGTGCCTTTGCCTTTGCCTTTGCCTTCCCCTTCCCCTTCACCTTCTCAGTGTCACTGGTAGTGTCAGTGTTGGACAAGATTGCCTTGGACTTGATGACAGGCTTCCGGGACTGGTTGCCACAAGGCACAGGAGGGCTGGTACTGAGTTGATGTTTCCATGTTGTGGATGATCCTGCTGGTGTGGTTTCACCGGATGCTGCGTGTCTTGGCATGTGAATGCTGGCATCTCGTGCTGGTGCTGGTGCCAGTGGTGGTGCCAGTGCAGGGGTGGGAGCAGGTGGTGGTGCTGGTACTGGTGCAGTTGCTACTGCAGTCTCAGGTGTGAGTACAGGTGGGATGAGGAGGAAGACACTCACCAGGAGCTGCAGACGCAATAGGTGGTGCAGCACCCAATGTCTTACTGTACAATGGGTGCTTCATGCACATGTCCTGATTGTTCCCAAGATGGGTCCAATCCGGTACTTCCACCAATTGTGTGGTGCACCTCTGAGTGCAAAAGATCTCAGCTGCAAGTGACAGCAGGCCAGGGGGAACATAGGAAGCCTCCTTCCCATAGGTGTGAATCACATCATTCTATGGGACCATAGTATTAATCAAGACAATTGATAGATAATGAAACATACCACTTCACAAGCAATCTTCCAGCTCAACTCCATTTTTTCCTCTTGCAACAGCAACTGGATGACATCTTGAACCATCTCAGTGAGCTGGGCGACAAGAGCTATGAGAGCCTGGTTGGCAGCAGGCAGCAGCAGATGCAGAAGTAGAGTGAGAAGACATGGCAGGGAGATGATTGCAGTAGACTTAGTGGACAAGTAATCCGGAAGAGACGTGTTCAACAACCACACTTGTGAAAATGTCGGCAACTGGCAGCCCAGCCCAATCTGGAAATATCTGAGTCCATTGTTTGTTGTCAGCATCTATTTTTAAATCTGAATATCACATTGTGCAGGTTGACACATCATCAGCAATCAATTGTAACTACCCAACCTGTGAAGAAATCATCCGGTCACAGGCTGCAGCAGAACATCTATTCCTCTGGTGATCTTATGAAGGCTGCAGATTTATATAACCCCTTCATTAAAATTAAAAAGAGAAGGATGTGATCGTCAGCCAAGGCCCAGCATGACCTACATGTGTCTAGTGAGGATGAAGGTAACAATCTATCTATCTACTACAACAATGGACTGGTTGACATTATCCAGCATTCCAGTATTTCACATCTTGCAGCCAGGGTATGATGAGCACACTTACAACCCTGTGATGGATTGTTCAAGCATGGGTCCATCTAATGCATAGCAAAGACCATTCACATTACCTTTGAAGACCTAGATGTCCTGTCCACTCATGACCGGTTGAGAGATGGGAATAGATTGAAGGCAGTCCGCTTCAAAACTGGGGATGACCACTGGTTATTGGACTTGGGTTTTCCTTTGTCAGATGATGACTGGATAACCGACACTCACAACCACCCACAGCCAGACATCCTGGATATGCAATTCCCCACCATGTCTGATGATGAACAGTCACATGACAAGATGCTGGAATTGGGATTTCCTCCAGAGTTGGACGTCGAAGATGTGCTAGATTTGGGGTTTGATATTGATGTCAGTGATCCAACTGGAAACACAGATGGGGTTCTGGAGATGGGGTTTGATATTGATGTTAGTGATCCGGCCAGACACACATATGGGGCACTGGAGATGGGCTTTGACACCAATGATATCACGCTGGATGAAAGCCTCTGGAGATGGGTTTTGATATGGATCCGGCGCATTTTGACCTGGATCGATCTTGTAAGCCTTCTTGTTGCTTCAGATATTGTACTGATTGTTGAAATTCAGTTGCTGTCATTCGACCTGGATCCCATTAGATTTGTAATTCAATGGGCTGTAGGCGATTTGCAGATTGCAATGCACCAGTTGGACATGGACTGGGTGGGTGATGCAATGTCGCCGGACGAGGCCATTGCAAGACAGCAAGTTCTTGACAGCACACAAGAGTTGTTGCTGGCATGTCAACTAATATCCATATCTCGACTTGCAACATGAAGTATGTATTTCCAGTCAAATGCTATCTACACCTATCGCTAGAAGAATTGCATGCAAAGATCCACATTACTACTACTGCATATACTGAGCTTTGTAAGAGGCCTTTGAACTTCTAAGACAGCGCTTTGGCTCATGATCAGTGGTCTGGGCTTCACGTCCTTTGGCTTTCTTGCCGGTGGCTTTTGTGGCAGCAGGTGTTGGTTTGGGTACTGGTCCTTTGTGATTTTTCTTCTTGCCATGGACACCGGATGTAGGACCAAATGTGTGACTCTTTGAAGGTGGAGGATGGTTGTCACGAGGACCAGTTGATTGCGCAGAACCGGTGCTGGCATTGTTGGGCTTGGATTTCTTTCCTGGTGACTGACTGTCCAACTCTAAATCAGATTGAATGTGACCAACCCTACCACACTTTTTGGTTGGTTTTGATTTAGGTGGCAATGGAAACGGCCTGGATTTCTTGACTGGTGGGTGAGGATCTTCATGCTCTGCAGCAGATGTAGCCAGACTAGCCCTGCTGCATGCATTGACTGGCCTGGATTTCTTGACCAGTAGGTGATTTTTGACAGGTTTTGACTTTGGAGGTGGCAATGTGCCATTGTCATCATCATTGTCCTTCTCTTCTTCTTCATTGTCCTTCTCTTCGTCCTCACTACTCAACTCCTGTGCCACCCTCCTGGTGCGCTTTCCAGTAGTTTTTTTCACCAGATCCTTGGGTCTTGTGTCAGAATCCTTTCTGTCAATCGCCTCTGCCAGTTCTCTCATTGTCTTATTGTCACCTTCCCAGCCTTTAAATTCAAAGGTTGGGCGAACCTGGTCCTTCTGTCTTTGACACCACAATTCCAACAGCCAGTCAGTGTCAGCCAACTGAATCTTTGACGGATTGTCAAGCTTCCAGCCGGTAGGTAAAAACTTGGCTGCAATAAAGTCCCCCTGAGCCTTCCTCACTGAGGCCCAAGGCACAGATGCCTTTGGTTGTTGGCTGCACAACCCTGAAAAATCACTGGTCAGTTGATCAACTCTCCAGACACATCATTTGTGAAACTGACTGTAGTGTTTTGTGAGGAACATCCTTATAAGACACTTTTTACTCTTGAGGTTCAGCTCTTTCACATCCAGTATGATCAGAAGCCCATAGCTATCCATCTCCAAAGGATATTTGTCCTTCTTTTTGCCTTTCTTCCTGCCTTTTTTCACCTCCCCCTCACTATCGTCATCATCATTATTCAGGTCAACATCTGGGTTCACCCCATGTTGCATAAGTACTTGACTGAATGTTGCAAGATTGTCAAACAGAAGCTCACCAAACTCTTCTCCAGCATAGGCATTCCACTCTGATAACATGGGCTTCCAGTCCTTCATATCGGTAAAACTATTGCCCTCCAACTTTTCATTGAAGTCAATTCTTCCAACTGGATCAGGATTCATTTACTGGTTGAGTGTGAACTGGAACTCACCCATTGATATGCACTTCATCCTCCTCTTTCCATGCCAATAATATAAAAATTCTCATACTGGCCTGCTTCCACAACTTGGACACCAGGTCCTTCATCAAACCAGGTGCTTTTTTCTTTGCAAAGTCCACCTGGACAGCTGCAGGAGGAGTCTTGGCAGACCACTCAATTGCAGTGTTCTGAGCTTCCTCCAGCTCCTCTTTAGATAGACTGGCCATGACTGCAGTGAGTGTCATCTGATATCTTTCAATAAATGTCTTTGATCCTGGCATTGCTCCGGTCTTTTCGATGATCTCCTCCTTGTGCAGTTGTTGTATGACCATCCGGGAAGTCCATTTCTGACCCATCTTACTGGCCTTCTTTTTTCGAGTCTTTTCAGATCTCCGGTTATATAACCAGTCCCAGTACATCTCAATATATCATGATAAAAGTCAGTCATCATGCATAAAATTTGAAGTTCAACTGCTCACATATTTTCTGTTTTTCAATGACTGGTCATCCATAGCAGGGGCATGCACCTTTGCCTCTTTTATGACCGCCTTCAGAATATTTTTTCTATCGTTGCCAGCAGCTTCCTTCCATTCTTCTAGGTGGGATTTTAAGACCAGCACCTCTTCCTCAGTCAATTTCTTCTGCTTGGTCTTTTGTGGGCTGTCAACTGATGAGTTGGACTGGGGCATGGTAAAGCAGTTGAGGAGCAGTTGAGGTCTTGGTAGAAGAAAGGATGCATGTGTGTCTCACAGTGTTAGGTTACATAACCTATGTATGTGACTGCAAACTGAACAAGAGATTGTCCAATACTTGTTCGTTGGTTTGATTGGTATGATTCCCTTGACATCCTACATGTTTCTGATACATAGAAGAGAACTGTAAAAGCACAAGTACTTAGATGTGTATTATATAGTATATGGGCAGCATACAGCCCTCCGATACTGCATGCTACAGACATAACTCATGTACATGACTGCAAACCGAACAAGAGATTGTCCAATACTTGTTCATTGGTATGATTGGTATAATTCCCTTGACATCCTACATGTTTCTAATGCATAGAATTGAGAACTGCACAAGCATACATACTTAGATCTGTATTATATAGTATATGGGCAGCATACAGCCCTCAAGTACTGCATACAGGCCCTGTGCAATCATATTCCACAACCTGTTCAAGTAAGTATCCTCACAAATGACTTTGGAGGCCAACATAAATGTGCATACAAACAGCCGGTGTCCGGAAGATCAAACAAGAAAGCCTGTTTGCATCCATAGAGTGGGTTATTAGGTTTGAACTGTTCTCTCAGAGCATGTTTTGCAATGCCAGTGCCCTTGACTGAAGGATAATCAATGTATTCACTTTACCAGACTCATCAATCATTCAATCGAAAGAAGCATGTATCACTGCTGAACCCTCTTAATTAACCAAATTACTTGTCTAAGACCAACACTCCGGAACACTGGCTAGACAAGTATTTGAACCTTGAAATGTAACCTCTGGTCAACATACTTTATCAAGTCAATTGTCATCTAACTTGAACATGAAATCCATCCGACTTGTGTTAATGGCAGGATTACGGTGTTTGTGAGATGATGCAACTATGGCAACCCTCGGTGACTCCAACCTTAATATATCCCAAACAGAGATAATATTACAAGATCATCACAGCAACAATGTGGTAATCCCGACCATTCAAACCATTCGGAGTCTGGACAACACTGGATCAATTGGTCCCTTGATGAATGATTGGGTTGTTCAATGACTAACAAGGGAAAATGTGGTAATCTCGACGGTTCAAATCGCCCAGAGTCCAGAAAATTGATGGAAGGCACCTGAGTCATCAAGTGTTCAGCATACTTATCCTGTCCAGTTGTAGCATCAACATGCGAAAGACCAAAGAAAAGGGAATCACATACACCCCTCCTATGAAGAAACAATTGCCTCAGCTGTATAAGCTCAAGGAAACAACTACAACTAGAGGATCCAGGTTATCTTGGGTGAAAGATTCATGGGCTCAGAAAACAAAGTTGGTAACATCATCACTGACAAAATCTCCCTTGAAGCATATATCTGGGTCCCCTCACTTGCTGTATGAAGGCGCCGATTTTGACTTTGACCAAGGTGACATCCCACAGCCTAAATTTCCGAAATCTCTGGCAAGCAACAGTCATCTTCATTTCCAGAGTCTGGGTCTGACCAGATCACACAGAGTCAGAATGCATATCTCCAGCAATGGAAATGCAAGTTCAAGGACTACATAAATTCACTCATGGTCAGAGAAGCCCCTCCACCTGACTGACTTTGTTCAGTCTGCAAGAAGAATGGGGTGTATAGATGTCATGGCTGTTTCAATGAGCCACTCTTTTGCACAGACTGTTGCAGAATTCAGCATCAACGACATCCATTCCATTGCATCAGTCATGGACTGGATCATTTTTTCAAGAAACTTCACTCCTTAAAGTTGGCCTGCACATTCACCTTGCTCATGACAGCACACCATGTCCCAGCAGCAGCACAGATTACTCATCTGATGTCCTTCAATGGTCAGACACCGATGACAATATAGATGATGATTATCCAGAGGGACCTTTCATTCCACCGGTCAGAGACCCGGATCAGCTGGCAATAACTGTAGTAGACAAGTCTGGTGTTCACTCCCTTTCCATATGTTATTGCCACTGCCCCAGTGCTCTCAGCCAAGACATGCAGCTCTTTCAAGCTGGCTTGTTCCCGGCATCTTTCACCAGACCAAAAACTGCATTTACATTCGCTGTCTTGGACGACTTTCTGTTAGACAATCTCAAGTGCAGTACATTGGCCATGAATTACTACAGCAAAATTCACAGACTAACCTTGAGCATCTTTCCACTGATGGTTCTGGTGAGCTGGGTTTCACTTGGTGCTTCATCTTCTGGTCATTTAAGAACAATATCTGTAGGATTGCTACAGAGAGCTCATGAGAGCTGCCAGGCAGTGGTGACAATGCAAGCTTTACAAGTGGCATGGATTTGCCCACAAAGATGACCAGCTGAAGGATGGCGATCTTGCCCTATTTTGCCCAGCATGTCCACAACTGAGTATAAACTTGGACCTGTCTACCAGTACAGTAGCCCAGTCAGATGATACACCTTCCTGGCTCATGACTAGATATTTGGTCATGGATGGAAATTTCAAAGCCGAGCACATGCATCCAGTGAATCCATCCCATGAAGTATCATTGATGGATGGTCTGGGATTCATGGTCTCTGATGATAGATACAAGAGCCATTTATCCATTGCTCATGACCATGTCCAAAGGTCAGATTGCAATAATCACCGAGCAGTAAATCAAGCAAACACCTCACAGCAAAGGCTGGAGGCCACCGGTATAGGAGGATGTGCATGTGCACAGCATGGATGTTTTGTCCCACATTCCATGGTGGACTTTCAGAAAGGTGAAAGGTTCATACATATTGCATCTGGTCGCATCAATGGCTGATCTTACAACTCTTACCTGGAATGATCAGGCAGATGAACATGGACTATGCATTAAGTCAAGTGCTTAACTATAAGACCGACGGAATCTCTCATGCCATAACATTCTATGACATAAATTGTCAGTATAACAAGTATTTGAAGGACCAGATCGCTTCTAGCATGTATCTTTCCATCCCCATTGGTATGGATATCATTCCTGGAATAGGCTTGTGGCATGTGCATGGACATCAAGACAGCTGCTTTGTCCAGTACACATCAAATTTCATCCATGGGACCAGCAGGATAGATGGAGAGATTATGGAGACCCTCTGGGCACCTTTGAATATAATCTCTCCATCAGCCAGGGGCATGGGAACTCCCCATCACAAGGAGGTATTGGATTATCAGATGAATGATTGCAACTTCATGAAAATGATTTGTATAAGTAAGTCATTGACCACCAGATGCACATATATTGTCTTACTCATAATAATGCATGACCGGCTGGCATGTCCAGTAGCTAAGTTTCTGTCCAGAAAGTTGAAAGAGGCTATCAAGGGTGCTGCAGAGAGCAAACTTGCATTTGATAATCTCAATGAGACAGCCCAGCCTGACATGGTCATTCTATGGAAGGAAGAGGAGGTAATCGCTCATGCAAACAGAGCGGAGGGTCCTGCAGCTATGGACATCTATGAGGTCCGGTTGGAAAGGGGCAAGTGTCTACTTTTATTGGTTGTCTGGCAGGTCTGATCACATGGTTGTGCAGCTCCAACAAGAAAACAGCAGGAGTTGTGCCTGTTGCAGGCTCAAAATTGCCCTGATCATCCGGTCATCAACCCCCCTGGTCAACAAGGAGCTGCCACTTGGCTCGCAACCAGTCTCACTATAGAGGAATCCCAAATATCTCTCTCCAGGGATGTGAAAAGGTTACAAATGCACCCAACAGATGTGCAATTGTTGAAAGTGGCACGATGCCGGGATAAGCTTCACACTCAGATTACGAGGTTTCTGGAGATGGCACCTACTTATCTTGGTGTCGATGTCGATGTCAATGACCCGGATTCTCCAGTGATTGTTCACAATTCACTCAATGATAATTATGAAGATTACTCTGATTTTGACGAAGATCAAAATCCCGGTCCAGACATTCACGATGCTTCCATATTTCAACCTGGAGCTAACTGTCATACTACTACCATCCAACATTGGTGAGGTGAGGTGCAGGGAGTTAGGTCTCACCAATCTCATGAAAGAAGAAATTGCCCTATGAGAAGGCCAGGCCAATGACACACTCCATGCCATTAGAGTGCATTTAGGCAATAAAGCTGTTATATTCCACAATACTGTCTGGTCAGCCAAGTCACAGGCTTCATCCACAAGGGCATGGACTCAAGTTCGCTCAGTGGAAACAGCAGTCAATCTCAATGCTAGTATATATTCAAAATGCCGGTTGCAGCTGGCGAAGCTCCCTGACCATGACCTCTTGAAGAAATATCTTCCTTTGAAGAAAGAAGACTTGAAAGCTAGCTCTGTGGTGGCTGATCCAAATGCACATGGTCAGAGGGATACCACTCTTTCATGGTTCTGGTCCTTGGATGTTCAAGGAGACACGTCCGAAAATGACTGGATGACAGAATGTGAGTGTCCAGTGCTTTTGGTTACTCCCAGTCGTCCGGTCTCATGTGCTCTCATCATAGTTTACTGGGTGAATTGGCTCTGGATGAAAGCACTGTGCAACCACTGGAATGAGGAGGTTATGCTTGTCAAACATGAAATGCAGTGGTCAATTAATTTCTTTAAACATAGAGCCAAGCAATGGCTCAGTCACATGCGTGACACAACATCTGCAGGGCTCACTGGACATACATGTTATGCTGCCTGACAATCTCACATATATGACCAACTGGCGGCACATGCAGAGGATTCTTTTCACAAAATGATTGTTCAGCTACAAGAACTGGTACCGGTTGAGGTGGTTGTTGGTACCAGCTAGTTACATAATCAAGGTTACTGGTTGATAATACCTATCATGTAATATACACTTGAATAATCTGAAGGTGTTGGTCATACTACAGCCTCACATTTCTCTCCATGAACAATACTGCGACTCTCATCCCCTCTGACCAACTAATCATTGCTGCCAAGGGCCATCACATCACAGCTGCAGATATCTCTTGTGCACTGTTTTATGCCAATTCCTGGATGCTGGCCATGCACCTGCATGTTGACAAGAGTTTTGCACTGGCCCTGCCTCGTTATGCAGAGGCTTTCTACACCCTGATGAAATGAGAGATGGAGGTAGGTGGCTAGCCATGCTGATACTCCCATGCCCTCATCTTTTTCTCCATCATATAGACCTTTGTAATGCCTTTCATCAACATATGTTTTATCACCCGGTTGTCTGCTACTATTCCTCAACTTCTCAAGGATGTGCTCTCAACCATGACTGCACACGCTTTGGTGGACTGGCGACCAGATGTCAATGCCATTTTCCAGGATATCCAGTCATTGCGCCTGTCTGCTGATTCGAACAAATCAGATGACTATGATATTGCTCATATGCTGGACTACTTCAATGACTGGTGGAAGGAATCACTTGGTTGTTGCAGGGTTTCGGATATGTTGCCCAAGTCATCTGTCCAAGATGTTATGGATTTGGTTGCATGGCACTTTTCACACCTGGTCAGTCAGTCCATATGATCTTCTTAACACCGGATACTAACACCATACATGACAGCCTGATCATGTGAGGACTGGCCTTCTCCCATATATTGTGCAGGGTCTGGATAATCTGCTGGAGACGATTGGTTTGTGCCACCAGACACAAACTGGGAGAGAGTTGCTGGACATGTTGCAGATAAGGATGATGAATCTTAGGCGTTCCAGTGACCGGTTGACCAGATTGGTTGGGCCCATTGATGAAATCACCAGAGCTGTATCATCCTCACAGGCACTCATTGACAGGTTAAATACAGATGACAGTGCCTCCATGTAGTTACAGTTAAAGTACACCCTAATGTCTGCTGGTATCTGGCCAATCTATTATACAAACCGGCATGTAAATAAAGTGTGTTCATGCAATCAGAGGTCGTGTGAAAGTGGAGCTATTTTCTCCAATTGATATCAGTGGTGCTTTCCTGTCACTTGATTGAATTGGCAAGCCATGGTTATAATTCCACTTGACTGGGCCTTGTACCAGACATACCTTGCCGGTGAATTGGTGCATGAGATTTTCATGGCTACAATTCTTCACCAACTGGTAAGGGATATGGACCTTGGACTCTTGGATATCAATGCTTGCATTGCTTTGGAGCAGCTCACCAATGTGATGGCTACTGCTTACTCTAACGCTGGTAGGTAATCCAGCTCATTTATCTGTTCTGGTCAACTGACCTGCAGACACAGCTCATCTTAAAATTGACATGGTTAGATACAATGACGCCCTGGACAAAGATGAATCCAGCCGAAGTGAGACACGAGAGGAGAATCTTTTCAACAGATTCCCCCCTGAAGAGGAGCATTTCTTGATAACCCCATCCATTGTCATTGATTCTGGCAGTAGAATCATTGTCTGGTATTTGCCTGGAGCACTGACCACTATGATAATGGTCTGTTTTACCATCTCCATGTAATTTTATCTTACCCAGATGTATGACACAGAAAGATATTCATGGTGCCACACATTCCATGAGTGGTTTGTTGAAGCATAGCATCACAACAAGCAAGATCACTCAATGGAGGACCAACTGGTCGAACTTCCATACAAGTCCAGATGGGATGGTCACCCCCAGGTGTATCAATATATCCCCTGCATGGTTTCAGCAAGGAAGAGAGGTGCATCCGGTTGTCATGCATTGAAATCTCTGGTATGAAGTATTGTAGAAACATGGCTTTCTGAATCTTGACCTGGAAGATGGCTTCTTGCCAGAGGTATCAGCAGCACTGAAAGGTGATGCCTGGTCGCAACATTATGACATCCCTTCAAAGGTCTGGTATCATCATCTCTGCTGCACTTCAGGTCATGCACCCTGATCTTTATTGGGCCAGAATGGAAACTCAAGTTGGGCTTGGTAAATGGGCTGCCAGATATGAATTAGATGAGATGCACTATCACCTTCAATGCTGGACATCTGTCTTTAATGTGGTATCGATCATATGCAATCACTGGTTGCCCCCTCATAGAGATCCCAAATGTTGACCGGCAGCATTTGATATAATGACGACTGTTGGTATGTATCACCTGGTCATCACAGACTTTATGAATCTTGGGATCAAGTTTCTATATGACTCTGGCTCAATGCTGGCTTCATCATGTCAACTGGTGAGACATTACATGAATGTGGAAGAGGGCAACCGGATTGTTACTGCGTGGTACATGTGAGACAGCATCCACAATTTTGTTGGGACTCCGAGCACAGAGTATGCAAAATGTGACCATGTAAATATGTAGGAACTGTATGTATTCATTCAAATATATATCTGGTATACTTGGTTACCATATTGAGATGGTTTCCACATGTGCTGGGTGGATAATTGAGCTGAACCAGATATGTATCATGGAACTGTATGGGTATAGACCCAGATGTGTATACCAGATGGACCGGATGGGCATTGCCAGTTAGAATACACTGCACCAGATAAGGTATTGTGGTCTCCGGTTAGTGCACTCTGCATGTACCGGATGTATTTACCTGCCTTGTATTTCACCCCATCCCTTGACCCACTCGTCTCCGGTTAGCATAGTCTGTATGCTCCACACACCCTACATAATATACCACTGGCCCATCTGTTTGGAACAGGTACACACCACCCACCGGCCCACTCGTCTATCATGTACATAGATATTCTATATAGTACATTCCTATACTACTGTCTACACTATATACCACCAGCCCATCTGTTTGGAACAGGTACACACCACCCACTGGCCCACTCGTCTATCATGGTACACTTATTGCCTATGGGCCCACATGGGCTGGCCTGCCTCTATAGGTACATTGTCACCCTCAGCTGTCCATCTAATACGGGTATAAGTTACTGTACTATGTGTTCTTTTGATGGTGTCTTGCAGTGCTTGAGGTTGCTCATGGAATAGGGCAATGGATACCTGAGGACTTAGTAGGCACCGGCACAAGTTGTAATTTTTTCAAGACGTCTAGCACCCTTGCAAGCCAAAGGAGAACCCAACGAGCAAGGGATGTGGCATTGGTGAATTTAGTTCCAAAACCATCAGTAAATGCATCACAAGTAAGTGGTCCTTCTTTATGGTGAAGCATACTCAAGAGAAGTAACTGTGTGCATAGGAATCATTTCCAGCAAGACTCCCCAGGCATCCGAGTCATGCAGTGAAGATCTATCCAAGACCAAATGCTCCTTGGAAATTCTCTACAGCCCATGGATCATTTGATGCCCCCAGGCACTCGCAGCTCCCCTTCGATGCAGACGCAAACTCGGAAAGGGGAGAAACCTATTTTCTTGCTGCCATGGACTTGGAAATGGACTTAGAGGGCCCCAACTTTGGAAACAGATCTGAACTACACAACTTATGTAGGCCTGTTTCAACCTCTGCATCTGCCAGGCATTGCTAATTGCTTGACTTCAGCTGCAGGGCCTGCACTTCCTAAGAGAAGGATTCCCAGGTCTTTCAATGATATTGAACATGTAGACGAGGATCTAAACCACTCCGATAATGCTGTTGACATCCCCAGGCCATCACTCCCACACCAGAACAGAATTCAACAGGTCATTTTAACACTACGGGACACCATCTGGACTGCCTCTAACTTGTTTGGACTCAGTAGACTATACCCTCATTGTCCTTCCTTTGAGCCAGATAAGTTTATTCCATCCACATTACTTGCAAGAACTTGTCCAACAGCAGTTCAAGGAATGGATTCCCCAGGTCTACTCAATGTCTTGCCGCCACCCTACCCCTTTCCCAATATGACCATTTATCAGCTTGTATCCTGGATGAATTCAGGTAGCCACAGGAAATCAGAGGCTGAGATGCAGCATCTTGTTAAAGATGTTTTGCAGGCTGACAATTTTGATGTCAAGGATCTTGAAGGCTTCTCAGTGAGGAGCTTGCAGGAATTGGATAAGGATGATGGTGGGGAGAGAATTACTTTCCCAGATGATTGGGTTGAGACTGATGTTACTATCAACATTCCGACGAAGTCAACCAAGGAAGACCCCAAAACATATACTATTCACAGATTCCACTATCACCCTCTAGTTGAAGTAATCCGCGCAGCATTCACAGATGTCCAAGCTTGTGCGTTCCATCTTTCACCCTTCAAATGACTATGGATAGATCCTTTGGACAGCCATCAGGAGCGGATATTTGATGAGCTGTACACCTCAGATGCATGGCTGGAGGCTCAGGACGATCTCCAGAGGTTGCCAAAGGAGCCTAATTGTTCCTTGGAATGGGTTGTAGTGGGACTTATGTTCTTTTCCGATGCAACTCACCTAGTGAACTTTGGAACTGCGAAAGCTTGGCCACTTTACCTCTATTTCAGAAACCTGATGAAGTACTGCCCAGTCGTTACCTCAATTGGGAGCATGCCACCTGGTAGGGCTCTTGCCTTCAGTGAGTTTTTCTTACAGGATGCCTATCGACTGGTCATTTATGCCAACTGCCTTGTCAGCTTCCTGACTAGCATTAAAGATATTTTGAGTGGCCTACTGTGCATATCAAAAACTGGCATGGTATCACTTCATACTCACTGCTGCCAGGAGTTGTTTCATGGATGCTGGGAAATCTTGCTTGACCAGAACTTTCTTCTTGCATATCAGCATGGTCTTGTCCTGAAATGTGCGGATGGTGTGCTGCACAGGGTGTTTCCCTAAATATTTACATATTCTGCTGATTATCCTGAGAAGTAATTTCGCTTTGCCTTCATTAGTAAAGTTGTTAGATTGCTCATCAAATTCCAGGGTTTTAATTGTGACCATCAAAGACATGGGCTCATGCACCTGCCCTCACTGCCTCACCCCAAAAAGGTTGTTTGACTCTCTTGGTCTCATCAAGGACATGTGAAGTCATATACAAAATCTACGCATATATGCTATTACCAAAGTCCTCAAGGCTTGTGAGTATATCTATAAGCGGGGGAATACAATAGATGGTTCAAAGGTTAAAGACACCCTTGGAGAGGGTTCTTGGGTACCCACTCTGGTAAGTGCATATAGATCCTTCAATCTTTGATGGGCCCAAACCAGCTACCTGCAGAATCAATTCATGCAGAAACTTGGACCATTTGGCCTTGACCCCTTCCGCATGCTCGTGGTTGACTTCATGCATGAATGCAAGTTGGGTACTTGGAAAGCGCTACTAACCCACCTCATCAGGCTTCTGTATGCCCTTCCTGATGGTAGCCAGCTAGTCGCAGCCCTTGACCACAGGTACTAGGCAGAATTCACCTAGAGTTTTATTACCTGCTAACGATTCTTGACCTCCCCATAGATTTCGTCAGGTTCCGACCTTTGGCAATGGCATAATCCGAAAGTCTGCAAACAATACTTCAGAGATGAAAAGGTTAGCAGCATGGGACTTCGAAGATATCTTACAGGTTTTTGTGCAACTCATTTTTCTTCATTTGCCTCGCTAACACATTCTCCATCATCAGTGTGCTATCCCAGTTTTCAAAGGGCTGTTCCCTGCTGATCATGATTTAGTTGTACAGTCTTTGCTGTATCGGTTCGCGCAGTGGCATGCACTTGTCAAGCTCAGGATGCACTCAGGCTCTATGGTAACTTTTCTTGAAGATACATTCAAGAACCTCTCTTGGATGTTGCAAAAATTTCAATGCGACACCTGTGCTACCTTCAATACTATGGAGTTACCAAAGGAGAAAACAGCTCGTCAACGAAGGTTTGCTCAACAGTCTGGGACTAATGTAACTTCTGCAGACTCAAGCAGACCAAGGGCAAAGAAATTTAACCTGAACACCTATAAATTCCATGTGATGGCAGATTATGCAAGATCTATCAGATTCTTTGGGACCACGGACTCCTTTACTACTCAAATGGTATGTATGCATTGTATTTCCACTATCTATGCAAGTTAAATTTGGCCAGGGAGAACTTGCACACAGAGCTCTCAAGGCATTTTATCCATTGACCAGCAAATTGGACACCCTGGCCCAGTCAGCTAAGCATGAACAAAGGTATCATGTACTTCGACAGGTTGCAGAAGCTGGAGGTGCATCCTCCTCTGACAGCCAATCACCTGCTGATGCTCCCCCTTCAGTGTCCTCTGACATACATCACCATATCACAACCAATAGGGACAGTCTGATCAATCTATTTCAATTCCTTCAAGAACATGACAGTGATCCAGCAGTTAAGGTAGACATGATATTGCAGTGGGGATGTACCTTACACTTTTCTCACGATTATTGTCAGAACTTCATCCCCAAACTCAAGGACCACATCCTTTATAGGCTTCAGAAGCTGGATATCGGCTATTGCGATCACACCTTTACAGATGAGGAGCACAATTCAATTATTATTCCTAATAATATGATCTTCTCAGTCCAAACCATGCAGGTACACTACACTACATACGACCTCAGGTGAGAATACAACACCGTCAGCCCTAGAACACACGCTGATATCATGGTACTTTCAGGGGAGATGACACCTAATCACCCATACTGGTATGCCCACATATTGGGTATTTACCATATGGAAACTTGGATCAACAACAGAGCCCAACCCATTCAGCAGCACCTCGAGTTTCTCTGGGTCAGGTGGCTGGCACTGTTACAGAACTACAAATCCAGCATGAAACATGCTCGTCTTCCAAAGGTTGCATTTGTGGATGAAACAGACCCTGACACATTTGGGTTTCTTGATCCAGGGCAAGTGGTTCGAGGGGCTCACCTGATTCCTGTGTTCGCCTCAGAGCATGGTACAAGCTGGCTTCGGTATGGGAGATCATTAGTGCACCATGGGGGGGAGCTAGATGACTGGGAAGAGTATTACGTCAGCATGTGAGTCTGAATATTCTTTTCTAATAGTGCTGTTGACTCACAACCTTTGGGTCAGATTTGTGGACTGAGATATGTTCATATGCTATACTCACTTTGGTGTCAGGCATCCAGTAACAGTTGCAGAGGATGACTAGAGAATGTCTTAGCTCTGATTTAGTAGCACTGGATGATGCCATGGATGTCATCGACAGTGATGCAGATTGTGGCGACAAAGATGGTGATGACGAGGGTCAAGAAGGTGATGGTGATGATGAGGATGATGATGATGATGATGATGATGATGATGATGATGATGATGATGATGATGATGATGATGATGATGGGGAAAAGGAGGAGGAGGAGGAGGGGGGGGGGGATGAGGAGGAGGATGAAGAGGAGGAGGAGGGAGATGAGGAGGACATGTTTGACGACCTTTCTTTTTAAATTGCTTTTACTTAGATCTTCTATTCCTTCAAGTCCTTTAAATTATTACTGACTTGCCTGATCAATAGGGGTGTCTTGTGACTCAGACCAAGATGGATCAGCATTTTCAAACTCCTCCGCAGTACTGAGTATTACTAAGTATTATCAAAAGCAAGCTTATCAGTCTTCTCTTCCACATACTGATTATCTCTTTCTGTGTTCACACCTGCCTCTCCTTCAGCTATACCCAGCAGTTCTTTAGTCTCTCTAGCATAAACTATTGGCACCATTGTCAATATGTGGAGAATCTCAATTTTGGACGATGCTCCTCAGCTCCACAATCAGATGGTCTAGAACTGGCACAACCAACTTGGCCACCCGATAAAACTTGAAGAAGACAGCAGCTATTCTCCATGATAGGGAAATTCTGTCTGCCCTAACACTTTCTCTGCTGGTGTGTTTTGTATCTCACCTCCAGCACCATCAGCGCCAATCATCTACTTGGCATGAAAAGTCTTTAATGTGCTGTTCTTTGTGAGCATTGAACACTCGTTTGGAAGTTCTAACATCCTGGCTTGTACGGATGGATGGAGAGGTGCTGGTTTCTCCAGACCACTGACTTCTGAGATGTTCAGGAAGTTGAAAAGTTGGAGGGAGCATGGCTGGGTCATGCTCGATGAGACCATGGGATAATACAATATCATAATGGTCATTTGTCAAAATAATGAGATGCATGGAGTTTCACACCCAGTGACTACCTGATATGGGTCATCATGTCATGCTGGGACGGCTGTCCTGTCTTCCATACTTGCCTTCAATCGCATTGAGACAAGTGATCCAATTTGTACTCAATAAGACAGAATAGCTCCTTTTGAATTCAGTGGCTGTTGGGGAAGGTAAAGTCAAGTTACAATGTAAACCTTGTTCGACTTGTGCTAACTCTGGCTAAATATTATAGTAAATCATCCTGGACAGGATGTGATCGTTCGGCAACTAATAGTCAGTAAGTGAGTCCCCAATGCCTTACAATTTTTCTCGCAATCCCCATTCAACATTGAGTGCAAAAGAATGGCTTATGTGCAACATGACTGGTCTGCTCCTCCCTTCGCTCAGTCCTCCGAGGGCTACACCTCCGTTTACTCCAATGACTTCCATCAGAGTGTACCCGGGCTACTCACAGAATCTTCCACTTCAACTGGGGGGGCATCGAGTGCACACGACATGCAGGAGCAGCCGCAGTCTCACATGGCTTTGTCACTATATCATCCCCAGCCTCTTCATCATGCATCTTTGAGCCAATCAAGCTTGTGGATGTTAGATGCTCAAGGCTTAAACAATGCATTTCAGCAGCAGAGCCTGGCATCTTTCGAGGCACAGATAAATCAGGGTTTCAGGGGTGTGAGCCCTGTGCATGCCAAAAATGCACCAGACTAGACTAAGTTTCTTATGCCACTATTCAAACTGATGACGAAGAACTTTCTATCAGTGGATGTAATAAAGGAGGTGAAGGTTGATGCATATGAACAGGTGGTTAGGTTGATCTTCGATACTTCCTTTTCCCCTACCAATGAGGCAGCCATGGTCAAGACAATGGCTAAGAGCGCCCTTGATGATGTGATCTCCCAATATTCCAATGGTATTTCCTTTGTATATCTTCATTCCTTAGCTGATGGATTTCAAAATAGCAGAGCTCGTCAAATGGAAGACCCTCACGGAGGGTCAAGCAGAAATCCAACGGCTGAGCAAGGTCTTGAATGTCATCCAGGACAAATTCAAGGACCTCTCACTCAACTCAATCATGTCAGCTTATTTTCTTCTCCTTCTGGTCCAATTGTGGGGTCAGGCACTTGTAGATCCCCGGATCACGATGGTTAAAGACCTCCTCAATAGTAGTTTATTCCTGCATGGAGAGATGGAAGCAAGTTCTTCAATTGTAACTCAAGCTCTGACATTAAATGTTCTACTTCAGCTGATTGGGCTGGATGCGCTCCCTGGCAGTCACTGTGTGCCAATGGCAGAATAAATAAGAATTGAGTGGGGCTATTTTCCCACAGAGTGATCTGGGAACTCATCGAAATTATGCTTTTGCAGAGAGGATTCAACCGATTCATTTGTTACGACAGGACCAACAGGTGGAAGATTTGCATGAAGAATGTCAACACTCCTGCTGTCTCTTGGACAATATTTCTGGTTATGTTGGCCCTGGAAAACTGACAGCCCTCATGGGTAAATCAGGTGCTGGAAAGGTAAGAGATCGAGTGTGTTTAGTTGTCCTCACTCTGACATGTTTGTATACTACACTCCTTAATGTTTTGGCATAACGTGGCAATGTTGGCGTCATCACCGGTGATTGTTTGGTCAGTGGTCAACCACTCCCTGTGGACTTCCAGGCACAGATGTATGTGTACCATTTGAGAAGTCGGTTGACATGAAATACTACAGGTTGTCTGCTAGTGGCTATTGCCAGCAGATGGATACCCACCTCACTCAAGCTACCGTCCGAGAGGTTCTGCCATTTTCTGCGCAACTTTGCCAGCCCCAGACTGTCCCTATTGTAGAATTGGCAGCATAGTAAGTTATCATAGCTTCCTTTGCTGCTCAGGTTCATCATATCTTTTCAGCATCAACAAGTGTCTCGTGATATGCAGCCTCGAAGATTACACTGATGCTGTTGTTGGGACTTCGGGCGTTGAGCTTGCTGCCAAGGTTCGTCCTTGTTGATATGTGTCCTTGCCAACAACAGCCAGGCCATTTCCTGTATGTGAGTTTGCAGTGGCTGATGCCATGCACATTTGTTCACAACATCGCTACAGGATCCATCAACCTTCTGGAGAGTTGTTCCAGGTCTTCGACCATCTCTTACTTCTTAAGAAGGGTGGCTAGACTGTCTACTTCAGTAACATCAGCAAGGGAACTTCCACTATGCTTGAGTACTTTGTTTGCAATGGTGCCCATTGATGCAACCCTGATGCTAACCCATAAGTACTTCTGGGTCTTATTTTCCCCTGCTTGAGTTGATAATTCATGGAGGGCTGAGTATATGCTCGACATCATTGACACAGGCACAACGGCATCGTCCTCGGTTGACTGGTGCACCACCTGGAAGAATCCACCTGAGGCTGCTGCACTCCAAGAAGAGATTGAGAATATCCATAGTGAAGGCTGCGTTTGCCTGGTCTTACAGGCACAACACCCCACCAAGTTCATGACTTCATGGAGTCACCAGGTCATGGCCCTTACCTAATGTAACTTCCAGGCCTACTGGCGCAATCCGACCTATCTCATGGTTAAGTTTGCGCTTTGCATCATTGGCGGCTTGTTTGTTGAATTCACGTTCTACTGCACTAGTGATTTGCTCCAGGGTACCCAGAACAAGCTCTTTGTATGTTGTGTTTTCCGGTGCATAGCGCAGGTTTTTGACTTGTTTGATAGGCGATCTTCTTGGCCTCAGCACTGTCTGTCCCCCTTTCACAGCAGCTTCAGGTAATGTAGATGTACATCGAAATTCTGTCTATCTATGAAATCTGGGAGCGTCCAAGCAGGATGTACAACTGAACTGCTCTCATTGTCAGCCAGATTCTAGTCAAGCTGCCATGGAACATTATGTGCTCATTGCTCTGGTTCTTCTGGACTGTCAGATTTACCAGTGATCGTGCAGGATACACATACCTCATGTATGGCGTCATCTTTCCCATGTACTACACAACCATTGCAGAGGTAGTTGTTTCCATGGCTCCAAGCACTGTGATCTTGTTGCTACTGTTCAGCATGATGTTCTCATTTGTTATTATCTTGTGAGTATTTTGGGCGCACTCGATATGATTGCGTCCCTTACTGTTTTATAGCAATGATGTCTTGCAACCATACCGTATACTCAGTTGGTGGCAGTGGATGTACCGAGTCTCCCTATTCACATACTTCATTGAGGGTATGCTTGGTCAAGGTCTGTGATCTGCGCTGAGGCTGCATGCATGCCGCTGACATTTCCTTTAGCTATGGTGGCAATTTCATTAACTGTGCTGAGCAAGTGTTTATTCCTGTTGTCCCTCCCTGTAGATCCACTTGTGGTTAGTACATGGACCTGTTCATGTCATGCTGGTGGTTACCTCGCCAATCCTGATGTGACCTCTACATGTCTCTTTGGCCCTTATTGCTTGACAGATGAATATATGTTTTCCACTTTTAACATTCAGTCCTCTCACCACTGGTGTGACTCCCCAGCTTTCCGATATACTTTCATTAGGTTCAACTTGCACTTCTCACAGCTGTCATAGAGCATTTCATTTACCAGTCACAAACTGGTATCACCAAAGTGCTTGTTCACAAAGTGTTAAAGTGGGCAAGGGAAGATATTGATATTTCTGACTTGCAAGATTGTGGTTTCATGTATTGGCATGTGCTTGCAATGAATCTGGTGGTAGCTGCAGAGCTTGTACTGGCAGAAAAGCTGACAATCACAACAGATTCAGATCACATGGATCATGATGCTCTTGACCAACTCTTCCTGCATAACAGACTGCTCGGAAGTATATATCACAAGAATCCAGAGATGACAGCATCTGACATCTTTATTCATCACAATTTGAACCAACTTGCCAACTTCTGGTACCATCTAGTGCCACCACTATTCTCCCTCTCCCTCTCCTCTCCCTCTTCCTCACTGCAGCTATTTTTCCTCCATGGTATGAACACTGATTGTGGATAACATCAGCACACACGCGCAATTGGGACAATTGACTCACTGGGTTTTGTGGTGCCATGATTTCATCAGGTAAGCACTCTGATCGTCCTGCAATCTGTATGATTGTAATATATTGGACAATGACTTGGAATTAACAGTGCTTGTGTTTGATCAGACAATTTCCTTTTTCAAGTTCTCACAATCCTTTCCCTACACCTCTGAGAAGACTTCTGAGACTGACCCCACCACTCACGAGAATGAAGTATGCTAGCAGGAGGAAAGGGCGCTTGTAAGTTGATATCATTTTGTTATTATCTGGATCCTTAGTCTTTTTCAGGCCGCAGAAGATAGATACTGGCATGAAGTCATCATCCATGCAGAATCCATCAAGACCATTGAGACCCTTAAACAACAACTCACCGTCACTCCAAGGATAACCTGTCAGAAGCCACTAATGCCCAAGCTAAGCTGGCAGTGTCTGAGGGCAGCCAGAAACTGCAAAAGAGGTTTTGGACAAGGAATTTGCTGATCTCAATGCCCAGTGAGTGCTTGGCTTGATGCTGATCGGTTCTTTAGTCTGAACAAAATATAGCTCCAAGGATCTGTCCACACAAATTGCTCTTCTTCATCAACATCTCAAGACTGTCAGCACCCAAGCCACCCACATACATTAGGCTGTGGACTCCTCTGCTACTGAGGGCACTTCTGGTGATGCGGATGTTGGCGGTGATGTGGATACTAAGGTTTCAGAACTCTGATCTGTTGTGGCTTACCTGCGCAAGGAGAAAGAGATTGTTGATTTCCAGCTGGAGCTCAGTAAACAGGAAAACATCCAATTGAAGGCTCAGATTGAGCGCGTGACTCAGAGTTTGCAAGAGACCAGAGCAACCCTTGCTGAGGTACGTTTGCCCATATGTAATATTACTGAATCCTAATGATGTCGCATCAGGGATGAGAACAGGCGATGGAAGCAGCAACAGTCTGCCCCAGCAACTTGATTGAAGTCACACTCAAACAATGTTTCTGCAGCAGTACCGGTAGATATTCATTGAGCAATGACGCAACCAACTATTTTGGAATACTCAGGCTATTTTAAATAGTAGGCAACCTGTCTGTAACAAACAGCACCAACATCTGAATCACTAAGAGGGAGGTGGAAATTAGGAACCAGGCGCTGGTACAATCTACACCATCAGTTCTCTTAGATTTGCCGGTCATTGCTAAAGCAGATTTCCATTAAAATGCCTTGGATACCCTTGGAGCTGAAACCACACATGAGACAAAATGAGAATAGACTCACAAGTTGATGCTGCTGGACTACTGTGCCATGTCTGCTGTGATGTTGCCATACGCTCAACATTGTCTCTTAGTCACATGGTCTGAACATTTGTTGTCATTGCTAAAGTGGCTTTCCATTAAAATGCCTTGGATACCCTTGGAACTGAAATATATATAAGACAGAATGAGATTGGGCTTGAAGGGTGAGGGCACTGCACTACTCTGCCTTGTCTTCTGTGATGTTGCTATACTTCAACCTTGTCATTAATGCCTCTTCTGAGTGTAGATTTGTAGGGATTAATGGTAATTTATGAACAACACAAAATTCTTCTAGAATACATGAATATATTTAGTAAAAGCATGATTGTGTCAGTCTATAGGTCTCATGACTACCATATCATGGACTCATGAATTCACTGGTGAAGGTAGGCTAATAGTTAACTCCACCTGCCCAAGACTTGGCGCCAGACTCGCCGTAACTCTGGCAGCCAGCTGAACCCACCACAACAGTTTTTGAGTGACGAGTGCTGAGTTCAACCAATGAAAACAGGGTTATCTGACCCTGGACCCGACTACTGTATGCTCTACATACAGTAATACCTGCTTGCTCACCACCCTCTATTTAACAATTTGTCCCCAGATGGCACATCTCATCATCCCCTTGTCTCACTTTTTTCTACCTGCAGTGCTAGTCGATGCCAGCCTCTCCTCTAGGAATGGTTTGTGATGAGAAATCTCACACTCACGTACCAGATACAGATCATACAAGTGATCCTCCCCACCCCCATGATGTGTCTGACATCTCAGGGAACAACCTAGAGGATGACTTCCCGGACAAATTCAAATAGTTAGAGGATGAATGGCAACAAGACCTGGCCAACCCCAGGAATTGGTCTCCAGCAAGAAAATGGACAACCACTGGAATCGTCAGTTCTTTTGTGAGAGATATTTAATCATGAGGATCAATTTTACTTTCCTGTCAGGCTGCGCTCTACACTTTTGTGACTCCGTTAGCAAGTTCTATCATGGCACCTGGATTGCCAGAACTGGCCAGAAAATATGGCATAACCAATCCAACAGTCACAGCATTGACTCTCAGCATCTTCCTTCTCTCATTTGCCATCAGTCCTTTAGTTGCCACACCCTTATCTGAAGTATATGGTCATGTGTGGGTTCGTCATCCTCTTCTTTAAGACTGGTAGAATTGTCAGCCTAAATCAGTTCAAGGTACTCCACTTAGCAAACCTCTTCTTCCTCGGGTCTAATCTCGGCTGTGCCTTTTCACCCAATACTACATCTTTCCTTGTCTTTCGGTTCCTGGGTATGTCATGCAATTGCCAGCTTAAGAATTTTCTTACTCTCTGCCCAGCTGGTTTGGCCACAAGTGCTCCTGTAGCATGTGGAGGAGGTGTCATTAGTGACCTCTTCTCCAAATGCGATCGTGCTGCAGGTATGGCACTATACAATGTCGGACCCTTGATAGGTGCATCTCATGCTCTGCCACCTTGACATGAGTTCAGACTAAGTTCTGGCAAGGTCCTGCAGTTGGCCCTGTCATGGGAGGTTTCATAGCAGAGTCAATCAGCATACAATATGATTTCTATGTCATCACCGCGATCTGTGGCATCACCGCAGTGCTTGGCATCCCTTTCATGAGAGAATCTTATGCACCAGTCATTAGACTTCATCATGAAAAAATGGCTACAGATCTTGAAAAGGCACCCGCAGGATATCCCACCCTCACCACACATCACATGGGCAAATGGGCTTACTTATGGATCAACCTCAAGTGACCAATTGTGCTTTTGACTCAGAGTTTTATATATTTTATCCTGAGTTTATACATGGCTCTGTAAATCCAATTTAATATCATGCTGCTAACTAATGTTGTGTATTTAGGACTTATGGTCAGTACTTAGCACCATATGTGGAGTTATGCTGGATATGAACTGAAATCAACCACCAGGTATATACTACCTGATGTTTGCTACATTCCCCAGTGAGGTCATATTCACCTAGTACCATAGGAACGATCCTTAAAACAACTTGCATCCAGACCTCTTCTCGGAAGTATACCACTTCAATATCGGAATCTCAGGTCTGACATCCATTAGACTTGGCTTTGGATTCATATTCGTCACCATCTTCAGCATTAAACTTTCCAGCAAGATATACATATATGTACGTCTGCCTTCTAATTTGGCCACCTTGGCTGAAACACATCTCTTATATAGCTTGCTACACAAAACGGAGGAAAGGGTAAGCCAGAGATGCACATTGCCACCCTGATATTCGGCTCATTTTTCGTCCCAGTAGGACTGTTGTGAGATGGATGCTTTTATCTATGCGATTCCTGATTTGATACATCCACATTAGTTGGTACAGCTGGTCTGCCCAAGCCAAGGCCCATTTTATAATGCCCATCATCGGTACCACTATCTTTGGATTTGGAATAATGACAGTATTGTGGGTGGTGCCCCGCCTCATATCAACTAACCTCTCTCAAGCCTCCCTGTTCAACTATACCTTGTAGATACATTCACTTATGCTGCAAGCGCAAGCACAGCTGCTTCTGTCAGTTGCCCCTACCCTTGATATCGTCAATGTTCTCTGAATGCATCATCAGATGTTCCGTTCACTGCTTGGATTCGCATTCCCTCTCTTTGGACAACAGATGTTTGCTGCACTCGGTTATGGGGGAGGCAACTCCCTTCTCACAGGTCTTGCCATCATCATTGGCATACCCTTCCCCATCTGGATATATTATGCTGGCAAATGTATGTGTGCAAGGAGTTCTTTGACTCGTTGATTGTATGATTGTCTTTCTTTGATATGAATAATAGTATGGGAAGATTGGACACAAGAAAACTACTCAGTCCAAGGAGTGGTCTAAGTTTGAGCACTTGATCATTGGAATATGGCTGAACTGTATTTCTTGAACGAGATTCCTATTCCTGTGGGAATAAGTGATACTTATAGGCAACATTCATGTTGACAATGTCGCTGTTCTTTCTAACACTGAGTTCATGGGGACTGTCAATAACCTCAGAGGCTGCTGCCTTGCAGTCAGGCTACTATTAATAGAGTCTTGGAGAGGACTCTGATTTTGACACTTTTGTCCCATCATGACCATTTGCTTCTGGCATGCTCTAAACCCCCCACAGCTGCGCCCAATTCTTCATTTTTCATCCTGCACCTCAAAAACCGCCATGGCAAGCCACGCCAAAGCTTTCAGCTGTGTGTCGAGTGCAGTATATTTGGGCAAATACTAGACTGCAGCAGTGTCTGAATCTTATGGTCAGTTTCTTGTTACCTTGCAAAGCTGACTTGACATTCCTGTCAAGAGGGCAATGATATTAATTAATTACTGTCTGCATAATGAAACCAAATTCCATAGATAACAATCACAAGAACACAAGCGACAAGACAATAAAGTAGTCATGAGCATGATCTTCTAAAGCACTATCTCAGGGATGTTACATTCTGAATCCTGTGAATAAATACAAGAGCAATGTGAGAGAGAATTATCAATGTGCAATAACAAAACATCATGACATCCAACATATAAAATCAAGAATTTCAGACCTGTGACCCTGCAGCTTCAATTAGATGTTCCTGGGTGCACAGGTTAGGTATTTGATCGCAATGATCATGGAAAATCAGCACACCTTTGCGATTTTCTGCCCTTCAGATAAAATGACAAGGCAAGATCGTAGACCCTTCAAACACCATTGCCATTTGAGCCAAGTGAGGAGATACTTATTCCAGAATAACTTGAATATATGCTCAAGTGCAATGTTCCATGGTGTCTGAGCTCATGAGAGATGACAGCCCAATTTTGGCATGCATACTTGAGAGCATCGGAAGTTGATTGACTTCGCTCCTGTGATTCAGTTGTGAAAATCGTGAATGCAGTCATAGCATGGATGACCTCAACATCTGGAGGATCTTGTAGGAATGCAGAGGTAGAATGATCCTGGGGCCTTAATGCCAGGAACACCGGGAACATCAAGAAATCTGGTAGGCTCTTAAACTCCTGGATCACTTGAAAAGCTGGCAGGAAAGGCAATTGTGGGATGATTGCACATTTACTGATTGTTTCTAATGTGTTTGTCAGAGATGGTTTTGGGCTTGCATTCGTCAAGGGCATCAACAACAAACACCAGAGGCAGACACTCGCACAGCCTGTATTGCAAGTGCCAGAGAGGTTGGTGAAATAACACCTCTATCTGGTCACAGAGAGACTTGCAGGAGTCCAGAACTGCAGGATTCTTGTGGATAGCCCTGTTCACATCCTTCCGCACACTTGGAAAATTGGTCACAAGCTGGTAGGTGAGCATTGCAAAGAAATGACCACTCATGCTGCATTTCATATGCTTGCACGAGAAAAGAATGTCCCTGCAAGCCATGTTTTAATTTTTGTCTTCTCTGTCACTTTCAGAGCTCTCATCCTTTCAGCAACAGTGAACACCACAGCAGACTTTCAACACCCACCGTTCCATGCAGCCAAATGAGTCAACTCTTCTTTTGGTTATCTAATGATTTATAGATGTATTTGAGAAGGTCCTCACAGGTCCCTTTCAAACATTTCAGATGGGGCTGATGTTCAGGAGAGTCATATGCAGCACCAGGACAGCAACCTGGGACAACCTCTCCCAAGGTCCTTCAGATGATCAGGGAACTGTTAATAAGGTCAGAGAGAAAGAGAGGATATAAAGAAGATACTGACACTGATCCCAATCGCTCATTGACAGAGGTTGATGATAAAATGTGATAGACAGTGTGAAGTGGAATGCGACAACTCAGGGAAGTACTGGTGGATTCAAGCAGTTAATAGTCATATTGACAACGACTGTCCAGACGGACAACATACAATGATATGAAGTGATAAATCCAAGTCTATGCTCTTGGTTTTTGTGAATCCAGGGTAGTAAGTTGTGAAACTTGAGCTGTGAAATGATGTTGGGACGTCAGCACGTGTGTTCTACAGGCAGCAAAACAGTCAGACGATGAAGATAGATTTGAAGGATACTTGCGATAGAATGGATAGATGGTTGCAGTGCTATTCAAAGATGGTGGCGGTGAAATGCAGTACATAAGACGAGCGGGCGCTTGCCAGTAAGGACGTGAGACGCTGGATCAACAGAGTCCAGACTCTTAAGAGACCCGGGTTGCTGTCAAATCAACTCTTGACGCTCAATACATATTCAAACCACTCAAATGGGTTGTTTCTAATTTTGAACTAGAAATCACTCAGTTGAGTAGTTTGTGGTGTACTACTAGAGGGCTTGTGGAAACTGTTTTAAATTTATATTATGTAAGTAATAAATTGCACACAGATTCACAGGTGTTTGGTGATGGACACGCGCGTCAGTCAAGACTTTCTGAATAGACTTCCCAAGCCTCCGACACAAGTTTGACTTCCATATTTGCAGGCACAGAGCTCATTGGCTTCGGTTTGTCTGGATACTGCAGTGGATTGGTAGTTCTCGAATGCAATGGACACGTGGAACCTGCTATACTTAATTGACTAGTGCTCAGAATTTTATTTCCTCCCATGTACACCGTGACGCCATAGATGTGCTGCAGCCTGCAGGCATGAACGTTTTCCACCTTGAACATCAACTTGAACCACTCTCACAGGTTTCTACTATTTCATTACTCGGATTTCTACTACTGTGCGTGCGCATTGCGATTCAAACTTATCTACCTGAATTTTGTGCTGAGGATAACCTGATAGTAGTACTTGCCGTCTTCGCCCACTTGCGCTCTTCGGCTTCATCATCTCTGTGTTCCTGACAGTCCTTGTGTAACTTGATAGTGATATCATAGCATGACGGACCATGTGGAAAGGTGTCGAGCAGCCTTGAAGAGATGTCCCCCCGGCCATTCTCTTCAGTCACGGTCTCTCAACAATCTCGCCATTAGCCTTGGAGACAGATTCACACAGCGGGGCGTCCCGTCTGACCTTGATGAGTGCATCGAGCTCCATCGGGATGCACTACTCCTTTGTCCCCCCGATCATTCCAATTGATCATCGTCTCTCAACAATCTCGCCATGAGCCTTCGAGACAGATTCACACAGCGGGGCGTCCCGTCTGACCTTGACGAGTGCATTGAGCTCCATCGGGATGCACTACTCCTTCGTCCCCCCGGTCATTCCAATCGATCATCGTCTCTCAACAATCTCGCCATGAGCCTTGGAGACAGATTCACACAGCGGGGCGTCCCGTCTGACCTTGACGAGTGCATCGAGCTCCATCGGGATGCACTACTCCTTCGTCCCCCCGGTCATTCCAATCGATCATCGTCTCTCAATAATCTCGCTGTTAGCCTTGGAGACAGATTCACACAGCGGGGCGTCCCGTCTGATCTTGATGAGTGCATCGAGCTCCATCGGGATGCACTACTCCTTCGTCCCCCGGTCATTCCGATCGATCATCGTCTCTCAACGGTCTCGCCAACAGCCTTTGAGACAGATTCACGCAGCGGGACGTCCCATCTGACCTTGATGAGTGCATCAAGCTCCATCGGGATGCACTACTCCTTCGTCCCCAGGGTCATCCTCTTCGATCACGCTCTCTCCACAATCTCGCCCTCAGCCTTCAAGACAGATCCACACAGCGGGGCGTCCCATCTGACCTTGATGAGTGTATCGAACTCCATCGGAATGCACTGCTCCTTTTCCCCTCCGGTCATTCTCTTCGATCATCGTCTCTCAGCAGTCTTGCCAACAGCCTTCGAGACAGATTCATGCAGCGGGGTGTCCCGTCTGACCTTGATGAAACATTTAGCCTGTTCTTGCAACTCCCCTACATATCTCATGCGGTCTCTCGTATGGACCTTACTGCTGCTAAGTCATGGGCTACTGCTGCTGAAGAGACAAACCATGGTTCTGCATTGATTGCATATCAAACTGCATTAAAATTCCTAGATCAGCACGTCACTCTTTTGTCGTCTTCATCACGCCATTTCGATGTTGTGAAGATGGCCACGACATCGCTTGCTGTGGACGCTTTCTCATGCAGCATTCGTCGTGGCGCGCTGAAAACTGCTGCGGAACTGATGGAGCAAGGCCGTGCAGTATTCTGGACTCAGTTGGCACGCTTAAGCTCCCCGTTCGATGGACTTTCCTTGCCTGGTGACACAGACGGGGTCTTGGCAGAAGAGTTCAAGCAGCTGAGCTTTCGCCTTCGCCCTGCATTTGATCAGTCTACTGAAGACCGGTCCTCACAAATTCGACAACTGACCATGCGATGGAACGACGTCGTCTCTCGCATCCGAATGCTCCCCGACTTATCTCGGTTTCTCCTGCCTCCCCTGTTCTCAGACCTACAGAAGGCCGCTGAAGAAGGTCCTGTCATCATCGTCAATGCTAGTCAGTACAGCTGCAACGCTTTGATCGTCCTGAGTGACCAAAATCCTGTCCACATTCCAATTGATATCACGCGGACCGAAGTCTCCGAGTTGTGCTCCGAGTTTCAGTCCGTCGCAGAGCAATTTGGTTGTTCCGATCATCAGAACAAGCTTGTGGGCATTCTCCGCAAGCTTTGGCATGATGTTGTTGACCCCGTGGTCCAAGCCCTTAGGGTTTCGAATGTTCACCCTGGCTCGCGTATCTGGTGGTGTCCCACCGCTGAATTCACTTTGCTGCCTCTACACGCAGCAGGACCCTACGAGAGGGAGAGAGACAACTTGTCACAGATCTACATCTCCTCTTATACCCCCACTTTGGCGACGCTTGTTCGTGCGAGACAGCGCGTCTCTCAATATGCATCTACCCAATATTTTGTTGCAATCGGTCAAGGAAACCCGGACAGAGGGAAGGAATTGCGATGCGTCGCTCCTGAATTAGCCGCCATAGCTCAGCATCTCGTACCCATCGTGTCATCCTTCACATCACTCCGAGACAGCCTCGCAACGGTGCAGGGTGCACTCGATGCGCTAAACCATAATCAGTGGCTCCATCTCGCCTGTCATGGAATGCCCCATCGGACACAACCGTTCGAGTCTTCCTTCACGATGCAGGACGGGCCATTGATAATTAAGGACATCATCCAATCGAACTGGCAGAACCCGGAGTTTGCATTCTTATCGGCTTGTCACACTACTGTAGGCGACAAGAAAAGTCCCAATGAATTGATCCATCTCGCTGTGGCGATGCAATTCTCTGGATTTCGCAGTGTCATTGGTTCTATGTGGTCCGTCGACGACGAGGTTGCACGGCAGGTTGTTGTGTCTGCTTTTTATGACAAGCTGGTCGATGATTCAGGGAGATTAGACTGCACGCGGGCTGCAGTGGCATTACACAAGGCTGTGAAGAAATTGCGGCGCAATAATGTTCCACTAGAACAGCAGATTGTATTTGTTCACATAGGTGTCTAGTTTGAGACTCGAATGGCTGTTTTATTGCTTTGTTCGTAATCCTGATCTTTTTCATTCCCCCGTTGTCCCACTAGCTACAGCTCAGTTATTCAAATCATGTCTGCACAATAATTCTGTTGTTACATTCTCATCAATTGTTATATCCTGATCATGCCTTATGGTACAAGCTCACTACCTGCGCTCTTTTCTCTCATGCGTTGCCCTCTGACGCTCAAGGTATATGACACGTTTTTAACTCAGACCTCAGAGGTTTTTCACACGAGTTTAAAACCAGTTTTTGACGGGTTTTTTTACACAGTCTAGAAAACAGTTTTTCGGGCGATTCTAACATATTTGAGCTACAGAAAAGTAAATGCCCACTCCACAAGTCCCCCCGAAGGCAATAACAAAGTAGACCCTGTTCTCTGAGGTGTCGTGTTTGATCTTTCTACAAGTCCAACAGGTGCGGTGAATCAAGATGAGCATCCTGGCTACCGGCTAAGATCTGGCTGTCACTGCCCTGGTAAAGTGGGTCATGTTCGACTCCTGGATCTCTTCCTCGTCCAACCAACCATCGTCATCAGATGCCAGATCCAGATATGAGTCTCCAAGTTGGTGTGCCGCTGTCGGTGTCCGCGTTTCCTTTTCGACTAACTATCATCTCAACATCTAAACATGAACTCGTCAGTTCTCAGAACTTAAGAACCACTCGCCTGTGTGATTTCTAGTTCAGATTCGAGCTCGAAATCACTCAGTTGAGTGGTTCGCGGTTTTTGCTGAGCCATCGCAGGAGGAAGCACGGTCTGGACCGAGCACGGGATTCAGAAAAGGCTGAAGGCACGAACTTCCAGAAGACTGAGGTCAAGGAGAACAGACAGACCGCCCCCACTGAGACACGATCGGTCTGAGAATGTGCATAGACAAAGGTCCGAAAGAAACACGAATCCAACCAAAACACACTAGTAGAGATAGGGGAGGTGGGTGGATGGACAAAAATCGTCGAACGACGCGCACATGGAGATGAGCGCAGAGGACAAAAGAGAATGAGGTGCCGATTCTCAGACCAGGACCTTTAAGAACGATCGAGGCACCCTGGATGTGTGCTCGACTATGATTGAAGCAGACATTCTGGAGGATCTTCATGTGTAAACTTTCGAAGGTCGCATTTCACGCGCATGTGTCAACGTTCACAGGCTCATGATCCACTCTGAAATGGTCATGTGGAGTACTACTACTAGTATGATACAGTGCTGGAAGTCAACCAGGGCTTGTGGAAACCATTTAAATTTATATCATGTAAGTAATAGACTGCACAGACTTTGGTTCATATTGATCAAGGCAGGTTAAATTTGTCTCGTGCACTCCCTACCTCATCGCATGTTTCAGGCCATCGCATTATTCAACATGAGGAAGCAATACTGCCCATGGAAGAGCTAGCTGCCGCTTGTCCGAATGCCAATGCTGTCACGGTCACATGTCGCGTCGTGGAAGTGAGTATCATACATCATGCGCTTAGGTTTAAGTAGGCATCAATGCTGAGTGCTGATTACACATCAGGCATATCTACGCGTTCACTCTGGGATCCACGCCTTGGATAGCGCGCACTACAACGAAGCTGCTGGTCGCTTCACTGCCGCTGTCAAATCCTGTACATTTGCATAGTCCCGGCCTATTCATGCTATGCCATATACGAGGACTTCGCGGTGGTATGTTGATATAATAGAACCGAAATGTTTTACATTACAAACTGCGTACTTTTTCTAGGTCTTCGGATGGGACCTCAAGTGCTTGTAGCCAACTGCTCACCAGAAGCGGTGCCAGGCTTTCCTTTTGGCAAATATGCTTGAAGAAGCCCTCGAATCATACCGGGTCCTGAGGACACCATTCATTAAAGTACGAAGGCCATTTGCCTCAATTGGTCCACTGGCAAATTTCTAGTAACGTTACTACGTGCTATGATCTCCACTCCCACTTTTTATTCAGCGTTCGAGCGAGAATGTGGTGCCCTCTATTTTGCCAGTGGAGATGCTGCCCTCGCTGCAAGTGATTACAACAAGGCTACTGACTTATACTGTGGTGGTTGCCAACCTTGATTCTGCAAGCTGCACACTCTTCGCAAACCACAGTAAGGTGATGTTGGAGAAAGTGTTATGGGAGGATGCGCTTTTCCATGCGCAAATGGTGCGATGACGTCTACATACGATTTCGTACGCAATACTCATCTTGGCAATACATAGGTCATCGAACTCAACCCCAAGTCCCATGTTGGATACCAGTTGAAGTACGCAGCGCTTCATGGTGCACAATGCTATTATAAAGCCACCAAGGCCTTCGATATCGTATACAGCTCCGCCATGCGCCCTACCATCATTGTCTGAAGATGAGATTCAGACGATGGTCTCTTCGCTGCGAAATACTGTAACTGTAGAGTTGGCTTCGAAACTTGATTTGACAATACGAGCTCCCCTCGCTTCATGGACTGTAGACTGCATCTGCCTTGTATCCCATTCCGTGTCACGGGAGTCAGACAGAGGCTTAGTCCAGCCCAAGAGACTAATTTCACGTATGGAGTCAAGGCAGACGGACTTTATGACTTGCTGATCAATACGGAAGAGACGATAATCCAGTTCTCGCGAGCCAGGCCCATTTGACAGGGAGTCTTACTTGTCCACTCCTGGAATTGATATCTGCTCGAATTACCTGTCTTTGGAGACGACACGGAGAGCGAGGATGGTTAATGGTCCACGACCGGGCCACCGATAAACGAGTCACCCCACGGCCCCCCGGTAGGAGAGGAGCTGATCGATCTGGAATCTCACTCACTAGCGTTACGGTTGATCGTTCGCCTTGGATAGCCTTTCAGTGCTTTGTTGCTAGCTCAGCGGCACGGCGGAGAATACAAGAGAATAGTTTCGGACTATGATATCATTGCACGAGGCAAAGATATAGCTTCTGTTGACAACATGATGGACATCAGGACCCTAGAAATATTGTACCTTTTCAAGAAGAGGGTCAAAATTATTAACATTTGTCTGTAGACATTTGTCTTTCGCATATGTTGTACTGTATTGACGTCGTGATGAAGTCTACTTGCCTCGTTGTGTCTCCCTTAACTTCTGTGATAGATCATGTGATGCAAGGCAGATGCAGTCTGCAGTTCACGAAACAAGGAGCGCATATATTGTCAAGTCGGGATTAAAGTTTTGAAGCCAATCCACAGGAATGATATTTTGCAGCGTAATAATATTATGCTTACCATGGTCTGGAGTTGACAGGATTTCTCGCTATCATGACTCGTCATCATGATGTGTGTTCTGTGAATATTAGTGATACAATGGGACCACGCAGCAACCCCAACGTGAATTTACAAGTTTCCTGTCAAATTATTTCTAGCCCCAAGTACCTCAGAATAAAGAGCGTATACAATCCACTTATCGTTTGATTTAAATGGAGCCCCAGCCAGACGCGCATGTGAGTGATAACAGCAAGAAATCCGATGTATGTGCGTGGAGATAAAATAGTGATTAGACACGAACAAGGAAGAGTGGAGCGCATGAGACTGAAATATAGGGTAATAAACGAAACATGCTTGGTAATGTGATATTACAATGTAGCAGGCTGAGCAACAGAGGGAATGGGAAGAGGACGACGTGGGATGCACCCGAGTGCGAGGCAAAAATTACCCCAACAACCATGATCTTCTTGAGCAAGCGGTTGAGTCGTCACCTGCGCCAGAAGAGGCTGCACTGCAGGCTGTGTTGTCGCTGAGGTCGACTGACCAGCCTGAGCATTAGTCTTCACAGGGGGACGCACTATCCAACGCCTCTGAAGGTTATGTATAAATCCAGCAGAAAGAGGTACACCTAATACACTACTTACCTTTGTTTTCTGTGCGGCAGAGACGGTCACAGGCTGTGGTCCCGAGCGGCGTCCAAAGAAACTGCGTTTGGGGCGATGATGCAGTGCAATGGACTCGCTTGCTGTCGGACGACGTCGAAAGGGGATGGGAATGTTTAAGAAGCGGCGAGCGAAGGATACGTGGGGTTGCTGGAAACGACGAGATGGTGCCGAAGGGTGATAAGACTTCGAATGCTTTCATTAATACATGTACCGTCTGCTTGACAAAACACGAGGCTTACCTGAAAAAAGCCACCGTAATCATCACTGCCTGATTGTGTAAAAGGATTTGTGGCGTCAACCTGTAATAGTTCTATGAGCCAGAAAACAAGGACAGTCGAATGCAAAAGTACTGACTTCAAGACAAGACGAGGGCGGTGACTAGAGACAAATTTCCTGCTGTGTAGGTTGTCACCTAGAAGTATGGTTGTGAAAGCACATACTGGAACCTCTGGAGCTATCTCTTTTACCACCCACAAAGTGATTGTGTTGTCCGTTCCTCCATATGCTACGTACTTGCCATCCGGGGAGAATGCCACACACAATGGGATCCCGTCCTCCTGATTAAATGGCTGACCGAGTGGTTGATGGGACTTTGTATCCCATAGCCGTGCAATACCTCTTATGCCCACGCATGCCAGTACATTGTGTTTGGGTGAAAGCGCAACGGAAATTAGCGGATGAATGTGTCCGAAGCTATGAAGTTCTGTGCCTGAGTCACTGTCGAAAACGCATACGGAATGACCCAAGGCGGCATACAGCTTGGTGCTGTCCAACGACCACACTACAGACCACACATAGTGCCCAAGGTCTTCGATGGGCTCAACGACGAGCTCGCCTGTCTCCGAGTCCCAAATGCAAATCGTCTGGTTCTTCCCGCCTGATGCGATTTTGTCGCCTGAAGGTGAATATGCAAGTGCAAGTACACCACCCTGCCCCGTCTCGATTGGGCCTGCCTTTATTTCTCCACTTTCAACTACTTTTCGAATCAGGATTGTTCCATCCTCGGATCCGCTTGCAATATGGTCTCCGCTGGGAGACCACGACAGTGACCGCACCAACTCCTTATGACCTGTCCAAACGCCCTTGATCATCTTTCCGTCAGTGTCCCACCGCTGAACGCTTCCGTCTTCCCTCCCGCAGGCAATTGTCTTCCCGTCCGGTGAAAGCGCCAGTGCATGTATCGCTCCGCCCTCGCCTGACCATGGTTCCCCAACAAGAAGTCCTGTGTTGTAGTTCCACTTGCGCATCTTGCCGTCCAACGAACCGCTCACAACGTGGATGTTGTCGCGCAAGAAAACGAAATCCAAAATTTGATTATCGTGGCCCTTGAATCGGTGCTTTGGAGTCAGTTTTTTTGGTTGTGCTGGGGGTTGAGTTTCGTCAATGGTCGGCATCGCAGGGGGTTCAGACACAGAAGACACATTTTCCTTGATAGTCGGCATCGCAGGTGGAGACATAGTTGGTTACCGTAAGCCGTCTGTATGTTTTTTCTGGCTCTGATGCTGTTCATAATCGAAAATGACGGGAACGGTTGAACAGCACTCACCGGTTGTTCTTCTGGTTCCTTGATGGTGGCCAGCCAACAAAGAAGGTGAGTCTTGCATGCACCTCAGGCATGGATTCCACGAGGCAGCGCTAGTATTTGAATTGCAACATGTTCTATTTTGCCACGATGTCCACTGCATTCATGTGATCATTCACTTAATTACAATCATGCTATTACAGCGAATACGGCCTGACACATAGATTGCTGTTTCTTGCCTCGACTTTGGTTGTCTAACGATCCCAATGGTATGTTGATCTTTTTCTGACCTCCGTATGCAATGCTGGGTTATATTCTAGAACTCGCATAGCCGACTCTTAGTCTTAGTCTGCACTGCTTTGCCGTTCAAATTTTCCAGTTGCATTTCAAACTCCAAGTAAATGCTCTGACCTGCCAGGATGTTCACTCTCACGATTGGATGGAGCTGTTCCATCAAATCGCAGACGCCGTCCTGAAGTCAATAGCCAGCGAGGCTCACGATAGAGTTATGGTTGTATTCACCTGCTCGGTGACGTATACTAGGAAGCAAATTTCTATTCGAGAGTGTCATGGTCTGTCATTCTCTGAGCATGCACAAATTAGTACCTAGAACTTAGGTCTCTCTCAGTCTTCCCACAGTAACAGTCATGATCACAGTGTGCCGCGGCAGATAACAATGCATACTTGTACAAAAGACATGAAAAACAGCTGGGCTGCAGCCCAATCTGCGTGACAGTTGAATATCATGTTCGTCAACAGGCACATATGCGCGAGATGGCTAAACGAAATCCTCAAGTACAGGCTCATCCTTCCAAGATACCCCACAGCTGCGCATCGATGAGATCCCCTTCCTGGTTCTTGAGGATGACCTGCAACGATCGTCAGGAACAGTGCAGTGCCACGGTCAATGGGTCACATCACCGATTTATCAGCTTCGAGTTGCAAAGTACGGAAGGCTGTAGGGCTCTGTGCAGTATGGGGGACTTGGAATCTGCGCCTCATCGTCAGTAGACAGGTCTGGTTTGATTCACGACCTGCTCGCACCCGACGTGACCACCTTGGAAGACAATTTTCCACCAGTGCTCATTGAGGCTCATGACGGCCTTCGTGTCCGACTGCAAATTTGCGCAAAAAGGTGAGATTCGCATTGGAACCGCTTCTTGCAGACACTTACGTTCCATGCCAAGTAATCGCCACTGCCATCGTTCTTGACCGTCCCCAGATACCCTTGCGTCTTTTGGTCCCATTTATACTTCCCGCCCCACTATTGATATTGCTCGTCAGCGCCAGGTCGGAACATCGTCTCTAGCTGTCTACTGACCCTCTGAGTCACGGTACCACCATATTTCTCGCCAACGAGCCCGCCATCCTTCGGCGTCAACACGAGCTCAGGCCACTTCACGTTTCGAATGATGCCGTGGACAGACATGACGATTGAGATTTGTTGTTGGGGAGAGAAGGATAATACGAGAAGTGAAGTTGGTCTTCAAACTTGCGATCGTGTCATCATTTATATGCTCATTCCTCAGGGTACGGGCTCGGCGACGGCATTCTGCTGTCCCGGGCACCACTGCACGCGCTCCTGAATCGTGTAAGTAACTCAATGATGCTGCGCCAAACCATAATGTAATTGCAACTCGCTGCCTCGTGATCAGCCATCGTGACCGCTGCTCCGGAATTTTCGTTGCAAAAGGGGCTATGCATCATTCTTCGTTTCCGATGAATTTACCTCATCCTGGCACTTTCACTTTCACTGACAAAGGAGTCGAGCACTATTCCTAGATTAAGAACACAGTTCAATTGATTTCTCGGCAACGACTACATGCCACACCCTGGTACTTTTGTGCTCACTTACCAGGAATGTTCTTCGACAGCGTTACGACGAGTGTTTTCCTGTATAGGTCACTTATTCAGCCTAGCGACTTCAATCGGATGGTGAATCACAAATGGCTTTACGAACATTCCTCGATTTTGCTCGCGATAAATGTTTGTCGATTGTGGTGCAGGGTTTTTGCATGATTTCCGACTCTATAGCGCTTCCATTGCAAAAGGAGTTTACAAATCATTCGTCCAAATCTCGCTTGCAGGGAATGTAACAGCTACAAGGTCCGCCGTCCTTCAAAGTTTGGATGTCAGTGAGATAAGCTCCATTGATGGCACTAGCACAGACAGCAATAACGAGGTTGAGGCATCTGCATCTGAGTTACCCAATCGCATGGCGTGTGGGAGGCAGTGGCCAGTCTCACCCAGATTGTACAATCTTTCCTACTAGTGATTGGAATTGGTTGTTAGGAAGATAAGTCGGGAAAGACAAGAGTGAGTTGGGTCCCAAACCTGCAGTCATAACATGATTTGTGTTTCTCAGCCTAGAGGCTCAGCATTCCGCAGTCCCGAGCATCACATACGCCCCTGAATCGCGTTAAGTAATTACATGCTGACGGACCATACTGTTAATGCAACTCATGGTCTGATGATCAGACATCATGACAAAAGTTGAATGTTGATACTCCCGACACCTCCATCGCAAAAGGAGTTATGATCATTCCTTGTGTTCGCTTGCCAGGAATGTTTGTCTATAGCACAAGATTTCTAGGCAGCGATCACCCCACCCCTGGTTCCGATCTGAGAAAGTTGCCCAAATGGAGTAGTTCAAGGTGTACTCATCAAAGCTTCTGACACACCGGTACATGTAGGGCAATGCATGTCAGTTGCAATGCCACTCAAGGAAGTGGAAGGTTCATAACTCCTTGTGCAATGAAAGCGCCAGGGTGTAGTAGATTGATATGAGAACTCGTCCACTGATCTAAGTCTCAAAATGTCCTATCAAGTTCACCATTGTCACTACGACTCTCTGTAGCCTGAAAATTCGATGGGAATACAAGGAGATTACATAGACTAGAATCAGCCCTTCAGTCGATAAACATGCAAGGCAAGTGAACATGAAAATACCCGGCGTAACAGTCACCGTCGAGACTCATAAGTAAAAAACCTGGTCAGGAATGATTAATAATTCTTTCAGTAGTGCCAGAGTAAAGCACCAACTTATGGCTTTATCTGTGGGTTGCGGGTTCGAACCCACTGCATCCATAATAGCTGCCTACCATTGATAGATTCGCTCCTTGCCTTCGGCTCGAGTATATTGCCAGAGTCGACAAGCGGCAAAAGAGCTCATTGGAGCCAGATTATCAGACAAACGGGTGCGCGAGCCGCGCTGGATTCAAGGCAGCTATCGGAACATGCAAAAAGAAATTAGTCGCACAACCAAGGACACCTCTCGAACCGAAAAGCTGACACTAGTGCTGTACTTAATCATGATGTTGATACGAGAAATCAATTGATCTCTCGAAAAGTCCCGACAACATGCCACAATTGTACGAATGATTTGTAAACTCCTTTTGCAATGGAAGCGCTATAGAGTCGGAAATCATGCAAAAACCTTGCACCACAATCGACAAACATTCATCGCGAGCGAAATCGAGGAATGTTCGTAAAGCCATTTGTGATTCACCATCCGATTGAAGTCGCTAGGCTAAACAAGCGACCTATACAGGAAAACACTCGTCGTAACGCTGTCGAAGAACATTCCTGGTAAGTGAGCACAAAAGTACCAGGGTGTGGCATATAGTCGTTGCCGAGAAATCAATTGAACCGTGTTCTTAATCTAGGAATAGTGCTCGACTCCTTTGTCAGTGAAAGTGAAAGTGCCAGGATGAGGTAAATTCATCGGAAACGAGGAATGATGCATAGCTCCTTTTGCAATGAAAATTCCGGAGCAGCGGTCACGATGGCTGATCACAAGGCGGCGAATTGCAATTACATTGTGGTTGGTTTGGCGCCATCATTGAGTTACTTACATGATTCAGGAGCGCGTGCAGTGGTGCCCGGGACAGCAGAATGCAGTCGCCGAGCCCGTACCCTGAGGAATGAGCATATAAATGATGACACGATCGCAAGTTCGAAGACCAACTCACTTCTCGTATTATCCTTCTCTCCCCAACAACAAATCTCAATCGTCATGTCTGTCCACGGCATCATTCGAAACGTGAAGTGGCCTGAGCTCGTGTTGACGCCGAAGGATGGCGGGCTCATTGGCGAGAAATATGGTGGTACCGCGACTCAGAGGGTCAGTAGACAGCTAGAGACGATGTTCCGACCTGGCACTGACGAGCAATATCAATAGTGGGGCGGGAAGTATAAATGGGACCAAAAGACGCAAGGGTATCTGTGGACGGTCAAGAACGATGGCAGTGGCGATTACTTGGCATGGAACGCAAGTGTCTGCAAGAAGCGGTTCCAATGCGAATCTCACCTTTTTGCGCAAATTTGCAGTCGGACACGAAGGCCGTCATGAGCCCCAATGAGCACTGGTGGAAAATTGTCTTCCAAGGTGGTCACGTCGGGTGCGAGCAGGTCGTGAATCAAACCAGACCTGTCTACTGACGATGAGGCACAGATTCCAAGTCCCCCATACTGCACAGAGCCCTACAGCCTTCCGTACTTTGCAACTCGAAGCTGATAAATCGGTGATGTGACCCATTGACCGTGGCACCGCACTGTTCCTGACGATCGTTGCAGGTCATCCTCAAGAACCAGGAAGGGGATCTCATCGATGCGCAGCTGTGGGGTACCTTGGAAGGATGAACCTGTACTTGAAGGATTTCATTTAGCCGTCTCACGCATATGTGCCTGTTGACGAACATGACATTCAACTGACACAGAGACTGGGCTGCTGCTGTTTTTCATGTCTTTTGTACAAGTATGCATTGTTATTTGCCGCGGCACACTTTGATCATGACTGTTACTGTGGGAAGACTGGGAGAGACCTAAGTTCTACTAATCTGTGCATGCTCGGAGAATGACAGAGTCCGTCTCGGCGGCGAGCAGGAATCATCGAGAGTACGGGCCATATGCAGCTTCGTGTCCAAGTTTGAACAGGTGGACAATGGCAGTTCCATGGGCTGCAGGAACTCATCCATGTAAGATATCCCGTGAAGTGAGCTGGTTCAGGTCACTGGCAAGAGTTGGAGCCCCTGCTTGCACCACAAAGAGCACATTGCAATAGTCACGCTGCGGCGCATGCTTGACGTGCGACTCGATCTAGTAGGAGGCGCGATGCTTATTAGTCGACAAAGGCTCCTCCTCAGCTATCTCTTTGCGACCTAGGTGACCGTGATCGGCATTTTAGTTCTGGAGGATGCTCAGAATGCCAACGAACAACTGTTTATAAATCCATACATCATCCATTATAGACTCGAACATCGAGCCTCAAGTGACAGTTGATGATGCATGCTTGATATCTATCAGAGAGAAGAGCCGAGGCGAGACGACAACCACAACGACTATCAAAACAGACGACGTTAGCGAGAATGTAAGTACGGCACTTTGAGCTATACCTATCAAAACAGACGAGCACAAGACTAAAGAAGAGAAAAAGGAGAAACACGCGTGTGTGCTAACTAGTAGGGAATACCAAAAAGGAAACTCGAAACTCTGCTCATGACAATATCATAGGTAGAGGGCCGCCCTGTGCTACCTTGGGACATCATTCAAAAACCCTCCAGCTATGCCAGATAAAGACTGAACACTAAGCTGCGTCGAAAGCGGTCTTTCGGGCACTTGATCTATACATCAGCCATCTAGTATCCGCGACGCTAACACTGGTGGTCAGGAGGAGGTCCAGAGCTATATTTGTAGTATCCCACCTTTCTTTTCAGACATGCCACCTATACCGACAGCGCTGGATGCTGAAGCTCTCTCTATTCGACTCCATCGAACGGCGCCACTAAGTTTCAGATTCCTCGTCTAAGAGCATGTGCTGGTCCTCTGGTAACACAACAGGCGTGTGCGGCGGACGTAAGGGAGAATATTGAAGGCCCGGCCAAGCAGATTGGGGTCTGTTACCTTCCACATCGCAATTAAACTACCACTTGTAGGAGCTGGACGTTCTGGTTGATGACCAGAGGACTGAATGGGCAAGAAGAGAGCTGAGGAGAGTGGATATCTTCCGTGATTCATTTGTCAGGCATGTTGCAGTTCGACCATCTGGTGTCTCCGGTCTCTGACTGTTAGCTTGCGAAAAGACTCTCGAGCAGCATTTCTAGCGTCGAAACATGCAATGGATACACAAAGTCGGTCACAGCGAGAAGAGTTATTGCGGTCCCGTGCCATTCTCAGGAAAAGCACAAGCTCCTTGGGCGAGAATGCCACGTTCGTACGCTGCGTGTATTTGTACTCCTCTGATGTGGCTGGCCTGTGAATGACAGCGAAGACTCACTCATGAAAGCCAATCATGATGTCGCAGGAGCTCTGCAATGAACCATCGAGCTAATACAGAAAGAATTCAAACATAGACTGTGTCTTGTCGAACCAGTTACTAGGCAAGTTCTTCCTGCTCCCATCTTTCTCCGATAATCATCGCTCGTTCAATACAGAATCATCAATTGCAACTCTCCAATCTGCGTCCACAACACACGGCTCACTCGATCTCATCATCGGTACCTCCAAACAACTCGTTACCGCACTCGAAAAGACAGACTAGCTCGACCGCATTCTCATAATTTCCGGTCCTCGTGTTTGTCGGTCTCATGGTCCTCTTCATATTGAAGCAGCGCATTGTCGACTGCGGGGGCTACGCATCGCCTTTTCTGGACGAGGTTATTGCACAGCTCCTGCTCGAGTACGCATCTGGTGGTGCAGGAGGCTGGGGAGATAATGATGACTGCGTCGGCCAGCTCTGCTGCTGCATCAATTGTGCTGCGTCACTGATAGGTAGTCAGGATGGCAGAGCTGGTCAATGGGTAAAATCCACCATGGACGTGTCTGAAACACTTAGTTTCACAGCATCAACTGTGGAGCCGTGGATTGCCGGACAGCATAGCAGCTCAGGGGATGCGCATGTTGACGATTTCAACTATTCATATAATTAAAGGTGTTAACAAGATTCTATCCTGGGACAAGGCCCAATGGTATTCAGGATGAATGAAACTGACAACAGTTGTCGTATAAGAATCAGGGATCCACACGATGCGTTGTGGGCGGGACGCAGTTGGTTGTGAAAATCCATAATCTTCCATGCCATCTGGTCTAACTGTGCACAGAGAATACGTCCTGGAGACCATCCACCATCCGACTTGTTTTGCAATTGACTGGCACGGTAAGGTAGTCTCTGGGCTGAGAAATCGACTGATCTGATTCTAGAAGAATACACATACCGCCGTTGACAGACATTCCTGGCGAGCGAAAACAAGGAATGAAGCTTATTTCACAATGGATGCTCCGAAGTGGAATATTGAATCTCGTCACAATGGCTCATCACAAGGTGGCATAGTTTAATTCACCAGCATTTAATTCCTTGGGTGCGTGCGATACTTAGGACAGCAGAATGGATGACACTGCCGTTGACAAACATTTCTCGCAAAGCGGAATTGAGGAATGGTCTGTAATTCTTTTGCGATCGCTAGTCAGATTCTACAAAGAGACGTCCTCATATCGACCGTCGAAGTGTGGAAGTCACTGTCAAGAAATCTTAATAGAAAGATCCTCACATAGTAAGCCCATCGACAAACATTCCTGGCGGACGAAAACAAGAAATGATGTTAACTCCTTTTGCAATAGTTAGTATGTACCAAATCTCCAACAAATCTCATCATAGTGGCTCATCGCGAGACAGCGAGTTTCAATTGTATTATGGTTCGCCAGCATTGAATTACTTACATGATTCAGGGGCACGTGTGATGTTCGGGACAGAAGAATATTGAGTCGTGCAGGAACGTGCAATATAAAGGATGTTACAACCACAAGTTTGAAGACTAAATTCTCCCCCTTGCCTCCCAAACAGCGTCCATCATGCCGAACAGACCTAGTTAATCACCAATTGTGTTGTTGAAAACGTCAAGTACTTAAATGTTTCGATGCAGAGGAACATGTCGCTCGTTGGGGACGAGTACAAGGGCATACCCACTCAAGATATGAAGTTCCGGCCTTGGTGCTGACAAGTGATGTCAATAGTGGGCGCTAAGTTTTCCACATTCCTGGGGTTTGTTTCTCCAGAATATCACCACTGGTGATTACGTGGGTTGGGACGTGAGTCTGTCTGCGAGAACGGTTTCAATGCGAATCTCATCGATTCCGCGCATAAATCTGCAGGCCAACAAGAGAGATCTGAGATAATGGAAACCACGCCGTGTTAGTGGAATCACTACTTTGTCGATGAACAACGGGCGTGAGTATCAGATCGTCAATCAAATCTTTCCACTGACGTAGACTATTATAATGATGACTGGACGCATATTCCGAGTCCCCAACGAATCCGAGTCCAAGAACGCTGATGCATTCTGCATCAGTGAACCTGTGAACAGATGAGATTGGTATTTAAAGCAATATATTGCAATTGTTGAGCATCACAATAATCAACATAAAACTTATGAATTGATCACCGCGACGGTGCAATGTCGCGATCTTGTGACTTGTTGCGAACTCATGGCAAAACGGATTTTCAAGCATCCATAGTTATGTATCTCTCGCAGTGTACATAGGCATATTTAGTAGGAGCAGACTTATATTTCCTACGGCTACCATATCACGGATTCATCAATTCACTGATGATGTAGATTAGACGTGGACATCTAGGAGCTTTGGTGACAGTCGGTGGCGAATATTTTTCTGAAGCCATATCTCGAATACGATGGCATCTGTCAAACAGTTTAAGGGTTGTCCATATGAACAAGCCGACAAGACGAAGGCAAGATCGTGCAACTTCCAGCTATGTTTGTGCGATGGTGAGGACTCAATACTATGACAACACAAGCCCATTTTTTCCGCCCTGGTATCCACTTGCAGCCATCTATGAAGCTACCTGCCCGTGTTCAGCAGCTTGTCCTTTTGATAACGAAAATAGACTCAGGTGAGGACCCATTTGAATGACTCCAATGTAACGTGCCGGTACAAGTGCTTTATGGCTTAAGGGTCGGACACAAATAAACAGGACGATGTTTTATTATGAGAATTCGAGAGTGCGGCGATTCGAAATCGAAGTTTTGGGAAAAGATAATCCAGTAAGATCTAGAACGTGTTGGTGGAGTGATAATAAATCAGAGAAAGCGAAAATTCACGTGAGTAAAGTCCAAAGTTCAACATGACGTCGTAAGCCTATGAACTTACACTAGCCCAGTCTTCTCATTACGTTATTACGTCATACTGCTGGTACGCCATGGCTCCAGCCGAATGATGGCGGAGTGGTAAACATGCACTCCAGTACCATAACATTAGTGGTAGGTTCAAATGGTCCGGCAACCACCCGACACAGTCCGACCAAGAAACCCAGGTAGTGCTTGGTTAGTTTGGTCAGGGACTGCAGAAATGGAGGAAGATCCGAGTGATGACGGGGTACCAGCAGCCGGTCTCCACCTATGCTGACCGCAGTTATAATTTTCGACATGGAGTCGCCGCCATGCAGCCTCGGGGAGCCCTCGGGGAGCGCTTAGTGACATCAGGTATGAAGTCATTCAAATTTAACTTTCAACTCACTTCACCGACGCCGCTGGCCGACAAGCTTAAAAGCTGTGGCATCTGGAACAGCAAGTACTCGCTCAGACCTCGATACACATCGACATGTTCGCTCGAATCCTCACAATTTCTGTTGTCTTCCTTCTCCTTTCCCAAGCCTATGTTATGGCTGCGGTTATCAGGACCTCATCCAATTCGACTAGTTGTGGTGACGGTGAAGCTCGTTGCTGCAAGGAGGTGAGAAATATTCATAAGCGTAGAAAGACACCTGTGCTTACCTGTGTTGCAAAAGGATTCGTCCGACCCGGGGTATGTTAATGATGAGGAGTGCGAAAGTTACTCAGAGAATTGCACAAGTGGCTATGTAGCATCTTGTTGCTACACCGTCACGGTAAGCATCACAACTTGATCCAACAGCTTGGTCGATCTCACTTTGCAATAGGACTATTATTACTGCAACCAGACTACGTCAGGTTAACAGTAGGGTTGTTAGGTGTTTTGAAGCACGGTACCTGAAGGACATTTGTTAAGCTGGGCTTTCGAACGAATTATACCACAAATTTATATTGGACCCATGATATACCACCGATGCGAAAATGTCTCGAACTTCTATATCATCATTCAGTACTCAGTTTGAAGTCTCGAAACGCTCTCCACCAGTAGTCACGACGTGTAGTAGGACGAGGACTCACGATATGAATGAAATTCTGTCTAGTGCGGCGTAGGATACGTGGAATCTCGTTGTATTCTATCGGCTACTCTCGATGAGTGTCGAACTCGTGAGTATCAAACAAAATGCAGTGGGAATCCAGTAGCAGCCTCCCGGAGGATGCCATACATACTAACCCTGCAAGTGTAAGATCACGAAATCGACAACTGAGCATTGTGGGGCTCGTAGTCCGGCAAAGATAACCTGCACTGCCAGATACTGGGGTTGGCAAGACCAGAAGAAAATCGACGAAGGCAACATTCAGAATCAGATTTCCAAGTCGGATCTGACGATATCCCACCGATTTTAGGTTGAGATTAAGGCCTGCAAGGTCAAGAACTTGATAAATACCAAATCGCAATATGAGACTAACCTCAAATATCTTCTTCTCTGACTCAGAGGCTTTCCATTGCGTTTGCGCTGCTGTGACAACGATACTAGTGATCAACTGCTAACAAAATGTGCACACAGACATCAAAATAATAACACTAGAGTGGGCACACTTTCAAAGGGCATTGTATTCAGGATAGCAGGAAGCAATGATAGTTTACTTTACCACGAAGTAAGTGTGCTTGCTAAGCGTTGCCAAGCGGGGTTCGAAAGGACTCGTTCTCCGCGATTTGATGCCTCCAAGCCTAACCTGGAAATTGACTCCGCGGCCGTCTAGTGTGGGCAGACGGCTTCGCATCATGCCTAATGTAGTAGCCACTCCCTGCTCATTCACTTCTTCGACTGTAGTAGATACTCAACGAATACATGTTTTTCGCCATCTCTTTGGACTGTCAACCTCACCCAAAGAATCGTCAAATTTCTACACGAATCTTGATCAGAAATGTATTTTCGCGTGCCAACGAGACTCCAAGCTCAACCCGCTAAATAATTTCCCTCCAACATCTGGCAGTACTAAACTTGAGTGTTTCTGCTCATTCATTGCGTGTTGGTTATATACAGTTGTGTGCAGCACTATGTAAGTGACAATGACCTCACTCAATTTTCGAGACACTTACTGTGGAGCTGGGACAGTTATATTCTTCTCGTTTCAGCACGTTCCGACTCGCCTTGATCATCCCTAGGCATCCCTCATTCCTCGTTGAGATTTATAAACACATGGCAAACAACGTAGAACAATGTCGAGTGGCGTTGCACGAATTTCCCCCTGGCCATCCTCGTAGACTCTTAGTATTTCTTTTCAATTCGGATCTCTGAACCTTGCTATGAGCCTGAAAACCAGATTCGGGCAGCGGGGCAACCTGCCTGACCTGGATGAGACCATCGAGCTCTGTCAAGCTGCACTTGTTTCAACCATTTCTTACCGACCCCGCTCTTTCAGTACCCGCCAGCCTTCGAGTCATATCTGCGTAGCAGGGCTTCTTGTCTGACGTAGAGGAGGCAATTGAACTTACTCGAGCTGCTCTTGCGCTTGACCCCCTAGCTGTTCTTATCAGTCTCTCTATCAATACCCTTCCCAGCTGCCTTCAATCCAGAATCGAGCAGCGGGGCATCGTGTCTGACCTGGATGAGGCCATCGAGTTCGTTCGAGCTGCCCTTGTGTTCCATCCCCTTGGCTATTTGGATTGATTGACAACCTTCCTAGCATTCTTCATCCTAGGTTTGAGTGGCAACATGGCATCCCGTCTGATCTGGACGAGTCCATCGAACTCCCTCAAGTTGCACTTGCACTCAATCGTTCTGCATCTATCAACAGTCACCCATATCTCTCGATCCCCTCATACTCCGATATCGCTCTGACGATAAAACTTTCTCGTGGTTCGTGCCACTAGTGTTCTAGATCGGGATGTCTCTTTCGTAATTTTAGGGATACCAACGTTATACGAAACAGGCCGCAGCCTGATTATCGGAGGACGCCTTCTAGCCTAGACTATATCTGAGTACCAATCGGAAAGCCTTGTCGTCGAGCTAGGGTGGCGATCATTTCCACATGGAAGCCTATGGTGACATGAAGTATGAACGACTGCTTCAAACTTACACTTCAACGAGGCTGGCTAATCCAGTTTCAGTTCCAGAGTAAAATGCACACATTCAGGTGATAAACTCCCGACCGCGTTTGCTTAAATAGTGCCGCACTCATTTGAAGCTTCAGTGGACTAGTCAACATGTTCGTTCGCGCTTTCATATTTTTCACCATCTTTCTTCTCATTTCGCAAGCCAGTGTCAAGGCTTCGACCAATTCGACCAACTGTGGTGATGGCACAGCTCGCTGTTGCGAAAAGGTGAGACTCTAGCATCAATAAACGGCGAGATACATTTGCGCTTACATGCATTGTAAAGGATTTATCTGAACCGGGTAGTGTCAACGACGAGCAATGCCAAAGCTACTCAGTGCCTTGTCCAAGTGGCTACCTAGCAGCTTGCTGCTACATCGTCACCTCCATGGTAAGTGACATGGTTTAATTCAACGGCGCAGTCGATCTGAGTTAGCAATAGGAGGACTATTACTACTGCAATCAGACTGGTTAACGGCGGGGTTGCTAGGTTCTCAATTGTACAGCAAGTTACCTCTGAAGTTGAAGGACATTCGTTCCCCTGAATTTTAATCAGAATTTACCGCATGTTATTGTATAATTACGCACTGGTGAAAAACGTGTCTTCGACTCTCTCACCGTCATGCAATGCGAAGTGTACATTAGAACGTTCAAGCAGCACAACTCACATGGAGTTTCGACGCGTGTATCATGGGAACTACCTGTGATTATGAAATAAAATGGTGTCTTGTGCGGCCCTCCGTGGACTGGTAGGATATCCCCCGATAAAGAAAAATGAAGTACGAGTCCGTCTCATCCATCCGATAAAATTCAGTCGGCAAAAACCAAACGAAAGAGAGTTTATGACGAGTTAAATGTTCAACATAGGACCAATGTCCCCAAAGGGCTATATTCTGAAGCAAAAAAAGAAAAACGAACGTGAACTCTCGTTACATTCCATTGACTAGCACTGACTAGTACTCATTACAAAACGAGCGTAATCCAAAAGTAGCAGAAAACATGACGATGGCGCAAATGAAACGCAAAGTAACGTTCCCCGTAATTAAATTGACAGTCTGATATGACATCAGTACACCGGCCGCCTGGCCCCAGACTAAAATGGGCTGGCTCAGCGATACTCAGCGACACTACAAATTGTACCGTAACGGCGCTCGGCCACGCCAGTTACCCCTGTCAGTCCCCGACACCTACTTACAGGGATACTCAATTCTAAAATGTCTGTGGCCGCTACCACGGTGATATTGGAGACTGGAAGTGGTGTCTGGAAGTGATGTCTCATCTACAGGCTGCGAGTGGTGTTAGCGCTACGCGCCGTGAGGTTTAGCCACGAGTCCAGGTTAACGCTTAGTGGCCGTTGAGGGAATTCAGCGTTACTCGGATCCCAAACGACTCGGTGTGGGGCCCGAGCAATGACAACAGCATTTTAGAATCGAACATCCTTTACAACAATCAATTTATGAGATCAGAGTTTAGAGTCTACCGCCGGCTGTCCCCACACGTTATTCATCCGAAATTTTTCAATTCTCTGGAATGGCATCACTTCTACGAGCAATCACCGTTCAAACCGTGTGTACAGCCAGGTACGGTCATTCAATGACCCTCGGGGCCTCGTCACTTCATGACAGCCCAACAACGCATGATCAACAATTTTATTGACACACAGGATATATAACTTAATATTATACAGACCGTTCACGCTCTACAGCTGGATATGCAATCGAAGCACCCTCGCCACAGAATACCTTCTACATTGGTCACATACTTCGAAAAGCTCATCACAGTCCTAGATACCCACACAGCCATGAGACCTGTTTCGAGACCATCCTGTACTTGTCCGAGATGTAGTGGATGGACACACGTCGGCATCTACCATGCATCGCTGATCCTCGGATAGTAACGGTTCCTTCAGCAGATACTTTGTGTTGTTCGATACTAGGAGTTCGACCGTGAGATACAGTTATGGAATCAAGGGCTGGCCATTCAATCAAGTTTGGGTCATCAAGTCGGACTTCCTATGGGATCGCTCCCGGAGAGCCATACTGCCGAAGCTAAGTTCTGTAGACAGTCCAACTTAGAAATCCGAGGGAAGCGTGGACTTTCTGGACCGAGACTTGTCGAGAAAGTATTAGTGTTAATGAACGAGTAGAGGTAGTGCAATTGTACAACTACATGTGAGCATCACCGGGGTGCAAAGAAGTCGGATGACGAGCAACAAGCCATTCAGAATATACTTGATAAGCGGCGATCGAGGTCTTGACCCACTCTGCCGACACGTACTTCATTTGCTTTGAGATCTGGGAGCTGGACTGTTTCAGAATAGGAAGAATTGCGTTATCAAAGTTAGGAATGGAGCAGGGTTGCAGGGTAAGAAGGCTGCGAGCTTCGGTGACAGTGGCGGACAATAGGAATGAACGGAGAATCGAACTGCTTAGCTTTGCTCGGTCCGAGGGGAATTCAGTTCTCAATGTTCTTACATACTCGAACATGGGACTGAACTCAGTTACCCTGCCAAACCGTTATAGGCTGAAGAGCGGCTCATAACAGTATGAATGATGGAACTGTGCAACATTTGAGTCAGTGGTCCGATCACAGGGGATTGACAGACCATTGATGCTAGTATGTCTCGGCGGGACTTAGATAAAATTGGTTGAAAGGGTGATATAACTAGTCATACCAGTTTCAGTGATGTGGTTGATGTCGAAGGGGTGAATGAGTAGAAGCCAGAGCGTGATGGCGACCGCAGGTTTGTGATTTGAGCGGTGTGAACAGTGGACGCTAAGATAAGTTAGAATTTAAACTACACGAAGGGAGATGAGTTTTTGTCGAACGAGGGCATTGAACTGAATAGGAACGTACTATGACATGGAGTGAGCAGCGGACGCAGTGTCGGAAGGTGGAACACCGACATAGGCTAATTGATTGCGAAATAGACGGGTCATGCAAATGGAGTGTGGTCTATTTATTGGGAGGGAGATAGTCGGCGAGTCCTAAGCGGATCCTTCGATGGGACTGCAAGGCAGTGGAACGTGGAGAGAGGAGAGACAATGCTCGATCCAAACAAGACAGGGCACAATTCAGTCATCTACTTGCCAGACGCGACTAGTGGAGACGAGCTCTCGATTGATGAATATGAATAGCAAACACCCAGTCAAAATTTGGGGTACGACCTGCAGCGAGTCTGACCATGTAAAGGACACGTGTATTGGACCACGTACAGTCCGGCTCGGATGGAAAAACCCTTATAAGTTATCGCCGGGCTTAGAACATGGAATAGTACTACGGTTGGCGGAGACCCACCAATTTCTACTACAACCTGGCAACAGACCGTACTGCTGAAAGGGTACAAGTCTTGCATATCCCCGAATGGCTGCATCACCGCAAGCGCATCATATGACAACACAACGCGATTATGGAACCTCGGCGAGTGGTTTATGAAGGCATGACTATCGGTCTGCAACTGAGATGCTTCTCGAAGCCAAATGGATCCCGTCTGTTTCACTCTCCCTTGCTCCGATTTGCGCATTGCCTCGATTGCTGTTCTAACAGTAGAGTTAGACAAATTTCTCGCCCTTCAAAACAATGGGAGCGAATCTGAGAGCCATTCGGTTACACCCATGGAGGCGGATCTTGAGCAGGTGATACTACTAGTATGAGTCATGATGCATGATGCATGATGACCGGTAGGTCAGGAGGTGTACATCAAACCTGTGCATGCGCCTTCACCTTGACAGCCAGACGATCCAGGGACACCGACGATACTTTCACACCCGTCTGCAACTCTTGAAATTTTCGAAAAACGAACAGCGAGCAGTGCCTCTGAGCATTAGCAGGCTCAGCATAGCAACTCATGCATGAGTTGACCAACATCTCAAGTTACCGTGGCCAACAACTCGAACATCCAGCAAGTACCGTGAGTAAAGGAACGACGAATCAGGTACGCATGTGCTGATAATTACGCGTACGGCCCAAGCTGCTTATCCGATGGGCCACCGTATGGCTGCGCGGCAAAGAAAACGCATGGTGCCGCCATCACTCGGTGCATGTGTTTACATAATTATCTAAATGTTCGCTCCGTCAGTACAGAAATACCCATCCCAAATAAAAACCCCATGTACGATACCAGACGATTCCCTATCTCCCCCTCACAGACTCTTGGTTTGCTCGACGAACCTGTGATGCGTCTTCTCGCCGTATTTGCAGCTCTGCTCGCAGTGGTTGCCTCCAGCGGTCGTAGGATAGTAACCAAGCACGAGATACGAGAACGCCAACTGGAGGCAGCAAAGCGTTGGCAGACTAGTGGCCCTCAGAACGTAAAGCGTAGTGGTGTTCAGAACATCACATTCACGAACCCCAAGGCCTCAGGTGACTGGAGTGTTACGAGTAAACATCTAACACGTCTGATCCATATTCGTCCAGAATTTTACGTTGATGGCGGATCCCTTCCTCTTGTTGACTTCGACGTTGGTCCTAGTTGGGCAGGTCTTCTACCCATTAGCAATAGCCCCAACGAGACACGTCAGGTGCGTACATGAGTAGTCTATGCACGTCCTTTGCTTACATCAAGGACATCAGCTCTATTTCTGGTTTTTCCCTCCTGGCCCTGAAGGGAGTCTTGATGATTTGATTTTCTGGTGCGCCACCAGAAGCGATGTACTCCTCGCTGCTGACCTGACATACTCTACCTGAAGGACGAACGGTGGCCCTGGCTGCTCCTCTCTCGAAGGTTTGCTGCAAGAGAATGGAGTAAGCCTCTTTTTAAACAGCAAGACTCGTTTAACAAAGTTTGAAGCCTTTCAGCTGGGCCTGGGGTCAGGCCAAACCAACGGTGAATCAACAGAGCTGGACCAACCTGTCCTCCGTCCTTTGGGTGGAGCAACCTGTTGGTACCGGATTTTCCCAAGGCATCCCAAATGCACAGAATGAGGATGATGTCGCTACTCAACTCGTCGGCTTCATGCAGCAGTTCCTTGAGGTTTTTTCGGAACTCAAAGGCAAAAAGCTGTATCTAACGGGTGAAAGTGTAAGTTCTCGGAGGGTCTGGTAAAATATCGTATTGACTGTATTCAGTACGCTGGAACATACGTGCCTTGTGAGTCCAAAGTCATTTTCTTTGAACGCGACTTAAAGACCAATGCAGATATCGCAAACTATATCTACGAGAACCCCACTCTATTAGACCTCTCGTTGCAGGGAATATGGATCAGTGATCGTAAGCAACATTTTGACTTGCTCTGTCTTCTCAAGGGCTTATACGTGAAGCTCAGCCTCAATCTCATGGGACGTAGTGCAAGAGGAGATCCCTGCAGTGGACTTCGTGAACAAATACGCTGGTCTCTTTTCTTTCAAGTCCGTTCATCTCACTCGGACCTAGTTTGCAGGTTACTCACCAATTGGATATCTAGTCAGACGTTCATGAGCCACCTCGAGGAGAAGGCCGTGACGTGCAATTATACTGGTTACATGGATAAGTATGTCACATACCCTCCAACAGGTCTTCTTCCCCTGCCAGGAGACTCTATCGAGTTTGCACAGGGCTGTGACGTTTGGGACGACATTTTCAATAATGCACTGATTATCAATCCCGCCTTCGATATCTATCGCATCTGGGACACTGTGAGTCGAAGAGGATTTTAATGAGTACTATAATAACTTATTCTCCACGCAAGTATCCGATTTTATGGGATGTCCTAGGTTTCCCGTAGGTTATCCAATCGATTGAATGCAACTAGGCTGACGAAAACCTAGAGGTTCATTCCCACAGATGCAGTCTCCGATCTACTTTAACCGAATGGATGTGAAGGAAGCTATCCACGCGCCCGTTGACACCGAGTGGTCGGAATGTTCCAATATTAACGTCTTCCCCAACGGAGACAGCAGCTTGCCCCCTGCCCTGACTGTATTACCGAGTGTCATCGAGAAGAACCAGCGGACCGTCATTGTGCACGGTCTCGCTGATTTTATCCTCATTGCCAATGGGTATGATTTTGTTTTCGATCATTAATCTTCGTATATTCTGACGCATGGTTTGATGATTTAGAACCAGAATTGCCATTCAAAAGTAAGTGCGTTATTGACCGTGATACTTATAAATTGACATGAACCATCTGTAGCATGACCTGTGCGCGACTCGTAGTGTTTGGTGTGCGCTATTAATCACTCATTGTATTCTAAGGGGATGGCTTGCAAGGATTCCAGACGCCTATCACTGACGACAGCTTCATTGTCGATGGCGTGGGTGCCTATGGGACGATGCACTCAGAGCGGGGACTTACTTATTACGAAGTAGCGTTGAGTGGACACATGTGAGCTCACTGCAATACGTAGGGTCTCGTTTCTAATCGTCTTCTGTAGGATTCCACAGTTTGCGCCAGTAGTAAGTTGACAATGCTGATGTGCAGGTGCAGTCTAACGCAGAAACAAATGATTTCAGGCCGCCTTCCAGATTATGCAGTACCTGATGGGCTTTAGGGACACACCCTAGATAGATACTTCTTTCCGTCCATACTATAAACAAGCAATCCGCTCGCCTGCGGACGGCTCAGTCGTATCGTGTATTGTTATCCTGTCGGATTCGTTTACAGCAGCAATGAAGAGTAAACTACGTTGCCCGTCTCTCTTTCTTCACTTGTGCGTGAAAACGACGCCCAAATGTCGCGACGATTTCGCACCCTGAACAGCGCTGTGTATAGTTGACTGTGTGCAAATGCATCTGTATGAAGGTCGAGTATAGCGCGTCAAAGAGTCAGCCCTTGGCAGCCGTTGAACGTCGTCGCATATGCAGGCTGTAATGGAAATTGTTTACCGTTGATGGAGAGCAGGGATGCGCACGCGCGCATTTCGTACTAACCCCTTCTCTATTGACATATTTCGTTGCACTGCGCATGTTGCGTTCACTTCGAGGTCTAGGCGGTGCGGAGGTGTGTTTGGATGGGTGAGCATGGCGAGGTAATCGGGAGTCTATTCACGCGCATCGCTGACGTTTGATCAGCTTCTTTTAATACGTCTGAACTGGAGTAATATTTTCGAATCAGAGTCTGCGAACAGGCATGAGAATAAACTCACCATAGACTCCTGGTAGTGCTTCGAGAACAATGACATTGAATTCGTCGACGAACACGTGCGTAGGGAGTCGCATTCCGAATACCAACGATACCGTGAAAAGAGCAAGATGACGCCATAACGACGAAAAATGCGGATGGGAGTGAAAGATATAACTGCCCTAACGCTCGATCAGCCGAAGTTGCAGCGGGAACGAACACAAAGGAGCTGACTCGGAGGTGGAGTACATGCCTGAGCCAAAGTGGAGCGTTCGGGTGGAGCGCGCATATGGCGACAACACGCATGATGGACTCGTGCCTGCAAGCGCGTCAAAATAAGTCGCGCCCCCTGGATGCAATGCAGTCTTGTACTCCAGTACCCAAAGGGCACGCCTGGAGATTTCCGACACAGAGGCACACATGTCAATCCCGTCCCTCCAGTTCCGTCCCAGCGTCAAGGTAGAAGCTCGCCATTGTTTGTATCTCGGAAAAGTCGCTTGATCAAACGCTCCGTCCTTACATGTAGAAAGTAGATGTCGCGGGCAGACTTGAGTTGCACCATCTTACCAGCCCTGAATCAAAGTCACGTGGATGTACTGTAGAGCAGGCACGTAAGTAACAGTCGAATGATTTCAATTGAATACTAATTCATCATTGAATGACTTGTTTCTCTGCTGAGTCTAGGGTTCCGCCGATTTCTGCCCTTGGAATGAAGTTCTGCAATCTGCGAGGCGCAACCAAATCAGCTAAACCGGGCGGTAGTAGAACTCGGCAGTTCTGCTGCAACGCGCATGCGGGTTAATTACGGTTCAACGTTCAACTACGGCCCAATTTAATCATGCCCACGTAGGGCTGCACGAAGAACACATGATGCTATGGCGACCCACCTCATGTGCATTCGATCTCTTTGAATGTTTCCTTCTGTCACCACAGAAATACTCATCCTAAATACGACGTCCGACTCACTATTTTTCCTTCATAAATTTAACTTGTTGGCTTGTTCTAGGATGATGCGTCTTCTCGCTGCGTTTGTGGCTTTGCTCGCACTTACCGCTGCCAGCGCTCGTAGAATAACCAAGCACGAGATACGCGAACGCCAACTCGATGCAGCAAAACGTTGGCAGACTAGTGGCCCTCAGAACGTAAAGAGCAATGGTGTTCAGAATATCACATTCACGAATCCCAAGGCCTCAGGTGACTGAAATGCTACAAGTAAATATGTAATACGTCTGATCCATGTTCTTCCAGAATTTTACATCGATGGCAGATCTCTTCCACTTGTTGACTTCGATGTCGGTCCTAGCTGGGCAGGTCTTCTACCCATCAGCAATAGTCCTAATGAGACGCGTCAGGTATTCGCATGAGTAGTCTATGCACGTCTTTCAAGTGCTGATATCAAGGACATCAGCTATTTTTTTGGTTTTTCCCTCCTGGTCCCCAAGGGAGTCTTGATGATTTAATTTTTTGGTATGTCGTCAGACGCAGTGTGTTCTTCCCTACTGACCTGATATATTCTACCTGATGAAGGACGAATGGTGGCCCTGGCTGCTCCTCCCTGGAAGGTTTGCTGCAAGAGAACGGCGTAAGCCTCTTTGCTGACGGCAAGACTCATTCATAACCGAGACGTTTAAAGCCTTTCAGTTGGTCTTGGGGTCAGGCTAAACCAACGGTGAATCAACAGAGCTGGACCAACCTCTCCTCCGTCCTTTGGGTGGAGCAACCTGTTGGTACCGGATTTTCTCAAGGCATCCCAAACGCACAAAACGAGGACGATGTCGCTACTCAACTCGTCGGCTTCATGCAGCAGTTCCTTGATATCTTTTCTGAACTCAAAGGCAAAAAGCTGTATTTAGCGGGTGAAAGTGTAAGATTCTCTCTCAGAGATGTTCATGCATCATACTAATTGTATCCAGTACGCTGGAACATACGTGCCTTGTGAGTCAGCAGTCATTTTCGTTGAACATAACTCCAAGACCAATGAAGATATCGCGAACTATATATATGAGAACCCAACTCAGTTAGACCTCTCGTTGCAAGGGATATGGATCAATGATCGTAAATACCATTTTGAGTTGTTTTGTCAAGCGCTTATACATGTCGCTCAGCCTATATCTCGTGGTGGGTGGTGCAACAGCAGATCCCTGCAGTGGACTTCGTGAAAAAACACGCTACTCTCTTCTCTTTTAGGTCTGTTCATTTCACTCGAACCTAGTTTACAGGTTACTCACCGATAGGATCCAGTCAGACCTTCATGAACTACCTTGAGGAGAAGGCTGCAACGTGCAATTATACTGGCTACATGGATAAGTATGTTATATACCCTCCAGCAGGTCTTCTTCCCCTACCAGGAGACTCTGTTTCTGAAGGCTGTGATATCTGGGACGACATTTTCAGTAACGCGCTGATCATCAACCCCGCCTTCAATATCTATCGCGTTTGGGACACTGTAAGTCAAAGAGGATTTTAATGAATACCATATTAACTTCTTCTCCACGCAAGTATCCAATTTTGTGGGATGTCCTAGGTTTTTTGTAGGCCATTCAATAATTGACTCAATGTAACCCAGCTGACGCACATCTAGAAGTCAAGAGTCTCCGATCTACTTCAACCGAACAGATGTAAAGGAGGCTATCCACGCGCCCGTGGACACCGAGTGGTTGGAATGCACCAATACCAATGTCTTCCTCAACGAAGACAGTAGCTTGCCTCCTGCCCTCACTGTGTTGCCGAGTGTTATCGAGAAGAGCCAGCGGACCGTCATTGTGCACGGTCTCGCCGACTTCGTTCTCATTGCTGATGGGTATGACTTTATTTTCGATCATTAATCTTCGTATGTTCTGACGCATGGTTTGATGATTTAGAACCAGAATTGCCATTCAAAAGTAAGTGCGTTTTTAATCATGACTGTATCACTTTAATCGATGGGAATTGTTTGTAGCATGACCTGTGCGTGACTGGTGGTGTTTGACGTACGCTACTAATCACTAATTATATTCTAAGGGAATGGTTTGCAAGGATTTCAGACGCCTATCGCTAACGACAGCTTCATTGTCGATGGTGTGGGTGCCTATGGGACAATGCACTCAGAGCGGGGACTCACTTATTACGAAGTAGCCTTGAGTGGACACATGTGAGTTCACTGTAATACACAGGGTCTTGTTTCTAACGTTTTATGTACTAGGCTTCCGCAGTTTGCGCCAGTAGTAAGTCAACCTTACTTGTCATGCAGATGCCGTTTAATGCAGAGACATAATTTCAGGCCGCCTTCCAGATTATGCAGTACCTGATGGGGTTTAGAGACGCTCCCTAGATAAATACTTGCTTTTTTACATAGTACCATAACATTTCGTTGGACTTCGCCGAGTGCCACCATCTAGCCGGCCCTGAATTAAAGTCACGCGTGAGACTATTGCGTTTGCCCCTGTCACGAGAGCTCGAGCGCTCGTTCTTATATCACCTCGGTGTCTAGCACGTCTCAATAGCACAGTTTGTTTTATTCTTTGTTGAATAATGCCTGCCATCAGGACACAGTCGCGCTCAACGAAATCCGCCATCGACGAACGTAAGAAAACAATCGCAAGGGCTTCCATACCAGTCGTGGAAGAAATGCAGGACCTGGCAGACTGTAAGCGCAGATGACATTCGACTCCATAGCCCACGTCAAACAGCTCTCATGAAACTGTCTTTACAGGCGAGATGTATTACCCCTTGAGTGAAGAAGGCCGCAACACCTTCAAGACGCACGACGGCAAGGCAAGCAACATGCAATTGACACTCCCCATCATTTCTTACTCCATGATTCTCCCAGCGCGTCACTCCGCATCAGTGGGCAGTATACGATTTCACTAGAACAATCCCTTGCGGTCGTGTCACGACGTACAAGGATATCTGCATCGCTCTTGGGCAAGGTTCGCCGCGATCAGGTGCGCGTCTAAAACGTAATCTCTTCATCTCCTCTCAACCTCATTTAATAGTTGGTTCTGCGCTTCGAAACAACCCATTTGCACCGTTTGTGCCTTGCCATCGCATCATTGCATCAAATCTGTACATTGGTGGATTCTTTGGTGAGTGGGGCACTGGCACGAACGCAAGGGGTGGACGGAAGAATACTGGGTTGCAGTGCAATAGAAAGATGGAGATGCTTACAAAGGAGGGGGTTACGTTCTCCATGGAAGGATATCTTGCTGATGAATCTCTCCTCTGGGTCGGGAGAGGCTGAACTGGCCTCATTGGCTGTCATATATACTCAGAAGATTATACGACCACAGATGTTCTCTAACGTGAATGAACAATATTCAGTTGTAGAGAAGACCTGGAACGTCATTGTAATGCTCCCTTGCAAAGGAAGCGCTATGTTACTGGCACGAAAAATCTATAACACCAGTGCTGATCACATGCGTTCTGAACTTCTTGGCTCCTTGAAATTCTGGACGTTCTGTGCGTGTTTGGTGCTGTTAGGATCAGGAGGTGTTACTGTCCCGCGAAAACCAAACAAGTCCAAATCGGACTTGACTTTACGAGTCAACGCCCTCACCGCCAGACATCGACGTATACTCACCCCCACCACCTCTATCAGCACCAACAGGCACACCAACTGATTTCTTAAAAGGCGTAGTCGGGAAAAAGGTCATCCTGCGTCTTACATCAGGCGTCGATTATCGAGGTATCCTTTCCCTTTCCTTGCTAGAGCCAAGCTTACTTAACTTATGTGTATAGTCACACATCGATGCGGGGACGTGTTTATTCGTGGGAATAATGGTGAGTCGTTCAAGGATGTATATATGGCTGGATGCGGCTATTTCAACATGCAGTCCTCCACTCGGTGCGCTGGTTCCAGAAGAACATACTCTCGTGTTTATAAACACGCGAGCATTGAATGAAAGACACAAGTGGTATTGAAACAACAGAATGAGAATTATCTTGCAACGTGACAGGTGCTAGCAGTGACAACATCGGGATGAAAGAGAGTACGAGATCGACAACTTGAGTAAATGATATCATGGGAGGGAATGCGAAACAACAGTACCGGATAAACATGACAACTGACTGGTAGGTGCTACGGTGTCCGGGATAAAATAGGGTCGGAAATTAACAACTCGAAAACCTATACCATACGAAAGCAATATAACATAACATGGAACCTGAACTACACACCAATATGAACGAAAACCATCCTCTGCTCGAGCGGAACTTTCGTCTTCACGGTATTTGTAGCACGGTTGAGTGCCCAGGCCGCCTTCTTACAGTCCATGACATCACCATCTCGCAAATCCTTAACCATGTTCTTGTAGAAAGCTTCGACAACATGCTTCGCGACAGCGTCGTCGACCACCCATAGCGTGCCAATGACGCTCTTAAACCCTGAAAACTGGAGTGCAGCTGCGAGGTGGATGGCTTCGTCGGGTGTCTTCTCATCGCCAACAGCGGTATGACACGCTGACAAGAATGCAAACTCAGCGTGAGGGATGTCTTTCTCCATGATGTCGAGCAGCGTCAGAGGTTTGTCTCTCATGGCGAAACGTGAATGGTAAGGCTGCTCGCGGTCCTGCTTCCCATGACAAGCTAGGTGCACCCAGGTGTTGCGTTGCAAAGCATCTAATGCACCTGCTCGCGTGGCGTCGTTACCGGAGAGTGTGGTGGGGTCGACCGTCGTGGGGACGAGCTTGCGGACGAGCTCAAGCTCGCTGTCAACAGCCAAGAGCGCCTCGCCTTGCCCCGCACCCGGTAAACTTTGTCCTATTGCAACGAAAGACGGAGTCGCACGTTTCTTCATCATCTGCCTAGATCTGATCAGAGCTGAAAGTGTCGGCGTGTAAGAACAGATGTAGACGTCCTCCAGGCATAGTTCACGCCGTCCATCTGCCTTCGTTCGAAAGGGGTGAGCTGCATGGAGAGGAATGGAAGTGAATGTTGCAGTCGGACACAGCCAGATTCGGGAGCCACTCTTTACTCTGAGATCACGTTGGAGGACGATGACGATGGGCAGCATGATCTCGTCCCATACTACCCGCAAGAGGACTTGCAATTCCTTCCTCGTCTCCTCTGGGCGCATAGAAGATGCAAGTCGTATCTCTCTTGCAAAGTCATTCTTGAGCTTCTCTAGATGTGTGAGAGTCATGTACAAGAAGCGAACGTGGTGGGGTTCTCCTGACGTCGGGACAATGATGGCGCTGCACGAGTATTGACTCGCAATGAGGATGATGACTGGGCCATGACGTGCTGACGCTTGCAAGTCATCATACGAGGGTGGAAGCAGGAACCGCGAGAAACCTTCAAGATTACGAATCTCAGCTACCACCGCTCCCCACCGCTTCTGAAGTCTCCTGTAATGTATCGCTGCTCGATCAGCAGCAACACGGTCTGTGTTGACTGCGGAACTTTGAGCATCAGAAAGACGCTTGCTAAGCTCCGAGAACTTGTGAGCAAGGTTGACATTTGTCGACTCGAGGTCTTCAAGTGGACTTCTCAGGCGAGAGGCCAACGACCATTGCTGGCCGCGACCCTGCTCAACAAGTTCAATTGCGTCTCGTAGATTATCAAGGCGCATGGCACATGATGCCGCATCCACAGGAAATGTTCTGGCAGGACGAAAAGCAGAAGCAGCTTCGCGCCGTGCAACAATCGAATACCGTGTTGCCAAGTGTCTGTCAAGAAGTTCGAAAAATGTTTTGTAGGCTTCTAGTGCGGAGGAGTGACTGTGGCTCTCCGCTGCAAAAGTCCAATTGATTGCCTCTTTGATGCGTTCTGGGAAACCTTGAGTGGGATGCTGTGATGCCAGTCTGAAGTTCTCTACAGCAAGTGACAAATCAGTAGAGTTGCGTTGCACCCTGAAACGAGACAAATGGGCTTCCTGCAACCACATGTAGCTGAAATATCTATCTGGGTGCAGTGAAGGCAAAGCCTCCAACGACTCTTGGCAGAGTCGAATGGCCTCCTCGATGTCTTCATTCTTCCGAGTTTGCGTGAAACGAGAATGGAGCGCCGAGCTCAAATTGTAAAGAGCTTGATGGCGACGTGGGTGGCCATGCGGCATTAACTGAAGTGAATCCCGGTGGAGGTTGATGGCCTCGTCGAGATCCCCACTGGCATCCAGTTTGACGTGTCTGATTTTGAGCGCGAGGGCAAGGTTGTTAAGCGTGGAATCACGATATGGATTTCCGGGCGGGCGCAACGTCAGTGCCTCGCGCTGGAGGCTGATGGATCTGATGATATCGTTAACATCACTGCATTGATTGAAACGAGTGCGGAGGGCAGATCCTAGGTTGTCCAGTGAGGTATTACGATATTCGTGCCCAACAGGGCGCAGGCGCAGCGCTTCTTCGAACAAAGAGATGGCCTCATTGACGTCATCTGAGTTGCCTTGGTGATCAAAGCGGAACCACAGTGAGTACGCCAAGTTATTTAGGTAGGTCTCGCGTTCAGAATGTCCCTCAGGGCACAGAGAAAGGGCTTCACGCTTATGTTGTATGCTCTCTGCTAGATCATCAATGGTGCCGCGCTGCTGAAAGCGTGCTTCAACTACCTGCGCAAGCTTGTTCAGTGCTTTTGGACGGTATGCGTTGCCCAGAGGACAAAGCTCGAGTATGACTCGTCGAAGGTGGATGCCTTCATCAGATGCATCTTTTGGGAGATTGTTGCATTCGCAGATCACGTAATCGACGCCATTTGCCCCTGCCGCAATGCTATGAAGGTAGGTGCCCTCTGGACAGAGGGGCAATAGCTTGCAGGACAGTTGTGCGCATTCCTGGATGATGGGGGTGAAGTTCTTCTTGTCGTAGCTCCAGATCAACGCTTTAAGAAGGTGATAGATGGATAATGGATTATCAGGGTGGCCCTGCGGACGCAATTCAAGGGCTATGCGGAAGAGAGAAGCGATAGAGTCGATATCTCGAAAAACGTGTCGAATGTAGCCCTCAAGGCGGGCCCACGCGAGGTTGGTGAGAGCCGCTGCCTGATCAGGATGGCCGGCCGGACATTGGTCCAGAACCAACTGAAAATGCTTTACAGCATCGTTCAGGTGAGAGACCGTTTTGCTTGCCACATATGTGGCAAATCGTTCATGGCCCGCATCTGTGTCTTGAGCAACCTGACATTCAACGATGGACTACAGCAGGTGTCCCGTCAATAAAAACCAACAACACAGCGGCTGATGTCACTCACGTCAAGCAGTGCGCTGTCCTGATTGTCGCAATCATGTAGAACCGTGGCCTTTAGCGTGAGGGATGGGTGAACACCACGAACGGACGGGAAGGAAATGTCTACGAGATATGAGTATATGTACATGAGTGAGAAGGAGGTCACTTACCGAAAGGCTCGTTTCCATGATCGAGCAATGCATCCCACGATGATTCAATTTTTCCGACAATTTCTCCACTGCCCAGCATGCGACAGAGCTCAAAGGAAGCCCTGATCTCCACTGATAATTTCGGTGACTTGCGTAATGATCTACAAACGGAAAATCAGTCATTGAGCCACATTTGAAAGTGGCGGTGGACTTTACAGGGTCACGGTCTCGCCCCACGTTATGGATTCGTCTGATGATGGGACTCCGATAGTTGATTGCCAGCGTCTCCCCGGTTCAACATTGAGAGATATGTAGAGGCCTGCGGGAATGCGCTCGGATGGGACTTTGAGATTTTTCCCGCTGATCACTGTAAGTAGACCGAAATGACCACAAGAAACACTCAGGCGATATGGGGTGACTGACCTTCAAGTCTGATAGATTGGCCTTTCCAGCTACTAGGCGTGATAGTAGCATAGGTTTGGGCCTGTCCGTAGAGTAGATCATGATCATCACCGCTTGTCAGCTTTGCTCTGGGCTCAGGCCGCTGGTCCCTGCTCCAGAGATCCGATATCGGAGTGGAGTCACTAGTCGGCGAGTCAGCCCCAAGTGAAGAGTCGTATCGTGTAAATTCAGGGATAGACAGAGGAGGGGTAGGAGGGTAAAACCTAGGTCTACTTGGCTGGTTTTGCCCTGATGTTGGTGGCGGAACAAAGAGTGAGTCAGCGTGATGTTTCAAATGCCTCTGTATAACATGAGATTTTCCTGCGAAAGCAGCGCAAATGTCCTCCTCTGGCCGGCAAGTGACTAGTAACCTGAAATTACGGGGAAGCTCTGCTCCTTTCTCTGCGAGCGTAGTGAGGAGGTCTTTACGAGCTGACTCGCTACCGCTGTGTTCCAACCCGTCGATAATCACCAGTACAGGGCCAATGCATGTCATTTGACTCGCAGGAATAAGAATAAAGCGATCGAATTGAACAAGTGGGTTTATCGTTTCACGTAATGCGCGCTTGCCTCGCACGGTGGCCCAGAGAGCCTTCATGTATTGAGGGTCGTAATCAGCAAGGTCCCGTGCAATCGTGCTGAACAAATTCGTAGCATTTCGCTTGTCCCGGGCAGTGCGCGAAAAACAGTACGACGAACCAAGACGCACAATGGCGTCGAATTGGCGTGCAATGGTATGTGCGATAGTGGATTTTCCGGACCCCTTTGGACCTAGCAAGAGGTAAATCTGCTGTTTGTCGTCTTGATTGACCCATGAAGTTATTGACTCCACGATGTCGGTTTGTGGGGGCGCATCTCTGATCCTCTGTGATTCAATCGAAGCGCCAAAAGCATAGTGCATATCGTCAAGGCTTGTTTTCGCGGCTAGTAGTAATATGAACATGTGAGAGGAAGAGAGATGAAAGATGGCACACTATCATGGTCATACAATGAATCATGAACACGAGAGACACAGAACCCAATGTCAATCGTGGCCTGCTGTCGTATAGCATTCCCAATTTCCCCAAATATTGCTTCGTACGTTAGTATTTTATCGTCAAGTGTGAACAACGCGTTCGAAAAACTTTGTTTCCCTACATTCAAGAATTTCGTTCAAGAGGTTCACCATTGGTAAGAAGCTGCGAGGCTCACATCCGTTCCTGTTCTGCAGGTAGTCACGGATAAAGTACGAGCACTCGATCGTCTGGCGAGCGAGGGAGTTGATGGTGTTTTCTTGCGATTCCACCCTTTTCAGTTCCTCTACACCAGTGACAAGGCTGTAGGTTTCGTGCATAACGGTAATGAGACGATTAATACTTCGGTCTCGGGCAAATTGTGCATCCACCAACTAATCAAAACAGATGAGCTCTTTAGGTGTAAACATGCGACCATCCCACTTACATGATATACTGCAATGAGAACCATGAATGCCATTTTGGTGTAAGGATGGGCCTAGGGGAGCGGTATCAGACATATTCAGCGGCAAAATCAGGGGACCGTACCTCAGTGAACTTGCCGGCAAGTTGAACAAAAATGTTGATCTTGTCCAAGAGTGGAGTAAGGACTTCTGAGACAGTGATATCAAGGGCCTGCTCAGTAGGTGCTTTTGGTGGTTCACTTGGACCATTACCTCCCATGGTTGGTTTATATGATATATCTTCAAAGGCATCAGTTGTCCGAGCGTGCTGAGTGGTGCCATGCTCGATTGCATTAGGAAGAGGCATGATTTTGAATTCCACGCTAGTACGAAGGAGATGTTTTTTGCCATGAGGGTCATAAGACACGAGGTGGTAGATTTTAGCTAATGTTGCATTCAACGACCAACAAGTCGATCAGATAGTAACCAGAAACTCACTTCTGGAATGAGCGAGAAGCGTCTCGACATCTTGTTGTACCATACCGATGTACTGATCTTCACGAAAGTAACGTTTTACGAAGACTTTGAGGGAAATTGTGGACAGCGCCTGTACATTTCTTGCTGGGAGTCAATGTCATGAACTCACGGGTACAATGTATCTCACAGTATTAGCTCAGTCCTCCATGGCAAGGAATGCGGGCTCTCAGCAGTAGTGGATGTGAAGCCATGGTCATCTGCATCAGCACGGACATAGAAGATGTCGTCAGTCGGAAACACACTGATTTGCGGCAGACGGTGCAGATCTATGTCTAATTGACGTCGCAAATTATCAAGAGTAACCGTCATTCGAATTGATATCACTTACCGAAGATCTTCACTGCCAGGGGAAATGGTGTTTTGGGCCCCTCCAGGATACCTTCTCTGTGACCAGTTCCGGTACGCTGGGATCCACCAGCAGGTGTCCCAGCGCCCACAATGGGGGTAAGCTTGAACTCCAAGCTTGCTCTGAGCAGCTCTTCCTCGCCTTTGGGGTTTATGTCGTTTCAGTCGTTCAAGAATGGCTGAATTGAACTGTCAGAAAATACATTGCGCAAGGATGCAGTTACTCACCGCCAGGGTACCTCAAAAATTCCTCGACACAGCCCTGGACCATACCAATGTACTGATCATATTGATATTGGCGATGAGCAAATACTTTCAATGCGAGCGTGGTAGAGTTGCGAACATTGCTATTCTTTGATCAGCCTTTGAATCAGGCAGTAGTCTCCAACGCACAAGATATATTTACTACTCCATGGCATAGAGCTGGGTTTCTCCGGACTCGTACAACTTGTCGTGCCCGCACCGACATCATGAATGGATATTTCGACGTAGAATTGACATTCCGTATTAAATAACCCGATCTTGGGTAGGCGATGAAGATCGATATCTGGGATTTATCAGAACCGAGTAGTCATGACATGAGGGTATCAAAACATGCCGAAAACTTGCACTTCATACGTCTCTGGTCCCGATTGACTGGTCCTGTCATTGCATGTAAGTCCATCATTTCCGAATGATAGGTAAATCGCACATAGTGATATTGACTTGTTGAAGGGTGGATGTGTTGAACGCCGTCTGAGTGCAGGAGTTGGACCTTACAGCTCTACATGTATTCCGAAAGCGTGTCTGTAGCGGTTTATTTACCAACCCCAATTTTTACTCAAATCACCTTGCGCCGCGAGCAAGGTTAATGTTGGACGGAAGATAATCAATAATATAAAGATTCTGTCAGTCACCTGATATGAACATCATGCTGTGTAATCACGTGAGATAAAAGCTTCATTCGTAGAAAACAAGTGACCTAGATCTATAATCTAGAAACTCATAACTGTAGCAATTACAGAAATCCAAATCACCGGCCTACTGCCTGCATATCAGAACAAGGTCAGAAGTTCGCAACGCGATCCCGTCTTGCATATTGAAAAACTCCCAAACCGCCAGTGTGTAGGGTTGCCACACTCACGAAAACCAAACAAGTCCAAATCCTTGACTTGACTTGGACTCGACTTTCATCATGGACGAGTCAACGCCTCCACCGCCAGATATCGACGCATACCCACCCCCCCACCTCCATCAGCACCAACAGGAACACCAACTGATTTCTTAAAAGGCGTAGTCGGGAAAAAGGTCATCGTGCGTCTTACATCAGGCGTCGATTATCGAGGTATCCTTTCCCTTTCCTTGCTAGAGCCAAGCTTACTTATGTACGTTTATTATGTACAGGCGTTCTTTCATGTCTAGATGGATATATGAACATCGCTTTAGAGCAGACTGAGGAGCATGTTAATGGTGTAGTCACAAATCGATACGGGGACGCGTTTATTCGCGGGAATAATGGTGAGTCGTTCAGGGATGTATATAAGGCTGGATGTGTTCTGATGTGTCGTTTTATGCAAGTGTTGTACATATCCGCTGCAGAACCGCTATGATCGATAATGTTGTATTGTTTGAGCATCGCCGGAATCTACGAGTGTAATACGACTTTTTCATGTGAGGACGTGACTTTGTTCGATTTGTGTTCCTGAGCTTTTATTTCTATACATTATTCGATGAAGGATCTATCGGCGGATCTGTGCGGTGCACGTCTTGTTGTTGTTGTTGTTGTTGTTGTTGTTGTGGATAGGTGGACCGACCAAGGTTTGTATCGAGATCCTACATTTATAGCTCCCTTTCTAATTGAGAGAAATTGACTTGTCCTTCTCATCATACAATACATCCATTGCTCAGAACAGTAGCGCCATGCTCCCGGAATCTCTTTTCCCTGAGACTACAGGGAATATGGAGTTATCCGCAGTCACTTTGGGTTCGGGCGGGATACGATTTGTACATTGGGGTAAGGGTAGTATCAGAGGAGTGCATCTCAGGGAGCACATGACTGGATAACTGCTACATACAAAGCGATCAGTTGTGTACAACGTACACTCACCCCCTCTGCACGATCTCAAATCCCCGGTGCCGCCTCCACAGCACATCCTTCACAAACGCTCCAAAAGTGCTTCCATCTGTGACAACGACCTCTCTCGCTCTAGCCAGTACCATCGCGTCCAGCACCGGTATCAAAAACCCCTTCAACGGGACCTGGTCATATGGATTAATCAATGCGTCGAGGGGGGTCAGGCGGGATGGAAAATCAGAAAGGAAGAATATACACGGAAAGGTTTGAAGATAAATCGAAAACAGTGGGTCTGCTACAGGATTCGGGGAGTCAGTAGCGATGTAAAGAGGAGCGTTCAGTTTTTGCATTGATGGCGAGGTATGCAGAGGTGCACGACACCGGATCTTGGGTTTGAACGTATGTGGCAGAGGAGGTAAAGGCGGATGAGGTACCCTGAGACTCGGCACATCGGGTTGGATCAGCGGCGGATCGAGGTCCTCGTCGAAAGGACTGAGCTGCTGTTCAAGCGCCAGAGTCTCTTCAAGACCTAGTCCACAAACAAGGTGCACGAGTTTCCACCAGATTGTTCTTGCATTATCGATGCTTCGTTGTTCGAATTGACCGTCCCCGACACGAAGATGCGCACCGATGTACAAAGCGCCTAACGTTTCATATATCGTATCGGCCACACGAGACAGGTGTGGATTCGTAAACGTCATTCCGGTCCTTACATCTCTCCGCATGTTCTTACTCACGCCCTGCTTAAGCCTAAGCCTCGACGACCCAAATAACGTCCCGATCTGCAGTAATCTCTCGGGTACTTGGGCAAGTTTTGGGATGTAGATGGAATAGAGATACTTGTCCCGCGTAGGCGATACATCATCAAGCGTGTTCAAAAAGCGGAAATCGTAAGGTCCAGAGTCTTGGAGGGTCAATGTGTCTGCTTCAAAGATATTTATGTGATATTTTTTCATGTATTGTGCAACTGGGCTTCCGTCCCACTGGATCATCTTTACTCCGATTTTCTCTCCTAATGCGTAGAGATTGACAAGGTGATCCCATGGGATGGAAGTCCATTCTTCATACCCTGAACACTCATCAGGTGCTGGTATGCCGACGGGGACAAGCGGACAGTGTTCAAGCCCTGTTTTAGACCCAAGCGCGAGGAACCGTTGAAGTTTTTCAAATGAAACGTATCGAATTGGTTTTCCAAGACGGAGAAAAGGAACAAGAAGAGTGCGATTAAGTTGTTGAGCGAGTACGATTGCGTTCTCGAGTGCGATGCGTTGGTTGTGTAATCCGCTGTGGGGGTAGTAGGAGAGGTATTTGGTGTCAGAAACGGGTGGGATTGCTTTTGGGAGGGCGTCAGCGGGGTGCGGGTGGGGTTGTGCGTAGGGAGCGAACCTGGTGGTGAATAAATGATACGCGAAGAAGAAGCATGTGGCTGATGCGAAAGCTAGTACGGCGATGAGAATCGCGAGTTTTCTGTTTTGGGAGTGGGATGGTGCTCGTTTGGGGCTCATTTGACTTTGGCTGAGGGAAGAACCTGGTCGTGTGCTATATGGTGCACGCATCCGATACGCGCCTTTTTCGAGTGTTACGGATGGAGACTGGAAGGTGTATGCCATGATGATGGTTGTTGAAGACGATATGTTGTTTGTGCTTGTTGATTCACATATGCGTCGAATTCACCTGTTTGCATATCCGCGTCGGCCGTCATGGCGGTCGATACTGATAATTGTACATGTTGTAGTATAACATATGCAGTTATCAGAATCGGCTCTGGATGTGTGATTTCCGCGGTGGATGTGATTTTGGTCTCAGAAACTCGGAGTTACATGGCATCCTACTGACGCGTGTTTGCGCCACTAGCATTGCTTTCATCTTGCCCACACAACACCACACGGTGCATTTCTTGTTCTTAGTACTCTCTGTTTTTCAGGAGACCAACTTTGTCTCGATCGCCAGGTCCATCAAGAGGTAGCTCTCACTCGCCACATGTAGGTCTTTCTCTTGCCGCTTTCTTACTTGCCTTATAACTGACATCGTCAATACCCAGGTTATGATGGAAACGTCCATCGTGCACCAAGGCCCACGATTTAAGGACACCAGCAAACATTTCAGCTGCTGACATCGTTCGCGGCGTGGATGGCGCAGGGACAGGACCTGGGTCCTCTTGAACCTCTTCACGCGCGTCTGCTGGTTACATTCTCCGGGGCTCTCAAACGCCTGACTTCTCTCCGCCCTGTTCCTCCTCAGCATCTCCTTGGTCGGTTGTACTGGCCCGCACCATGGCTTAGGTACCCCGGCCCATTTGAACTCGATACTCTCGCGGCTTATAAGTTCGGGTGCGAGATGAGAGGGTGTGTTCCACTTCCATCTTCAGGGCATCGGTAGTCTCCGTTGTCCAGGTCAGGTGTCACCAATAAGTCTGCTTCCTTAACGCCAAGAAGCTCAAACAGCCGAGGTCCTTAGCACGAGACTCAAGTAAGCACACCCTGATTTCACATAACAAACCCAAAACACTGCCGACGAATCACGCATTCTGGACAAGAGAATAAAAGATTAATGTGACCCAGGTTCTGAGAAAAGGTGAGTACCTCCGTTCGCCCATGTTCATGGTTGTCTTCGAGACTGTTATGTAGTATCAGCTCGAGACGCCAATGGGTGACCTCGTCATCCACTGTCATCGCATGGAGCTGGATCTGGCGTGCGACAGTTTGTTCCTCTGATTTTCACACGATGACTGGAACTACTACCGCAACTACAGGCCGCAGTATGATCACCCAATTGGGCATCTTTATCGCTTATTGTCAGTCGATCATCGTTTTCACTAAACCCTGCTCGGAGGTTGAAAAGTTGGTACTTCACAGGTACAGGTCTGATGGCCGGGGAGGTACCCAGGCACACTACCATGAGATTGGTGTGTAGCGGACAATTAACGGGAGCGCCACCTTCACTCCACGAAGAGCATCGTCTCCGTTCAATGCTGGGACGCTAACGAGTGCTCTGGGTTTGCGTTAGAGGTAGTGGAAGTGCACGATTTTGGCCTGGATCAGAGTAGGATGAAGGAATCGCGGTGTTGTGCACGCAGTTCTTCCTGCTTCACGCAGCGAGAGCGCATTTATGTACTAGAACAACTATACAATAGAAACCTAGACATCATCTCACACTATCTAAAGTCTAAGTATAGTAACGTCGATGCGACATAAAAACGTCTCCGGCTTGGCAGCTCAGAGCACTGATCTCACCACGCTCAGTTGAGGACGTCTCTGGGAATTTAGGCTGGCTTGGGTGTTGCCAAGTCTCTGAATAGAGAAGGAATGATTATCTATGTAGGTCTGCCTATATAATTAGGTGAGACGGCAAAGTCTGTACATGGTAATAGGTTAGCCCTCGCGGAGTTTGAAACCACCGCGGCACCGGCACCCCCGGAGCGTAGCTGCTAGTGATCTAGTACTACTAGTAGTAACACCTGGCCGCCGGATCTGAGACACCGTTCTATGGATAGGTGCGATGCATATCCCGAGACTTTGATTTTGAATGTGTCCCCAATTTGACCAGCAGACTCTTATTTGGCTGTGGAGCCTCAGCCTGAGGTACCCGTAAGTAGTACTATTAATATCTGTATGGAACGACTATGCCATCCTCCTTCATCCATAAAGGTCTACCCAGGGGATACTAACAGTATTGCGCACCTGTTGGTATCAACAGAGAAAGGTCGATAAAGCGCAATAGTGAGCTCATCTTTACAATAGCATCGCAAACAGCAGCGGCTAACTGCGTATAGCTTACTCCTAAAACTCAGTGGCGTCAGACCTGACACGTTCACGATGACAGCCGGCGTTATCACCAAATCGTGCAACCAATGGAATGAGGATTAGCATGATGTCCTGGTCCGATCACCGCGCCTGTCATGTTGAAAGTATAATTATACAGAACTGTAGTAATACCTGCTCAGTCACCACCCTCTACCATCTGTTCAATTGCTAACAGTTTGACCAGGGACGTGTCTTGTCTTCCCCTCGTCCAAGGTCTACAGTGCTGGTTAATGTCGGCCTCTCCCCCAGAAACGGTATGTGTTGAGAGCTCCAATACTCGCGTACCAGACGAAGATGACGTGGACGAACTTCGTCTTTTCCAGCTCCACAGTGTCTCCGCGGTCATAGACGACAACCTCGAGAACAAAATTTCAGATCACCTTCAACAGTTAGAAGATGAATGGCAAGACGACCCAGTCAACCCCAGGAATTGGACTCCAGTCAAAAAATGGACAGCCACTACAATCGTCAGTTCTTCCATCAGAATTGGATATCTAATCATGAGGCCTAATTTTGGCTTCCTGTCAGCTTGCGCTCTATACTTTTGTGACTCCGTTAGCAAGTTCTATTATGGCACCTAGTTTGCCCGACCTGGCCATAAAATATGGCATAACCGATCCAACGGTCACAGCGTTGACTCTCAGCATCTTCCTTCTGTCATTCGCTATTGGCCCTTTATTTGCCGCACCCTTGTCCGAAGTATATGGTCGTGTGTGGGTGCGTCGTCCTCTTCTTTAAGACCAGTGGAACCACCTGCCTGAATCAGTTCAAGGTCCTCCACTTATCGAACCTCTTCTTCCTCGTGTTTAATCTTGGCTGTGCTTTCGCACCCAATACTTCATCTTTCCTCGCATTTCGGTTTCTTGGTACGTTATGGAACCACTACTATCACAAGTTCGCTTACTCTCTGTGAAGCTGGTTTCGTGGGGAGTGCACCGGTAGCAATCGGCGGAGGTGTCGTTAGCGACCTCTTCTCCGAATGCGACCGTGCCTCCTGCTATGTCACTATACTATGTTGGACCCTTGATAGGTGCGTTTCACGGTCTGCCCTCTTGATGCAAGTTCACACTCGTCTCGCCAGGTCCTGTTGTTGGGCCCGTCATAGGAGGCTTCATTGCAGAATTGGCCGGTATACAATATGATTTCTATGTCGTCGTTGCGATGTGTGGTGTCGCAGCAGTGATCGGTATTCCTTTTTTAAGAGAATCCTATGCACCAGTAATCAGGCTTCGTCGTCAAAAAATGACAAGAGATGTCGAAAAGCCAACCGAGAAATATCCTGTCCTCACCGCGCCCCACATGAATAAATGGCTTTACTTATGGATCAATCTCAAACGACCCGTTATACTTTTGACCCGGAGTTTTATATGCTTCATCCTCAGCTTATACGTGGCTCTGTAAGTTTTATTTAATATCACGCAGCTAACTGATATCATCTATTTAGGATTTATGGTGAATACTTTGCACCCTACATCGAGTTATGCTATGGACTGAAATCACCTTTAAGGTATCTACTACTTAATGTTTGCCACGTTTCCAAGTGAGATTATATTGACCCGATAACACGGGAACGAATATTAAAAACTTGCGTCCAGCTCTCTTTTCGGAAGTATACCATTTCGATATCGGAATCGGAGGTCTGGCATATATTGGACTTGGTGTTGGATTTATATCCGCCGCCATCTTTGGCGCCAAACTTTCTAACAAGATATACCTACACGTACGTCAAGACTGCCCTCTACTTCTGCCGCATTGGCTGAAGTGTACCTCTTATCATGATGTAGCTCGCTGCAAAAAATGGAGGAGTTGGTAAGCCAGAGATGCGAGTGCCCGCTCTGATATTTGGTTCGTTGTTCGCCCCTGTGGGACTACTGTGAGATATACGTACACTTTATTTTTGTTGCTCCAACGCTAACCCACGTTTAGTTGGTATGGCTGGTCTGCCCAAGCCAAGATTAACTTCATTATGCCCATCATCGGTACTGCTATTTTTTCGTTCGGATTGATGACAACATTGTGGGTGTACCCCGTATCGGACCACTGTCCGCGACTAACCTCTTTGAAGCCTCCCTATTCAACTATACCTCGTAGACACATTTACCTATGCTGCAAGTGCAACCGCAGCAGCTTCTGTGAGTTGCACCCACCCAAAATCTTGTCGACGCCCTCTGAGCACATCACTAGACGCTCCGTTCCCTGCTTGGCTTCGCTTTCCCTCTCTTTGGACAACAAATGTTCGCCGTACTCGATTATGGGGGAGGCAACTCCCTTCTTGCAGGTCTTGCCATTGTCATCGGTATACCATTTCCCATCTGGATATATTACGCTGGCGAACGTATGCGTGCAAAGAGCTCTCTAACTCGTTGATTTCTCTCTCTGCCTTTGGTGTAATGTTATGATTATGATGAGATGGTAGATCGTTCAGCGCGAACGATTTTAAAGGTACTGCACATAAAGTAGGAATAAACAATTTATTGTATGAGTTGCTGATATAGGTAGTTGGGCGTCAAAGTTTGCCTATAAGACGTTGAAAGATCCACCATTAAGTCAAGTCAGCTCCGTGATAATTTAATTGTTGGATGAACATGCCCATGCGGTTGTCGATTCTCAGCCAACACCGGTACACTGGATCAGCAGCACATCTCGTGGTATTTGGAATAGATTGATCGGCACTGAGAACTAAATTTTAATGCGACGGAACTATAAAAGGACAAGATCAGATGGATTCTAGAAACATTTCGTGTATAAAGGAATAGCACCAATTGGGATGACGCTACTAGCCTGAACTTACATAACACAATAGATTTGCCACCCCAGATCCGGATTAACGAATAGTAAGGCGTGCTCGGTGAGGGGGCGTAGGGTCTAACCAATAGGATGGAACTCGTTGATCGACGGTTACACCGTCAATCATTATTCTTAGAAGTAGCTGTGCGGATAAGCTGACCGGACTGGACGATATAAGATGGAAGATCGGGGCTCGTGCGAGCCGTGGGAGGCTATCGTTGACACTGGACTTTCAAGAGCATGACCAAAAACAACAGCTTGCCTAAAACATCGCTGGCGCCGAAGTCGAATGGGAAAGACACTCCATATCGCTCTGAGATACCGGCAAGCACAGGTTCTCACCCATTCGAACACGGTGCTTCGTTAAATCCAAGACTGTATATTTCATCGAAAAACTGCCAGAATGCACCGTCATGGCCTTTTACAAAGCTCACATCTGACCAAGCTTGCTTCTTTGCGACGAATTACCAGTCGTGTGGTTTATCCGAGAGCAGGTGGCCTCGAGGAATCCCGAAAACAGTTAGCCAAAGGTTCAATGGTCGTCTCGTCGGGTCAAAACTGCCCTTTCACAACTCTTTTTTTAATGTCCCAATTGCAAGAATGAAATGACTCACTCAAGCCTCGATACGCATGTCAACTGGCATAAGATCAAGTCACTTCCCAGGACGTAGTCAGGCTTGCAGTCCCCACGCTGACCAGAAGTACAGACTCTCCATGGTACGAAGATACTGGCCCAAAATCAATCAGGCACATGCCCCAATGATCTGCAGGACAAAGTATGATATTATTCTGGCTTCATGTCATGATCAATGAGGCCATGAGAGTGAATGAGCGTCAATGCCGAAGGCCGATATGCAGAAAGTTAAGTTTACGTATACAAGATAACAAGTGAGCGGACGATACACCATTTGTACAACCAACTGTTAGTCAATACCACCCATATTCGGTCCCAATACATAACTCCATCGAAAGTTACTCGAAATGTTCAAATTGCCCGATGGTATCCACTAAAAGGTGCGGCTGGATGGCCGCACAAGGTTTAGAGGACGCGAGCTTCATGTAGACATGGAATACGTTTAATCCGCAGGCTGTAGCGACACACGGGAATTCTCGACGGTTACTACTTTACCAATTGTTTGGTTCTTGGTGTGGAAAACTTGAGTCTGCGCAATTGTTCAGTGACAAACATGTGGTAGGGTTGGAGGTACACACAACACCCCCCTTCAAAAAAGGGTGGACCAGGTTTGAGCGCTTGGCCATCCGAGTGTGGCCGAACCGCGCTCCTTGAAAATGATTCCTGTAATCAATGATGCCCTGGGCCGTAGGCAATATAGTAAGATGGTTCTTTCTAATGAGAAGTGAGAAAGCCAACCGAGAGCTTCAATTTTTCCAGAAGTTGAAGAAAACAAACCTCTATGGCTAACTCTCAGCTTCTCCAAGTCAATCAGACTTTAAATCCGCATGAATTGTCCGCTGAACGCATTTATGACATTGTTGTAGACCATGGCGGCCTGGATCTTCAAGTTGCTTGCGCATCCAAGCTCAAGACTCGAGTACTCACGGTGCAAGGACCAGCATAGCTTGAGCTGCCGGCATGACCAAACTCAGCCAAATTCGATCGCCTTCAAGTAATCGTCTCTTCGCCGCGCACATCTGCCACGTCGACCCTGACATAGACAGGGCGATGCAAGTTTGGTAAAGGCTTCACCAGTGGGGATGTGCATGGACAGCAACTTGCCCATCCAGTACGAAACTTTCGAAACAAGCACTATAATCATAGACCAGGAAGATGTCGATCGCGTACCGAAGAACATCAGTAAAACAGCCTCGTTAATGCACTCCTGGGAACCTCTGTTGGACTGTACTCAACGTCTGACCTCTACACGATCCTGATTATCAACTTCCTCATCTCAGGACAGCAGTGATCAAAATGATGTCGTTTCGAATCTCGATCAGGTTCCAAACAAATCTTGTGTTCCCCATTCAATGATGCTCCCCCCAGGCTGTTGAGCTGTAAAGAGGCGGTGAGGTGATCGAAGGCTGCGGGTCGACAATGAGCGTATGCCAATTTGGGTTGAGGTATGTGTCAAACTGTATCACCACAAACACATGGTCCCCTCAACTGACATCTAGCCAAGGAGTCTGAATTATTTGAATAATTCTGAAGCTAGCAGGTCCAGAGTATGGTACGGTACTCCAATAATATCGAGTCTCGCCTTCCGATGTCGAGCAGGTCGTCAGTCTTCAAACGTTTCAATATGTTCCATTTCTTCCGCAATATCCATTCACATTCCAGACATGACTCATCTCTTTTAAATATCATTGTTTGTTGTAAGGAGTGCTACTCCACCGCTACGGAAACAAGTAACATCGGCTTTCATTACCGACTTGGAATATACGGTGACGTACCTATATGCAGTTTACTTGTGTCAAGGTTATTAACACAGAGATCAAAGATACAATCTACCCCTTCAAACGATGGTGCATGACCAAATATCAATGAGTGTAATAGTTGGATTTCAATTTGATGTCCGAGGGTCTGCAGTTTACAGATACAAGTAATCACTGTATGCACCAGAAATGTATGCAAAGGAGAAATAAATGGATACAGCAAGTACCAAGTAAAGTAAGGGCTACAGACGCAGATACTAGCAATACATAAATAATCAGCATCTGCTGATTCCTGAAGTCGCTTCTATGGTAATAGACATACCCGATAACGATAGGACGCAGAAAAACACGAAAGCAACGCAGCAATGAAATAAATAATATATCTTATGTGAGATCAGACCAAGGTCCTTTTTGGCTCAATACCAACACTAACAGTTGCGCAGCTCAGAGCACCAACCATACCCCGCTCACAACAACACCTAGCATAACGCTCATACCACCACACAGACTCCTCGACGCGCCGTTAGTACTAGTACTGCCAGCAGTTGGCGCCGTCGTAGCTGTACTCGACGCGCCGTTCGTACTGGTACTGCCAGCGGCTGGCGTTGTTGTAGCTGCACTCGACGCCTGAAATGACATGCAGCATCAATATCACGGTCACAACAAGAAAAATGATAAATACATACGGATGGAGATGAGACTGCTTGAATGACCTGAGGATCAGGATCCGGGTCTGTGCCCGTGCTGGCAGTTGTTGATGTGGGAACCGCCTCAAAGGGCCCAGAAGATGTTGTGACGGCATCCAATGCATGCAGCAAAGGACGACCGAATTGCGGCATAGCAGAAGCTACGATTATAGGGTGAGTACAGGCACTAAGAAACACGACGGCTGCACGTACCAGACATCGAGAACAAGAAGAGCGCCATTACGAACGCTGAGATGGCGGTGATGAACATCGAGCGGAAAAGGAACATCATCTTGGCTTGCAAGTAGGGTTGAAAGAACGAATGGGTAGGAAGAAAATAAGTGAGCGGGCGGTAGAGTTCAAGGTATCGTCGCCGATGGAAGCTCTGTTATAAGAAGAGAGTGAAGGAAGGCGGCTCTGAGGCTTGTAAGTACGAGCAGTTACTGTGCAGTTGGTATGCTGGCACTTCCTGACTCGCCTATATATCCCCGGTGCCCGCTACAAGACGCGTCATATAGGGAAAGTGCTATCAAGATGGATGCCATCGAGGTAAGGCACTGCGACTGTGTTCGAGGGAATGTCCCTGCCGATATTAATGGGACCAGACAAGAAAATGCCATGGGTACACTTACATCGCGGAGTTGCAGAGCCCATCAACCCACAGTCTTTGTATTAGTTACCAATATAAGCTGATTTCACGCGGGGTGATTCACATGCCGAATACAAGGACTTGCATAATTTCTGCGAAGGTCTTGACAAAGTGAGTCCCAAATACGGAAACAAGGCTACGGTGTATATGTTTGTGCGTGTTTGGAAAACCTTAACCCTAGATCATGGTTCATTATTTCATACGAGGATGATCTAGAGCAAGGCGAATTGATAGAGCCACAAAATAAGGTACTAGTAAGCTAAGAGTGCGCACTGTAGGGAAAATAAAAGGAGTATACTCAATCGACATCATCTACCACTCCCCCCGGACAGGACTGAGAGCTATTTATGGCGATAAACGTTACGCCCCCAGAATTACTCGATAGATTACTTGATTGGCTCGATGGTTGGGAAGTATTGGGGGCATATGGTGGCTTTTGCTTGTTCTTTGGCCTTGCAAACTTGCGCCTCTGCTGTCTGCAGAAATCCCACAGCGCATCAAGGGCGTCGCAGAGGAAGACTTTACTTGGATTCTCAGAGAGCCTTTGTCGTTAGTTCAATCAGTTGAATCTAAGAGATGAGCGGGGAGGAACCCACCGTCCAGTCATCTCATTGACTATATCTGGCGCACCCAAGAATGGCATTATCTCGATGATCACAGCATACATCTTCAGCAATACCGACATCCCTCCCTTGATTGTCCGGCCTGCTTCTATCCAACCCTCGAGGCGCGCCTTTAGGTTTGGACGGAAATCTTCCCGCAGGTCATCCAGATCCGGATCATGGATATCTATGTCGATGTACCCGAGTGGGTCGGCATCGTCCATAGCCCCTTCCATTCCAGGAGGGAGAGGAAGCCCCATCATGAGCGCCGCCAGTGCCATCGGATGGGCAGTTTCACTCGTAGGCGATACTACAGCACCCACCCAGCGGTCAATCCGCCCTCGTCGCCCCAGTGCCTCCAGACGTAATGCCATGATCTCGGTCAGCTCCGTCTTATTGGCCTGAACATCGATATGACAAAATGCGCTCCGTACGGCGGCGCGGATGGCGTGCACAGTGTCAAGCAGCTCTTTCTCGACGATACGTAGTGCATTGAGTTGGTAGGATGATTGTGTGGCAAGTATTATGGTTGCAAGCTGGTGTGCGGGCGCGTCGCGGGGACGCAGAAGGTGAGAGTGACTGGCGAGTAGGGTATTGATATTATCTGTATGTGAATGCAATGCACATATATGCAGTGCTGTGGCAAAATTCTCGGGGCTGCAAGTGGCGATACGCATGAGTGTAGGGAGGAGCTCTTCGCAAAGATCATCTTCGTCCGTTCCATCCGCTTCAGATATGTCGCCGATACTTGCAAAAAGAATTGGACTGGGCATGGTAGCAAAGAGAGAAATGAGAGACGTGCGGATGAGATTGCGCAGGGAGATGCGAGCGTCGTTGAACTTGCTAGACCAATGACATGCGTGGAAACCACAGGGACATCGAGCATCGCTACAAGCGGTGCCATCGGAGTTTCCGTCAGTGTCAGTGTAGTCTTCACTGTAGTCATCGTCATAATCGATATTATCATCGAAATCAAAGTCATCGTCATCTTCGTCGTCATCGGCTGGTGCCACGGTGTAAAGGTCATCACAGTTTAGTCGAGTCAGTGGAGCTTACGTTTTTTACCACCGTAGAGTAATCGCTCGAGGGCGTTCCAACAGAATTCGGCGCGAATATCGTCGAGCATATCTGGAATGGCAGATTTCTGACGCTTAGTGCCATCGGCAAGCATGACTACGAAAAGGTCGCGCCAAATCCAAAGCATGACACGCTGGAGATTGTGTGCGCCAGTGAAATGAAAAGACTTGACGACCTTGCCAGAGGAGCGTCTGATCTTTACAGAGATGTACATGTTCATAAAGGAACACTTGCACCTGAAACGATATAAGCAACACAAACGAGAATATGATGACACCTTACCCGACCCGTGCGTTACCGATCTGTTCGACCGCTTGAGACACGTACAAAAGACAAGCATGGGCCTTTGAAAAATTTGTACCGTACTCGTATACGACTCTCCATATATCATTGAGCCAGTCGATGACGCTCTCGATGACTTCTGCGAGAAGTTCTTCTTTACGAGACTTTTCTTTCACGTAAGAATGCTTGTGGTCGCGAGCGAGTTCGTCCAGGAGTGAAGCAATCTCCAACTTCTTTGCTTTCAGGTTCAAGGATGGCATGCTGACATATCTTTTGTGCATGCGTGCTGCTGATGCAAGAGTGCGGTTTGATTTCTCTTTGGAAACTACATCGAGGAGCGGTGCAAGTGAGCTCTCGACAAGAGCATGCTGTGCATCGACTGGAAGGGATTCGTAGAGTTGTAGAAACCTAGAATAATAATGAGCCCCAACAAATATTGATGAACGTAAAGCTTACTTTGCACTGGACGCCATCAAATGCAATGATGAGCTCGCACTGAGACGTCTTCCGTAATGTGACATATGCGCGTGACGATCATAATTGTGTGACCTTGTTTCCATTCTCCACGATAATTCGAAGCTGCTAGAGCGGCAGATTCAGACTTTTGGTAAGTGCGACAATTATGTTTCTGATTGAATTACAGTAACGGTTATGAACGTAGGAAATATAAACAATCATGATACAGCTGGCAGCGCTTGATAGCGCCTTCTAGCACAGGAATGAAATCATGATGTGCTCAGATTGGACCCGGACCGGGCGTGTTCCTTGTCAGGCTTTGCCTCGAGGCAGCGCTTCCTATCACGGCCCTTACCCACCCCTACAGTCTGCTTGCAACGCAGCAAGCCACGTTGGAAACGCGCGTACGTTTGAACTTGCGGCCACTTGCGCGTACTCTTCAACTTGTTATCTTCTCAGATCTAACCTCTGCTTTCTTCCACCATCAACAGCGAACATAACAAGTCATCGCGAGCTCTCATATAGCCCATGACAAGTACACAGTCCCCACACAAACAGAGAAAAGTTCAAATGTTTTCCGGTGTTCAAGGTTTGTGCCATTTATTTTTTGCTCTCGTGCCTATTGGTCCCATCGCAGCCCAAGTGTGGATCATCATCAATCATCATGATTAGTTTGTTCCGGGCGTTCGTGCGTTACCGATACACTCTTCACATCGTCTATTTTACGTCTCCTACAATAGTCACGCTTCTTTCATTGTCATTCACTAGTCGTATCACAACGCTAGCGGATCTTCTCTTATTCAATAACCACTCCAAACCCCAAAACTGACCCTTTATATCAGGTTCATCCCAGAACACACCACCTCGTGAAATGTCCCCATCTCCGAGACAAAGGACGATCAAAGCCCAATCACTTCCCGTCGTACCCTCCGTCATGCAGATTTACGGAGCAGCAACTCAGTCTGCAAATCAGCGCCAGCCACAGCAAGCGAGTCCCACCACTGCAAACATCTCCCCGCAGTCAAAACGAACTTCCCCGCCGCCGGCCCTCACGCAAGCCGCACCCAATGTGACTAAACTCCCATCTCCACTCAATCAGCCGTCTCATCTCCGAGAAGAAGCAATCCAGGGACACTATTCTCCCTCGGGTTCTATGCACCCGAACATGCATCAAGCACCACCTCCCCCTCCCCAACATTCGCTCAGCCAGCCCAACGTGCATCAACCCCCTCCTCTGCCCCAACACTCGCTCAGTCAGCCCAACATCCACGCCCACCTCATGAATCCACAAATGGGCTACCCACGCCCTATTAACAGGGTGCCTCCTCCACAGTTCTTAACACACTTCCACGCAATGGAAGAGAATTGGCATATGACAGAAGAGCTCATGGCAGAGATTGAGCGAGCAGACTATGCGCAGGCCCTGAGTCAGCAGCCGCCCGTGCCTGGAATGTCTGGGGTCGCCTACGCCGGTGGCGCCGCGAGCGGCGCCGTGTATGTACGCGAGGTGCCGTCACCTCTCAAAGACCCCGTCGGTGATCGTGTCCGCGCGAATGAACGAACCAGTCCAAAGGATGCAGACGCTCAGGGGAGCGGCGGCATGCAGCGCTCCCGCTCTATCCGCGTTGTTGAACGCGAGAAGGAAGTCCAGCCGAGCGATAGTGCTCGTGCACGCGAGCGTTCCCTCCCATCCAGTCAGACTGGATCTCCGTCCTACTCACCCTTGGGACACCCCCAGCAGCGTGTGCCCTCTCCTGAGCGCACTTCTCCATCTTTCCACACGCCTACTGGCTCGTCAGGTGGTGAGAGTGTGACTGCAGTGGACGTAGACTACGTCTCATATAAGCGGGACTCGTATCAGTCTAATGGAAGCTCTTCCCTTAGGCTTCCCAGTCCGCCGCCCACCGTGCGGAAAGCCATTGTCGCCGACAATGCTCGTGTGACGCCACCTGCGGTCAGCAAGTTTGCCAGCAACACTCCTCCCTTGCAGGCCGTTAAGACCCGAACTCCCGACAAGTCACTGCCTGTCCAAGAAGAACCAGAAGACGATATCGCAACCTCTAAGAACGGCGACAATTATACTCACGGGAATGACTATCATGAAGAGGATGATAATGATACTCTCATCGAAAACGACCACGATTTCCCCGTCGACAGTAACAGAGACCACGACGGAGAACTAGAGTCATACACCCCACGCTCACCCACTGCCAGCTTACCAGAACTATATCCCGCCAGGCAATACCACGTGCAGCCCGCAAATCAGCGCCTCTCGAGCCTCACAAAGCACCACCGCACTGGTAGCACAGACAGACTTGGCCTCCGAAGTTTCGACGCAGCCGTTTTTGAAAAGCCTCCCATCAGATCTACTGAGGAGCGCCGTGAGTCGCCTGCACTTCCGGTGAGGCTGACGACTGAACAGGTTAACTCTGTACCAGAGCATGATCTACGACAACAACACAGTCGCACGTTTTCTGATACTCGTGGTGCAGAACAGCCGCAGCAACAAAGCAACGGACGGCCGCACCCGCTTCAAAATCAAGTCTACTCGGATGATCAGAATCATGATGATGCTGCAGCTGCCTATATATCGCATTACTTCCAGTCTCCTCGTCCAGTTGCGCCCATACCACCGACGCCTCATAGCCAAACTGCCGCTCCATCACCGTTGATATCTAGCATGCAAAGCATGCAAGCCAGCCCGGCACCTCCAGTGGGCTCGCCCTATCCCTACCCATTCTCTCACGTTCGGCGTAACAACGTCTATTCTACCTATCCCATACACACTGCGCCTTCCTCCAACTATGACCCCAACCATCCTTCGGTGATCGAAGAGCAACTCGCTCTCCAGATGCAGATGTACGCCTTGAACAACCATGCAGCATTATCCGACTCCACGTTCTCACCATCGTCAACGCCTTTCCCCGGGCCTGGATACAACCCATGGACGTTCCTGCAAGCATCTCGTGCGTTCGGAGGAGGCGTACGGCCGCGTTTCGACTCCACTGCAACGATGAGCATCCAGTCGAGCCCGAGCCACCAACCAGTCAGCCTTCCGTTCCCGACTGGCAGAGTCAAGCGCCGTCAGGCATCCGCGGATCTACGAATCCAGAGCACGAAGCGGAAGGTTAAGCCGCCGCCCCGTGTGGAAAGCACGCAGCCACGGGATACGAGCCCGGAGCCGTACTCGTCTGGTGAGGAGACCGCTGGCGAGGAACGCTTTGAGGTTGCTGAGGAGGGGAACTGGGTGAATGGGATGTTGCCTGATGATGGTACTGAGTGGGTGGATGAAGATGAGGATGAAAAGGATGACTTGTTAGACTTGGAGTATCACCCGAACTATATCAACAATATCGAAAAGAGACGGAGGAGATGGGATACGCGATGGGAAGCTCTGCAGCAGGCGGTGAGATGACTTGTTGTCAAAAGCCATGGGTGGATGCTGACATTTGCCGTTGTGTTATCATAGTTCCAAGCGCTTGATTGCGAGACGGATACGACGATGGTCCTACTTGCTGCACCTTCACATTCTACAAAACTGCATGCCTTGACATCACGCTCAGTTCGTCGTGAAATAGGGACACAGTCTCCGAGCATGCACAACATACGAAACTCTTTCCGAGGCATTGCTGCTCGTCGACGAGCATCCCGTGCCAAGGGCACAACGCTCGTTGAGAGGTTCCTCAACTCGACTTCTTCTGGCGATGGTTCTGATGGCAGTTCGGAATCACGGGAAGGCGACCTCAAGCGCGCGCTCGAGACTGCTCTTGGTAGTCTCGGCGCCCTTCGCTCAATATACGACCACCGCATCACACGCTGGGAGGACGAGATGGGGCGCATCAGCGACGAGCGGGACCGCGTTGACATGCTGCTCCGCCAGACCCTGGGTGTCGGTTTGCAGAACGGTAATGGCGTTCCTGACGTGTAACTTATTCAATGTTGTGACCTACCTCGATGTATGCACTCATATGACCCTACTGTCCTATGCTGTACTGTACCTATGCACGCTGTCTATGTTTTTTCTAGTAACATGTTGCACACGTCAACTCTAGATATACTCATCTGGTGCTGATCCATGTACATAATGCACCATGGTTGCTATCGCTATTGTACACTTGTCCTTGAGTATCTACTCTCCTGGGTCCTTGAATTGGGAATAAGTTACAGGAATAGGTCATGGATTACAATTCGTCCGAGAGGACTCGCTGGGCTGGAGTGAAGGAATGATCCAAGGTCTCCAACCATGCCCTGAGAAGGTCATTGAATACCTTTGGGTGCTCGAGGTGGGGCCAGTGGGCACCTTCCATTGTCTGCATTCGACTGTCACCATAGTCCTTGGCGAAAGGGTCATATCACGCACCTTGGTCGTCAGTTGTGGCAGGAACTCCGCGGATTTCAAGTATTTGGCAGCGAATACCCAGTTTGCGACAGGATCCTGTGGTAGTGCGCATGAGTAAGGCCCTGTAACGGGACAGACAACCCACGTTTAGAGGCAAAACAGATAAGACGGGTTGGGGAATTGTGTAATTTCCTTGCGCTCGAGTAGATTGCCATGTTCCATAGCGGTTCTAAGCACCTCATTTAGTTATTGGGTGCATTTTAAAAATATATCTACGCACTCCACGAGTGTAAAATATGAGAGCTGCGGTGTATTGATTAGCTCAGCATGGTTTCCGAGGAATTTTGTTTCGCACTATGGTCAAATTTCTGCATACTGAACCGTTCGACAAAATACTCTTCATCGGAGGAGGTGAAGAACGGAATTGGAGGAATCTAGTCAAGGTCAGTAAACTTTATCCTACCTAGAATGAGCGCTAATCAAACCTTCGTCACGTTGTCATATGCACCGAGATAAGTACTGGTGCTTGTAAGGAAGCTATCTGGAGGGGCACTGTTGACTGTGCGCAACGTAGCACGTAGGCTTCTCCTGATATCCTTGTTCAACTCAGTTACGGCTTTTGTCGTATGGTTCTCGAAGAAAACTTGGTATGCCAGCTTAGGCATAGCTGCTGCGAGCTGAGCGCTGTCTGCAAAGGGGCCAGCGGCGTGCAAATACTTGTTATGATAGTTAGGCAGGGAAAACCGTAAAACAACGATCTGTTTACCGGAACGGTCACGCCAACCAAGGCATAGAAGATATCAGGTCGTCTCCTCGCAGCCTCGTAGCAGACTTCAGCACCCCAGTCATGACTACAAGGATATCAGGTGGGTCAGACCGGATCTTCTGCAAAACATACCCAAGACAAATAGCAGATTGAATTCCAGCATGTTCGAGAACGCAAGTGAGATCGCCAGTGATATCAGCCAACGTGCTGGACGACTGTACATCAGCGGGATGTGTTGAACCTCCGAAACCACGAACGTCGATAGCAATCATATGATACTCGTCCTGAAATAGATCAGCATGACAGTCATCAGCTGATGGAGGAGATATCTACCTTGAACTCTTCGATCTGGTACCCCCAGGAGCTCCAAAGACTGGGCCAGCCGTGGACCATGATGATGCTCTTCTCCGCAGTCGGGTTGACGTCTACATAATCTATGACAACAATCAACATCTCTGTTGGTAAGACACGCGCATATATACGTACCAATGGTGATATTGACCTCCTCGTCTAAGACGCGATCCACAGCTTTGCAACTGATGGACTGGATGGTATACGCCCTTGCATTGAAGGTAACAGCTCCCGCCACGAATGAGAGGGAAAGGGGAATAACAAGGCAGGTAGACCAATACATTGTACGTAGTTCTGATAAGAGTTCGAATAACTCGTAGTTGTGTCCACTGGAAGGACTTTAACGTCCAACTTCAAGAATCAACATGCAAGATGCAAGATGCCGCTTGGAATTCTGCATGCCTACCTGCAACAACTGGACAGAATCCGGCGGAATGATCACAAATCCATCCGCTGACGCCCGTAGACCAAATAGAGGAAACATTGTCGTTCCTTCTTTATTATACTGCTCGAGCTCGGTCGTTTGCAATGTATATCGATGTCAGAGTCGAGTTTAGTGAAAACAGGTGAAAATGATGATCAACAAGCGGCAATTGAATCACACTGCCGAAATCAAGACGTATAAACAGCTTGAACGTATCTTCTAAGATCTGTCTGTGAAACCCACTGGGGGAATAAGCTGTCACGCATCAGATCAGCCCATCCAGGCTTGCATACCAAACAGTTCATGAAGTGACACCTCGGGCTGATACCATTGACACCAGTCTCGAGATGAGTGTCAATAAATGGAAGTCATTACCTTTCTCTATCCATGGGCTCGGGTCGCAATAATCCCTATCTCCTCTTATCCAGGATGCGTCATTTATTGGGAGTTAAACCGGGGTGGGCTTACTCGTGCTCACGACCTCGGTCATGGCCCTGATCATGAGAAAGCAGACCGATTCTTGACGATACCACGCCTGCATGGAACGTTAGCAACTCCTGCAACCTCAACTCGACGGTGCCGATCGTGAAGATGGCGCGGTGCCAGTGGCAGGCCAGAAGATGAAAATGGAACGTACCCTCCGAGGGGGACCTTTCTAGGCCTCGGTAGCCGCTCCAAGACCACAACACATCCAATCGGAGTGAGATCGTCTTCTGCTGAAGTAAATTTCTAGGTATGTGATGCCACTTCCTCAATCGTCTGTCATCGTACTACTACCCTTTCCACTTGCCCCTCTCTAGTGCGGTTATTTGCAATGTTCTGTTTGCATCATCGGCAGCGATAGGTATCCTTCGGTATCGTTCAAGTCACTTTTTTAGAGCGCAGCCCCATAAACGGCCTTAAGGCTGATGAAGAATGTTCACAAAAAGATATGCCAAGCCCTTAGTCTCGCATTGCAACCCATCCCAACGGCGAGCTGTTTTCATTGGGCCAACATAGGGCGGCTCAAGCTGAAATGTACTCCATAATTCCCGGGATTCCCAGTAAATCTTGCTACAGTTCGGTAGGCTAATGTGACGTAAGTAATATACATGATGCAACATGTCACTTATAAGGCAATTATAGATCAATGCTAGGTTATCCTTATCAACGAGACAATGCACGGTCAATTTCGTTGTCTTGCAGGGATCCTTTATTTTGCGTTTCAACTGCGCCGTCGCCGTGTTTTCTACTATTATTTGGATCGACACTTGCTGTGTAAGTACCAGTCGATGGAATGTAACAAGAACCCACGTTTACTTTTACTTTTTATCAGGGCACACCCTAATAAAAGGGCCTGCACAAGACACAATTTCATTTCATAGTAACATGCTGGTAGCTCCTGTGACAAATGTGACGAGGTTTCATGTGAGTTGTGCTTCGTGCTGTTTGAGTGTTCTAATGTGCACCCCGCACCGAACGAAAGCAAAGGGGTCCAAGATATTTTTGGCACCACCGTGTAATTATACATTCATGATATTCGGTAAGTTCAGTCTAAAATTTAGGGCAACGGATGTTCTTCAACTGCGAAGGTGACATGCTTTATGAAACCTGGCAACACCCCTCAATCTGATCCAGTCTGTTCGCAGAAGTAAAAGTCCTGCTGCCAACTCAGATCGACCGTGCTGTTGAATCGAATCATGGCACTTACCAAGGCGGGGACGGTGTAGCAGCAAGCTGCTAGGTAGCCACTCTCACAAGGCTCAGAGTAGCTTTGGCACTCCTCATCGTTAACATTGCCCCGTTGAGATGAATCCTTTACAACGTAGGTAAGCATAAATGTGTTTTTCCGTTCATTAATCCCTCTCACCTCCTCGCAGCAGCGAGTTGTACCTGCATCACATTGAGTCGAATTAGTCGATGCGCTAACACTGGCTTGTGAAACGAGAAGCAAGATGACAGAAAACAGAAAGACACGGACGAACATGTTTGATTAACCCACTGGAAGTTCGAATGCATGCCATTTGAGCAAACTCGGCCAGTGGCTTATCGCGTGAACCATTCATTTTACTGCGGAAAAACTATGATATAGCCAGCCTCGGTGAAGTGTGATTTTGAAATAAAAGCCCATACTTCATCTCACGCAGCGCTTGCCCATAAACTTCCATGTAGGGAAATGGCCACTACAGTCCAGTGACCAGGCTGTCCGATTGGTGCTCAGATGGACGGGCTGGGGGAACCACAGTCCCAACTTCTGCAGCAAAACTTCGTCAGGGACATTCACGTCTCGGTGATCCTACGTATACCTTGTTCGCGGCGGCCTACCTTCTAGGATCGTGTACAGACAAGGTTACCACTTCAAAGGTGGAATGTGAATCTACATGGACTCCCAGAAGGCTCCAAAGGATTTTTTTTCTATTTCTATTTGTGGTTAACTGTGCAACGAGGCGATAACACTATCGCTTCGCAGCTCCACCTGGTACCCCGGACGAAAACGATAGCGGTGTTGTAACAAGTTCTGGCATGATGTATTTTTCCATCACTCGTAGCCAGCGGAACATTCAATCAGCCGGATACCCCCCTGTTCAAATCTGTTGAATACGTGAGTGAGACTCCAAAACTAGAAAAAAAAGAAAAAGGAACTTGAGTATGGTACAGCTAAGTACTTGCGTCCGACTCTCAGTGACCTGCAGGAGTGACTCTTGACAGCGTGAAGTTTGTCCCCTATATAGACTCCTGCTAGTATTTACACGTTTTATCTCCTCATGCCGGAGATGCCATGACAATTTTCCTGTGATCGGGCAAATTTGGGAGGGCAAAATATTCAGCGCGTGACAATAACTCGACAACTTCCTGGGGTTGCTAATGCTTACTCGTAGCAGCAAAGCCATATCTATCCTCCAAAGTCACCCATTCCACGACGGTAGGAACCTCACATTCAAATTGAATTCTAACCATTTCAGGCGTACAGTATGCCAGTTTTGCATCCGATTTTAATGGTCAACGATACAGGAGGGAAGTGCCCAATAGTAGCTTGGTTCGGCATCGGCCACCGTATGATACCCTTGA